TCCCCCGCCCATACAAAAAGCCATCAAAACAAATGCAGCTGCAAAGAATGCACCATCAGCCAATCAGCGTTGTGAGCGTTTCACTTTTAACCAATAGCACCACCGCTCGGCGTGGGTGACCAACTCAGTAAGACGCATCTCAATATCACTCCCCGTCAAAGAAAATAGTGCGCACCGAATTATTTGAAAAATGGAGGAGTATTTTGTAAAATGTGATACAATTCATGAGATTTGAAAGCATTATGAAAGATAAGATATTGGATTAACTGTGGTCTCGTAAGCATTGCCCTTTTAGTGAATTTTGGGTACGAAAAATGGCCGCGGATGGACACAATGATAAGCTTAACACATTCAAGTAAAATTGCACATACGTTGCCTTATCACACAGCTACTCACGCTGTCGGCTGCTTTCTTGTGATCATTCATTTACGCACGAGCCTTTGAAGTCATTGTTGTCATATATTCGGAAGTTGTTGCCGACATTTATCTCACAATACACATCCCCAAAGTTGACGTTGTTTCGAGCGGATTATTTGACCTTCAATACGATACCTCAAGGTATTGAAGGCAACAATGTGAAGTTCATGTTATACTTGCGAATAGATTTACAGGACTTGTCAGCACAACTTAAGTTCGAGAAATACTACCATGATGTGTGCACGGGAGAGACAATACGTCGTCAAAGCTGGAATTCAACGTGAACTCGCCACACTTCGAGCCCCCTTCCTTGCTCTCGGTCTTCTGTCGGTGGAAAAGTTGTAAGTAAACGCAATTATGAAACAGAATTCAACTTATTCTTAAGGGAAAATTTGGCACAGATAGTTGATGTTGCTGACTGAATTCCCAACAAAATTTGGCACAGATAGTTAATGTTGCTGACTGAATTCCAAACAACCATGACAACTCAAACTCTCAACCTGTCAAGAACGCCAACTCGTACCGCATGCCGTCACAAAATTTGTTTAATTCGGGGTCTTTTTTTGATAACCAAACATTAGGCCTACTTGAACCTTTTAAGTAACAGCAATGAAACGTTGTTAAATACTGAATAGACGTTTTTGTTGCTTTCAGGAAATACTGTTAGTGCAGTGCTCAAGGCTAGTGTGCAAGAAGTTGTTACATCCGGGTCTGAATGAGGACTCAAAGGTTTGTGCTTCAAGATCGGTAAGTCATTAAACAAAAAAGAATCTGAGATAAGTGAAAAACCATCTGCTTTGAGAATCTGAAATTATAGTTAAGTTGGAAATATCCCCTGGAAATTGAGGGGAAATAGGAAATCTATTTTAATGTAAAACGACTCCCCCCCCCCCCCCCCACCCAAAAATAAATAAATAAATAAATAAATTAAATACCGTTGAGTTCTCCTGACTTCTTGTCGACTTTGATATTGATTTTTGTCCCTGTGCTTTTGTTTGTCAGTAAATTGGGGGGCAATTTTGAATATGAAACGAAGCACCTGTGAATTCTTTAACATGAATGCTTTTGTGTCTAGATACAATGAACACTTCGGCGTGGGCCGATCGATATCGAATTCTTGAACTTTAACCTCAACTGGAATATGAAGGTGCATGACCTGTACAAAAAAAAGGGTTTAAATAAGTCCAGCTAGTCTGACGTTCAGCCACATATACTAATTTTTTAAGGACCTTTAATATTACGCCAGGTTGCTGCCGACACTTTGGGATTTCAATATTCTCCAAATGTTTCAATTGAAGTATATCACGGATTGTCTGTCTATGCATATTGTCAGTACAAGGACCGCGTGTTATTTAGGAAGACTGGAAACGAACTATTGCAAATTTGATGAGCTTTTCGTTCAGCAGAGAAATTCTCCTGTTTCCTTATTTTTCCAAGAGAAACGAAGAGCAGCTAACGTTTAGGTTTTTATTTTGAGGTGAATTTTACTCATATTTGGATGTTTTTGATCATCAGAAACCTGTTGGAGGAAAATTAAAAAAACAAGAAAATAATGCGAATCTCAAAATGAAGAAGGGAATATTATCAAATCATACCCTGTGAAATAATTCCGCCTGAAATAGTATCTTCAACTGTATGGAAGGTGATTGCAAAATAGGGTGCCCGCGTACGTGAACACTGTTTTGCGTGCGTTAGCAACGGAATGTGGTTACGTGAACACCCCCCCCCCCCCCCAAAAAAAAATTAAATTACTCAAATGTATCCATCGAGTGATTGCCGTACTGAGTTCATTCATTGAACAGTACCGCAATGCAGACTTCGTACTCCGCAACGTAGGCCTATTGACCGACTGTGGAAAATACGGCTGTAAATGAAGATGAAATGCAGTTGTTTTGTATCGTAATAATAGGGATTTTTTATGCTTATTATTTCAGTGGATTATTACGAAATAAACGAACTTAAATTGACCCCCAGCTAAGCTTTCTGATCAGAGTTTGAGTTATTTTCTCCACTTTATAAATTTTATTACGTGAATGTGATGGCCGTGGACTAAAACTGGAAGGAGTCGTGATTAATCCCAGCGTTGCCGCTAGAGGGCGCTAGCCGATATGTACGTAGGTCACGCTCGGGTCACACTTTACCAAAGTTCGAGTGTCGTCTGCTGCACACCCTGAAAACGGAATGTGGGGAACACTTATTTGATTTTTTTCAAGGTGTTTGTTCACGTCACATCATTCATTCGAAGCCCAAAACATTTAATCTTTGTCGTGATGGCATCATCAGCCATTCGCTACATATTCAAATCAAGGTTTGTACTAGTTTTTAGCACTAATTTATTTACGCGTTACATGATCATGAAAATGACTGCGTACAATTGAAAAACTGCACAGTCTGTCTGCAGGGTGGTCCCCAAAAAGTTTACACTTTTTAAGATGCAGATTTCTCAAAACAGGGGAAACATGTTACAATAGTTTTAAGATATTCCTAAACTACAAGATGTTGGTGGTATGTGGTGAAAACGGCACTGGAAATAAAGCTAAAATTAAGAAATGGCGGCACTGGAAAATGGTAAAAAAAAAAACAGTGTCACATGCGGATTATGTCTATGATTAGCCCCACTAGTGTGGCCGTCAGTATGCTGCGCTGAACCTAAGGCCAAACACCGTGGTCCGCGCACTACTGAGGACATTTTCATAAAATTTGCAGGGAATTTCTTACATATGGTTGTATTCTACGATGTCCCATCTATCACTTCTGGGATGCTTAGGTGTAATGATGTTCAATTTTCCGAGATATTCTTGAATCTTTCTGGAGCCCATATGCACTTGTGAAACGTCCGGTGATGGCAGCCATTTTGAATGTGACAAGAGATGACCTCAAGCTGTGACGTCGCGTTTATGCAAATTGCTTGTTGAGCGAGGGCGCGAGTTGCAAATGCGACGGCTGTTTCCTGTGCCGTAGATCCTGAATAGAGATCAGTGCACGTGGCCCCCAGACGATAAATGCATGGTACAGGAAACAGCCGTCGCATTTGCAACTCGCGCCCTCGCTCGACAAGGAATTTGCATAAACGTGACGTCACAGCTTGAGGTCATCTCTTGTCACATTCAAAATGGCTGCCATCACCGGACGTTTCACGAGTGCATATGGGCTCCAGAAAGATTCAAGAATATCACGGAAAATTGAACATCATTACACCTAAGCATCCCAGAAGTGATAGATGGGACATCGTAGAATACAACCATATGTAAGAAATTCCCTGCAAATTTTATGAAAATGTCCTCAGTAGTGCGCGGACCACGGTGTGTGGCCTTTATAGGTTCAGCGCAGCATACCGACGGTCACACTAGTGGGGCTAGTCTATGATATGGATAGCTGGAGTTACCCAGCCCCAATAGACAACCCAATGATAAAACTCAGGGCTGGGTAACTCCAGCTGTGATATGGAGTGCTAAAGTGAATACGTCACGGGCACAAAATGTGTGTAAAAGACATTAGCGCATGATTCAGCCCGTGAACCAACACGCGCACGTACTCCAGTCGTTTGCACTACCGGTACACTTTCTGGTTCTAAATGACGTCGCACTTTGGTACTCCATAATGTCGACCATCGTTATTGTAGTTCTAAGCTTTGTGCATGCAGTGCTATTGTTTTGACCATGTCTCATAGATTTGCCGGTGGACAAAATGGTTTTGACCATTTTTCTGTAAATGGCTGCCATTTCTTAATCTAGGTTTTTTTCCAAAGCTTACCACCGACCAACAGCTTACTTATAGTTTTACTTATATCTTAAAACAACGTTTCCCCAATTTTTGGAAAAATGTGCGTCTGAAAAACACTAAAACGTTTTCGGACAACTCTGTAGTAGGCACCTAGGCCTATACTATAGTATTAACACTAAAATACTAAAATAGCAGCATGTTTTTAAGTATTTTTTTTTTTAAATTGTATACAGCACCATAGACATTGACCCATTAACGAGGCGTCAGTTTGGGTCTAACAACATCACTGACTAGCGTTATACAAATATTATTATTTAATAATACAAGGAATATCTCCATGCTTTTTGTTTGGTGCTTCGACCTTGTAGTTGTAGTTGTACAGTAAGTTCTTCCCATACGCACCATTTACTTGTAGGCCCTATTGATATACATAGTCACAGGCCCTGTTTCTTTGTGTAACTTGACAACAAGAAACAAATAAGAATGATAGGCCTAATGTGTTTACAAAATTAGTATTTAGTATTAAAAATTTAGTTTTAGGCTGAGTACAAAAGTTGTTTGTCTGGGCTTTTTGGAAAAAATGAAAGAGGCGGCCCCCTTTTTTCCCCCAAAGATGGCAGAAAAGATCGTGTCTAAAGGAGCCATAACCCTATCTTAATAGCTACAATTTTGCTGGAAAAGGACAATATGTTGATAATATAGTTGCAAATATATTGTCAATATGAATTTAAAAAAAAAGTAACATGTTCCTCATAGAGTTGTTACATGTCCGGTGTCTCCCTAAGGCATAAGAAATGACAATAAAATGCCCCCCTAAGGTACAGGTGTAATGCCCACTGTCCCCAGATCTAAGTGGTGTTGCTTGATAATTTAGTTACTTAAGCCTATCTGAAGATGCTGCGTAACTGTATGGGGGCCATGGGATATTAAGAGGCCTGTGTACCCCTTGACCTCCATTGTATTTTAAACAAGATTGAGCAAAAGCCAATAGGCCTAAGCAGACTAAATTACAGTAAGCAATGCTGAAGTACTTTCATGATACAAACTCAGTTGATAGTTACCTCTCTATGTTAATTGTAGGATTTCATGTGCAGCTATTAAACCCCACAAAAAGCGAACTCTCACTGAATTGAAAAAAAAATATTCTAGTCTTATACTCCAGAACAGATGGAGAGAACAATTGGTGTCCATTTTTCCACAACCGTGGTTTCATCAGCTTGTTGCATGAAGTTTATTTTACAGATGTTGAAATTACGATTAAATATTTTTAATAATTTTGGTTTTAGTTGGATCAATTCATTATGGAAGATCAATTTTTGTTCTTCAGATTCAAGCCACTGATTGTTGGTTCTGTCGTGGGTGGTTTTGTTTGCTATGGAACATACCGGCAAAAGGTAAGACCACAACAAGTTTTTGCCGCTTTGTTACCAAATAGTAAAGCAAGTGCACGGATGAAACAGGTATTGAAAACGAAAAAGAAAAAGTTTCTATTTTTTATGTAAATGATTTATTCTTTTTTCCTCAGAAAAGTCCACTTCTGGCCAAAACATCATTTGCCTCAACTTCTAGTGCAAATACATTTATGGCCGAGACAATTACACCTGCTACCACCCTCGAGGTTTGCTTTCAAGATTTTATGAAGTAGAATAGATAATAAGCAACAATTCCTGGTGATAACCCTAAGGTTATGAATTTAATATCGTCGCCTCAGCTCAACAAGGCCGTAATTCCATTCTGCAATAGAGTCGCATCTCGCGCGAATATGCTCCATGCAACAAGGTCGTTTCTCGACGTCCATAGACTTTGCGTGTACATCCGGGTTATTTTAAGCAAGATATGACCTTTTGACATTCTAAAACTCACGTTTTGCGTTCATAACTCCATTTTGCAACAAAGTCGTATCTCGCGCGAATACGCTCCGTGCAACAAGGTCGAATCTCGATGTCCATAGAATTTGCGTGTACATCCGGGTTATTTTAAGCGAGATACGACCTTTTGACATTCTATAACTCGCATTTTGCGTCGTTCATGCCATTTTAGGAGATACGACCTTGTTGCACTGACGCGACGATATCGGGGATTTTTCAATATTGATTTTTTTTTTAGTAAACAGTAATTTAGGGTTTTGATTACAAAGTGAAGTTCTCCAGTAATGAAAACCACTACAATGATGATGTAGATCTTATGGAAGCAGAGTGCTCTGAACATCTAAAAGCTGTTTACTTTCACAGGTTATGGACCGTACTGGAGATAATTTCACAGGTTGTGGACCATACTGGAGATTAAATTAGTCCCACGAATGCATATCACATGAACATTGGGTCTGAATAGAGGCTAACCAGGTTTTCCACTTGCATTGTTTCTAAATAATTGCATCTAAATAATGGCACAACTGATGATAACGTTGCGATACGTGCATTTATTTCCAGCAAAGCTCAGCCATGAAGTCAAGAATGGAGCTGTTCATCATGAAAATCCAGGTGAGGTTCCCAGTCATCCTGCCATTGAATGAATTTGCATCGAAAAGGCTCTGTGCATTAAACTGCAGAGGGCGCTGTTTAGCTTGCCATTTCAGTAAGAACTCCAGTGAGTTGTAGCCACATCCGTCAAACGTCAAATCATAACGGATGAACAATGACAAACGAATGTCTTTGTCTCAATTTTCTTGTCACTGGAATTGAGATTGGGAGTGACTTGTGAGGACTTGACTACAGCTCTTGTAAGAGCTCGTTTGAGCCCCATTATCCGCTCCGTTCACAAGTACCCCCTCACCGGCAAAGAAAGTGCAGTTGGGGGTGACCAACCAACGCCATTTTGCCTGACTGCAATTTTGCGGCGACGCGCGGCCGTACCACTGCGTGTACTTAGTACAAATCCCCTAGTGTTTTTGCGTCACACGCAAGGAACGGTGTGCGTCAACCAGCTAAATGTCCCACCCATGGGAAGTCGTTGCTAGGTAAAAGGGCGCCCTCTTTTTTTTGGCGCACGGAGCCCATATTCTGGGCTTCAGATCGATGAAAGGGAAGGGATCTCTTATTTATTTGGCCATTGTAAACGAGGACAGTGTCCAAAATTGACATTCTTCATTTCTCTTCTTCAATGAATGAATAACTTGAAGATTCCTTTTGATTTTCGGTTTCTCATTCAACAATGAGTTGTCCAGCTGTATCAACAAATTGTAAATAAAAATATAATTAACACAACAATATATCAATAAAAATGTAATTAAATGCAGTTAGTATTTTTGTTGATGCAGGCTGACCTTTGCAGAGCTCTTGAAGAAATTGAAGGCGAAAAGAAGTTTCTTGTCGACAGATGGGAAAGACAAGCAGTAAGACATTTGGTCATTTATATTATTTCAATTTAACACATTTCTTGGACTGGACTCATTTACCAGTATCTCTGTCTACTCGATTTAAGAGCAGGATGTATACAGTTATGTTAGTCTGCTAGATACAATTATGCCATAATTTTGATTGTAGTTAGTCTTTAAAGTGCTACTTTCTCTATATAATAATTACTCGATTTAAAAAATTCTTCAATGGGACTAGCATGTTTTTCAAGAAAGTAAATTGTTTGTAAAGTTACTCGTCGTTATTCAATTTTTTTTATTTATTTAAAAAGACAATCTGAATTAGAATCTTTATTTGTGGAATGAAGTTGCAAAAGCAAAGGAATTGTGTGCTAAAGCAGTGCCTTGAAATTGAGCCAAAATTGTTTATCTTCAAGCACACTTGAATCTTGGATTTCTGATTGGTCGATCCATGGCATCGTATTATCACATATCACTCTCAGTGTATTCTAAGATGTGGGCACCATTCCTGATGCATGTACATGTAATAGGATAACTGCTGAAAAGAGCCAAAATTGTTACCTTCAAGGAAACGTGAATCCTGCATCCTGATTGGTCGATCCATGGCAGCAGCAGTGTGGTATTATCCCATATTGCACTCAGTGCATTCTTAGATATGGACGATACTCCTGCTGCACGTACATGTAATACGATAACTGCTGAAAAGATTGTGTGCAGTGCATATTCCATCTTTACTGTGGGTCAAGTTTGCTTGAAGATAAATTCGTTATCCAACTCGTGCTCATGAAAAACGGAAAATGTAGTGCGTCTGTGTCCCATATGCCACTTGGCCTTCAGCCTCGTAGGACGCAGACGCATAGGACGCACTACATTGTAAGTTATCCCGCGAGCGCGAGTGGAACATGGAATAATTTATTTCGACTGTTCGGCCACGTGGTATGTGGGACACAGATGCACTACATTATCCACGTTCCACGAGCGTGAGCGTGATAACGAATTTATCTTCAAGCAAACTTGACGCACAGTAAAGATGGAACTAGTACGCTTTACGCAAACCTTCACGGTTTAGTGCATGCAGCTGAAATGTCGCTCGCATCTTGAAATAGCACAATACGCAGGGTGTGATATGGACCTTGCGATACAGTATAATATCACAATGTTGTTGCCATGAATCGACCAATTAGGATCGAGGATACAAGTTTGCTTGAAGATGATATTCCGTGTTCCACTCATGCTGGTGGGATAATTGATCAAGTTCTTCCTTGCTTTTCACAGGGAGGGGGAGGGGTGACCTGTCTCATAGAGGACGGCAAGGTGTTTGAGAGAGCTGGTGTCAACGTGTCTGTTGTCAGTGGGGAACTTACATCAAAAGCTGTTGCACAGATGAGATCAAGGTAGGTAAGCCCCCCCCCCAAAAAAATCTCCGGTGTCTGGTATGGAGCTTGCCCAAAAAGTGGTGCGGCGACGCAGCTTTTTTTTTTTTTTTTCTACCGTTTTTTTTGGCTTCAAATGTCGGCTGATGACTGCAAATGGTGCCCGACTAAACTTAGTGCAAATATATGGGAGTCCACAGAGGCCACATAAAGCTTATTCTCGATCATAACCCCATCTAAAAACACGTTAAAATTGTGCAGCAGCAGGATTCCACTCAAACTAGTGAGTTTGGCGGTTTTGAGACATCATCTTTTATTGGAAAAAAAACCTTTTTCATTTTGCCGACGCGCATGGCTACGGCGACACGCGTGCATACCAGAAACCGGAGACTTTTTGGGGGGCCTAATATAAGAAATATCCCCAAGGTAATAGGGGACAAAATAGAAGACGAAAATTATTGTCACCGCGGACAAAGAAATTCAAGAACTCAAATTCATTATTTATTTTCTATTAAGAAACAATTACCAGAATTAAGTGCAAGTATGCAGAAAAGCGTTGAATTTCACTAATGTATCACTGGTCATAAAGCAAATAAGATTACATGTATATACAAGATCTGCATTAATGTCCAGGGTGAGTCCAAAAAAGCTAGACAGGTTTTAGGGTCGTTGCGTTTAAATGGTGATATTCTTTGAATGGATTGAGCAATTTCAGTAATTTTTCATCTAAAAGTAGCTTATGAAATTGGCTTTCCAGTCATTATTATTTTTGGTGCTGCATATTTTTTGTAAAATATGAAATTTATTTTGGGGTTTGGGTTCCACTTTTTTTGACTCACCCTGTATTAATTACACTGAAGGATTTTTTTCATTCAAATCTACTTAAAAAAAGTTACACAGTGGAACGCCACTATAACAAACATCGCGAAATTGTTTGTAATAGCAATCGTTCGGTATAGCGATTTTAAGCTGCTGGTGCTCCGGTACTCGCTTTTCAATAAATAGCGCCCTTCAGAACTTCACTCTGCATGCCCTGTTAGTTACTGACAGATGACTTTGAACACATGCCAACTATTGAATTATGTAGTTACACAGTTTTTGAGCTTACTTCCTACAGCAATGGGTTGCTTTGCCATTCTACTCCTTGGGGAATTAATGGCAAATTGTCACTCTTCTGTTGACATCAACAACAATGTTTGGTACGTTTTGTACACAAAAATCAGGAGCCAAGCACGATGTTTGGTATAGCCAAATGTTCGGTATAGCGACGTTCCACTGTATGTGGAAAAACACTCAGTGTATACTATCATGCTTCAAATTACACCTCTAATAGTCCCATGTAATGATTATTCAGATTAACACTGATTTGTACAAGCCAATGAAGCCACTACTCCGGCATGCAACTTTTTTTCAGATCACCTGAGATTTCCTCTTTTTTGTCTTCCCATGTGTGCCATTGAAAATAGAAAAACACTGTACAAAGTCATGGAAAGATTTGAATTTCCTCTTTTTTTTGTAAGTTCCCAGTTGCATGCCTGACTACTACAACATGCACCATGTATATTTACAGTTTATCAGGCTGTCCGTCGTTAAGTTCTGTTGATATCTGATAATTAAACTAAATGTGGACATTTTAAAAACTTTCTTCATTTTTTGAATACCAAATAAAAAGCGGAGGAATTATGATGTAGTGCTTACCTAGCCAAACTTATTTAACATTTATGTACAAGTATCTTCTGAAAGAAATGTCACCATCTGTACCAACTTTAATAGACCTTTAATAGACCATATCTGATGTTCGCGGAATTTTGAGCTATCGATCCATTTATAAGAGTGTCAATCACACTATTATGCCACCATGTTTGTTTGCGTTATATGCCTCGCTCTGATTTTCAAGATGGCGTACTAAAAATAAATTTAGTTATCATTTGAATGATACAAAAAATGACCAGTCATTGCCTTAAATGGTCAGACATCTGCATAACTAAACAGAGGTTGTCAGATCAAGAACTAATCACAAAGGCATTTCTTTTCTTACAAAATTCAAATTTCCAATTCATACTCAGTGCTCATCTAGCTTAATTTTTAAACAAATGTACAAGTATCTTCTAAAGAAATTTCACCATCTGTAACAACTTTAATTTCTCTCTTATTAATAGATATTACCATTCCAGTGATAAAAAAAAGACCAATCATTGCTATGAATGCAAGCGTCTGAAACAGAAAGTTGTCAGATCGAGTCCCATTGACAAAAGCAGACTTGTTATAGATAACTAATTCAAATTCACCAAAAACTAGGATTAAAAAGTGTAAAGTTTTGTCTGTTATTTACAGAGGGAAGAAGCTAGACGAAGGGAAGAAGTTACCCTTCTTTGCCGCAGGAGTAAGCTGTGTGATCCATCCGGTAAGTTGCTTGAAACTTGTAATAACAGTGTTTGTTATATCGCGTGCTTGGATACTATAATTTCATTTAGGACAGCCATGTGTTTGGACTCATTTCGCGCATGTTTCGCGCGGAACCTGTCGGGCTCGCTAGCTTTGCACAACGAGAAGTTGAGAACTTCAACGTCAAACGCTCAGTCTCATGTCCCATTGGACATCAAAATCTGCGGTAATCAAAGGTTACATTGCAGTGATATAGTTATTTCTGACACAGTAAGTTACAACCGTGTATCTTAATTTGAGTTATTGGCATGATATAACAAAACAATTGTTGACTGCTGTGATGTGGGATATGACGTTTTTAACCCCCTCGTGGACGCAAAGCATGCATCCCTAAGTAATCTATATGCAGGAATTATAGATGGTGTGTGTGACCTACTCATCACAGGCTAACACATTGGTGCACCAGACCTTGCACAGTGCACACACATTGCATTGAATACACCAAACTTCGCTCAAATCCAAAGTATCAGGAAAAGGTTGTAAATCATTAGTGTAGTCATGGATCACAGCCTACAAATGCTTGGCATGGAATAACTTGTTAACCCATAATATGGATGCTGCCTTGCAGCTTTTACTTTGTTATACTGAACAGAAATGTCAAAAAATGGAATAAAAAAAAGTTAAGGGAAAAAGTTAATCACATGATAATATTTACAAGATCTACATTTAACAAGTTTTTGCATGAGCATCCAATTCACGTGGCATGGCCACAACACGGTAGTCTGAGTATCACTCGTTATACACAGAGCCTTCTCCTGTCTAACGTCTGATATGTCAAAGCATTCAGATTTATGCAAGCCGCGCGCCAGCCAATCGGAGTTGACCTTACTAAATCGCACGTGACGTCATTTCATACCAAAATCAGGACTAACGCTGTGATTGGTCAATTCGAATGCAGCGCTTTGTAATACAACATGATACCGAGTGCCACGCGCCGTGATTGGTCAATTTGAATGCAGCGTTTTGTAATACAACAACAGCCGGGGGCGCATTCGTGTAACATGATACCGAGCGCCGCACGCCGTGAAATTTTTTTTAAAAATCCATGTCTATGATGCGCAACGGGTGAATGACCGAAGACCCAATAGACCTATAGAAAGCGCCTGCTGATTGGTCAAAATCTAGGAAGTCAAGAGGCGGGGTCTTGCCTAATTAATCAGCAAATCTGTTCGCGCATAATAGACTAATAACAGGGTTGCATGCTTTAAAATGTTGCTTACATGTTTAAAGTGATTTTATGCATAAGCCAGAGATGAAAAGTTCCACTTCCTGTGGTTCTTCTCCAAAAGTCCAACAGCTGTTTGTGCATTATTGTATTGGATTCAGGATTTCATTGCCTATAGTCACTGTTGAATTTAACCCTAACCCTGCTGAATCCAGCTGGATCCAACTATATCATAAACCTGTTGGAGCCTGTTGGATCGAGCAGTAAACCCCTTGTACAAATGTACATGTACATACAGAGTCAGATTCCGTTGGGTACTGATAAATAACACCAAGTTGGACTCTGTAGGATCCAGCAGACCACTAAATCTGTTGGATTGAGCAAGAAGTAACCATTGGACTCTGTTTGATTTAGCATAGTCCTGAGGAACCCTTGGAGGGGTTAGATTAGTTAATGGAATGTTTGATATCCCAGGTTTTGTTCATGTACTTGCAATAGACCACTCCAGTAAGTCACGAATAATGCACGCGTGGTGCTTCTCTCCAATAATGCCACACTACGTGTTCCAGCCCCGTGCATCATATACTGTACATGATACATGTTGGACATTAATAAGTACAATGTATAATAATAATGCCGTACTTATATAGCACTTTATACCAAGGTTCTGAAAGAGCATCACAATTGTTACCCCTGTTCATCAGGCTATGAGACCAGTTTTTGCTGGAGCTAGAGATCAGTGCATTCTGATCTCTACCTTCACAGCACTGTGTTCCCTTCAGTGCATTCTGGTCTCTGTACCTTCATAGGTACCCATTTATACTATGGGGTGGAGAGAGGCAATTGTAGTGAAGTGTCTTGCCCTAGACCACAGTTAAACACTGTAACCATTGGACCACAGCGCTCCACTATGATTGGTCAAATAATACGAGGCTTATTAGATAGGTCACTTGGTTTATGGCAAAGTGTTAGATTCAGGAAGCCGCAATTTGCCCGGAGATATCTGTCTAAGCATCACTTTTAGGCAGACACCACTCTACAGCTCGGTCACTACCATTCAGCATAGTAAGATCCCTAGCATTCTTACGATACATAAATGGTACCAGCTTGTTCAGCCCCGTCCTAAAGTTCCGCATTTCCATACCGTGGTACTTCTTCACACTCATGAATGTAGGAACAGCTTGGAGTGCTGGAATCCCGCGTCCCCCTGCCATGATATCTGCTCGGAGATATTGGAGAAAGTAGGAGGTGTTGTCATCATACTCGCGTAAGTTGCTGGGGCCGATGGGGTAGTTTTTTTGGGTATCTTCACTGAATGCAGCACCACATTCCAAAAACTTTAGGGACATTTGCTGAAGCATGAACGCAAGTTTTGTATCAGCTTTCGGTATATATCTGAGCCAATTCATGTATTCGGTCACAATCACCGAGAAGCTGTTAGTAGGATTGAGAAGGGGCTTGAATGTGTGGAGAAGCCTAGGAATGCCGACATAGTCAGCGATGTTGGAGGTGAAGATTCGGTCATAGTTGGACATGTTCATGGTTTGATGGTGATTCGGAAAGTCCAGACAGTTTGCCAAGGAGACCTGGATAAGGAGCCTTCCTTGAAGGATGAGACTCTTGACTTTCTGGAGGAGGTTTGTCACGTACTTGTGGTACATCACCATCGGAGAGGAGTGGGATCCAGGGGTGTGCTCTCTTACTCTCAAACAGTCCCACTCTTGGTAGGGAAATGCATCTGCGTTTACACTGTAAACAAACTTGGACTCTTCAGGTGCTTTAAACGTATGCAGAGGCTCACGTCCAGTTAGCGTTGGGTTGTCAAATGGCATATTCTTTTCTTTTCTTTCAGTTGAAAAAAACAGTGCATGGTCGAACCACTCTTGTACCTTCTTCTTCTCAGTGCCAGATAACTCTTTGAAATAGGAAGATAAGTTTTGTGCCATGTTTGCCTTCTGAAATTGCTCCATCCTTTGTTGCCTCAGATTGATTGAGGTGCTTTTGTGACGTTGACATTCTAATGATCGCCACTTTCCCCAAATCCCACACAGAGAGCTCAGGTCTTCATCCAGGACAGTTACCAGTCCTTTGGTGACATCATGGAGTTGCTGAGCACTCATCTGAATGAGTTCTTCCAAGGTTGTCTTGATCAAGTCGTAGTCTCTCTTAGAAATATGGAGTGAGTACCAGATGGTTGTCAAACTGGAAGCAATGTAGTCAGTGTCTGCAAAGCGGACAAACATGAAGAGAAACAGCACATTCCTTGCCATGACAAAAGGGTCGTAGTCATTGAGGGTGATGTGAAGTTTTCCCTGGTACTCATCAGGCAAGGAAGCAGCCGTCAAAACTGTATTGCGCAGGTTTCCACAACCAACTGACAAAATATGGTAATCTCTCGCCAAGCTGTCTTCCTTCACTCCAGATGTTAATTCATTGCCCTCAAGTTGAAGGAAGTCTTCGGCAAAGATGTTACCAATGTAATAGGGAAAGTCCTTGCTTGTCTTGTCTGTGGCAGAGCGCTGCTGGTAGAGCTTCTCTGCCAATGTTTTCATTGAATCTTTAGCTTCCTTACATGATGGCTTGTGGGATTTCCAGTCAGTCAGTTGGCATTCCTTGCTGCAGTACCATTCATTACTGCAACTGGCACACTGCACGAAAAAGAAAATGCACGTTTACTTCTTTCCTACTTCTCTAAAAATATTTTGTCATTTGGACACAACCATTTGCATCAGATCAGGTTGTTCCTGCAGATGAGTGTAACATGGATTTTTTGGGGTCTGATTATAAACCCTAACCATGCCTTCTCACTAAAATCCTAACTGCAGGTTTTTGTTATTTAACTAACTGACTGTGCAATTGAGTACCTTATGTAGAATTTTAACTGTGTTTTGAACATAAACTGGTATCGTCTTCAGAAGGTAACATTTTGAGTCAATCTATTGACTCAACCAATGCAGAGAGTTAAAGGAAAGATGCAGTGGAAATTCAGCTCATCTTGTTTTCATGCACATTACTATGTGCTGCAACAATACATACAAGATCTTAATACTCATTTTCATTGGAAGTGACAAGAAAGTGGTAGTTTTTCAATTATTAGCAAATCCTTTCATCAATACATGCAAGAGGGCGCTATTTTGCTTTTGTCACACAAGGTACTCCTTGTCAAAAGTGCATAATTATGAACACTACAAAAATTAGTCCTTCAAAATTACCCACAAAAAGTTTTGAAGAAATATTGGCCACTACTATTGGCCAAGCAAGCTGTTTAACATGAACAACAAGTAAAAAATGGAACTTCAAGAAAAAAAGGTATGTACCCAAAGCTATGTACACAAAGCTATGAAGACACTACTGTTTTGCCATGAATGACATCATGCTTTGGCTCATGAATATGGAAATTTTCATAAAAACTAAAATGTTGAAATTTCTCCCTTTCACTGCTACAAAGGAGGTGGAAAGTCACAGTCACATGGCAAGAAAGCTGTTTTAAATGTATTTAAGTCATAAAAATCCTATTGCATGTTTCCTGTAAGGGTGTAATGGCTGTGCTATTTGGGACTTCACCCCAAAAATATATATTTTTTTACATTGCTAACTTCCTAGCAATACAACAATTATTTACTTTTGAATGAGACATCAAACCTAAAATTCACCCACATGGTTATGGAATTATTACTGTCCAAATTTGAAATTATTTGCAGGCAGAAAGTAATTGAGTTCTCTCTGGGTGGACTGGTCCTCACCACCCTATCACAGTGGATGTTGTAGGGACAACAAGGAACCCGTCTACTTGAGGGATAGATCTGTATTGTATTCAAAGAGCATAATATAAAAGGCCTTTTAGGGGGGGGGGGGAGGGATGCACATGCTTAAAATAAAAATTTGCGTTTTCTTTACTAACAGAAAGAACACAATTTGAAAATCAGTGGGAGAAAGATAGCGAATTTGTTGAAGAGCATTGACTAATGACAAACATCTGTAATACTGTAGTTTGTAATTAGTAGTCATCAGTAATTTGCTTCATTGATTTCTCATATTTTGATAAAATACAAGAAAAGTACTTAGGGTTAAAGCCAAGCACAGGTTTGAGCAGATTCTGTAGTGTTCCTAGCACAAATGGGTTTGAGTTTCTGAAAAGAATTTATACGTTCACACACACATCATACCTCTTTCATATTAGGAGGAGTTTTTCCACAATTGCCGCATCGTCGTGGCCCAAACATCCGGCACTCAACAGAGCTGTGTCTAGCCGTATCGTTGTCCAGGCATGGTGTGCTGCAGTAGACAGCCACATTGCAGCGGCTGCAAGGCACAGTCAGCTGTGGAAGAACTTTCTCACATCTCCAGCAATGTCCACGCTGTACATCCATGATGAGCACTCAAACAGAAATACATGCGTTTTAGACAGACTTGACATCAAGTCGGTAATTGGCCGGGCTTAGTTCGCCTGCGCCGCCACTGGCATACCACTGGCATACCACTGGCATTGACACTACGTTACGCTGCATACATAACCCAGTGTTACGTGTAACGAGGGTAATATTTTAATGAAAATAGTTAAAAAAAGAAAAAAGAAATGTGTTTGTGGACAAACACTAAGCTGTTTGGACCATTTTATTAATGACTGCCGTAAAGGAGTTTCATCCAGGTCGAATGAACATGTACATGCATTTCTATACAAAAAGTGTCCATCCTATGTAAAAAAAAAAAAAAAAAAAAAAAAAATTTTCATGACGTCATGATGACGGCACACATTTTTTGAAATTTTCTGTATCTATCTACGATCTAACAAACCTTTTGCAAAAAAGAATTTCGAATTAACCACGTTCCATTGATGAGATATGAGTAAAAGGTCCAAAAATTGAATAATTCATATAAAATCACATGATGATGTCATCGTGACGTCACTGCAATTTTTGTCTATAACGCTTCCTGGAATATCTGTATATCGAGATTGAACCCAATCGGACCACAGGTTCTCTGGATATAGTGACTTAAACTATGCAGTTTTAGGATGACGTCATGTGACACGTGATGACGTCATGATGACGTCATGATTCGGCATACATCTTCAGATGGTTGTATAAGTGTGTGCCGGGTTTGAAGTCGATCGGACTGTATTTTATATAATTTTTGCAAAATTTGAAGAAAATATTAAAATTTGACAAATTCATAAAAAATCAGATGATGACGTCATGATGACATCACTTCAGATTTTGAATGCTGTTATCTATACCTACCTACCCACCAAGTTTCATAACGATCGGACATACCCTTATATGTGAAACAAAAAATCACGTTTTTGATGACGTCATCATGACGTCACACATTTTACGAAATTTTGTGCATCTATCTATGACCTAACAAACCTGTTACAAAAAGAATTTCGAATTTACCACATTCCGTTTATGAGAATGAGTAAAAGGTCCAAAAATTGAATAATTTAAATAAAATCACACGATGACGTCATCATGACGTCACTGCAATTTTTGTCTATAACACGTCCCGGAATACTTGCATACCAAGTTTGAACCAAATCGAACTTCCGGTTCTGTAGATATAGGGCCTTAAAGTATGCTCTTTTAGGATGACGTCACGTGACACGTGATGACGTCAGCATGAAGAAAAGTTTCGGCATACATCCTCAGATGGTGGTCTTAGTGTGTGCCAGGTTTGAAGTCGATCAGATTTGAAAAAGGTCCAAAAGTGCGTTGTAGAACGAAAACACGTGTTCTATGGGAAAAAAAGTGGAAGAAAAAAAAAAAGAGAGAGAAAAAAAAATAACAAAAACAAGAGCTGTTTCGGTGTGTACACCGAAACAGCTAAAAAAAAAGAAATGTGCATTGATCAAGCGAGAGAAAGCTATCCTCACTCTAATAATGGATGCTTCCTCAGCAATACACAGTCCTCAGCAAGGACTAGCCCTCAAGTCTAGTTTTAAAGAGATATGCTTTGCACTTCCTATACCCCATAACCACAGGTACAAAAAAAAAACAAAAAACCACAAAATAGTTTAACGCCTACATGATGAAAAAAAACCCACTCAAACAAACTGAACAAACGTGAATTATAACACTTTACTATTATCAGAACTTTTCACAGGATTGAAAAGAATAAAACCCTATTCCGACAGAAAATACCTGATGGCACACCAACAGCCTGTAATTCCCTGTGCTGGAAAAAAGTATGATCCCTTGATGACAAACTGGATTTCTATCTGTACCTTCCCTGAAAATAAAAATCATTTTTCCTTTTTTCAATTTTCACTTAATACTCACCCAAAATATTCCTGGTTTACAGTTGAAAAGCTGTGTATGGCCTGTTAGCGTGCAAACAGAGTGATGATAGACGTTTTCATCAGTTGCTGTAGTATTGCAACAGTGAAGAACAGCGCGCCTTCAATCCATTATATATCGTGTATTTTAGTGACAATCACGTGATGCTTATTGCTCATAGCCAGGAAAAACTGGAATTTCCCCCGTGAGAAATACCATTCAGGCTTTGTTTGCAGTGTCCAACAAGCGCAACATACTGGTTCTGCTATGTAAATTTGCATTTCCAGTGCAAATACAATATGAAGTGGTTTCAGAGGTTCACATTTCATTCGGTTTACAGTGTAATATGTGAACATTTATAATGTACAATGAATTTAAGCTTCACAATTAGTCACAAAATTTGAAAATAAATAATGTTGTTCTTATGATGTATGTTTCTGCCAAAACAGAATGGAAATTCAGTTCTACATTGATAGGACTGGCGAACATGTACAAGGAAACATTAAAAAAAAACCAATCTATGGCCATGTACAAAATAGGAATCATGAGCTATTAAAAGTATATCAGCAGCAATTGACAAAGACATCAGTAGCAATTGACAAAGACATAGGGATTAGGGACTGAGTTCTAGACAGATGATTCAGACATGGCCTATATATATGCATTACCTGAACAAGATGACAACAGTTTTTACTTCCATACAATTTTCATGTGACACATACTTTCAGATATTTCTTGTGATGAAATATACAGCAATTTGAAAACAATTGAGTGAATAGAGCCTACGAATAGATGTCCCTTATTGTTAACATAATCATTTGAGTGATACCATGTGAGCACTTATACATGTACCGGTACATTACATTAGGACTATCATGTAAATTGCATTGAATATCTTCTAAAATGAACTTAAAGAAGTAAGTGGTTTTATAGTTTCACCAAAGGCATCATGGTTGTGCATTATCCAGCATTACAAATTGGTTAAAACTAAGAAATTTAATATTTTTCTTTTGACAATGAACTTCCTCTTTGAAATGCTTGCCTCTAGACATCACATGACTATATGACATAACATGTATCTTATCGTGTATTTTACATTTATGTACAAATTGGTATCAGGGAGGGAGGTTTTCCTGGTGGAAAAAAACAATAAATTTCAAATTATACATGCATTACCATTTAAAACATGTAAACTGTTCACAGAATCCCTTTGATGTTTTCATGAATTCACTTGGAGAAGCCCCCGGACCCCTTGTTCAGGGACTTTGTATCATCACAAGCATGGCAATCTAAGGCCAAAAAAAAAATAGTCGGTCTCTGGTCAGACCAAAGTTCCGGAATTGATGCGGCGACGCGTTTTGTTTGTTTGTTTTTTTTTTGGCTTTTTTTTTTTCCAAGCTTGGATTGTACAGTCAAGGTGGGTACTATTTTTTGTTTTTGTGTCCTCATATACATTGGTGTCCTCCATAATTTGCCTTTGTGCCCTCCATGATTTGCCTTGGTGCAATTTCCCCATTCCTTGGTACAAACATTTGAGGAGGTGCGGCAATAGAGGGCGCTGTTGTAGCTACCGCGGACAATTTTAAGGAAAAAAAAAGGTTTACGCGCATGATTAAAATTGATACGCGCGCTGACCAGAGAACGACTATTTTTTTTTGGCCTAATACTAATAAACTTTTGTGTTTTTAACACTGAAGAGAATGCAGTGTATCCAACATGTGAATCAACAGGAGCCCACTTTAATGCGAATTATTCCTTGTGCAGCCTTTACATCATTACGAAAAGAAGTTGTCTGACAAAATCAATTGGAAAAGATTAATGGCTTTTAACTATTTACAGATTCTTGTGTTTTAAATTTTTTTTTTGTTTTTCATAAGCAGCCAAGCTACAATGTACATGAATCCGCATTCAGGTTTCAAAAGTATTTTGCAGAAAAGGTTTGTAAACAGAAAAAAAATCTTTGCCTTTTTGGGCAGTTTGTTGCCATGACATTGCCTTGCCCCATTCTAGTGCTTGAGCATTATTGGCTGAACAGAATTAGGTCCAATTCCATGGAGCTTCTAGGTAAAAACAAAAATAAATGGGGAGCCGCCAACATAGGGCTGGATAGCTCAGTCAGTAGAGCACCAGAACGGTAATCCGGAGGTTGCAGGTTCAAACCCCACTCCAGTCAATTTCTTTGTTCAACCTTAAATAAAAACGGAACAATTCGCTGAAAGCCACTTGTATGTAACATTTGTAAAATTTCATCAAGTTTCTTTATGTAATAGATGTGATATATATTCTTTCAACTTGAGATTCATTCAGGTTGCAGTGAACTAAGTTGCCTTTGGCAGTTGCCTAGTGTGTCCTGACCCTTCAGGGGCGGATCCAGGAATTTTTTTGGGGGGGGGGTTCCCATCAGCAAAAAATTCTAAAATGTAGACAGGTTTTTTTTCTCTGCATACTTGGGGGGTTTCAAATTATTTTTTAGGAATTTTTATGAAAAATAATTTTGACAGAGCTGGTCTTTTTTTAACCCCCCTCCGGATCCGGGCCTGCCCTTATTGTCTAGGCACTACTTTGAGGCAGACACCACTCCACAGCTCTGTCATACCCATTCATCATATTAAGAATTCTTGCATTCAGCCTATACTGGAATGGAACCAGTTTGTTCTGTCCTTTCCGGAAGTCACGCATTTGGAGGCCGTGATATTTCTTGACACTCTCAAATGATGGTACTTCCTTGAGTGATGGTATGCCAAGCCCCCCTGCCATGATATGTGCTCGGAGATACTGGAGAAAGTGAGAGGTATTGTTATAATACTCTCGTACGGTGTTAAAGCCATCGGTATATGAACCGGTGTCTAAAATACACAAATCTTTACATCTCTGAAACACATTAGAAAAAAGAAAAGATTCAATGTTTGCTCCTGGGACTAACTCGACCCGATTCAGAGTATTAGAGACAATCGTTGAGTAGCTGTTGGTAACATTAAGAAGTTGTTTGAATGTCTGTAGGAGTTTAGCGACTCCATCATAGTCAGCAAGGTTGGAGGTGAAGATTCTGTCATAGTTGGGCATGCTCCAGGTTTGATGATGATTAGGAAAATCCAGACTGTTGGCCAAGGAGATATGGATAAGGAGCCTTCCTTGAAGGATGAGACTCTTTACTTTCTAAAGGAGGTTTGTCACATACTGGTGGCACATATATAACCATCGGGGTGGAGTGGGATCCAGGAGTGTGCTCTCTTACTCTTAAGCCTGGTTCATACTTCACGCAAAAGCGAAGCGAAATTTGTGACGTCAACAATACATTCAAAGCGCATCCACATTGTTGACAACATGAATTTCGCTTCCCACAAGCTTTCGCGTGAAGTATGAACCGGGCTTTAGGCAGTCCCACTCTGCAAAAGGAAATGATGACTCTTTGATGCAGTAGATGAATTCACAGTCTTCTGGGGCCGTTATATCAGAAACATTTTCAAACTTTGCACCGCGTCCAGTAAGTGTTGGGTTGTCAAATGATTTGGAATAATTACCTCTCACTTTCTGCCTTCAAGAAAGGCACAAAGTATGAAGCATTATTGGCTCTCTTGAACTCTAACTTGAATTTTTCTCACTTTTTGAGAGGTACCACTCTACGGCTCTGTCGCTCCCATTTGCCATGGAAAGATCTCGTGCATTTACACGATACTTGAAGGAGACAAATTTATTGAATGCCATGATATGTCTTTACGGTGGCAAGAGACGGTACATCTTTGAGTGGCAGTATTCCAAGGCCACCCGCCATGATGTCTGCACGGAGGTATTGCAGAAACTGAGGAGTGTTGTTGAAATAGTCTCTCGTATTGTTGTGGCCAGGAAACCTCAATCTGTTGCAGTCGATAGAATATGCATCGTTGCACCCTTGAATCCGCTGGCGTGGACACAACATGGAATCAGTGTCGGCTTCTGGTATGAATTTGAACCAGTTCATGGTCTCAGTGATAATCACTGAGAATCTGTTACTGGCATTAAGAAGAGGCTTGAATGTCTGGAGAAGCCTAGCAAACCCAACTATGTCAGCAAGATTTGAGGTGATAATGCGATCATAGTTGGTCATCTGTAAGGATTGGTGCCGCTCAGGAAAGACGAGACAGTTGTCCAAGAACACATGGACAAACAGCCTTTCTTGGACAATCAGCCTCCTGACTTTTTTGAGAAGGTTTGTCACGTAACTGTGATACATTTCCATCGGAGACGTGAAGGATCCAGAACTGCACTCTCTAACTCTCAAGCAATCCCACTCTCTAAACGGAAATGCATCTGTGTTGATGCAGTAAACAAACTGGTGATCTTTTGGGACTATCGGTGTGAAATCATCATACCAACAATCAGAATCTCTTCCAGTGAGAGTGGGATTGTCAAAAGGCACAGCAGATTTTCGTGATTCAGATGGCAGAAACAAAGCATGGTCAAACCACTCTCTCATCCTTTTCTTCTCATTTTTGGATAACTCTGCCAGATAAAAAGGCACTCCCTCCCTCATTAATATGTCTGTCCCAAAGAGTGCATTCCGTTGTTGTTTGAGATTGACTGAGGTCTTTTGGTCTCGTTGGCATTCCAATGATTGCCATCTTTCCCAAACTTGACACAGACACCTAAGATCTTTATCCAGGACACTCACCAGTCCTTTGGTGGTGTCGTGGAGTTGCTGAGCACTCATCTGAGTGAGTTCATCCAAGCTTGTCTTGATCAAATCGTACTCTCTCTTGTAAATATGGAGTGAGTACCAGATGGTTGTCAAACTGGAAGCAATGTAGTCAGTGTCTGCGAAGCGGACCAACATGAAGAGAAACAGCACATTCCTTGCCATGACAAAAGGGTCGAAATCATCGAGGCTGATGTAAAGTTTTCCATGGTACTCATCAGGCAAGGAAGCAGCTGTCAAAACTGTGTTGCGTAGATTTCCACAACCAGCAGACAAAATATGGTAATCTCTTGCCAAACTGTTTTCCTTCACTCCAGATGTCAATTCATTGTCCTCAAGTTGAAGGAAATCTCTGGCAAAAATGTTACCAATGTAATAGGGAAAGTTGCCGCTTATCTTGTATGTTGCAGAGCGTTGCTGGCAAAGTGCCTTTGCTGCCCTTTTCATTGAATCTTCAGCTGCCCTGCATGATGGCTTGTGGGATTTCCAGTCAGTTCGTTGGCATTCCTTGCTGCAGTACCATGCATTACTGCAACCCGCACACTGAAAAAGAGAAAAGGCATGTTTACTTCATGCCTAATTCACAAATGTATTGTGTCATTCAGACACACAACCGTTTGCATATCAGGTCAGGTTGTCCCTGCAGATGTGTATAATGCGGATTTGTATCAGTTTAAATAATAATAATAATAACAGAAATTTATACCGCGCCATTATCCACCATAAATGACGCTCATGGCGCAAACAAAAATTATATCAAATCAGAAATAACAAAACAATTAAATTTAACTAAACAAGAATATTCTGAGTGGTCTGAAACAAATAGGTCTTTAGGGCAACTTTACATGTAAATTCAGAAAGCGATGAGATATAGCAAGGGAAACTGCATCCTGGAATACGCCCAATTGGGCTACAAAACGCATTTTAAATGAAATGATGTTAGTCGGAAAAACATTTAAGAGTTGGATATAAACATCCACCCAACTATTCTTTAAAAACTGGGTGCTTTTGTAGTATTCTTGTAATGTTCGTGTGAGAATGACTTTCGTGGTCCACTTTTGCGACCCCAAAAAGTCGGGCTGTTCGTGCTAGTTACGATTCCAGCCGTAAGGGTTCGCCTTTTGCTGACGTGTAAGAAATGACATTTTGTGCATTGGTGATTGGTCACCGCTGTTCGTGAGTACGCTGCTGTGTACGTGTGTAACACTAGACACACACAATGTGTATTGAACATTGTATGAAAACGACAGGAAACACGTATCATACTCCGTCGTATCCTATGTAAACAATTGGGGGTTTTTGTTGTCTTTTCTCGGGAACGGTAAGACATTAGGTTGGTTTCCTTCCAACCAGATGTTTGAAACAGGATAAGTAAACGATCAAAAACATGAAATTTTCGGGGATTTCAGGATGCAGTGCCCCTTTAATCCTAACCATGCCTCCCTGCCTCCCCACTAAAATCCAAAGTATATTTTTTTGGTATTTTGTTTTTACTGGACTCATGGACTGTGGAATAAATTGCCTTTTTTGTAGAAATTAACTATGTCGTTAACATTAAGCTAATTTCATCTCCAGTAAGTGACATGTCGAGTCAGCATATTGGTGACAGCATATTGGTCAGTGATATTTGCAAGTTCAACCCCCCCCCCCCCCCCCCCCCCCGGAAAAAAAATAATAGGGACCAGAAACCAGTCTTCTTGCTTGGTGGATCTGTATTATGTCCAATTGGAGCATTATATCTACATACAAAATAAAAAGCTTTTTTTCTGAGGGATGCAGTTGCCTAAAATTTAAAATTGGGTTTTCTTCGTATGAACAAAAAAAAGGAGTTTATACTGAGTTTATTAAATGCATTGCCGATACATCTTTTCTTCCATAAGTTGTAATCAGTAGTTGTCATTAACTTTCTTCAGTGGAGCTTGATTTCCCTTGTTATGATAAAATACAAGAAAATTACTTATGTACGTTATTATATAGGCAGGCATAGGTTTGTGCAGATTTGGTGTTGTTCGTAGCACAAATGCTTGCGGGTTTGAATTAATATGAAAAGTATTGATAAGTTCACACACATCATACCTCTTTCATATTAGGAGCAGTTTTTTCACAATTGCCGCACCGTTGTGGCCCAAACATCTGGCACTCAACAGAGCTGTGTCTGGCCGTGTCGTTGCCCAGGCATGGTGTGCTGCAGTAGACAGCGATATTGCAGCGGCTGCAAGGCACAGTCAGCTGTGGAAGAACTTTCTCACATCTCCAGCAATGTCCACGCTGTACATCCATGATGAGCGCTGAAACAGAAAATGTATTTACATACATGCATTTGTTTTAAATAGAATTGACAACAAGTCGGTAATTGGCCGGGTTTAGTTTGGCTGCGCTGCCACTGGCATACCACTAGCATTGGCACTACATGTTACATGGCATACTGTCGACATCCCAGTGTTACGTGTGACTTTACGATACATGCAGGAACGTCGTATATCCTCGGCCCCAATATGCATGCGTCGATTCCAATTACTGACTTGAATAATCTGTACCAGGGTTTTAGCAGCTTATGGGACTTGCTACCAAAATTGGACGGCGCACTTTGATTGGCTAAGAATCAGGAGGGTATGAATACTTGGCATGTACTGGTGTCGATGCACATGTATGTACATGTACGGGGGGCGCCTGATAGTCCAAAGGTCTGATAGTCCGAAGGTTCTTTAGTCCGAAGGTTCGATAGTCCGAATGCACAAAATTTCCATAAGAGGGGGTTCGTTAGTCTGAAAATGAAATAAGGTTCGGTAATCCGAACATTTGATGCAATAGTCCGAAGGTTCATTATTCTGAAGGTTTATTAATCCGAAGGTTCATTTCTCCGAAGGCTCGTTAATTAGTCCAAATTTAGAATAAGGTTAATTAGTCCGAAGGTTCAATAGTCCGAAATGAAAATAAGGTTAAAAAATACAGAAAAAAAGAAGAAGCGTGCTATCCCCACTCTAATAATGGATGCTTCCTCAGCAATACGCAGTCCTCAGCAAGGACTAGCCCTGAAGTCTAGTTTTAAAGAGATATGCTTTTCACTTCCTATACCCCATAACCACAGGTACAGAAAAAAAAAGTAAACCACAAAATAGTTTAACGCCTACATGATGAAAAAAAACCCACTCAAACAAACTGAACAAATGTGAATTATAACACTATACTATTATCAGAACTTTTCACAGGATTGAAAAGAATAAAACCCTATTCCGACAGGAAATACCTGATGGCACACCAACAGCCTGTAATTCCCTGTGCTGGAAAAAAGTATGATCCCTTGATGACAAACTGGATTTCTATACCTTCCCTGAAAATAAAAATCTCATTTTTTTTTTTTTTTTTCAATTTTCACTTAATACTCACCCAAAATATTCCTGGTTTACTGTTGAAAAGTTGTGTATGGCCTGTTAGCGTGCAAACAGAGTGATGATAAACGTTTTCATCAGTTACTGTAGTGTTGCAACAGTGAAGAACAGCGCGCCTTCAGTCCACTACTTATATCGTGTATTTTAGTGATGATCACGTGATGCTTATTGCTCATAGCCTTGGGAAAAATGTGATTTCCCCCTGTGAGAAATACCATTCAGGCTTTGTTTGCAGTGTCCAACAAGCGCAACATATGGTTCTGCTATGTAAATTTGCATAACAGTGCTTTTTGGCGACTCCCACCACTTAATCGCCCTTCATTCTAATTATACCCATTTTCCATGTATTGTTATTTGATTGAGTGGAAATAAAGTATTGATTGATTGATTGATTGAAATACAATATGTAGTGGTTTCAGAGGTTCACATTTCATTGGGTTTACAGTGTAATATGTGAACATTTATAATGTACAATGAATTAAAGCTTCACTTTAGTCACAAATTTTGAAAAAAATAATAGTGTAATTCTTATGATGTATTCTGCCAAAACAGAAGGGAAATTCAGTTCTACATTGATAGGGCTGGAGTACATGTACAAGGAAACATTAAACAAAAAAACAATCTATAGCCATGTACAAAATTGGAATCATGAGCTATTAAAAGTATATCAGTAGCAATTGACAAAGACATAGGGATTAGGGACTGAGTTCTAGACAGATGATTCAGACATGGCCCTGAACAAGATGACAACAGTTTTTGCTTCCATACAATTTACATGTGACACATACTTTCAGATATTTCTTGTGATGAAATATACAGCAATTTGAAAACAATTGAGTCGTTGGAGCCTACGAATAGATGTTCCTTATTGATAACATAATCATTTGAGTGATACTGTGTGATTTCATTACATTAAGATATTTCTAACATAGAGGTGCAAGACTATGATGTAAATGGCATTGAATATCTTCTAAAATGAACTTAAAGAAACTGGTTTTATACATGAAGTTTCACTACAGGCACCGTGGTTGTACATTATCCAGCATTATGGTTAAAACTAAGAAATTAAAGATTTCTTTTGACAATGCACTTCCTCTTTGAAAGGTTTGCCTCTAGAGATCAGGCCAATGTTGCCAATTGCCTTGCCCTATTCTAGTGCTTGAGCATTATTGGCTGAACAGAATTAGGTCCGATTCCATGGAGCTTTTAGGTAAAAAAAAAAGAAACAAATACATTGACTAAAATATGGAGCCACCAATGTAGGGCTGGAGAGCTAAGTTGGTAGAGCACCCGAACGGTAATCCGGAGGTTGCAGGTTCAAACCCTGCTCCCATGCGATTTCTTTGTTCAGCCTTAAATAAAAACAAAACAATTGGCTAAAAGCCACTTGTATTAAAAGTAAAATCTCATCTAGTTTCTCTCAGTAAGGCCAAAAAAAAAGAAATATTCGGTCTCTGGTCAGACCAAAGTTCCGGAATTGACGCGGCCACGCGGCTTTTTTTTTTTCTTCAAGCCTTGGATTGTACAGACAAGGTGGGTACTATTTTGCTTTTTTGGTGTCCTCGTGTACATTGGTGTCCTCCATAATTTGCCTTGGTGCTTTCGATCATTTGCCTTGGTGCAATTTTCCATTCCTTGGTGCTCTATGGTAAAAAAAATTGAGGAAGTGCGGAAGTAGAGTGCGCTGTTGGAGCTACCGCGGAACATTTTGGAAATTTTTTTTTTTTGGCCTAATAGATGTGATATATATTCTTTCAACTTGAGATTCATTCAGCTTGCAGTGAATTTATTTGCCTTGGCAGTTACCTAGTGTGTCCTGATCCTTACTGTTTAAGCACTACTTTGAGGCAGATACCACTCCACAGCTCTGTCGTACCCATTCATCATATTAAGAATTCTTGCATTCAGCCTATACTGGAATGGAACCAGTTTGTTCTGTCCCTTCCGGAAGTCACGCATTTGGAGGCCGTGATATTTCTTGACACTCTCAAATGATGGTACTTCCTTGAGTGATGGTATGCCAAGTCCCCCTGCCATGATATGTGCTCTGAGATACTGGAGAAAGTGAGAGGTATTGTTATAATACTCTCGTACAGTGCTAAAGCCATCGGTATATGAACCGATGTCTAAAATACACAAATCTTTACATCTCTGAAACACATTAGAAAAAAGAAAAGATTCAATGTTTGCTCCTGGGACTAACTCGACCCAATTCAGAGTATTAGTGACAATCGTCGAGTAGCTGTTGGGCAACATTAAGAAGTGGTTTGAATGTCTGTAGGAGTTTAGCGACTCCATCATAGTCAGCAAGGTTGGAGGTGAAGATTCTGTCATAGTTGGGCATGCTCCAGGTTTGATGGTGATTCGGAAAGTCCAGACAGTTGGCCAAGGAGACATGGATAAGGAGCCTTCCTTGAAGGATGAGACTCTTGACTTTCTAAAGGAGGTTTGTCACGTACTTGTGGTACATCACCATCGGAGAGGAGTGGGATCCGGGAGTGTTCTCTCTTACTCTCAAACAGTCCCACACCATGTAAGGAAATGTTGATACATCAACACAGTACACAAATGGGACATCTTCTGGTGGCGTTATATCTGGTGAAGCAGATGTTTTACCTTCTCTTCCAGTTAGTGTGGGATTTTCATAGGGCAGTTGTGTTTTTTGGGGACTTTCAGTTGGGACAAACAGTGCGTGGTCAAACCACTCCTTCATGAACTGTTTGTTCTCACGAGGCAGGCGATTAATGTACAGATTCACACCTGTTTTCACTGCTTTCGTCTCAAACAATGTCTTTCTCTGTTTTCTGAGATTAATGGAGGATCTCTTTTCTCGTAGACATTCCAATGATTGCCATCCTTTCCAAACCTGACACAGATACCTAAGATCTTCATCCAGGACAGTCACCAGTCCTTTGGTGGCATCGTGGAGTTGCTGAGCACTCATCTGAATGAGTTCATCCAAGCTTGTCTTGATCAAGTCGTACTCTCTCTTGGAAATATGGAGTGAGTACCATATGGTTGTCAAACTGGAAGCAATGTAGTCAGTGTCTGCGAAGTGGACCAACATGAAGAGAAACAGCACATTCCTTGCCATGACAAAAGGGTCAAAATCATTGAGAGTTATGTGAAGTTTTCCCTGGTACTCCTCAGGCAAGGAAGCAGCTGTCATCACTGTATTGCGCAAGTCTCCACAACCAGCAGATAAGACGTGGAAGTCCCTGGTCAACTCTTCAGCTGCCCCCTCATTAGACAACTCATTATTGGCAAGTTTAAGAAAGTCTTCAGCTAGAGTGTTCCCAACATAGAAAGGTGGGCCGGCAAACCATGCGTTACATGCCAGTCTTGAATTTCCCTCCGCAAACTCGACAGACATCTGTTTTATTGTATGCTTTACTCGAATGCATGTCTCTTTATGGGCTGGCCAGTTGCTCAGTTGACACTCCTTGTTGCAGTACCATGCATTGTTGCAACCTGCACACTGAGAAAAAAAGTGACCAAAAAAGACATCTTAAAAATATATGAAGAGGAGTTCTTTCTGCCAGATTTGGCTTAAAACATTTAATTTCAGATCTAAGTTTGTAATCCCATTAACCCTCCTGCTATTTGAACAGTCACAGACAGTCAAAAAATCAATCCTCTTCCCCTGCCATGCCTTTTACACAGGCTGGTCACCAACAGCAACTGTACTAGTCAAATTCAGTCAACAGACAAAAACAGGCAAGTGGTAGGCACAGCTGGCATATCAATCACCTACAGTCAAAGGATAGCTGTATCAAGTGACATAAATAGTCACAGCCAGTCAATCCTGCTTTATGTAGGCTAACTGCTGAAAACAGACTTGCAAGGTCAACTTGGCACAGAATGTAAGTTTGCATAGTGTTCTTTGAGAAGAATCAGGCAATCTAGATTCCATTTTTCTTGAACAATTTCCTGAACCATGAATTTTCATTTTAAATCAAGTGGCATGAGAGAGATTATTGCTTTTGGTCATCAGAGTTATAGCCAAGTGCCCACAAGTCTGTCATAAGTCATTTCGTCTGAAATGACCATACTTGTCTTTTGATTCACTATACAGTCCTTACATGTACCGGTATGCTCATTGTTTTTAGGGTTATGTACATGTACATGTACATCAAACATGTATGAATTTCATGTTGAGGTTCATAATAATCTGTTGAGGTTCATGGTTATGAACCTTAGTGTGTATCTCACCTCACTCATATTTGGAGCTGTTCTCCCACATGAGGCACATGTTTTGAGCCCATAAAGTTGGCACTCTACACTTCTGTGTCTGGCTTTGTCTCTGTTTCGGCATGGCATGCTGCAGTACTTTGCCATCTTACAAAACTCGCAAGGCACTGAATGTTGAGGGAGGACCCTCTCACAACGCCAGCAGTGTCCAGGCTGAACGTCCATTGCTGCATCGACATGAATTGAGGAAAAAAGCAGTTTCTGTATTGTGGATTTAGTGAGATTTATACATGTATATGCCCTACCCATGTTATTCATCATATCTTAATATTTTCTCGTTTGCAGTTTTCAAGTTGTATACTGTTCAAATTTTCCATTTTTCACATTTTCTTCACTCTGGGAATTTTCTTTCGTGGGCAAAGGGGCAGGGGTTGTTGGGGAGGGAGGGAGGAGGCTTTTGAGCTCATATTTGCCCAAAAGATAAAAGATATGACTGCATTTTTGATCTGGCACACGGTACCCTGTGGAGACATGTGCATAATACTTAATAGGGAACAAAATATTGTATACCGGTACATCTCTACAGGGCAATTTCTGTAGGTGAATATGTCTCCACAAGGTTATCATGATAGATACATGGATTTTACTCAAAAACTAGGAATTTCCAAGGTGTGCTGATCGTCGCAAATTGAAGTATTTCATGTAAGGGATATTAAGTCCGAATTTCAGTCCAGGAAATTAATTCTGGTTAAATTAGGAGCATTTCGTAACTACACTTTCAAACTCTAAAATTTGAGTACACAAGAACAAAGAAATGACTCCACAAGGATACAAATTCCAGTATGTGTGTGGGGCTGCAAAAACAAATGTAATTTGAAAATTTTACAGCAAATGTTTCATAATTATGGGCAGATTTATTGTTTGATGCACATAAATGCACAATTCATGCACATGTAAACTTACCTGGTAGCAGAAATATTCCCTTGTGATGTTAAGTGCCAGGGTTGTTAAAGACCAACAAAGTATTTGTCAAGTTTTGTAGTCTTTAAATTCAGAAGTACTTGTACATAAAACCACTAGGTTTGATAATAGCAATGTCTGCCTGGTCTGATCTGGAGAAGAAACATGGCTGGACTGGAAGGATATAAGTCACTGCTGTACATTTAAGGGAATTCCCAAATGAGAAATACACGTAGGCCAGTTCTATTTATGGCTGTTCATCGATCGAGTGTTAATGTCATAAAATCGGTTCCTTTTTCAAGTAGCACTTTACATTGACTGAAGTATCCTGGTATCAAGTGATTGTCACGTGCAGTTAAATACTGAGATAAAACACCCTTATGGAAAACTAGTTCTGTTTTTTCACGTGTAGGACAATAAACTGAGAGAGAGGTTTTTACTGCTTTAATCTTACATTAAAGTTTCACGTAGGTAGAGCTGTACATCGGAACCTGGTACCCAAGTACCCGACCGGTTCCAGATTTTGAGATTGGGTACCCGTATCCAACTTTCCAAATTACTTATTGTCTTCTCAGACAATGACAAAGAAAGCTTTTGAATGTCATTTGTGGTGAATTTTCAAAATAACACCAGGCTACATGGGAAAACAAAAACAAAGTTAATGTTTCATGACACTCGCGAAATAGCTCACTGTACACACTTGTACCTTGCTGTATTGACACACTGATGTGGCAATATTGTCGTGCACATGTTTGTAAACAATCTGAGCAGCAACTTCTGAGATTTGAATTTTTGGCTGGTTTTCTTTAATGGGTACATGTACCTTGGTGCCTTTCAAGGTGACGGTAAGGTCATGGCCAAATTCTGCAAGATGCAATTCAGAAATCTGTCAGATTCATCAAAAATCTGCCAAATTCTCCAGAAGTACTCGAAGTACACTACTAAACACTGAAAATCACATGTACATGTAGATGTTGTATAGTATTGCCTTTATTAAGGTTCAAATTACTTTATTAACAATCTATAGTAAGGTAAAGATGTTACAAAATTGCGTAAATTTCAGGCTAAACGCGGTTGCGTGACGACAAAATCTGGTTCCCAGTGAACCTCAGCACCTAGACCAGCCAACCTGTCCCATTATGCAAGGGTTTGTTTGAAAAGATTGAAGCTTTTTTTTAAAACAAATGTACCATTATGCTTCAAATTTCCTATGTTTTTCTGTCAAATATCCACGTTTGCAGAATTCTGCCAGAAATCTGCCAAAAAAAATCCATTCTGTCAAATTTTCTGTTAAACCCAATTTTAACAAAAAATCTGTCAAAATTAGCCAAAAATCAGCTAAAACGGTCACCCTGGTAGCCTTGTTTTTTTTCAATTGGGTACCCGGCAGGCCTGTCGCCAAGGGGGGGGGGGGGGGGCTGGTGGGAAGGATTTAAGTCACTGCTGTATATTTGAGGAAATTCCCAAAAATGAAATACACATAGGGCAGTTCTATAATTTATTACTGTTCATCGATCGAGTGTTCATAAAATAGGTTCTGTTTATGGAGCTGAAGTATCACTTTGTGTACAAACTGAAGTATCCTGGCATCATGTGATTTTCACGTGCAGTTAGATACTAAGATAACACACCATTAGGGAAATTTAGTTCTCTTTATGACATGAAGAACAGTAAAATCAGAGAGCGGTTTTACTGTATTGATCTTACATTAAATTACATGTAGTGCATGAAATCAACGGATTAAATTTTAAAATACATACATCATAAGATTGCCTCAGAATTACAATATAAAACTTTAATAAAGTGCTTTCGCCAGTGGAAAGGGTTCCTGTTCAATTCAGTTACCCTGTACAGACATAATGTGGCAATTGGGTCAGTACATGTAACATTGTGTTTTTATTTGCAAACATTTAATGTGAACACGTAGATGTGCTCCTCACAACTTTGATTGAGAGAGAAGTTTACGCTGGTGTTTCCATGACTTGAAATGATTACACACATTTTCTACTTTAATTAAGGAATCCATATAACACATTTAAGCTGCAAACATTACATTTGAAGCTGCAATTACAAAAATGCTCACTATTAAATTAAACAGAATAAGTTGTTACCGGGCCACACGATGAGACTTCAGGATACTGATGACCAACTAGATTTGTTCAAGTTGTGGTTACTCTTTGAGTACTGAGTGAGAGTCGCTCATATTTCATTTCAAAGATAAGGGAACAAAATTTCATGGTATTGACAATTTTTATTGTGTCATTCGCCTTTATTTTTACAAATTTACTGCACAGCTTCTCATTTTGAAATGATAATTCTGTCCATGAAAATCAAAAGGATTTTACTGTTGCATCAAATGCAGTGCATCCAATATCACACGTGAATTGGAAGCAACAAACAAGAGCAATCTATTAATGCGGATTATGCCTGATACTGCTTTTAGCAGTGGCATAGTGAAAATTAGGGTGGGGCTACGAAAAAAAAAGAGGGGGAGGGAAGGGTAGTCACGCATCTGCTCAATGTGCTGAATGCACTCCCTGCACACGGTTTGCTTGCATATGGCGCATGGTATGCAGACCTGGCCTGAACCATCAGCAGTCTCAGGCTGTTTCTCAAACCCTAGCTTCGTCTCCATAAACCTGCTTCAGGCAACCGTCCCAAAACAACCTTGGTAAACCAAACCCACCCCCCCCCAGGAAAATTTCTCGCTATGCCACCTGCTTGTACCTCAATGTGAGGGAAACTGTGTGCCAAAATTCAATTGAAAAAGTTAGGTAGATTTACAGGTTTTGTCTTTTATACAGTTTGTGTTTATGATAAGCACACAAGCTACTACATGAATTCGCATTCATGTTTTAAATACATTTTACGCATAAAAAGTTTATAAGCACAAATGTCTCTTAAGGCTGTTCATTGCCATGTCATTGCTTTACCTTGTTCTACTGCTAAAAGCATTAATTGCTGAACAGAATTAGGTTTAATTTCATTGAGCTGCTAAGTACCATTGTTAAGCTTTTTTATATGCTAAGAATTGTTCAGCTGAGAACCACTTGCAAACAAAATTTTGTGTACAGTACATCACATGACACCTTGACTTTGGTCTTGTAAATATTCCCTGTGCCACGTAAATTGTTGTGCCCGGCAGCGTCTAGCCCATGTTCTTTACTAAGATGCACAGCTTAAACATAACTTTAAAATACAATGAAGCGAAAAAAAAAATTAGAAACAGCTATTATACTGTTTTAATTATTTAAAGTTTCATAACTGCAAATTTTCACCTTTTTTTCAAATGAATCTTTGTAAGCATCGCAGATCTAATAACCCAGTTCGGTTTTTAACTGCACATGCCCACAATGATACGGGTTACGGGTCATTCGGGATAATGGAACATTCATCGAAGGCGCTGCAAGCGCATGGAGACGGGCGCACAAAGCTCCCATGTAAATTACAAGTAGAATGGGCATCTGGGTAACATTGCGTAACATTGCGTATCATCAAGTCAGCGATTTTATCCCGAATGACCTTTGACATGGACTACTTCATCAAGATAGTACCAAACTTTCTCGCTATGCCACCTGCTTGTACCTCAATGTGAAGAAAACTTTCTGACAAAAATTCAATTGAAAAAGTTAGGTAGATTTACAGGTTTTTGTCTTTTATACAGTTTGTGTTTATGATAAGCACACAAGCTACTACATGAATTCGCATTCATGTTTTAAATACATTTTACACATAAAAGATTTTTAAGCACAAATGTCTCTCAAGGCTGTTCATTGCCATGTCATTGCTTTACCTTGTTCTACTGCTAAAAGCATTATTTGCTGAACAGAATTAGGTTTAATTTCATTGAGCTGCTAAGTACCGTTGTTAAGCTTTTTTATATGCTAAGAAACATTCAGCTGATTCAGGCTGTTCATTGCCATGACATTGCTGTGCCGTGTTCTACTGCTTAAGCATTATTCGCTGAACAGAATTAGGTTTAATTGCATTGAGCTGCTAAGTACCATTGCTAAGCATTTTTATGTGCTAAGAATCGTTCAGCTGAGAACCACTTGCAAACAAAATTTTGTGTACAGTACATCACATGACACCTTGACTTTGGTCTTGGAACTATTCCCTGTGCCACGTATCAAAAAATTGTTGTGCCCTGCAGCGTCGGGCCCCTGTTCTTTACTAAGATGCACAGCTGAAACATAACTTTAAAATACAATGAAGCGAAAAACAAAAATTAGAAACAGCTATTGTACTGTTTTAATTATTTAAAGTTTCATAAGGCCAAAAAAATAAAGTCTCCGGTTTCTGGTATGCGCGCGCGTCGCCGTAGCAATGCGCGCCAGCAAAATGAAAAAGTTTTTTTTTCAATGAAAGATGATGTCTCAAAACCGCCAAACTCACTGGTTTGACTGGAATTCTGCTGCTGCACAATTTTAACGTGTTTTTCGATGGGTTATGGTCAAGAATAAGCTTTATGTGGCCTCTCTGGACTCCCATATATTTGCACTAAGTTTAGTCGGGCACCATTTGCAGTCATCAGCCGACATTTGAAGCAAAAAAAATCAGGTAAAAAAAAAAAAAAAGCTGCTTCGCCGCACCACTTTTTGGGCAAGCTCCATACCAGAAACCGGAGCCTTTTTTTGTTTTGCCTAACTGCACATTTTCACCTTTTTTTCAAATGAATCTTTAAATTTAAAGACCCATTACAGTGCAGAAACTCAGTGTAAGCATCGCAGCTCTAATAACCCAGTTCGGTTTTCAACTTCGGATGTTCACAATGATATGGGTCACGTGTCATTCGGGATAATCAAACGCTCATGAGGGCGCTGCACGTGCACGGAGATGGGCGCATGGTGCTCCCATGTTAATTACAAGCAGAATGGGCATCTGGGTAACATTGCGTAACATTGCGTATCATCACGTCAGCGATTTTATCCCGAATGACCTTTGACATGGACTACGTCATCGAGATAATACCAAACTGACTTATATTGTCAGCTAATGGTACCATCTCAATGCAGTTCACACTCACAGTAGCACCTTAAGTGTCAGTTAGAATCAGACATGTTTTATGGTTTAGATTTTGCCATTTAGGGTGTACATGTAGTTATGCATTGAGTCCAAAACAGGCTTATGCCATGATGCCATTTTGCGTCGGAGTGATTATAAATCAAATTAGGTTTTTGCCCTTCACCGATCCCGTTAGCTTGGTGGTCGAGTGGTAAGACATCTGCACTAGAAAGTAGGAGGCCGTAGGTTCGAGTCCCACCCGAGTGATATTTTCCAACTTTCACTCGGGAGGTAACACACTGAGTATACAGTGTTTTAACGCCGGTAAAGGGCAAAAACCCAATTTGAATATACTTGTAATCATAAAATCTGAGCCAGTCATTGGGGGGGGGGGGGGGCGGTGTTGAGAGATGAATCCTTTAAAGGTTCGGGATTAGATTTCCCCCATTTGAAAATATGCAATAAAGTTATCTTTACTTTATTATTTATTTTACAACTTGCCAACTTTCAAAGTATTCTTTAACCCATATGAGTGCCATAATGACATAAGAAAAATCATCCAGGTTAAAATCTGTAGGGTGTCTGTAACCTGGTGAGGTCAAATATTTAACTTTTAATGTACCAGACAAATTGACTGTGGTTGTTTTATTCTATTACAATTTCCCCAATTTCCCATGGAGAGGGAGTCAATATATTTTCATGTCCAAAATTTAATGGGGACTGTCATTTACAAAAGATTGTGGTATGGCACTTCATGAATAGTTTACATGTTCTTGGAAGCCTTGGTGGCATAACTACCTCTCACTTTTTGCCTTTAAGAAAGGCACAAAGGATGAAGCATTGGTATATGGGCTCTCTAACTTGAACTGTTTTCACTTTTTTGGGAGATACCACTCTACAGCTCTGATAAGCCCATTCATCATGGAAAGATCTCGTGCATTTACACGATCCTTGAAGGGGACAAATTTATTGAGTTCCTTGCGGAAATCCCGCATCTGCATGCCATGATATGTCATTACGGTGGCAAGAGATGGAACGTCTTTGAGTGGCAGTATTCCAAGGCCACCCGCCATGATGTCTGCACGGAGGTATTGCAGAAACTGAGGAGTGTTGTTGAAATAGTCCCTCCTATTGTTGTTGCCAGGGAACATCAATCTGTTGCAGTCTCTAGAATATGCATCGTTGCACTCCTGAATCCGTTGGCGTGGACACACCACGGAATTAGTGTCGGCTCCTGGTATGAATTTGAACCAGTTCATAGTCTCAGTGGTAATCACTGAGAATCTGTTACTGGCATTAAGAAGAGGCTTGAATGTCTGGAGAAGCCTAGCAAACCCAACTATGTCAGCAAGATTTGAGGTGATAATGCGATCATAGTTGGTCATCTGTAAGGATTGGTGCCGCTCAGGAAAGACGAGACAGTTGTCCAAGAACACATGGACAAACAGCCTTTCTTGGACAATCAGCCTCCTGACTTTTTTGAGAAGGTTTGTCACGTAACTGTGATACATTTCCATCGGAGACGTGAAGGATCCAGAACTGCACTCTCTAACTCTCAAGCAATCCCACTCTCTAAACGGAAATGCATCTGTGTTGATGCAGTAAACAAACTGGTGATCTTTTGGGACTATCGGTGTGAAATCATCATACCAACAATCAGAATCTCTTCCAGTGAGAGTGGGATTGTCAAAAGGCACAGCGGATTTTCGTGATTCAGATGGCAGAAACAAAGCATGGTCAAACCACTCTCTCATCTTTTTCTTCTCATTTTTGGATAACTCTGCCAGATAAAGAGACACTCGCTCCCTCATTATGTCTGTCCCAAAGAGTGCATTCCGTTGTTGCTTGAGATTGACTGAAGTTTTTTGGTCTCGTTGACATTCCAATGTTTGCCATTTTTCCCAAACCTGACACAGATACCTCAGATCTTCATCCAGGAGCCTCACCAGTCCTTTAGTAGCATCATGGAGTTGCTGAGCACTCATCTGAATGAGTTCATCCAAGCTTGTCTTGATCAAGTCGTACTCTCTCTTTGAAATGTGGAGTGAGTACCAGATGGTTGTCAAACTGGAAGCAATGTAGTCAGTGTCTGCGAAGCGTGCCAACATGAAGAGAAACAGCACATTCCTTGCCATGACAAAAGGGTCGTAGTCATTGAGGGTGATGTGAAGTTCCCCCTGGTACTCATCAGGCAAGGAACCAGCCATCAATACTGTATTGCGCAAGTCTCCACAACCAGCAGATAAAACATGGAAATCTCTCATCAGGAGCTCCTCTTCCCTTCCAGTTGATAACTCATTTTCATTGAGTTTTAGGTAGTCTCTTGCAATGACATTTCCAAAGTAGTAAGGAAAATCTGCTTTTCTCTTCTTTGATAACGAGTACTTCAGAGCCAGGTTTTTTGCCAATGCTTTGATGGTCTCTTTAACACCATTGCATGATGTTTTGTGTGCAGTCCAGTCCTGTCGTTGGCAGTCTCTATTACAGTACCACACATTGTTGCATTGTGAACACTGTTAATTAAAAAGAAAGATTAGAAAAAGTACATTAACAACTAATTGCTCTATTTTTGTGTTAAGCGATGATCACATGTACAGGTGATGTAAAATAACACAACATTTTAAGGTTCCTAGCTCCATGATTCAAGCTATGAATAAGCCACAGTTCAACCACCTTTTACTCTAGAAAATGTCCTTGTACAAACTCAAACCCACCTCACATTCACATTGGAATGAAGTACATGTCTGTATAAATTAAATTGGGCTATGAATGAATTGCTGCTAAGCGTCCAAATACTTATTGGCCAAATTCCAGGTACTAGTTGTCATACATTTTGTTTTGGTTTTTATTCTGGAAATGTTTCCCATTAGAAAAGCATGAGAGATCCTCTGGTTTACTGTGATCAGTATCAGCAGGCGTACCTCACTCATTTTGTCTGCCATTGTGCCGCATTTGCTGCACCTTTTTGGCCCATATAGCTGGCACTCGATAGAAGCATGTCTGACTTTGTCTCTGTCCCGGCATGATGTGGTACAGTAGACAGCAACTGGGCATCGGCTACAAGGCACAGCGTGCTGTGGGAGACCTTTTTCACAACGCCAGCAATGTCCAGGCTGTACATCCATGACGCTGTCTACATGAAAGACGTGAAAAAAAATAGTGTGTTTTTAAATCTCCTAATTTCAGTGCTCTTCGGCAAATTTGTTTTTTTTATTTTCTCCGAACATATTTTCATTTTTTTTTTAAATTGAAACATTCTCTTTTCCTGTTTTGGGCATCTAAAGTTTGGGTTGCTTTTGCACCCTTAATTAACCCTCCTATGTAAACATACATTTTTTTGCCAAGTAGTTCTTTCAGTCAAAATCAGTGAAGTGACTATATTGAACAGTTAAGAATTCCCAGCCTACATAAAGCAGGATTGACTGCCTTGCACTTTTTAAGTAACTTGATACAGCTATGCTTTGACTCTGGGTGAGTGATAAAACAGCAGTGAACACAACTTGCCTGCTTTGTCTGTTGACCCAGTTTGATTAGTCACTGTGCTTGCTTGACATATGATCTGACTGCTGGTGACTAGCCTTTGTTAAAAGTATAGCAGGGGAAGTGGAAGTGAATTTTGACTGTCTGTGACTGTTTATTTAGCAGGAGGGTTAATGTAGTTGGAGTATTATCTGTTGTTCAACAGAGCCAGTGCAAGCTCTGCAACAACTTTTCCTGCAAGCGGCTATTCCATAGACTACCTTTAATTATTGTTGGCCACAAATAATTTAAAATAGTAATTCCATAACTAAACATGAGTGGATTTTTTACACTCAATGTCCCTTTCAAGAGTGAATAACGTTGATGTTGCTAGTAGTCCGGTCAATTTACATTTTGACCTAGAACTAATTGCAGAAGAAACCATTCAAGCGTCAAACAACTTCATATAAATACACAAACAACATGTGAAAACTCTAATTGTTTCTATGGAGTGGAAAGGTTTTATTTTCAAGAATTTGTTTGAAATTAAACTGTGGGACTTTTGTTCTTGAACAATTCATTTGATGACTTGCTTCGATGTACATACTTATAGCTATTGTTTAGGATTCATGACCACATATGCACGTGCAGCAGGCAGTGTGTCGGTAACGTTAAAAAATTACGTGTGATAGAATTTCTGTTTGCTTTTTACATACATTTTTACAGTACATGTTATATTAAGAGCAGTACAAGTTTGTAACTTGGTTCAAAATTATACATTTTATGAAGGTATTGTCTGTTTCAAGTCATAATTAATATCACTTCGGACAGAAGTGGGCAACTATCTGCCTAATAACTAATGCAACAACTCCACAGATGAGATACGTGTATTTGCAAAAATGATGTCACAAAATCATGTTTGCTAATACACTGAGGAAAAACTACCGGACGGTACATACATGCACCGTTTTGACAGTAAAGCGAACAATATTTAAAGAATTTGTTGAGCACCTGAAAATGATGTGTTTCATTTGGTACAGAAAATTCAGGAAATACTCGGCGGGGGTTTAGACGCTTACATATTTGTAAGTACATGTGAAACAAAAAATCTCGAAACACTTTGATCACAAAGCAATATTTTCTGAGGTTAATGTGAAACAGATATAGTTCTGTACGTGAGCTCTGCATGCACATTGCACATTTTTTATCGGTACATTTTGTAATTAAATCTAGTAGTCCTGAAGTAGTTCTGAAGTCAATCATTAGTTCTAACAAGACTAATTCCCACTAAATCATACAAAATACAAGGGACTGACAATTTATCCTGATGCGTTTTATGCAACAGTGAAACAATAAATGAGGGACTTTCTATAATTTCTATGAGTTTGCCAGAACATGGATCAGTATCACAGTCGTCCATATACACTTCACAGCTTAGGAATGACACCAATTGATCATGCACACATTTATGCCTAAAGCTGCAGTTTTTCATACTACCCTTCTTACCTTGTGGAAGCGTGATGCTTTTCTTATCACATAGAACTGATGAATAAATCACTCACTGCCAAGGTGTTGTCTGGTATTGGTGATCCGTCGTTCACAATCTTTCTTATTGTTCCTGAAGCTTCTAGATGAAATTATTGCTTACCAAACGTAATTGATCAGCAGAATTGAGCTGAGAACCAACCACCAGCAACATACAATGCATGAACATTTGGCGAGTAACCTGTTATTGCTGAGTTCCTACAACTGTCTGTGTTTCGTAGCTTCCTAACACTGGACCCTGATTGGATGATCGTTATTGCACACATGAACAAATTCCCCACATGAGAAATCCATGGCAGACTTTGTCAATATGTCTGTGTATTGGTGAGTCTCTCGCCATGGAAACCGTGCTTTTGTCCCTCACCATAGAAGCCATGAACCAGAGCCCTGTTGTTTGTTCAGTGTCTATCAACTATTAAAATAGCAAGTAGAGATCCTCATGTTGTTGGTCATTACAACCACACGACTGTAAATTGCATGTATAGGGATATACCAGTACATTTCCAAATTTCCAAATTTGTGTAACAACAATTCAAATCTTGTTTGGACATTTATCCTAACAGACCTCAACCCATCAAAACCCCAAGGACATGTTTTGTTGGAATCTGTCAGTATGGGTACAGTACACATAAACTGACAGTCTTTTACATTGGGTTGGCACACCTCCAGAAACAAAGTCAGAAATATGTGTGTGCAGTTTCCCATATGGTGTTGTTAAGGCCAAAAAAATAATAGTTCTGCTTCCGGTTTCCCTACCTACCCTATTCTGAGAGCCCCTACCCTAATTTTTTTATGGGAAAAATGAGGAAAAAACACCCAAAACCATCAATTTTCACCTTTTACCCTTGACTGCACGCAGACGCCTCCATATGATCGTACACAAAAAAAAATTGGCCAAAAAAAGAAAATTCCCTACCTACCTACCCTATTTTCGAATGCCATGTAATCGGAAGCAGAACTATTTTATTTTTTGGCCTAAGCGTATTTTCCACCCAAACACTCGTTTCCCTGCAAAATATGATGTAGTGAATATGATATGTATGAAAACATATGAAAATCAAGAAATGTATAAACCAAATATGAAGTTATTTACACATTTAATGATTATTTTATTTCAACCAATTTTTCTCCCTGGGGGCTCTGGAGTACATAAAAAATTAACGCTCAAACCACCCACATAGTCTAATTTTTGTTACATTTTAAGACAATCAAAACACCCCTTACAAATAAAATAATAAAAATGTTTCAATATAAGAACATCTGATAACAATTTAAAACAGTCATAAAAACCACAACCACACAACTGTAAATTGCATGTTACATGTTCCTGTATAAGGATATTATGGATATGTATAATTTCCAAATTTCCAAATTCAAAAAATTCCATGTGTTTTTTTGTAGCAATGCAAATCTTCTTTTGACATTAAGCGTATCTTCCACCCAAAGACTCGTTTCCATTCTTAATATGATGTAGTAAATATGATATATATGTAGGAGAAAACAAAAAGAATAAACTGAATTGATGCCAAAAAAAATCATGAAATGAATAATCCAAATTTACTCAGTTATTTACTCATGTAATATCAGTTTTTCAAACGATTTTTCTTCCTAGGGGCTCTGGAGTACATGAACAAAATAAAAAATTAATGCTCAAACCACCCACACAGTGTAATATTTGTAACATTTTAAGACAATCAAAATGCCCCTTACAAATCAAATAAAAAAGGTTTAGTATAAGAACATCTAATAACAATTTAAAACAGTCATAAAAACATCAAGGAGTTAAACTCATGTTGTTGGTCAAATTGCATGTTACATGTAAAGGGATATATACATTTCCAAATTTCAAAATTCGAAAAGTTCCTTGTGTATTTGTTCCTAGTGTCACAGCAATTAAAATTATGTTTTGACATTAAGCGCATCTTCCACCTTAACACTCGTTTCCCTTCAAAATACCGTATGATATAGTAGATATGATATGTAGTAAAAATAAAATAAAAAGAAGAATCTGAATCAATACAAAATTATCAAGAAATGAATAATCCTTATATGAAGTTGTTAACTTATTTTTTTTTTTTTTATAATAATTTTTTTATTTCTTTTTTATTATTTTACCAGGGCAGCCCCATCAGTTTTTCAACCGATTTGTCTCCCTAGGGGCTCTGGATAACATGAAAAAAAAATAATGCTCAAACCATCCACATAGTCTAATTTTTGTAACATTTTAAGACATTCAAAAACGCCCCTTACTTTAAGACAATCAAAAACGCCCCTTACAAATAAAATAAAAACATTAAAGAAGAGAACATCTACAATAACAATTTAAAACAGTCATAAAGACCATCAAGGAGTTAAATGCAAACTTGGGAAAGAAGTCAAGAAGATCAAATCGGCCTTATGATGAGAAATATTATAATTGTATATTGCATGTACTTAGTTAATTGAATATGTACAGACAAGATATGTTAGTAAAATTACAGTGAATGTTAATATTCAGCATAAACACCAGTGATGGTTCCAGGGGGTGCGCAGCCCCCCCCCCCCCTCCCCCCCACCCTCCGGCAGTGACTAAATGTTTTCAAATAAGAAAAATGTTCACTTGAGAGAGCCCTTCCGTCCCCTCCCCAGCACACCTTCGATACCCCCCCCCCCCCGCATCCCCGCCTAGCACACACCCCACCCCCTCCCGACCCCGGCAGTTACATGTACCTCTCTGGATCTGCCCTGAACACCAAGAGTAGTAATATATAAAATCCAGACATAGCCCTTAAAAACCTGCGACCCTGATTGTCCATTTCTTATAACTGTCAGATCATTTGTTCTTGTTCAAGTCCTTCCACAAACATTTGCCACAACAAAAACAAAAGATTGCTTCCCTGCAATGTTGCCTGGTCTAGCAGGACAGACATTATTTCCCACTGCATTTCCAGCACTATATTTTGAGTGTATTGGGTAGCTTAGAGCCCTGTTGTTGGCAATCTTATGCATGAGGGTGCTTATGTGACAATCCAACTAAGTGCCAGACTAAATTGCATACACCAGTCATTAATTGCATGTGCCGATTGGTAATTAAAGAACTACTGATCAGGATTTGAGCACATCTGTTGAAAATTGAGAGTGAGAGTGACAAAACAAACAATAAAACCAACCATTAAACATGTATGATTAAAGTGATATTACAAACCAATTTTCATCTTTACCAAGACTACCCACATTTATACATCACGTCTAATGGAATCAGGAAAATGCTACTATAGGCCTAAATTACCGGTACATGGATGATTGAATAGTAAAAAATATTCTATATTTTCTGCACAGCCTTATTGCTTTGCATTTGTTTGCCCTTGAAATTGCCCAATGTGTCCGAAAGGATATGTGCTGCATACATTTACAATGCTACGTACATATTTGATGTGTTTTTATGCATAAATTTGAGATGGGACCTCCTCCCCTCCCCCCCCCCCCCTCACAAGTCAAGGGAATGGGCTCAAGTTAAAGGTACCAAGATCCAATAGCTGGAAATTTAGTACTATATTTCAAATTCAGATTTCACATTCTAGTTATTGTGACATGGAATGTTCGATATCCCAATTCTGTTCAAGAGCAGTCATGCAATTGGTTTACTGCACATTGTTGAGTTCTGGTGGATGCAGAAAGTCGCATGGAAGTTGCACAAAGACATCTAGGTTGAAGCATCACTTTTAGGCAGACACCACTCTACAGCTCGGTCACTACCATTCAGCATATTAAGATCCCTAGCATTCATACGATATATGAATGGTACCAGCTTGTTCAGCCCCTCCCTAAAGTCACGCATTTCCATACCGTGGTACTTCTTCACACTCACGAACCTGGGAACAGCTTTGAGTGCTGGGATCCCACGTCCCCCTGCCATGATATCTGCTCGGAGATATTGGAGAAAGTAGGGGGTGTTGTCACGATACTCTGCCAACCTGCAGTTGCAGATGGACCTGCTTTCTGGGAAGTCTGTGCGGTATGTAATATAACATTGGTTTACCAGTTGGCGCATGGCGGGATGCATGAACATGGCCTCTGTGTCGGCTCCTGGAATAAATCTGACCCAGTTCATACACTCGGTCACAATCACCGAGAAGCTGTTAGAAGGATTGAGAAGGGGCTTGAATGTTTGGAGAAGCCTAGGAATGCCGACATAGTCAGCAAGGTTGGAGGTGAAGATTCGGTCATAGTTTGACATATTCAAGGTTTGGTGGTGAGTAGGAAAGTCCAGACAGTTGGCCAAGGAGACGTGGATGAGGAGCCTTCCTTGAAGGATGAGACTCTTGACTTTCAGGAGGAGGTTTGTCACGTACTCGTGGTACATCACCATCGGAGAGGAGTGGGATCCAGGAGTGTCCTCTCTTACTCTGAGGCAGTCCCACTCTTGGTAGGGAAATGCATCTGCATTTACACTGTAAACAAACTGGGACTCTTCAGGTGCTTTAAACGTATGCGGAGGCTCATGTCCAGTTAGCGTTGGGTTGTCAAATGGCATATCCTCTTCTTTTCTTTCAGTTGAAAAAAACAGTGCATGGTCGAACCACTCTTCAACCTTCTTCTTCTCAGAGTGAGAGATTTCTTCAGTATAGCAAGATAACTTTTGTGCCACATTTTCCTTCTGAAATAGCTTCTTCCTTTGTTGTCTGAGATTGATTGAGGTGCTCTTGTGTCGTTGACATTCTAATAATCGCCACTTTCCCCAAACCACATGCAGCGAGCTCAGGTCTTTATCCAGGACACTCACAAGTCCTTTGGTAGCATCATGGAGTTGCTGAGCACTCATCTGAATGAGTTCATCCAAGCTTGTCTTGATCAAGTCGTACTCTCTCATGGAAATATGGAGTGAGTACCAGATGGTTGTCAGACTGGAAGCAATGTAGTCAGTGTCTGCGAAGCGGACCAACATGAAGAGAAACAGCACATTCCTTGCCATGACAAAATGATCTGAGTCATTGAGGGTAACGTGAAGTTTTCCCTGGTACTTGTCAGGCAAGGAAGTGGCCGTCAACACTGTGTTGCGCAGGTTTCCACAACCAATAGACAAAATATGGTAATCTTTTGCCAAACTGTCCTCCTTCACTCCAGATGTCAATTCATTGCCCTCAAGTTGAAGGAAGTCTTTGGCAAAGATGTTACCAATGTAATAGGGAAAGTCACCGCTTATACTGTATGTTACCACAGCCCGTTTCTGAAGCTTCTCTGCCAGCTTTTTCATTGAATCTTTAGCTTCCTTACATGATGGCTTGTGGGATTTCCAGTCAGTCAGTTGGCATTCCTTGCTGCAGTACCATGCATTACTGCAACTCGCACACTGAAAAAAAGAAAAGGCATGATTACTTTTTGCCTATACTTCTCTTAAAAAATTTTGTCGTTCAGATACACAACCATTTTCATTTCAGGTCAGGTTGTCCCTGCAGATGTACATGTTGTTATCAGTTTAACCCCAACCATGCCTCCCCACTAAAATCCAACTGCAGGTTTTTGCGATTTTTTTTAAATGAACTCATGGACTGTGGAATAAATTGCCTTTTTCTGTAGAATTTAACCTAATGTTGTTAACATTAAGCTTATGTATGCCAGTAAGTGCAATATTGGCTCAACAGATGCAAAGAGTTGAGGGTTCACTTTCTGTGATATTTGCAAGTTTAACACCCCCCCCCCCTCTCATCCCGGAAAAAAAAAACCGGACCAGAAACCTTCTTGCAAGGTGGATCTGTAGTATGTCTAAAGCTTATACATGCAAAACAAAAGTTTTTTTTCTGAGGGATGCAGTTGCCTAAAATTGAAAACTTTTTTTTCTTCGTCAGGAGAAAAAAATTGAGTTTATTAAATGCACTGACAATACATCTTATCTACTATAGGTTGTAATCAGTAGTTGTCATCAAATTTCTTCAGTGGAGCTCGATTTCCCTTGTTTTGATAAAATACCAGAAAAGTACCCATGTACGTTATAGGCAAGTATAGGTTTGGGCAGATTTAGTGTTGTTTGTAACATAAACGCTTAGGGCCCCCCCCCCCAAATATTTCTGCTTCCGATTACATGGCATTCGAAAATATGGTAGGTAGGTAGGGAATTTGGGGTTTTTTTGTCAATTTTTTTTTATGTGTACAATCATATGGAGGTGTCTGTGTGTAGTCAAGGGTAAAAGGCAGAAATTGATGGTTTTGTGTGTTTTTTTCTCATTTTCCATTAAAAAAAATTAGGTTTGGGCCTGTCAGAATAGGGTAGGTGGGGAAACCGGAAGCAGAACTATTATTTTTTTTGGCCTTACATGTATGGGTTTGAGTTTATGAGAAGTATTCATAAGATCACACGCATCATACCTCCTTCATATTAGTAGCAGTTTTTCCACAATTGCCGCACTGTCGTGGCCCAAACATCTGGCACTCAACAGAGCTGTGTCTGGCCGTGTCGTTGCCCAGGCATGATGTGCTGCAGTAGACAGCCATATTGCAGCGGCTACAAGGCACAGTCAGCTGTGGAAGAACTTTCTCACATCTCCAGCAATGTCCACGCTGTACATCCATAATGATCTCTGAAACAGAACATTTAGAATCATTGTCTATGTACATTCATTTTAAAGTAATTTCATGGTTTCCACTTCCCCTACCCATAACTACAGGGACAAAATAGAAAAGAAATAGTTGAACACCTTAAGACGAAATACCACTCCACCAAACAAAACATTTAGCAATAATAACGAAGCAGCCAACCGATCCCGCAAGTTCATGGTCGAGTGGTAAGACATCTGCACTAGAGAACAGGAGGTCGTGGCTTCAAGTCCCACCTGAGTGATTTTTTCCCAACTTTCACTCGGGAGGTAACACACTGAGCTAACAGTGTTTATATGTCTTTGAAGGGCAAAAACCTAATACTGAATTATATCAGTATTATCAGAACTTTTCAGAGGATTGCAAAGAATGAAGCCCTATCCCGACAGAAAATACCTCATTGCACACCAACAGCCTTTAATTCCTGCTGGAAAAAAGTATGATCCCAAGCCGCACAAACTGAATTACTTTCCTCAATCATTGCTTACATGTAATACTCACCAAAATATTTGTGGTTTACAGTTGAAAAGCTACAGCCTGTTAGCAAGCAGAGTTGCTGTATAGTGTTGCAGTTATGAAGAACTTGCCTTCAGTCCACTACTTATATGTTGTATTTTAAGTGACGATCACGTGATGCTTATTTCTCATATCCAGGGAAAAAGAGGGAATGTCCCTCATGAGAAATACCAATATCAGGCTTTGTTGTCAACCATTCCAGCTTGACTCGCGTGACAATTCTACAAAAAGACCTATACAATAGCTCTAGGCAAATGGTTCAGACATGGCCTAAAGAATGTGTCTGAAGAATTCTCTGAACAACATGGCAACACTTTTTACACTCGATATTATTGATATACACATCCTTTCTGGTAATTCTTGTGATGAAATATACAGCAATTTGAAAAATATTTGAGTCGTTTGAGCCTACAAATACCGGTAGATGCTGCTTATTTATAACAAAATCATTTGATCACATGATGTCATGTTAGCACTTAGACATTATATTAGGATAATTTCTAACATACATGTAGAGATGAGACTATGATGTAAATTGCATTGAATATCTTCTAAACCAAAAAGAAAAGAAGTACATATAATTGTAAGTGGTTTGATTGTTTCATTAAAGGCCTGTGGTCGTGCATTATCCAGCATTGCATACTGTTTCAACTTGTGCATTGTGGTCTTTCGAATGATTATGTTTTTTCCAAAGAAATTAATTTTTTCCAAAGAAATTTAAATATTTCTTCTGACAGGGAATTATCTTTTTAAAAATATTTGACTTCAGCAGATGTTATCAGGCCAGTGTTTAATAATGAAGTAAAAAATCATAAGAAAAACTTCCTGTATGACATCACAAGTATCTTAGGCTTTTGGTTTTTATCCACATGTGTACACATTGGTATCATGGAGAAAGGTTCTCCTTGTAAAGTGGCATACGAGTTCTCCCCCATGAATAGTATGTTTGGTACCAGCGAACAACCTCGATGGTGTTGTATCCCTGCAGTGGTGGGCCACAGCACCAGTCGAGACTTGGTGGACAGGAACAACAGACCGGTGTAAGTAGGGCCAGTGGAATACACAGTGGGATGTGGAATGGGAACGTGGAAGGGAATGGGAATGTGGAGTGGTAGATCCTTCTCTTAAGGGTGGGGCAACTCAATCATTTAATCTTTTTTATTTGTTTCGGTGATCTGACCTTAGAACGTAATAGACTATTAATCAGTGATCAAATGCAGTCAAGAACAGTGGTCATGCCTTTTATCATTTGTCATAATCTGCCATGCCATTCCATCATAACCAAGAGCCATTTTGATATAACCTAATCATTGAAGAATCATGCAATCATCTACCTCAATCCTAGCCCTATATGGCTGCTTTAATAGCTCATGAGCCCCAATCGGCTAAGTAGAACTTCTCTTTGCATACAACAGTGCATAAACTTAATTGACCAATCAGATACCAGGATTCCCCAATATGCAAAGTGTAGGTGACTGACATGTTCTATGGTGTTTACCATACAGTTGGGGATTCAGTATCCCACGTACGCCTATAATTCTTGTTCCATAACAATTACCATTGAGAATATGTAAACGTTCCACTAAGTTGCTTTGATATTTTCAAGAATTGTCTTGGAGAGGCCCCATACCCCTTCTTAAAGGAAGTTGCACCTTAATGGAGAGAGCATTATCAGGTGAAGCAGTTACAAGCAGCAGATATCACATGGTAATCTAGTAAAATTAATCCTGTTGTGTTTTAAACCATTACAGTGTATAGGTCTGCCCCTAAACTACGTGAAACTTTATGACACTGATAATGAGCAATTCAAATCGTTTAGTTTCTTTCGAGGCACTCATTTGTCAAGTGAAGATGGATGTTGTTTATCATGATATTTGCTATTTATCCCAACAAGTTTAGTTTTTACTCTAAAACTGTAAAACAGTTGTCTCATTTTGAAATGGTGATTCTATCTATAAAAAATCGAAAGGATGTTATTAAACTGCAAAAAAATGCAGTACATCAAATATTACATGCAAACCAAACGGGAGCCCACTTTTAACATGCATTTTGCCTCACACAGCCTTTACGTCATTGTTAAAAGAAATATCCGACAACATGTTAATCACTTGTAACTATTTACAGATTCTTCTGTTTTATACAATTCGTGTTTGTCATGCCAACCAAGCTACTTTAAATAAATTTTGATAAAAATAGTTTACAGAAAAAGTTTAACTACAAACTCCATTACATTTGACCTTATTCAGTTCACCCAATGTTTCTTAAAATAACAACAAAACAATTAGCTGAAATCTTGATTTTAAGTCAAACTCTGATAACTCAAACAACTGTTAAGTCAAACAAAGAATCCATTGCCTTCAGTAGTAAAACAATGATTTATAACCCTGCTTAACTCAAAACTCTGCTTAAGTCAAATTTTGAACCTGTTCCCTTGAGGTTTGACTTAATTTCATTGTAATTTCTGTCAGTAATATACATGTTATATATCCTTTCCACTTGAGATTCATTCAGCTTGCAGTGAATTTATTTGCCTTGGCAGTTGCTTAGCTTGTCCTGACCCTAATTGTTAACTACCCTGAGGCAGACACCACTCCACAGCTTTGTTATACCCACACATCATATTAAGAAGTCTTGCATTCAGCCTATACTGGAATGGAACCAGTTTGTTCTGTCCCTTCCGGAAGTCACGCATTTGGAGGCCGTGATATTTCTTGACACTCTCAAATGATGGTACTTCCGTGAGTGATGGTATGCCAAGTCCCCCTGCCATGATATGTGCTCTGAGATACTGGAGAAAGTGAGAGGTATTGTTATAATACTCTCGTACGTTGTTGTAGCCATCGGTATATGAACCTGTGTCTATAATACACAACTCTTTACATCTCTGAAACACACTTGTAAAAGCAAAAGTTTCAATATTTGCTCCTGGTACATCTTCGATCCAATTCCAATGATTAGTGACAATCGTTGAGTCGCTGTTGCTGGTATTAAGAAGTTGTTTGAATGTCTGTAGGAGTTTAGCGACTCCATCATAGTCAGCAAGGTTGGAGGTGAAGATTCTGTCATAGTTGGGCATGCTCCAGGTTTGATGGTGATTCGGAAAGTCCAGACAGTTAGCCAAGGAGACCTGGATAAGGAGCCTTCCTTGAAGGATGAGACTCTTGACTTTCTGGAGGAGGTTAGTCACGTACTTGTGGTACATCACCATCGGAGAGGGGATGGCTCCAGGGGTGTTCTCCTTTACTCTCAAACAGTCCCACACAATGTAAGGCAGTGTTGCTACATCAACACAGTACACAAATGGGACATCTTCCGGTGGCGTTATATCTGGTGTCGCAGATGTTTTACCTTCTCTTCCAGTTAGTGTGGGATTTTCATAGGGCAGTTGTGTTTTTTGGGGACTTTCAGTTGGGACAAACAGTGCGTGGTCAAACCACTCCTTCATGAACTGTTTGTTCTCATCAGGCAGGCGATTAACATATAGTTTCACACCTGTTTTTACATCTTGAGCCTCAAACAATGCCTTTCTCTGCTTTCTGAGATTAATGGAGGATCTTTTTTCTCGTAGACATTCCAATGATTGCCATCCTTTCCAAACCTGACACAGATACCTCAGATCTTCATCCAGGACACTCACCAGTCCTTTGGTGGCGTCGTGGAGTTGCTGAGCACTCATCTGAATGAGTTCATCCAAGCTTGTCTTGATCAAGTCATATTCTCTCTTGGAAATATGGAGTGAGTACCAGATGGTTGTCAAACTGGAAGCAATGTAGTCAGTGTCTGCGAAGTGGACCAACATGAAGAGAAACAGCACATTCCTTGCCATGACAAACGGGTCAAAATCGTTCAGAGTTATGTGAAGTTTTCCCCGGTACTTATCAGGCAAGGAAGCAGCTGTCATCACAGTGTTGCGCAAGTCTCCGCATCCAGCGGATAAGACATGGAAGTCCCTGGTCAACTGTTCAGCTGCCATCTCTTTAGACAACTCGTTACTGTCAAGTTTAAGAAAGTCTTTAGCTAGAGTGTTCCCAACATAGTAAGGTGGGCCTGCAAACCATGCGTTACATGCCAGTCTTGAATTTCTCTCCGCAAACTCGACAGACATCTGTTTTATTGTATGCTTTACTCGAATGCATGACGCTTTATGGGCTGGCCAGTTACTCAGTTGACACTCCTTGTCGCAGTACCACGCATTGTTGCAACCTGCACACTGAGAAAAGAGAGAAAAAAACATCTTAACAATTCTTTGCCAGATTTGAGTTAAAATACATGTATTTCAAAAGCCACAAATTTCAGATCTAAGTTTGTGAACCCTTGTTTAAATTGCTCTTTGCACAAAAATCTATAAAAAAATTGTTGTTAAGCTCAACTTGTGACAAAATGCACTAAACTGGCGAGATAATAATCAGACCATCTAGATCCCATTTTCCTGAACCAGTTCCTAGAATTCCAATCCTTTTCATTTGGAATCATGCGGGAGGAGATTAATGCTATCTCTCATCAGAGTTTTAGTCAAGTGCATCCTGTCTGAACTGGCCATACCTTGTAATTTGATTTGTGATTGACCTGTGATTGATGAACTGCAGTAAACGCTGCCCAAGTACAGTCGGCACTCTTGAGACCCGAAAATTTGTGACGACTTACGCGATTGCTGACATCTGCTGTAAGGTGTCATTTTGCCGAATTGCATGAATGGCCTATACACATATGATTCATTGCACTAATAGGCTTTGATTTACCCTAATTTATCTCGTTATTGCTTGAGTTGTTTTTATTCCTCCATGTTTCCAGCAAATTTATTTCTGATTTTTATCATCATGGGCTGGGGTACTGTTTGTGGATCCATACAATGTAGCATTTCAGCTAATGTACTGAAGACTACTGATACATAATACATACATGCGCAGTTATGAATTAAATGCGCGCGTAGGGTATTGAACGTACAGTCCGTACACATACATTACATGTACAGTTACGAATTGAATGCGCGTATTGACTGGATCGTTCAATAAGACATCCCACAAAAATAGACAGAGCGCAGGACTAGAGGGGTACTTGGTACTGATGTGCTCACGATGCAGTATTGGGGAAACCCATTTTAGATTGCGAATGCAGTGGTACATGTTGCCAACAGCAGTGCATGCAAGAAGTCGATGCTATTGCTTGATTTTTAAATGCCAACTTAAACAAAGGATTTTGTCATGCTTTTTGTGGAAAGGGGACCGAGAGTAACACAATAACTTGAGCAAAATGGCGACTTATAAAAGCCGACTTAGAACTAAAAATTTCAATAAAAATGCATTAGAGACAATGGGCACTTTCGTCAGACGGCCGACTTGAGTGATTTGGCAAGTTGTACCATGTCGACTTGGCCAGAGTTTACTGTACAAGGCTCAGTGCTCATTGTTTGCAAGGTTCCCACGTACATCGATTATATTTCATACTTAGAATGAAACTCTGTGTGTATCCTACCTCACTGATATTTGGAGCCCTCCTTCCGCATGCGGCACATGTTTTGAGCCCATAAAGTTGGCACTCCACACTTCCATGTCTGACTTTGTCTCTGTTTCGGCATGGCGTGCTGCAGTACTTCGCCATCTTACAAAACTCGCAAGGCACTGAATGTTGAGGGAGAACCCTCTCACAACGCCAGCAATGTCCAGGCTGAACATCCATTGCTGCATTGACATGAAATGAGAAGAAGAAAAAAATTAGTTTCTGTATTCTGGTACCCATGGTCTTCAACATGTATCTGATTGTTGTCTCATAATGTTGTAAGTTTCATTCAATTTTTTTCATTTTGGATGTTTTCTAACATCTGAAAATGTATTTGTTTCTGCAGACAGGTGGGGATGGTGGTGTTGTATTTGCACCCATAAGATGGTGTCAAGAAAGATATGCCTGAATTATTGTGGGGCTGCAAATAATTTGAAAATTTTACAGTAAATGTTTCATAATTAAACAAGGGCAGATTTGGGGGTTTTTTTTGGGGGGGGGGGTGTCGCTGTCAAAAGTAAATAAATTTTGATTTGCCAGAAAATGAGAAATTTAAAAACAAACTATTTTTCAAGTGAAGCTTGACAATGGTAAGGGGAAGGCAACTTTAAGAGACTAAAGCGGGTTCATACTTCATGGGAATGCAAATGCAAAGCAAATTTGACGTCATGAAACGTTCGCTGCAAAATTCACCTGAGTTGAAATATGTTCAACTTTTACGAATTCGCAGCGCAAATACCTGCCACGACGTCACAAATTCCCGTTTACTTTCGCTTTCGCGCCGAGTATGAATCGGGTTAAATGAAAAAATGGTTGACAGGCACAGGTTGAAACGTAGCTCTAATCGCTCCTATTCTTTAACGAATTAATGCGCTGTAATGAACGTATGATTGTATCCAATGTTATTAACTGATATTTTGGATTCCCGGGCACAAAGCCATTAGACCTTTACATTCGGTGCTACCAGAAGTGTAATGAAAATTGCGTATAAGTTGATAACGGAAGCATTTTGCTACAGACAAACATATTATGGAAGTGTTGAGTGAGAAATGCCAAACACAAAAATCAGTGTAATGACGTCATCACCCAAAAGGGCACCCTCTACAGGGCGAGTTAAAAAAAAAGCGGAACCCAAACACCAAAAATTATATATTTCATATTTAGAAAAATATGTAGCACCACAAATAATAATGACTGAAAAGCCAATTTCATAAGCTACTTTTAGATGAAAAACTTACTGAAATTGCTCATTCCGTTCAATATCACCATTTAAACGCAATGACACTAAAACCTATCTCGTCAAAAAAAAAGAGAAGAAATTTCTTGTGTGTTTTGAATGTTTGGAACAACAAAGAAAATGACACAGAAGACTTGTTTTAACAACTGTCAACAACTGTAGTACACAATATCTTTATCAACAAACCTGGTTAGGCAAACAATATTATTTATAGAATCTACCTTTTTTAAAAGACGGGCCCTCTAAAGGACTTTGTTGAATATTGTTAACGTTTAAACTGAAATGTTAACGCTGGTGATGTTTGAAGACAATTGTGACTATACGATTCTTGAAATCGCATTTTTTTTTTGGACGAGACAGGTTTTAGGGTCATTGTTTTGAAATGGTGATATTGTTTGAACGGATTGACCAATTTCAGTACTTTTTTCATCTAAAAGTAGCTTATGAAATTTGCTTTTCCAGTCATTATTATTTTTGGTGCTATATTTTTTTTAAATAATAAAATACAATTTTTGGGGTTTGGGTTCCGCTTTTTTTACTCAACCTGTAGCAGCACAACAAAGACGTTTGAATTATTTTAATTTGAAAACCAATCGTCAAATTTTATCAAATTGCCCCTATATGTTCTTTGGAAAACTACAAATGACTTTAGAAGGTTTCAGAATCATGATGTCATCAGACCAGAAGTTACTGTGGGCAGAATTTGAAAATGATCATTTTTTAAAAAAAAAATTTATTTTGTTAATTCAAATCATTTGACCCGTTTGTAACGACTAACATGTTCCAAGCTAGCACAAATAATGATATCCGGTACAGTGTTGACATGGGGCTTCCAAATGCTGTGACATCATCAAAACGGAAGTTAGGTGTTATTAATACATACACTTAAATATTTCCAGTATTATTTCCATATTTTCAGAAGTTCTTTTCACCTCATGATGAACATGTTTCCTCTTTGAACTACATGTAAATCAAAATTCATTTTGCACATTTAAACTGATGACGTCATCAAACCGGAAATTACGTGTATATAAAATGTATACTGATATTTATCATACCACAAGAGATCCATTTTATTTTTCAAATTAAAACAAATGGTATTACCGTAAAGGTTGAATTTCGTGATCTGTTTTCAGTTCGAACATAAAAAAAACATTTGCAACTTAACTGGGCAGTGTCCAATGAAATTTTCTGTCCGATCATGTGTTTGTAACTCAACAAAACACAAATCTCTAGTTTAGTTTTGTGTTTTGTTTATTTTTGTTCACATTTGGAAAATTTTTCTAGCCCCTTATTTTAAGAACCGAATTTCATGTCCTCTCCCCCTCCCCCTCCCTTGCAGTGGAAATGAGCTACATGTACTTTTTTATGTACATGTACATTGCCCCTTGTTGTACAGACCATGGACATGTCTGAGCAATGCATGCGTATGTAACTTACCTGGTAGCAGAAATATTCCTTTCTGATGTTAAGTGTGAGGCTTGCTGAAGACAATTTATTTGTCAAGTGTCTGTGGTTTTTAGATGCACAAGTACAACAACATACTGTTTAACCACAGAAATATCTGCCTCGTCTGGAGAATAAACCCTGGCAGGGCCGGAAGTATACATTAGATCCTTGTGTGTTGCTCATAACCGTACGCTTGAGGAATTCCCCAAATGAGAAATACACGTAGGGCGTACGTATGACAGTTCTATTTATAAACTTGGCTACCTTACAAGGATCGCTTGTGATCGATGTTCATTGATCCATAGTGTCATAAAATACATTGTATGAGAGAACAATGGAGCTGCAGCCAGTGGTGTACACACTGAAGTATTCTGGCATCATGTGATATTGCACTTCCCGCACTAGCCAATAGTCAAGGCCGACGTGGCTATACCCAGAAATGTGGGGCCCCGGATGCTGGCACGAAACAAGACCAGTGCGAGTGGCGAAACCACGAGAGCCTTTATTTATATCTCGTCAAGAACGCTTATGTTTTTCTTTACATTTATCTACCAATTTGGAAGAGAAATTGTTATGCATAATGCATTACATGTTGTGAATATTCACTAAAATGCGTGCGCGTCTTGTTTGTTAGAACGCCTGCGGTGCGCGCGCCTGCACACACAAGGGCGGATCCAGGGGGGGGGGGGGCCAAAGGGGGCCATGGCCCCCCTCCCAAAACGAAACCAATTTTTTTTTTTTTTTTATGTCACATCGCAATAAAGGCAGGCAATGAGTACACCACCATCTTTTCCTCAAAAAAACATTTGCAGAAATTGCACCACAGAGCATCTAGAATCCAAAAATTTTTCGGGGCCTTTAAGCGGGCCCCGAACCCCACGCCGTAATTTTTTTGACCCACTTTTTTGGGGGACCAAATTTTTTTTGGGCCCCCCCAAAATTGTGTTCTGGATCCGCCCTTGTGCACACACACACGCACGCATGCACCTGCACACGCCCGCACGCACCCGCACGCGCCCGCTTGTGCGAATGTGGCATCATCTCAAAAAAATGGCTTCTTTGTGGTGATTGGTTCATATATATCCGCATACATGCATGATTCATATTACTTGAAAAAAAAGAAAGAATGATTAGCTCCACGTGATGGTAAAGGCACTTGTGGCTTTGCCACTTGCACTGGTCTTTTTTCGTGCCAGAATCTGGGGCACCACGCGTCCGGGTAGACACGCGTGCCTTGACTAAAGGCTCTTGCAGCACCTGCAGTAGGACAACTTTAACTGCTTTAAAAACCCTAACTCCCTACTGTCATGTGCTGGACTAAGTCCGCCAAAATACATCGATCACACTGCTTCCAATGCATGCTTTGTTGTAAGGCCTCCAGGCCCAAGTCCATCATACTCCGTCAATATTGAGTCAAACCAGGCCTGCGGGGGTGGGGGTGGATGTTGATGAAGTTGGGGAGGTTAAGTAAAGTTATTTACACATGAAGGGCTTGAACTCATCACTTTAATAAAAAAAACCCTCAGAATTATGTTATAAGCTTCAATTTTTAATGAATTCTCTTGAGAATATTTTCAGATTACAACCAGTTACAACTAACAGACATATGGCAATTTGTGAAATTGCAAACCTTTTATTGTGTACGCTTATACACGTAGGTCTTCTCCTCCAAATGGTAATTGAGAGGGAAGTCTGCCAGAGTGTTTCCATATGCCTTGAAATGAACACACAATTTTCTTCTTCAGGAAGCAATAAGTATACACTTTTAATGTTAAAGTACACCACAAATTTAAGCTACAAAATAAAAATTCTTCAGTAATACTTTAAGTAATTCTATAGAATAAGTTCTCACCAGGCCGCATGACTTCATGATACCGTTGATCAACTAAGATTTGTTACTGTTTCTCTTAAGATCTTAGTAAGAGTCACTCATATCTCATTTCAAAGTGAAAGGGAAGTATTTAATTTCATGATGTGAGCGTGTGGTCAAATAGTACTGCAAACCTAGTGAATCCGCCTGTAAATCCACCTGATGCAGAACTTTTTTCTTCTTTAAAATAACCTTTTTTTTTTAATGTTTTATGTTTCCCAATATTAAACAATACTCTAGTTAAAGTCAATATTATCTCCAATACAAGTAATTGCTCATTATTTCATTTTACGTTGGATGTTATTAGTCTTTTAAGAAATAATCCTCTCCTATTATAGCTTTTTAATGTCATCGCTAATGTTCTTTTTTTAAGTATGTGTGATTTTTATGATGTTTTCTATTGTAATTTGAGCGCAATTCAGCTTTTGGCTGACAAATTCTTATAAAGCACTATTTTCAAATTCACATTCAAATTATGACATTAGCCTTAATCCTAACAAATTTACTTTGCCCTAAAATTTAACATCATAACTTAACAGGACTTGGCTTGCAAACTCCTGCTCGGGGTATCAGTTTAAAGGGAAAATACAACATTTGCAAACATCAAAAATAAAAACTATTAAATCATTTTGAAATACCTTGCTGGACTGTTAGTGAATGACAGTGTAAAGCATCCTGTAAAATCATGGCACCTGGTATACTGTCATTTTCAAGAAAAGTGGTATTTTTGTATCAATTTCCAACGCTGATCGGCCGATCAGCGTTGGAAAAAACTGGCTTTTTTTCAAATACTGGCCCCAATTGACCATCGCACTTGTTTGCAATCGATTACAAACCTATGAACGGGCACAAGCCAGCTAGACTGGTTCCCTGACCTTACAATTCCCCAATGTATGTAAACTGCTCTGTTTTTTCTTATATGGAGTCAGGGAACCAGACTAAAGGAAAATGATTGTTTTTCTTGGTTTTTATAGCATTTTCGAACCCAAAACCTCAAAAAAGTCAGTGTAACTATATTTGCTATATATTTCCAACCCCCCAATTCTATCGATTTCTGAAAATTACAGCAAAAGCAAATGATGTATATTCCCTTTAAAAGGATAACGCTGTGCATAAAAAAGCAATTTTAAGGATTTTAGTCTAGCATAAAATGCACTGCATCCAATATTACATGCAAATCAAACAGGAACCCACTTTCAACATGCATCGTACAGCCTTTGGAAAGAATGTTGCATCTTGACGCCACTTTTTTTTTTCATCATATGATCTCACTACAGTCAGTCATGCAAATGCAAGTCATTGCAAAAATGTTGAAAAGACATGAATCTGGGACTACAAAACATTTAGGACAATTTTGCCAGAAAATACTTTGAAAATACTCTTGACTCTCCATAGACTTTGTGCACAACCACTGAAGTGGCTTCTGGAACATTCTTTCCCCAGCCGTTTAAATCATTTTGAAAAGGAAAAAAGGAAATACAAGATTATAATCACTTTTAACTATTTACAGGTTCCTGTGTTTTATAAAATTGTCTGTATGTCATATTAGCAGCCAATCCAAGGGCGGATCCAGAGCACAATGTTTTTTGGACTGCCAAAAACAATTTTGGTCCCCCCAAAAGTGGGTCCAAAATATTAATATGCATTGAACAGCCTTTTGGAAAGAATGTTGCATCCTGACCCCACTTTTTCTCATCATATGTGATCGCAATGAAGGTCAGTCATTGAAATATGTTGAAAAGACATGAAGCTGGGACTGAGAAACATTTCCGACAATTTTGCTAGAGAGTACTTTGAAAATACTCTAGACTCTCCATAGACTTTGTGGACAACCACTGAAGTGGCGTCTGGATATTACATGTTCATTCTTTCCCCGCCGTTAAAATCATTTTGAAAAGAAATAGGCCTATGAGATTCTAATCACTTGTAACTACATGTATTTACAGGTTCTTGTGTTTTATGAAATGTCTGTATGTCATAAGCGGCCAAGCTACATAACATTGCACAATCCGCATTCAGGTTTTAAAAATATTTTGAATATGAAGTGTATATACCAAAAAGAGAAAGCAGTCTTTGTTTTTCGAGGCTGTTTGTTGCCATTGCTTTGCTTTGTTCCTGTATGTGCTTGAGCATTATTGGCTATACAGAATTGGGTGCATACCTATAGATGTTCCCCAATACCTATGTTCCCTAACCGTTACCCTAACCCTAACCAATTATTCTTAGGATTTTGGGGAACGTAGGCATGGGGAAGTCCCACAGAATTGGGTCTAATATTGCAGGGAGCTGCTATGTATAATTTATTACTAAGCAAAGAAAAATTCAGCTTAGAACCACTTGCTAGCAACACACATTTTTGTATATCACATGACATATATAGTTACCTTGTTATGGTATTTATTCCCAGTGCCACGTAAATATTTTGTGGCCTGCAGCCTTGTGTCCCTGGAGTCAGTGGCCTGTGCCTTTCCATATTTTTTTCCAGTGGTAATAGCCATGTGGCCATTAAGTCACAAACTGCATAACAGTCAACTTTATCCACAATTTGCTTTCACACTTACTCCCTTCATGGAGCTATCAGTATCTCCAAATTGTATGACTCTCTTTAATCCGCTAAAACCCAACTCGTTTGAGGGGTTATAGCTCTATGTTCCGACACCCCTATGTTCCGACTGCACATATTCCTATTCCTAACCCTAACCCTAACCCTAACCCTAACCGGGAATAACACAATCTAGGTTGTCGGAACATAGGGGTGTCGGAACATAGAGCAGTCACCGTTTGAGGTATTCGTATGGATTCAAGATTTTACAGCCCAGCTTTTAGTACATTACAAGCAGAAGTGCCTCCCCCAATTAAAACAGTCTACAGTTAAGCATCACTTTGAGGCAGATACCACTCTACAGCTCTGTCAGACCCATTCATCATGGTGAGGTCCCTTGCATTCACTCGATACTGGAATGGAACAAGTTTGTTCAGTCCCTTCCGAAAGTCACGCATTTGAAGGCCGTGATATTTCTTGACACTCTCAAATGATGGTACTTCCTTGAGTGATGGTATGCCTAGTCCCCCTCCCATGATGTCACCCCGGAGATACATCAGAAAGAAGATGGTATTGTCGTAATACTCTCGTACGGGATTTAAGCCATTGGTATATGTTCCGGTGTCTTGAATACACAAATCTTTACATCTCTCAAACAAGGGACAAAATGGTGTAATGTTTGCTCCTGGTACTGTCACAATCCAGTTCATACTCTCAGTGACAATAGCTGAGTAGCTGTTGTTGGCATTAAGCAGTGGCTTGAACGTCTGCAGGAGTTTAGCGAATCCCACATAGTCAGCAAGGTTTGAAGTGAAGATTCGGTCGTAGTTGGGCATGCTCCAGGTTTGATGGTGATTAGGAAAGTCCAGACAGTTGGCCAAGGAGACATGGATAAGGAGCCTACCTTGAAGGATGAGACTCTTGACTTTCTGGAGGAGGTTTGTCACGTACTTGTGGTACATTACCATCGGAGAGGAGTGGGATCCAGGAGTGAGCTCTCTTACTTTCAAACAGTCCCACACTGCAAAAGGAATGGATGACTCCTTGATGCAGTACACAAATTCACAATCTTCTGGGGCCGTTATATCACAAACATATTCAAAGTGTGCGCTGCGTCCAGTTAGTGTTGGGTTGTCATATGGCAAAGTTTCTTGTGTGTTAGTGGGGACAAACAAAGCATGGTCATACCACTCCTTGTTGGTCTTCTGGTCTTCAGGCGATAGACCTGCTAGGTAAAGCGACACACCTTCCCTCACTTTATCTGGCTTAAACACTTTCTCTCTTTGCTTTCTTAGATTGATCGAGGTTCTCTTGCCTTTTTGGCATTCCAGTGTTTGCCATCTTTCCCAAACCTGACACAGATACCTAAGATCTTCATCCAGGACACTCACCAGTCCTTTGGTAGCATCATGGAGTTGCTGTGCACTCATCTGAGTGAGTTCATCCAAGCTTTTCTTGACCAAGTCGTACTCTCTCTTGGAAATATGGAGTGAGTACCAGATGGTTGTCAAACTGGAAGCAATGTAGTCAGTGTCTGCGAAGCGGACCAACATGAAGAGAAACAGCACATTCCTTGCCATGACAAAAGGGTCGTAGTCATTGAGGGTGATGTGAAGTTTCCCCCGGTGCTCATCAGGCAAGGAAGCAGCTGTCATCACAGTGTTGCGCAAGTCTCCACAACCAGCAGATAAGACATGGAAATCCCTGGCCAACTGTACAGCTGCTGTCTCATCGAACAACTCATTACTGGCAATTTTAAGGAAATCTTTGGCCAAAGTGTTCCCAAAGTAATGACTTGAGTCATCTACCCTTGTGCTAGATGCTAATTTAGAGTTTCTTGCTGCAAGTTTGATAGACAGTTTGATTATGAGTGACTTGATTTTATTGCAATTCTCTTTATGGGCTGGCCAGTCACTTCTCTGACACTTCTTATTGCAGTACCATGCACTGTTGCAACTTGCACACTGAGGAAAAAAACATAAAAGACAAGGATATCTTCAAATATGAAATGAAAAGTGTTTTTGCCAAGTTCAAGTACATATTGCAATGGATAAAATTAGCAAATCAAGTCTGTTATTCCATAGAGCTAGGACCCAAGGCGTTCGAACTCCAAGACTTCTAAAGTAAAAGGATGGTCGCCACGCTCAAAGCAACGATATAAAGCACCTGGATCTGGACCCAGCTTGCTCAGTTGTTCACCAAGCATCTCTACACAATAGAGATCTGCGCTCCCTAGTGCTAGAAGAAAGAGTTAGCCTTGCTTTGTAGACAGTACCATGGTAAATACGCATGCGCAGTTGTCATACATCGCCAAAAATGAATGATTTTGAAGTGTTTGTTCACATTTGGATAATAATGTATATCAATGTGGTCAACATCACTGAAACAATCATTTCATGACGAACAAAATGCTCTATACCTTTGGTATGAAAACTTGAGAAATTTAAAAAAAAATCAGATTTCATAAATGATATATTGCTAATTAAAATGTCCGAAAAGACATGATAACTTATCAGAAAAAAATTGAATTTATCTTCAAATTACAGGGACAGATAGCGCTTTCATGGACCAACAACTGTACATTGAAACCTTGAATTCATAACTCACATCTAACAACTGCGCAGTTGTTGAAACCCATGTTGTCGTAAAATATATTTTTCAAAAAAGAGCAGCAACGTGACATGACTTATTATGCAGCATATAGGGAGGTTGTTGGTTACCAACTAACAAGGCGGCCACGATCATCGTGTTCAAAGGCCACTTGCAGTCATGCAATGAATGGTCCAGGCTTGCGGTCACAGTGCTGTAGCTATAGACATTCCCGAGGGATTGGAATGTTTATGGTCAAAATGTACATCCCCAAAGAGTTCTGACTCCTTGTGTCCTAGCTCTATGGTTATTTAATGCAAAACTTGATTGAACACCTTCAAGACCAAAGGGTCAAGGCATTCTATCGGTTCAACTTAATAGCATTAAGATGACCTTTCCCGGCGCCTCCTAGAATTCACGTTTTCGGGGGTTATTTTGAGCGATACATGTGAGTTAAAAAATGCAGAATTGTTTTTAGTAAAGACACCAGCAGAAAAATTCAAATGCTGAGTTGGCATATCACACCATAGAGCTAACTCCTCATTCTTGCGCGCGGGCCGTCCTGGGTGCAGACGTTTTGAATTCATGTGCATGTTTGTAGAACATGGAATTAGATGCATTGAATTTTGATAGTGTACTCTAAATGCAACACGCAAGTAGAGCGCACGCAAACAACTTAAGCGCATCATTACGGTTAAGTTGTTAATACCGTCGCGGTTAATCTGCAGCTGATACCAACATGCATTGCGCTGTTTGTGTACAGCAAAATGACATGCTCATGTGCTGATCGTGCGTTTCATTTTTGGGCGTGTCGACTTTGTTAACGCACCTGCATAGAATACAAAGGCAGATGCAAATATAGCTGTACAAAAGCCGTACAAAATTTCCCATAGGTTTGTGTAGAAACATGGATGCGCCCAGCAGGCATCACTTTGTACATGCGTCAGCGCTCTAGTAATTTAATATAGCTCTATATGCATCATGTCTTAGAGGGCCAGCACCCGATTTCGTGAAGTGCTGCGATGCATCGCAACTCAAGTTATGATGTGTAACACATCGCAACTCGCAACGCCTCGTATAATCAATTTCAAGAAACTTGCGATGTGTTGAACGTTTCGTAAGTTCCTTGACAACGGCTTAAAACGCGTTGCAAGTTACGACGTGTCAAGTGGTCATCGCAAAATAAGAAGAGTCAGTTTCTTGACCAGTTAACGAGATTATAATACCGAGGCAATGTGAGGAAAGTTGTAAATAGAGAATTCATTGAATAATTATGAATTAGCCTTGAAATTTCAAATTACTGGTAGCTATATGTTTACACAGTCCACTGAGAGCTTGTTTTCTTTTAAAATTGCATATATAAGGCGGCCGCCACTTTGACCTTCTTGTAACAAATTTCGAGCGGAGATCCGACGACTCTTTGTTGAATATCAGACGACCATTACTGTATGCTGACTAAATACATAAAACAGTTACTGAGGAGTCGTGCTATGAATACATGTACACACATTGCGCGTCGCACGTATGACTGTTTTGTGAAATGGATCGCAGGATGCGTCGCACTGTGCTGCGCATCGTAGGGATACGACGCATCGCAGCGCTGCGATGCATCGTAAGTCACGATGAGTTTCATGAAATCAGGTGCTGCCCAGTCTACTCTATTATATCTCACTGACTGACTTGCTGGCTGTCACGAGACAGGCAGAGCTATCTAATACATGTATAAGATTACATCAATGAATTTTGTGCACTCTGGGACCAGCTTTACAAGGCTTGCTCTTTCACATTTTTTTTATCCCCCTGGCTTTCAAGCCAGAATGGGAATTAAAAAACAAATTTGGGGTTGAAAGAGTTTTCACAGTTTTAAGTAAAGTTATTTTTTTGTACCGAGTTTTCTTAACTAACACAAAAACAAAGGAATGCATATGCATGTCCACATAGTGTATGTAAAACAAACGTGGGTGTGATATACATGTATGTCTGAAAGACATAGAGAGTTCCATTTTGGTACAGTTCATGGTATCTGGTAACGTGATTAGAGTTAGGCAACAGGTCATGACCTTCAGGGCTACTCTGAGCCAAAGATGCCTGTACATGTACACAAACTCGACTGACATGTACATGTTTGTTACGTGCATAATACTGCCAGGGGGATGGTGCAAGTTTACTTACAGTATTTATTTTTTTTTAGTGGGGGGGGGGGAGTATTTTGAATATAGTTATAAAACCACTGTATGTATCCTACCTCACTGATATTTGGAGCTGTCCTCCCACATGAGGCACATGTTTTGTGCCGATAAAGTTGGCACTCCACACTTCCATGTCTGACTTTGTCTCTGTCTCGGCATGGCGTGCTGCAGTACTTTGCTATCTTACAAAACTCGCAGGGCACTGAATGTTGAGGGAGAACCCTCTCACAACGCCAGCAGTGTCCAGGCTGAACATCCATGAGTATTGCTGTATTAATGTCAAATGAGGAAATAGTTAACAAGTTTCAATTAATCGGCAACACATAAATTTAGTTCCTGTAGTTCGTAAGTGATTTCATTGAGTGTAGAGATGACTTGAAAATTCATTTTGTAGCTTGAATTTGAAGAGTGCAGTACTACGTACTTCAGTTACATGTGTTATTCGTAAGATGCTCAGAAGACTTCCAGCACCACTCCCCTCCCCATCCCCTCCCCCATCCCCTCCCCCCACCCCTCCCCCCCCCCCCCACCCTGATTCTACCACAACAAAAAGAGAACAAAATTAGTGACCACATGTATCTCATGATCAAATAATTATTTGTAAAAATTGACATGCACATGCTTAAATAATCACTCAAAACCAGTAAATTTTCCAAATTAAAAAAAAATTCTTTCAAATTGCATCAGTGTTGACATTTATTTCGGTACCTCCTCCTTCTTGATAGATTACTGTCCACAGGCGCCTTTTGGAGTGGAATTGTGTTGTAATGTTTGCCAACGTACCATATGCCCACATATTTTATCAATTTATTAGACATGCACATACATACCGTTCATGTACACGTACATGCATGCTCATGTACATTTTAATGTACCAAGTTATTAATTGTAGACTATAGCAGTCATGTTTACCTTGTAATGTCGATGTTACAATGCTGAAAAAGACCAAGAATGTTCTAGTGCTTTCTGTAGTTTTCAGGTGTACTATGTACATATGTAGCTAAATGATCTGGCAGGGCGATAAATTCACCATACGTTGCGCCACAAGGTAGCGGCAGTGACACACACAGGGAAGAGATAACTTATGCTTACATCACTAGGTTGTGAACAAGGTCATATGACATGATAGAACATGAATTATGCAGGGTACGTGTGACCGGGAGATAAGTGGTATATGCACACAGTGGTATATGTACATACATATTACCTGGTAGCAGAAATATTTGTTTGTGATGTAAAGTTCCTGGGTTGTTGAAGACAAACAATTTATTTGTCAAGTTTCTGTAATTTTTAGATGCGGAATTAAACAGCATAAGTTTGACAATAGAAATATCTGCCTCATCTGGAGAATAAATCCTGGCTCATGCCATATTTTCAATGGGGAGCGCCAATAAAATCCTAAAATCATTCACACTATATTAACTAATACACCCTTGTCACAGCTATTTCTTCTTTAGGGGGAGACCGTTCGCGTACATCACAATCTTTCTTTTTGCTAATGCATTTTTTTTTTTATGGAATTTATTGGGGGGGGGGGGGCTATACAAAAATTTTGGGGGCTACAGCCCCCCCCCCCCCCCCTGTAGAACCGCGCCTGCCAGTTGGGAAAATAAAATGAGAGCTAGGTTTTATTGCTTTAATCTGGCATGAAAGTAAGGACATGAATTCTCCACTTTAAATCTTAAAATATCTGTGCGTAAAAGTTGCCTCAGTTAGCATTAACTTTATTTAAAGCTAATTTTCTTTAAAGAATTTGTTTCGGGGTGGGGAGGCAGACCCATTGTTCAAGGGGAATTACGACCACTTACAACACTTACATGTACGACCACTTACAACATACAGACATTGCATGGCAATTTGTTTTAGCAACATTGTGTCTTTATTTTCAGATACTTAATGTGTGTGCACACAACGTTACTGCTCGATCCTCACAACATTAATTGAGAGAAAAGGTTATGCTGGTGTTTCCATGACTTAAAAAAAACTTGGTAACCCTCTCCCCGCCCCCCCCCCCCCCCCTCCCCCAACCCCCGGAAAATTTCTCACTTTTTTTCAAATGTAAATGGTAGATCACTTATAACTATTTACAGGCTCTTGTATTTTATACAATTTGTGTTGGTGATAAGCAACAAAACTACAACACGGATCTGCATTCATGTTTTCAAAATATTTTACATAATGAATTTTCAAGATGTAAGTTTCGTTCAAATTTTTCATTTTGGATGTTTTCTAACATCTGAAAATGTATTTGTTTTTGCAGACGGGTGGGGATGGTGGTGTTGTATTTGCACCCATAAGATGGTGTCAAGAAAGATAGGCCTGAATTATTGTGGGCCTGCAAATAATTTGAAAATTTTATAGTAAATGTTTCATAATTAAACAAGGGCAGATTTGGGTTGTTTTCTTTTTTTTATGTCGCTGTCAAAAGTAAATAAATTTTGATTTGCCAGAAAATGAGAAATTTAAAAACAAGATCTATTTTTTAAGAGACATATGAAAAAATGGTTGACTAGCACAAGTTGAAAACGTAGCTCTAATAGGTCCTATTCTTATATGAATTAATACGCTGTAATGATGCCATTTTGGGGTTGTAATTGAACGGGTATCCAATGTTATTTACTGATATTTTGGATCCTTGGGCACAAAGCCCTTTGACCTTTACTTCTGGTGCTACCAGAAGTGTAATGAAAATTGCATATGAGTTGATAACGGAAGCATTTTACTACAGACAAACATATTATGGAAGTGTTGAGTGAGAAATGCCGAACACAAAAATCAGTATAATGACGTCATCACCCGAAAGGGCACCCTCTACAGGTTGAGTTATAAAAGCGGAACCCAAACCCCAAAAATTATATTTCATATTTAGAAAAATAATAATTACCGGGAATGGGTCATTTGGGAGACTTTCCCATAAACTTGTGCACAAAATTTTTCCAACTTAAATGTGCCCTAACCCAATATTCCCTTGTCCTTTTTCCAGGAATTTCGGTATGTTTACTAATTAGACAACGAGCAACAAATATAACCTAATTGCGACAGTAACATTTTGCCTCTAAAGGGGGGCTGTGCCATTAGGGAGACAGGTATGTGTCTCCCTAAAAGCCGGTGTCTCCCCGTTATTGAAGAAATTACGATAACGTGTCTCCCTAATGGTACATTTGTAGGAATATATAGCACCACAAATAATAATGACTGGAAAGCCAATTTCATAAGCTACTTTTAGATGAAAAACTTACTGAAATTTCTCATTCCGTTCAAAGATATTAAACACTACATAGTTAAAGTCAATATTATCTCCAATACAAGTAATTGCTCATTATTTCATTTTACGTTGGATGTTATTAGTCTTTTTTAAAATAATGCTCGCCTATTGCTAATGTTCTTTTTTTTTTTTAAGTATGTGTGATTTTTATGATGTTTCTATTGTAATTTGACCGCAATTCAGCTTTTTGCTGACGAATTCTAATAAAGCATTTCACATTCACATTCAAATTATGACATTAGCTTTAATCCTAACAAAGTTACTTTGCCCTAAAATTTAACATCATAACTTAACAGGACTTGACTTGCAAACCCCTGCTCGGGGTATCATTTTAAAAGGATAACGCTGTGCATAAAAAAAGCAATTTTAAGGATTTTAGTCTAGCATAAAATACACTGCATCCAATAGTACATGCAAACCAAACAGGAACCCACTTTCAACATGCATCGTACAGCCTTTGGAAAGAATGTTGCATCTTGACGCCACTTCTTTTTTCATCATATGATCTCACTACAGTCAGTCATGCAAATGCAAGTCATTGCAAAAATGTTGAAAAGACATGAATCTGGGACTACAAAATATTTAGGACAATTTTGCCAGAAAATACTTTGAAAATACTCTTGACTCTCCATAGACTTTGTGCACAACCACTGAAGTGGCGTCTGGACATCACATGTACATTCTTTCCCAGCGGTTTAAATCATTTTGAAACGAAATAAGAAATACAAGATTATAATCACTTTTAACTATTTACAGGTTCCTGTGTTGTATACACTTTTCTGTGTGTCATATAAGCAGCCAAGCCAAGGGCAGATCCAGAGCACAATGTTTATTGGACTGCCAAAATACAATTTTGGTGTCCCCCCCCAAAAAAAAAGTGGGTCCAAAATATTAAGGCAAGGGGTTTGGGGCCTCCTTTAATAAGGGCCCGAAAACTTTTTGGATTCTAGATGCTCTGTGGTGAACTGACAATTTCTTTTGAGGAAAAGATGGTGGTGTGTGCAGTGCCTGCCTTTTTTGCAACATCTGCCCTTGAGCCAATCTACATTACTTTGTACATGAATCCGCATTCAGATTTCAAAAATATTTGGTATATTACCATGAGGGGTTTGGGGCCCGCATTATAAGGGCCCCAAAATGTTTTTGGTTCTAGACGCTCCGTGGTGCGATCTGAGGCAATTTCTGACCACTTTAACCTAATTTTTTTGAGGAAAAGATGGTGGTGTACGCAGTGCCTGCCTTTATTGAAACGTCACTTAAAAAAGTTTTGGGGGGGGGGCATGGTCCCCGTTGCCCCCCCCCCCCCCTCCGATCTGCCTTTGAGCCCAGTTACATTACTTTGTACGTGAAACCGTATTCAGGTTTCGAAAAATGTTTTGTATATAAAGGCTACATGTATATACTAAAATCCTGACTGTGGGAACATGGTCCTTATGCTCTTGAGCAAGGCACTTTACCATTATTGCTTCGTCCTTCGGATGGGACGTAAAGCCTTAGGTCCCGTGTGTTGTGTAATGCACGTTAAAGAACCCATTAGTACCACTTTTTGTTAAGAGAAGGGGTTTGTCCCTGTGTTTCTAGGAGTGGCTGCAATATGCACCGCAGCACCTTGTAAAAGGTGCAACATAATGGTTCTCATATTTCACATAAACTTTATTTACCTTTCTTTAATAACAGACAATTTCCAGCACCTTGAGTACCTAATTGTTGGTAGATATGTGCGCTATATAAGACTCTAGTATTATCCAAGAAATTACAGACCAGTGTTTATTACCCCATTACATTACAAGCAGTATTTGATGCCTCAACACCCCCCCCCCCCCCCCCACTTCAGAAAAGTTAAGCATCACTTTGAGGCAGATACCACTCTACAGCTCTGTCGTAGCCATTCAGCATGGTGAGGTCCCTTGCATTCACTCGATACTGGAATGGCACCAGTTTGTTCAGTCCTTTCCGGAAGTCACGCATTCGGAGGCCGTGATATTTCTTGACACTCTCAAATGATGGTACTTCCTCGCGTGGTGGTATGCCTAGTCCCCCTGCCATGAAATCTGCTCGGAGATACATCAGAAAGCAGATGGTATTGTCGTAATACTCTCGTACGGGATTTAAGCCATCGGTATATGTTCCGGTGTCTTGAATACACAAATCTTTAGATCTCTCAAACATACTGGAATCAGGTGATGTAATGTTTGCTCCTGGTACTGTCTCAATCCAGTTCATACTCTCAGTGACAATAGCTGAGTAGCTGTTGCTGGCATCAAGCAGTGGCTTGAATGTCTGTAGGAGTTTAGCGAATCCAACATAGTCAGCAAGGTTTGAAGTGAAGATTCGGTCATAGTTGGGCATGCTCAAGGTTTGATGGTGATTTTTCGGAAAGGCCAGACAGTTGGCCAAGGAGACGTGGATAAGGAGCCTTCCTTGAAGGATGAGACTCTTGACTTTCTGGAGGAGGTTTGTCACGTACTTGTGGTACATCACCATCGGAGAGGAGTGGGATCCAGGGGTGTTCTCTCTTACTCTCAAACAGTCCCACACTGCAAAAGGAAATGATGACTCCTTGATGCAGTACACAAATTCACAATCTACTGGGGCTGTTACATAACAAACATTTTCAAAGTGTGCACCGCGTCCAGTTAGTGTCGGGTTGTCAAATGGCAAAGTTTCAATTTTCACCGTTTGAGTTGGGACAAACAAAGCATGGTCAAACCACTCCTTGTTGGCCTTCTGGTCTTCAGGCGATAGACGTGCTAGGTAAGCTGATACACCTTTCACAAGATATGGCTCAAACACTTTCTCTCTTTGCTTTCTTAGATTGATTGAGGTTTTCTTGTCTCTTTGACATTCCAGTGATTGCCATCTTTCCCAAACCTGACACAGATCCCTAAGATCTTCATCCTGGACAGTCACCAGTCCTCTTGTGGAATGACTGAGTTGTTGAGCACTCATCTGAATGAGTTCATCCAAGCTTGTCTTGATCAAGTCGTACTCTCTCTTGGAAATATGGAGTGAGTACCAGATGGTTGTCAAACTGGAAGCAATGTAGTCAGTGTCTGCGAAGCGGACCAACATGAAGAGAAACAGCACATTCCTTGCCATGACAAAAGGGTCAAAATCGTTAAGAGTTATGTGAAGTTTCCCCTGGTACTCATCAGGGAGGGAAGCAGCCGTCAAAACTGTGCTGCGTAAATCTCCGCATCCAGCAGATAAGACATGGAAATCCCTGGTCAACTGTTCAGCTGTCGTCTCACCAGACAACTCATTATTGGCAAGTTTAAGGAAGTCTTTGGCCATAGTGTTCCCAAAATAGTGACTTGAGTCAGCTACCCTTGTATTACATGCTAATTTAGAGTTTCTTTTTGTTAGATCAGCAGACAGTTTTGTCACGATTTCCTTGACTTTTTTGCATAACTCTTTATGGGCTGGCCAGTGTCTCCGCTGACACCCCTTATTGCAGTACCATGCATCATTGCAACTTGCACACTGAGAAAAATATAAAAGACAAGGATGTCCTCAAAATATGAAATGGAACTTTTCTTTGCTAAGGTCAGGTAAAAATTACAATGGGCAAAACTTGCAAATCAAGTCCGTGATTTAATGCATAAATTGATTGAACACCTTCGACACCAAAGGGTCAAGGCATTCTATCGATTCAACTATATAGCATGGAGATGACTTTTACCCTCCTAGAATTCATGTTTTTGGTTCATTTTGAACAATACTTGTGAGGTGAAAAATGAAGAATTGCTTTTAGTAAAGGCGACAGCAGAAAAATTCAAAAGTTGGCATCACACAGATGTATGTATGTATAAAATTTGATGGTCTTAGAGGGCCAGCCTATTGTCCTCTATTATGGCTTTCTGACTGACTGACTGACTGACTGACTGGCTCCCCATCTCCCCTTGTGAGACAGGCAGAGCTATCATTACATCAATGAATTTTGTACACTCCAGGACCAGCTTTACAACGCTAGCTCTTTTTTTTCTTTTCTTGGGTTGGGGGGAGGGGGAATTTTGAATATAATTGTAAGCCACTGCATGTATCCTACCTCACTGAAGATATTTGGAGCTGTCCTCCCACATGTGTCACATTTGTTGTCCCCATAAAGGTGGCACTCCACACTTCCGTGTCTGACTTTGTCCTTGTTTCGGCATGGCGTGCTGCAGTACTTTGCTATCCTGCAAAACTCGCAGGGCACTGAATGTTGAGGGAGAACCCTCTCACAACGCCAGCAGCGTCCAGGCTGTACATCCATGATTATTGCTGCATTGATGTAACATGAGAAAATCATTAACAAGTTTCGATTAATCAGCAATAAAAGCATAAATGTAGTTCCTGTAATTTGTAAGTGATTTCATTGAGTGTAGAGATGACTTTAAGATTCATTTATTGGCTTGAATTTGAAGATTGCAGTACTACGGTACTTCAGTTACGTGTATTATTTGTACGTATGCTCAGGAGACTTCCAGCACCACTCTCCTCTCCCTCTTTCCCATCCCCACCCCACCCCCACCCCCCATCCGTATCCCTACACCCACCCCCCATCCGTATCCCTACCCCCACCCTACACTGATCCTACCTCAACAAAAAAGAGAATAAAAATAGTGACTACATGTATCTGTTGATCGAATAAACGTTTGTAAAAATTGACATACACGTGCATAAATGTTCAGAAAAATATGCCCAATCAATCAAAGCCACTAAATTTTTCCAGTTTCAACAAAAAAATTCTTTCAAATTGGATCAATTTCCCCATTCAATTAACCAAGTTCCCTCCTTCTTGATAGATTACTGTCAATAGGTGCATTCCCTTCAAGTGGAAGACCGGGAGAAATAGAACGACACACAGTTCACAAAAAGTACAATTTACCATACATACTGTAATCTTACCTGGTAGCAGAAATATTCCTTTGTGATGTAAAAGTTCCTAGGTATTAGGTAGTTGAAGACAAACAGTTTATTTGTCAAGTTTCTGTAATTTTTAGATTCGGAAGTACAAGAGCATAAGTTGGACAATGGAAATGTCTGCCTCGTCTGGAGAATAAATCCTGGCTGGCTGGGCTGGAAGGACAATTGCACTGTGTGCTGCTCATATCCGTAGGCTTGGGGAAATCCATACATAAGAAATACACGTAGGCCAATGTTATTTATTAACTTGGCTTTTGTGAGAGGATCACTTTGTATCATTGTTCATCGATCGATAGTGTCATACGTTATAAAAGAGGTTATCGTTAGAGAAATATGCAGCTAAGCAAATTCCACCGTCACTCACATTACATTAATATGCCATGAGGCTACTTTGACCTCTCGCTGCTTCAAAAGTATTTGATCAAGCTGAATCACACCAGCCATACAACAACCTTGGGGTAAGGGGTACTCAAAATGGAAAAGAAAACTCAATCCATCCGTTCAGTTTTTGAAAACATGTGTTTTGTTGGTCGTCACTCACGTTACAAAAAAAGGACATGGAAAATTGTCCTGCAATTTTGTTGTTAAAGTCTCCTCAATCTGTAGGCTGCAACACAGAAGTAACACTATTTTACCTTTCATTCAACCCATAGCTATATATATAAAAACCCATTTTGAATCAAATAAGTGTGTATTTGAGATGCAAGGGACGTTAGATTACAGGGAGGTGCCGTCACTCACGTTACCTCACTCATGTTACGTCCTCTTCATGGTTCGAACACGGCATAAAATCTGAGTTTGATGAACTGCAACATAATGAAACTCTTTTCTTAAAATATGTGAACCTTTCTCTCTGCCTTAAACACAAAAACTCTCAATAACGGTCACATTGTGCATGTTAAAACTAGGTGCCAAAATGACGACCGTAACTAAAATCCATGATCTTAGCCCCCAAAAAAATTTGACCCAAAATCACACTTAACTACATTCCATCTCTTACTTAAGGAGTAGCATCTCCAACTCTCCTCAGTCTCCTGACGATGACTAGAGCAGGCTAGTCGAAACGTTGAGACCAAAGACAAGTTCATTTAGAACTTACAGCAGGACTGTTCTTATCAGAACAAAAAACTACTTAGCGAAGTTGATAATAAGCAGGACAAGTTCTTTTCAGAACTAAATATCTTCTAAGCAGTAGTTATTACCACATGGTGTTACCGCAAACCGAAATGATACATTCCATCTCATTGGCACACCACTCAAATGAAAGATCTTGTCCCCTTTAATTGGACGCATTCGATGTTGTGATGCTTGTAGTTTGGAATATTTCATACAGTTTCCACTTTTGCGTGGAATTGCCCAGTTGCGGTATACACACGGGTGTACCGAGATAACACACCTTCATGGAAATTTAGTTCTGTTTGTGACCAGTAAGACAAATGAAATGAGAGATAGCTTTTATTGCTTTAATCTGGCATGAAAGTAAGGACATGAATTCAACACTTTTAAAATATATGTGCGTAAAAGTCGCCTCAGTTAGCATTAAATTCATTTAAAGCTTTTTTTTTAAAGAATTTGCTTTGGGGTGGGGGAGGTAGACCCATTGTTGAAGGGGATAAGCGCATTTTTTTACCAACAGAATATTTTACGACCACTTACAACACACAGACATTGCATGGCAATTTGTTTTAGTAACATTGTGTCTTTATTTTCAGATATTTAATATGTGTGCACACAATGTTACTGCTCGATCCTCACAACATTAATTAAGAGAAAAGGTTATGCTGGTGTTCCCATGACTTGAAAAAAAATATTGGTAACCCTCCCCCCCCCCCCCCCCAGAAAATAAATTTCTTACTATGCCACTGTTTTTTAGGCTCATTGTGAAGAGAACTTTCTGACAAAAATTTAAATGTAAGGCCAAAAAAAATAATAAGTCGGTCTCTGGTCAGCGCGCCCGTCGATTTTTATCATGCGCGTCAATCTTTTTTTTCCTCCAAAATGTTCCACAGTAGCTCCAACAGCGCCCTCTATTTCCGCACCTCCTCAATTTTTTATTGGAAATTGCACCAAGGCAAATGATCGAAAGCACCAAGGCAAATTATGGAGGACACCAATGTACATGAGGACACCAAAAAAGCAAAATAGTACCCCACCTTGTCTGTACAATCCAAGCTTGAAGAAAGAAAGAAAGAAAGAAAAAAAAAAGCCGCGTGGCCGCGTCAACTCTGGAACTTTAGTCTGACCAGAGACCGAATATTTTTTTTTTTTGGCCTAAAAGGTTCAATGTAGATCACTTTTAAATTTACAGGCTCTTGTATTTTATACAATTTGTGTTTGTGATAATAGCAACCAACCTACGACACGAACTTGCATTCATGTTTTTAATATATTTTACATAAACTGTATACATAAAAGTGTCAATTTTAAGAAGTGCTAGCCTTTTAAAGCTGTTCATCATTGCCTCGTTCTTGTAATTGAGCATCATTGACTAAAACAGAATTGGGTCTAATTCCATGGAGCTGTAAGGTGTAATTTATGATGAGAAACAAATCAGCTTAGACCCACTTGCAAGCAGCATACATTTTTGGTTCAACACATGACACCTTGTCTGAGTATCATCCATTCTCCATGCAGCCCATCTCCGGTAGAATGTCTGATACATCTAAGCACGCTTGACGTCATTTCATTTCAAAATCTGAACTAAGATTGTGATTGGTCAATTTATAAGCTACATTTTTGGAATACAACAACCTGTACAAAAGTGCTACTCGTCGTGGGTGTGATGTTTATGCACGCGGGGAGCTCGCCATGGGCGTCGCCAGGATTTTTTCTAGAGGGAAAATGCTTGTATTTCTCAACACATTCTCGATTTATCAGTTTTAGAGGGGGGCAGGGACATTTTGCCCCCCCCCCCAACTCATTAAATTTACACCACTTTGTCTTCGCGCCTCTTTTTCTTTTCTTTTCTTTTTCTTTTCTTTTTCTTCCTTTTTTTTGTTTTTTTTTGTGCTTTTCCAGGGGGGGGGGCCAAGTGCCCCCCCTTGCCCCCCCCTCGCGACGCCCATGGAGCTCGCAGTATGCGCGTGTAGAAGGCGCCCGCTGATTGGTCAGTTTCTCAAGGTCATACGCAGTCTAGTTGCATACTTAATCAGCGAATCTGCTCATGTAGCCTAGATGCTGGCTGGCAACTTCATGACACATTGGTCTTGTAAATAATGTCTGTGCCACAGAAATCATTTGTGTCCTGCAGCCTTGGACCCCTGTTCTTTCCTAAGATTTACCGACTCTCTCTCTCTGGACTCGGTGGCCTGTGCCTTTCAGTATTTTCTCCCAGTAATAGACATGTAGCCATTGCCATTGAGTCATAAACTGCATCAAAGTCAAGCTTTTTTTTATGGATTCAAGATTTTACAACCCAGCTTTTATTACAATACAAGCAGCCCTCATCCCCTCCCCCCCCCCCTGCATATAAGTCTACAGTTGAGCATCACTTTGAGGCAGATACCACTCTACAGTCCTGCCGTAGCCATTCAGCATGGTGAGGTCCCTTGCATTCACTCGATACTGGAATGGTACCAGTTTGTTCTGTCCCTTCCGGAAGTCACGCATTTGGAGGCCGTGATATTTCTTGACACTCTCAAATGACGGTACTTCCTTGAGTGATGGTATGCCAAATCCCCCTGCCATGAGATCTGCTCGGAGATACATCAGAAAGCAGATGGTATTGTCATAATACTCTCTGATGCCATTGAAGCCATCCACCTCCTTACCAGTGTCTAGATACAAAGCCTGATTACATTGTGCAAACTCAGGAGTTTGCACCGCTTTTTTAATGTCAGCTCCAGGTACTATCTCAATCCAGTTCATACTCTCAGTGACAATAGCTGAGTAGCTGTTGCTGGCATCAAGCAGTGGCTTCATTGTCTGCAGGAGTTTAGCAAATCCAACATAGTCAGCCAGGTTGGAGGTGAAGATTCGGTCATAGTTGGGCATGTTCAAGGTCTGATGATGATTAGGAAAGTCCAGACAGTTGGCCAAGGAGACCCTGATAAGGAGCCTACCTTGAAGGATGAGACTCTTGACTTTCTGGAGGAGGTTTGTCACGTACTTGTGGTACATCACCATCGGAGAGGAGTGGGATCCAGGGGTGTTCTCTCTTACTCTCAAACAGTCCCACACTGCAAAAGGAAATGATGACTCCTTGATGCAGTACACAAATTCACAATCTTCTGGGGCTGTTATATCACAAACAATTTCAAAGTGTGCACCACGTCCAGTTAGTGTCGGGTTGTCAAACGGCAAATCTTCTTTTTTCACCGTTTGAGTTGGGACAAACAAAGCATGCTCAAACCACTCCTTGTTTGCCTTCTGGTCTTCTGGGGATAGACGTGCTAGGTAAATCGACACTCCTTCCCTCACTTTATCTGGCTTAAACACTCTCTTTCTTTGCTTTCTTAGATTTATCGAGGTTTTCTTGTCTCTTTGACATTCAAGTGATTGCCATCTTTTCCAAACCTGACTCAGATACCTAAGATCTTCATCCAGGAGCTTCACCAGTCCTTGGGTGGCATCATGGAGTTGCTGAGCACTCATCTGAATGAGTTCATCCAAGCTTGTCTTGATCAAGTCGTACTCTCTCTTGGAAATATGGAGTGAGTACCAGATGGTTGTCAAACTGGAAGCAATGTAGTCAGTGTCTGCAAAGCGGACCAACGTGAAGAGAAACAGCACATTCCTTGCCATGACAAAAGGGTCGAAATCGTTAAGAGTTATGTGAAGTTTCCCCTGGTACTCATCAGGTAAGGAACCAGCTGTCAAAACCGTACTGCGTAAATCTCCACACCCAGCAGATAAGACATGAAAATCCCTGGTCAAATTTTCAGATGCCATCTCATCGGACAATTCATTACTAACAAGTTTAAGGAAGTCTTCAGCCATAGTGCTCCCAAAGTAATGGTTCAAGTCTGCGACCCTTGTGTTAGTGGCTAGATTTGAGTTCCTTTGTGCAAGTATGACAGACAGTTGTGTTATGCCAGTCTTGACAGTTTTGCATGTCTTTTTATGGGCTGGCCAGTCTTTCAGCTGACACTCCTTATTGCAGTACCGTGAATTATTGCAACCTGCACACTGAGAAAAAAAATAAAAGGCAAGGACATCTTCAAAATATGAACCAACTTGGTTTTTTTTGTCAAGTTTAGGTAAATATTGCAAGGGGCACAAACTGCCGGTAGCAGATGAGATCTAATCTGTGATTCAAGGCAAACTTGTTTGAACACAATTCAAGACCAAAGTTTCAAGGCATTCTAAACTTGGATCAACTATGAGTTCCGTTCACAAATTCCCCATCAACGGCCAGAAAGTTGGGGGTGACCTTGACTGGTTCCCAATCCACCCGCTGGGTATTTCAAATGTATCCAAAGTTATTGGAGGCGGGGATTAGTCTCGGAGACCACGCGAAGACGCGGTGGCTATAGCTTTTGCACATTCAAGAAGTTGTGCGTACTTTGCATGCTAGCCAGTACAGTACAGTGCACGCCCGAATGTATGTCCCGCCCACCGACCTCTCAAAAGAGGTAAAAACGCGCCCTCTTTTGTTGGCGCATGGAGCCCATAGCAAAGTTGATCAATTCATACGTTGAGTTGGCATCGCACAGGTGTATACGTATGTGTTCAATATTTGCTGGTACCAGAGGGCCAGCCTAGTGTTCTCTATAATGCCTGTCTCACTGACTGACCGACCGACTCGCCGACTGACTAACTCCCCCCCGACTCCCCGACCGACTCCACGACCGACTCCCCGACTGACTCCCCCGACTGACTGACCGACCGACCAACCGACTCCCCGACTGACTGACTGACTCACTTGTGAGACAGGCAAAGCTGTCGTATAGGATAACATCAATGAATTGTGCTCTGCGAGAGCAGCTTTTCAAGGCTTGCTCTTTATGGGTTTAATTTAGCGTATAATTATAAATCACTGCACGTATCCTACCTCACTGACATCTTTAGGAACTATCCTACTACATGTGGTACATGGTTTGTCCGCATAAAGTTTGCACTCCACACTTCTGTGTCTGGCTTTGTCTCTGTTTCGGCATGGCGTGCTGCAGTACTTCGCCATCCTGCAAAACTTGCAAGGCACTGAATGTTGAGGGAGGACCCTCTCACAACGCCAGCAATGTCCAGGCTGAACATCCATTGCTGCATCCACATGAAATGAGAAAAAAAAAGTAGTTTCTGTATTGTGGATTTAGTGAGATTTAAATTTTTAAATATTTTTTACAAATCTGGAAATACATTTTGTGGGGGAAGATGGGGGGGGGGAGGGGACTGGAGGCTTTCAAACTCATAATGCACAAAAGATATGCCTGAATTATTGTGGGCTGCAAAAAAATCCGAAAATTTTGCAGGAAATATTTCTGGATCATCATGAAATGCAGCCGAATAGAAGAAATCTTGCTTTGAATCGTATATGGTTTTTTTTATTCGATCAGAAAGGAAATAAACATAAGGTACAAAATAACAGTTTACGGTCATGAGATTACATGTCTGTGTCACAACAAAGAAATAACTAGCAGAAAACGGACTGGCAAAACTACAAATAAACTTGCGAAAACTGTCCTCAAGTTATGTTCTTTCTGATAAAGAATCAGTTACAAGCATCTTAAACTCCAAGGAATATTCTCAAAGTGTATTAATAACTGACAGACTGTGAATCATGAAGAACGGAAAATCCAGCGGAAAATCCAGACGAATGAATGTCCCTTTAAACGAATAATTATCTGTGTTTACAGAATCCAAAAGTATATAACTTCTCTCAGGAAAACTCTCATGCTATCAGAAAACTTAAGAATCTACTAGATCAAACGGATCTCTAAATCATCTCTAAATTACTAACAATTAGCTGAAACTAATACTGCAAAAACACCATAGCCTTACATGTACATCGTTTTAGTCACATGTTTATACTAGTCATTTGGACAACCTAAAACCATCTTGTCCAGAAATGCGGTAAATCTCTGGAATAATCTATGAACTGAACTTACTTCTTTGGCAAGACTCTTCTGTCATGTACTGTAACTGTAACTAGTGCGTGTTCAAACGGGAAAGCTGTAAAACTCGGGTTTATTTATCTGAAACTGACAGTGAAAATGCAGTTAGGCAAACATGGCTGAACAAAACATGTCCTACATAAACTGTCCAACTACAGAGGGCGTCCTTCAATGCAACTGTTCTGTCCAGGTTTTTGTGTGTGTTTCATGTCGTATTTTGTTAATTCATGCATGTGTAAACTTACCCGTTAGCAGAAATATTCCTTTTGTGATGTAAAGTTCCTGGGTAGTTGAAGACAAACGATTTATATGTCAAGTTTCTGTAGTTTTTAGATGCAGAAGTACAACAGCATAAAGCTTGACAAAATAAATGTCTGCCTCGTCTGGAGAATCAATCCTGGCCATCTGGAAGGAGAATTTCATGGTGTATTTCTCATAACCGTACCCTTGAGGAAATCCCCACATGAGAAACGCACGTAGACCAGAGTTATTTATTAACTTGCTCTCCTGACAGGATCACTTGTTATCATTGGTCATCGATTGATACTGTCATACGTCATGAAATATTTTTTTTTAGAGAAATATGCAAATAAAGGCAGTGGTACACACACTGAAGTGGAATCATGTGATATTTGCAGTTTAATACTAAGATAACACACCTGCATGGAGATTTAGTTTTGTTTCTGACCGGTTGGAAAAATGAAATGAGAGCTCGGTTTTATTGCTTTAATCTGGCATGAAAGTAAGGACATGAATTCACCATGTTAAATCTTAAAATATATGTGCGAAAAGGTTGCCTCAGTAAGCATAAAATTCATTTAAAGCTTTTTTTTAAGAATTTGTTTTGGGGTGGGGGAGGCAGACCCATTGTTCAAGGGGATAAGCGCATTTACCAACAGAATATTTTACGACCACTTACAACATACAGACATTGCATGGCAATTTGTTTTAGTAACATTGTGTCTTTATTTTTCAGATATTTAATATGTGTGCACACAACGTTACTGCTCGATCCTCACAACATTAATTAAGAGAATAGGTTATGCTGGTGTCCCCATGACTCGAAAAAAAAATTGGTAAACCCCCCCCCCCCCCCCCTCCCAGAAAATAAATTTCTTTTTTTTTCACAAGGCTCATTGTGAAGAGAACTTTCTGACAAAAATTTAAATGTGAGGCCAAAAAAAATAATAAGTCGGTCTCTGGTCAGCGCGCCCGTCGATTTTAATCATGCGCGTCGATCTGTTTTTTCTCCAAAATGTTCCACGGTAGCTCCAACAGCGCCCTCTATTTCCGCACCTCCTCAATTTTTTATTGGAAATTGCACCAAGGCAGATGATCGAAAGCACCAAGGCAAATTATGGAGGACACCAATATACATGAGGACACCAAAAAAGCAAAATAGTACCCCACCTTGTCTGTACAATCCAACCTTGAAGGAAAAAAAAAAAAGCAAAAAAAAAAAAAAAGCCGCGTGGCTGCGTCAATTCCGGAACTTTGGTCTGACCAGAGACCGAATATATATTTTTTTTTGCCTAAAAGGTTCAATGTAGATCACTTTTAATTTTACAGGCTCTTGTATTTTATACAATTTCTGTTTGTGATAATAGCAACCAACCTACAACACGAATCTACATTCATGTTTTTAATATATTTTACATATTACGTTTACATAAAGTGATTATTTAAAGAAGTGCTTGCCGTTTACGGCTGTTCATTGCCTCGTTCCTGTGCTTGAGCATTATTGGCTAAAACAGAATTGCTTCCAATTCCATGGAGCTGCTAGGTATAATTTATGCCGAGAAAAAAATCAGCTTAGAACCACTTGCAAGCAGCATACATTTTTGGTTCAACAAATAACACCTAGTCTGCGTATCACCCATTCTCCAGGTAGCTGATCTCCGGTAGAACGTCTGATATTTCTAAGCACGCTTGACGTCATTTCATTTCAAATCTGAACTAAGATAGTGATTGGTCAATTTATAAGCTACATTTTTGGAATACAACAACCTGTACAAAAGTGCTACTCGTCGTGGGTGTGATGTTTATGCACGCGGGGAGCTCGCCATGGGCGTCGCCAGGATTTTTTCTAGAGGGGGGCACAAAATTTTTTGGGCCAAAAAATGCTTGTATTTCTCAACACATTCTCGATTTATCAGTTTTAGAGGGGGGCAGGGACATTTTGCCCCCCCCCCCAAACTCATTACATTTACACCACTTTGTCTTCGCGCCACTTTTTCTTTTTTTTTCTTTTTCTTTTCTTTTTCTTCCTTTTTTTTTTTTTTTTTTGTGCTTTTCCAGGGGGGGAGGGGCCAAGAGCCCCTCCTTGCCCCCCCCTCGCGACGCCCATGGAGCTCGCAGTATGCGCGTGTAGAAGGCGCCCGCTGATTGGTCAGTTTCTCGAGGTCATACGCAGTCTAGTTGCATACTTAATCAGCGAATCTGCTCATGTAGCCTAGATGCTGGCTGGCAACTTCATGACACATTGGTCTTGTAAATAATGTCTGTGCCGCAAAAATCGTTTGTGTCCTGCAGCCTTGGACCCCTGTTCTTTCCTAAGATTCTCTCTCTCTGGACTCGGTGGCCTGTGCCTTTCAATATTTTCTCCCAGTAATAGACATGTAGCCATTGCAATTGAGTCATAAACTGCATCAAAGTCAAGATTTTTTTTATGGATTCAAGATTTTACAACCCAGCTTTTATTACAATACAAGCAACCCTCATCCCCTCCCCCCATGCATATAAGTCTACAGTTAAGCTAATAAGCATCACTTTGAGGCAGATACCACTCTACAGCCCTGCCGTAGCCATTCAGCTTGGTGAGGTCCCTTGCATTCACTCGATACTGGAATGGCACCAGTTTGTTCAGTCCCTTCCGGAAGTCACGCATTCGGAGGCCGTGATATTTCTTGACACTCTCAAATGATGGTACGTCCTTGAGGGGGGGTATGCCTAGTCCCCCTGCCAAGAGATGTGCCCGGAGATACATCAGAAAGCAGATGGTATTGTCATAATACTCTCTGATGCCATTGATGTCATCCGCCTCCTTACCAGTGTCTAGATACGAAGCCTGATTACATTGTGCAAGCTCAGGTGTGTCCACCGCTTTTTTAATGTCCGCTCCAGGTACTATGTCAATCCATTCCGTACTCTCAGTGACAATAGTCGAGTAGCTGTTGCTGACATCAAGCAGTGGCTTCATTGTCTGCAGGAGTTTAGCAAATCCAACATAGTCAACAAGGTTGGAGGTGAAGATTCGGTCATAGTTGGGCATGTTCAAGGTCTGATGATGATTCGGAAAGTCCAGACAGTTGGCCAAGGAGACATTGATAAGGAGCCTTCGTTGAAGGATGTGACTCTCAACTCTCTGGAGGAGGTTTGTCACGTACTTGTGGTACATCACCATCGGAGAGGAGTGGGATCCAGGGGTGTGCTCTCTTACTCTCAAACAGTCCCACACTGCAAAAGGAAATGATGACTCCTTGATGCAGTACACAAATTCACATTCTTCTGGGGCTGTTATATCTGACAAACTTTCAAACTTTGCGCCGCGTCCAGTAAGTGTTGGGTTGTCAAACGGCAAAGTTTCAATTTCCACCGTTTGAGTTGGGACAAACGAAGCATGGTCAAACCACTCCTTGTTGGCCTTTTGGTCTGCTGGGGATAGACGTGCTAGGTAAATCGACACGTCTCCCCTCACTTTATCTTGCTTAAACAATCGCTTTCTTTGCTTTCTTAGATTGATCGAGGATCTCTTGCCTCTTTTGCATTCCATTGATTGCCATCTTTCCCAAACCTGACACAGATACCTAAGATCTTCATCCTGGACAGTCACCAGTCCTTTGGTGGCGTCATGGAGTTGGTGAGCACTCATCTGAATGAGTTCATCCAAGCTTGTCTTGATCAAGTCGTGCTCTCTCTTGGAAATATGGAGTGAGTACCAGATGGTTGTCAAATTGGAAGCAATGTAGTCAGTGTCTGCATAGCGGACCAACATGAAGAGAAACAGCACATTCCTTGCCATGACAAAAGGGTCGAAATCATTAAGAGTTATGTGAAGTTTCCCCTTGTAGTCATCAGGCAAGGAACCAGCTGTCAAAACCGTACTGCGTAAATCTCCGCACCCAGCAGATAAGACATGAAAATCTCTGGTCAAATTTTCAGATGCCATCCCATCGGACAATTCATTCCTGGCAAGTTTTAGGAAGTCTTCGGCCAAAGTGTTTCCAAAATAATAGCTTGAATCTTCGACCCTTGTGTTACATGCCAGCTTTGAGTTTCTCTCTGAAAGCTCAAAAGACAGTACTCTTATGGCACCCTTGATGTCGATGCAAATCTCCCTATGGGATGGCCAGTCCCTCCGCTGACACCCCTTGTTGCAGTACCAAGCATTGTTGCAAGCTGCACACTGAGAAAAAAAAAACACGGACAAAGAACAAGGACATCTTCAATCAACCAATCAAAAGAAACTTATAATGCGCCAAAATCAAAAAGTTTGCTCCAAGGCGCTGATGGGGCACCAAAAAGAAGACAAATTATTGATAACACCTCCTGAAACAGGTGAGCTATCAGGAGTGTCTTGAATGTATGCAGTGAGGTGGTATCTCTAATGTATTCTGGAAGTTTGTTCCAAATTCTGGGGCCGTATACAGAAAATGATCTATCAGCAAAAGAGACACAATGGGTTCTAGGCTCAACAAAGGGTATGAACCGACTTGTTTTCTTTGTCAAGTTTCAGTAAATATTGCAAGGGGCTAAAAATAGCGGATCAACTCTGTGATTTATTGCAAAATTGTTTGAGTACAATTCAAAGGTTCAAGTCATTCTAAAATTAGGTCAACTATTAGCCCCATAAATGTGGCCAATTTACTTTACTACCTCCGTAAGCATAGACCACACTTCCACCATGTACAAAAACATGTCGAACTTTGTCAAATTTTAAATTTCACATTCAGGCTTAGTTTGTAGGGTTTTTTTGCTTGAGAAGCATACTCACCATCTTTATTATAGGCTAATCAGAAAGTGCTGCCTTTTCCGGATGTCTAATTTTCATGAAATTTCATGTTGAAATTTTGATACGCAAACGTGTGCAAATGAATCTGGAATTTTCACGAAAAATAGACATCTAGAAAAGGCAGCACTTTCTGATTGGCCTATAAAGAGGGTGAGTATACTTCTTAAGCAAAAAACCCTACAAATTAAGCCTAAATGTGAAAATCAAAATTTGACAAAGTTCGACATGTTTTTGTACATGGTGGATGTGTGGCCTATGTTTATGGAGGTAGTCCTGTAAATTGGCCACATTTATGGGGCTAGTCAACTATGGGCTCCATGCGCCAACAAAAGAGAGTGCTTTTTTACCAGTTTTGAGAGCCGGGGGGGGGGGGGGGAACACACAGCGTGTACGAACTCTACTATATTAGTTCACGCGTGAAGTACGCGCGACTTCCTGAATGTGCCAAAACTATAGCCAAATCATCTTTGCATAATGCATGAGTGTCAGGCGTCATTGGCTCGTGAATACATTCGAATTAAACTCGTGCACGGAGTCCATAGCAATAAGATGGCCTTTTCTTTCCTAGAATACACTACCTTTCTTTTGGGGGGGGGGGGCATTTTTGTGTGTGTAATTTAAAGATGACGGCAGATAAATTCAACTGCCATGACATTATTTAATAAATAGATGGATTAATAAATAGATAGATTTAATAAATAGTGTCTTCTTGCATCTATCTCACTGATCGACTCATTCACTGACTGACTGACAGACTCCCCCTTGTACATGTAAGTCTGGTAGCACCTACTTTGTCTGCAACCAAGTACATGTGTAGTCATTGACCATAAACATGTATTTCCATATGATCTGATACACCATGCCCTCTGGAGACATGCACACAATAGGGAACAAAAGACTGTATATGTCTCCACAGGACAATTTCTATAGATGAATGCGTCTTCATAAAGTTATGAAGAAACAGATATATGGACTATTGACAAAATGTAGGAATTTCCAAGGTGTGTTGTTCCATCGCAGATGGAAGAGTTTAAAAATGGGATATTAAGTCTGAATTTCAGCAAAGGAAATTAATTCTGGTTAAAATGAGAGCATTTTGAAACTACACTTCAAACTCGAAAACTTTACTTCACGAAAACAAAGAAATGTCTCCACAAGGATACAACTTCCAGTATGTCTGCACGTTTTTGACTCCGTTATGCACACGTTGTGTGTGTGCTGCGTTCATGCATTTCATTTTTATAGACACAAAAATCAACTTCATAGCACACATCCCTTTTCATATAGTATATGTTGCGTGTCCATTCCGATCATATAGGATTACCCTGTAATGCTGGAATTTTATATATTTTTTGCACTCCAGGACCACCTGACTAGGTTTGCCTTGTTTTTGCTTTTAAATGTTTTTAACATGATTAGAAACCACTGTGTGTATCCTACCTCACTGATATTTGGAGCCCTCCTCCCGCATGAGGCACATGTTTTCAGCCCATAAAGTTGGCACTCCACACTTTGATGTCTGGCTTTGTCTCTGTTTCGGCATGGCGTGCTGCAGTACTTTGCTATCTTACAAAACTCGCAGGGCACTGAATGTTGAGGGAGAACCCCCTCACAACGCCAGCAGTGTCCAGGCTGAACATCCATGATTATTCCTGCATTAATGTCAAATAAGGAAATCATTAGTGAATGTCACTATCAATCAGTGATAAGCATCCAGTTCTTGTAATTTGTAGGTGATTTCAGTGATATGCAAAGGTGACTTGAAAAGGGGTAGTTCTAACCCCCCTTGACCCCCTTGTCCCCTGCCCATAACCCCTGACCATTTTGACCCATGACCCCCTCGACCCACAACCCCCTGATCCATGACCCACAACCTCCTCAACCCACAAACCCGTAACCCTTTTGACCCACGATTGCCTTGACCCACGACCACCTCGATCCACGACCCTCTCTCGACTCACAACTTCCTCAACCTACGACCCTCTTGACCCACGACCCTTTGACCCACGATTGCCTCGACCCACGACCTTCTCGACCCGCGACCACCTCATCTTACGTTCATGCTCCTAAAAACACAGTCCCCCTGACCAGATTAAGCCGTGAAATGTTTTAATAATACATACTTGCTCTGAGCTATTCAAAATAATTCAAATCGTATAGATTTTGATCTTGAAAACGAAACATGCACACCATTCACTACGACCATGACGACTGCAAATTTAAGTCACATTTTCGTAAGTCGAGGGAGTTATGCTGTCGAAAATTGGTCGAGTGGGTTTTTGAACAAGCCCTTAAAATATCACTGAGTGAATCAAGTTTGAAATTGCAGTACTTTTCCAATTACATGTACACGATTATTCTGAAGTATGCACTGGAGATCTTCACCACCAATCCTTCCCCATGCTTATCCCATTCCCCACCATGGCCAACAAAAAGAGAATAAAATGTATGTCATTCTCATAATGAAATATATTTTGTGAAAATTAACATACAGGCCTACACATAGGCCAATATCCAGACCAGTGTACCCAATCACCCAACACACCCAAAACCAGTTATATAACTTATAACATATCTATTTTTTAGTTTGAAGCAATTTTCCTATTTAATTGACCATTGAATTCCGTCCTCCTTGTGGATAGATACTGTCTGTGCCTCCCCTTGCAGTGGAATTGTGTTGTAATAATTTTGTCTGCCCAAAAAAATTCCCTGTATCATCATTATCAATCACATATTTTGACCAGATCAGTGAACGTATGCACACACACATGCTGTTCATTGTACATGTACATGTACATGTACAATACATGTATGCATGCCTGCTTATTGCACATGTACGAAACTCTAACTGTACCAACCTGTATACTGTAGCAGACGTGTTTACCTTGTGATGTCGATGTAACAATACTGAGAAAGACCAACAGTATTCTAGTGGTTTCTGTAGTTAAATTCAGGGTACTACTAAGAAGCTAAATATCCTGGCTGAGAAAGGATGATTTCACAATATCCCTTGGGTAGTTTCCCATGCATGAGAATGACACGCATGCCAGTTCTATTTATAAACTGTATTGTGATTGGTTCACTGATCATGCAGGCGCAAAGGTCACTTGCTATACTGGTTATATCATGGTGTTACTTGTGCATACTAAGGATAGGCTGTACAATGTACAATGTACATGTACAGTGGCATATAACAAAGATACTACTATACGTGTATACTGCTATAGAGGACATGGGTACGGGTATAGGACACTGCATGGTATCTATATGTATGGTGACCTGTAACAGGATGATGTCATCATATTGGGCCATATGATGGGGCCTTAAGGGTGCTGCTTACAGTGGGTGCATTAAAAGCACTGTACACTATAAATAAAAATACAAAAATTCTATAAAAAGAAAAATAAAGTCATTATAAATTTAATTCATTAATTTAACCATTATTTTAAACATATTTTGTTTACTTTTGTATCCTGTTGAGAATAAGCCATAATAAACAATAATACACATGTTATGCCAAGAGGAAAGAATATATAGGGGGACATTATTCACACCATCTCTGAATCCATACGTTCCTGTACATTACCATTTTTACTGTAATTTAAACTGTCAAAAAAGTTTTGGGGCACTTTTAGGCATTTCCCTAAAAGCACATGAGTGGTGCTAGTATTAAATCAGAGAATAAACTGCTTTAAAATGTTACATACCTGCTTGATTTTACCAAAGAAAAAATAGTTTAGCAGCTTTGCACAACTAAGTTTTCAAGTTGAGTGCATGGATCAAATCTGCTTTTTACCTGCCTGTTGTGTGAGGCGCCCTTTCCCCATCGTGACCTTTGAGCAAGTTCTTCCTGTTTCACTTTTTTCAGCGGACTTCCTATCTTTGCATATAATTACACATACAGTGGCTGCGATACCAGCCACTTCAGAAATTCAGTCATAGTTTTGGCTGAACAAAGAAATGAAAATAATTATTCTTTTTCAAAGCTAGGATGACGTGAGCTCATAAAATGCAGAACTATTTGGGGGAAGGGGGAAGTGGGCAGTATAGTAATAGCCTCCAATTCCTGCTTTACCCCATCCCTTGAAATTTAATGATAATACCGATAAAGATAAACAGAAAATAAAAACAAAAACAGTGTCTTTTCTGCAAAAGCCATTCGCTCTTTTCACACTTCCGCCATGGGCATGCAGAGCCTCGATCTGGCAACTTTACACAATAAATCATAGCCGGTTCAGTGATTCCCGTGTCGGGGTTCAGATCACTGAACCGGCTATTTTTATTGTTTAAAGTTGCCAGATCGAGGCTCTGCATGCCCAATGGCGGAGTGTGAAAAGAGCGAATTATTAAGGGAATAAATGTGTGCTCCGGAGGTTTTTATCACTCTGTTTAATACCACTTAGAGTCTGGGTGCTGATAATTACCCGAGCCGGAGGCGAGGGTAATTATCAGCACCCAGACTCTAAGTGGTATTAAACAGAGTGATAAATACCGACGGAGTACATATTTATTCCCATTCATAAATACCTTTTCGGTAAAAAAAAATCATATAATTCGTTCAAAAAATCCCGATTTTGTTCAACAAATTCACTTTATGCTTTTTGAAACATCCCTCCTGCAAAATAATGGAGTGTTCAGCTGGCGAGTAAGATGAAAACAACCCTTTTATGGAGATTGACGCGCGCGTATCATGTTCTACACGATGTCGCGCAGAACGCACCTGGCGCGTTGCGTTTTGAATTTAGAACTATAAAATTCTAACTACCTGGTAGTGTTGCGCATGCCTACGTGAGGATTGTGAACGTTCAACCAATGAAACGATAAGAGGCACTGGATTTTTAGGAGTCCACATTTTATTGTGACACTGGAAAAGTGTTTAAGACCAGCTAGCCATGTCTTTATCATCCGTTTAATACCGGCCACGTGACGGGCTCTCGACCAATAGGAATGGCTAAACTGTCTGAGGTATTTATGAATGAGAATTTTAAACAAGTGTGGAAAGAGTCAAAAGTTGTGTTGAATTCAAACATTTCAAGTTCTGTTGAATTCAAACATTTATAGCAATTTTGAGAATTTGCCCCTGTGAAATGTAGAAAAAGTAAAACCCTCAAAAGAAACAACCTGAAAAACATAGTTGAATGAATCAACAATGCTCATTGTTCCAACGCAATTAAAATGTCTTCTTCCTCTATGTATCTTTGCAGCGTAACCCCATGATACCAACTCTCCATTTCAACTATCGGTACTTTGAGGTGGAGCAGGAAGGGGAGACTCAGTGGTGGTTTGGGGGTGGGACGGATCTCACTCCGTATTACTTGGATGAAGAGGTAAATTTTATGGTACTCTTAAATCTGGTTTGTTTTTTTGTATGGTTTGTCTGTTTTTTATGCCGTTTTGTTATATTAAGATATGCATCGTTTATTCCGTTTGGATTCTTTGAAATATTTTACTGTAGTGTAAATACAAAAATACACGTGTACAGTAGGTTGTGGGTTTGAAACCTCTCATTCATGAGTTGACTTTTCTTGTCTGTGTTTAAGAACATTTGGAAATTGTTTATTTGTAGAGCAAATACAGGGTGAGTAAAAAAAAGCAGAACCCAAACCCAAAGAAATGCATATAATATTTAAAAGAATATGTAGCACCAAAAATAATTATGACTGGTAAAGCCAATTTCAGAAACTACTTTTAGATGAAAAAAATTACTTCAATTGCTTGATCCATTCAATTTTTTTCACCGTTTAAACGAAATGACCCTAAAATCAGTTTTGCCCAAAAATGCAATTTCAAGAATTGTCGTTACAATTGTCTTCAAATAACACCAGCAATAAAAACCTCAGTTTAAAACTAAAAAATATTCAACAAATTCTTTTTGAAGGGCCGTCTTTTTAAAAAAGAAAAAAAAAAGTGAATTTTATAAATCCTATTGTTAGCCAAAGCAGGGTTGTTAATAAAGTAATTGTGTACTACAGTTGTTAAAACAAATATTTGTGTTATTTTCTTTGTTGTTAAAAACAGTGAGAACACACAATAAATTGTTTTTTTGGAAGAAACTGATTTTAGGGTTACTTCGTTTAAATAGTGATAACATTTTAACATGTAGAGCAAGTGCAATAATGTTCTAACTTAAAAGTAGTTTAATAAATGGGCTTCCAAGTCATAATTAATTTTGGTGCTACATAGTTTTTTTTTATATGGAATATCTTTCTTTTTTTTGGGGGGGGGGGTTCCGCATTTTTTGACTGGCCCTGTACGTGTAACATTTTTAAATTTGAGAAGCAGTCAAATTTTACACGTCTTGCTTCGTTTGTTAGTTGATTTGAAATGGTTGTAAGCTTGGAAGAGTTGAAAGCTCCTATTAGTCCAAGTATATTTAACTATTTATTATTAAATTTCTGTTTTCCTTTCCTTTTTTTTCACTTTCATATTTTTTGTTGTCTCATAAAGTTTAGAAAAATTACAGTAAATATGTAATAATAAAAGTGGCCATTATTTTTAATTATTGCAAGGTAAGGATAGTAATTTTCAGTTTCATGATGTTTTGGTGAGACACTTCATGTAAAACATTTGATAATATTTTTGTAATTTTCTCAGGATGTAAAGCAATTCCATGGTACTCTGAAGAAAGCCTGTGACAAACACAACCCCCAACACTACCCAGACTTCAAGAAATGGTGCGATAACTACTTTGTTGTGCATCACAGGGGTAGGTTGGCTCATATTGTGTAATGGCCTTCTCAACATTGAGAGGGTCAAAATTTTGTCAAAATGTGATTTTCATTTTATGTCATGAATGTCATCTTTAATACCTACAGTTTCAGGTTTCATTCACAGATATGTTGATTTTGATGAACAAAGTGGAAAAAACAACCATTTTGTGTGCATCATTCTAATATTCTACAACAAAGCCAGCTATTTCAAAGCCTGTTTTCTCAGTTGTGCAATTTAAACTCCAAGGAAGTAATTAATATGCAAATATATCATATCTCCAGAACAGGAGGGGCTATGGAGCTCTAGTATATATACCAAATAAAAGCTTACGTTGTGGGCTTTCTAACCATGCATATAACTCCATTTCACTTTTTTGCAACATAATACACTTTTTTGTAGAGCCGGTCACATATGTGATACGATCAATGTAAATGAGTCATTTGTTGACCCTATCAAATTTTGTGTTTGTTTTTTACATTTTTGAATAGAGTAATCTTTCAGTTTATATTTGGTGAAACCCCCATGTGAATACGACCTTTCGTTCAGAAGTTATGGGACTTAGAAAACAGGCAGATCAGAAAGAAGAAAACAGAGAAATCAAACAGAGAAATCAACGCTTCAAAATTGAAGTGTCATTTCATTAAGCAACAATAAACATGCTTTATTTCGGGTTATTGAATATTAACTCCTTAGCAAAAATGTCACATTTTAAAGCTATAGTCCATCATTTGCAGCTATCCGAAAAGTAACTGGTGTAATTATTGTTGAAAAACATACTTGGTTGAAAGATAGTAAGGGGACTAAACTCCCTGTGAAATTATTCTTTCTGGCAAGCTGTCATTTTGAAGTAATCAACGAAAGAAGGCGTCTTAAGACGCACCGTTGGAAATTTCCGTTAGTAGTTCGGTTTTTTTTTTATTCGGTGAAGGGCGCGCAAGCGTCCTCACGACGCACATGCACCGCGGTTGCTATAATTCGTCGGATCAGTGCGCGACATCGCGTATCTGCAATCGGCTCAGTGAGAACGTGTCTCGGACGCTGAATTCAGGCCCAATTCAAAACATGATTCAGCAACTTTTGATTTGAAATTGAGATTCTAGAATGCTGTTTTTCTGAGCTGAAACTTCCTCAGGTTAGTTGTTCAGTACCCTTCTTTAGATTTTGAGCACTTTTTTTGCTTCAAACGAACAAAATGCACAAATTACAAATGATGGACTATATCTTTAACTACTTTATCATGTGTTTTTCTTGGGAAAATATTGTTGACATGAAAGAGGACATATGTAGCCTTCTGATGTTACAAAAAAAGTCAATTTTGAAATTTCCACCCCTACTGACCTATTTTGGGCTGTACTTCTTAAAATCATAATTGCCGACAAATGACTCATTTAGCTTGACCACATCACATATTCTCACAATTAGAAGAGCCGTGAAATGTGGCCTTGCAGATGATATCATAACAAACAGAAAGTGTTGCTTCAATGTTTTTAGGAGGTAAATGCAGAGACAGAGTATCATACAAAGAAGAGGTATGGAGGACTAATAGCCTATGTTTTTAATTGAAGGTGAGCGACGTGGAGTGGGAGGGATATTCTTTGATGATCTGGACACGCCCTCTCAGGAAGAAGCCTTTGCCTTTGTCCAGGTGAGCATCTGGCCAAGAATACTGCATTAGGATCATGACACATTCCTGCTTTTTTAAAACCTTGCTAATTATTTTATTAACGTGTTCCGGATACATGCAATTCTTATGCTGACTGTTGTGAAATCCTTGGCAGAAAATATTCAATGTAAATAATCTGTCTGAAGTTTCAGTGTGTTGATGTGAACAGATTTGAAAGATTTATCTTCAATTCTGTGACCATTCTCACTCAGTTTACACAAGCTATGAAATGAGGAAAAATGATTCTAGCATTATTGACATTAAATAATGAAAGGTTTGCGGAAACACCATGTGCGAATAATTTCTCAACTAAGAGAATGGTTCTGAAAAGAACCAGAGGTATAAACTCGACGTTCCGGTCAGTATGCTCTGACCGTCTTCAGGAGAGTGCCTAAACTCTAAGAAAGTGAATACTTAAGTAGCAAAAGGTGAAATCAATGGAGTGTGAAGTTGCATCCTGTGAGGATGCCAAGTAGACAGGATCCCTGAGCAAGCTTAGTGCCCACTGAAGTGGAACAGTAGGGTTGCAGTGTCAGTGGAGGGAGGACCTAGGGTATAGGAGACCCATCAGTCTAAGGTAGTAGCTGAGGACCTAGGGTATAGGAGACCCATCAGTCTGGAGAAGTGGGAGCCAGATGTCGTTGAGATGAAACCCGATGTCTTGCGGAACTGTGTTGTGCTTGCGGATCTCGATGGCTTCCCGTATGCGTCTTGGATGCCAGAACTGGATCGGTGCGATGAGTTCGGCCGCATCCCAATCAACTTTGTGGTCGTTGATGTGGGAATGTTTGACAATGGCCGATTTGTCAAAATCCCCTCGCCGTCCATGTGCTCTGTGTTCCTTGAGCCTAGTGGGAAGGTTCCGACCGGTTTCGCCGATGTAGACTTTGCCGCATTCGCATGGAATGCGGTAGACTCCCGGCTTGGAAGAGGAGTCCTGCTTGTCCTTGTGAGTATGGAGGCTGCCTTGGAGCTTGTTGCCAGATGAGTGGTACACCTTGACGCCGGCTTGTCGGAGGATGCGTTGCAGATGATGAGAAGCTGGACCTATGTAAGGAAGAGTGACCGAGGGAGATACAGTGGGAGGACCTTGGGTATAGGGGACCCGTTGGTCAGGTTTGCTGATCTTGATGCGGTTGGGTTTGTAGCCGTTCCGTTGTAGTGACGTCTGGATGTGCTTGAGTTCACGCTTGAGGTTGTCTTGGTCGCAGACCTCGAAGGCTCTCTGTACTAGGGTGCGGTTGACCGATGACTTGATGCTGGGGTGATGGAACGACCGCTGGTGGAGATAGCGGTCGGTGTGGGTGGGTTTCCTGTAGACGCTGTGTCCCAGGGTGCCATCCGGATTCCTGGAGATCTTGACGTCCAGGAAAGGAATGGTGCCATGCTGTTCTTGTTCCATGGTGAAGCTGATGCTGGTGTGTTGCTTGTTGAGGTACTGGAGGAAGTCTTGGAGTGTGTCCGGGCCATGGGGCCACACTACGAAGGTGTCATCAACGTAGCGTAGCCACAGGCTCGGCCGAAGATCCGCTGTGAGTAGGGAGGAAGACTCGAACTCCTCCATGAAGATGTCGGCTAGGACCGGGGATAAAGGAGATCCCATGGAGGTCCCAGCCGTTTGCTCGTAGAACTTGCCTTGCCACTGAAAACAACTGGAAGAAATACATGTTAGTAACAGATCATGAATTTGGTCGGGGGACAGGTCTGTGCGTTCAGCGAGAGTGGTATCATGTTCAAGTCTTTCCTTAGCTAGTTTGCAGGCCTCGCCTGTGGGAACATTGGTGAAGAGTGAGACGACGTCAAAACTGACAAGCAAGTCAGTGGGTTGGACAGTGAGGTTTCTGGTGATGCTGACAAACTGGGAAGAGTTGGACACATGGTGTGGTGTCTGGCCCACCAAGGGTCTGAGGATTTTGGCTAAGTGTTGGGCTGTGTGGTAAGTGGGGGAACCTCGAGAGGCAACTATGGGGCGCAGAGGGATCTCAGGTTTGTGAATCTTTGGTTGACCAAAGAACCTGGGACAGATCGAACTGGAGGGTCTGAGTCGTCTGTAGAGGGGGGTGGATAATGCATCTGCTCGATGCAAGAGGAGAAGTTGGCTGGCAACTCGCTTCTCGATGGCGGGGATGGGGTTCTTGGGGAGTGGGCGGTATGAACCAGAAGAAAGTATGTCTTTTACCTTGTTGCTGTAGTCCTCCCTGTCCATGACGACGGTGGCGTTGCCCTTGTCCGCTGTGAGGATGTGGATGGAGTTGTCTCGGCGAAGGTCACTGACAGCGAACCGCTCTGGTTTGGTCAGATTAGGTTTAGCTGGGCGAGCCTTGCGGAGGACTTCATTCATCTTGATGCGGACGTCGTTGGCTGCTGTCTTGGGATGCGGCCGAACTCATCGCACCGATCCAGTTCTGGCATCCAAGACGCATACGGGAAGCCATCGAGATCCGCAAGCACAACACAGTTCCGCAAGACATCGGGTTTCATCTCAACGACATCTGGCTCCCACTTCTCCAGACTGATGGGTCTCCTATACCCTAGGTCCTCAGCTACTACCTTAGACTGATGGGTCTCCTATACCCTAGGTCCTCCCTCCACTGACACTGCAACCCTACTGTTCCACTTCAGTGGGCACTAAGCTTGCTCAGGGATCCTGTCTACTTGGCATCCTCACAGGATGCAACTTCACACTCCATTGATTTCACCTTTTGCTACTTAAGTATTCACTTTCTTAGAGTTTAGGCACTCTCCTGAAGACGGTCAGAGCATACTGACCGGAACGTCGAGTTTATACCTCTGGTTCTTTTCAGAACCATTCTCTTAGTTGAGAAATTATTCGCACATGGTGTTTCCGCAAACCTTTCATTATTTAGTATCTTCACCATGCAAAGCCTCAAATCTTAATTATTGACATTGTCATGATATTGTCTTCATTTCAAGGAATGTGCCAATGCCGTTATACCAAGCTACGTGCCTATGATCAAGAAACACATGAATGATGGGTATGGACTGAAAGAAAGGTAAAAACAGCAACGGTGACAAAGAGATATGAAATAACTTCAATGCCATCACTGCCATGTGTTCAGTTTCCATATGAAGATGCAGAGTTTGTGTACATTGGATTGAAGAATGATTGTGCATGTAATTATTAGTTTTAAATGATTTTAATCACTTATTATTGAGTTACTTTCATAAACTTTCTAAACATTACTTTCATATTGGTCTCTTTTAATGCAGAGAATGGCAGCTGCTCAGACGTGGAAGGTAAGGTTTGTCAGTGCCATATGAAATTTGGACTCCTATAAAATTTGGTTCCTTTTGAAGGTAATGGACACCATTTGCCCCCCAAATAAAACAAACCAAAAACCAAGGAAAATCAATACAATAAATCTGAAGCAGGTCAAAATTTAAGCTCAGTAGATATAGTTTTTGAGAAAACTGTGAATATGCATCTTCATTTTTCTCAACGCAAGGCAAGGTTTCCATAAAAGTCCTCCCTTCCAAAATGTTCATTAAAACGCGTTGACTTGCACCCTCTTGTGGTATGATCCCTAGTTTGTCACTCAGGAAAATACTTCTCATTCATGGATATGTAATAGTCTATGTAATAGTTCGCCATGGTCTATAATATTTTAGCAGATTCGCTGATTAATTATGCAAGACAGCCGCATCTTGACCTCTCGATTTTGACCAATCAGCGGGCGCTTTCTATATGGGGTCTTCGGTCATTCACCTGTTGACGCGTCATAGACCTGAATAAAAAAAATCTAGACACAGCAACAAAGGCTGTGGTCAGGCACTCTGTATTATGTTACGTGATACGCGCCTGGCCGTTGTTGTATTACAAAACACTGCATTCGAATTGACCAAACATTTGGTCCCGAGTTTGGAATGAAATGATGTCAATATTAAGTAAAGTCGACTCCGATTGGCTGAGGCGCGGGATCGCATAAATCTGCATGCTTGGATATATCAGACGTTAGACAGGAGACTAGGCTCCGTGGATAACAGGTGATACTCAGACTATATGTAACTGATTGCAAACTAAACTAAATTTGGTCAATTTGGGGCGGTACTTGAAAAAGAAGTGTTTTTTTTTTTGTCATGATGGTTTGGTCCTTACCATCGCAAGGAAATGATTGCAATTCCTCTTTTCTTGAAAATGACAGCATATTAGGCGCAACAATTTCACTGGATTGTCGATCCTATTATTTACTTACAATCAAGTAGGATATATTTCATAGTTTGGCAATTATATTTTTGGATGTTTGCAAATGGTGTCTATTGAACATAAATGAGCTCTCAGTATCACACTTGTGTGTGAGTTCTTGTTGGTTTGAATTGTGATTAACTTGTTCAACAGCTTATAATAGCCTAGATTAAAACTCGTTTACTTTTTCCAGGTATGTTGAGTTCAACCTTGTGCACGACAGGGGTACAAAATTTGGACTTTTTACACCCCAAGCAAGAATAGAAAGCATCCTGATGTCATTGCCTCTCAGTGCAGTAAGTTGTCTTTATTTATTTTTTAATCATTTATTCAGTGAAAGCAAAACATTTTATCCAGTTAAAACTCTTGTTTCAAATTCTCTGCATAAAAAAACAATCCATCTTTTTTCCCCCCAATGATCTGAGCAGAAATGGAGATACAAGCATTCTCCTGTAGAAGGATCTAAGGAAGATGAGCTGATGAAAGTTCTCAAGACGCCAAAGGAATGGGTGTAATCTCCAATCTGGTAGGAACAATTTATCGTAAGATCCTTGTTGGCTCTTCACTGAAGATTTTGGCCATAAGGCACATGAAGAACATCATATTTTATGACAAGGTAATCTCTGAATCGATGCTCATCTGCAATTGAACTTATTTTATTTGATGCAGCAAATCAAGCATATGCTTCAATACACGTCCCATAGGTTAGCCTTTTCAGTTTACTTTTTAGAATTCCCTTCTTTTTTTTTTACACGGTTGCATCATGGTCGCACTTCTTAACTTTACTTTCTATTTTGCTTATGTAACATTCCAAATCAATCAATCAATTCGGGCAATTCACAATGCAATGCGCCACGGAGAGTTTATTTTTCCCAGTGCATTGTGGGAGATGGTCGGCAAAGTCACAGTAACATGAAATTGTTAGTTTTTCCGCTCAGTAGTTTCGTAAGCGTATGATTCGAGTATACGTTTGCCCTTTTCTTTTCTTTTTATCAATATGGAGTTTTTGGTAAGGTATCGATAACAAATTAGCTCCAGTTGTCTACTGACACTCGTTCAAATGGGCCATGTTTTGTCGACCGTAAACTTGAAAAGTGGACTCTCCATGACAAACCCTTGGTGGCGCACTGCATTGTGAATCGCCCCAATTAATTAGAAATATTATCACAAAATGTGATCAGAATGTTTCTATTTGTTTGGTTTTTTAGAATAGTTTAGGGATATTTTAAGAATTCTTTAAATCATCAGATAGACAGGTAGACTCAGACAACAGGTACTTGTAGACTCAAACAAACAAGTTCACATAATATGTACCAACCTGTACAGTTCGTTTTTTTAATTCACTGTAATACAAACGTAATATAAAATACATGCAGATATTGTACACGACTTTAAATATTAAAGTCCTCTACCCACGTACGTGAATAACACATTTATGGCAGTGATATGCAGGTCCTGTTCTCACCGTCAAGAGATCGCACATTTTCGAGAAGATTTCAAGAGATTTCGGGCAATCCTTGTCAGCACTTACACTAAGAACCCGGAGAAGACTCTTTCACACTCGCCAAGTGTGACTGTACTTGTACAGTCCTCCGTTTCACATTGTCCCATTAATATAAAAAATAGCTCTAGGTTAACTGTTGTAAAAATTCTAAAGCTGAGGTATTTCTGTGTGTAGTGCGTAAGCACAACTTAGATAATAATTTTTTTAAAATCCTTTGAAAAAGAGGCCTTATCCAAGATAATTTATCAATACTTCATAAGTTATTAAAAAAAAATGCTCTAGGTAGTGGCTTTAGAAATTATGTTTTGTTTTCACATTTTAGAGCCTTGTTTGACTCCAATTGACAACTCATGATTCGTCCGTATATGTAGGACATGTTGTGCTTCCTGTTTTGTTAAATTAAGGTCTTTCAGTTCAGTATCAAAACAAAATTTTGGTAGGGGATGTACTGTAGATTTTGTATAATTTTTTTTCAATTTGTTTTCAAAGCAAAGGTTTAATACTAGAACCATAATTTATACATGTACTACATGTATATTAGTGCCTATAGATAGAAGTTATACACAGATATATCAAATTATGGATAGTAAAATTTGTTTCGGAGCTATTTTAATTCAAATAAAGGTGCTTTTTTGGATAAAAGATACCAAATTTGGTATTGTATGTGATCAGTAATTTTTTCTCCGATTCTACAGTCCCCAAAGTCAAGGTTTTTGTTTTTTAATCCACTCGCTCACTGACGGAAATGGGTGAAAAAAGTTTCAAAAAAATCTGACCAAGAATAACTCACAACACTAAAATAAAATATATATGTACATATAAAAAGTTGCTGTAAAATTAGCAATTATTACAGAGTTTAAACAATCCTAATATATTTACTTATCATCCCTAATTTTTACGTCATTTTTACACAGTCGTTTTACTGTAATATTTGTTTCAGCTTAACCACAACTTGAATCTACATGTAAATCGTTCTCCTCTTTACACATAAATTACTTTGAAAAATAAAAAAAAGATCCCAGTGCGGTTGAAACTTCGGCTGTGTCCAAAACGGGCTTCAGGAGCTACGGCTACGTCTATTTTCAGCGCGTCCCCGCGTATTTTCAATGGACGCAGACCTAGACCTAGCTCTAGACATGATTCGGATGCAGCCTTAAATCACTCCACAGCTTTGGGTAAAGTTTTAAAAAAATATCTCAAACTTGATTAATACTGCAATTTATGTTAATACTACAGACTGAGGTTAATGCATAAATATTACCTGGTTTTATTTAATACTGCCTGTCGCTTCCAAGCTCCTGGTCTTTAAACAACAAAAACGAGTGATGTCATTTGATCTTGTACATTTGTACCATGCAAAGTTTCCTGAATTCATTCATAAGCAAATTTGGCGGCTGTGAAACAAATGTGTTGCATTTTTCCTACACATGGCAGATACACGCTCTTTTGGATGAAGATACATGGTGTGTTTTTTTTTGGGGGGGCGAGTATTTTCAGGAATGGATTGTAACCTGTAATGACACATAACTTTGTTATGATTTGTAATATGCTGGTAAGGCCAAAAAAAAAAAAATCGGTCTCTGGTCAGACCGAAGTTCCGGAATTGATGCGGCGACGCGGTTTTTTTTGTTTGTTTTTTTTTTTTTTTCCCCAAGCTTGAATTGTACAGACAAGGTGGGTACTATTTTGCTTATTTGTGTCCTCCTTATACATTGGTGTCCTCCATAATTTGCCTTGGTGCCCTTTATCATTTGCCTTGGTGCAATTTCCCCATTCCTTGGTGCTCCTTGGTACAAAAATTTGAGGAGGTGCGGCAATAGAGGGCACTGTTGTAGCTTCCGTGTTAATTTGAAAAAAAAAAAAAAGGTTGACACGCATGATTAAAATCGTTTTTTTTGGGGGGGGGGGGGACTAACAATCGCTTTTTTGCCCGAATCCCAACAAATAATTGTTTAAATGGTTGTGGTTCTGAAGTGTTTTAGGATGTGGTCTGACAGAACAAATCGTAACAAAATTTGCAGATATGAACAGTTCATATTGTTTAGGTTATACAAATAGTCTGAGATTTGTTTGGTCCGCCGAGAATTTGTCACTTTCAAAACTGAAAATGGATGGCCAAAAAATCAGGTGTCTCTGCTACCATGGTGATCTGCTCTTAGTTACGTGCTGCCTCTGCCAGTACTTGCATAGCAACAGCTGGATCCACCATGGAGAGCGCCCTCTCATCCAATCCCATCTGCTCGGCCAGTGCGCTGAGGTCCAGACCAAACAGTCGCATGAAAGACAGAAATTCCATGTCCTCGTCTGCAGATATAATGGCAAAGATAGATTCATTTACAACACTTCAATTTTTAGGACGACTTTAAAAAAAAAAATTGTAGTGGAAGTAAGATTATGGTTTTAAGTTTTGTGTCATAAGTGAAAGTTCCCCCATACTTTAACCATTAGCATATGTATTATAAGTTATCCCGCGAGCGCGAGTGGAACACGGAATAATGTAGTGCGTCTGTGTCCCACATACCACGAGGACACAGACACACTACATTTTCCGTGTCCCACGAGCGCGAGCGTGATAACAAATGTTTTCTTCAAGCAAACTTGAAGCACAATAAAGATTAAACGCGAGCTGTGCACAAACTTCAGCGCTTATCCTATTAAACACGTGCATGTTTAATGGCGCACGCATCTTGGAATAGTGCAACACGCGGAGTGCGGTATGGACCGTGGCCGTGCTACATGGTTATATGTAGCACGGCTTGTTGCCATGGATCGACCAATCAGGATCAAGGATACAAGTTTGCTTGAAGATAATACATTGTACATTGTGTTTACTCAAGCAGTGGCAGAACACAGTTCTAAATTGGGGGGGGGGGGGGGGGGGGGGGCAAGCAGTGCCAGCCGGCTGTTGCAAATAAAAAAAAAAGGGGGGGGGTGTTGGGCTTGACCTCATGCATGATAGGGGGCGCCCTTTCCCATGTTCTCTTTTCTGTGAATCGTTCACCCTGGCCCTCATTCGTCGATAGGTGGTGCTCTTTTCATTTCAGTGAATGTTACGCCCTGGCCCTCCGGTTCCTGATGATCTTTAGCGATCATGATTAATATTTCGATGCTTTTATGTCGAGTGGCAGTAGACTAGAGAAGTTACTTATTGTTTACCCAGATATAGGGCCTATACCGATCTATCGGGGGGAGGGGCCAGAGCCTGGATCTCATTCCTCAATAGGGGATGTATTTTTCTATGTCTTTTTCTTGGTGAATGCAATACACCCAAGCCCTCATTCATCAATAGGGGGCGCCTTTTCTGCTATTTCATGGCGACCGTAAGCAGTAACAAACATGCAAAAGGTGCCAGTATGCTTACATAAGAGGAAAAACTTGGTTAAATTAGTGACGCAACAATAGAAATCTCCATGCACTCACAACCACTCATCCATTCTATGAAATAGTGTTAAAAGGTCAGCACAATTTTTCGGGGAACTGTTAAGCATTGCCACGAATTGGGCCCTGGGGCCCAATCCTAGTATGCTGATGCTTAACATTGGTTGTGCTAAGTATTGAAGAAAGTTGTTCAATCATGAAGCACTCTAGTTTCACAGGGTGGATGTGCGTACGGTTGCACACTCAGTCACATTTCCATCATAACGCTACTGATTTGAGAACAATTTTTCCTCAGAGGTACATGTACTTATCAAATAGACCCAGACTATGTAAGCAGAAAATTAGGGGCTTATTAATACTGCAAAATTGGGCCCAGGTGGAAGCTACTGAACCAAGGAAAATGCCATACATGTATACCCTTGGCCCTTGCCTACCTGTGAATGGGTTTCTCATCTTGGGACAATGTGGATTACAGTGAGGACATGTCGCATGGTCCAGCAGCCGTTGCTGACACTTTTTCTTGGTCCGAGTGGTTGACCGCTTGGCCGCGGCCCTTGGGTCATCACCCTGCATCTCTCTGTCTAAGGCTGGGCTGCTCCGACGGCCGCTTCGTCGTTTGTTCTTCTTTCCTCTTCTCTCTGGCTCTTCTATTAAGAAAAGAATCGAAGAAAAATGAGTTCACTTAGCGAACTTGATTATTGTTGTGATTTAGGATTGTAACAAACCACACATACTGGAATTTGTATCCTTGTGGAGACATCTCTTTGTTCTTGGTACTAAAATTTTAGAGTGTCAAAATCTAGTTTCAAAATGCTTCTGTTTTAACCAGAATTAATTTCCTGGGCTAAAATTTGGGCCAAATATCTCTTACATAAAAGACTTCAATTTGCAATGGATAAACACACCTTGGAAATTCCTAGTTTTTGAGTAAAATCCATACATCCATTTTGTGATAACCTTGTGGAGACGTATTCATGTATAGAAATTGCCTTGTGGAGACCATTACAAGTTTTGTTCCCTATTGTACACACATAAAGGTAGTGAATTACAGAACAACTGGTCATACAGATCCTATGAGTAATTTCAAACCAACCTTTTCTTCACAAACATTAGGGCTACTTTACATTATGTAAGCACTACGTCATTAAAACATGCATCAAGGCTACAGAGTACAAGAATACTGTAAAGCCTGGTTCATACTTCACGCAAAAGTGAAGCGAAATTTGTGACGTTAACAATACGTTTGAAGTGCGTCCACCGTTGTTGACGTCATGAATTTCGCTTCGGCTTGCTTTCGTTTGAAGTATGAACTGGCCTTAACACTAACAGAAAGCCAAACACATTATTAGATCCATTGATGTAATTTCTGAATTGCACAAAACTGAAAAGTTTATTTGGTTTTATGTGTCGCTTTCATAAAAAGCTGTGGTAGTAGTCGTCATGCTCAGTTTGTGTCCTAAAGAGTTGTTGTGAATTGGACTTGTTTCTTGTTGCAGATTATCATTGCCATGACAACAACAACAAACCTGCACTTCGTTTCCATGGCCACCAGCCACCTCCTCCACTATCTTCATCCTCCTCATCAGCCCCTACTGTTGTCAGAGGTGATGCGGTTGTCACGAGCCACCCGCTCCCAAATTCCTCGGGGTTTATCGATTCTTGGGAGTAGCTAAAGAGGGGCCCCCATTCCTCCCTTGTCAAATCAGGCACTGCGTGAGATATCACCATGGAGACCAGTTCAGAACTTGCCTGTGGCTATTTCATGTCTCTATTATATCTGCGGCTGTTGGATGTTTTTTATCTTTACATTCAGGGTTGAAGCAGGAGATGGATTTTAGGATTTTGGTTTTGATGGATGATTTCTGGCAGGACTCCTGATGGCTCTGGCTTTCATGAGGAGATGGCTGTGGCTGGCTCATTTTTGTCATCACAAAACAGCAGTCTGTTCGTTGTTTTTGTAGATTTCTAAACCATGCTTAAGCAGTTTTGCATATGCAGATTTTGTAGCAGCTATTTCATGACAGTTTTCTTTTCTTCAAATGCCTGTAGGTTTGAGCATACTTTGATGTTTCCTTTTTTCCTTGCACTATTTTTAATTCATACATAAAAGGATTGGCTTTCTGTTGTTAGTTAATTATTAGCATATACTAAATAGCAGAGCTTATGAAAAGTATGAACAGTGCTATGCCATTTTAGGCACATCCCCTTGTGTGCATATCCCATTCCTTGTATGTTAAGATACAATCTGCCTCCCATAAGAATCGTCTCCAACTGGAAGTTGTTTCCTTCCAAGGCCAGTGGTCCTGGAGTTTCACATAAGTCCCCCTTGCTCCATATCTTGGTATTGACCCCCCCCCCCCCCCCCCCCCCCCAGTTTATCATCATGTTGAGATTAATAGGCCTGAGACGTAATGACGTCACACTTTTTTTACATGTGCGCTTTCCTATGAAGTAGACGCTTCCCACTTTATCAGGCGTCCCGACTCTGCTCCCATAGGAAAGCACATATGTAAACAAAGCCATTACGTCATTACGTCTCAGGTCTATTCTAATGGAAAATACCTTTTAATGCGAAGAAGGCTTTCCTCTTAAACAGAGTTCTATGTATGTGCTAACAATTTTTGGGGAAGATAATTTTGTATTGCAGTACAGTGTTAGAACTACATACATGTACAAGCACCATTGAAGCGAACATGCATTCCATGCATTACAACAGCAAAACACACTCAGCACAAGACAAGTTCACTGCACAACATTGCACAAGTAAATATACAATATGCTTGATACATTTGGCATTAATGATTTCGTTTTTATGTAAATTTGTTTTACAGTGAACCAACATGCCCTAAGAGTGTACCAAACAGACAGAATTGGATACCAACCGCCTTTGGTAATTCAAATATAAAATTTGATCAAAATCATTTAGCATCGTCCACCTGGGACATTTTGTGCTCACATCTGGAGCAATAACCAAATCCCTTCTGCTTTGGAACTTCTATTTGCCGTGGAATAGAACTTCTACTTTTGCGGTGCAACCGGGCCGTGGGTTGGGACGAATACTTCAACGACATGTGATCAACGACTTAAGAAAAGTCTTGTATATCCACTCAGATTATTCCAATCAATAGTTAGGCTCATTAGTATTGTTGTCATGTTAGTTATTAGGTTGTCAGCTCTACTTGTGTCGGCTGAGTATTCTCAGGCCGCATGTCTATCAGTGAGACATGAACAAATTGAGAAAACGTCAAAAATGGATGACCTTGAAAACTTGGCCACAGCACATAGAAGCCAAGTGCGAACAGCGACTATTTGTCAACCATTGGTCGATTTTGCATGGTAACCTATACGTAAAATATATCCTGGGTACCAGGCAAAACCAACCAGTGGTTGACAAATAGTCCCTGCTCGAACTTGGCCAGAGCTGTGCTTTTTTGAAATGGCGCCCTCTCTTGGGCAAATTACTGGTCACCAAGTATTACTGGACACCCTTTGACTGACTTACGTTCTGGTTCATTCTTCTTCAGCCAGCACTTGAGGGCTTTGTGAAGGCCGACGTTCCGCACTTGAATATTGGTCCAGTCACTGTGGAGAGGAAAATGTTAAAAGTGAAATCATATTTGTAAAAGATCAGTATACATATCCGCTCCGTTCACAAGCCTCACCGATAAAGAAAGTACAGTTGGGGGTGACCGACCGACGCCATCTTACCCGACTGCAATTTTGCCGCGACGCGCGGCCGTACCACTGAGTGTACATAGTACAAATCCCCTGGTGTACGTGTGTCACACGCAAGGAACTGTGCACGTCAACCAGCTAAATGTCCTGCCCATGGGACATCGTTGCTAGGTAAAAGGGCACCCTCTTTCGTTGGTGCACGGATCCCATAGGCCAATCAACACTGATTTTTAGGTTTTCATCACCTCCCTCCTCGATTTTCACTCCCGCCCCATTTTTTTTTATATTTTATATTTTTTCTGAAAGTGTGTTTTTTTCCAGACAAGTTTCTCACCAAATCCACAGGCACGGTCGCACTGTGAGCTTCATTACCCTTTCTAAATTCTAGACACAAATCCTAGGTCATTAAACAGCTGACTGGTCTTAATATTAAGTAGTTTTCATGTTTGTTGTGTCTTCTTTTAGGTTTATCTGACGTTGTACCCTCAATTCACTTTGAATGTGAAGAAGTGGAATTTATGAAATATAAATATAAATTCCCCTCCCGCGGAATTTATGAAATATAAATATAAATTCCCCTCCCGACCAATTTTTTACTTCAATGTTGAGTGATGAAAACCTAAAAATCAATGTTGATTGGCCTAAGTTAAGTTTTAAAAAAGGCTTACTCCTCACTAAAATATGAATTTAGTTTTTATTACTTAAGGCATCTGCAGGTGGCAAAGTACGAGTGCTGCATGCAGCTCTGTGATAAATTTATTAATATGACTCACCTTTTCGTAAGGACCATGTGAGCGTAGCAGGCTGGAGCAAATACTGCACTGAAAGACGAACAAAGAAATAAAATTCACAAATATGTTAGCTTATTTGTTCCCATTGGCCAGGAACTTGTAACATAATGCATTAATATTTACTAAGTGAGTTCATTTAATCTGTCAGCTTCCAATTAATTTCAAGCTAAAAATGAAGTTTCGCGTCATCTGACCTTTTAAAACACATTGCGTCAGTGATTTCAAATTTTTGAATTGTACAACACTTTGTATTCTACTGTTCAATATTAAAGGTCCTGACATATTGATCACATAAGACTTTCTCTAACATCAGACTTTATAAGTCAATTTAAAAACTTTTTAAAAAGAAGTAGAAGGAAAAGCAATTACGATGCATTACGGAGCGAGGCCCTCATGTCCCTTCCTGTCTTCTGCATGAAGTTCCAGTGTTCGATCTGGATAGGAGGTCCCGACATACCCACTGTCAACTGAGCCTCATCATACAGCCACTGGAAGATGAAAACTGGCGCTGAAAGCCAATCAATAATGAAAGAACAGTTAAACCATGGCACATTACCAACCAATGAAATGTCATAATTGCCAATGTTGTATTCTAGTCCATGAAAAGTCCCTGCAAGCCCATGACAAGTCCATGACAAGTCCATGACAAGTCCATGAAAAGTCCATGACAAGTCCATGACAAGTCCATGACAAGTCCATGACAAGTCCATGACGAGTCCATGACGAGTCCATGACCAGTCCATGACCAGTCCATGACGAGTCCATGACAAGTCCATGACAAGTCCATGACAAGTCCATGACAAGTCCATGACAAGTCCATGACAATTCCAACACAAGTCCATGACAAGTCCATGACAAGTCCATGACAAGTCCATGACAAGTCCATCTCAAGTTCATCACAAGTCCATGACAAGTCCATGACAAGTCCATGACAAGTCCGTCACAACTCCGTCACAAGTCTGTCACAAGTCCGTCACAAGTCCGTCACAAGTCCGTCACAAGTCCATCACAAGCCTTCTGCTTGACAGCTGGGGAAAAAAACCTTCATCTGACATCATCTTTTGTTGCAAACCTCAAGACACAATGTTTCTATTGATCAACCCTCCCCACCTTTCTCTGAATAAGGGCTGAAGATGACTTACTCTGTAATGTTTCGTGTATCCGGAAGCCAAAGAAACATTTCCACATCTGCTCCTCACCATACATCTCGATGCAACTCTTGGGTGCTAAACTGTTCCACAACCTGCCGAATGAGACAACTCTCCGTTTAGTTTTCTTTGATTTACTAGTCTTGGTTTTCTTGATTTTAAATTGATATTCTTTAATTGATAATTAAATTTTCTAGATTTATTTACATTATACAAGCTAGTATTCCTAAGAATGAAAATGATACCTTGATGTTGAGTTTCACAGTTGTGTGACGTTGCTGTGACACTGATTATACACCAAAACTAACATTATTCCATCTACAACAGACACATCGATAACAATATCAATTGCCACCCAATTCCCAACAATAACATTTCAGATATACAGCCATTCACCATCAGTATGATATTTTCATACAAACATAAGTAAGTCTACTTCAACTTTATAAGTTGAATTAGTATTGAAATAACGCAACTGTCTCAATACATTTTTCTTTCAAAGTAAATTGTATGCTTGATAAACATACAGAATGCAAGCATATGATGCCTAAAAAAATATGTTGCCTGGGTCAGTGGGTGTATTGGTATGAACTTATCATAAATGTTCCAGTCAAAGATCTTGAGCTACCTTAAAAAATTCAGCTACCTTGAAAAATTCAGCTACCTTGAAAATGTATTGAGCTATAATTACGACAATGCAGTCTGTGATTATAAGTGGTTATAATTACGGGGAATGGTACCTTAGGGGGACATTCCCATAGGGTTGAGCACAAAACTTTAATGACCCCTAATTCCAATTTTCCCTTATCCTACCCCCACGAATTATGGTATATTTATGTTTTGGACTACAGGCAATTGATCTACCCTATCTGCGACAATACAATTTTACCTCTAAACAGGAGTTGTGACATAAGGAACTAGGGAGACATTGAAATGTCTATATAATGGCCGGTGTCTCCCTAATGTATAACTTATGACCAAAAAAAAGGTCTCCTTATGGGTACATTCAGAAAAAAAAATCATAATTATGTCAGTGTATTAAAAAAAAAATTGATGACTTGTACAATTGCTTTATTGAGTGAGAAAATCCAAGTTCTTGGTTGAGCTTACTTGGTTCCTAGCTGCAAGGCTAGTGCTGGATCACAGTAGAGAGCATCGTTGCATTCTGCTCCCGGTGTCTGGTGTTCCTGATCCAGGAACCAGCCTGAGTCTATTAGCCCAAGGACTTGGGCTGTACTGCCTGCTTCTTCCAGCATGGAAGTTATGCGGTCCAGGTTCAGAAGCACTCCTGTACCACCAGCACTTTGATAATAAAAAAATTGGATGTTTTGAAAATGTGTTTATCTTCTCATGGCTCTTTTGCTTATAAGCCTGGAGAAACATGTTCAGAGAAGTCAATGTAGAATGTTAAACATCATAGTTGGAGGAAAACCCCAGATATATTCACTTAGAAACCCAAAGAACTAGGCATGGAGTATACTAAAATCAACTTGTTGGCTTAGGTGGGACTCGAACCCAGGGCACAGAAATGTCAGAAAGTGTCAGCATTTTTTTCCCGAAGGATTTGTGTCTTAATATAATGATAACATTACGACAATGAGGAATCTTTCTTAGTCATGAAAACTGGTAAAATTCCAAGAATTAGTTTATCAAATACCATTTTTATCAAGGATTTGTTTCGACAAATTTGATTGAAAAATCTCCAAATTTGTTTTCAGTAACTAACCTGCTTCCAGCAAAGACAATCTGTCTTGCATCCATGAGCCCAACACCAAGTAGCTCCTCAAATACCTCATTCAGTATAAGAGCACCCATAAACGCATAACCATCTGAAAGATAAATGAATACAGACGATTGAAACATCTCCCAGGCTTGTATTCATGGTAGAATTGTTTTGAATTCTACAAGCATTATTCTTCATTGTCCGAACATAAACTCTCTACCACAATCGTGCTTCCCATCATCCTACAACCCACATTCTGTCAAGAGCTTCACCAATAAGCTCCATCTTTTAAGACTTTCCTAGTCTTATTTCCTATGTCAAGAGTCTTTTGGACTATAGGCGCTTCCTGACTTTTCTTGGCATATGATCTGCTAAAAAAAATACTTCAATCGACTATAGATTTTATAAATTGGTTTTGAATCTATCAACATGTTTCTCACTTGTAGTTGTAGTTCACATCCTATTCATTAGTTCACGGATTCCATGTGACATATGGTCAAAGTAACCAAGTTATTTTACCTTTTTGGGTTATTTGATGAGGAATTCAATTATGGAGTGTCATGGCCTAGTGGTTTAGAGCACCGGACTCATTGCTCTGGTGTTTCAGAGGCAATAGTGGCTTGGGTTCGAGCCCGCCGGGTGGACACTTGTGCCCTTAAGCAAGGCACTTAACCATTATTGCTTCGTCCTTCGGATGGGACGTAAAGCCGTAGGTCCCGTGTGTTGTGTAATGCACGTAAAAAAAACACAGTAACACTTATCGCTAAGAGAAGGGGTTCGCCCCGGTGTTTCTGTCAAGTGCATTTATCCTCGTACATTTGAGGCTGCACTTGCAAGGAAGGAAGGAAGTAACTTGTCAATAATATATTATTGAAGATTATGGCCAATTTCAGAAGTTGATATGCTTATTCCTGCTAATGATGTTCATTTTATAGATGAATGTTGTTTGTTTAGCACCACATGATATTGGGCATGACCCAGACGTACCTGAATCCGATGCTGATGCTGTCCCACTCCACACATCACTGGAGCAATAGGGAACATACCTGCAAACAAAATATATCCTGAGTCGTTAAAAATTCATATGCGTTAAAAATACATCTTTTAGATGCATCTTTGGAAATGACCTTCTTTTATTGTTTTCTTCAAAATGACAGCATGCCTGAAAGAATAATTTCACAGGGAGTTTAGTGCCATTACTGTCTTTAAGCCAAGTATGCTTTTCAGCAATAATATGGTCAGTTACTTTCTGGATAGCTGCAAAGGATATACTCTACCTTTAAAGGGAATGTACAACATTTGCTTTTGCTGCAATTTTCAGAAATAAATGTTTCAAGTTTTGGGCTTGTATATGCTGGGAAACCAAGAAAACTAATCGTGTTCTTGTAGTCTGGTGCCCTGACCCCACTTAAGATGAAACGGAGCAATATGTAGACTTTGGGGAATTGTACGGTCAGAAGCATCCTGTAAAATCGTGGCACCCGGTGTGCTGACATTTTCAAGAAAATTGTATTTTTCCAACGCTAGTCAGCCGACCAGTGTTGGAAAAAACTGGCTTATTTTCAAAAAGTGCTCCTACTTTTTCAAATTGAGTTATTCTGCATTTTGTTTTTTGATGTTTGCAAATGTTGTATCTTCCCTTTTTGTTTGGAAAAGAGGGTTTGTTTGAACATCTCCCTTCATTCTTTCCCTGAAATCCAAATTCTTGCAAGCGGATCCTGTGTTCAAGGTGTTCTTGTTTGTTTTTAAACCTGCTCCAAGGACTGATGCCACAACTCAACCCTCTCAAAAATGTGATCCCATCAAAAGTTGAAATTCCAGTAGTTCTTGTATGAAAATATAAATATATACACATTCTTGTCGGGGCATCACAGGAGTTTGCGACCAGCCGCATGGCACTGTGGGGGACCTTTGACCTTAGAGAGGTCATATCAGGTCAAATCCATTCACAGCAATAACAACTTAAGTGCCGTAAATCTCCAGAGGTAGTTATTGGAAACTCACACGACATTGGACTTCCAGAAGATGGGGTTCTCCTCCGGATCCGGAGACAAGATTCCAGTACCTTGAGAAGATAGTGGTCATTTAACTGGTTAAAGCATTGCAGAACATATATCGTTGCAGAACATATATCTAGGATATGAAAGCCCAGTCAATGAGCTTTCTATTGGTACAAGAATCATTCAAATTACTAAGGTACTTTTGAAGTTACGGAATTTTGAACACAAACACTGTTTAAAGTTCTGTCCACGGATCACAAAAAAAGTAAGTGTTCTCTCAGCGAAATGATGCAATTATCATAGGGATGCATGTGAATTGTTTTCGTTTTGCAAAAGAACACACCTTTTTGATAGTAAAACGATGTTTATGTTCAAAATTCCATAACTTGAAAGGTACCAAAGTGATTTGAATGATTTTTGTACCAAAAGAAAGCTCATTGGCTGGGCTGTCATATCCTAAATTTTGAAAGTGCTACAGGCAAAACTTCATTCAAAAATTGGTCCTGTCGTTTTGGGTTTCATTTTGTTTTTACTCACCCTTACCTGTATAGGCCTACTCTGTTAAGATATTGATAAGATGTCTTTGGTTCTCTGGCTGTAGACCTTTTATAGAACACAATCTTAAGATCTCAGTAAAAAAAACTTAGTCCTGATCCACTGATTTCATGATATAGAAAAATTGTGTGTACTGGTATCCTGATTGACCTGTCAATCAGTACGTTAATTGATTGAGATACCTGTTTTTGTTTTGAGCCACGTTCTGGAGCTCATAAGCCTGCTGGACGACAACCATCTGTTGTGACAGCTGTCTCTGTCAAAACAATGCCAACCTCCTGCGTGAGGAAACAAAATATTACCTCTCAAATACACCAGGCTGGATTTGGGGAATCCCTTTTAGTCATATTGGTTTGGAGAGTGGAGAGTAGAAAAGTAGGAAATGTCTGTGAAATTGAAGCTGGGTTTTGAAGTATACAGTATGTCCCTCAAAAAGTGACCATCTAAATATTTTTAAAATAACAACAAAACCATGGCATAATTTTGAAAATTTTTAATTGTGTAGATACTCCTAATCCTTGGCCTAAACCCCTTTTGAGTGTTATTTAATTTCAGTCATGCATCACTGCACAATGGTCAATTGATCATGACACCATTTTTGGACACTGTGACCCAAGTTCCTTGCCTTAATCAATTTCACTGCTGTGTAAAATCCTGCATGTTGTGAAAAAGGACTGTAGTTGGGATTGGAATAATTTGCCTGGCTATCAGTCATCATGGCAAGACCTCAGTTTAATGCTCAAGGGCAAATTATTCCAATCCCCAACTGATTCATTTGTTTGAAAACATCGGAAAACATTACCTTAAGAGCAAAGGTGTAAGTTTAGGATGCCCCTTTTGGCTGATAATGAAGTTTGCTAAATAATTGGATCACTTTTACTTGTTTTTATTTTATTGAAGAAAAACATAGACATGAACATTTTACCTCTTGCTGACTTTTTAAGAACCGGATTTATTTTTGTCTGAAGTTTTAAGTGAGGGTTAAAGTTTTTGGTTGAAGAAATTTTTTTTTAACTTCCCAGCAAAAAAAGGAAATTTCCTCCGTACCTTCAAGAAAAATGAGCCACTTTTTACTTCCCTGAGATTGTCTGAAATAGTATCTGTGGAGGAAAAAAACAACAAAAGACAGGTGTTACCGAAGAGGCCTAGGACTTTCTTGGTGGGATTCGACTCTGCATTCGTAAAGTCTAAGAATACTAATTGGACTCCTTACCAGTGAGACCACGGCACTCATTGGCTGATCCATGGGGTGAGGGTGTTAAAGTACCCCTTCCCTAATTTGGCTTGATTGGCCTCTCTTGTCTCAGCCCACGTCTGAAAATTGTTCTTCCAGAAAGTTGACTGATTCAGCTGAATGCCTTATTTAAAACTTTGTGTGAAAATTAGCCCCTTTCTGTCTGATTTGGGGATCTGCACCTGCCCCTTGTCTTAGCCCATGTCTGAATATTGTCATTCCAGAATGCTGACCCGATTCAGCTGAATGTCTTATCAAGCTTTATTTGAAAATTAAGCCACCTTCTGTCTTATGTGTGGATCTGCGCCTGCTACTAGTCTTCTTCCAGAATGCTGACCTGATTCAACTGAATGTCTTGTTAAAACTTTGTGTGAAAATGAAGCCCCCTTTTGTCTGAGTTGTGGATCTGCCTGCCCCTAGTCTTAGCCCATGTCTGAAAATTGTCGTTCGAGAATGCTGACCCGATTCAGCTGAATGTCCTTGTTGAAAATTAAGCCCCCTTTTGTCTGATTTGTGGATCTGCGCCTGCCACTAGTCTTGGCCCACGTCTGAAAATTGTCATTCCAGAATGCTGACCCCATTCAGCTGAATGTCTTGATAAATTTTGTTTGAAAATGAAACCCCCTTTTGTCTGATTTGTGGATCTGCCCCTGCCATGGATTGTTTTTTATTTAACTTACCCTGCTGGTGACCCATCATTGCACGTGACTGAGCGATTGGCAAGCTCAAACAGCCGCATCTGCTGCATCTCACCGCTGAAGCCACAGGTGTGGAGCGCCGAGGCTAGATGCTTGATTTGGGCCATCAGGTTGTCTGGGTCCCCATCCAACTTGTTGAGGTCTAAGACATACTCGTTGGATTCCTCTGGGGCGCCTGTCTCTTCGGGCAGGGTGGCGACCCGTCTGGCTGAGGTAATGAGGATGAGGTTGATGAGCAGGAGGAGGATGGGTCTTGGCGATGTCATTGTGCTGGGAAGGAGAAAAGAAAGAGACACTCTAACCAGAGATTTGTCATGGGAAGTTGAACCTCTGGGTCTTCTTTGAGAAAGCTTCAGAGGTAAAAATGAAGATCAAAAGATGAAGAATGAAAGAAGATGATGATCAAAAGATGAAGATGAAAAAGAGGAAGAGTAGTGGCATGGAACTGATTTGGAAGAGGAGAGTTGAGAAAAATTAAGCTGATCGAGAAGATATCCTAGAAAGGAGAAGAAATGCAAGCATTTCGAGACAGATGATGACTTGAAAGGTTGTTGCATTTTATTGGAGGACAAGGCTTGCTTTGGGATGAGGATTATTGCACTGAAGAAAGAAAAGGCAAATTGTGATGACTATGCAACAATAACCCTATACACCCACATGCCTACGGAGTGCTCCGAAGCTATCACGGTGCAGAGGTTCCTCTCAATTGTGGATGCCGGTAATTCCTGAGAGGGCTCTCGTAAGGTTCAAGGCCTCCCTAAATCCTCCAGTGCCTAAACAAAAAAAAACAGAAAGACCCGGGCTCACAATGAAAACACACGGACCGCGCGCTGCCCAGGCCAAATCATATTTCATCGTAATCTGAAACAAGATACCGGATCGCTTGTGCCGCGATTCGTCGTGGTGGAAAGAGGGGGAAAAAACGGCAGCGCGTGCCGCGAGTCCCCCGGCCGGGCGACCGTGAATATCGCCGGCCTCTTTGATCTCCGAGCTCCGCTGCTAGGCTCCCAGGAGTAAACCCGTGTGATGTCTCCCTTAACAAGCCTGCGATTCCACCCGGGCCTGGTTTAGGTCAAAATCTGAAAAATGTGTTCGCCTTGAAGTTTTAATAACCAAGGCCTGGCAAAAGCCTGTTTCCAAAGACTGGTATTATTTAATTTCCTTTGAAGTGGGTTCTTATTTTATTGTATTTTATATATTTTTTGCCGAGGTCAGAAACATGTCTTACCCCATAGGATGGGATTTTTTTTTAATTTGACAGGCTTATTAAATCTTGGCGGTTTCTTTTCTCTTGTTTTTGTGGCACTGCTGTGGCCTGGTATTCGTCACATTTGCGATTTCTTGAAAGATTTGTTCGTGTTTTCATTTCGTAATTTGATTTGTGACGTCGGGTTCCACTTCAATCAAAATTCACACTTGTTTGCCAACCTGTTTGGCGTCCAATAATGTCCCTTGTGAGTTTGTTTTATAATCAGTTGTCCAGAAATGTATGGATTATTTTTTTCTTAATGAATATATTTAAACTGCCCGTAGCAGTTATACTTTTCGTATTGCTCTCGTTCTGCCAAAGGTAATGAACACAGTTTTGATTGATGATACAAATCGGTTTTCTCGACTGCCGAACACTTTTAAAGCCATTTATACAACCGTACACGCTGAAAATACGTCCAAGTTCTCCATTGCTTACAAGTCTTATACTACAGGGTGAGTAAACAAAAGGAAACCAAAATCGCAGGACCATTTTTTTTAATGAAGTCCTGCATGTAGCACTTTCAAAATCTAAGATATGAAAGCCCAATTAATAAGCTTTCTTTTAGTACAAGAATCATTCAAATCACTCATGTACTTTTCAAGTTACGGAATTTTAAACACAAACACCGTTTTAAGGTTCTGTCCACGGATCACAAAAAAAAGGTAAGTGTTCTTTCAGCAAAACGAAAACAATTCACACAGAGATGATAAGTGAATTTGAACTTGAAAAGTACATGAGTGATTTAAATGATTCATGTACTAAAAGAAAGCTTATTAAGTGGGCTTTCATATCCTAGATTTGGAAAGTGCTACATGCAGAACTTCATTACAAAAATGGTCCTGACATTTGGGTTTCCTTTTTTTGACTCCCCCCGGATTGTTTATGTCAACACGGTTGTGCTCTCGCACCTATACCAATGGCCCCTTGAATATAGAGAATCAGAATTGCAGTACGGTGTCTTTTTCCTGGGGATAAAGCGACATTATTCCACAGCCAGGATCAAACCCTACAATCATGACCATTAACACCATATTCCAACACGCAAAACTGCTCGGTTGCAATTTCCCAAAATATTCAGTTATGCCCCATAAAGCACACCCTATTTTCAGGAATTGATGGACCTTTCACCGTGTTTCTGTGTTTTTCTTTGCGGTGGAGAAACCACAACACCCCGGGTTCACAAATTGTGAAGAGTTCGCAGCACTCTTGCGAGGGCTTCGTCGTCCTGGGGTACGCGAAGTCGTTTGTTTTCCTCCTACTTAACTCCTAAGTCGTTTGTCGTTTATATCAGTGACGGGCAGTGTAAAATAAATATTTTTGCCGAGATTTCGACGAGGCCCACGGAAAAAAAAAACTTCAAACAGCTTCCGACCTTCTTCAGCCACTCTGCTGATCTCCATCTCTCTCTGGCGTTGTTTTCCGGTGAACAAGAGTAAAAGGACGGGGAAAAGAAGGGGTCATTTTGGTCAGTTTGTTTGCGCAGATTTGGGGGATGTCGCCGACAGATTGCCCGATGTGGTATGGCAACAAACACTGCAGGCCAGACCGGAACATTCCGAAGTTCAAAGGGATGATGGGCTAAAATAATACTCGGCCCCGACCGCTCTTGGTTGCCTTAAAGTTAAAGGGACGGACGGTGTACAGCATGTTAACTTATACAACTCCTATGCATACTCCACATGTCGTACTACAAGTTACGTTTACATTAAGGGGAAATATTAAAAGGGGGAAAATGATGTTAAAACATGCTGTGTCCAATAAACTGTCCATAAAGAAAGTGAAAGCTATTTCAGTTGAAACCGGCTCTGCTTGAGTCACACCACAGGACGACATACGGTATATCTGAACATCACAAATTAGTGGGCACATCCAGCTTGCTCTAGGCATCCCCGCGGGATGCAACTTCACACTCCATCGACTTCGCACTTGGTATACTTATGTGTTTACTTTCTTATAGAGTTTCGGCACTCTCCTGAAGACGGTTAGAGCACACTGAACGGAACACTCGAGTTTATACCTCTGGTTCTTTTCACAACCATTCTCTTACTTTGAGAAATTATTCCCACGTGCTGTTTCCGCAAACCTTTCATTATTAGTATCTCCACCATGCAAAGTATCGAATCTTACTTGTCACAATTAGCTTTTTTTACCGAATTGTGTAGGTCTCTAAAAAGGCAGTTCTTGGTTGAGAACGATCATGAATGGTATGTCAGTGTCCTGTCTCAGATACCGAAATAGGTTTTAAACTTGTTTTCTTAAATTCGAGCTTTCCGAAACTTGTCCTTTTTTTCTGTAGTTTAATGCTGGGTAGGGATGTAAACTCAACCATGGTTTGCCCAGTAATGTTTTATTTCTTGTGTATTAAAAACACATGTTGAACTGAAGTTTTTGATCTCGCCCCCTTGGACCGTCAGCTGTAATAATATCACTACCGGTACATTATTTTACTCTAGCCAGTTCAAAACTTGGGCATAGGTTTACTAAAAATAGCAGTTTGATTTTCAGGAATTTCTCAGCGAGCGTTTTCTAAACATCTCAGGCAACGCCATGGGTGCAAATTCCCAGGAAACTCTTCTTTGTTAATCGTAGGTGAGCGGTAACGCCACATGTCCGTATACCGACCACAGTCTCTCCAATCCCCCTTTTGCCACTGACCTCTCTTGCTCCCTAGATGTCCTCCCAAGTGCCAGGCCGGCTTTGCTCTCTCTTTTTATCCTCCGTGTGCCTAGGGGAATCGGTAACAGATACCCTGATAATGAGACGCCGTCTTACAGCTGTCGTTATACGCCCCGAGTATGTCCCATATATAAACTGTTTTCTTGGTTTTTCTTTGTGGCGCGAAGTAGGTAGAAGTTGCGTGTGCCATGGAGCAAGGAAAACGCTTGCGTGGACCCTGTTGTCAAACTTAAAACTGAAGTGTAAGATTTAACGAGACACTGGTCAAACTTAAAGGTCATTACATAGGGTCAATTGCATTTTATGTTTCTTTTTGTTTTCGTTTAAAGCAACGAAAGTGCTGAAAATCTTAAGTATATGGTATCTTTCTCCACTTTTGAGCAAGGTTTTTATCGGTGCAAAATCCAGTATATATGTACATGTACACCTGTAACTTCTTGACCAAAAATTCAAGGATTTGTTTGCCTGTGAGAGAGATTTATTATCTTGGATACGGTAATTATCATTTTCCCCAAAGCTCGAATGACTGCCGCCGGGCGACATGCACACCGTTGGAATCCCGTTCAAAATACATAATCCTGTACTCACTGATCAAGTAATCAAACTGCAAATATTTTAGAAATATGAATTGACCTGTACTAGTGTACATGCTATACAGTCATACATCATGGCGTTACCTATCTTTACCAAAGATAATGAACAATAATATTTCTCATCTAAAATATTTGGTTAAGCAAAAGCAAAAGCCTACGAGAGCCGGAATCCTTATAAATCCATCACACTTCAATAGCTGAAGAAAAAAATCTCGGCCTGTATGACTAAGAAGCCGGCGCGGCATCTGCCTCCTTCTTCTGAAACCTTGAAAACAAAATTCAAGCAAAATATTTTCCCACCCGTGGGCCTAAAATCGGTACCAAAAAGGCCGCCGCCCCAGCTGGTAAACACCTTTGTACATCCACACCAGCTCCGGCCTCCTTTCATCTCCAAGACATTTTCTTTGTTTCTCACCAACTCTACCCGAAGTCTCGATGCAGCAAGGCTGTCTTCTCTAACACCGAAGCCGCACAAGCGATTTAAGCTTATAACTCAAAAACTCAACAACAATGCTTGTTATTTACCCACGCCCAAGAGAAATATAATTATTTTTCCCCCGCAAAAACCAGGCCCAATGTGGTCAGTTCAGCCCACCGAACAGACACAAAAATACGCTGATTTCAGCTCCAACTTTGTCTTATGAAGCCCGACAAGATCTTTGGCGGGTTGTTTCTTGACTACAGGGGGAAAACTTGTCTTGCGTCTTGGGACCACACGGAGGGTTTGTTTGTTCCTTAATGAACCACGGCGCACCTTTTTCTATCACGGCGTGTTCACCCACTCATGGCCTCTAGGCATACACGCGAGTGCCTACCGTACCTAGGCCGTTTGTCTCTCGCGATGATGGATGACATTGCAATCTCTGGGATCGAACTTTTGTTCTTGTACTTGACGCTTAATTCAACTTTAACTGTTTACATTATGAGCAAACTTATGTATTTCCGCACGTTATTACCATGACTTAATTTGGGTATTAAATCATACGTTATTCGTTGAATTGGCACTGTGCATAGCCCTCCATCCACAAAGCAAGCGGAGGGAAACATACGATCAATCATATTAGACAAAGATAGTGAAAATCCAGAATGAAATGGCTCCATATCACTACGTAAAAGGAGTGCCTCGTTTTCTCAAAGATACCAAAAATGAAAACTTGGCGTCCGCACATTTGGTACAATCATAACAGTATAAACCGCATTTTTTTTAATTGCAAAAAGACCGATTAGAGCCTAATGCGCTGTACATCCAGTGTTCGTATTTTCTCGAGTTTTTTTCATTTCCCCCCAAACTTATGCAAAGCACTACTGCAGAGCAAGTTGGCGGTTTCCTTGTTTTCCGTTCTGAACCAATTCATTTTGAAAACTGCGATTGTGTCTCCGAAACAGGTAACCTTCGGGGAAAAAGAACGTCCATTGGTCCGTGTTCCCATCACCCCTTCCTGGGCCCGCCGTCTGGTCGCGATGGGCCCCGTCACGCATTGCCCAATGTCCGCCCGACGCCATCCCACAGTCACGGTACTCGCTCTGGTAGTTCAGGTCTTTTGTTTCATTGACTTCATTGAAAGAAAAGTTTTTCCTGAATATGATTCAAACAGAGATAAAATCGCAGGCGAGTGAAATCAACCGCGAATTTGGAATCGCCAGAAAACTTCGATGCAGTCTCTTTTCGAGAGGAGCAATTCCCATCCAGCTTTTAAGCGGGACATACAGACGCGTTGTTTTGGGAACCCCCCCCCTCCGTCACCCTATTGTTTTTCTCCAGGAAAACTTCGACCAATCAGTACGATCTCCTTTACTTTTAAAGTTACAACCGAGCTTCGCAGAAGAAGTAGTAATTTATTTGAGCCAAAAACAAAAAGTTATGCCGGCTTTCCGTGCTTGTTTGGCGTCTGGTTTTACGGTTTTTAATTAACATTACGGTGCTCTGGTGATACAGAAAAAGTAGTTATTTTTAGGATGTACATCATGCATGATGAGAGAAAAAAATATGGCCGTACCGTTCTAGAATGCATGGGAAAATATCCTGCCGCTTTCACTTCGAACAAAGTTGACTTGATCAAAACGAAATTATACAAACTTCCTTCAACATGCCATGGTCCAATTCACTGTTCACTGAATCTTGCAACCGGATATAAAATTCTACGTAACCAAAAACTGTATCTCCGCTCGTCTCCCCTATGCAAAATATGCATGCGAATTCCCTGCCTGCGCAGTGTGTGTGTGCACTAGTGGCGCCATGCTGCGTATTAGATACACACACGCACGGCATTGACTTGACTGTCAACGGTCTTACGGCACGAGTCCCAACTCCTTTGATCTGCCGACACAATGGCGGTACTCGCTTTGATCTCTCGACCGTGAAAACAGCTACATTCGAGCCAGTAAAGGATATAAAAAAAAGACCGATTGTAAACACGCTCTTTTGTCGTGACTTGTGCGCTGCTGGCTTTGTTGGATAACTGAGGGACAACAAACGAGGGGACATCGAAGCACTTAGTGCCTACAATTTCTGCTCTTTGCTTTTTCGCTTTTGAGTAAAGACGGAAAAGTGTCCCCATTGTTCTCTGGATCCATACCCTTCGGCTGACTAGCGGCGGCTTTTAGTTTTCTGCTCCTCCACTGAGAAAACATCCGCTTTTCGTTTGCGCTTCCCAAGTCGGCTTGTCATTCCTTTGTCGTCCAAGCGCTTATTTGAAGTGATTGAATTGAAATGACATTATTATTTGAGTGACAGTATGATCATAAGATGTTAGAAATAACCTTTGGCTACAGGGGAAAGAATGATTGGTATGAGTGATGACATGGTAGTACAAACCTTAGCTGAAAGATATAGGGTCCAGCTTTTTGTTCACAGCCTAACGTGCATTACAAAGCAGAGGAGAATTGGAGATAAAAGTTAACCAATGTAATGTTAAAATGTGGGCAAGAATCCTAAAAGACGATTCAATAAACTCTAGACACCTTCTACTTAATAGTTCTAGGTATGGCAGGAAAAGCTCTGAGAGACACAAGGCAAGGCCCTAGCGGTAGGCTACATCCCCCGTCGGATTTGAACCAGGGCCACAGGCTAAAATTTCACGGAGCTGTCAAAAATTCCGCATTTGTGCCAACAAAATTGCAATTTCAATTAAAGTTAGTCCCGGGTGCATACCTATGTTCCCCAATACCTATGTTCCCTAACCCTAACCATCTAACCCTAAACCCTAAAGATTTTGTGGAACATAGGTATTGGAGAACATCGGGTAGACCCCGTTAATTGACGAGATATTGACGAGATATCCAATTGGACGCACTGTCATTATTATCAACGTAGAAGTAGAAGTAGAAGTTAGTCCAAGAATTGAGAAATCCTCGGCTTATTTTCCAATGGTCTCGGGCATTCATCATGATAAATAAGACATGACATCAGTTTTAATAACTGTTAAACCATGCATCACTGTTCGTGGAATGTGCATGTTCAAACTTGGTAATCCGTGTATCGCAGAAGATAAACAAACTGTTGTCAAGAAATGAGTCCAAGTTCCAAGAAGTCTTGTTATAATTCATTAGTTAAGCTATTTGAAGTTTAGTTATCAATAGTAGAACCTCTGCTCTATGGTAGAACGTAACTTGTAATCTCGGTTATCCGTCCCTAACTAATTTTCTTCCTTTTTTAATTTAATTCTTTAATGTTCATTTCAATTCAATTCTGGTATATATTAAAAAAAACTGGGCCTCCCACTTGTGGTAGGCACAGGAAAAGTAAGGATACATTTAATTTTTTGTAGACGATAGTTGCTCAAAAAAGGTAACTGCCGTTCACTCCATAAAATATACTCCATGAACTAGAAATTTTACCAAAGCTCGGTTCGTTACCCTTCCAAATTTTACTTTAGTGCGCCTCAGCTCTACGTGTACAGCTGTGGTACCAAAATGGGCTTGTATAGCACTACACCCATACACAATGTATAGACAAAGTAAAGTTCGCGCCTGCCATAGAACCATCATCATATTTGCCAATACATTTACTCAGTTAATGAGCGGTAAAACGGTCCTTTGTCCAATCTCTCAGATCGATGTGGAGTGGCCTCTCCGGGCCTCATGTCAATACTTACCGAGGTTGATGTGTGTATGCGATGTCAACACCAGCTAGGTCGCTTGATGGGAAGAAACTCTTGGGACAAAGTTGAACAAGCCAGCAGACCAACTGTGTATAGACGCCAATCACAGGCCAATGCTCTTGCAAAAACTTGGCTCCAAAGTTGCTCTCTTCTGTAAAGTTATTTTATTTATGTGCCCAGCGATGGAAAGTCCTTATCTTTGGTCAGATAATTCCGTTGGCTAGCAGTCAGTCAACTATACAGGCCTCCAAGTAGATATTGGAGTTGAGGTAGATCGAAGGTGGACTGACAGATGGGGGAAAACCGAACCCCCTAACAAAGAGTCAAACTGTTGAGAGTTCCTCCTGGAGATGATTGACCGACCGGTGATGGTCGGAGGCCGAGAGATGAGCGAGGGATGAGCGTTGAGTTTGTTTTTTTTCTCCAAATACTGCTATGCGTGATTTTGGCGTAACTGACGAAAAACAATTTCGATGATTCTTCCGGTAGCAATTTCAGCCAACCATCCTCGCATGGGAAAGTTCCCCTTGTGTGTCACCGAAGAGAGACGACAAAGTGAGCAAAGAGCTGGGGGAGGAAGTCACGTGTGAATGGGGAAAGCCATCGTATACACAATCAGATCAAAGGAAAACGCAGAGCGTGCGACGACTTTGACGTGAAGCGAAGGGCCTATAGTGTATACTGGCATGGGGCCGTCACGTCGAGCCTTTTGTCTGCGGGGTGGGTGTATCAGTGGCCGCACCACGGGCCGCAATGTAAACTGCGGCAAGATCACAGGCGAATACAGCTCCTCAAAAAAAAAATACAGAACACAAAAAAAAAAATACATATCCCGGGAGTGCATGCAGTGCGCGTTGTGGACTTGTTGCATATTTATATCACGGTGATGCCATTAACAAGCGAAGGGGTGATTGGCTCCGATTTGTGTGGAGTTCAGAGGCACCGACAACTCGGTGTGGGTACAAAACGCGCCAGTCGACGGGCGACGGGAGCTTGAGTACCGCCAAATAATACGCATGCCGATGGTAATGGCGATGAATTCTCCTCGAGAAAAACATCCAGGATTGTGTTTCACATCTTTGAAATAACTTGTTTTTGCTGGATCTTTGTTTTTCTTTTCTGCGCAGCTTGTTTCTTGGTTTATTTATTTCTTATTTTAACTGGGTAGCCCATTCAGTGGAATCCACTGGTCTCCCATGGGTCCCAGTAAAGAGAAGACAATGTGAAGAATTTACAATTTTAGATGTGGGAGGAAAAGTCCAGAAGGTTTAGGGCGTTAGGTTGCCGTTATCCGAAAACAGAATGGCCACCACCACATTGATTAATAATCGATTATATTAGTTTTCGATAGTTTTCCTGGAAAATTGTTAACAATTTTGTTTTCTTGTATGTATAGGCCTATATCTTGTGGCCGGCCCGTAACTGCTGTATGATCGCTCAAAATCCATTGCCGTTTGGAGTGACGTTTTCTCCAGTGGGGTACTTGAACTCGAGGCCGATGTTCGCATTATTGATCTGCATGGAATGACATATGAAGATGTTCTCTGCATCAGTTGACATTATCCTTGTTAATGCATAGTTTCCTTGCTCCTTGGCTAATGTGAGGTCAGATTCATCGCGAAGTTGTGTCAGCACATGTAAATAACTATGTTCATAAGTAAATGGACGGCTGTTTCCTGAGATAAACCATCATAAAAAAGTACATTTTGTACACCAACAAATTACATTACAACGATGGACTTATAAACAATAGTTATAAACCCTGGCAGTCTCCATGTCTATCTTCTGTGCAGACTTGGGGGCACATTACACATTAAACTCCCCCGGTGCAATTGCCACGGACGTAAACTCTTTATCGGAATTGATGCAGTCTATTAGCGCGGCGCTGCGACGTTAATGCGCCGCAATGCGACCGGGGCAAATCCAAACATTAGCGCGCAGTTGGAGTGCAGCTACCGCGCTTTTTTTCAGCGAGAGCTTATACCGGTCGGGGTCGGTCAGGACCAAGCCGGATCAGCGAGTGTTTACCTTAAACTTTTCGCAGGATTTAATCGCAGTTTAACGTCCTTTTCCTTTGCCCCACTGTCCCTTATTTCTTACCCTTTTTATTCGTCCATGTCGTACAGAATGCACATTCTGTACAACTGGCACATACAACTGGCACTAAGTTACATGTAGTTGGGTATTGGGCCCACGTTTTTCATGGAGGCATTTTTGGCGCCACTGATGATCATTGCCTAAGGTGTGAAGTTGTAATTATTTTGAAGTCTGGATCTCCGAGAAAAAAATGACACTGGAGAAAATAAGTTGTAGAACAAATTTGGCAAACTGACACATTATTTTCGTGTCGATTTTTTTATACTTAATTTCAGGCTTTTACGTATTGAATGGATAAAGATTTACACGGCATAATGCAGCATAAAGCGTTAATTCAGCAGTCGTCGAATCAACCTCGTCCCCAGTGCTTACTTTATTTCCAACCTAGTTTCCAATAGTAAACCCTGGATAGGAAACTTTCTTCCTGTATTCTGATTCGATACCGCAATTGGCTAGTAATGGATTTTTGTCGTGTACTTGGTGGTGTTATTCACAACGTGCAGTAAGTGTTTTCGCGATTATTCGTCCACGCCTTCTCGAAAATACTCATTTCCTTCCCAATTTGTTCATATTAATATGAAATGTGATACTACATGTTGTCTCGGTAAGATCGTAACAATTTAATTAAATAAATCGTGTTTTCCGTAACTCACGCCATGCTCGCGCTGCGACGAATTGACTCTGCTTTTACCCCAGACACCGTATACAAAAACAAACGCAAATGTAACGCACAAGCAGGCACCAAACTGTTCCTCATTTGCATACGTGTTCAAAAATCTTGCACATGCAAATGATCCAATACCAGGGTGAGAGAGCAGGTAGTGATGGGCGCGTACTGCTCGACACCCTGGGGTCGAGGTTGTCATCGAATCTTTTGACGGAAACCACAGCACGATGGATGATACTTACCGAAGAGAACCGACTGAATCGAAGTAACACGCTGTACCGGTATACTGGTCGTTGATGAGCTATATAGGCCTAAGCTCAATGTATCCCGGGTTGACACATCAATAAATTCGGACTTTTCTATACAGGACAGTTATAGGCTGTGTTCAACTTGCAGATTATGGCTAGGATGGAGATATTTTTTAAACTTCGGCCCCATCGTCTCCAGCCTCGGCTCCAGGAAATTCATAGCGCACATCCAATCAATGATATGAGGCATAAGTGCAGGCCGCAAAATGATTTTGGAACCACAGATGAAGCCGAAGCTGAAGCCGTGGTTTAGCAACAATTCTTATTCACCTGCGTCATAAAATGTGATGTCATTGAACCTGAGGTCAAGAGGTCAAAGTCAATCAATGGCCTTTTACCTCCAGTGACATAATGCAGGCACTTGGACTTATTGAGTTAGTCTTTCTTGGAAGGGACCACTTTGACCGTGAACGGTGTTTTTGCTTTACAGCAGGGTCAAACTTCAAAGAGGTGCTGGGCAAAACAAATTTCCCTGCAACGTTATGTGCTAATAAATATTAGCAAAAAAATCAACTGTGGACCAATCACAACCAACATGCCTGACATATTGGCGTATATGGCTGGTAACTAGCTTCGCTACGCAAATAACTGCTAAGCAGCTCCACTATTAAACTTGGCTCCAGCCTCCAAACTTTTGGTATCTAATCCAACCATAGAGAGTATGTCCCCCCCCCCCAAAAAAAAATGTCCGTCTGACTATTTTTTGAAATAAGTACAAAACCATGAAGTCAATTTTGAAATTTTTTGATTGGGCAGATACTCCTTATCCTTGGCCTAAACCCTACGAGATTCATTTAATTTCAGATACGCATCACTATACACATTGTCACAAGGGCGGATCCAGGGGGGGGGGGCCAAATGGGGCCATGGCCCCCTCAAAAAAAAAAAACACGAAACCAATTTTTTTTTTTTTTTATGTGACATCGCAATAAAGGCAGGCAATGAGTACACCACCATCTTTTCCTCAAAAAAACATTGGTTAAAGTGGTCAGAAATTGCCTCAGATCGCACCACAGAGCATTTAGAATCCAAAAAAATTTCGGGACCCTTAAGCGGGCCCCGAATCCCACGCCGTAATTTTTTGACACACTTTTTTGGGGGACCAAAATTTTTTTTGGCCCCTCCCAAAATTGTGTTCTGGATCCGCCCTTGCATTGTCAGTTGATCACAACAACATTTTTGGACCCTGTGACCAAGTTCCTAGCATGCCTTAAATGAATTTCAGAGCTGCGTTAAAGCTGTGTAAAATCCTGCATGTTGTAACAAGGGCTGCGGTTGGGATTGGAATCATTTGCCTGGCTATCACATCATGGCAAGACCTCAGTGTAATGCTCAAGGGCAAATGATTCCAATCCCAAACCACATCAGCTATTTTTTTCATAACATGCAAGAAATTACACAGCTTACATAACACAGCACTGAAACTGATTAAGGCAAGGAACTTGGTCACAGTGTCCAAACATGTTGTGATCAATTGACCATTGTGCAGTGATGCGTGACTAAAATGAAATGAAACTCCTAGGAGTTTAGGCCAAGGATAAGGAGTATCTGCACAACCAAACATTTTCAAAATTGACTTCATTGTTTTGTAGTTATGTCAAAAATAGTTAGACGGACACGTTTTGGGGGACATTCTGTACAGGGTGGAAAAAAAACGAAACTGAGATGTTGTTGCTAATTGGAACAGAGGTAGGGCACATGTGAATCAAAGGGAGATATCATCTGTTAGGGTTGAATCTCTTCTTTAAAATAACACCCTGATCATGTCATTACATTCACTGTTGACTGAGCAGTGACCATTTCTATGAAAGGGTATATTTAGAGAATTGCGCCACTTTTCATGGTGAAATCTCTTTTTGTCCCCACCTGCCTTGATTGGCAACCATAGCCTTTTACTCTGTGACAAAACGACACCACTTGGTCACTGCACAGTCAACTGTGAATGTAAGGACACGATCACGGTGTCATTTTAAAGAGGAGATTCACCTTAACAGAGGATTTCTCCCTTTGATTCAAATGTGCCCTACTTCTGTTCCAATTAGCAATAATATCTCGGTTTCTGGTTTTTTTTTACCCACCCCGTATAGTCCTAGCCAGAAAAGTTGACCTGTCAGCAGGCCCAAATCCCCTCAGCTCATCAGGCCAGTGCACCGGGCTGAAGTGGGCCAAGCGGGACGAATCGCGGCTCGTCTCGTATATCAGAGGAGTATGATGTTTCTTGCTCGCGGTCATTCCGGTGATAATACCCATGATGTGGGCAGTGATGCTCTCTTTACTGTACCCATACCGCGGTATATGGCGACCACACCTCCAATGCTTAGCGCCTTGAATTACGCGCCCGCGAGGCGGCTCGGCGTGAAGGCGACAGAAAGTGAAAAGGAGGACCTCGGGGGAGGATTTGCCAAATCTTTAACACAAACGCAAGCAACTTTATACACCCCCTTTCTTTGTGAGGACTTAAGTGAGATATTTTAAATAAATTTACGATTGCTTTATCAACAAACTAGTTTATACCAATTTTCGATGTGCATGTTGTCTGTATCCTTATATAGCATGAGTGTGTATTTGCCTGCAATCGGGGACCCCCTATTGTCCCTCTTTTGTTTGTACTTTAACTTTTTAGGAAGACCTCCCATATGTTTTGTACACGATCGCCAAATTGGGGACCTTCAGGAATTGTGGACCTATTGTCCTCTATTGTTCAACGTCCCCTATTGAATGCAGAAACAAACTCACTCAATAACAAGTGCGAGTGCATAATAAGCTCTGACCGTGTTGCAAGAAGTCTTGCATGAAATCGATCAAAATGATCCCTGCCAGAGCTTAAAAATGCGACGCCGAAAAAAATGCGACGCCAATGGCACACTAACACCATACTTTTGGTCAATTTTCGGGGACAGACAGATAGCCAGACCGACCGACCGACCCCCAAGTGACATGTAGAAGCTCCTACCAGAGCTTAAAAAAGCCGATAATTAATTATCAAACGATCGTTGTCAAATTTCAAGCGAAAAACAAAAGATGTTTCTGTTTCTTCCAATGCCATCGTGCATGCAGCATGTAAATGGGGGTATTCCGCGCAATATGTTTGGTAATACCAACGTTTGTATTAGAGCTAAGTTGGCGTAGCGGTACTTTCCTCGCCTTCCACCGCTGTGACCCGTCCCGCCTGGGTCAACATGTGGATTGGGTTGTCAGTCCCTACCTGATTCCGTGGGTTTTCCCCAGAATATTCTTCTGGGCTTTTCCTCCCACCTCTAAAACTGTAATTTCTTCTTGAAGGCCCTAGTCTTCTCTCCATCACAGGATTCTTCAGGCTTGCGAGCTAATGCCTATAGGGCGCTTTTATATAAGGAATCCTTGGTTTCATAACCAGATATGATTAATATTAATATTAATATATTAATATAAAAAATACTACTTCCAGTTGGCAAGATGCATACAACTTAGAAACCTACCAGTTAATAAAAGCAAAGTTTCACAAGTCAGCATTGACGTGCAATATTTGCATATCTTGTTTCAGCCCTCAGTGCATGCAATGGTATCGCTCCACTAGGCGTCACAGCCGACAGCTTTTTTTTGCGCCAAAAATTCCTTTGATGTCGTCTCATATTTGCAATCTCCGGCCACCTCGGAGTGCTAAGTTCACCTATTGCACACAAAAAATCCAGTACTTTGGGAGATTGCTGTCAGTCTGAAGTTATTCCTTATAATTAAAGAGGAATATGCTTAATTACTATAGGATCGTGTAACCTTCGTTTCCCAGAAGATATTCAAACTCTAACCCCCTTCTTTATTTCATTGCTCCTCCCACGAAAATACTGTCGAGACCAATGAGCGACCGTTTCGTTGCTTATCCTTTGGCTTTACGATTCCATCATCTGTGACGTCACATAGGGACTGGTCTTTGTTCCTCTCTGATATATGTATGAGTATATAGACAGTTTGTGCTTTCACTGTCACTGACTTTCAATTACAAAACTGCCCTCAGCGAGAGCGCACTTTGCAAGGGGTCTTTAACCGGCAATGAGTGACTTAGAATTGTGGATGGATAAAATCTTACATTACATCATCCTGTTCTACTGCCCTCCACAACCCCTGAACGACCCACAACAACTCTTTAGCGGTACCTACCTGGAAACAAATTTGATATTGGGAGAAGGTTCTAAATCCGGAGTTTATTGTTGACATCAAATACGTTTCGTGGGTGAAGACCTTTTTAGCTACCCGTATCTCCAACCAAAGACAAAAACTTGATTTCAACTTGAGAGATCCGCAGACTTACGGCGCGGACTTGAGACTTTCCTTTGACCTACTAATTGCCGAAACTCATGACATCGGCTCCTGGAAATCCCCCGGATTTCCAACCAATTTAGAGCCGTCTATTCCCACATCGCATCTGTTCCGAAACCTAGATCCGTAAAACCTGAGAAAAACATCCCTCTCACTTCTGCCTCTTTCTCTTCTTGCTTGTGACGCATGTGGTAGGCTTGAGGCCGAGAACCAACACGTCAAGATTTCTGGTTTACCGAGTTGATACCTCTTTGATCCCCGGTCGATTTGCCGCCCAGCACCGGGCTACGAGACTCGGCTGTGCCCGGTGAGCCTCGTAAAAAATGTGAAATTTCAACTGCGGGGTCGTTGCGTGTTATGACACGGAGGGGAAAAAATATGAAATATTGACCAGATGTGAAACATAAACAATGCGTGTACTAGGATTGGAGCGGGATTATTGTATTGCAGCGGTCATGAACCGTAGCAAACTAGACGTGTACCAGTCCCTCAATGTTTAATACAAATTCTGGTCTACAAAAACATCGTACGTGTCTGCAACCTGATGGAAGACGGATAGTGCCACTCAATAAGTCTGAATATATTTTTGTGTACGTGTGAAAATATTTTTTTTTGGTACAGCGGCCGCCACTTATTATGTGGCGGCCGCCAGATAATAAGTGGCGGCCGCTGTACCAAAAAAATATTTTCACACGTACACAAAAATATATTCAGACTTATTATCTGGCGGCCGCCACTTAATAAGTGGTGGCCGCCAGATAATAAGCCTGAAAATATTTTTTTTGTACAGTGGCCGCCACTTATTATCTGGCGGCCGCCAAAAAAAATATTTTCACACGTACAAAAAAAATATTCACACTTATTGAGTGGCACTATCCGTCTTCCGTAGATCGATCACTACCCGATGAAGTATTTTTATTCACAAATCAGGGTGACCAGATGAAAGTTGCACATTTCTGCTAGATGTATTTCAAAAATTGTGCTAGATTCAATAAAAATCTGGTAAATCACCTAGAATTACACAAAATACATCAAAAACGAACAATAAGCACGTCAAAATTTGATTCAGCACGCGCAGTAAAATATGTACGTGTCCACCAGGGTGACACAGATGAAAATCGCACAATTCTGCTAGATTCGTGTGTGTGTTTTTTTTCTGAAAAAAATGTCAGATCAAGCAGAAAATCTGCTAAAACGGTCACCCAGTCACGAATTTAATTTTCATCATGGAACTTCACCAATTTGTTGGTCAAGAAGATAAGTGAACTGACCAATCAACTCCAATAAACGTTGGTTCCTACATGTTAAACAAAAGCTAAGCCAAACTCTCCTAATGCCCCCTAAAAATGAATATGAAGGAGAGGAAATGCCACACCTTAAAACAAAATATTCAGGGGAAAAACAGTTCATAAAAGTTGTCATCTGCAACCTTTATTCACAAGATTATGATGAACACATTTCCATTACCCGCCACCTCAACACATACAGAACCGTGATCCACGTACACACACTATAGTCATGGATATTATAACACCATAAAGGGTAAACTATTGCTCCTCAAATTCCCGCAGCTACATGTAGTTTCATATCATAAAATCATAAAAGTATTTCGTATTTCATATCATAAAAGTATTTCTTAGAAGCATTCATACTAAATGAGAACAGGAGGAAACAACATAAAAGTTTGAACTCTAAAAGGAAATAACTGTTCTTATAGTTAAACGAAAATGAAACTTAAAATAATAGAAATATTAAAGAGAAATATATTTTAAAAGGCAAGCACACAACAAGTCTCTGCAAAGTAGACATATTACAATTTCAGATCACTTAAACAAGTGTAATGTATTGATTAATTGACTGAATTATTGACTGATTTACTAAATTATTGATTGACCGAGTGACTGATACTGAATGGGGCTGGTAGTAAATGCCATGAAGAACGAGTGCGAGTGCACAACAAGCTCTGGCCGTGTTGCAAGAAGTCTTGCATGAAAGTCTTGCATGAAAGTCTTGCATGAAAGTCTTGCAATTGATCAAAATGATCCCTGCCAGAGCTGAAAAATGTGTTGCCGAAAAATGCGACACCGATGTCACATATGGAACACCATACTTTTGGTCAATTTTCGGGGCCGGGGACAGACTGACAGACCGACCGACCACCAAGTGACATGTAGAAGCTCCTACCAGAGCTTAACAAAAAAATATTTAAATTTCAGTTTGAAAATTTCCCAAACTGTAAATATCTAGTGTTTAAGCTGTAATGTCAAAAGGCAAGGTCAATTTAAATAATGCCCCAAACCAAAAGAAAACCTTAAAAAAGATGAATACATCAAAGAGATAACGTAAGAGAATTGTTTTCATAAAATAAATGTTGGCATTTCTTAATTGTGGCATGTTAGACAATAAGGGAATAAATATGTGCTCAGCCAGTTTTAAAACAGCTAGGGGCCTAGACGCTAATAATGGCCTGAATTGAACTCAATCATCAATACCGTTCTTTCAAAAAGTCAAAAATTCACAACTTTCGAACGATTTTGTTCTACTATTTTAACTCATGTTTTGTGAAACATCCCTCTGTCCAAGTCTATGATACATACCTGGTGCGCGACACTGATCTCTATATAAAGACTGGATAGCTAATAAAGAGCTGCACAATGTATGAATTTGACGCCATATTGGTGAGACCGGCTGGTGATCTACAAAGGACAAGTTGCCGTCTGTATAGACAGCATAATTTCTTTTGTAACATCGCGGTTCACTTGACTTATATTTTGTCCACCACCACTGACCAAGGTTTACTACAATTTTTCTATTGTCGTGGTTACTTTTATCATGCCGCAGATCACTTTTTCGTTTTTGAAATAATAATCACTACGGAAATGTGTCCCTTTTAGAACATCATAATATGTGTACGTGACCAAAATGCGCGTCAACTGTTGATACAACGCGCGCGTATTTACGCGTAGAACGTTCGTATTATACGCGGCCATCTTCGTGAGACCGGGGGCGAATTGGTCAATATGCAAAATTTATTGTGTGAATGTTGTATGCACATTCGCTATCCAGTCTTTATATAGAGATCAGTGGTGCGCAAGTGCTAAAAATCTCCTTATTTTATGGAAATTGGCGCACGCACGGCACGTATACTGTTTGAGGTGTCGCAGAATGCAGGGCTAGGGCTGCAGGAAAAACAGTGTTAAAAACCAGCCGGCGTGTTATCAGTGGTTTAAAAGCACCCACATAACAGGCTCTCGACCAATAGGAATTGGTAAATTGTCTTAGGTATGAATATAAACTATGCAATGTATTACAACTCGTGACAGCAAACTTATCAATAGCTTACAATCTGGGCGGAAGAACCAAATCGTGATTAATATTGCTCAAATGTATCACTCTTCAAAAGGGGAGGAGTCACAGATGGGAGGGTACACACTCTCGTATCAACAACCCAACATGGCATTTGAGGAACGCAAGTTCCTGTTAAGCTTGTATGGCCATTATATATTCCTTTGTGTATAGCATGCACTATGACGTTGAATACATTTTGACAGGAAGTGGCTACAAACATTTTGTGCAGTTTGAATATGAGGCCCGTCTTTGGCTTCCAGGTACACATATCCATAAACAGCATGACTTGTCATTGGTTAAAAGTAAGTGCCCATAGAGGTCATTTCAAGCCCCCCCCCCCCCTCCCTTTCCGATAGAGCGTGCAAGTCTCGCCAGTCCACGTTCACTTTTTATGTGAATGTCTTGGTACCAAACACTGACTAGTCTAGTCATAGACTCTCGTGTTTGACTTTACCCTATTCACAAAATCTGTGTGATTGATTGAACGCAAACTTTTGGTCAAAAATTTTAATTTCACAATAGTCATCAATTCGAAATATTTTCAATATGTTGTAAATTGAAATGCTTTCTTTTCTTTCAAAATACCAATTTATTGCCCGTGATTGGATAGGCCAAGTCAGGACTCAAAATAAGTGCAAAAAAATAGGACATAATACATGGAACCCAGATGTGCTGTATTCTCGTAAAATCTCACAGGTTTTTGTGGCATAGAGCGAGACAATCAAACACATGATTCAGTTTTAATTAGCTGCTTGTGATCCCTTAAATCAAAAACCTGTTCCCTTTGGTTTGGAAATCTATATTTTTTCCTTGATAAAATCCCTCTCTTTGGCTCAAAGCTCCACCATGCTAGATATTCCTCCTACTACCCAAAAATAAATTATCTGATTGATTGAGTTACATACATCATGATGTATTTCTGTAGTATCTATAAATGTTCTTTCACAATAGGTCACATCTCCCAACAGCCATGCCAAAGTCCCCTAAATACTCCATCAGTAAAATCAGCCCCCCCCCCCCCAACCATGCCCAGCCACACCCTTACTACTCCACCACGAATCAGCTGTATGATTTAAGACGGCTTGAAGTGTTTCTGCAGGGGCTCCCAGCATTCGTTGTATTTCTTGTCCACCTTCTGGCACGTCAGACTGCCCCATTTGGTTAAGGCCATGCTGAAGGAGCTCTCGAACATGAATGCCTGTGAAAGAAATGACAAATTGATAAACTGTCTCAAAAATTAAGAAAAATATTGGCTGATTCTGTGCTTACAGCACGTCAACAACAAAATTGTTTTTGTTGAAAGTTTTTCAAAAGTTGAACTGTTCTTCTACTTTTTCCCCATATCCCCTGCAATGCCGTTTTTCCGTTTCTTTTTAGCCAATTAGCACCTGTACTACATTGTCTTACCTTGTGTTTATTTACTGAAGAATCTTTAAAGTCATTGAGTGCTCGGGCAGTTTGGGGCTGTACAGGGAGTAATAGGCAGGGCGGTTTGGAGCAGTACAGGGAGTAACAGGCAGGGCGGTTTGGAGCAGTACAGGGAGTAACAGGCAGGGCGGTTTGGAGCAGTACAGGGAGTAACAGGCAGGGCGGTTTGGAGCAGTACAGGGAGTAACAGGCAGGGCAGTTTTGGGCGTTACAGGGAGTTTGAGGCAGTACAAGGAGTAATAGGCAGGGCGGTAAACCGGGTTTGGGGCATTGCAGGAAGTAATAGGCAGGGCGGTTTTGGGCAGTACAGTGAGTAACAGGCTGGGTGGTTTGGGGCAGTACAGGGAGTAATAGGCAGAGCGGTTTGGGACAGAACAGGGAGTAACAGACAGGACGGTTTGGGGCAGTACAGGGAGTAATAGGCAGAGCGGTTTGGGGCAGTACAGGGAGTAATAGGCAGAGCGGTTTGGGGCAGTACAGGGAGTAATAGGCAGAGCGATTTGGGGGCATTGGGACAGAACAGGGAGTAACAGACAGGACAGTAATAGGCAGAGCGGTTTGGGGGCATTTGGGCAGTACAGGGAGTAATACGCTTATATCGATAAGAAATTACATTTGTACAAGATTTTAGATTGAAGTAAAGTAAACAAATTGGATAAATAAACATGACATTTCTACTGTATGTACCCAGTGTTCCACCGCCCTCATGTGCTCAAACATATGGCATATGGATTGGATATTCTTACCATGGTGCCATCGGCAATGTGTTGTGGCTTCAACTCATCACTGGAGGCCTTCTCAAAGCAAGCTGCGTCTGGTCCATGGGGGGTCATAATGCTGTGAAGGGTGGCACCCCCTGCCTGGAACCCTTCCTCCTAAAAACAATAAGTAACAAGTAAAGTCAAGTCTGTCATGATCCAATATGGCCCATCAGGCCGGCGTTTATCTCCGGTTTCAGTGACATTAAAGGGAATGTACAACATTTGCTTTTGCTGCAATTTTTAGAAATAAATGGATTTGGAGCATTAGTATGTTATAGCAAATATTGTCGAAATGACTTGTTTCACGTTTTGGGCTTGTAGATGCTAGAAAAAAACATGAAATGAACATGTTCTTGTAGTCTGGTTCCCTGACCCCACTTTAGATGAAACGGAGCAATCATGACTTTGGGAAATTGCAATGTCAGAGAATCAGTCTAGCAGGCTTGTACCCCTTCACAGGTGTGTAATCAATTGCAAAGAAAACGCGGAATAACTAATTATGCAAAATTAGGGTCAGTTTTTGAGAAAAAAAAGCCAGTTTTCTCCAACGCTGGTCGGCCGACCAGCGTTGGAAAAATACCATTTTTCTTGAAAATGACAGCACACCAGAAGCCACAATTTTACAGGATGCTTTAGACTGTCATTCCCTAACAATCTAGTCAGGTATTTCGTGATTATTTGATCATTTCGTTTGTGATGTTTGCAAATGTTGTATCTTCCCTTTAAATGACTGCGAATATTTCTATTCGCTCTGGATGGGATGCCAGTCTATTGCAGGTTACTCCCAGCTAATGCCGGTACCCATTTATACTCCTGGGTGGAGAGAGGCAAGTGGGGTAAAGTGGCTTGCCCAAGGACACAGCATATGACCAGCAGTTGGATTCTAACCCCTAATTAACCCTCTATTCAGGAGTCACAAACCTTACCACTAATCCAACCCCCCCCCCCACTAAAAGCAAATGCTCAAAAAGAAATTGGTTCACGACTGAAATGCTCCTGGGAGCAGAAATGTTCTTGTGAACAGCTAAAAATTCCTGTGTACCCAATTTTCAGGTACTTTTCTATAATGTCTATTTCATTGTAAGATTCACGGACTGAAGGGATTCGAACCAGGGACTCTAGAAAGTAAGTAAAGTAGCCTTGATTCCTTTAGAACTTTTTCAATAATCAAAGCTGAAACATGAAAGTTAATGTCCTTCATATTTAAAAAATAATATTAAACTTCTATGCCCTATGAAGTAGTTTGCAAACATTGAAATCTTTTTACAATTCATTAAAATTTCCAGTCCCTCTCATATTATTGAAACTTTGTTTTCAGTGGAAGAGTGTTGATTGTTTTGAAAAATACGACTCATTGCACAAATTTTGCAATTGTACTGCACTGACAGCACAGTACACTGTAGAGTGAAAATCCATTTAACTGAACCAGAAATGGTACAAACAACATCATTACGACTAATAGCTCTGAACAGCAAAGGACAATGGGGTAATAAAACGGTCATCTGTGTGCTAGGGCAAGACATTTACGTTGTGTGACAATGATGAAATGCGAAGATAAGCTGTTCAAAAGGTTGAGGGTTCAATTCCAAAGTCAACAACCTCAAAATAGCTGGAATTCTTATTTGGGGTAATATCAGAAATTTTCTCCATCTGGAAATGTGAGTGGTGTTAATGGAATATGGGAATAAATTTGTGTTTGGCAGGTTTTAAACACGTCAATTTAAGACCGGTGTGGGGAATGGAGTCAATGGACGCTGATAGGCCACTAGGCCCCACGCCGGTCTTAAACAGACTTGTTTAATACCGGCCAAGCACATTTTTATTCCCATTCATAAATACCTTTTCAGTCAAAAAGTAATAACAAGTCAAATATTATAAATTTCCAGCGATTTGTTCAACAACTTTACTTTATGTTTTGCGAAACACCCCTGTAGCTATGTTATGGTATGTCCCTCTCCCGAGTAGTCGTAAACAAGTCCTTATATGGAGATTGGCGCGCATGGTACAAACTGTGTGATGTGGCGCAGAACGCAGCGGTGCCAGTGTAGTGTGAATTTAGGTCTCTCAAAATACAAACTCATTGGTATTATTGCACATGCCTATTAAAGTGAAGATTGTGAACATTCAACCAATGAAAGGGTAACAGAGACCAGATTTTATAGGAGTCCAAATTTCATGTGACACTGAAAAAGAGTTTAAGAATAGCCAGCCAGCTGGTGTTTTATCAAGCGTTTAATACCGGCCACGTGACGGGCTCTTGACCAATAGGAATGGGTAAACTGTCTTAGGTATTTATGAATGCAATATAAATGATCTGTTGTATTTAACATACAGCATTAATCATTATACCACATGACCACTATCCGACCAAACATTTGTCATGTTCTAGTGTAGTTCATCTCTTAGAGGAAGTCACAAGTTCAAACAGTGCTTTGTGTTTATTTTGAATTGAAATAAGTAATAACTAAGCTTTCTTCATTTTATATCAGCTCACCTTTGCTTCATATCTGCCTTTGATGAGTCCCATAAACTCACTCATACAGTTGCCTACAAAAAAGAACAGAGGACAATTCACAAAAATATGTTTTAAAAAACTGATTTTGGCTTCAGCTCCTGAGAATGATAACGAAGTCTTGTCGAACCAAATTATTCCAAAGATTTGCACAAAGTACGGTGTTGGAAACCATTAGGAATGACTAAACTAGCACGGCATCGAAGACTTGCAGTTGTTTGGAACAACCCTACTGTCAAGTCACCGGAAAACTAGCAGAAACCAAAATCTAATTGAGATGACTGGAGTCACTCGCAACAAATACTTGTGGTTGAGTCATCCCTGGCATTTACCAGCCTGAAATGTGTGTCAAACGTTCAAATGTAATAAACACAAGCTTTGATGTAATGTAATTAAGATTATCTGTTCAGCACAGTCACTGTTTGCTTGATTTGAACCCATTTTTTCAATATAAATAAATACAGCACTCCAACTTCCTTCATCTGAGGAATTCAAGTGACTTTAGCATTAACAGATATACATTTGTATACATTAAATTTATTTGAGAAGTTACTAACGGTGGTAGTATGGTGGTCTGAAGGTGTGTTCCTGAACCGACCAGCGCGGTGGGAAGATGACAAAGTCAGCAACGGCAACACCCGGCTTGTTGGATTGGCAGGTCAGCACGGTGAAAATGGAAGGGTCCTGTGGGTGAACAAATGACAGAAACTTGGGTGAACAGAGGACAAACAAGAAACAAACTCCGCTTGGACCATGTCAAAATTCACATAGGAATGTGTGTGCATTGTTGTCGTTTTGCTGAAAGAATGTACACCTTTTTTGTGATCCGTGAACAGAACTTTAAAACGGTGGTTGTGTTTACAATTCCGTAACTTGAAAAGTACACAAGTGATTTGAATGATTCTTGCACTAAATGAAAGCTTATGAATTGGGCTTTCATATCCTAGATTTACAAAGTGCTACATGCAGAACTTCACTAAAACAATAGTCCTAACATTCGGGTTTCGTTGTTTTTTTTACTCACCCTGTACACCTGTCATTTTGCCTTTCCAACAAAGGGGACGAAACGTTAAGGCCATCTAACAGTTTTTTATTTTGATATCTTTCAGGTCAATCCACTCGTTAGCAGTTTGTAGCAGATTTATTCATGTTCAAGTACACATCTTGCCAGTTTTGCACTTACAGCGTGGTCAAACGCCACAGCATTGATGACCATGAAGTTGTCTAGGTCGTACTTGTAGGGGCAGTAGTTGCCATGCCAGGCCACGACATCAAATGGTGAGTGATCCTGCTTGGCAGCGAAGAGTTTGCCTTGGTACTTGGAGATGACAGTGTAGTCACACAGACGATCCTCATACCAGGCTTTTGGCGTCAGAAAGTCACGAGGATTGGCAAGACCATTAGCACCTGAAAGTCGAACAAACAATACACATTAAAGATGGCTGTCCCTGAAATTGTTTTTTCTTAGTGCTTTTTCACTTGAAAGCAGAAAAGCATTGTTTTTGTTCCGATTTTGTTTTCTTTTTTTGCCTTTTGTTCTATCCCAAATCCCATAGACATTGTACACGTTTTGTTCCCCGCGGCATTTTGGACCTAAAACAAACTCGTATTCTAATGAAAACTTGTCCCATGTAGAGACCTCATAGTGACATTGTGTACCAAAGAGTGATGTCACAATGACCTCATCATGGGTCACGTGACGTCATCTTCAATATATGCAAACTTTAAGAACCTTTATCTAGAGAACTGCAAGTCCGATTGGGTTGAAACTCGGTATGTAGGTAGACCGGGATGTGTAATAGGTGAAAATTGAGATGACATCATCATGACTTCATTGTGATTTTATACTGATTTTTGAAGTTTGAAGATTGTATATTAACAAAAACAATGCGGAAAAGCCTATGTCCTGTTCATCGAACAGGCATAGCTCTAGTTTAGTTCTATATTTCTAACAATACAACAGATATTTACTTTTGAATGACACAAGGGCGGATCCAGGGGGGGGCCAAAGGGGGCCATGGCCCCCCCCAAAACGAAATCAATTTTTTTTTTTTATGTGACATCGAAATAACGGCAGGCAATGAGTACACCACCATCTTTTCCTCAAAAAAAAAACATTGGTTAAAGTGGTCAGAATTTGCCTCAGATCGCACCACAGAGCATCTAGAATCCAAAAAATTTTCGGGGCCCTTAAGCGGGCCCCGAACCCCACGCCGTAATTTTTTTGACCCACTTTTTGACATAGCAATAAAGGCTGGGCAGTGAGTACACCACCATATTTTCCTCAAAAAAAACATTGGTTAAAGTGGTCAAAAATCGCCTCAGATCACACCACAGAGCATCTAGAATCCAAAATTTTTTCGGGGCCCTTAAGCGGGCCCCGAACCCCACGCCGTAATTTTTTGGACCCACTTTTTGGGGGGAACCAAAATTTTTTTTGGCCCCCCCCAAAATTGTGTTCTGGATCCGCCCTTGGAATGACACATCGAACGAAAACAAGCGGCCCATGTTTAGTTATTGAATAAGTACTATAAAAATTCCAATATATTTGCAAATGGATGATAATACATTTCTCTCAGGGTAGACTGGTTCCCACTCCATCAGAGTTAATAATGCATTGACCATATATCAGTCTATTTGCAGGGCTGCTAAAAAAGCTCAATAAATTGATTAAATTATTTAAAATTGCACTGAAGTTCGAACCACTTCCTCCAATTGACAAGTTCTTGATAAAACAAATCCATATTTGCACAAATCGATACTTTACCGATAGGCCCAAGGTCAGGCAGCACAAAGTGACCACTGAAGATCTCCAAGATGTAGCCGCGTGATGGCTCAGTGATGGCAACACTGAATCGCATTCCTTGCTATAGAAATATCAATGTAAAAATCAGTCATCAATAAAACCGTAATTTCAGCAACAGTAGATTTAATCAAATGCAAATTTCCCCAAAACCAATTATATTTTTAACATTTTGAAACAGATTTCATATTCAAAACAGCTGGCCTTTTTCCTATGATAAGCCAAGTACTCATGGTAATGTTCACCCTATTGGCATTTGATCGGATTTAATTTGGAATTTTGTTTCCACACATGAAATAATATTGACAAGACAACAAAATATATATCGCCAACATAACATCGCCAAAATATTAAAGAGTCGTTCAGTCGGTATATCTTTTGTGTGTGGAGAATTTCTTCTTTGTGTGGTATCCCCTGTTCAAGTCTTTGCATACATGTATTATACCGCTAAGGTGTCTTTAAATTGTTGATATAAAAGATAGATAATGTCATAAGAACGCCTTTTTTTATACTTGCATCAGAGCTCAAAATGAGCGGCAGCAAGTGAAAATCCCCCAAACCATTATGCTCTGATGTCGAGAGAAACTGCTAGTGCCCGGGCCTGTTTCCGTTTCACCATGGAGGAATTCTGGACTTATTTCATTTGCGCCACAAAGGTTATTGACACTGATTCAAATACTTTCATTCATCAATAAAATACAAAAATTATCGTCCTCACCTGAATGACACATATTTCATTGGGAGCCACTGCCATCCGGCCAAATTCAGTGTGAATCGTCAATGTACCCTGCTGGGGAACTGCCACAAGAAAATTGGACAAATGAAAGTAAAGATTAATGTGATCAGATTTGTTAAATATTCTTCACTTGTCATCCTTTTTATAACAAGTTGGAATTAGATGATGTGAAATATTCGACCTACCAATCAAGAAGTCTCCATCTGAATTGTAGAAGCACCTGCAGTGAGAAATCAAAGATTTATGCTTAAATTGGAACGGAACATTAAATTCAAAGGTTACTTAGAAACATTTTACATTTGTAATGGTAACATGCACTAGGCAGACACTACGGCAAGAAAAAAAAACCATAAAAACGACATTTCCCTTTTTTGGGTGGGGGTAGGGCTGTGCATCAGATTAGGGTACCCGAGTACCCAAACGTTGATGTCAGGAACCGGTTCCAGATTATGGGATCGGGTACCCATATTAAACCAACTTCACATATTACATAGTAACTTTTCAGACAATGAAAAAAAAAGGTTTTGAATGTCATTTGTGGGGAATTTTCAAAATGAAAACCAGGCTACATGGGAATACAAAACAGGTTTATGACACTCACGAAAGGTGCAGTTTACACTGTAAAGCTATAAGCTCACTGTTCACACTTGTATCTTGCTGTATCTGACAAAAGAAGGGTTTTAATCCAAAAAGTGCAAGAGCAGTTTTAGGCAGTACAGGGAGCAACAGGCAGGACGGTTTTGGGCGAGTAAGGAATAATGGCTGAAGGTAAACAATTCAACTCACTTGTCCCCCATGGAAGCATTACAGGCATAGATATGTGAGGCAACACCACTCCGACTCCTACAATCACCGGCGCCACACACCGTACTCAATCCCTGCAGCCAACAAGAGAACATACACAATATATAAAAAATAATCAAAGTATTACACTTAATTAAAAAAATACTCAAAGTATTGTAGAAAACGAATTCAGCGCAATTAATGTGTTGTCTATCATCTGCATTTCATGGACACTTACCTTTGAAATTTCAATTGATGGGTTATGCATATACAGCCTGTCTAAAAAAAAATGGTACAATCAGAAAAAAAATTGGTTAAATATGAAATTTCAAAATAAGTCATTTTTACTTGGCATAATATTAAAGAACAAAGACTGGGCTTTCCAGTAGTGTTTGTTTGATCTTGTTTGCTTTTGTCAATTCAGAGATATAATCAATTTAGTGCGATACACCAAAATCGATTTTGTGCCACTTTTATGCATGGGCAGAGTTGTTTCGAGCACTGTGCCATGCTGTCTTGAAGCTCACAAAAGATTGCAACTTGGCAAAAGAAACAAACTCGATTTTTGTGTTCCGCAGTAAACTGGAGTTATCTCTGGATTGACAAAAGCAAATGAGATGAAACAAAAAGTATTGGAAAGCCTGGTCTTTTTTCTTTAATGTGATGCTCAAAACGACTTACTTATGTTGAGATTTAATATTGAAAAAAAATCGTTTTCAATTGTACCATTTTTTTTTAGACAGACTGTACATGTATAATAATGTATTAATACTTTTATCGTTACGCATTCAACTGAAGACCCTTAATGATCAGCGTCAGCTGATAGATTTACACTCATCAAAATGTGGTTTAAAATATAAAAAAAAAACAGTATGAATTATTACAGTATATTTAATAATTAGAATTATGATCCATCCAGTATTAACAAAAGTAAAATATACTGAAGTATTAGTGAGGCGTTCTGGCAAAATGAGACTGAACTGAGCACAGGCCAAATGCAGAAAAATGAAAAAAAAATGACTGGGGGTGATTTTTTTTTTTGATATTCATTTTGATTGGTATTTGTTGCCTTTGATATTGTGTCTATTACATATATTTTAAAGAAATAGTACAAAAATCGTAGAATAAATGTGATTTAAAACAATTGGCATCTTTCATTTTCATGATGACAAAGCTCGAAAATGAAAAGCCTTTTTTTCTCAGTATTTCACTTTTTTTGATATGTCAATAAAACAGCCATATCTTGTCAACGGAATGTCTGATTGAAGTGCAACAAACACTATTGTAAGCAGAATTTTATTCTCTTGCCTAATATGCAAAAACTCTCATTTTGACTCTGGCCAGTTCTGTCGCATTTTGCCAGAACGCCTCACATTTCAGTATTCTTTTTAGAGCAAAGAGCAGATGCACGAAGCAGAATTGTCTTAACGGAGCACAATCTAGTAATTGGGAGTTTTTAAACAGTTTCAACAATGATTGTTGTACTCACCTCAACAAAGTCAACGCTTGCAAAAGCAGGGTCAGGAATTGCAAAGGGATGCCATCTCATCTATCAAAACAATCAAATTGATTTGGAATTTAAAATACAAACAATTAAAGGTAGAGTATAGCATTTGGAATTGTCCATGTCCAACCATGGGCCACCTGTTTGAAAAGACTGACCTCTTCACTCAGTGTCATTAGTCTGGTGACTGACTATGGAGAAATGTGTAGTAAATAGAGACTAGTTCCCAACTTTCCAAAAGATTCTTTTGGCACAGTGATTGACGCAGTACTGAAGCCGAGTTGGACTGGTTGTTTTAGGTGCCAGTCTATTCTCTTGTATTGCATGTTTTCAGTACCTTAAGTTTTGGGACTCTCATACACAGTATTGAGAGTCCCAAATTTTCGGACTAGTACGGTACCACTCTGGACCGCCGGAGTCTCTAATTACATGTACCTGGTTAGGGTCCGGATGCCACTCGTCCCAGTTATGGCTTAGGTTGCCCTGTGGTGTTGGCTCAAACCGGCTGTGCATGACCGACGGACGTATACGATACAGCCAGGTACGCTTGTTGTGTACGCGCGGCGCTGTGAAGGCCGTTCCAGACAGCTGCTCAGCATACAGGCCATAGGCACACTTCTGGGGTTGTTCTGGAGGAAAATTATTAACAAATCTCCCTTTGAATGAAATGTCATTAACTGTTCTATGTTTTAAGGACCGTATTGCCCTTTTCATACTCTTCAAAATCTTACAATTACAACTACATGTACATGTAAAGGGGCTGCAGTTAAACAAATTCAAAGAAAAATTGAAAAAGAAAACAAGCATCTTAAGGGACAGGTATCTGCATCAGGTACAGTTTGAACATCCATATTTTCAAATGGGTGTCGGTCACTTCGCCAACAACAACTTCGCCGACAACCACTTCACTATTAAGAAGACCATTTTTAATTAGTGGGCCAAATAACCCACCAAAATTTCACGGCCTCCGCCATGTACGTGCGAGTGCACATGCGACTATGTGGGCGAAGTGGCAAATGGGCAAAGTGGTAATTTGTCGAAGTGGTAAAACAGCGAAGTGGTTGTAGGCGAAGTGGTTGTCGGCAAAGTGGAAATTCGGGGAAGTGACACAGTGACAGTAAACCTTTCAAATTGTGTCAAGATTGATAAATAAACGGGTTTTTCTTCTCCTTACCTGGCCTTGTGGCAAAGCATCTGGACATCTAGGATCCTCAGAGGCAAACTCATTGCCAAATCCACTCAGATATTCAAGTACCTACAACATGAACACAAAAAGTATATCAAAACCAAATTTCTCTATTTATCCACCAGCATAAATTTTCAAATTAAATTAGGGATTTTGTTTTTTTAACTCAGCCCAATCCCACACACGAATCTCCATTTTTTGAACCCTTCCAAAGTACTAACATGACAAGCATGATGCTAATTTCAAGGTTGTGTACAAAGTTGAACTTAGAGAAAATGGATTAAAGTTCAAGTAGGGCCTATATGGTGTATTTTCTGATAATGTGATAGGCTAGGCCTAATTTGGAAAACATCATGATGTTTCGATCTCAGGCAACCTCACCTTCAAGATTCGTCAGTGTTCATGTTGGGTTTTTTTCTCAGCATATTTTTATTTGCAATGACTGACGTTCACTGAGGTTATACATTGTGAAAATGTGGCACCAGGATACTTTGCGCGATATTATTATTTTTATATTAAGTTAAATAAATATTTTCATAATTCAATTCTCGTTATGTTAAGTCCTCGTCACATTATGATAAAAACAACAAGCTGCACAGTTTTGTCACAGAGACAGTATGAAAACACAGTCGGAAAATCACAGAGTCACACAGCACAGCACAGGCTAGCCCCATAAATGTAGCCTATTTACTGGACTGCCTCCGTAAACATAGGCCACGCATCCACATGTACAAAAACGTGTCGCACTTTGCCAAATTTTGATTTTCACATTTAGGCTTAGTTTGTAGGATTTTTTTGCTTTAAAAGCATACTCACCCTCTTTATAGGCTAGTCAAAAAGTGCTGCCTTTTTCAGATGTCTAATTTTTGTGAAATTTCATGTTGAAATTTTGATACGCAAACGTGTAAAAATGAATCTGGATATTTCACGAAAAATATACATCTGAAAAAGGCAGCACTTTCTGATTAGCCTTTAAAGAGGGTGAGTATGCTTCTAAAGCAAAAAAAACTTACAAACTAAGCCTAAATGAGAAAATCAAAATTTGGCAAAGTGCGACACGGTTTTGTACATGTGGATGTGTGGCCTATGTTTACGGAGGCAGTCCCGTAAATAGGCCACATTTATGGGGCTAAGCACAGGCATGACAGGCTGCTGTCGTGCTAGCCGGGGACTTGGTGGATTCCAACATTTAAGGTCCAATTTCCTCACAACGCCAAGCCTGACGAGTCGTCGTTTATTAGCAACTATATAAACTGAATAGAAAAAAACACTTCAGGTATAAATTTATAAAACATTGCCTACCTGCGACTTTTCGTGATCGGCCATGTTTGCCATGTTACGTGCGCTGATCGAATAACCGGTGACCTATGACCTCCTTGTATACAGCATTTGCACATATGTATAGCACGATGATGATTGGTTTAGAAGGTGGGTGTGACAGAGGTGTGGGTTTTTTTTAGGGGGGGGTGGGGAGGGAGGATGCTGGGGGGGGGGGGGGGGGCGAAGGGGGGGAGGGCGTAAGTCAAAACCTGTGAACGTGGCGTTGTAGTTTTTACAAGCCACGTTCACGGGACAATATAATAGGTGTTGTCTCAAACTTGTTCTTCGTCGCAGTGACTCTGTAGTTATTCCACTTTGCCTGGTCTTCGCTTAGTTAATTTTGGCAGCTATGACTGAAATCCGGAAAACAACCCAGAATCGTAGTTTTGGTAAAACATACTTTCCTTCAGAACTCCCCATTTACTCGATTTTTCCTCGCTGGTAGACTTTTGAAGCTTTTTTTTTTTGGGGGGGGGGATGAAATCACGCGTTGACCATAATTATGCCCTTTCACTCACTAGATTTAGACTCGTGTCCAGTTATTTGTTCTTTGCCCTCAATTAAAAAAATATCATGCTTGATTTGATACAAAATTATAGAAGTAATAGACCATGGAAGAAATGAAGAAATTGATTTGTTCCTTTCAAAAAAATTGTCGATCGACCGTTCTCAACTTTTGGATTTTTCTCATTTAAAATGTGTTCCTAGCTCTGAAATGTGTAATCGGCCGAATGACAAAAATAGGTATCTGTGGGGGAAATAACATTGACAAAAATGTAAAGCACAATCTCCGAACTTCAAAAAAGTAGGCCAATTAAATTAATGAATTGGACTAAGAATCTCGGAAACTTTTCTCAAACCACCTTGAGCGTTTTCGAAACGACCGGCTTTGGCTTCGTCTTGAGATTTTAGGTCCCAACTTCTGGAACTCCAGCTACGTTTTGGTGCCTCTTATTGCTTTCAGAAACATTCAATCGGTTGATGATGTGAACCCAAAAGTTGGAATATTTTTGTTTAGTTTGCCTCTCAGTGATTCAGAAGTCGGAGCAGAAGCAGAAGCCGAAGCCGAAGCCGAAGCCGAAGCCGAAGCCGAAGCAAAGTTTTCGACCCCTCCTAATCTTGCACCCACTGATCTCTATATAAAGACTGGATAGCTAATACAGAGCCGCACAATGTACGAATTTGACGCCATATTGGTGAGACCGGCTGGTGATCTACAAAGGACAAGTTGTCGTTTTTATAGACAGCATGATTTCTTTTGCAACGTCGCGGTTCACTTGACTTATATTTTGGCCACCACCACTGACCAACTGACCAGGGTTTACTACAATTTTTTTAACGTCGTGGTTACTTTTATAATGCCGCAAATCACTTTTTCGGCGTTTTTGAAATAATAATCACTACGGAAATGTGTCCTTTTTAGAACATCATAATATGTGTACGTGACCAAAATGCGCGTCAACTGTTGATACAACGCGCGCGTATTTACGCGTAGAACGTTCGTATATACGCGGCCATCTTCGTGAGACCGGGGGCGAATTGGTCAATATGCAAAGTCTACTGTGTGAATGTTGTATGCATATCCGCTATCCAGTCTTTATATAGAGATCAGTGCTTGCACCCTTGGAAATGTTTAAATTTGGCCGCTGAGGGCAGTATATAGCTTGCGCGGTGATGAAATTACTCGTCCCGACCGTAGCGCCGAGAACACGTGTGTTTGTGTGTAATGATTGTTTAGGTGCTCCGGAATTTGTTCAAAATAACATAAATCTTGGTAACGATCGTGGAAATGGGAGATGACTTAGGAGACGAATGGTGGCTGGACGACGCCAAGAAATCATCTGATGAAAGCAGTGATGAAGATGAAAATGCAGGCAAGTCACGATTGGCAAACCTGAGCGTGGAATTTACCTTAACCAGTTGCGTTATAACTTATATCCCTTCAATGTATAGACCCAGTTGTATAAATTATTACTTAGCATCCTAATAAGTGTTTTAAAGTTGGCTTTGTGAAATCGTTCTATGAGCAGTATTTTTTTCATAGCTTTACACAGCAATTGACTTCAGCATGTTGTTAAGGCAGCAATCTTTTAAAATTTATCTAAATAATCTAGTCTTCTTAATTAGAACATGGAGGAATAAGAACACTAGAACTAGTCCAGATTAAATGAGACTGAGCGTTTATTTGTTTCGATTTTTTTTTTGATATTTCTTAACAGTCAAAAGAAAACCAAAAGTTTCAAAGGGAGGTTCAAAAGCAGGGACTAAGGTTGAGATTTCCAAAGTATCCCCAACAAAAAGGAAAGCTGAAGAGGACGAGGAGGCCATGGAGGAGGAGTCAAGCCAGAAGAAAACCAAAAAGAAACGTCGAACAAAGGTAAGATAGTTCATCATTCATGTCATTGTTATTGTACGAATTATAAAGTAGCAATGTTAGAGGTACCGCGATATTGACATTTCCTATTCTGGTGACATACAAAACTGAAGTTTTTCAAATGAGTGTTACTGTGTCCCATCAAGCCATTTCAGCTTCAAATCACTCCTACTTGTCGACAAATATGTCTTCTTTTATAAAATGGCAATAGATCGGGAAAAGCATACCTTAATTTGTCCAAAACCAGAAGTTTCAGAGTGTGATTTTCAGGACGGCCGTCTTGAACGCGGCCATTTTGACACTAAGTTTGGCATTTTCATGCCTCGAAAATGGGTTACCGTTTTTGATTAATACCGCCCTCTCTTGACTTCCAAATCAATAAATACTGCCATCTATTGACCAGATAGGATAGGACAATCTGCTGATGCTTTTTGTTTCGTTTCAAACGGTCAAGAAATAAGGTTTTACGGTAATTTTTGCCAATTTTTGCCAAATTTTGATCAAATTTGCCACTTTTTTCACAATTTAGATATACAGAACATGGGGAGGATTCCTGTAAACCTATATCACTAAATTTTTTGTTCTTTTCTGAGTAAGAATATCTTGATTTTGTTCCTGCGTGTGCTTGCGGTCTGTAGTAATGTATTTGTTTAAAAGTCTAATGACATCGATGATATGTCGAATCTCCGCGCTGATGTGACGCAGTTGATGATGATGATGCGCTGTCATGTTTGCACCAGTAACTCAGTGTTTTTTACGAATGAAACTCGTACAAACGTCCATTCATGACCAACAAATGTATTTCAGTTGATTTCAAAATTATTGTTTTAGTTTAATAATAATAAAAAAATCATCAATAACATGATTAAAGGATTAATTTAATTACATCAGCAATAATAATGCATTTCCATTTGCTGCCAAAACTTGACTTGTAACCTTTGATGGGGGAGGGGTGGTTAGTGTGCAGTGAGACATAATTCTGGTGGAGGCAGATTTTTTTTCTTTTTTTCAATTATTGGAGGAAAGGAAAATGTCTTAAAAGGTGTGTCAATAATATTCCCTGTTTATTTTACACATAAATTAGTCTTTCTGGATTCATGCTTCATCACAAAAGGTCATGAGTGGATCTCCACAAGCTGCAGGAAGATCTTCAAAAACGAGACCTAATCATTGAAGATCAATATCAGACAATAAGGTTACATTATAAATTCATCTTCCATCTTATGCAGAAAAAGCAGGGGGGGGGGGGGGGTCATAGGAATTGGGATGCTGAATGATGATATAAAGGGAATATATCTAGTTCTGGAGGCATCACTTTCTCCTCAGTAGGTGCTGCTCCACCCTGGTTACAGAAATAAAAACACACACACAATCAGAATAGTTTCACGAGTAATAATGGTGTGTTTTGGAAGACATAACTTCTGAACGGAAGCACCTATGACAATGACGTTTGCACCATTGAATTTCTCTCATCGAAAGCTTTAATTTGATGTATAGTTTGACTATATTTGAACCAAAACTGAATAGTATGGTCGGTTCTAAGTTGACAAATGCATTAACTCGAATGACGACCAGAAGAGTTCCAGGAGTATGGTGTCTTTGGGAGGACATAACTTCTGAACGGAAGCACCTATGACAATGTTGTTTGCACCATTGAATTTCTCCCATCGAGAGCTTTAATTTGATGTATAGTTTGGCCATATTTAACAAAAAATTAAAAATCATGTAATAATGCTATATAAAGACTGTATTTCATTTCAGTTTATCCATTCGGAAAGATTTCCATATACAAAGTTCACTAATTTTCCTCTGTATTGACTAACAAGCCCTGAACTTCGTATATGGAAATCTTTCCATCCATTCAAATTAAACAAAGACATGGTAAATACGCGTAGGTAATTAGACCTAAATTGGTGGTTTTTACATGCTGTTGGCCTCAACATCTTCTTTTCTGGTTTTTTTTTGGGGGGGGGGGGTGTCAAAAATCAGTTTCATTATTAATATATAAAATACAAGTCAAATTTATATGCTTCAGTTACATTATAGTGGGATTTGAATTGTAATATTGTTAATATTTGCAGCAAAAGATCAGCGACTACCTCTCCAAAAGCACACCAAAGCCTGCAACCCAGAGGGATGTCATAACAAAGATAGAGCAACATTTTCAGGAGAAATTGTCCCCCATCGAGCTTGAGGACCTCCAACTGAATGGTATATAATCATCGTCTGCCTTTTCGACAATGCATTCTCTGGTAGTCTATTACATAGACTACCAGAGACGGAGGGTGACGGAGGGTGAGGCTAATCGTTCTCCTTTATTTTGCAGAATCCCACTTCCTGTCACCCAATGATGCCTCTCTGCCCCTCTCATCTTACCTGGAGTCTGCCGTCCCCAACTGGAACAGAGACATCGAAGCTAAGAGACCCAAAGACACCAAGACCTGTCTCTTACTGGTCGTCACAGCGTCTGCCAGGAGAGCAGTGGATCTGAACAGGGAAGCAGTAGCCTTCAAAGGCAAACAGTGCGTCAGTGCCAAGCTCTTCTCCAAGCACATGAAGGTAACTGTGTACCTTGGTATCAGGTCTGTCATTACCTGTAGCGGGCACTGTTTAAAGTAGCCATGAGAGCCATGTGCTGACAGTTAATGTTGGTCCTTGCACATAATTGTGCATAACATGCAGCTTTGCTGACTACTTGATGCCACTTACCCATTAGTCTCTGTACTGCCCAAAACCCTGCCTATTACTTCCTGAACCGCCCCAAACCGCCAAAGCACACTATGGAGTGCTGTGGCCTCATGGTTAAGGGCATTGGATTCATTGTCTACGGGTAAAGCTGCAGGTTGTGGGTTCGAGTCCAGCTCGGGGTTATGGTGCATGTGCCCTTGGGCAAAGCACTTTGTCACTCATTGCTTCTCTCCACCCAGGAGTAAATGGGTACCTGTGAGGGCAGAGATGGTTATTGTGATTGATTTAAGCTGCTTTGCGCCGAATGGCAGCATGGAGCTGTATACTCCCCAGGGAGCTGCGATGGTATTTGGAATGTTTCATGGGCCCAATGAGCAGGGATAATAATGATATAGCGCCTTGAGCACCAGTTCTGGTGGATCCATGCGCTTTATAAATACCCACTACTATGAGTCTATGGATATTTTGGTGAATATATAAGATGTAATAGAATGTACTACATGTGCTAATGGGTTCATATCACACAATATTTTGGTTGGTTATTATTTTACTACAAGATGTAACCAAAAATAAATTGGTAAATTGTGGCGTTTCATAGCACTAAACAGACTATGATTGTGGCTGCATTGTGTTTAAAAGAAAGCGTCAGAGATACCGTAGCATACCGCAACTCTCACATTATATTTGGGATTGACTTAGATTGACTAGTGATTGACTTGTGATTGACTTGTGATTGACTTGTGATTGACTTGTGATTGACTTGTGATTGACTTGTGATTGACTTGTGATTGACTTGTGATTGACTTGAGATTGACTTGAGATTGACTTGTGATTGACCTGTGATTGACTTGTGATTGACTTGAGATTGACTTGTGATTGACTTGTGATTGACTTGTGATTGACTTGTGATTGACTTGAGATTGACTTGTGATTGACTTGAGATTGACTTGTGATTGACTTGAGATTGACTTGTGATTGACTTGTGATTGACTTGTGATGTACTTGTGAGGACTTGACTACAACACTACGATTAAATTATTACCATTTATCTCGTCATCTCTACCCCAGATCCAGGATCAAATCACCTTCCTAACCAAGAACCGCACCCAGTTTGCGGTGGGGACGCCCAACCGACTCGCCGCCCTACTCCAGCAAGACGCACTGAACCTCACCGGGACACGATACGTCATCCTGGACTGGAACTGGAGAGATGTCAAATACAAGCGCATGTGCGATATCCCTGAACTCAAGACAGACCTGTTTAAGCTATTTGAGAAGTACGTCATACCTCAAGCAAGGACAGCAGACAAATTAAAAATTGGAATATTTTAGCCGGAAAACTTTGAAGCAAGTTTGACGAGCCATCCAAGGGAGGAGGTTGAGAAATCAGAAGGAAGTTTTTCCTATCCAGGGCTGGGCCATTTTATAGCGCCAGCTTTTCTTAACACCAATAAGCCTCACACAGATTCCTGGAAGATGTGCAAGTGTACCACAAAATTTGTGGTGTTTTTGACTTTCATCATTAAAATTATGAACAAGTAAACATGGTATCCTGTGTAATTTTATTAATAATGATTTTATATACTGTGGGTTTTGTCCTAGGGTGTGGTTTTGTTGAGAGCTTATTAAGTTCTTTGGTTAGAAAGGAAGAATATACTCTGATTATTTCGTGCCGAGTGAATTCTTTACTGGAATAAACAGTGATTTGGAGGGTTGAAGATTGAAATCTTGAAGGCTGTATGCACTTTTGGAAATGCACAATTAATATGATAATGTGCAATCAATTTAAAGACGTTTACTGGAAATGTACACCCCCCACCCCACCCCCCCCCCCCCCCCCCCCCCGATAAAAATTCACAATTCCAAATAGAATATTGTTGCCAAAGTTTACTGTGGGAGGGGAGGAAGGCGCAAGGGGGCCAACACCACCCCATCCAACCCCCTTAAAAAATAATATGTAGATTTTTAAGTAATTTCAATAATTAGATGAGGAAGATTATAGCACACGGGGGAGACAAATTTGTTTCAGATTCTAGAATGAGACTTGTTTATGTATAGGTGGGCGTGGACATCCAGAATTTTTTACACTGGCTTATCTTGCTCCCAGACCTATTTTCTTGAAACTCAATGGTTCTTGAGTCTGGTGTGCTGAATGGTGACGCACAGCAACCGATGGAAATTAATGTGTTTTCATCGGATGACGCCCGCCCGCCCCCCCCCCCCCCCCATTTGTTCGACTCCGCCGATTGTTTAACCTTTTTCTATGTGTGTAGCGCCCTCTGTTGTTATAGCCGTGAGTAACACTTTTCTGCTTGCCAGTGGCCCAATTCTCCCGCAGTTTTCTCCTTTTCTCATCCTCGTTAGACCATTGCTGAAATTTTAGCTTTCGGTGTTTATGTTGCTGAATTTCTGGGGCTACCAACTTTATCCATAGTAAGTACTTTTGAGCTTTATTTTCGTTTTCTGTAAATTTTTTGGGGGGGGCCTTTTTGGTGGAATGACACTGTTGCGATTGTGTACAAAGTCTATGGAGAGTCGAAAACATTTTCTTACTCTTACTAGTCATGTTTGTATTTCCTAACAAAATTGGAAATGTTTCTCAGTCCCAGATTCATGTCTTATTCTTATCTTATTAAGACATCATTTTTGCAATGAATGACATTCATTGAGATGATAAATTGATATATCATATGATTATGAAGAAAAAAGTGGCCTCAGGTTTAGCATGTTTAGTCTGAGAGTAACTAGGACCGGTCGACCGAATCGCCTTTTTTAACATTTGGAGAATCTCCAAATGTTAAAAAAGGCGATTCATAGAGTCCTAGTTACTCGGACTACCTCAGTTGCAACGTTTTTTCCCTGTTGTAATTTGTATAGTCCTTTCTGTGTTTTTCATTTTTAACGTTACTCATACTCATAGTCCAAAATGAGTTCTGCAATCTCAAGCAGTTCTCCTTTTTATTACTTCGCAGTGGCTATCGTTACGGCAGCCGTAACGCCTTTCCCATTTTCTATCGTTACGGTAGTACTGCAACTTTTATAAAAACATGAGAAGAAAATATAAAATTAGAAGAAAAAAAGTGAATTTGAACGTTATGAAATTCGGACTTTATTTCCCTTTAAAAAAAAAAATCCTCCAAAGCCTCAGGTTAGAAAAGGAAAAAAATTCGAGTGCAAAACTGAGATGAAAAAAAACTGAGATGCGAACCCGCAACCTCGCGGTGCAAAATCCTACCTTCTATCGACTGAACTGTCGCACTGCTCGCTAAAACGTGGGGAAACAAATAATTATATACCTGCATGCGTATCAAAAAAGTATCGTAGAGGGCACTAAACAACTGAAGAAGAAGCCATTTTCCTACAGGTACCACTACACATTAAGAATCAAATTATCAACGAATGTCAGACAACTCAACTGTTGAGACAACTCAACCAACTCGGCCTTATCAAGGCTGGTTTAAGCTCACATTCATGGTCCAGTTTTTTGGAGTTGTCCATGTAGCCACTCCACACTTTTACTTGCCAAAGTCTGACTAGATTCCTTGTTTATTTTTTTATCTAGGTAGCGATCCAGTTCATTTTTATATTCATTTCTATTCAATCTTACTCCCTACATGTATGTATACAAAAATGTAAATTTTATTTTCAGCCATTCAGCTATTCCAGGAAAAGGTTTCTATTCCCGCCACCCCCCCCCCCCCCCCCCCACCCTAATCACAGATCAGGTTATAACTCATCATCAACCGATTGGTGTTGTGCTTTTTACAATTTCATATAGCAACAGTATTTATTATATGTTGCGATCTTCACTTTTTGTGTAGAGTTTTGTTGATGTCATAACGATTGTACCCCACACCTTTCCTCAAAAATTGAAACCCTGACCTTTAGCTTTCCACAGTATAGATACTTTTGCTTTTGAACATCACCAGCTATTATTTTAGATGAGTCGAAAAATTTTAGGAGCAGTATGCATAACTCAACTTCAGTACAGTACACTTAAGAGTACCGGACTTTTCTTTGTACTCAACACTATTGTCTCCATGTATTGTATTACACCATTTACAGAGAATATCACTCATACATGTCATACAGGCATGCAACTTTTCCTCGGATCCGCTGATTTCCTCGTTTTTTACTTCTCATGAATGCCATTACAAATTGAAAAATACTGTACAAAGTCTTGTGTGGTTTGGAGTTTCCTCGTTTTTCCTAAATTCCCAGTTGCATGCCTGGTCATAGGTGGCCTATTTAATCACAAAATGTTCAACCAAATAGTTTCTCCAAAAACCTTTAAAAATCCTAGACAGGCCAAATCAGAATATCAAGTTAATGTTGGCACACTATCAGTACGTCGTCTGCACGTCGTCACCAAATGCCCGTCTTGTCTTTCCAAAGGTTACTCTGAATAGCCAGAAGTATGTCAGAGGTTAAGGATGTTGCTGCATCGGTTCGCTCCCCTAGGACAGAATCCTTCAACTTTGGACCCTGGACAATCACGTCAGTCAAGGGACACATCCTCAAATCCCAACAACTTGAAAGGTTTGTCAGACGGACAAGCAGATTGAATTAAAAGGGTTAACCCTAAGTCCCTAGGCATTTTTGCCAGGATGTAACCTCAATCCTCCAACTGCCTCCATGTAAACATTGCATACAGCCTCAATCCTGCAAAATCCTCCGTTATTTCGTGAATGTGATCCTTGGAGGGGTGACCACTGCCTCAATCCTGCAAAATCCTCCGGCAAATGACTGTCAATATGTTGAGGCAGATCCAGTGATATACTGGAGCAGTGGATAATTTCAAGTATTATCTAGGCCTAAATTTATGCACAGTTGAGCATAAACAACACAAGGTCCGGCCCAAGACCTTGACACAGTGCATCCTCCAAAATCAACAACGCACTTTTGCCATGTAGCCTCAATCCTGCAAAATCCTCCAATTTGAAAATAGGATTCTGGAGGATTTGGGAAGGTTAGGGTTATAGCCACTTGGGATCATTTGCAATTACCGGAAAAACACTTACCGATTTAATTAATGACAGAAATATTGCTCAAAGTAAAGATGGGATTGGTCCCCTGTGAAATTATTTGGCCTGAAATGGTATCGTTTGGAAGCTAACTAACATTGAAAGTGGTTTTAAAAAAGTGTGCCAATGGGCACACTTTTTATGTCAGTTACGCGACCCAAACGATTGTGCATACATTTTCTCTGTTTTCTCAAAATGTATAGTACCTTCTGAGCTGAAACTCCAACAGGTTAGTTGTTATGCACCCCTTCTTAACAGTTTCCGCAATGTTGTTGTGGAGTGCTGTGGCCTCGTGGTTAAGGGCACTGAATTCGTGGTCTGTGGGTAAAGCTGCAGGTTGTAGGTTGGAGTCCAGCCGGGGTCATGCTGCGTGTGCCCTTGAGCAAGGCACTTTGTCACTCATTGCTTCTCTCCACCCAGTAGTAAATGGGAACCTGTAAGGGCAGAGATGGTTATTGTGATTGAATTAGCTTCCTTGCGCCTAACAGGCTGCTTCGAGCTGTATACTCCCCAGGGAGCTGAGATGGTATTTAGAATGGTTAATTGGCCCAATGATCAGGTGTAATAATAATGTACAGCGCTTTGATATTAGTTTAAAAGCCCTATACATGTATAAGAGCCTGTTATTATTATTCAAAAGAAAAAATGAGCCTGTTATTATTATTATTATTTAAAAGAAAGAAAATACAAAACAAATGGTCCTATGTATTTACCTTTAAAATTTATCAGGCATTGAATTATTGAGTCATGATAAGTTCAAACTTATCCTCTTTTGGCTTACGCAGGTATCATCAGGAACTTGAACTGCCTCAGCTGCCAGAGATGCTCTTTGGAGACAATGTCCTGAAAATCCTGAACACTGGAGGCTATGGGATGGAGTTTAATGCGTTGGACTCAATGAAGCGGGTTGATGCACACAATGCCCCATTCAAGGTTGCCGCTGCACAAAAATGGCAGGAAGCGAGGTATGAAATAAATTTGAAAATGTTTGCTACTTAGCAGAGTGTCATTTCCATTTAGTGCCTGCAGTTAAGTGTATAGCATAGAAGAAAACCTCTAAAATTCTTTCTTCAAAATCTGTTACTGAAACCAACCATTTTTTCCTTTTCTCACACTGTTAAGGAGTGACTGTGAGTTCATCAATAAAGTTGTCAAGCCCTTTGACTGGACCTACACCACAGACTACAAAGGGACTCTGCTTGGAAATTTACAGGTATTTCATTTTCTTGAGATTTTCTTGAGCTCTGATTCATACTATTGATGTCTCCTTGTTTACTGGCCCTAATCCTCCACGGGAACTGTTCAATGAAAATAGCTCTCAAACTCTCTCGGAATTGGCCGTTTAGGCACTGGTGTTGATGGCCCAATGCAACAAGGTCCCCACTGACTATTACACCTGCTGCACTGTGTTGAAGCCGGCAGGGTTAGGGTTAGTGCATTACACTGCACTCTACAGTTCTTGGCACATTATCATCGTCATCATTTCAACAACAATTAACCATAGCTGATGTGTCCGCATCAACACAGGCATGCCCGGGGTTCATTCCCTACCTTGTACCAAGGGTCCATACTGGTTGTGTTGTACAAAGCAGAGAGGATGAAAACATTCAAAAGGCTTTGATAATAGGTACCTGAAGTACGCAAGGTTATGTACTCCACAAAGTCCATACACAAACTTGTTCAGGATGTCACATGAAACGCTCTGAACCAATGAAATTTCACAATATTACGCTATCGTATAACAAAGGTTTTGTGACATACGCTTGTTTGGTCGAAAAAGCAACATGGAGTATGGAACGTAACAGATGTATTTATTTGTTGTAGGAATCGCCGACGGATCAGAGGATAGACATGGAGAAGCTGAAAGTGCGTGAGAAGATCCACTTCTATGAGGAGATGACGTTATTTGAAGATGAGCTGGCGGACAATGGGAGTGCATCACTCACAGTAAAAATGGTGAGATTGGCTCCCTCCCCCACCCCCAGATTTCCCAGGCCAACAAAAGTGCCCCTCTCGCGATCATAAATGTGCCCCCTTGAGATGAAAACAAAATTGCCCCTCAAACGTACACATGAAAGCATTGTGATCGCACTTACAAATTGTCTCCTCTCTTGTAATGCAAAAGTGCCCCTCAAAAACACAAATACCTCTCGCACATTTACAAGATTGTAAACCATCTCCAACTACCCCTCGAAAGCACAAACACCCCTCTTGCAATAATAATATTGAACCCCTCTCGAGATGGGAAGTTGGCCATCAAAAACAATAGTGCTCCTCTCACGATAACTTATCGAGAGATGGAGAACTGCCCCTCGAAAGCACAATTAGTGTCCCGCTCGCAACATTAAAACTGTGCCCCTCTCAAGATGGAAAACTGGCCTGTCAAAAAATAATTGTGCTCCTCACGCGAATAAAATGGTCACTGAACTGGCCATTAAAAGCAATGTTGGCCCTCTTATGATAAATAAAATGGTCCCTTTTCATAGGCCTAACTAGTCAAATTCAAGGGCGGACCCAGAGAGGTTACTGCCGGGGGTGTGCCGGAGGACAAAGGTCTCTCTCAAGTGAAAAATTACTTTATTTGAGAACATTACCGCTATATTGAGACAATATCAGGATAGGCCTACAGTGTAATTTTTTGAGTAAGGAAATTAAGATTTTTTAATTTTTTCAACTCAAACATTTTTAAAAGTGTATATCAATGTTGTTAGTAAATTTTGTTCCAGGTAACATGTATTCCTTGCAGTGTGAACGAAAATAGTTTCAGTTTTCTCCTCTTTTACACTGACGGAAGGTGCCTTTTTTTCTGAGCAAGTGCCCCTTTTTGGTGATGGTGATGTCCCCCAGTTTGAAAAGCTTTCCGCCGCCGCTGACTAAATCCTCAAAACTTATAATAACTTAATTTTTAACCTGTGCTATTTTACACACAGAGAGTTATGCAGTCCTGTTTCTTCATTTTGCTGAGGTTCTTTCTCCGTGTGGACGATGTCCTCATCAGGATCCATGACACAAGAATCTATCACGAGGTCAGTTTGAGAATGTCTTCGTCATGACAACAAAATCAATCAAAATCTATCCTTATATCTATCCTCTAAATAGTGAAATGAAAAATACTAGGCTTCGTGGACTTGTGATGGACATGTGATGGACTTGTGATGACTTGTGATGACTTGTGATGACTTGTGATGTCTTGTGATGACTTGTGATGACTTGTGATGACTTGTGATGTCTTGTGATGACTTGTGATGACTTGTGATGACTTGTGATGCCTTGTGATGACGTGCGATTACTTGTGATGTCTTGTGATGTCTTGTGATGTGTTGACTTGTGATGACTAGTGATGACTTGTGATGACTTGTGACTGGTATCATTGCAACTCTTGCAGTGGGACCAGTTTTGAAATATCATTTAAATGACAATTCTGTCCCTTAAATGACCGAGACCCTTCCATGTCTTTTCCAGGCAGGAGAGAGTTACATCCTTCGGGAGTTCACCTCGCGAGAGAAGAGTATATCGGACCTGAAAGTAGAGCCCTCCCTCTACACCAATCCTACAGAGATTGCCGAGCACTTGGACATCACGGCCGAACAGTACGACAGAATAGACTTCCCACAAGCCGACAGCGAGATGACGTGACAAACGTAACCGGTTCCTCTGTTTTTTGTAAATTTTAGAGACATTCTGTGGATCTCTACTGGCATAAAAGGGTGCAGCACAAGAAATTCAGATCACACAAAAAAAAAATTGAAAATGTGGAGGCATCCTAAACGAATTTTTCGCAAAGTTGATGGAGATGCTTCACTTTGCATAATTTCATTGGCCGTGTCCAAATCGGTGGCTACGGCTGGCAAAAACACAGGAGTGTATGGAAAGTGGCTGCAGCCGCTCATCGGTGGCTTCCATAGGTGCGCGTGTTATTTCTGACCGTATAGCCACGTGATCGGACACGGCCATTGTTGCTGCTGATTCACTTGTTTGGTGAGCTACATTTTGTATATTATATTACACTCGGAGTAGTTGTTGCATGCCATTATTACAGCACTACATGCAAGTTGATTTTGTTAGAAAGTGAATACTTGGGCCAAGTTTGGGCAAGGACCATTAGTCGACTAGTGGTTGAATTGTGACGTACCTTACACCTGCGCACTGATAGCAAAGTGCGAACGTCTCTAGTCGAACACTGGACAAAATGTCATTGCAAAACGTCTGGATCCTGGCTCCCTGCTGTACGTTATGAACGCGCGCGGCTATGGTTACCAGCGAAGCAACCAACCCCAGTAGGTTGGTTCCAAATAGTCGACTAGCGTAGTTAACCATCGTCGACTAGACAGAGTTCGGGCAAGTGTTAGTCGACCAATGGTTAACTATAGGCCTTGCGTGAACTTGCCCTTTGCTATATCGGGCAAGTAGATTGGGCTGCTTACATGGACTCAATTCAGAACTACCCCCTCGCTTGGTAACAAAGAGAGAATTAAGGGAGACCACTGGGAGGGAGGCCAACGCAATGGGCTCCGTGCGCCAACAAAAGAGGGCACCCTTTTACCTAGCAACGACGTCCCATGGGCGGGACACCCCCAACTGTACTTTCTTTGCAGGTGAGGGGGTACTTGTGAACAGAGCGGATAAGGTTAGGGTTGGACACAAACAGGCACAATGTCGTGTGGTAAATGTTGTTTTTTTGGCCAATAAAATTTATAAGACAAACTTCTGAGAAATGTAGTTTCAAACTCCCCAGAGATTAAGATTGTCCAAGGGATGATGGGAAACAGCGGGGCATGATGGGAAGCGGCATGCCATGGCAACCAAAGACAGAAATGTTGGAGCCAGTTGTCATGTATGTATAATGGAAAAAGTGTAGTTGAGGACCCCGTTCCATATAAGAGAACTAAAAGACTCTTTTATGTTTTGGGACTTCACTAAATAAATGTAGTTACCAGCAGGAAAAGTCACTGTATATTTTTTTAGTTCGCTAAGGTGCCATGTTGAATATCAGCAGGCTTAATTTTGCAGAAAGGAGCAGGGTTAGTATTTACGAAGAAAATTATTGGGTGAAATGACAGCATTTGAACTGATGTGATTCCATGTCTTGAAGTGCTTAACAGGTAAGAAAGTCACATTTTCTTTCAATTTTGAATAGAACTAGTTCAAAATAGAGGCGTCCCAAAACTACACTTTTGCCTGTATCATGAAGTCAGAATGCATGCATCCTTTTTTGTCGGTCTAAAATTACAAAATGTATTTAATTTGTAGCTCTGCGTGTAATTCTATATTAACTCGACTTCAATATTGTGCAGTATGTCACAAATAAAAAAAATCAAAAACAGAAGGCGTCATTGCTATTTCAAATTGTTATTTATTCACTTTTTACTGTTAAGCCATTTCTACAAGTTGGTGGCCCATTACAATGAAATGCGTTATTATTGGCATTTTTTTCTAGGGACCATCCCAAATATCCTGATACTGGTGTTAAATAATTCGGGCGATTCACAATGCAGTGCGCCACCAAGAGTTTACCACGGATAGTTCATTTTTCCCAGTGCATTATGGGAGATGGTCGACAAATTCGCAGCGCGGGACATTCGACATTGTTGGTTTTTCCGGCCAGTAGTTTCGTAAGCGTATGATTCGAGTATCTGTTTGCCCTTTTCTTTTCTTTTTATCAATATGGTGTTTTCTGTAAGGCAGCAGACGCTATGCCCCAATTTATAACAAATTAGCTCAAGTTGTCTACTGATACTCATTCAAATGGGCCATGTTCTGTCGACCTTAAACTTGACAAATGGACTCTCCATGGCAAACTCTTGGTGGCGCACTGCATTGTGAATCGCCCCAATTTGTCCAATTTAATGCAAACTCAGTATTCAGAACGGTCCATGGGTTACAGTTTTGTAAAAAAAAAACACTTCTGGAGTTGTTAAACGTGTGTCAATGAATTTTGGATAATTAATTTATACATGTACATTTTTACATTATTTGTGCACAGCCATGCAAATTATAATATGCATTGACTATTATTATTTTTCAAATCAATGTTTCAAGGAAAACATTAAAAATTTTAAAAAAATATTGGAACAAAACCAACTTCAGTGCTACATTCAGCACATTAAGATAGGGTGGGTGGGCGCTAAAGATTTTTTAGGGAGTCGGCATATTGAAGCTACCCTTGCTAGGTTTTCTACGTACATGTATATGTGTACCATATGCTTTAATATTGCTATTTACAAGAATAAAAACACAATATGCATGTTCAACAGGTATTTAGGTACTGAAATCCATAACAACTTCTTACACTCATTATTTGTTACAAGATGTCAACACTTAACTTTCAGTACAAATTCTACATTATTTGGTCATATTGTGGTGATATTTCATCATTTGGTATAGTAGATACATGTCGAGTTGGCTAAATATTCGTTTTTATGTTTTTCTCATGCCTATTTTGTCCCAAATAAGACATAATTTGGCAACCACATAAACTTACAAATCAGAGAAAAATCTAAAGCATGAAACACCCCCAACCATCCCCCCCCCAAAAAAAAAATAAGAAGAAAAGTTGGTCCCATGTCATTATTCATCAATCGCCAAAATACAAAGTCTGGTTCGTGTGCCTCAACATAATTATGTGACTGTATCTTGGACCAAGCCCATGTGAAGTAAGGGTGTTGGGCTGTTAGTCCTGAACCCATCAAACACAGGAAAGCTGGGGATAAGAGTTTGGAGGATAAAGAGTTGGGAGCTGGTATTTGACAGCAATGACAGTCATTCTCAATCGTAACTTTCGTTTTCAAATAATTCATTACCATGTTGGCATATGGAGTATTTTTCTAAGATGGCGTCACATGGTAAGTGTTGAACACGCCTCTTTCCTGCATTCATTGCACTTGTGTGACGTCCAATATTCTCAAGCACCATGGATTCACCGAATCGTCACTTTACACATTAAAATTCAACAGTTTGTAAGTCAAAATAGTTTATGGCAGTGTATTAAAACGTGGAAGAATAAACATATTTGGCTGCTGAAAAGTATCTACAAACAAACAAAATGGGGGGAAACAAGCAACTTCAGTTCATTATGTGGAACCAAGTAGTTAACTACACCCAGAAAACATGTAAGGTCATGAAAATGTTCTCAAGCTCCAATTTCTTTTAAAAGCACCATCCTGAAAGTGAAAAGTTATGGCAAATTCTGTTTATCATGTAGCTCTGTTTCTGCGGCTATAATTGGAAATTTTTGGTTACTGACAAGCAACGGTGCTCTGCATGTTACATGACCAACCATTAGTAAAACTCCTCTCGGACTCAAAGGACTCTGTGCACAAGTACCCCCTCAACAGTTGAAAAGAGAGAGTCCGGGGGCCACTGGAAGGGACAATCGAACGCATTGCCGATGGTTCCCGACACTCGAGCAAAGACGCTACCGGTTTGTGCACATTCGGAATAAAATAAGTCGGGTGTACTTTGCACAAGGGCTTTTCGAAAGTGTTCACAAACCACCATCAACTGTTTGTGCACTGAACCACATGCCGTAATACCAGCCAAGCAAGCTTGTTTTCTGCAGGTCACAAATGGAGCAAAAGCAAAACAATCAACAGACTTCCAATTAAACCTTCAAGTATTTCCTGGTAGATTTGGATGTAAGTGTAGGTGCGGTGCGGGTAACTTGGACTGGGAGTTGCTTGTTACGCTCGTGGGACGACTGCAGCTGTGTTTGACCATGAGCTCCGTCTTGGTGCGGTAGTACTCCGCCTGTGCTTTCATCAAGTCTACCCTAGCGATGTGTTCCTTGACCATGATGGCCAGCTTGCGCTTACGGTAGTCATCCAGGGTGTCTACGGATGAGGTGGAGGGTCGCTTCAAGGGGCGTTTCTCCTTCGGTGAATGGGCTGGCGCTGAAGTTGAAGGGATACCTGGAATTAAAAAAATGCGAAATTTTTTAGTTTTTGGTTTATTTATTCTTTTTCTATTTTCCTCTGCATCTGTGTTGCATTTTTGTCCTTCAAATTTTAAACTGGATTTGTTCTATCCACTGCATTTACATAGCTTCAAGACAGTACAAAAACTCAGGAAATGTTTCTATTTTTAACACCCAAACTAGTTATTTCGTTTGTCACGGGTTTGGGATACAGGTGGGGGTTGGTCACTGGAATCATACTCCAGCGCCCTTACCAGCCCCACACCCCACCTGCCTGCTTTGATGCTACATTAACCAGTTCGCGCCGGATGACGTGTAAACCCGCCAAGGTTTTGCTGTATTCGGAACGTATGATGGATAAACACGCAGGGAGCGAGGCCGGAAATATTTGTCAGCGACCCGCTCGCAACGAGTAAGGCCGGAAATATGAGTGTGCTGCCCGAGGGTGATGGCTTCAACCCGCCTGGCATGAGGCCGAGTAAAAAGTAATCCTGCGCCTCGGTCCGTTCTTGTTAAAATAATCCTGGCATGAACTGGTTAAGAAGATAGTCAATTTAGAGTTAGGCCATGTGCCAATTACTTGACAATGTCTGGCAGTAATACACATGGCTATGAACAGTGGCTTCAGCTGCCTCCATAGACCCAGGTGTAAGAGGCCTGAGACAAAATGACATCACGCTTTGTTTACATGTGCGCTTTTCTATGGGAGATAGGCGGGGACGAAAGCCAGCGGGCTCCCATAAGAAAGCGCTCATGTAAACAAAGCGTAACATCATTATGTCTTGGGTCTATTGCGAGCCATAGGCAAGTTCATCTGACAGCCTGAGACTTGATTCACTTCCTGCTGTCGTACCATTCGCTGCTTCAGGAGGACGCACTTGTTGCTGACTGGCTTTTATGCTTTCTGATGTACTGTCCCGATTCTGTTGCTGCTGGTGCCCCAATTGACTCTGTTGATCACCCATCTCGTGGGATTGGACGTCACTAGGCATTGGTAGCGGTCCTTCTAGGAATCCTGAGGACCTCTTGAACCGAACTGAAAGTCAAATAAATAAGATACAGAAATACAACATGAAACATTAAACAACTGTTTTAATGTGAGATCAAGTCTAGTGGAATTGGGGGTCTTTGACTGAATCAAAAATAAACTTCAAATTATTTTATTAAACACTAAATCTCTCGAAATTATCTGGCAACATTTTCACTTTTCATTTGCACTGGATATTGTTTTAATAAAGCTTGTATGATTAAATACTATAAATCTTACCAGCTTGGATCAAGTTCCGATGTCTATCTTTACACTGCTGCACAGTCTTCTGATTGGTGTCTCCAGAAAATCTACAAAATTTAGATTTTGTTTATTAGTTTAATATATAAATTTCAATCATAACAAACCCAGTAAATTCAATTTCTCTTACATTTAATTACAGAGGAGAGTTTAATTTAAATTATAAATTTGCCTGATACTGATAGTGAGACTACAGATGCCTAAAAAATTATCTCAAACTTAAGTTCAAAAGTAGGCCTGGCCTACCTACATATTTTGTGTAAAAAAATGACAAAATCTACTGCATTTGTCATTGTTCATTAAAAAAGAAAATATCAGAAGGAAAACTTCGAACTTGGCAAAATAAGGGAGGAAGCTCTCAACTATTATCTTGGCTAAACTCACGCGTTAACACAGTCTCGTATTCTCTCCCAAGCGGCCATTTTCTGTTGCCTGCTCGGGACGCCGTGTTCACGGAGCGTCCCGTCCAGTATGTTTTTCTCGGTTGTGTACGCTGTAGCCAGTGCCACATCCATTGTGGACGTAAACGGCGTAGCTTTTCGTTTTGTCAGGCCGTCCATGGCCACGTGAAAATCGTCCGTTTCTCGGCCCTCACTTGCATCATCGTTGTCTTGGTCGTCGGCTGCAGGCTGCGGTTGTTTGGGATCAAACTCCTGAGCAGACGACATCGTGAAAACCGGGTAAACACTGCTTATTTTTGTTTGTGCTAAGTGCTTACGAACTCGTTTAATTGTTTAGCGAAAAATTAGGCTACCCGGTAAATTGGTGAAGCGCCCTCTTTTGACACTTAATCTGAGAAGAAAATCTCGAATTCAAGATGGCTGCGCCCATGGACACATCAAAACAGCTCCAGACACATGCAGAAGTGGAGCCCTTGTAACCAAATATTACACCGATTGTTCGGTCGAACATTAAGATGAAATCAAGGAAGAAAAGACACAGACCAGTTACGGAGTATAAAATGTTCGGACCTGGCAAAATTTTACAGTAGCTTAACACCTTTAATTTCCAGTTAAATTTGTTATTTTGATTTTTGTATTGCGTTGTACATTACCTGATTACTTTAGTCATATCACTCAGGACTAGGTTACTCGGACTGTAGACTACTGTAGTCTACAGTCTGAGTGAAATCCGGTTCATACTTCACGCAAAAATAATTGCAAAGTGAAGTTCAACAATGGTGGACGCACGTCAAACCTATTGTTGACGTCGGGAATTTCGCTGCTCTCTCTTTTGCTTTCGCGTGAAGTATGAACCAGGCTTGGAAAAAATGTTGCAACCTGACGCCACTTCAGCGGTTGTGTACAAAGTCTATGGACAGTCAAAAAAATGTTCTAAGTATTTCCTAACAAGTTGGAAATGTTTCCAGTCCCAGATCATCATTTTTGAAATGACTGACCTTCATTGAAATGATATATGAAGAAAAAATTGGCAACAGGTTGCAACATTTCTTTCGCAGGCTTAACTTGGACCTAGCTGGAGTTACCTCAGCCCTATATTTTATCATTGGGTTGTTGTATTAGGGCTGAGGTAACTCCAGCTAACTTGGACCCTACTTTTTTTAACATTGGGATATGGTGTGGCAAAGTAGGGTCAAAGCCGCATGGCCACCATTGTGTGACACAATAGAAACAACTCAACAAAAATATCAGTTTTCCCCCTCAAACGGCCACAAAAATACTAGTTATGCCACCGGAGATAAAAAAAAAGTTTAGGTTTGAGATGGTGGTAAAACTTACAATCTGGATGAATAGTGAAATTGTCCATTTATTGGCGAGGGCTCCATTGCGAATAACGTTCGGACGTCATTATTCGCGATAGAGCCCTTGCCGCTAAACGTTAAATTGCACTTTTCATCAAGATCGTAAGTAAACCTTAGTACCTCGATCTATCGCCGATCTGTACTTGTACCTCAGTTGGCGTATCTAACAATTTTGTGGCCATTTAGAGGGTGACATCTGATGCTTTTGTTGGGACGTTTCTGTTATGTCACGCGATGGCAGCCACAAAGCTTTGGACATATCGCCAGACCATGACCAAATATTTAAAGAGGCGATAAAGCAGGGTCCAAATGACTTGGACTAAGTGTAGCCCAGGTTGGATGCCCTCTTCATTGAATTACGACTGAGGGAGTCCACCTGAGCTGGTGTACAGTTTAGGATATTCGTTGGACTTGATTCAGTGTTTCTTTTTGTTATATTTACCAGTCTATGTAATATTGTATTCTTATTGAACAGAACGAATACTCGGAGGGATAACAAGGTGATTTCGAAGCTGCACACCCTAAATAAGGAAATTGAAAAGCTCAGTCATACCAGTGGAAAAAAACAGAAAGAACTAGGAACACATCTCAAGATTGTTTCCTTGAAGAAATCTGTGGAGGAGGTATGACAGAACTTAATAATAGGCCCTATAAGATTAAATTTATTAAATTTTAGTTGAATTTTATTGTATTTATTTCCATATTAATTTTTATCACAAAAATTCCTGCTACAGTACTGCCAGTACTTGCTCAGGAGCAAGTGGGGTGCTGTGGTCCAATGGTTACGGTGTTCGACTCGTGTGCTGTGGTACATGGGTTCGAATCCTGACCGTGGGAACATGGTGCTTGTGCTCCTGAGCAAGGCACTTTACCATAATGGTTCGTCCTTCGGATTGGACGCAAAGCCGTAGGTTCCGTGTGTTGTGTAATGCACGTTAAGGAACCCAGTAACACTAACACTTATCGCTATTAAAGAGAAGGGGTTTGCCCCGGTGTTTCTGGCAGTGGCTGCAATATGCGCTGCAGTACCTTGTAAATCCTTCTAAAGGTGTTACATAATGGGTCTTATAGTTCTCATTATAAACTTGAGCCCTCCATGGAAAGCAGTGCCTGGCACTGATCGGAGTTTACCCTCATTAAAGATGACGTAAAATAAAATAGTAATAATAAAAAAAGAAGTACTGGCTACAGTCTTGCCAATAGATCGGTATGGGCTGACGTCACCCAACGAAAAACATCTATTTATTTTGCACACCAGTTTTCATGTGTTACTATTCAGCACTCCAGAATCAAGAACCATTGAGTTTAACGAACATAAGTCTGGGAGCTAGATAAGCCAATGTAAAATATTCCCAAATGTCCGTGCCCGCCTATAACCTACCATTAAACAGTGCAAGGCCTGGCCATCAAAAATCCACTTAAGAAATACATTTATATTCCAGTATATAAATACAGAAAAACACAGTTGTGGATTTTGTATGTCATTAGTTTTTTTTAATTTATTTATTTATTTATTTTATTTTTTTGGAACTTTATTCTAACCTAGACTTTGGAAGTCATCTGGAAATAAAATAATGTCATGTTCCTTTTGTAATATTGTAGCTTGGAGGGCTCGAGGCTTATCAATCAGCATCCAAACTTGGAGAAGCTCGCCATGGGAACCTCAACTCTGCGAAATGGGTTCTTCAGAAACTGAAAGAACATAACATCAGGACAGACAAAGTGAGTTGATTATAATAAACTCTCTGATCACACTTTGTATACATTTATTCTTTATATTTTTATAGTTTGTATAAATTTACAAATGTATTTAGCCCTACAAACAGGCAAATGGCTCTCTTTTAACATTGGTCTTATCACTGTTGCCATTACAGCCATGCTAACATGTCGGCTAAAAATGTTGAGTTTCGCTCCAACAGTCACATCTCTAGTTTTGATTCCAAATATCTTCCGAAATATGTATCGCTAAACACTTTTACATACACCATCGTATTCCTGAAAGTTGTGCAATTCATAAACTTATAATAAAGCTTACCAAAATCATAAATTTGTCCTAATATGGTGTCTTAAAATAATTAAGAATATTCAAGCATGTTGTGACGAACTCTCCACCATCTTTTTTTTTTACCTGCCGCGTCCTGATCGTGAGAAGTCAGGGCGCCCGGCTATATTAAACAGGCCAGGTTCATTGATATGCATGATGACGTCACGCGAGTTGATTCGTGCATATGCGCAGACACCGAGGCTAGTTTGGTTCCCAGACTAAAAGATTCTGACTCACGTCGGAATAGTCAGCGACTCGGTCAGTCTAAGAAAAGCAGGCTTGGTCCTCGGGTTCCTGCAAAAATAACCCAATTTATGTTTAACTGTCATTCAGGGAACCAAGTTTAAGCTCCTTGACGTGGGTGCTTTGGACTACAACTACAGCAAGCAGCAGAAATGGATCGACTGCACTCCCATCGATCTTAATCCACAGAACCGGCGTGTCATCAAAGCTGACTTCTTTACTTTCCAGGTAATTTTGTAATTTTGTATCTCATTATTATTTTGAGTTGCTTTCAAAGCAAAAACCGAAAGAAGGCAGTGGTCCAAGACAGTTCACATTGTCAAGATTAACCTTCATTCGCTACTCAGTTTTACTATTAAAGTTGAGTACCATGTCTGTCAAAACCCATCACTCACTCTGTTTCACATAATGCTTCAGGACCAAATCCATTGAAATCCACCACTGGTGCTGGTGGATTTTGATGGACTTATTACACATGTCTTATTTGCTAGAATCCCCCAAAATGGGGAGATGGATTTTGATGGAGTTGGTAAGGTTAGGTTTAATCATGCAGAGTTGAAGTTGAGTCTGTCAGAAGTCCCCGCAAGACCCTGCAAGTCCCCACAAGTCCCTGCAAGTCCCTGCAAGTCCCTGCAAGTCCCGGCAAGTCCCCGCAAGCCCCCGCAAGTCCCTGCAAGTCCCTGCAAGTCCCCACAAGTCCCTGCAAATCCCTACAAGTCCCTTCAAGTCCCTGCAAGTGGCTGCAAGTCCCTGCAAGTCCCTACAAGTCCCTGCAAGTCCCTGCAAGTCCCCACAAGTCCCTGCAAATCCCCACAAGTCCCTGCAAGTCCCTACAAGTGGCTGCAAGTCCCTGCAAGTCCCTACAAGTCCCTGCAAGTCCCTGCAAGTCCCAACAAGTCCCTGCAAATCCCTACAAGTCCCTTCAAGTCCCTGCAAGTGGCTGCAAGTCCCTGCAAGTCCCTGCAAGTCCCCACAAGTCCCTGCAAATCCCTACAAGTCCCTTCAAGTCCCTGCAAGTCCCCGCAAGTCCCTACAAGTCCCTGCAAGTCCCTGCAAGTCCCCACAAGTCCCTGCAAATCCCCACAAGTCCCTGCAAGTCCCTGCAAGTCCCCGCAAGTCCCTACAAGTCCCCACAAGTCCCTTCAAGTCCCTGCAAGTCCCCACAAGTGTCTGCAAGTCCTTTCAAGTCCATCACAAGTCCTCCAGTCCCAACACAAGTCACAAGCTATTCAAATGATCTGAGACAAAGGCACTCCATTGTTATTTCATCCCTTGTTGCTTGTGAATGGAGCTGTGAATGGACTTGTGATTTACTTGTCACTGGACTTGTGATTTGAATCGCTTGTGAGTTGAATTGGGACTGAAGGACTTGTGATGGACTTGACTACATCCCTGCCCTTAAAGATATAGTCCATCATTTGTAATTTGTGCATTTTGTTCGTTTGAAGCAACAAGAGTGTTCAAAATCTAATGAAGGATACTGAACAACTAACCTGATGAAGTTTCAGCTAAGCTTCAGCTGTATATTCCGAGAAAAACAGCATTCTAAGATCTCAATTTCAAATCAAAAGTTACTGAATCATGTTTTGAATTGTTTTGAATTGCAGCTTTACGCGACGTCACGCACTGATCCGACGAATTATAGCAACCAATGCTTGCGCGCGCTTTGCCGAGTAACAAAACGAACTACTAATTTAAATTTTCCTACGGTGCGTCTTAAGACACACCGTTGGAAAGGCCTTCTTTCGTTGATTACTTCAAAATGACAGCTTCCCAGAAAGAATAATTTCACAGGGAGTTTAGTTCCCTTACTATCTTTCAACCAAGTTTGTTTTTCTACAATAATTACGCCAGTTGCTTTTCGGATGGCTGCAAATGATGGACTATATAGCTTTAAGACAATCACAGCTATTTCTTTCACTGAAAACATTCCAATTGAAATCAAGTTTAGTTTACAATTGAACTTTTCGACAACGTTTGCAGAATGATGAGCCAGTGCTGTATGACATCATTGTCCTGAGCTTGGTACTCAACTTTGTTGGCTCGCCGGCAAAGCGTGGAGACATGCTGAAGAAATGCACAGCAATATGCAAGCCCAAAGGATACCTGTTTGTAAGTCTCACCAATCTTGTGGTCCATTATGCTGTTCAAATTGCCTATTATTCCTCAGCCATTTTTCCATAAATGCATTTTTGCTGGTCCCAGAGGGCCGACATAGTGTCCTCATTGCGCCTCTCTCACTGACTCACTGACTGTCGCTTGTGAGTCGGGCAGTGCTATTATATAGGTTTACCCCGTAACGCCAATGAATGGGCTAAATTTTGGCCCATTGTGAAGACCAGAAGCATGAAAGACTTCCAGTGAATAGCCATTCTGAATCAATGGAATACAGGGTGAGTAAAAAAAAAAAAAACACACCAAATGTCGGGACTATTGTTTTAGTGAAGTTCTTCATGTAGCACTTTAAAAATCTAGGATATGAAAGCCCAATTCATAAACTCTCTTTTAGTACAAGAATCATTCAAATCACTCATGTACTTTTCAAGTTACATAATTTTAAACACAACCACCGTTTTAAAGTTCTGTCCACGGATCACAAAAAAAGGTGCACGTTCTTTCAGCAAAGCGAAAACAATGTGATTTGTTTTCATTTTGCTGAAAGAACACGGAACTTTTTTGTGATCCATGGACAGAACCTTAAAACGATGTTTGTGTTTAAAATTCTGTAACTTAAAAAGTACATAAGTGATTTGAATGATTCTTGTACTACAACAAAGTTTATAAATTGAGCCTTCATATCCTAGATTTTGAAAGTGCTACATGAAGAACTTCACTAAAACAATAGTCTCGACATTTGGGTTTCTTTTTTTTTTTACTCACCCTGTAGAATTGTTTGTGCTCTGGGACACAGTTTACCTGGCTTGCCTATGTGTGGTAGTCCGACTTGAGTTGGCTTAAATTTTTGTTTTTGTAACGTAAATGGCCAACGTTTCAACAGGGTCAAATGTTTTCTTTGCCAGATTGTTCTACCGCTTGCCTGCCTGGAGAATGCTCGGTACCTCAGCCACGAACTCTTCAAGGACATCTTAGAAAGCCTCGGCTTCAACCTCATTGTCTCCCACAACAGCAAGAAGCTCAGCTTCATCATGTGCCAGTTCAGCGGAGAAACTAGCCAGAGGAAAGCTTTCCCAAAGACACTCGTCAGGAACGGCGTCAAATGCAACAATTTCAGTATCGTCCTGACCTTATGACCTGCCTGGACAAGTGTTCCCTTGGGGCACACTGCAGACTTGATCCCGTCCGTGCATGGTCGGTTGAGGGCGCCAGACAGACAAGTATGGAGGAACTTTGCATGTAGTTCACCACAAGTTCTCTGAAGTGTGATCACGAAACTGATTCCATACACTTTTATTCTTTCCGTTTCTTCATACTTTCACAGTGTACCTTTCGCTATTTTGGTGTGGCCTAGTGGTTAGGGTTTTGGACTCGTGATCAGAGGGTCAGGGGTTCGAATCCAGCTGCTGGTCATATGTGTGTCCTTGGGCAAGCCACATCACTCGCATTTGCCTCTATCCACCCAGGAGTACAAATGGGTACCGGCATTAGCTGGGGGGTAACCTGCGATGGACTAGCATCCCATCCAGGGAGGATAGAACATAGAAATATCCTTAGTCGTTTCAAGCCTAGGAAACTGGAGACAAATGCCAGCCTGATGAGTTATTATTGCCTCTGCTTTGCTTCAATATTGTATAAATACATGGAAAAAATCATGAGTACATAAAATGCATAAAAATTCAAATGAAGGAAATTTAAGCCTCCAGAATCATAGGTATTTTTTTGGTTGTGATGCACAGTTGTCAAATTAATGGGATAGTCAGGTTGACAATGATGTGGTGAATTTCTTTAATTATAAACCAAAAGAAATTGTAGTTTTATTCTTAAAAAAATTGTTTATTAAAGGGAATGTACATCATTGGCTTTTGCTGTAATTTTCAGATATGAACTATTTGAGGGGTTAGTATAATAGATCAAATATTGTTACTCTGACATGTTTGAAGTTTTGTGTTCGAAAATGCTGGAAAAACTAAGAAAAACAATAATGTTCAAGTAGTCTGGTTCCTTGACTCCACTAAAGATAAAATGGATCAATTTATAAATGCCGGAAAATTGTAAGGTAAGGGAACCAGTCTAGCTGGCCTGCACCCGTTCATGAACATGTAACTAATAGCAAACAAAATTTGGACTGAAAAAAGTGTAAAGTTGGAGCAGTAGTTGAAAAATAGTTAGGTTTTTCCAACGGTGGTCGGCCGACCACCGTTGGAAATGTATACAAAAATACAATTTTCTTGAAAATGACTTCACACCAGGTGCCATAATTTTACAGGATGCTCTAGACTGTCATTTACCAACATCCTAGTACGGTATTTCGTAAAAACATGGTAGTTTTATTTTTCGATGTTTGCAAATGTTGTATATTCCCTTTAAAATGTAGGGGGAAAAATTTAAAATATCAGTATGCATGCATTTGGCTTTATTTTTTTATTGTACATGAATGAAAACATAATCAGACTTCTATATGTATTATAACATTCTGGGTTTTTTAGGGGGGGGGGAGTTGTAGAATTTTTTGGGGGGTAATTTGACATTTTGATCTGATGAAATTATAATGATATTTTATAAAAACCATCAGATCAGTGCAATTTGTCAACTGAATTTGACATGTGCTTTTATACAATACTTTTCTTTTTGCAAATTACTATGGTTTGTATTTTCATTTAAAAGTTAAAATCAAATATTCAATCAATTTTCCGTAAAAAGGCAAGTCATCTGAAGTAAAGTCAACTGAATGTAATAAATAATACAATTATTTAGAAAATTTTTTTTAATCGTTTATGAAATTATGCAAAATCGTAAATGAAGCTTTAACAATAAAACCTTGGAAAACAGTTGTAATTCACAAATTAATTGGTTTTCTTTTCCATATTTATTTTGGTGTTTTTTAGTATGTGGTTAAAAAAAATTAAATCTGATTTAAAAAGATTTGCATTCATGGCAGAGATCTAGTGAAGCATTGTGTATGTTTATATTTTTATAACACAGATTCTGCGAAGAACCGGTAATCAACATTCAATAAAGTCCTTCAGTAAAATCCTTTACTCATTATATCGGTATATCACTACATAAACAAAACAATAACAATTAACATCATAAATACTGAATAACACTTTTCCAAATAATATTTTTACTCATATCCTGATGTTTGTTGTACACGACCCTCACCTTTTTTCAAAAGATTTCACCTTTTCAACAGATTTCGTATTGTATGTAGTTGACCGACCTTCACAGAACAGAAGCCTTTAATTCTCTGCACTTCCTCTTTCGAAGTGCGTGCGCTTTCCGTTTAGGAACTTCTCTGTGTGCATGTGAGCGCTTTTTGCGGATTACAAGTTCAGCATTTCACCAATCAAGCAGAACACCGCTTGTCATGACGTGTGTTTTCAGCAGGTTGAAAACCTGATTGAAAAATATTTATACAAAATTCGCCGATGAGGATATTTAATATTATATCCCGATCGGGAGTACTTGTATGTTACTCCGTGCTAGCTGCTGTTGAACGGGGTATTTGCCAATATATCTCGACTGGGATTACCTTTGTACGACTGCAGGCGATGGCGTGAAGCGAACTGCGCTGACACGACGGGCGGAGTAAATGCTTGTTTTTCTCAGTCAAAATGTAAGTGATCGCTCGTGGAATTTTGTTGGCACTTAGAAACTTGCAGTGGGCCAGTGCGGGAAATTTTTCGAAGGGTGACGAAGTGTAGAAATTGTAATTTGTTTGATCGATGTAGGCTAGGATAAATCTGATTGCGCCGGGTTTAGTGTGCCTTTGCTGCCCAGTTTCCGGACGTGTTGTTTCTATGGTGTTTTTCACTAATTTCAGTGTCAAACTAGGCCTATAATAGACTGGTGGAATTATTGTTGATATTATTATTGTTGATGTAGTATTAAGTTTCAGGGCTCCATAGTTAAGGAATTATTGACCTACTGTCACAAAAATGCTTGCACTTTGATTTGAATGGAAACAAAATATTGTATTGGCAATGTTACTAGTCATGTGGGGGCGGGCTGACATCATCCGATGAAAACAACTATTCATTTGCACCCCAGTTTTCATCGGTTGCTGTGTCATAGCACTGTTTTACCATTCAGCACTCCAGACTCGAGAACCATTGAGTTTCAAGAACATAGGTCTGGGAGCTAGATAAGCCAATGTACAAAATTCCCGGATGTCTGCGCCCACCTATTCAGATGCTTCCATGTTGGTTGCTGAAAATGAAGATTTGCCCAAGTTTTAAGTCAATTTTTGTCAATTGAAAATGAATGCATGTTGTTTGATAAATCAATTATTGCATTGGCATCAAAGATCAGTGTTCACTGATTTTAAGTTTTGAAATTGAAAAAAGTGCCTTTTTAAAAACTTCTTGTTGAGTATTACAGTAGGCCTATCATGTACCACATAGAATGCAAAAGGCATCATTGCTAAGAATAGGAAATGGTTTGTAATCTTTACAGGGATGACGCAAACGGCTATGCAAATGGCGATTTGCCCGATGACATCCAATTCCACCATCACCATGACAACATCTCGGACCCCTCGGACCCAAACAGCAGTCTTGAAGATGCTGGAGATGTTGAAGTGGAACCCGTCACAATGAACCATGCACCCAGTAACCAGCATGGGAACGCAACAAGAGAGTACATCCCGATTCCTGAAGATGACAACGTCAGTTCGTTTGACAGTGATCCTAGCTACTGGGCGGGGACAACACCCCCACGCAATCACCGAGAAGAGAAGCGGCAGCACCTGCGATCCCGCCAGGCGCCAAAGCCTCCACGACTGGTCATCCCCAGACGAGAGTCGCGAGACAGCGTCCCAAAGACTTTCAACACGGGACCCCGTAGGAGTCTGGTGAAGATGGACAAAGTGGAAGAACGAGAGGCGTTTGTCGATCCGGTGCTGGGAAGCACAGCCATGCAGCAGAAACGGAAGAGTATTACAATCGAACGTAACCAGCAACGAGAGTACAAGCATAGTGCTATCACCTTTGAGGGCACTGAGGTTCCCAACGTTGCTGTACCTCTGAACACATTCCTGGATCCTCTACCATCCCCAGTTGTGAAAGTAGATTCTAATATTTTCTTCCGCAGCCTGAACACACAAAGTGAGTCAAAGGTGAGTCAAAGTCCCCCACCCTCTCCGAAGAGATCAAAGTCCAAGAAACACTCCATTGGAAAGTCCTACTGCTCGGAAGATCGCATCTCATTCCACAAGATTTTCTCCGAGATGATTCGCATCGGCAGCGCCAAGAAAGAAGGGAGCATGGATGGCAAGAATTTTGTGGGATGGCAGGAGAATTCACATCATAATGACACAGTTCCCATGGCCTGGAACCAACTCTTGTGGTTAGAGTTGAAGGCGTCTCAGAATGGTTTAACAATGCTGCAGGAGGACCAGAGGCTTGTGGAGGCTCGGGAGATGATTTCCAGCATCCTCCAGGCAATTCTCATTTTCAAGTTCATTGCCTCGCCCTCAAAGAGCAGAGGTCCAACAAAATGTACCCTGAAACGTTACCCAAGAACTCGCATGCTGTCATCCACCACTGGCCTGGAGAACACGAATCAAGGTGACACGGGATCAGACTCGGACCGAAGTGTCCAGAGCCAAGATGAGCCGCTCAAGACCTGTAATGCCTGCAGCACACCTTTCATTAATCGCCGTGGTAGTGTGGACAGTATCGGCATGTGCATGCCACTCAGTGCCGCATTAACAAATTACATCCAGAGCACACGGCAGGCCTGGAAGCAGGTCACAAGTATCATGGAGCAGTTGGAAGAAGCCCGACAATTATACCCAACACTAAGGGCGCTTCAGAACGATTACCCACTCTACAGAATGGTGGGATTCAGTAAGCGCATTGAGACACTTTGCTTGTGGTTGAACATCACCAGCGATCTCAACCACAAGCTAGAGCAGGCTGCCTTAATGCTGGGAGTCATTGACATCGAAGGTGTTTTTTGGCCCTTTATACTCGAAGAAGAGCCAGATGAGGAACAAGTCACTCTAAATGAAATACATACCACCCAGAAGGCGGAAGCTGGTGTCATCAAACCACATGCAAGACGGTTATTCGACGTCAAGGAAGCTTCCAGCTCTATTGACTCAACAGACACGGAAGACACCACAATTGAAAAGGAGGTCGAATCTCCACCACCACTAGAAATAAACGACAAAGATGTACAGGTACCCAAAAAGAGAACTCGATCAGTGACCTTTGACATCCAAGACTCGGACAGCAATGATGTTGACGATGATGCTGACGATGAACGCGAAGCCTCACCAAGAATCTACTCTGAACACAGCACGCCAACAGGCAAATCACCCGTGACGGATGAATCACCTCGACTTGGTCGCATCTTCAGCCAGTGCCATTTCAGCTTTGACTACAACTCAGCCACGTCCATGTACCGGCCGTTTGTTGACCGGAGCCTGAAGCACAGCGGCCTGAGACGGATGACCGACATGCTGTACATCCTTCTCGGCAAGACGCTGCAGAGAACCAAACAGGTTCTTCAGAAGCCCACATTCGTGGAGGGTACCTTTACACCCAGGCGGAAGCACAGACCAAGCAGTGTAAGAAAGTTCTAAAAATTTAGCTTGGTTCTTAGACAAACGACCACCCAATTCTCTTCAATTGATTCAGAATGGCTATTCACTGGCAGTCTTTTCATTCATCTGGTCTTCACAATGGGCCGGATTGGGCCCATTCATTAGCGTTTTGAATCTGCCAAAATCCACCAATTTTGTCATGCAAAAAATGTTGGTGTCCTGAGTCCATCAGAATCCACCAGTGAATCCATCAGAATCCACCAGTTTAGTACATATATCTCGTACACACCAAACATATAGCCCAAGTAGTTGAGATCCTGAATCCATCAAAGTTCCCCAACTGCTCAATATGGAGGTATCCTGAATCCATCAAAATCCTGCAGTACCCCTAGGCTTACTGTCCTGAATCCATCAAAATCCCTCAACTTTTTCGATATGGAGGTATCCTGAATCCGCCGAAATCCTCCAAAACAGGGGTGTGGATTTTGTTGGATTCAGGTACGTTGGGGTTAAAATGAGAGAAAACAGGTAACCATATGATTAATGATCAGAATACTTTTGAAGCATTTCTAGAATTTATAACCAACTTTGTAATCAACAAGTTCATCAACTGGGAATTGTTTTCTCTCATAAGGTTGATTTTGATTCGGTCTCTGGCCATCCACTCCCGTTCACCAGCCCCATAACGGAGGAGGCAGCCCAAATAGGACAGCAACAGTACGATATCCTGTCAACGCACGGAGCCTGGAGCGAGGCCTTCATAGCCATGGGGTTACCTTCATTCACGTGAGTACAAGCCCTCTGGCACTATTTACGCCCTCTGGCAAGTATTTACACGTAAACCCCGCAAAAAAGGAAGTCCACGCTCATTGGAGGGGTTATAACTTCTAATCGTCGTACGATAACGTCATTTACATAGACCTTTGAGGATGTTGTTAGCTATATTTTGATACCCCGTTTGCTACCAAAGACTGTAAATCATCCAACATTGACAATGGTTTATGAAAAATGATGCAGTTTGAAAAGTTGCACATTTAAAGAGTACGCAGGTGGAATTTGCTGCGTGATTATGGTGCACTGCCCGAAGCGAACATGCACTGCCCGAATCGAACGGCAGGGAATATCGATTACACGGTGCTTGTATGCATGGGAGCACACTCAATCGAATTACCCGCGCTTTGTTCGGGAACTGTGTTTTTGATAGGGGCTGATTACGGACATGTGTGTTTGTGCTTAGCAATTTCTCCTCGCATAATCGACTTTTCAAACTGCATCATTTTTCATAAACCGTTGTCAATGTTGGACGATTTACAGTGGAATCTGATGAAATCTGGTTGTGTAAAATTAAGTTGGCTTCAAAATAATGGTCTTTTTATTGACAGATTCTATTATTCTATGATTTACTAGTGGTGGGAGAAATCAGAGATTTCAAAATTCGGTTATCCTAATTTGTTTTAAACAGACTAGCCGTTGTCTTTATTTTAACCGGGCGTTTCAATCCAGCTCACAAAAAGTGACGAGTGAGGTGCCACATGAAATGCCCTCCCAATGACTGGGTATAGTGTGCAGGATTCCATGACCACTGGGCCTTTACAAAACACTCCAGAGCTGTAATGTTGTAAGAAATGGATGGGCACTCTCTGATAAGTCGAATGGGCAGGCTATTCACATACCAAGAAGACCACTAGCAAGTGAATGCAGTTATGCGCCTATCAATTGTCTCTTATTATTATTTTTTAGCCCGCGTAGCAAATTGTTTTCGTTAGCCCGTGTCACAAAAAATGGAAGGTTTCCAAAATAACATAGTAATAATAAGGAAGTCTTAGGCCTATATAGTGCACGTATCTACCAACAATTAGTACTCAAGGCGCTGGAAATTATGTTGATTATTAGAGACGGGTAAATGAAGTACATGTACATGAGAAATATGAGACCCATTATGTAGCACCTTTAGAAGGGTTTACAAGGTGCTGCGGCGCATTAAACATTAATTGAAACTGAATGGTGGAATTCAAACCGAATGTTACAAAATCCAGATTTAAATCCCACCACTTGTATACCTCATATTTATGATTGAAGTAAAGTATGCGTAGCAACACTTTCCACTTGCTTTGTAAGCTTTCTGTAGAAAAAGGTGATAAATATCCAATCATGTACAGTGGAGGTATTTCAAGGGCGCCTTTTGCCCTAGTACTCCGGAACAACTCGTGATAGTATATCCTGGACCTATATGTACAACCTTGCAGTCAATGCTGGGCCAGGAAATGTCAAAAAGGAAGTCAAATGTTCAGATGGTTTAACAATTTTTTTGTGTAAACACTGAATATGTACATGTGAAAGAGTGCAAAACAGTATTTGTAATATCAACCCACTATAGTGCCTCTACCGTCCCAAACCGCCCTGCCTGTCACTCACTGTAACGCCTGAAATCACCCAAGCGTTGTATGGATTAATCAGTGAATTAACATAATGTAATTTAAATGTTATACAGGTGGTAATAGGTTCATAACCCTCACCCTCTTTTAATCCTTCAAAATCAAAATTTTGGAGAATTTTTGAGGATTTTGGAGGATTGGATGCCAAAAAGTGTCAGTTGATTTTGGAGGATACATTGTGTCAAGGTCTTAGGCTGTGCCCTACAGGTGCATCGTTTACGTGTATGTTCAGCCATGCCTAATTGAGCCCTACATTATACTGAATTAATAGCAACCGCACCAATGCTGGATATCATTGGCACTGCCTCAACATATTAACAGTGATTGTTGGAGGGTTGTGAAGGATTGAGGAGGATTTTGAGGGATTGAGGAGGATTTTGAAGGATTGAGGCAGTGGTCATCCCACCAAATTCAAGAAACAACAGATGATTTTTGAGGATTGAGGCTGAAATTATCCAAATTGATCACATACGGTTGCAGTTGGAGGAATTTAGAGATTATAGAGCATGGATCCTAGCCAAAAGGGCCTACATGTAGGTGGTTAGAGCTGAAGGAATACGTATTTGAACAGATTTTGACAAGAATAGGTCGCTCTCAAAGACAGCCAACTCTGTAGGAGAACTGCAATTGCGTATTTCACACAATCAAGCACAATTTGTGCAGTGTTGAAAATGTTCCAAACACACACGCTAGTCGCTCAAAATGTGTTTGAAATATGACGCAGCCGATGCGCGTTATGCAAGTTGACGCTCAAAATTAAATGCCGATGCACGTGGCTGGTCTGTAGGAAATGATGTCATTTGAGAGAGACCTATAGGGCAGATTTTAATTTCATAAAACAATTTTTTTTTCTCAACTAAATAGGCCTGTATTTGCTGGTAACCAACCAAAATTGTATTCAATGTACAATGCGACTGGTTCTCAGCATTTTTTTTTATTGATCAACTGAATTCGTTAAGCAATATATATTACATACTGTCCAATGAAACCGGCATCTATCACAATCCACAGTGCTTGATACATCTCTGCAGAGCTATATTTTTGCAATGAAATCAGGATACAAGTTTATTAAACTTAATTATACTTTGGCATTTTTTCTGGACAGACTGTTTCGTATGTATAAATCTTAAAAAATGTTAACTGTTAGTAGGGTGTGGTGCTTCTTTTTTTTTTTTTTAACCTGGAGTGCATGGCACCAAACCTGTCAAAAACGTATCTCGTCTTTGAACAATGTGGTTATTAAGTACTGGGCTATAAGAAAGACTTACGATAAAAAATATTGTACAAATTTAAAGAAAAAGGTATACAAATGCAGCAGCGCCAGCAATGAGAACCTACCGGTACCAGCAAAATTAACATTTAGAGTTTATCATGTACACATGCATAACACTGCATATCATTGAAAAAAAGATAAAAGACTCATATTTTTATCATTTACAATATTAGTTTTGGAGATAATATAAAATTACGGTAGTCAGGTTGGCGCCAGTTGTAATTTTCTTGCCTGTGACCTTTAGTGAGTCCAAGGTGAAATCCCAGCACGTGCAAAGATTGAAATGTCCGTCAAATTTTATGTCTGTCTGGATTTTCAAAACTGATTCTAGTGCTTGAAAGGGAATATACAACATTTGCTTTCGCTGTAATTTTCAGAAATGGATGGATTTGGGGGGTTAGTATTTTACAGCAAATATTGCTACGCTGACTTCATTGAAGTTTTAGATTCATAGATGCTGGAAAAACCAAGAAAAACAATCATGTTCTTGTAGTCTGGTTCCCTGACCCCACTGAAGATGAAAAGGAGTCATTTATAGACGTCGGGGAATTGTAAGGTCAAGGAACCAGTCTAGCTGGCTTGTAGCTTGTACCCGTTCATAGGTGTGTAATCGATTTAAAAACAAAATGCAGACTAACTAAATATGATAAATTGGAAGCAGTATTTGAAAAAAAGCCAGTTTTTTTTCCAACGCTGGTCAGCCGACCAGCATTGGAAATTGATAAAAAAATACTAAATAATGAAAGGTTTGCGGAAACACCATGTGCGAATAATTTCTCAACTAAGAGAATGGTTCTGAGAAGAACCAGAGGTATAAACTCGATGTTCCAGTCAGTACGCTCTGACCGTCTTCAGGAGAGTTTATACCTCTGGTTCTTCTCAGAACCATTCTCTTAGTTGAGAAATTATTCGCACGTGGTGTTTCCGCAAACCTTTCATTATTTAGTATCTCCACCATGCAAAGCCTCAAATCTTACTTAAAAAAATACTACTTTTCTTAAAAATGTCAGCGCACCAGGTGCCATGATTTTACAGGATGCTTTAGGCTTTCATTCACTAACAGTCCAGTAAGGTATTTCGTGATAATGTGTTAGTTTTGTTTATTGATGTTTGCAAATATTGTACATATTCCCTTTAAATGCAGGAAATGTTCCACTAAGTTTGTATAGTAATGACGAAGACTAGACAAGCCTAGTACAGCTAGTCCAAGAGTGCACACAATTCCATTCAATTGATTCAGAATGGCTATTCACTGGAAGTCTTTTAATGCATCTGGTATACACAATGGGCAGGGTTTAGCCCATTCATTGGCTTATTAAACGTTCTATGCAAAACATTCTGTGCCAATTTGTCCTTTCAGTCAAAACCAATCAAGTGATTGTTTAAAAGAGCTCACTGCCTATGTAAAGCACGATTGACTGGCTGTGACTGAACTGGATACAGCTATGCTTTGACTGTAGGTGATTGATAAAGACTGTTGGCGGAATTTGACTAGTCAGAGTGCTTAGTTGAAATATGATCTGATTGTTGGTGACTAGCCTGTGTAGAAGGCATGGCAGGGGAAGTGGATGGAAATTTTGACTCTCTGTGACTGTTCAAACAGCAGGAGGGTTAATCTCGCAGACTCACTGTCATCAAGTCAGTCAGTGAGATATGTGTAGGCACAATTTATATAAAGTCTATGTACATGTATCCGTATATTGTAGGAACATACATGTATTTTGTCTGCATTCATGCTTAATTCCATGTACCTCATTATAACAATCTCTTTCCTTTTTGATTCCTGTATTTCCCAGGCCTGCCTATTTGTTTCTGTTGAGAATCCCCCTGGATGTAATGCATGAGTGTCTACGTTTCCGATTGGAACACAAACCAGCAGTGGATCCCTCAGCTCATAGCATTCAGCAGGTATAGATTGAGGGAAAAACCCATTGTAAAATGTGGTGTAGTCTAAATAAAAGTACAATGGATAGTTTCCTTTTTTGCACATTCTTCGGACCGAAAGCAACAACATTGCTCAAAATGTTAAGAAGGCTGGATAAGGCACAAAAAAAAAAGTCTCCCATTTCTGGTATGCGTGCGCGTCGCTGTAGCCATGCGCATTGGCAAAATGAAAAAAAAAAATTTCAATGAAAGATGATGTCTCAAAACTGCCTAACTCACTGGTTTGACTGGAATCCTGCTGCTGCACAATTTTAACGTGTTTTTAGATGGGGTTTCGATCGAGAATAAGCTTTATGTGGCCTCTCTGGACCTTCACATATTTGCACTAAGTTTAGTTGGGCACCATTTGCAGTAATCAGCCAACATTTGAAGAAAAAAAATGCATCGCCACACCACTTTGGGCAAGCTCCCTACCAGAAACCGGAGACTTTTTTTTTTTTTTTTTTGGCTTAACAACTAACCTGTTGAAATTTAAGCTTGTGGATATTATACATTCTGAGAAATCAGAAAAAAAAACCTATGCATAATTTTTTTTAACTTGTGAAGTTTCCATCACATGTATTGAACCAGGCCCTCTCATGATACATTTCCTAAAGTAGCAATTGGGACATGATTCTCATTCAGGCAGTAAGGATTCTGGCGATTATTGGCATGGATCTCTATTTAACAATTGTTGACTGCTGTGATGTGGGATATGACGTTTTTAACACCCGAGGGGCGTTATCCCACATCACTGCAGTCAACAATTGTTTTGTTATATTGTGCCAATAACTCAAAAAGATAAGTGGTTGTAACTTACTGTGTGAGAAACTAATCAAATCACCGCAATGCAACCTTTGATAACTGAAGGTTTTGATGTCCTGCCGGACATGAGACTGAGCATTTGACGTTAAAGTTCTCATTGTGCAAAGCTAGTGCGCCGGCAGATTCAACATGTGCGCGCAACTTTCGCAATGCACGCAGTTCAATATCATCCTTAGTGTGGGACATGCATTTTTATTGTCCGGACATGTGGCCGTTCTAGACCGATGAAATTACAGTATCCAAGCACACGATATAACAATACTGATTTCCATACACTTGCCTACTTTGTGGGGTAGACCTGAGCCCATATATGGATTTAACATGTATCCGGGGATGCCTTGATTATTAAAACCACCTTCAATGCTAGTTTCCTTCCAAACGATACCATTTCAGGCAGAATAATTTCACAGAATATTTGATACCTGTCCTATTCTCACTTTGAGCAAGGTTTTTCTATCATTAAATTGGTAGGTACTTTTCCGGGTAATCGCAAATGATCCTACGTTGTTTTAACTCATCTCAGTTCAAGTATGCAAAGATGTATTCAAAATCACAAAACCTGCAGTTTTCAGTGCTAACATATATTTGTTTTTCCCCCTTAATTTTGCAGCTCATTTATGAGTGCAAGGAGGTTATTCGTTCGTCAGTACATATGAAGCAGTATTACCAGAGTATGGCTAGCGCTGTCATGCCGGACGACACCAAGGCCCAAGAACACGCCGAGAGCGACATTGAAGAGTATGAGAACGATCTTCAAGAAATGCTCAGGGTAAGTGATGAAGATTTTCTCCGATGACTTCAAGATTTCAAAATTGGCGGCCATCTTGGAGGGCATCATTTGTTGTTTAAATTCATTAGCAATGAGTGCACAAAAGGTTCACTCATACATATCCCACAAAAACAAAGGCATTGCCCTGTACAAGGGCTGCTATGCATAAGATCTATTATATGTGATATTGTCAGAAAAAAAGTCTTCCCAGCCGCTGGTTGAAAATTGTTTTTTTTTTACCCTAACCCCTTGGGCTCTTTTACCAGAAAGTATCCTGAATCTGCCAAAATCCATCAATTTTGCCATGCAAAAAAATGTTGGTGGCCAGTGAGTCCATCAGAATCCACCAGTTAGGCGGGAGTAAATCTGTTGAGATCCTGAATCCGCCAAAGTCCCCCAACAGCTCAATATAGAGGTATCCTGAATCCTGCAGTTCCGCTAGGCTTACAATCCTGAATCCATCAAAATCCCCCAGTTTGTGCAGTAATGGAGGTATCCTGAATCCGCCGAAATCCCCTGAAACAGGGGTGTGGATTTTGATGGATTCAGGTACGTTAGGGTTAAAAATATTGTTAAAAATAATGACTGTTTGATTTTTGAAAATGGATGTCCTTGGCAAAATTATGTTCATTTCAATTTTATTAATTTTTTTTTTAGAGTGGCCTAATATTTTAGCCTTAGCAAGGACTACTTCAGTTTGTAGCAGTTTTATTGATTTTCAATTTTCCAAAAAGTTAGATGGCCATTTCAGCCATGACTTTTTTTTCCCCTTCGAGAAAGATTCGCCAGGGTTGAAATATCTCTCTAACGTTTTTGATTTCATTTTTGTATATTTCAGGTCAATTCAGTCAGTGAGCAGTTTGCGGCAGTCTTATTAATTTTTTTCATTTTCCATTTGAACGACTCTGTTTTAACAAGACATATTTAGGATCACAAATTTCCAAAGAAAAACCTGAAAGTGTTACCCCTAGATAGTTTTTTAGCCATATCAACATCTGCCAAGAAGCATATTTTTTACAGAACTCAACAAATATTTCATCGTTTATTGCAGTCCTACTTTGAGTACCTGCACAGTTGGATCCAGATGCTGCAGCGGCTACCACAAGCCTCCATCAGCCTCAAGAACATCCTGGATGACGAGTGGGACTTCACTAAGGAGATCTGCCCACATGTCAGGGGAGGAGAGGCACAGGCTGGCAAGAGATTCTGGTCAGTTCTAAAATTTCCCAAAGATTGGCCTTCATTTCTCGTAAAAGTAGATCCAATATCGGGTTCTGCCCTTCACCGATACATTTTCTAAACACTGTATACTCAGTGTTGTGCTGAGTGATTGTTAGAAAAAAATTCACAAACTACTCGGGTGGGACTCGAACCCACGACCTCCTGCTTACTAGTGCAGACGTCTGACTTCTCGACCACTGAGCTTGCTTGGTCGGCTGGCTGGTTTGAATTTAAAAACACTGAGTGTTTTATGAAACAACTGCAAAGGACAAAACACAATATTGAATGTGTATCTCCCCCAAATTTTATCAAATAAATAGTGAAATATACAAGCAGACTTTGCCTTGTCGTTGAGCCCAGTTGCCGGAAAATCATAAGTCAATTCATAAAGTCCAATCGCAGGTAACAAGGCGTGACAAGTTCATTGGAATAGCTTGACTTGGGACTTGATGACTTTGTTACTGAATTGTAGTGGACTTGACCACAACTCTCCAAGATTTTATGCGCTAGGGGTTCAGCCTGTAAGATGTTCTGTGTGTCCTTGGGCAAGACACTTTACCACAATTTGCTTCTCTAAATTGCTAAACCTTGAGGGTAGAAATGCTTGCTATACTTGAACGCAAGTTATAGCTTCTCAAGCAACTTTGAAGGACGTAATCATAACTTGAAACAAAGAATTTAGTTTGTGTTGTTTCCTTTCGTTTTTTTTCTCGCAGCATTATGGCCAAGAACGTACTTTTATCCATTGGGGATTATCTGGACGATGGAGTGACTGACGTGAGCTCTAGCCATCAGGATAGCCAATCACATGGAGATACAATGAAGTAAGCAATCGACAGCTTCAAATCATTACCTCTTAAACTCCCAGACCCTTCAAAATCCACCGGGGCCAATTCTGCTTAGCACATCAATTTGCTTAGCAGAGATATTGTGTGCTAAGTACAAATTGGTTACCAGCCAAACCGTCATAGAATGTACATTGCTTGTGGCTGCTACCCAACCGTTTCATGCTGAACACATAAATCTGCTAAGCATATTTCTTGCTTAGCCTCTCCATGCAATTGGAGATTTGGAGGGTTTTGTAGGATTGAGGAAAGTGCAAGTCTCCCCAGTCCACGTTCACTTTTTATGTGAATGTCTTGGTACCAAACACTGACTAGTCTAGTCCCAGACTCCCGTGTTTAAATTTACCCCATTGTTATCTGTGTGCTCAATTAAACAGAAGTTGATGTCAACAATTTCAATTTTATAATAGTCATCAATTCGCAATATTCTTAATATGTTGTAAATTGTAACGCTTTCTTTTGTTTGGAAATGCTCATGTATTGCCTTTGATTGGATGGGCCCAATCAGAACACAAAATCAATGCCAAAAATAGGATGTTACACACGTTATAGATCCTATACATGGTGCCCGGATGTGTGGTATTCTCATAAAATTTCACAGGTTTTTTTAGGTTAACTTGTACGCTCCATTTGTCAAAAACAATTCTTTATAAAGAAATTTTGTTTTGGATTTTCAGGCGAATAATCATCAACTCCTGCAAGCGCTTCAAGTTGATGTTTCACGAAGTTCGGGAGAGAGCGTCTAAGGCTCTGGGGTTTGCCAAGATGCTGAGAAAGGTAAGCGTGACATCTTCAAGTCGTCATAAAATGAACATTTCAGAATTGGATAGGTTTAGCAATTGGCATGTTTTGCCAGTCACAATTAGTGTAAAGTTTTGTTTCTGGTATGACATGCTTTCGCTGTTTTTTTCACAGGATTTGGAAATTGCCGCCGAGTTCCAAAGGACAGTCCCCACAAAGGATCTGCTACGAGTTCTCAAAACTTCAGACCATATCAAGGTGGGTAAAGGGATGACTGGGATCTAAAACTGCTTTAACTGTGGGATGCTGCAGTCCAATGGTTACAGTGTTCGACTCTTGTGCCGTGGTACATGCATGACATGGGTTCGAATTCTGACTGTGGGAATATGGTGCTTGTGCTCTTGAGCAAGGCACTTTACCATTATTGCTTCGTCCTTCGGATGAGAAGTAAAGCCGTAGGTCCTGTATGTTTGTGTAATGCATGTTAAAGAACCCAGTAACACTTATCGCTAAGAGAAGGGGTTTGCCCGGTGTTTCTGGCCGTGGCTGCAATATGCACTGCAGCACCTTGTTAACCATAAAGGTGCTGCATAATGGGTCTCATATTTCTCAACAACTTCATATACCTGTCTTTAAATATAGACATAATTTCCAGCGCCTTGAGTACCTAATTGTTCGTAGTAAATGCACTATATGAGAGTCAGGTTTTAATTAATTTTCTGTGGTCTCTGTTAGAACTCTGTGAATTAATATCTGTGAATTGCATAACCATGATATTGAACTTGAAAAGAAATTGGTAAAAAAAAAAATACAAGATGTCAGTCTCCTAATGACAGGCAGAGCATACTGTGAGCAATTTTGAGTTTCCACCTGTTGTCTTCAGAACCACACAGACTCCCAATTTACTCACACAGTGCACCTGCAAACTTACTCTTAGTGGCTCTGTGCGCAAACAGAGAGGGCGCTTCTTTTCACCACTCTCTAGAGCCCAGTGGACATGATACAATGTGTAAAGCCAATTACAGACTTAAATATGTATATGCAAACCGTCAAATCTTTTTAAAAGTTTTACATCTCTGATTTAAGTACTGGGTGAGTAAAAAAAAAAGGAAACCCAAATGTCGGGACTATTCTTTTAGTGAAGTTCTGCATGTATCACTTTCAAAATCTAGGATATGAAAGCCCAATTCATAAGCTCTCTTTTAGTACAAGAATCATTCAAATAACTCATGTACTTTTAAAGTTCTGTCCTCGGATCACAAAGAAGGTGTGCGTTCTTGCAGCAAAACGAAAACAATTCACACACATCCCTTGTGATTTGTTTTCGTTTTGCTGAAAGAACACTTATCCGTTGACAGAACTTTAAAACGGTGGTTGTGTTTAAAATTCCTTAACTTGAAAAGTACATGACTGATTTGAATGATTCTTGTACTAAAAGAAAGCTTATGAATTGGGCTTTCACATCCTAGATTTTGAAATTGCTACATGCAGAACTTCACTGAAACAGTGATCCCGACATTTGGGGATTATTTTTCTGTACTCACCCTGTATGAAACTTGTCAATCTTTGTTGTCTTTTCATGCACATCTATGCCATCTCTTGGTTGGCAATTCCATTGAAAACCAATACTAGGCATGCCTACTTCAGCTGGCCCTGAAAGTCTCGGTTGTGGACATTATTTATACTCAAGTGACTCAGTCAGTCAGTCAGTCAATTGGGGAGTAAGTCAGTCAGTCAGAGAGAGGGCAGTTTCAAACAAAAGAATAACAAAGAATCTTTTTCTTATATCAGGTTAAAATGGGAGCAGACATCCCCGGCCATCTGATGTTCGTCCCCAAGCATCTCAAGGATGACATCCTGCAGATCTTACAGCTCCTGGATGACCTGTGCGGCCGTGAGGACATGCCTCTCATCCCTAACGATCCTTCCTCCATGGACAGCGTCGGGTACTTGCTCCTCGTCCGATGCAGTGATGGAGGGGAGGATGGTGGTCTACCGGAATGGAAAGAGCCGTGTGTCCATGTCACACCGGACGTGGAAACCACGATAGCTTTATCTGACATACAGGTATGGGTGTACTTGTTCTACATAACTTCTGAGGAGATGTGTTACAGTCACGCAAACGTGTTTGCATTCCTTAGCCAGGCCCTGCAAATGTACCAACCCCAAATGTAACAATAATGCCATACAGGGTGCAAGTTGACCTCAAAATCCTGCAAGATGTTCCAGAATACAGCTCATCCGCACAACATGTGTGACGCTGTGTTTGTTGCTAACTGGGCCCATCCAATCAAGGGCAATAAATGGATGTTTTTGAAAGAATAGGAAGCATTACAATTTACAACATATTGAAAATATTGCAAACTGATGGCTATTGTGAAATTAGAATGGTTGACCTCAACTTCTGTTCAGTCGATCAGGCAGAGAACAATTGGATATATTCAGAGGTGGGAATCAGTGACGAGACTGACATTTTTGGTACCAAGACGTTCACAGAAAAAGTGAACGTGGACTGGTGACACTTAGACGCTCTATAGAAAGGTATTTTCAAAAAGACGATGCCCTGTTTGCCAATTGACCTTCGCCGTTTGTAAGTTAACCACGCCCCTTAGACAATCCTATGGAGTTTTGTACACTAAGTTTTGTTTGTCTCAGATTTTGCACGTTCCGCATCCATTTGTTTATCGTGTAACTGGACAATATTTCACAAGCTGCATTGACGCGATTTTCACGCGATTCTACCGCGATAGGCCAATCCTACAAATGTCACTGTTTGGATAGCAGCTTTTAGAATACTAAAAAAATAATGTATTGTTACTGGAACTGAAATGATACTTGCATTTTTGCGAGTATCTTGTATTTTTTTCTTCAAGTAAAGCTGCTTTGTTCTCAAAAGATTTGTTTTCTCCCTGCTTGAAAGTATAGGATGCTATCTAAGTCATACGATTTTTGTAATTATTTTAAAATCTTCAGTTTTACAACAAGTACAAACAGAAGTGTTGTAAAGTAGTCTCAAAAATTTAACTGACTTTTTCCGTTGAGTATTGACATTCACTGACACAGTTCATCTGCATAATAATAAAAAACCTGAGATAATAATGCAGGGTGAGATATGTCAAGGTTTTTTTTTCCTGATTTTAGAATTTTGTTTTAACCCTTTGAAATATGGAATTTTTGGGATTTTACAATAAAGGTCAATTTTCCATTAATAGGGTATATAAAAACAAAAGTAATGGGTATTTTACGAGAGAGTTATCAGTATTAATTAGTCAAGCAGTTGCTAATGAAAAATTTCCCCGGAACATGTCGGTATCAGATGCAGAGCGTCTTTCGGACAAAGTGAATGATTATATCCGCAACTTATCCAGAACTTGTGCCGGATGTCATTCTAGAGTTTTGATGTGTCTTCTTTTTTGTCTTTAGGTGAAGAGCTTACTTCTTGTCGTCAACCATTCCTCCCAACTTCACGGCCAGCGGAAGGCATTTGAGCGAGCCGTGGGCAAGGCTGTGACACTGACAAGTGATCAGACGTCAAGTCATAACACCATCGCAGAGGCACTGGATGAATTAAAGGTACAACCTACTTCAAGTCACGTCTCAAAAGTTTAATTCAAAGTTATGTTTAGGCTAAGGAGCCACTATTTTTTTAAAGTTATTTACTCTGTGACATTAATTGTCAGATTCAGAATGGCTTGAAGGCTGGCTCATTTCTACTTCCTTGCATAGTTTCCTCTTTTTCTTTTATTTTCAAATAACTACATAGGGAAAATGACTTGGTGCATTTAATCATCTGAAAGTGAACAAAGACATTGACTGGAAAGGGGTTTGAAACTGCGACCGTTTGATTGCTGTACCAGTGCTCTACCAACTGAGCTATACAGCCCTATGTTGGCGGTTCCTCAGGTTGTCAATGTCTTTGTTCAAGGGGCGCTAGTCAGAAACCATAAACCTGTGTATGCCATGTATTAAGGGATCACTACCAATTTCTTTGTTGAAGTTTCACATTCTTTTGTTTCAATTTTTAAACAGGTCAGTGTAACAATATTTACTAGAAAATACTAACCCCAAATCTATCCATTTCTGAAAATTACAGCAAAAGCAAACGTTGTATATTACCTTTAACCACCTGTTTTTTTGTTTAAATCCCATCCAGCAAGATGCCCTTGGCCTGTGCCACACCATTGTGCACAACATCAAGCAGGTGGATCAGAACCTAGACATTGATTCTGTCTTAGACATTGAGGAGACCGAGAAGATTAACATGCTGTCTTACTTCAAGGACACCATGCACCAGTGTTTCTCTGTCAGCTTTGATGTGAGTTGCTTTTAATCATTGAATAAACCCCAAGAGAATACTGACGAGGTTTGCTTTAAAACTGAATAAGTGAGACTTAAAGGACTGCAATGGAATTTTTTTATGCAGTCCTTGAAATGTATCATGTGTTCCATTTAACCTTATATTTAATCTTCACACTGCTTTGTTTTTAAGGGCGTTTCAGTGCCTTTTGGGGTTTTATGCTAATGACATTTGCATATTCATGAGCAAAACTGGGTTGTCATTCAAGGCAGAAACTTCAGTTTCACATCTACTTCAGCATAAAAAGTCACCAGAATTTTAGGGGTTTGCTGTGGTTATTTTTCTGCTCTCAGTGGTTCATTGTTGTTAAAGTGTATGACAATAAAACAATGAGAATGCGTCATATGCACTTTTTATGTTTTCACTAAGCAGAATTTTGGGTTTACAATTTGAAGAGAAAAACCCTAATCTGAAGAGTGTGTGCCTAAAGTGACATCACAGCAACAGTGCCCTCGGTTGTCAAAAATCAATCATGTTCCCCTGCCATGCCTTTATACACAGGCTAGTCACCAACAGTCAGGTCACATTTCTTGTTAACAATGTCCATCAACAGACAAAAGAACTAACTGGTAGGTACGGCTGGCTTATCAATCACCTCAGGTCAAAGCATATTCACATTGTGAATATTTCCCCTCTGTTGCCCCCCCCCCCCCCCAGTACCACAAGGAAGTGACACGCCTACTGTCAGGAGAGGCCAGACAGAAACTTGCCGAGTCGGTGCAGAACTTAGCCCAGATGTGGATGAGCTTTGTGCTGGAAAAATGTGAGAGAGGACGGGGCACTAGACCAAGGTATATTTAATTTCCTTACAATATATTTTTCCTTACAAAATTCATTATATTTTGTATGGCAGTATTTTTAACAGAAGTGTTTCCTTTCTTCCCATGTCTTTCTCGGCGTCTGTGAAATTCCACTAATACTGTAGGTGTTGGTGCAAGTGTAGTTGTGGTAATTACTTAACGGAAATTATACACTTTTGCTTAAAGTTGTTGGTTTTAATAATTTGTAAAATGATTAAACCGTTTTTAAATGTAATGTGAATTTGAACAGTCAGTATGTATGGCTCCGAATTTTCAATGGTTTTGATATTCAACGGAATATTTAAAAAAAACACTGACATCATCAGGTTTCTTGAAACTGACTTGTCATTTGAGTAGAATTTGTGTATAAAACTTGTGTTTAGAATTGCCTGTATTTAAGTTTTCTTCTGACTGTGTTGTTATTGAAACAGATGGGCCAACCACGGTATGGATTTTCTGGTAGTGGCCAGCGAACCTCGAAATGTTGCCCAGCTTTCCAATGAGGATTTTGTTGTAAGTATTCACATTCCCAATCAGTCTTGTCCACTTTTAAGAACTTACTCGAACCTCGAACCTCCCAACAACCAGAATGTATTCAATAGCACTGAAAATTGAAGAAACAAAGTACCAAAGCTTTTAAAATGCGCCGTTTTGCTGTCAGCGCGAGTTTACATATTATACATATTAATATTTATCCTGAAGAGCGCCCCCCTAGCGAATGCGGTGTCCAGCTCCCCCCCCCCCCCCCTCTGCTTTTCGAATTTCCACAGCCGGCAATTTTTGGATTTTGATCATCCCCCATATTCCCACTCGCCGACACAGATTTACGCCACTGACTCGGTGGAAAAGATTGCATTGCATCTGGCTCCATACGTCAATGTTTTTGTTACTTATTACTACATGTAATATTAATTTTATTTCTGATAATGAAACCAAGGATTCCTCAACAGCGCCCATGACACTGTAGCCCGCACATTTTGAAGAAACCTATAAAAAGAAGACAATGAAGAAATTACAGTTTTAGATATGGGAGGAAAACCCAAGAAGAAAACATTCCGGGGAGAACCCATGGAATCAGGCAGGGACTGAAAACCCAATCCACATGTGGACCAGGGCAGGAATCGAACCCGGGCCATAGAGGTGGAAGGCGAAGAAAGAACCACTACGCCAACCTGATTCTCTCACCTATTTCAAACTGTCTAAGATTTTCCTCAACAAATCTTGTATTTCTTCTCAAAGGAAATGACCCAGATGATGAACAAGTGCATCACGCACATCATTGGCACTGAAGACAAGTCGTGCTCTGGAAGTCCAGGTAAATGCTGCCATTTCAATCCCTCAAAAACCCTTGATTTGTCAGAAAATATTAAAATACAGCCTCTTCAATCAGGATAACTGCTTTGTATTGTTTTTACCTTCTCCACATAGATTTATGTTCGGCACGTAATTTTTTTATCTAATGGACTTTATATCAAGACAAGACTTTAGTTCTTGTTGTTTAAACTGTGTCCATAAATCACCTGAGAAGGTTGACCAAATTACTGTTGGTCGAAAATCCATTGTACGGGCGGTTTGAATGGTTGATAAAACACCAACTGGTTTTAAACACTTTTTTTCTGGTGTCACATGAATTTTGACTCTTACCAGGGGTGTGAAATCTCAGCTTTAAAGCTGATTTCAGCTTCTTCTTTTTTTTGGATTTCAGCTTTTTTCAGTTGTTTTTCAGCTATTTATATCAGTGGTCACTCACACCCCTGTCTTACCTCTTTGATTTTGGCCGTTTATGCACTGTTAATTGATGACCCAATGCAGCAAGGTCCCACAGACTTTTACACCTGATGCACTGCATTGCATCTGGCAGGGTTAGGTTTAATGCCAGTTCATACTTTGTGCGAATGTGAATGCGAAATGAATTTGGCATCACAAAAACATTCGGTGCGAAATTCGCCCGAGTTAAAATGTGTTCCATTTTTGTAAATTGGCAGCACGACAAACTTGCTGTGATTTAGGGGTCTGCATTTACGGGTAGTACGGAGCCAGGCACCCGATTGAAAAAAACACGCAGTACCCGGGTACCCATTAAACAACTCAACCCCAAAATTAAATCTCAAAATTTGCTGTTCGGATTGTTCACAAAGGTCCGCCTGATAATACTAATACCGGAGTCTTATATAGCACACGTATCTACCAACAATTAGGTGCCGAAATTATGTCGAAATTATGTCTATTATTAAAGACAGGTAAATGAAGTTTATGAGAAATATGAGACCCATTATGTAGCACCTTTATAAGGGTTTACAAGGTGCTGTGGTGCATAATGCAGCCACTGCCAGAAACACCAGGGCAAACCCCTCCTCTTAGCGATAAGTGTTACTGGGTTCTTTAACGTGCATTACACAACACACGGGACCTACGGCTTTACGTCCCATGCGAAGGACGAAGCAATAATGGTAAAGTGTCTTGCTCAAGAGCACAAATACCATATTCCCATGGTCAGGATTCGAACCCATGTACCACGGCACACGAGTCGAACACCGTAACCATTGGACCACAGCACCCCGCCTTGGTGCATCATTACAGCAAGATACAAGTGTGTACAGTGAGCGTTATAGCTTTACGGTTATACGGTGTAAACTTTTACGAGCCTCATAAACGTGAAATATGTTGTGATGTTTTCCCATGAAGTCTGGTTTTCATTTTGAAAATTTTCCCCAAATGACAGTCAAAACCTTTCTTTTCATTGTCTGAGAAGTTACTAAGTAATTTGTAAAGTTGGTACCCGATCCCATAATCTGAAACCAGTTCCTGATGTCAACCGTCGGATACTCGAGTACCTGGTTCCGATGCACAGCCCTAGCTGTGATGTGACAAATTTGGCATTTAGGCCATCAGCCTTGGGGTTTGGTCAGTATCAAATCAGGGCATAAATGATTATAGTGCGCATGCGCAAGGTATACCGCCCCTAGAGTGGTAACAAGCATTTTGATGGACATTTTGAAAAAAAAGGTGATAACACCCAAAAAGCTGCCACCGCTGCAATGCTATCACATATTTTCCAACTCTGGAGGTGTATACCTTGCCAAAAATCGCAATGACGATTATTCCCCTCATTTGATACCGGTGGCCAAAATTTTGAACCGAGGCTGATGGCCTAATTTACTTTCCCAAAACATTTAAATTCCCCATTTTGGGTTGTATTTCTTTCAATGTAGCCTTAACTGTGACAAGTCCTACAGACGGCAGTACATTGAAACTAACCCGAGCATGGTCCAAGTCTTCTAGATCCACCTCAGACTCCACCCCTTCCCCTCACATGCCGTCCCCGATACACTTCAGTGAGCTCCAACGAACCAATAGCATCGAGAGGTTCCAGTCACTCATGCCCGTGGACCAAAGCAGCCCCACTGAAGATATGTCTGGTATGTTTAAGAATGTGTATATACTGACTGGCAATATATTTATGTATGGACTGGCAATACTTTTATATTGACCGGTTGTATTATATTGACTGACATTTTGCATTGAGAGGTTCCAGTCACTCATGCCTGTGGACCAAAGCAGCCCCACTGAAGATACGTCTGGTATGTTTAAGAATGTGTATGTACTGACTGGCAATATATTTATATATTGACTGGCAATACCTTTATATTGACCGGTTGTATTATATTGACTGACATTTTGTAATATTGATCATCAATTCAGCTGATCAATAAACAATATTGCCAGCCAATATTTGTATGTCCCTAGAAATGCAAAGCCATGTACTAGTGCCCTGAGTGTCGGTAATATACTTATATATTGACTGGCTATATTTATATATTTATTGGCAATATTTTTGTATTGACTGATATTTTTGTAATATTAAGTTGATGTATCGTTATGATATTGAATGAAATGTTCAATGCATTGACTGGCTGAATTTCAAAACAGGGTTGTGGATTTGATGGATTCGGGTACGTTAGAGTTAGACAAAAAGTACATTGCATGGGCCCTGAAACAATCCATGTGACACAGAATGGCTTACGGGAGTGAAGTCACTCCCACAAAGATAAAACCTTATCAAGAGTTTCTTTGTCTTTTCTTCAACAGAGCCCTCGTACCCCAAGCGCCCCACCACCAGCCCCTTATCCCCACCCCAATCCTCCCTGACCCGCATGTTCCGCAGCATCTCCAAGGACAGCGCCGAGTCCTTGTCCAAGATGGATCGGTGGCAGCGCATCCGCAGCAAGCTGCAGCAGCTCGACGAGCAGCGCAACAAGAAGCTGCAAGACCTGCAGATGATTGGCATGGTCAGCGACCGGCACAGCCACAACGAGGTGGTCAATATCAACTGCAAGAAGGTCACCTTCAGATGGCAGCGAGGCCGCAAGATCGGTGAGTTGCTCTGAAAACATTCAGTCCCTGAACGCTAACCCTCCAGGGTATTTTTGCTAGCAAGCCTGCTAACCGCAGGAACATGCAACACTTGTCAAAGTGACAAGCCTGCTCGGTATAGCAAGATCCATTAGGTCAAAAGTCTCAAGGTCAAACTGCCTCAGAGTCTGTGGTCCCCGAATGCAGCAGGATACAACTGAGGCATTATTCAATGGGACTAGCTCTTATTGTCTCAGAAGTAGCAAGTTTATGCACTGGTGTTGATTGCTAAATGCATCAAAGTGCACCAGACTTTTACACCAGAGCACTGTGTTGCGTCTGGTATGGTTAGGGAACATCTCAAAAATTGGAACACTCCACCGGGAAATATCGCCAGTTCCAATCTGGAATGGGCGTTGTTCCCACTGGGAATAGCCCGGGAACTCCACATGTTTTTACGTGGGAAACAGCCTGTTGCACTTGGGAAAACACTGGAAATACTCCCGATAGAAGCACACACTGTTCCTATTGGAACGTTCCATACGGAACGGGAATGCTCCGTCTTTTGAGACGCTCCCTTAGGTTTATGGTTTTCAATATCGACTCCATGCATGAACAGTAGATGCCGCTTTGTGACTACTTTCAAGAACTCCACTGAGAGTGACACATCCTGTGAGCACACTGGCTCCTGAGCATATTGCATGAAGAACACACGACTCATTTCATTGTAAGCGTTCACAAACTTGTGGTGTCTTCACATGAGCGTAAGACGCCGTCAGCGGTGCATTCCAGAAGTTCACTCACCAGTCTAGCCATCTGTAGCCACGATTTCATATTGGGTTATGATTAAACAAAGTAATCAACTGGAGTTGTGTTTGAACCCGTGACCCCTGGAAAACAGGACCGGTGTTCTACCAACTAAGCCCTGTGAGGGCAATTTCTCGACCTGTCATTGTTATCGTTATGTTTCAAGAATTTTGCCTGGTTGAAAAAGCTACTGAGACTTGAGCCCCATTTATTAAACTTCCCACACTTGATGTTTAACTTCTCCAAAAAGCAATTTATATGTTATATTTGTTAATCTGTTTTCAGGTGAAGGTCAGTGCGGTACAACCGTGTACTCATGTATCAACATGGACAGCGGAGAGACGCTAGCTATGAAAGAGGTAATCACTAAGTTCTCCACACTAAAGTATCAATTTGGACGGTGGCATTACACTTCTTGGTTGAAAAAGGATAGATCCAAAATGGGGCAACTGCATTCACATTAGCACACTTAAGTACAATGCGTTTACCCAGGTTCAGTTGTGTGTTGGCTGGGATCGCATTGTTGGAAAGTAAAGTTGTCTATTGTTACGAAAACTTGGACTAAGTTGGGAACCTTCTGACTATCTCCACATGCTTTGGTCCCGACAATAATTATAGTTCAATACATATGTGGTCCCCGCAACTTTGGAATATGTGTGTTTTTGTGTTTCCTTCCCTCAGCTTCGATTTCAGCGGAACGATCACAGCGTTATCAAGGACATCGCTGACGAAATCAAGAACTTTGAAGGAATCCGTCACCCTAGCCTCGTCCGCTACTATGGAGTAGAAATACACAGGGTGAGTATTCATCAACTGTTCATGGACACATAACAATGAGTATGGAATCTCATTATAATAAGGCTATTCTTAATTTTTTGTCCAACAGCAATAAATTGTGGGCTTTCGTCTGTAATTTGGGAGCCTGTTGTTAAAATCACATTCTCTTAGTCCCAATTTTTAATTTGGAAAAAACAAGTTTATCCAGGGGTGTTCTGTAGGTACGGGTACAGCAGCCCATGCTGTAGGTACAGCAGGCCATGCTGTAGGTACAGCAGGCCATGGGGGATCAGGTATAGCAGGCCTGGGGGTACATCAGCCCATGCTGCAGGTACAGCAGCCCATGCTGTAGGTACAGCAGGCGATGGGGGATCAGGTACAGCAGGCCTGGGGGTACAGCAGCCCATGCTGTAGGTACAGCAGCTCATGTTGTAGGTACAGCAGGCCATGCTGTAGGTACAGCAGGCCATTCTGGGGTTTTCCTCCCACCTCTAAAACTGTAATTTCCTTCCACATTTTTTACAAAGGAACCCCACTGAACATAAGTCGAAAGACTTTCTCGGGGCTATCCCGGCCAAGTGCTGAATAATCGGAAATAAATAAAACAGAAGTTAATATACCCGTACTAATGTTCTCAAATTAACCCAACTCCCTAGGCATTTTTGCTAGAAACTTTCCAGAATCCTGTGGAATTTTCCAGTGTGCAGGAATTAAATGGCAATTTGTTACTTTCTCTGTGTGAAGTAGTTTAAGTTTGCTTTGTTTTCCTAAGTTCTACAAAACCTCTCAAAAAACTTCTGATTGATTTTGAAGGGTCTGGGAGGATTTTGTGTTCAGGTACAGAACTGTCTGATTTGATATTTTCAGGAGGAGCTGTTGATCTTCATGGAGTATTGTGATGAAGGCACGATAGCTGAGGTATCCAAGGCAGGCTTACCTGAGCAGATGGTCAGACGCTATGCTCAGGAGATCACCGTCGCAATCAGCTTTCTCCATGAACATGGCATTGTGCATAGAGATATCAAAGGTACAAAATTCTTGTCATAATAAAAAACATGCTCAATCTTTTCTTAACCCTAACACTCAAATCATGTTTCAAAAAACTATCCCATTCCAAAATAATCCAACTCTTATGAAAGAAGGACACATTTTTGCTGGTCTCAGAGGGCTAGTCTAGAGTCCACTTTGCACCTATCTCACGGACTGACTGACTGACTGACTAACACACTAACACTTGTGAGCAGGGCAGTACTCTCGTATAGGATTACCCTGTTATGCCAATGAATGGGCTAAATCCTGCCCATATGGGCTCTGTGCTTGAACAAGAAAGAGGGCGCTATTTGACCACTTTTGAGGGCCCAGTGGACAAGATACACCGCGTGCATGTACAATTTTGCTCGCGTATGGGCTCCATGCGCCAACAAAAGAGGGCGCCTTTTTACAACTTTTAGGAGTGCCTTGGATGGGAAACACAGCGTGCGCGTACTGTACTGTACTGGTTCGTGCATGAAGTACGCACGACTTCCTGAATGTGCCAAAGCTATTATCCACAGCGTCCTTTGCGTGAGTGTCAAGCATCGTCGGCGCACAAATACATTCAACTTTCTCTTGTGATGGTCTCCCAGACTAATCCCAGCTCCCGATAACTTTGGATCATTCGAAATGTGCAGTGGATGGACCGGGAACCAGTCTAGGTCTCCCCCAACTCTCCTTTTCTGGCCTTTGATGGGGTACTTGTGCACAGAGCCCATAGCGTGAAGTGCACACAACTAAGTTTTACCAAGCCATAGGTCTTCGCATGAGCGTCAGGCTGTGTCTGCAATTTGTTCAAATGTGGCTGCCAGTGGTCTCCCCAACTCTCCCTTTCCTACCGTTGAGGGGGTACTTGTGCTCATACCCATTGTATACCAGATGCATGAAAAGACTTCCAGTGAATAGCCATTCTAAATCTCTTGTTCAGGTGCTAACGTGTTCCTGTCATCCGATGGGCACGTCAAGTTGGGAGATTTTGGTTGTGCAATCAAGCTGCAGAATGCCAAGACAATACTGGGGGAGCTGACTACGTTCACAGGAACAGCAGGTAAAGTCAAAATTCTCCTTACTTGGAGGAAAAAAAAAACAGAGGAGGCCCAAAACAAAAACATATTTACATTTGTGGCTAACAAGTTGTGTCTTAGACTCCTAAACTTTCTATTCTATCTTTTCTTTCTCTGTTTTTGCGATTATCTTTTCTTTAAAAAAGAAGTTATTGATATTTACTGTAGCATGCCAATATAAAACATATAAGCCTAAGTTTCCCTGATGATGTCAACTTATGTATGCATTTTCCTCCTTGTTTTACTGAGATGAGAAATATTCAGGCTTTATATTGTCTTGACCGTGATAACCTCTCAAATGTGACCTTTGACTTTTGACCTTACAGCTTACATGGCCCCAGAGGTCATCACACAGACAGGTCAAGGCAAGAAAGGTTACGGTCGGGCAGCTGACATCTGGAGTTTGGGATGTGTGGTCATTGAGATGACAACAGGAAAGGTACCAACCACTCTTAATTATCCCTCTGAATAAATTACAATGCTGCATTGATTACAAGTTCTCATTGTAACAATCATTTCTTGGGACCCCTTACTAAAGCTCTTGGGGAGTTTTATCTTTAGTGGTTAGGGTTCATGACCAATAGGTGGAGGTCAGGGGTTCAAATCCAGCTACTGGCCATTTGTTGTGTCCTTGGGCAAGCCACTTTTTCTCTCCACCCAGGAGTATAAATGTGACCCGCTCCATAAAAGAGTGTAAAAAGTAAAATTGAGTCATATACATGGTTGGAAAGCTAACAACGTAAGCTTTCATTTGGTGTATAATAAAGCTCCATAGCCCCTCCCGTTCTGGAGATATGACGTATTAGCATATTACTTACTTCCTTGGAGTTGGAACTACACAACTGAGAAAGCAGGTTTTCAAATAGCTGGCTGTGTTACAGATTTGGGCAAGATGCACTCAATATTGTAGTTTTTCCCACCTAATTCATCAAAAACAACAAATCTGTAAATGAGCCCTGAAACTGTAGGTATCAAAGATGCCATTTATAGCAACAAATGAAAAACACTTTTTTTAATGAAATTTTCACCCACTTTGTAATTTGCGATGGACTGGCATCCCATCCAGGGGGAGAAGAAAGTTGTTTCATGCCAAGGAAACTGATGGGCCATATTGGCTTGACAGGCTTAACTTACTTCACTGATTTACTAAAGCAAGGTCAACATAACAGATTGTTTTTTAATACCGTCATATCTCGCTGTTAAAATTAAACAGAATTGAAATGTGCATAGCTTAATTATCAGTGCAAAATCTTGCATTAAGTAATGCATATATTCAATTTAAGAAGATTTTCAGACTGTTGTTTTATATTGTTATTTTCAGCGTCCCTGGCATGAGTTTGACCACGAGTTCCCTATCCTCTTCAAAGTGGGCGAGGGCGCTATTCCCACTATCGCGGACAACCTCAGCTCAGAGTGCAAGGACTTTTTGTCCAAGTGTCTAGTCCACAGTCCACTGGAGAGATGGACGGCCAATCAGCTGCTTGATCATCCATTCCTTAAGGTGAGATGAGTGCTGAGTCTATCAATATTAGCATAATTAAATTTGGCCCAATCACAATTTTTGCCCAGTTGAAGTTTAGGCCAAGTGTAGTTTTACTAAAGTCTGGCTGAATGAAGTTTTCTACCCAGTAAGATATGTTTTAAGTTAAAGTTTTTTATGTTTTCAAATTTTAGCTCAAGTATAGTTTGGGCAGTTCATAAGATAGGCCCAAGTAACGTTTGGACAAATCACAGTTGTGGCCCAATCACAGTTTTGGCCCAATCAAGGTTTTGGCCCAATCAATGTTTGGCTGAACCAGAGTTTTGTCCCAATCGAAAATTGGCATAACCAAAGTTTGGGCCTAGTCAAGTTTTGACATAATCAGAGTTTGGCCCCAGGATTTGACGCAAAATTTGGCCTAATCAAAGATTTGACACAAAATTTGGCCTAAAGATTTGGTATTGTCAAAGTTTGGCTCAATTCTATAAATTGTAAACTGTTGAATGCGATGGTGCCAGACTATTTTATGATCGGAGTGCGTTCCAAGCCTCACTTTTAAGTTTATTTTAGATGTGGCTTAAAACTTTATGATATGTTTAATTACAAATTTGAAATTATTCATCAAAGCAGACTGATATAAATTTTTAACGAACTTTTTTTTTTTATTGCTTTCATTTCAACTGGCAAGCTCCAAAAATGAAAAGTCAACCTCGCTTTCAATGTAATATGGCCGACTTGCAGTAAATTTCTCTATTTTGAGTAAATGGTAAATGTTAAAGGAACACAAATTAAACCAACTTTTGGTGGCCCTGATTGATATCATGTCATGAATGCATCGATTAAAGATTTCGTGGAATAGTACTGAATTTTTAACTTAAATGTCCATAATACAAGTTTGGAATGGTCTTTTATGTGCTCAGCTATTCATTTGGGGAGAGGTGTGCATAAAACTGTCAATACTAACTGAATAGGGTAAAAATAGTTGTTTCTCAAAAAATAAGCCCCCAAAATATCAGTTTTTTGAGCTGGAAGGCAAAAATACCGGCTGTGCAACTTAAGAGCACCATTTTCAGATGTCCCAAGGTACCCTTCAACAGAAAATAATATTAAGATTAATCAGAAAATTTTGCGATTAAACGGCCCTATCCCAGGGACTAGGAGAACAACATCCATTATCACTATCATTTAGGTAAAGACTTTCGACATCACAGCGACAAGTTGTTTTAGTTTATTTTCTGCGTATTGTATTTGACAGGTAACACCAGGCATTGATTTCCAGTCGATGCTACAAACCAACAGTCGTCCGAGCTAATGGTGTGGTCACAGTGCTAGGGTTCATGTCAAAAGGAGATATCCTTTCATTTTGTAATGCTTTTTATAGCTCCAAGAGTATTGTATACTGTAACTGGTATGAACCCTCTCAAATAATGTAAGTATATTGGCTTGTGTGGGTAATGTGCAAAATTTGATGTGTTTTGTTTTTAATAAGTGGCCTTAAAAATAAAAAAATAAATAACAAGTTTTCCATTTTTATAGAAAGTTGTTAAAGGGACATTACATCCTGAAATGTGCCCAATTGGGCTACAAAACGCATTTTAAACAAAATTATGTTAATTGGAAAGAAAATTTAAAAGTAGGATATAAACGGTTACACAACCATCCTTTAAAAATTGGGCGTTTTGTGTTAATCTTGGGAGAACCATGCGAGAAGGAATTTTGAGGATCAAAATTTTGACTCTCAAAAAGTCGAACCGTTGGGTGCTAGTTGTGAATCCTGCTGCACAGTGCATCGCATTCTGCGAATGTGCGAGAAACAACATCTGTGTATTGGTGCTGTGTGTATTATGTGACACTCACAACGTGACCCTACATTGAATGGACACGACTGGAAATACGTATGCGTATGGAACAAAGTGTCCGCCGCGTCCCGATGTTAACCAGTTTTTCCGTCTTTTCTCGGGGACAGTAAGACATTAGGTTAATTTCCTTTCAACCAGACCTTTAAAATAGAATAAGTAAACAATCCAAAACATACAGTTTTCAGAGATCTCAGGCCCATGCATCCATTTTTATAATAGTCCATGAACAGAAATGTTGGGGGGGGGGGGTTGAGTTAACAATTTTTTTAAAATCTGTATCAGTGCAGATAAGGCCCCCCCAAAAAAAGTCTCCGGTTTCTGGTATGCACGCGCGTCGGCAAAATGAAAAAAAAGAAAAAATGAAAGATGATGTCTTAAAACCCCCAAACTCACTGGTTTGACTGGAATCCTGCTGCTGCACAATTTTAACGTGTTTTTAGATGGGGTTATGTTCGAGAATAAGCTTTATGTGGCCTCTCTGGACTCCCATATATTTGCACTAAGTTTAGTCGGGCACCATTTGCAGTCATCAGCCGACATTTTGAAGCAAAAAAAACAGGTAAAAAAAAAAAAAAAGCCGCGTCGCCGCACCACTTTTTGGGCAAGCTCCATACCAGAAACCAGAGACTTTTTTGGCCTAATCTTCCACAAGACATATTTCTTTATTTTAAGTGCAATTTTTTCCTTTTGCGTGTTCTCAGGGCCAGTGGAAAACAAAAAATAGTTCGTTGAAAATATGAATAATATGTATTACAAAAAGGTTTCTGATTTTTTTTTGCGAGAATGCAAATTGGTTAAAAACATTGCTTTTTAACTTAATATGGCTGCTCTATTTAATAATTATGCTGCAATTTTTTTTTTTTTTCAAAAATGTTTTTTTATATACTGGCTTTGCGGTTTCGAAATATCTGTGTGATTGTACTCATTTTATTTATGTGCAAATTTTGTGTGAATTTTAACTACCGATCGTAAACAAAATAGTTTAAAAATACATAGTATTGATGTATATGTTAATATGCTATTTTAATTATGCCCCAGTGTTTTAGAAATTAGATAATGGTGTTATTAATAATTCAATCCTTAACAAAAATGAAATTTTAATAATTGCATCAACTGGGCCTTAAACTTGAGAATAATCCTGGGAATGTGTGTGCCTCTGTTCGAACTAATATATTTTTTCTTTTTTTTAATGAAATAAGAAATACTCTATGTGGGAAATTACCCACAGCTAACGCGGGAAACCATTAGTCTCGGTTGTTCATTTTTTACTTATTTTGTTTGCTTTTCTTTTTCTTGTTTTTTGTTTAAAGTATTTTTGAATTTTTTATCATAGTATGGGCATTACATAAGAGCCATAAAAACGATGGCTTTACATGTTTGAAATGTGTTCACATATCCACTTTTATCCCCAGGTTTGCATATATACAACACCTTCCTCTTGTTCTTCTCATGAGCACTTTGGCAAGAACCCCAACAAAATCTTATGATATTATGCAAACTTATTCAAATTTATCTTGTTACAACTCATGGACATTGAAGCTATTCTGATGGTATTGTCAGATGTTGTGTTCCCTTTAAGATAAGTCACAATGGTTGGTTTTTGTGTCGCCTAAACAAAGTTTTGGGGACACTTATTAGTCCTAAATTCTTGGTTAAGTTTTTCATGGATTTTGCTGAAACTTGGATGAAGTGACCCTTGGGTGGTAAGACACAGTTGTTCATCGAATTACTGAGGTCAAAGGTCATGTAGGGGTCATTGGAGGTCATTGTTTAAATATGCTTCGAATTTGTCTTCGTCTACAGAATTCAAATTTGTCTTCATCTACAGAATTTGATGGATTTTAATGTAACTTGGATGGAGTGATCCTTAAGTGGGGTTCATCACAACTCTTCCGAAATTGGAGGTCAAAGGTCATGTAGGGGTCATTTGAAAATTTAAAAATGCACAAAATTTGACTTATTTTAAGAACACAAAACATATAGGGATTGACCACGGAAAAAGGTGACGCATGTGGTCTGCAGACCACTTGTCTTTTAAAGCTACAGTCCATCATTTGTAATTTGTGCATTTTGTTCGTTTGAAGCAACAAGAGAGTTCAAAATCTAATGAAGGATACTGAGCAACTAACCTGATGAAGTTTCAGCTAAGCTTCAGCTGTACATTCCGAGAAAAACAGCATTCTAAGATCTCAATTTCAAATCAAAAGTTACTAAATCATGTTTTGAATTGTTTTGAATTGCAGCTATACGCGACGTCGTGCACTGATCCGACGAATTATAACAACCGCGCGCGCGTGTGCGTCGTTCCAAACTTGCCGCGCGCTGCGCTGAATAATAAAACGAACTACTAATTTAAATTTTCCTACGGTGCTTCTTAAGAATCACCATTGGAAATGCCTTCTTTCGTTGATTACTTCAAAATGACAACTTCCTAGAAAGAATAATTTCACAGGGAGTTTAGTTCCCTTACTATCTTTCAACCAAGGTTGTTTTTCAGCAATAATTACGCCAGTTACTTTTTGGATGGCTGCAAATGATGGACTCTAGCTTTAACCCTATAATCACTGTACCGCCCCAAACTGCCTTGCCTATTACTCCCTGTAGTGCCCAAAACTGCCCGAGCACTCTATAGTTTAATGGATTCATCAGTCAATTAACACAATGTAATACATTGTAGTACAATGTATTACATTGTGTTCATTGACTGATTGTACTACAGATGCTAATGGGCAAATGCGGGGCCTAAGTCGATCCCCCAATTTAGTTATCCCCCAAACTGAAACAATCCAAACTGTGTTCTGTTTTGCCCTGTAAACACAAGTCTTGTTTGAAGACTATTTATTTTTCATTCCCCTGAGGTCCCTAACAAGCATGGTAAAGACGAGTCAAATCCAGTCTTGAGCATTTCGGCAGCCCTACCCAGGCAATTCGGAGCATGCTTCACGCTCGCTGTACTTGACCTAAAAATAAAATCCAGATCCATTCTTTGACTAACAGTATGTAAGCACCCACAAATAAACCCGCACATATATTCTGTGTTATAAAGTCAGTTTTCTTTAACAGCTAACAAATTGCATTCTGTTTATGCAAAGCAGCTGATTTATGTACATTCCAAAATCTCTGTAGCCCAGAACCCATAATGAAGCCTGATGGTCATGGGGTATATTTTTGGCCAATGAGGATGTTTAGCTGGATCATGAATATGCATAAGGTATAGTGAAATTAAATATGATTGGCTGTGGCCTTTGTCACTAAAGCCTGTTAGTTGTGAGATTGGGTATACTTAATGCAATACGTAAAGTCTTTCTAATTAAGTCATGTCAATTTTGCATGTGATGCAGTTCTAGATTTTAAAAAATGGTGAATTGAAATTTACTTTTGGTTAAAAGCAAAAGTCTGAAGCTGAAAACCACGACATTGGGCCGCATCCTATTAAACCTATGCAAAGGTAACAGGTTGGACCAGCAATTTGTCTTACTTTGGGGGAGTTGATAATTTTATTTGGTTGAATAATTACATGTTTAACTATTGGTGTTTCCGAAACTAGTAGAGACCTACTGGGATTTCTATGTGAAGTTGACTTATGTTTATGAGCAGAGAATATGTGCCGTTGCCTTAATTAAGACCACATTATTGTTAATGTGTTTTTATGGACCTTCAACTCATAGTTGAGATAACTAAGCCTTAACTTTTATACAATTCGACCCTACCTTTCTGCATTACACCATCAAGTAGTCGGTGAATTTAAAATATACAGAGGAAGATTTTTACTTTTATAAGCCAACTACAACATGATCAGGAATAGAAAAATCCGGGAAAACAACTTCCCTTGTTGACAACTATCCAATGCATTGACAACCTCTTAGTTCCAAGATTTTAAGTCAGTAAAGGACTTGTATGTGAATCTTATAAAAATTATGTACTTTAACTACACAATCACAGTACACTGACTGTAGCCCCCTTCAATGGCGAAAACATTGCGCAAGCTATTGTGCAAAGCAACTGCTCCATGACAGATTATCTGAGCAATAGCTAGCACCATGCTTTCGCCATTGAAGGGGGCCTCCGTGGTGTACAGCGGTGGCGCACTTGGAATGGTCTATAGTATGGCTGTACGCCGTGCACAGTATCAAAGTCATCCAACAAGTTTTCTGGCCTATTTTGCACAAATCTTTATAAAATAAGTCTTGTAAACAAAATGTGCCATGCTTGTTTACAAGAAACAGGTATGCAACTGAGAAGTAACCCCCGAAAAGGAGGATATTTTTATAAACTTTACAAGACTTGATACAGTGTTTCTCAATTTTTAATGGCACTGGAAGTGTGAAGCTGGAAAAAAAACCGAGGAAACCCGTTGATCCAAGGAAAAGTTACATGCCTGAAGAGTTTATGGTTGTTTTCTCAAATTTTTCTGTTCCTGACATTTGTGTGGTAGGGGTATGCTGGTAAAATCTTTCGCAATGCCGGTGTTGCATTACGTACATCAATGAATAGTTATTATTGTACAGTAATATCAGATATGCAGTATTATGATGTCATTTGTGTATCGAACCACCATTGAATATTTGTGTATATAGCCTTGTAAAATATTGGATAATGGACACCAATCCTGGGTTAATTCCGGGGTTTGTAGTTCTGTACAGTGACTACGCTTTTTAAGGTTTTTATTTGAAAGAAAAAAGTTGGAGCTATAATCTTGAACTGACATCAGCTGTATTTGAGGAATAACACGAATCTTATATGAAATATATTTTTCAACTGGAATGAATAACAATAGAAGTTAACAGAAATCTGATGAGTTGTAGTATTGTGTTTTGGTCTTGAGTTTTAGTTTCAGATCCTGCTGGCTTTACTACACCCTTTTATCAAACAGCTAATACGGCCAATGAAAGCAAAACATTCCTTGAACTTGATAATTTACCTTACATTTCTTGCTTTTCTCAACTTTTGGGTAGGCTAAAAAAGGAGAAAAACAGATATTTTGTTCACTGAGGGCTTTCTATAAAACTTTTTCTTCATTTTGCAAGCAGGAAGGTGCTGTAAGGGTTCAAAACACATTCAACTGGAATTTTTTTTTTTACAGATAATTATGCTCTTCGAAAAAAAAAAAAAAATTGGGAAATTATTTTGGGAAAAATGTTTGTATACCGCTAGGGGCGATCATAAGCGGTCGGCCGTAGAGGTACGAGCGTTTCTGTGTACCGCTAGGGGCGATCAATAACGGTCGCCCCAGAGGTACGAGCGTTTTCGTATACCGCAGGGGGCGATCAATAACGGTCGCCCCTAGCGGTACGAGCGTTTGTGTGTACCGCTAGGGGCGATCACGCGGTACGAGTGTTAATATATACCGCTGGGGGCGACAATAACCCCTGCGGTTCGAGCGTTAGTATATACCGCTAGGGGCGACAATGACGGTCGCCTCCAGCGGTACGAGCGTTAATACATACCGCTAGGGGCGACAATGCATGGTCGCCTCCAGCGGTACGAGCGTTAATACATACCGCTAGGGGCGACAATAAACGTCGCCTCCAGCGGTACGAGCGTTAATATATACCGCTAGGGGCGACAATAACGGTCGCTTCCAGCGGTACGAGCGTTAATATATACCGCTAGGGGCGACAATGCATGGTCGCCTCCAGCGGTACGAGCGTTAATACATACCGCTAGGGGCGACAATGCATGGTCGCCTCCAGCGGTACGAGCGTTAATACATACCGCTAGGGGCGACAATAACGGTCGCCTCCAGCGGTACGAGCGTTAATACATACCGCTAGGGGCGACAATGACGGTCGCCCCCAGCGGTACGAGCGTTAATATATACCGCTAGGGGCGACAATGACGGTCGCCTCCAGCCGGTACGAGCGTTAATATATACCGCTAGGGGCGACAATGACGGTCGCCTCCAGCCGGTACGAGCGTTAATACATATCGCTAGGGGCGACAATAACGGTCGCCTCCAGCGGTACGAGCGTTAATACATACCGCTAGGGGCGACAATAAACGTCGCCTCCAGCGGTACGAGCATTAATATATACCGCTAGGGGCGACAATGACGGTCGCCCCCAGCGGTACGAGCGTTAATATATACCGCTAGGGGCGACAATGACGGTCGCCTCAAGCCGGTACGAGCGTTAATACATACCGCTAGGGGCGACAATAACGGTCGCCCCCAGCGGTACGAGCGTTAATATATACCGCTAGGGGCGACAATAACGGTCGCCCCAGCGGTACGAGCGTTAATATATACCACTAGGGGCGACAATGACGGTCGCCTCCAGCGGTACGTGCGTTCATACATACCGCTAGGGGCGACAATAACGGTCGCCTCCAGCGGTACGAGCGTTAATATATACCGCTAGGGGCGACAATAACGGTCGCCTCCAGCGGTACGAGCGTTAATATATACCGCTAGGGGCGACAATGCATGGTCGCCTCCAGCGGTACGCACGTTAATACATCATCGCTAGGGGCGACAATAACGGTCGCCTCCAGCGGTACGAGCGTTAATATATACCGCTAGGGGCGACAATAACGGTCGCCTCCAGCGGTACGAGCGTTAATATATACCGCTAGGGGCGACAATAACGGTCGCATCCAGCGGTACGAGCGTTAATATATACCGCTAGGGGCGACAATGCATGGTCGCCTCCAGAGGTACGCGCGTTAATACATACCGCTAGGGGCGACAATAACGGTCGCCTCCAGCGGTACGAGCGTTAATACATACCGCTATGGGCGACAATAAACGTCGCCTCCAGCGGTACGAGCGTTAATATATACCGCTAGGGGCGACAATAACGGTCGCCTCCAGCGGTACGAGCGTTAATATATACCGCTAGGGGCGACAATAACGGTCGCCTCCAGCGGTACGAGCGTTAATATATACCGCTAGGGGCGACAATAACGGTCGCATCCAGCGGTGCGAGCGTTAATATATACCGCTAGGGGCGACAATAAAGGTCGCCTCCAGCGGTACGAGCGTTAATATATACCGCTAGGGGCGACAATAACGGGGGCCGGGGGATAAATCAATACGCAGTCAACTAGAGTAACTTGGGTTTTTTGTTTGTTTATTTTTTCCAAATTTATTACCTAGAATTAAGGGGGGGGGGGAAATCGGAAGTTTGAAACAGAAGCCTGTTCCTTCCAGGTTTAAAAAGTGGGGAAAATGCAAAAAAAATCAGAATTAAGTTTTGCGAAAAAAAACGCAATAGTTCTTTGGAAAATAACGATACTTTTCCAGAAACCCAATAATTTCGTTAATAAGTAACACAATCCTCTTGCGAAATAACGCAAGAAAGATACAGGGTGTTAAACCCCCCCCCCCCCCCAAAAAAAACAAACAAACAACAACTCTGAGCCCAATAAAGCGCGTATTTTTCACACCTTTAAAAAAAAACATGTTGATACATGTTTGACAAGTATATATTTCACTCTAGTTTTCAACAGCGTCAACAACTTTCCAATCAGACACATATCTGTTGGGTTATGGCCAATTAAAAAAAGGTTCTGCTTTTTCATTTTGTCCACGGTTTTAAATTTTACTTATAATGAATGTAATGGATTTGGGATGAGGGTAGTTTTGCTTTCTTTAATGTTGTCATTCTTTATTTGGTTCTTTTTGATTATTTGAAAATTTGTCATTTCTCTTTTTGGAAAGAACCGTGGTCATGAAAAGGACTGTTTTAACTTCTTAGATGTTGTTCTGGTCTTGGTTGCCTCTTTCATGGATGCAGGTTTTGACCCTTGTTCACTGTGGCAGTCAAGCATCAGTCGCCGTTGACAAAATGAAACAGTTATTGACCATAACTCAATAAAAATGTTTCCGATTGAAGAGATTTTTCATTGTTGAAAAGCTTATGAAAGTATCAATATTAATGAACTATGTATCAATGAGGCATATTTCCCCCTGCCTGCAAACGTACTGACCTCTTCTATAATTACCTTGTTTTGAAACATTGTTCTGAAATCGACTTATTAAACATGTCAAATCATTCAAAGTTAAGCTTCTCGACATTACAATTTTGTAAAAATAATTACACGTTGGGGGAAATTACAGTATGTTGTCCCTCAGCGGAGTCGGCACAAATACTAAGGCAAAAAAAAAATTAGTTCTGCTTCCGATTACATTGCATTTGAAAATAGGGTCGGTAGGTCGGGAATTTTACGTCTTTTTGTCAATTTTGTTTGTTTACGATCATATGGAGGTGTGTGCATGTAGTCAAGGGTAAAAGGTAGTAAATGACTATTTTCTGTTTTTTTTTCCTCATTTTTCAAAAAAACAATTAGGGTAGGGGTTGTCAAAATAGGGTAGGTAGGGTAACCAAAAGCAGAGCAATTTTTTGGGGGCCTAATTAGGAGTCGTCAAATTAATGAAGTCCTCATTGCAAACCATAAATTGAAATATAAAACGCTTTCACACTTTTAGGAGTAAAAGTTTTAAACACAATTTACTGGGCAAAAGAAAATTGAAAAAGTGTAAGTACAGAGTTTTTCTTCAGAGAAATTTTGTTGCAGTTGAAAAGAATTTTCCCGCTTTTATTCCATTAATCCCTGTACATACACAAACTATCCTTGCTGTTACTCCTATGCATGAATGTATGGTGATAGCGGGCTCCGAATGGTCTACAGGGTGGTCAAAAAAATTTACACTTTTTCAGATGCAGATTTCTTGGAATTGGGGAGACATGTTAAAATTGTCTGAAGATATTCCTAAGCTAAAGCATCTTTGTTGTATATGGTGAAAACGGCATTGAAAATAAAGCCTAAATTAAGAAACGGTAATGGTTTAAAGAAGGATGGTCAAAAACCAGTTTATCCACACGCAAGTCTATGAGATATTGGCAACACAAAAGCACTGCGCACACAAATAACTGCAATATTTGTAAATTGGTCTACACGACTGCCATGGATGTGGACAAATTGGTTTTTGACCATTCTTCTGTAAATGGCCGCTCTTTCTTACTTTGAGCTTTACTTTCTATGCCGTGTTTACCATATACCACCAATATCTTGTAGTTAAGGAATGTCTTAAAACAATTTCAACATGTATCTGCCTCTAAAAAAAGTGTAAACTTTTTGTTGGATCACCCTATATAGAACTTTAAAAGTAAAAAATAATTTCATTCATTTTCTTTTGATTTTCCGAACTCCAAGTTTCACGTATTGTCATATAAGTCCTACAAGTTTCTTAACATCGTTGTAAGTCCTCTCTGCAATCTCACTGGCCCTCTCAGCTCCTGTCCTCAGCACATCCTCAATGTACTCTGTGTTTCTCCTCAATTCAAATATCCTCTCTCGTATCGGCGCCAGTTTTGCGTTCACGGCCTCGGCCAACATGACTTTGTACTCCCCAGTCTGCACTCCCATGACCCGTTCGCAAATTTCCTCCGGTGACGAGTCTTCAATTGCCACGTGGATGGCCACAAGGTTGGAGACCCCCGGTCGATTCTCGGGGTCAAAGGTCACACTCCCAGTGAAATCAGTGACGGCTTTCTTGAACTTCTCTTGGATGTCTTCGCAGGAGTCTGTCAGCTCGATGCGGCTTTTCGGATCCGGTTCCGACTTGCTCATTTTGGCGCTGGGATTTCGTAAGCTCTTCACTCTGCTCACCTCACCTGTGAAAAAAAGTGAACAAAAACCTATGATGTAGCTACAGACATAATTCAGAAATCAAAAGAATGAACACAAAACATATCCCTTAACACTAAAAGGGCTGGGGGGGGAATTCATGGCCCGAGCTGCTTTGACTTTTTAGCCTCGAGCCTTGCGCATCTTTTGATACCCAAAACATAAAAATCGGACCACGGGTTGCCGCGCAGTGAAAAATTTTCCACCGCTACGCGCCGTGAAAACTGAATTTTCCCATATACATCATGTACAAAGAGCAGAATTACCATTTGTACATAATAATTAATAAGCCATAATTCCAAAACCCTTTTACCTATAGTCATGAAATTTCTTGGGTATGTTCATGATGAGTTGCTCTATGCATTTACCGAGTTTCAAATTTTTTCGGCTGAGAGATGGTCAAAATAACCCGGCCTTTTTAGGGTTAACCTTGCAAGCAGGTAAAAATGTAACTCCTGCACTGGTACGGACCATTACTGCCTGCAACAGTAATTACAATGGAACAGCGCCCTCACACTGTTGGCTTGATGTCATGACCTCTGCCCTGTTTACAATTTAGGTCATGACATCCGGGGTCTTGTGTTCTATCGCGCATTCACGCCGCATGACCCGGATTTCCATGCCGATGCTTGCAGCTGGATTTGTCAGGCAAGCCTATTGTCTTCCGACTGAAAGAGCCAATGACTAACTGACTGACTGACTGACTCCCCGACTCACAGAGCATAAATAATGTCCTAAACTGAGACTTTTGGGTTCCGATCGACTGGGCAAACCTAGTCTTGTTATAATTTAAGCATACTGTTTTAGGGAAATTGCTTTTGCTTATAACTTGTTTTTAAAGTCCATTTCATCAAAAAGGATATTTCAATACTCAATTTCAAAAATGAAACATCAATTCTGAGCCTGTGAAATGATAGCTAATTCTGGACTGAGATTTTATAAACTCACCAGTAATAGCCTTAGGGATGGGGAAGAACGCGCCATAGTTATTGTTGAATATCCTGGCCAGGTTCTGGGCTAGCTCCAGATGTGGCAACTGGTCCTCCCCGACTGGAACATGAGTTGCCCTGAAAAGGAACAATGGGAAATTGATAATTGATGGCTGGCTTAACTTTATTGTACTGGCTTAACTATTTTGATAGCGTTTTGTGCTTCTATATCAGATTTAAAAAGGCCAGCTGACCCTGGCAAGCTGGGTAGTAGAGTAGCAAGACATCTGAACCCGTAAACAGGAGGTTGCAGGTTCGAGTCCCACCTGAGTAAGCTTGTGACTTTTTTCTTAAAAAGCCCTTTGACAAGCCAATGCTGATAATTCACAAGCCAAAAAATATTGTGACCCAGAACTGTACCTGGACAACTACAGGGTGGTTAAAAAACAAGGACACCCACATTTGACAGCTATGTTCACCTATGTTTCAAAATTATTTTTAACTGTCGATTAGTAGCTATTAAAGTACTGGCCTTTAAGCAAATGTGACCAAATAAATTGTTGCATTTGCACAATTTGTCGTTGAGCTATGCTAATTTGAACATTTCATGTGGGAAACCTGTTTGTCAATGGAGGTTTACATGTACTCTCAACACAAAATGCACCAATGCATGCTTGAACGTTATCATTTGAAAAAACGCGCTAACAATAAAGCCCATCTTAATATTTGAAAGGGCATGACATTTGATTGTTATGTTATGTAATGTTATGCAACAATGAACTTAAGCCGACAGCTCAGTGAGTAAATGATCTTAACACTGACATGAATAATTGGACAGCTTTAATAAAAGTTACTAGGGCACAATTTTTGGTGGGAAGGTTTTTTCATTTTTATGAACTACGAAAACTTCCAACTTACATAGAATAATCCATGGACAAGACTGATTTTGGTGACTTGTATTCAAATTAGCATAATATCTTTATTTTTGCTTTTTTTACTAAGCTCTTTTCACCATGCATTGTTAAAGGCCTATACTTTACTACTATGTGAAAAAATATTTAAATTAAGTTCATTAAGTAGGTGAAAATTGCTGTCAAAAGTGGACTTTTTTTTAACCACCCTGTATGTACAAGGTAACTCCCTTATCCTTAAGTTTCTAATGAGGACAAAGAAGTTCTGAACTTCCAAAAAAACTTTTAAAGGTGTAGTGATGTCCTTACTTATACAGGAGAATATCAGCACTCTGCAGGACTGGGTAGGTGTAGAGCCCAACACATTCTTTCTTCTTGTCGCCACCAGCTTTGGACTTTGCAAAGAAAACGAACAAAATTGAAAGTCAATTGCAACATGGCAAGTCAAAATCCTTTGTAATACATTTTTTTTTTTTTTCAAAATAAAATATTTTCCAAATATGCTTTATCTGCAGAAGAAAAACACGTGATAAAACGAAACCTCGCAGTTGATAAAATTTTAACCATTCTTGTCCTGGCATAAAAGTATGGCTCACCTTCCACTGTGGGAATTGTCCAAGTCTGGCTAATGTGGTTTTGCATCCCAAGATCCAAGCAAGCTCAGCATGTTGATGTACCTGAAATTTGAAGAGGAAAAAAACCCCACAAACCTAGATTTACAAAATTATAAAGTCTTGTGGGCCCTACTTGGAGGGCCCATGACATGAATCTTACTTGGGAACATATTTTGCACAACTTTCTACTCCTCTTTAATGTATGAAAACTATCTGACACCCCTTTTTGGTTAATTTTATTGAAAAGGGCACTTTTTTTTTTTACATCTAAAATGTTCCATGCTTTTCCTGACAAATGAGAGCGTTATTGCTGTGATGTCATTTCAGGAAGACACTGTTCACTTTAGGGGTTTTCTGTTCAAATTGTGAAACCAAAATGTGCTCATTGAAAACATTTGTGAAAGAAGTCTGCTCACTGGCTTACTGTCATGTACCAAAACAACAAGGAATCACTAAAGAAAAGATAATTTACGACAGCAAAATATTCAAAATTCTGGCAAATTTTGGTGCTAAAATAGCTGTAACATAGCATGAAAACCAAAAAGGCACCAAAATGCCCTTAAAAATGGCAAAATGAAAATAATGTGAAATGGGACACAAAGGTGCATTTTTAACCCTAACCACCCCAACTCCATCAGAATCCATCCCCCAGGTCCAGAAGGTCTGGCGTGACTAAGTATTGATGGAGTATGATGGACTTGGGCCTACTGGCCTGAAGCAGTGCTAGGGGTATCCGATTGATTTTGCCCAGCAATGGGGGGTATATACCCCCCCCCATTTTTTTTTACCATGGGGGGGGGGGGGCTATTGAATCATCCCCCCCCCCCACTTTTTCGCGATGAAAAACAAAATGCGGATTTCAAGTATTTTTCGAACATCCCAACAACCCAAATGTATTCAATAGTACTGAAAAGTGAAGAAACAAAGTACAAAAGCTTTAAAAATGTGCCGCTTGGATGTAAGCGCGAGTATACATATTGATATACATGTACAACTATATCCTGAGCACCCCCTGGTGTAATGTGGTGTCCCATCCCCCCCCCCCCTTCGAATGTCCACGGCTGGGCAATTACTGGATTTCGGTCATCCCCTATCCCCCCCCACTCACCGGCACAGATTTACGCCACGAGTCTACAGAGAGTACTCACAATTTCTCAAGTATTTTCTATCAGAACAGTATGTGTTTCTCAAATTCATATTGCACTTAAACATAGTTTCAATGAATGACCATCACTAAGGTACTGTGGTGAAAAAGGTGGCATCAACATAGTGCATTGTTCCGTCAGGAATTGTTCAGATTATTTTTTTTGGGGGGGTGGGTTTAATATTTTTTTGTTTTTTTGTTTCTTCTTCTTCAATTTGTTCACACATCTACTCACACTAGACTGTTGAAACAGTATGCTTTTCTCGGGGTCAATCCCGCAGGCCAGCAGCACAGCCACACAATCTCGTATGCTCTGCCTCAGTACATCGGGGTCTTGTGGTAAGGTAACAGCGTGCAAATCAACTATGCTGAACACCACACTGTTGTCCGTGTCGTTCTGCAGTTTGACCCAGTTTTGCAGCGCTCCGAAGTAGTTACCGAGATGTGGGATACCAGTTGGTTGGATGCCTGAAAATATTCTTCTCTGAATGCCCTGTTATGATATGAACAAATATTGAAATAAAACAATGTAATGTTCCACAAAATAAAACGTTAATTCCAGTTTTATACAGAACTTACCACAACTTATTTGGCAATGGTATAGTTTAGGATCCCATCATTGACCCTAACAGAACTCAACCTATCAAACCCCAACGGCATGTTTTGTTGGAATCTGTCAGGATGGGTATAGTACCCCTAAACTGACATTCTTTTACATTGGGTTGGCACACCTCCAAAAACTAAGTCAGAAATATGTGTGTGTGCAGTTTCCCATATGGTGTTGGAATTTGCCAGGAATGGGTATGGTTCCTAGTGAATGATGCTAGGGAGTTAGGGTTAATCTAAGAAAATTAATATCCACCTTTATGTCATTGGACTTACCTGTTGAAAAGCAAAGATGTCATTGTCATGACATGAAAAAAGGGCATTAGTTTTCATTTTTGAATGAAATTAAAGGCTAAGATGACAACCATAGTCGTAACGCACAAAGAATGCCAAAAAAAGTGTTGATTCATACAACATCAACTGGAAAAAGGGGTGAGAAAAACATATTTTCAGTCAAAACATGGAGGTAGGAAACCAAACTAGACTAAGGGAGATTGCTTGAGGTTGCTTGAAGAAGGCATTTTTGTTTTTACTCTAAAAAAACATTCAAATTTTAACCTCAAAACTACTGCTACTTGTGATAAACTCATTTTGAAAACAAATTGGGGTAGTCCTAGCAGAAATCATTTTCGAACAATTAACACAATTAAGGAAAGAATGATGCAACCGGATGCCACTTTTTTTCTTCATAAGGTCAGTCATTGCAAAAATGTTAAAAAGACATGAATCTGAAACCGAGAAACATTTCCAATTTCGTCAGGAAATACTTTTTTTGACTCTCCACAGACTTTGTACACAACCGCTGAAGTGGCGTCTGGATAATATATTCTTTCCAACACGAAAAAGACAGAAGGTTTCTAAACTACATAATCCGATAGCATATTTTCATGACGGGTTGTGTTGATCTAATAAGGGAAGGCCGGCCATTTGTTGGGCGATCGCGTAGTGTAGGGCCTGGTTCCTTTAATAGGTTGAACCGTCACCACGGACATTGGTGGTGCTATTTTCATGCCCAAAATGACCAAATTTTTGTGACCGCCTTTTTTGAAAAGGTTTGACATGGAGTATCACATACAGGGATACTTTCGCTTAGCTCCTAACATCAATAAAAGAATTGCAGGGTGTAGTTGACCTTAGAAAGTTTGGTTTGTTATTAAATCACATTGCGAAAAAAAGTTGTGGATTTCCCAAAAGAGCGATGCCGTTATATGTGTAAATTTCCCATACTTTTCTACACATAATCAACTGACGAGGTCACATTTATTTCAGCCAAATCGAGCATCATTTTAAGGCAAAGAAAAGTAACTTTAAAATTGCAATAATGTCAGAACTGCTTGCCCCATGAAGTTTGGAGACCATTTGTTGAATTGCATTTTGAAAGCTCTTTAAGATAAAGTAAATTCTACTACTAGTATCTACTCCTAGAACTATGAGGCTCCACGTAGTGGAGCCTCATAGGTTCAGAAGCCCGCAAAATTGTTGTCAGCACAAAACACTAATTAAGTACAAAAACGTCCATCCCAAGCAGGCCGTTTTCCACAGAACCGCTGCACAGTTTGCCCCTAAACTCCATACAATACCTCATGACATACTCACGTTATGTGCACCCAACAAACATCGGTGGATTCTGTCTGTTTTTCGGCAAAAATGATGAAAAATATGCCCTTTCCGCACTGAGCCAACCTAACACTTGAAACGAGCACGCGTGCAGAATGATCGCAGTCATTTTCGGTTCGATCGCTCGGAGCGCGCCGCGGGGGGTATGGTGTAGAGCGGAACGATAGTATGCACATGCGTACAAGTGCAAGTACGTACCCCCCGTGGCGCGCTCCGAGCGATCGAACCGAAAATGACTGCGATCATTCTGCACGCGTGCTCGTTTCAAGTGTTAGGTTGGCTCAGTGCGGAAAGGGCATATTTTTCATCATTTTTGCCGAAAAACAGACAGAATTCACCGATGTTTGTTGGGTGCACATAACGTGAGTATGTCATGAGGTATTGTATGGAGTTTAGGGGCAAACTGTGCAGCGGTTCTGTGGAAAACGGCCTGCTTGGGATGGACGTTTTTGTACTTAATTAGTGTTTTGTGCTGACAACAATTTTGCGGGCTTCTGAACCTATGAGGCTCCACTACGTGGAGCCTCATAGTTCTAGGAGTAACTAGTATCAGTATCAAATCAACTTTGAAATATGATGATTCTATCTAGTTGTGTAAACAATTTCCGTGTAAAACGTCTATCGGTTTTGCAGGCATTGTAATATAACAACTCCTTCAGCCAAAATCAAGATTTGATAATTCTTACCTTTTTGGTAGCTCTTTGGCAATACAATCTAGTAATTGTTACACCTTGGCTCGGTTTAGCGAGCTTTGAATAAACGGAAATACGGTGAGCAAAACTTTGGGCCACGGGCAGCGCCATCTTGAATTTCATTGCATTAGCGCCCTCCATAGTTGTAAAACGTCAAGTGGTTTATTTTTTTTTTCAGTACACCGTTATTTTAACACAGCGCCCCCAATGTTTGCGGGTTGGGACAAGTGCATCTTCATAGAATTGCTCCTCTTCCAAGTTTGGCCTCGCGTACTACTTTCACCCCAACATCTCGCCTTCTTCACAGGAATAATCTGTTCTACTTTGCCACGCCTTGTGTATTATGAACTAGAAAATTTCTTTACTTGGTCAAAATAGATATACCTGGCAAAAATTAGATATGAAACGAAAGTATAAGGCCACCCGGCCCCCCCCCCCCCAAAAAAATGTAACAGCTCACAAGATACAAATCAATAGCAATGCAAAGACACGATTGTAACATAAATTTATTTACATAACCCATTTCAACTACCAACAAAACTGGATACGTTTTGTTGGATAAAAACACATTATTTACTGACATAACATCGATTTGCAACACTGCTCAATGAACAAACATTCACTTGGCAGAAAAAGACAACATCAAAGAATTTAATAAGAGGATTCCTCATTAAATGTACGCAAAACATTCTCAAACTCTTTCATGTATTCGTGTTATAGAGACAATGGGGATTGAAAATAAAATTAACTAATTCAACATTCTAGGAATTCAATCTTGAAAGTCAACTTTCGGGACTGAAATAATTTGGAAAGGTTCACAAATCACAATTATTATTGACAGGTTTCAGTTTCTGGGTTTGCTCTTGATGTGATTATAAACGGGGAATGCGGGACAAAGGAAGTTTAACCAGTTTTAATGCAATAAACAAAAGGGTTTAAACACAACTGGGGATTCCACTGAAAAATAACTATGAAAAAACATGTACACATTTACTTATATTCAATGGACATATTTGTATAATATGATGTCTTTAGTGTTTTAGTTCCAGTCCATCACAAGTCACAAGTAATTGTGGATGAACATTGACAAAGGAATACACATGTACTTTTGTCAGTTTATTTGGATGACTTGCGCTGCACATTGGCACGATATGAGACAGAGGGACCCTCCTCTTTTGTGTTGGTCATTGTGTTACCAGAATCTCAGGAATTTCTTTTGAGATATCTAGGGGGATGTATTTATAGGTAACAATAGTCCAGGGTGTGTATAGGGTATAGGGAGATTAGGGGGTACCCCTCTGTCACATGTCCTGCTAGGAATATTGTGCTGGACTGCACCATAACATAGCAAACCACAAAACATTAAATTTAAAAACCTCCAATGAGGTTCAACCACTTAAGCCAAGTAAAAAAAATACTAGTTTCACATCCAGTCATTTGGAAAAATGGAGGAGGGCACTTTTTTTTCCCTTCCCCCTCCCCCCCCCCCCCCACAAGATGGCGGATTTTTTTCAAGATGGTGGAGGATTCCTCAAATTTTCTCATCTATTTTGCTGATATTAAATTGTGCCTAAAGGGGCCATAACCCTTTTTACAGAGCTACAATTTTGTTGCAAACTAATAATGAGACAAATTATGGACATTATTTGTGCAAAATATAATGCAAATGTATACATTTTCAAAATAGAAGAAAAAAGGAGGCGGTCAAGAAAAAAGGAAGCGGACGGGGACGAGAAACTGGTTTATTTTGTTACTTGGCCTAATTGTCATAATTAAACAGCATTAGGTACATTCTGGAACTCCATAAAATGTGGGTTTCAGTTTCAGAGTAGTGTGGTCAAATGGTTACGGTGTTTGACTAGTGTGCCATTATGGTACATGGGTTCGAATCCTGATGGGAACATGGCGCTTGTGTCCTTGGGCAAGACACTTTACTGCAATTGCCTCTCTCTCTCTCCACCCAGGAGTATAAGTGGGTACCTGTGAGGGGCGAGACCAGATTGCGCTGATCTCAGCTGCAGGAAACTGGCCTGACAAACATGGGTAATAATTGCGAGGGGCTTTGAGACCTATACCTTTGGTGGTAAGAAGTATATTAGCAACACAAATTAGTGGTCCTTCACATGCACGTAGCACAACTCATGCACGCAGCACACACTTCTAGCAAAACTGACTCAAAGTGACAAAGTAACAATGCAGTCTTCTTTTGCGAATCAGTCGCCCTTAGAATCCAATATTGTATTTGTGCAAATAGTGGACGTCAAAATCACTGATACACCTGATATATTTATATTTACATATCAATAATTTAAACATCGATAGTTGCCTCACTCCTCCCCAGCAGGTACCGCGTCCTCTAATCGCTTAATGAATTTCACTTTCAGCTCTGTTTGGTTGTCACCTTTCAGGAGGTCTTGTACAAACCGAACATTGACATCCATCTGTACCTGTCAAGTGAAAAAAAAATGACACTAAATTTTAAAAAATATGCTGATTGCCCCGCACTTCATCCCCCAAAAAAGGAGGCTTCCATCTTGCTATTCAAATATTCTTTTCATGTTTTCAAGTGAAAATGGCAAAGGGGTTTTCCAGTAAACCCCTCTGTTCGTCATCAGTCTCCTGATGATGAACAGATCACACTGTTTGAAACGTCGAGTTAACAACTGGTTCTTCTCAGAGCCACACAACTCAAGAGAGATAATATTCCCATGGTGTTACCCCAAACCTTCCATACTTTGTTCATGTCCACCTTGCAAACCAGAATTCTTATTTGACACATTTTGTTAAGAAAAACAAGACTTGCCTGTCCTATTCAAGCTAGACCAGAAAGTCTCACTTTAGGGTATTATTTTTACTCAGGTACTCGGTCAGTCAGTGACTCAGTCAGTCGGGGGGGGGGGGGGGGGGGGGGAGTCAGTCAGTCAGTCAGAGGATAATGGGCTGGCCCATCAGGTCGAGCAAAAATCCAGTTACGTGTTACTGTAATGCCTCTGAGATACAACAATGACACTGGTTTTCTCTCTAAGTATTTTTTCTTGTATTTTTTTTTCCTCACTTAATTTGGAGATGATCCTAAACAAAAGTGTGACTCCCCAAGGGAATTGCAAATCGATTTCCAAAATGTTGGTGTCGTCCATTCCTACACAACATTCACACAACTTACTGTTTCCAAAGCTCCCCTGATGACTCCACACAAGATATTGGAATAGTTGAGTTGACTGTGTTCTTCTGGGAGTTCCACAAAGTCTGTCAGAGGGTTGTTGTCGAATATGAGCGAGAACTCGTCCCCTGCTGCACTCCAATTGGCAACAGTGGGGGTGATTCCAAGAAACATTTTGAAACCGGACTGAAAAAGAAGGAAACAAGTCAGGTGTGTTTACAAACACAAATGCCCCGCAACGGTGACAGTTCCCATGACATAACGCCACTCTTTTAACATCAACTTACATGTACCTTGGTCACATGGAACATTCATTGACAGCATTAGTGTCTTCTGTAGGTTTTATATGAATTAATCCCTAATCCCTATAATCTCAGAATAAATACATGATTTCTATTGTTTTAGCCACTGTGAACTTGACCCTTGACCCTTTGGCCCCAAATGCAATAGGCTTCTTAGGATTGCCAAGAACAATCCACAAACCAAATTTGAAGTTCACATGTAAAGTATTTCTCAAGTTATCGCGCTGACAAGATTTCTATTGTTTTAGCCACTGTGAACTTGACCTTAGGCCTTTTGGCCCCAAATGCAAAAGGCTTCTTAGGATTGCCAAAAACAATCCACAAACCAAATTTGAAGTTCACATGTAAAGTATTTCTCAAGTTATCGCGCTGACAAGATTTCTATTGTTTTAGCCACTGTGAACTTGACCTTTGGCCTTTTGGCCCCAAATGCAAAAGGCTTCTTAGGATTACCAAGAACAATCCACAAACCAAATTTGAAGTTCATATGTTAAGTATTTCTCAAGTTATTGCGCTGACAAGATTTCTATTGTTTTAGCCACTGTGAACTTGACCTTTGGCCTTTTGGCCCCAAATGGAAAAGGCTTCTTAGGATTACCAAGAACAATCCACAAACCAAATTTGAAGTTCATATGTTAAGTATTTCTCAAGTTATCGCGCTGACAAGATTTGTCCGGACACACACACACACCCACCCACCCACACACCCACCCACACACCCACCCACGGAAGGACAAGGCGGAAACAGTATGCCCCTTCGGCTTCGCCGCGGGGCATAATAAAATCAGTAGTAATATTTTCTTTCTCTTTCTTTGGAGTTTATGTAACTATAATAATAATAATAATAATAATTTGGGAGGCTAATCATCCTTACTCGCAGCTGGTATGCTGAATTGCGAAGGACGTGGCTACAACGTGGTCGGGCCGCTGGCACGTAAAGGCGCCTATGGCTGCCGGCCACATCGACCCATATATGACCACGGAGCACAGCCTGAGATCGAAAGTGTTTGATTTTTCCGGAGGGAGGAACACCGGAGGGCCTGGAAAAAAAACCTTGTGGCACAGGAGAGAACCAACGCACAACTCTACTCACATGTGATCCGCGGCCAGGATTCGAACCGTGGTCACCTTGGTGAGAGGCAAGCGCTTAACGCACAAGCCACCCATGCCACCAACTATTGGTGGTCTGGTATTAGTTAAACGTAGCTTTGCTGCTGTTATCACCACTTGCCCCATTAATGTGTCTCAAAAATGTCTTTAGAGCCACACAGCAATGCATGCTAAATTTCCTGAAAAGTTGTGTTTCCTGAAAAATATCATGTTTTCACTTAACTTTTGCCATGGAAGCTACTTTCCTGGTTAATTACCAGAGAAATTCAAAAGGTCACACATGCATGACCCATGGCCTTGAAGGAAAATCCGGCAGTCATTTTGGACAAACTTCCTCCAAAAATTACAGGATAACTGGTCACCTAGAGGTGTTGAATTCAATCTGTCAAAGCAAATGTCGAGTTAAAGAAACAGTCTAAATTTTAAATTTAAGGAAAAGCAGGAAAATTCAGGAAATTTTGCATGCATTAATGTGTGGCTCCCAGTATTTGAGCAAACCGTATTAAACCTTCCTCAATCCTCCAAAATCCTCCAGGCTGTTTTGAAGGATTTTGGAGGAATGAGGCTGATTGGCAAAATATGTCGGTTGATTTTGGAGGATGCATTGTGTCGAGTTCAAAGGCTGCATGCAGCATTGTTTATGTTCAGCGATGCATAATTGAGCCCTGCATTATGCTTGATATCATCCGCACTGCTTCTGAATGTCATCGGCAATGCCTCAACCCATCAACAGTGATTGTTGGAGGATTTTGAAGGATTGAGGCAATGGTCACCCCTCCACTGAACACATTCAAGAAATATCAAATGATTTGGAAGGATTGAGGCTGAATCCCATTATTTTTCACATGGTAGCAATTGGAGGATTTTGCAGGATTCAGGATGGTTTCTGGCCAAAAGGACCTAGGGGGCTAGGGTTAAGGGGCTTTTACATAAACACAAAAGCATGTCTTTAGCTGTCCCCACCTTTGCTATAATATCTGCCGTTTCCCTGAAGTCGTTGCATCTTCTTTCCCCCGAGCGAGCTAAGAAATCTTCCACGAGACGAATACCGATGTTATAGCCCCTGCAATGATGAGGACAAAAAAGGAATCTAATAAATGAACCAATACAGAAACTGTTTATGTGACAAAATATTAAAGAAATCAACAAAGTTAGAGGTCCTAACTAGGTCCAGCTAGGATCAAAAATGTTAGCCCTCTATCTTTTTGGATTTTTGTATATTTCAGGTAAATCCAGTCAGTAAGCCATTTGTAGCAATTCTGTTCATTTTCAAAACATTAAAAAGATAATCAACTTAGTCATTCAAATTGTTTACCTTCATTTACTATTTTTGTATCAATATTTTTGCAAACTTCCTTATATTTTTTAGATGATTTGAGGTTTCCTCTATTCTGTACAGTTCAATTTTATGATAATAGTTTTCTTACACTCAGTTCCTAAGGCCCCCCCCCCAAAAAAAAGTCTCCGGTTTTTGGTATGCGCACACGTCGCTGTAGCCATGCGCGTCGGCAAAATGAAAAAGGTTTTTTTCAATGAAAGATGATGTCTCAAAATCGCCAAACTCACTGGTTTGACTGGAATCCTGCTGCTGCACAATTTTAACGTGTTTTTAGATTGGGTTATGGTCGAGAATAAGCTTTATGTGGCCTCTCTGGACTCCCATATATTTGCACTAAGTTTAGTCGGGCACCATTTGCAGTCATCAGCCGACATTTGAAGCAAAAAAATCAGGTTAAAAAAAAAAAAAAAAGCCGCGTCGCCACACCACATTTTGGGCAAGCTCCATACCAGAAACCGGAGACTTTTTTTTTTGGACTAATGACTTTTTTATATATATAGAGGGTATGCACAGCTGTTTTCCCACAGTAAATGTAATGTGAGATTTGACCTCAGTGAGGTCATGTTGTGCATCTCTCCATAGGACTGATGATGTCATACGCATAGACATTATTAAATGATGATGGTGTGGCGTAAAAGGCTTTACATTTTGTCCAGTTGTTTGTTGACTTCTTCATCGCTTTCATAATCTTTGACAAGCTGTGAGACTAGAGATCCATACGTCAGGGTAAACAGCTCTTGGCTCTGGAAAATGGAAAGAAAAAAATCAAGGAACACATTAAGTTAAAACATACAAAAGAACATTTACATGTACATGTGTATCTTCAACCTACTCCTAGAACTATGAGGCTCCACGTAGTGGAGCCTCATAGATCAAGAAGCCCGCAAAATTGCCTGCAGCACAAAACACTAATAAAGTACAAAAACGTCCATCAAAATGGAGACATTTCACACAGAACCGCTGCACAGTTTGCCCCTATACTCCGTACTTTATCTCTTGACAAATGACATACTCACGTATCATGCGCAGAACTAACATAGGTGGATTCTCTCGGATTTTAGGCCAAAATGATGAAAAATATGCCCTTTCCGCACTGAGCCAACCTGACACTTGAAACGTGCACGCATATGATCGAGCAATGATTTTCGGTTCGCTCGGAGCAAACTTGTACGCATGCACATACTATCATTTCGACCGTACCCCCCGCGGCGCGCTCCGAGCGAACCGAAAATCATCGCTCGATCATATGCATGCACGTTTCAAGTGTCAGGTTGGCTCAGTGCGGAAAGGGCATATTTTTCATCATTTTGGCCTAAAAACCGAGAGAATCCACCTATGTTAGTTCTGCGCATGTCAAGAGATAAAGTACGGAGTATAGGGGCAAACTGTGCAGCGGTTCTGTGTGAAATGTCTCCATTTTGATGGACGTTTTTGTACTTTATTAGTGTTTTGTGCTGCAGGCAATTTTGCGGGCTTCTTGATCTATGACTATGAGGCTCCACTACCATAGTTCTAGGAGTATCTTCAACCCTCTGTAATCTGTGCAGGTAACGCTTGCAACACGCGCAAGTTATCACACCTAAATTGAATGCCAGTGCGTAGAAATAAGACCACGTAGCGTTAGGGGGTCTAACGAATGACGATACATTGTATCCAAAATGGCACTGTGTCCAAACACGCAGGTCATTTCATTTTCAGTCTAAATACAAAAAATATTGTGGATACTTAGTGATTCCCAAAGCAAAGTCTCATCAAGTATTTTGTAATTTATAATTTGTTATAATACACGTTTAACCCGCCTATTTTTAAGACAAATAAGACAATGTAAGGTCACAAACTGTCAACATTTTCTTCCTCACCTCCTGGCAATGAATAGGCATACTGTGTACAAACCAATGGGGGTCTTGACCAATATTGACCCAAGTAATAACAAGGTTCTCAATGCATGTTTTTAATGAAAAAAAAATTATATTATTAATTAGGCCTAATGAAACTTTGTTTTTCAATTTTATTTTAGGGAAACCAATCAACAGAATGAAAACGTGTAAAAAAATGACAAACTATTTGCACATACCACTTTTCTTGGGTCAGCAGATCGACCACCTTGTCTTGACATAATTCTCAGTGGGATTTCACGTCTCTCGCTCAAAGAAATTGAGAAAAAAACTGATTTATTAAAATGATTTCGACAAAACACCTGCGCCTTGTGTACTGCCCAGTGTAAATGAACGCTCTGGATTTTCAACACCAAAAAGCTGTCTGAAGTCCTGACAACGTACGTATTTACATACCGTGAAGTTTGAATAGCACCAGACTAAATTTTGGAGACGACAAGCCGAGACCCTGGGAACGAGTTCCCGCGGTCACTAAAACATTTACTTCCTGTTTTGAAGTCGCAAGATCGGTGCATCGGGCATCGAAACACTCGGGAAAATGTCGTCTTTAAATATAATCTCGTGGACCCCAGAGGATATTGCAAACTGGATCAAAGGTAAATGTTCATCCGTCTGATGGTTGATAGTGTTTAAGACCTAAGAATCGTTGTATTAATCGGGTAGATTGAGGTAAATTTCCAACCGAATTTACAATCGGGTTTGTCATGTTTGTACATACACTGTATACGCATATTGCACAGCCGGTGTTATGTCAGTTGTAATGTTGTGCATGATTGTTCATTGCGCATTACACTACGTGCAATATGCATGATGGAGGGGGCGGGGCATAACAAGGCTGTTCTTTCTTATTTCTCCTAAAAGTCCTATGATATATTTCTATGGTTAAATCAGTTGTTTCATATTTACTACACTAAGCCTTCGATTCATTCACCAAATGTGCATAAATTGGATCATTGTGTTTTTGTGGGTTTTTTTAATGGTTTTTATTCGGGGGGGGGGGGGTGTGGACTGATTTATTTTTTTTATTGAACTTTGAAGGAAGGTTTTGACACTTTTGTTTGAGTTTGTTTTATCCTGTAAAACTGAAATGATTATTTGTTCATCTACAAAACATTGTGGTGATCGTCATTTTCATATTTTATTTTAATCGCAGTGGCTATTTATATGAATGTCATCATGCGTTTTCCAACAGCTGCTGTTACACAATTGCAACATATTAAAAGTTTTTTGTGTAAATTCTTACAGCAACTGAAGCAATTGGGTAGCTCAGTTATATAAATTGTGTGTGTTTAAGAGCCGAAGTTGCAAAGTTTGGGGACTTTCCCACCTAAAAATATACATTTTCTTACTTTCATTGTTTTAAATGAAATTCGACTCTATATTGAAGTAGATTTAATTTTTCCTTAGTTTCATGGCCTTGCAAAACCACACAGTTTACAACTGACTCTTAACAGCTCTGGAAGATTTTTTTTTTAAGCCCAAGAACTTTTGGTTGACAATTGAAGCATGTTATTGTTTTAGCAACAGCATGTTGATTGTGCCTAGATATTTCAATGGTTTTTGTTGTCCTCATCCAATCATCGCCACAACTTATTTCATCACTCACCATCCCTACCATTCACCACATATTGTAACCCTTTCCACCACCCTAAAAAATTCAAAATTTATTCAAAATACATAGGCCTAAAGATAAGGGGTTTCCGTCAAGTGATGTGCAAACAATGACGGGAAAGAATGTTGCAACCTGACGCTGCCTTCTCAGTGAAGGTCAGTCATTGCAAAAATGATGATAAGACATGAATCTGGGACTGAGAAACATTTCCAATTGTATTAGGAATACTTGTTCTTGACTCTCCATAGACTTTGTACACAACTGCTGAAGTAGCGTCAGGTTGCAACATTCTTTCCCAATGATGCTCCTTTCAAAATCTTGCCATGTTGCTCTGTATAAAAATGTAGGCTTTAGGCCTATAGTTTGCACACAGTCTTTCAAAATACATGAGAAATTTTACAAATTAAACTTTGAGCACCTGTTTTCTCAATCATTATAAAAAGGGATGACAATTGTATTTTCTCTGTCTTAGTCACATGGCATAATGGTAAATTACTGACGAGTCATCAGCAATTACAAATGAAAAGCAAAGGACGTCAATATTCAGACATAATCCAGCGTATCAAATCATTTCCTCTGTCACCTGTCCCCGCGTCACAGTTTGTCTGATTTCCTGAAGTTCCAATAAAAGATAAGTGGTACACGGCTGTGCCAAGGCCTTCAAACAACATGACTTGAAATGCGCACGTCCTGCCATTTCCTACAGTGATCTCATGACTTGGGAAGAGTTTATTTTTGTAACTTGATCTGAAGTACATTTATGTAATAATCTAGTCGTTTATCTTCTTAGTAAAACCCTAAGTCCCTAGCATGATTTACTAGGAACCATACCCATCCTGGCAAATTTCAACACCATGGGAAACTGCACACACAAGCCTGTATTTCTGACTTTGTTTCTGGAGGTGTGCCAACCCTATGTAAAAGACTGTCAGTTTAGGGGTACTGAACCCATCCAGATCTATATTCCAACATTACATGCTGTTGGGTTTTGATTATTTCAGGCACAAATTATCTGGAATCTACCAATTTAATGAGAAAATCCTTGCTCAAAGTGAAGATAGGAATGACCAAATACTCTTTGAAATTATTCCTCCAGAAATTGTATCATTGGGAAGAAAACAATCGTTGAAGGTGGTTAAAAAGTGTGCACGTTGACATAGTTTTTACATGCGTTAGTAACGGAATTCAGTTACAAGACCTCAAAAATTGTGCATACTTGTACGTTTGCTTCTGTTTTCACAAACTGTACAGGGTGAGTAAAAAAAAACGAAACCCAAATGTCGGGCGCATTGTTTTAGTGAAGTTCTGCAAGTAGCACTTTCAAAATCTAGGATATGAAAGCCCAATTCCTTAAGCTTTCTTTTAGTACAAGAATCATTGAAATCATACATGTACTTTTCAAGTTACAGAATTTTAAACACAACCACCGTTTTAAAGTTCTGTCCACGGATCACAAAAAGGTGTTGTGTTCTTTCAGCAAAACGAAAACAATTCACACACATCCCTGTGTAATTTGTTTTCGTTTTGCTGAAAGAACACTGACCTTGGTGTGATCTGTGGACAGAACTTTAAAACGGTGGTTGTGTTTAAAATTCCGTAACTTGAAAAGTACATGTATGATTTCAATGTATGATTTCAAAAACAATGGTCCCAACATTTGGGTTTCATTTTTTTTTATTCACCCTGTACAGTATCCACTGAGGTCAAACTTCAATAAGTTAGTTGTTACATTGTATGCACCCTTCTTAAGCTTTTAGCAATTTTTTTTTCTTCAAATGACAAAAAACACACACAAAGCAAATGATCCTAGATGTACCACATTTGTAGACAAACATGTACTACAGATGTTATCAATATTAGAAGTCATTCTTGTTTTATGTAATTTAGAACTTACAACATGTACAGAAAGTAATTACAAAAACAGGTTAATAGGCCCTATACACATGTACAAAATAGAACTGTTACATACTTAATATGTATAAATATTAAAGAAATCCGTCCAAAACTTCTAAAAGTAAAATTCTTTTAAAATGTCAATCTTTGTGTGGCCTTTTTGTGATCAATATCCATTGTTACATTTCATTTCATGGTTCATTTTGCACTGGTAAATTTTTATTCTAAAATATGTTTTCCCCACAAAATACACATAGCTAAATAATAAGTCATCAAACCGCATGGAATTCAAAGGAAAAACCTATTGTCTGAAAGGTCATCCACAGTACCTATATTGTTGTGGAGTGAATTGGACCGTTCAAAGTCAAGTTCTCTACTTGTTTACCACATTGATACACATGAATGATTTCTGCATTGGGCATAATGTAAAAATACTATGACATGTACTAAGACCCCCAAAAAAGTCTCCCGTGTCTGGTATGGAGCTTGTCCCAAAAGTGGTGTGGCCATGCGGGTGTTTTTTCCCCCTATTTTTTTTCTTCAAATGTTGGCTGATGTAGCAGATGACACTTCGATCCCTTAAAACTCTCAAAAATTTCCTTCGTAGTGGAGCTTGAAGTGACCTCAGTATTAAGGCCATAATGCTTGAGAATTCTGCACCTACTCATGATCTTGACAGACACGAAAATTCTTCAGAAAATTTGGATAGTCAAGACAAAAATCAGAGAAAACGGTAACGTCAGACCATGCAGGGACATCGTGCATGACAAAATTACAACACTGTCTGCAAATGGTGCCCGCGTGCAAAATGTATTGGAGCCCACAGAGAGGCCACATAAAGCTTTCACTCAATCGGAACCCTTTTTAAAAATTGACAGTTAGTCCAGAACGGGCGTTCTCTTTTGAGGTTTTACACCATGACATTATGATGGCTTTTGAAAGTCTTGAAGTTTGGAAAATTCATCATGTTCATAGTGCAAGCACCTTGATCGTATTTTACTTCATAACAAAATTATAGACATGCCATACACTGTATCTTGCACAACCTAGTTTTTGCTGTAGTTGTTGCGGCTTTGTGTATTTTTCCAAATCGACCTTCAACTGTACACAATATAAATTTTCATAAAGAACGCCAGGAACCTTGTATGACTTATATGACCTCCATTGTGTATAGGAAGGATTCAGTGTGCGGGAATTTTAGAAGGAAGCACCTGTAGATTTTAGATTAGTACTTCCTGAAAATACCAAACCCCAGTAGGACTGTGCGCTCATTTATGATGTAGGCAATCAGTATATAATTGTGATGTGTTTTACTTTGCCCTGGCGATCAAACAGCGATAGTCACATAAATCATTGAAGACTACCTGTTGATGTTTTAATGTAATGTAAACGGCGGTTTTGTTAGTGTATTAAGAGTTGTGTTTACCCTTTCTGTGCTATGCACACATTGGACTGAGTTCCTTGTGTGCATACTGTTGTTAAAGGGAATATACAACATTTGCAAACATCGAAAAACAAAACTACCAAGGTTTTACGAAATACCTTACTAGGATGTTGGTAAATGACAGTCTAAAGCATCCTGTAAAATTATGGCACCTGGTGTGAAGTCATTTTCAAGAAAATGGCATTTTGTATACATTTTTAACGGTGGTCGGCTGACCACCGTTGGAAAAACCTAACTATTTTTCAACTACTGCTCCAAATTTACAATGTTTTTTTCTGTCAAAATGTTGTTTGCTATTGGTTACATGTTCATGAACGGGTACAGGCCAGCTAGACTGGTTCCCTTACCTTACAATTTTCCGGCATCTATAAATTTATCCATTTTATCTTTACTGGAGTCAGGGAATCAGACTACTTGAGCATTTTTGTTTTTCTTGGTTTTTCCAGCATTTTCGAACACAAAACTTCAAACATGTCAGTGTAACAATATTTGATCTATTATACTAACCCCTCAAATAGTTCATTTCTGAAAATAACAGCAAAAGCCAATGATGTACATTCCCTTTAAAGGCATTCCTTTCTTGCTACAGAAGGAAGGAAATAACATTTTGGGACAAGGAAAAAAACTGCATTTTGACATCGATGCCAAGTACAAATTCTGCATAACATGAAAACACTAGTGTGCAGTTTTGTTACATTGCAATGTTGAGGCCAAGAAATAGAAAATTGTTTCCTATAACGTTGAAGAAAAAAAAAGGGTGGGTGGATTGCTATTTTTTTCCCTGTAAATTTTATTAGCTAAAGCAAACAAAGTAATATATGTCAAAGACTGACCGAAAAACAAAAAGTTACAAAAAACAATTTATCAACCTGACCAGATGATTTGAAGAGCCTCACCTAAAAAGCGCATAATTTTTTGGCCTAAGGAATAAATTCCATTCACTTCCAAACATAGTTTCTGTTGTACATGTTCATGTGTAATAGAAGGATTAGGCCTCTTATTGACGTAAAATTTAGTGATTCCATACTGTAGTTCATGATATTATGGAGGTTTTTTGCTATAACAATAACAGTAATAATACCGGAGTCTTATATAGCGCACCTATCTACCAACAATTAGGCACTCAAGGCGCTGGAAATTCAAGACAGGTAAATGAAATTTATGAGAAATTATAAGACCCATTATGTGGCACCTTGTAAGGGTTTACAAGGTGCTGCAGTGAATATTGCAGCTACTGCCAGAAACACCGGGGCAAACCCCTTTTCTTAGCAATAAGTGCAACTGGGTTCTTAAACGTGCATTACACAACACACGGGACCTTTGGCTTTACATCCCATCCGAAGGATGAAACAATAATGGTAAAGTGCCTTGCTCAAGAGCACAAGCACCATGTTCCTACGGTCAGGATTCAAACCCATGTACCACGGCACACGAGTCGAACACCGTAACGATTGGACCACAGCACCCCAACAACAATGATATTTTTTATGGGTAAATTTGGAAATCCATTCTGAATGCAATCATGTCTTCCTGGACAGAATCAGAATAGATTCCAAAATATGTTTGGTTTCAAAACATTTTAATTAAATTTTTCCCCACCTATCCTGCCAGGACTAGATAGTTCCTTGGAGCAGTACATTCCAAACTTCCTCGCCCACTCAGTAACCGGCGACCGTCTCCTGAAGATGACGATACAGGAACTTGAAGACATGAAGATTACTAAGATGGGTCATCAAGAACTCATGTTGGAGGCCATTGATCTCCTCTTGATGGTGGTAAGTCAATCGAGAATTGCACATTTCAAAATAGGTCCAGACCTGGAATTTGGTAAGATATTTTCTGGCAGTTAAATTTGTTGTACATGGTGACTATTATATTGTTAAGGGTATTTCTATCCATTTTTCCCCGCTTAATTCCATCAGCATTATGCACACCCGACGGAGACCTTACAGACAGTGGCCCTGAATCTGAACACCAAGGCCAGTAACCTGGCTAGCCTGTTGAAGCAGAGATTGCAGTCAGGGAACCATCCCCAAGACCGACTGTACAGCGCGCCTTCTACCATCCTACTCAAAGTATCCGAGACGATATCCGCTGCCAAGACACTGATCTCATGGCTTGACAGGTAAGCTGTCAAAGTTGCATTTACAAGGCACTGAGTTTCTTAAAGGTACAGTCCATCATTTGTAATTTGGGCATTATGTTCATTTGAAACAACAAAAGTGCTCAAGTCTAAAGAAAGGTGCCGAACAACTAACCTGATGAAGTTTCAGCTCAGTGAATACTGTATATTCTGAGAAAATAATATTCTAGGATATCGATTTCAAATCAAAAGTTGCTGAGTCATGTTTTGAATTGGGCCTGAATTCAGTGTCTGGGACACGTTCTCACTGAGCCGATTGCAGCTACGTGATGTCGCATACTGAATCGACGAAATTATAGCAACTGCACGCACGTGTGCATCGTGTCAACACTTTCGCGCGCTTCGACGAACTAAAAGCGAACAAAACTAACAAATTTCCAAGAATGCGTCTTTAGATGCTTCATTGGAAATGGCTTTCTTTCATTATTTTCTTCAAAATGACAGCTTGCCAGAAAGAATAATTTCACAGGGAGATTAGTCCCATAACTATCTTTAACACCAAGTATGCTTTTCAACAATTATTACGTCAGTTACTTTTTGGAGAGCTGCAAATGATGGACTGTAGCTTTAAGGGGCAAAGTTAAACTGTAGGAGCTTAGCACTAACATGTACTCCATGGTCATTTCTTGCTCCTTGAAATCCATTTGTTTTTATTAATGATGCCACTCAAAATCCAAAGAAGAATGTTCAAAACCTAGCCCTTTGAAGCTTCAGCTCAGTGGATATTACACTTTTCGAGAAAACAGTGAAATACCATGCACAACCTTTTGATCACAAAACATGATTTCGTCTATAGCACTCTTTATTTCCAAATGTCAGTCAATTGACTGATCGTTGGAAATCACCTACATTTCTTGATATCTTTTAAATGGCAGCAAGCCAGACGGAATAATTTCACAGGGGTGTTTAGTACCGTAATGATCTTTAATTAGACAAATATCAGTTATATTGTGTTTTGTGTTTTGTGGTTTTTTTTTTAATTTCCCAGACCGCCATTTTCCACTGGGCCAGAGAAAGATTTTCAGGAGTTCAGTAAAGACATCTTGCACTATGCACTTGAGATGACCCAAGCCGTGCAACTACATCACAACTTGGCTGAAGCACTGCCGGAAATCAGAGCCATCGTAAGCTTAAAGGAATTTTTACGCAAACTTTTAAGTAGAGGTGTAATCCAGACATCACAAAGCAATCACAATGCCTCATAAATTAATCACAAATCAATTACAAGACATTGCAAGTCATCACAAGTCATCACAAGTCAGTCACATGTCAGTCACAAATCATCACAAATCAATCCCAAGTCCTCACAAGTCAATCGCAAGTCAACCACAAGTCAACCACAAGTCAATCACAAGTCAATCACAAGTCAATCACAAGTCAATCACAAGGCAATCACAAGTCAATCACAAGGCAATCACGAGTCAATCACAAGTCAATCACAAGTCAATCACAATTCATCACAAGTCAATCGCAAGTCAACCACAAGTTATCACAAGTCAATCACAAGTCAATCACAAGTCAATCACAAGTCAACCACTAGGCAATCACAAGTCAATCACAAGTCAACCACTAGGCAATCACAAGGCAATCACAAGTCAATCACAATTCAATCACAAGTCAATCACAAGTCAATCACAATTCAATCACAATTCAATCACATGCCAATTGCAAGTCAATCACAAGTCAATCACAAGTCAATCACAAGTCAATCACAAGTCAATCACAAGTCATCTCAAGGCAATCACAAGTCATCACAAATTCAATCGCAAATCATCACAAGTTATTCACAGGCCATCAAACCTGAAGTCAAGTGACAATAAACAATTATAGTGACAATTATAGTTCACCTCCTGCTACTTGTGATTTCAGTTGTGACACTTGTCATTGTACTTGTGATTGACTTATGATTGTTTGGAAACAAACTGTGATTTCAAGTATTGCACTTGTCTTTTGTGATTTCTGTTATTGCCGCCTTGCATGATTATGGAACTGCTTGGTCCTTGTCAAGCCTCACAGAAGTTTTGTTTTTCCTCTTGATTTGTTTAAGGCAAAAGAGTTTGCAGCGATTGCGGACAATCTGATCAAGCAATCAACAGATCCCCTCGTGATTCAACCCACAACGGTCGAGGAGGTGAGAATCAAGAAGAGCAGACCAGAGGAGGAACTGGTGAGTTTTAATGCCTTTACTTTGTCAATGTCCTGGGTTTAGAATTTGGTTTTATTTCATCCAACTTCGTAAAGATGTGACAAACTTAACAATTTATGGTGATACATTGTTTCTTGTTGAAGTATAGCAATGACAAGCTGATTTTAAGGAAATGAGCTCAATCCATGCACACTTACATCTGTCAGTGTGTATGTGTACCATAAATAAGCCAGAGAGCGCCCTCTACCGTTCCTACGCAGAGCCAATAAATGTCTTTACATGTTTGTGTTGTGCAATCATGCCATAAATCAGAAATCATTGTAAAATAAAAAGTGGAGGTTTTAAGACCTGATGCCATATTTAATACAAAGTTGCAATTATTAAATGAGAATAATTTAGTTGAAACCAGATTTTGCTCGCAAATTTGTACACTTAGTCCTTGAAACTTGCTGATAGAAAATGGCACTTATGTCAAGCTAGAATTTTCTTGTAATATTAATTTGTAATGGGCTAGCTTTTACCACAGATTCAAAATTGGCTCCGCTAGATTTTAGCTACATTAAGTCCTTGAAATGTGCTCAGGCCAACGAGTACTTGGTTAATTTCCTTGTAAGTTGCAGTGAGCTGAGTTTCACTTCAAAAATAAAATTTGTTGAGAAACAGGAAAATCCCTCATCAAATGTAGAACATTAGTCAGCATAGAGGGAATACACAACATTGGTGATGCAATCAAGCGAAATAATTCGTTTGACGGGAACTTTCATTTTGAGATTTAAGCCAAAATAGGGCCAATTCATCACATCACTTCATCACATCTCTTGGTGTTCCGACTTCCATAATTTTTGAACTAAAGATGGTATCAGCATGCAGTTTTCACAGCAGTAATGCTGAGAGTGTGCTCTTTTCAAATCTGTAAAAAAAAATGGACCACGGTCGAAAAATGACTCATTTAGCTTGATCGCATCACATTTGCTTTTGCTGTAATTTTCAGAAATGGACGGATTTTGGGGGTTAGTATTTTATGCCAAATATTGTTACACTGACTTGTTTGACGTTTTGGGTTCATAGATGCTGGAAAAACCAAGAAAAAAACAATCATGTTCTTGTAGTCTGGTTCCCTGACCTCACTTTAGATGAAACGGAGCAATTTATAGATGTCGGGGAATTGTAGGTCGGGGAACCAGTCTAGCTGGCTTATACCCGTTTACAGGTGTGTAATCGCTTGCAAAGAGAATGCGAACTAACTAAACACGATAAATTGGGAGCAGTATTTGAAAAAGCCAGTTTTTTTCCAACGTTGGTCGGCTGACCAGCGTTGGAAGTTGATACAAAAATAGCCCTTTTCTTGAAAATGTCAGCACACCAGGTACCACGATTTTACAGGATGCTTCAGAGTGTCATTCTGTTACAGTCCAGTAAGGTATTTCACAATAATTGTTTGCAAATGTTGTATATTCCCTTTAAAAGCCGGTGTAGAATCATAGAATAGTTTGCCTCAAAGGTCTCTCATTTCCTTGTTATTTTACCAACGTTTGTTCAACATTTCCTCTTTCCTGTAGGGTCTCTTTATCAAAACATCAACCATTGACGGAATCCATTATATAACTGGCACCAAAGATCAGGTCAGTATTGTGTGCTCAATGGAAAAGTTCAAATTTAATTCAGCTTCGATTTTCCCGGACAAAACTAAAACATGATAATTTTTTTCTTTAATGAAAGAGATTAAACCGTTTGAGAGAACATCCAGTGACTCTTTGCTGATTATATGCAAATATTGAACATACATGAAACAGTCGCTGACTTGTAGTCTGCATTGTTGGGACTGAGACAAAGTTAGAAATCCTGTTTAGACCAAGTCCAACACAAGTCATGTACGAAGGTCAATTTGGCACAAATTTATAACTTGATAAATTTAACAATTTTTATGATACAAGGATCCTATAAATTTTATTACAGTCATTACTAATGTTAATCATGCTGTATAACATTAATTCATAAAGTAAGCTTCTTTACCAGCTAAATTTGTCACTTTAACAGTAATACTTGTCATTTGCATATACATGTATGTATCTTGCACTACTGTTTCAGTCTGCGGCAAGCTTAAGCAGAAAAGTGGGCCCAGGAGATGAGCTGCTAAGAGTGAATGAACAAACAGTGGTAAGCAAATATGCATAGGAAAAATTAACAAGTCTCAGTTAAACTCAGTGACGTCACTCTGACAGTTTTATTTCAGTTAAAGCTTATTCATTTAAAAGGCTTAATTTTGAGATATTTACTTGGAAAGTTCTACGTTTTCATTTTAGACTAACTGAATATATCACTGACTTCAAGGAATGCTGCAAAATCATGAAACCACAAAAAAAAAATATAAAGTGGTCATTTTTTGTGATTGGCACGTAGAGCACATACAAAATTTGGAGCATTGAAACCAGATGTTCAGTACAGTGATGTTAGTTTTTAGCATTGATCAATGTTGACTCTCATTTCAATGAAATTTCCCCGAACTTTTTGCTGATCCTAAAGGGCCAGCATAGTATCCTCTTTGCACCTTGCACACTGACTGACTGACTGACGCTAGTGAGCCGGGCAGTGCTATTGTATAGGATAACCATGTAACGCCAATGAATGGGCCCAATCCGGTCCATTGTGTAAACAAGATGCATGAAAAGACTTGCAGTGAATAGCCATTTTGAATCAATTCAGGCGATTTACAATGCAGTGCGCCACCAAGAGTTTGCTACGGAGTGTTCATATGTACCCAGTGCATTGTGGGAGATGGTTGACAAATTTGCAGCGCGGGACATTTGAAATTTTTCATTTTCTGGTCGGTAGTTTTGTAAGCTTATGATTCCAGTATCTGTTTGCCATTTTCTTTTCTTTTTGTCAATAATGGTGTTTTTTGTAAGGCGTCAGAACGCTATGCCCAAATCTATAACAAACTATCTCAAGTTGTATACTGACACTCATTCAAATGGTCCATGTTTTATATACCGAGAGAAATGGACTCTCCATGGCAAACTCTTGGAGGCGCATCGCATTGTGAATCGCCAAAATTGAATAGAATTGTGTGCATCCTGGGGCCAGCTTCACTAGCCTTGCCTTGCCTTGTCGCCCCTCACAGGTCAGTTGGGAGCACAGTAAGGTGGTCACAGCCCTCAAGCATGACCCCATGGGCGTCTGTCTGACCCTCCGTAAACGCCCCTGTAACCTAGGCTCCCCAGGCCAGGTCATCCGGCCGGGGAATTCCCCATATACCATACGGCATGGAGGCACGCCCCAGCTCATGCGCAAGGACAGTAAGGACAGTTTCCCTTCCATGAGGTCGCCGATTACGACGGGAGAATTCCTGATGCCGATGTCGCCCCACGATGTGCTGATCACGAAACAGAGAAGGTACTTACAGACTTGTCATAAAGTCATCGCAAGTCATCACAAGTCATTCACAGATCAATCATAAGTCAATCACAACTCCATTAAAAGTCATCACAAGTCACTTTGAAATCATCACAAGTCAATCACAAGTCATCACAAGTCGAATAACAGATAAATTAGTCCAGCGGATATGTGAAAAAATTGTGCACTTTTGCATAAAAGCGTGAAACTTGGCACAGATGTTTATATTCATATTCATAATGAAACCCCCCTTTCTTTTAATGGCTGCCACGCCCCCAAAAAGGTACTTTTGTGGTGGCTCCGAATCTGGAAAACACTAATAATCTATATAATTATGTCTTTGTGAAGTTTCCTGCTTTTGTAACAAGTGGGAATAACCGTTTTCACTGCGGGCACAACAAGTCCCGCCCCTCCTTTTTTAAATGGATGCCGAGCCCCTAAAAGGGTAAATTTGCTAGGGCTCCACATCTAAAACATTTTTCGCATGAATATAAACATCTGTGCCAAGTTTCACACTTTTATGCAAAAGTGCACAATTCACCGATATTTTGTCACATATCCGCTGGACTAAATTGTAAGCCAGTCATAATTCAATCACAAATCAATGACAAGTCTAATAATTCAAATCACAAGTCATCAAAAGTCAACGTGAGTCATCACAAGTCATCTCAACTCGTATCACAAGTCAATCACAAGTCATCACAGGTCGAATCACAGATAAATTGTAAGCCAGTCACAATTCAATCACAAATTAATCACAAGTCTGATAATTCAAATCGCAATTCAATCATAAGTCATCAGAAGTAAATCACATGTTCAATCACAAAACAGTTACAAGTCATCCTGGCTGAAGTAAGCGACAAGCTATTGATATGCCTGAATACTCAGTCATCCCGAGTGTGTAAGATGTTTGCAAATGCATGAATATGTTTTCTGGTTATTTTTTGTTCCTCATCCGAGTGCACCTTTTTTTTTGAAACCCAGTAACAGTGATCCTGAGACCCAAAAAGAGGCCCACGAGACTCACTCCGACTCAGAGTCTCTGGTCCAAGAAGCGGAGAGAATCAAACGTCAACGACGAGGCACGATGGGCGAAGGCTTGCAGAGGAAAGGCAGTAAGGGTCAGACACCGGAGGGCCGGCCGAGATCGCTGCCAATCAACACAGAAGAACTGGTGGCAGAGGGTAGGGTCTATTTGCTGTTTTTCTCTAGTGGACTCTATGCATGTATATTAGATGGGTTTCATAACCACTTTGGGGTGAATGTGGCCAAGTGGTTAGGGTTCGTGACTCATGATTAGAGGGTCAGGGGTTAAAATCCAGCTGCTGGTCGTATGTTGTGTCCTTGGGCAAGCCACTTTACCACCACTTGCCTCTCTCCACATCAGTGGGTCAGGGGTTAGAATCCAGCTGCTGGCCATATGTTGTGTCCTTGGGCAAGCCAATTTACCGCCATTTGCCTCTCTTCACATCAGAGGGTCAGGGGTTAGAATCCAGCTGCTGGTGGTATGTTGAGTCCTTGGGCAAGCCACTTTTACCACCATTTGCCTCTCTCCACATCAGAGGGTCAGGGGTTAGAATCCAGCTGCTGGCGGTATGTTGTGTTTTTGGGCAAGCCACTTTACCACCACTTGCCTCTCTCCACATCAGAGGGTCAGGGGTTAGAATCCAGCTGCTTGCCGTATGTTGTGTCCTTGGGCAAGCCACTTTACCACCACTTGCCTCTCTCCACATCAGTGGGTCAGGGGTTAGAATCCAGCTGCTGGCGGTATGTTGTGTCCTTGGGCAAGCCACTTTACCACCATTTGCCTCTCTCCACATCAGAGGGTCAGGGGTTAGAATCCAGCTGCTGGTCGTTTGTTGTGTCCTTGGGTAAGCCATTTTACCACCACTTGCCTCTTACCACTTCACATCAGAGGGTCAGGGGTTAGAATCCAGCTGCTGGCCGTATGTTGTGTCCTTGGGCAAGCCACTTTACCACCACTTGCCTCTTTTCACATCAGAGGTTGGGGGTTAGAATCCAGCTGCTGGCCGTATGTTGTGTCCTTGGGCAAGCCACTTCACCCCCACTTGCCTCTCCTCCCAGGAGTATACATGTAAAACTCTAATTTTTTAATATATCTTAGTTTGAACACTTATTTGACTTATCATTCTCCCAATTGTCTTTCAGTGGCTAAGTGGACAGCCCCGTCTATTTCTGCCCGGCCTGATTTTTCTCCCATCGCGGGCAGCCCGTCTAGCCCAGCCACCGCAAGCACCCAGACCTCCCCCTTACTCGGGGGCGATAAAACCCCAAACCGGACCACAAATCCTAAAGATGCCCCACCCGTCCCCGCCAAACCCTCCCTCAAGAAAGTTTCAATCTCCACAACGGACGGCTCAAGTCCATCCAGGACAGATGCCTTGGATTCACCCTCGATTCTTGTCAGACCGGAGTTTGAAATTAGCAAACCGACCGAAGATGAAAATTCCCAAGACCCCGCTGTCCTAGATGAAACCGAAAGATCCTCAGAAGCCGATCAAAAAAGTCCAAAAGATCCTGAAAAAACGCCTGTAACTACCCCTGACACTGAGCCTGAATCCACAGCCAAGAACACAAATAACAACGTGGATGCCTCCATGGCAGGAAATCAGCAAGAGGTCACGAATGAAGTGTCAGGGGTCGCAACCTCGGACATAGATGATTATGTCTTGGTGGAAAACAAGAGTCCCCTGTCACCATCTAAATCGGTGAGGTATGTAGAGCTGTAGGTTGAGCTTTGCTTTTATGATATGTTGTTTGGTGTATTTCTGCATGTTGGGTTTTGCCTATTAGTTTAGTATGACTCTGTGTTAACTTTAAGGAAAAGGCTGTTACAAAAATTGCATTTTAACCAGTTTGCGTTGGAGGACGTGATAACACGCACTGGCTGTTTTTATACACAGGCACGGCTGACGGGTTGAAACGTCAAGATTGCCTCGACTCGCTTCCGGGTGATGTCTAAACATGCTAATCCCTTGTGCCTTTAGTACACACACACAAAGTCCGTGAAGTCTGTGGAGGCGGACCGTGTGTTGATCTTGTATTGGCCGTTGTGCAAGGCCTATTGTACAATTTACGCTCCAGTGCACACCCCGGAGTATTGAAACATATGAGGTTTTGGCAAGAAGTATTGTACAAATACTGTACTGTTGAAATATCAGAAGTTGGCTGGAAAATGTTGCCTTTTGCGAAAATTGAAATTTCGGCAAAAAGAATCCCGACGCGAAAATAGCAAAACCATAATTGCTAGGTAATATTTTCTTCATAGCAGCTAATTGAAACAGGCATTACGATAATCAATGTCTTTGTCTTTAGGTAGAGTAGACCTTTTGTAATTTGTGCATTTTTTTTTTTTTTAAGCAACAACAGTGCTCAAAATCTAAAGATGGATGCTTAATAACTAACCTGATGAAATTTTAACTCAGTGAATGCTGTTTATTCCGAGAAAAAACTGGATCTCGAGTTCAATTTCAAAGTAGCTGAGTCTTATTTTAAATTGCGCCCTCTCGTGACTCAATCCTGAAATCGGCATCCGGGACGTGATTCTCATTCAGTCGGTTGTAGCCCATTCAAGGATTTGCCCAATTGCAAACCAACTACAAATAAAAATGCATGGGGGCAGATTCACGGAAATTTCCAAAAGTGTGTCACTTGACACATCTGAATGACATTTCCAGTGGCGAAAATAATTGATTTGTGGTGCTTTGAATTTGAAGCCTTGTTTTTCTTTTCTTTTTTCCAGTTTCTTTGAACGGTCTCAGTCCAATGCATCGGAATTATCTGTGACTTCTGTAAGTAGCCAAAAAGGTCATTCAAATTTCAAATCCTTTTGCCCAAAGTCACGATGGCTAGCAACATTAGGCCAAAAAAAAAAAGTCTCCGGTTTCTGGTATGGAGCTTGCCCCAAAAGTGGTGCGGCGACGCGGCTTTTTTTTTTTTGGGGGGCTTCAAATGTCGGCTGATGACTGCAAATGGTGCCCGACTAAACTTAGTGCAAATATATGGGAGTCCAGAGAGGCCACATAAATCTTATTCTCGATCATAACCCCATCTAAAAACACGTTAAAATTGTGCAGCAGCAGAATTCCAGTCAAACCAGTGAGTTTGGCGGTTTTAAAACATCATCTTGTATTGAAAAAAAAACTTTTTCATTTTGCCGACGCGCATGGCTACGGCGACGCGCGCGCATACCAGAAACCGGAGACTTTTTTTTTTTGGCCTTAGCAATGCTGCAAACCTGGGAAAAATATATATTTAAAAGAAGTGAAAAATTTGGACTGTTATGAAACTTTGAAGGAAAAAAACCCCAATAACTTCTGTTTTTGCTTTATAGTATTGTAAAATTGTCTTTAACTATGTAATAGGTGGGAGTCAGGTTGGGAGTTGGGAGTCAGGTTGGCGTAGCGGTACTTTCCTCGCCTTCCACCGCTGTGACCCGGGTTCGAATCCCGCCTGGGCCAATATGTGGATTGGGTTTTCAGTCTCTTGCCTGATTCCGTGGGTTTTCCCCCAGAATTTTCTTCTGGGCTTTTCCTCCCACCTCTAAAACTGTAACTTCTTCTCATTGTCTCCTCTCTACAGGGTTTCTTCAGGCTTGCGAGCTACAGTGCCTAGGGCGCTCTTGAGGAATCCTTAGTTTCATTACCAGAAATGACAACAAAAAAAATAATAATAATAATTATTACCCTGGATTGGACATTTGGGAGACATCCCCATAAACTTGTGCACAAAATTGTTCAAACTTCAATGTGCCCTAACCCAATATTCCCTTGTTCTTTTTCCACGAACTTCGGTATGTTTACTAATTAGACCACGAGCAACAAATATAACCTAATTGCAACAATAACATTGTGCCTCTAAAGGGGGGCTGTGACATTAGGGAGTAATGACCGATGTCTCCCATCGTGCGAAGAAATTACGATAACTTGTCTCCTTAGTGGTACCTTTACACTAATAATAATAATAATAGCCATCGAAACTGACTGAGTAGGATTCTAAAAGATAACAAAATGGCATTTTTGTTTTGGAACATTTTGATTGCCAAACTTAAAAGAAGTGTTTGGTAATTGTTGAAGGTAATGTCACTCACTTTGCTGTGTGATTCCCTGTCCCCTATGCAGAGTGGTGTGAGACTCCGCCCCAAGAAAACCAAGCGGAAGTACAAGGTATCCCGGGGCGTGTCCTGCGTGGACCTCGGCCCGGGGGAGTGCCAAGGATGGCTTCACAAGAAGAACGAAACCAAGCAGACGTTCCGATCCAACTGGGTGGAGATGTGGTTCGTTCTCAAGGACTTTGTGCTGTACTACTATAAAAACAAAACTGTAAGTGGTGCACAGTTCAACTTTTAATTTGTTAATGTCGATGAAATCAACAAATTAAATATTGATAATGGTGATCAGGAGGTGTTACGGTCTCCGTGCGCTAATGAAAGAGGGCGCCCTTTTACCTAGCAACGACGTCCCATGGGCAGGACATTTTGCTGGTTGACGTGCACCGTTCCTTGTGTGTGACGCACGTACACCAGGGGATTTGTACTTTGTACACGCAGTGGCCGCACATCGCGGCAGTGCATTGCAGTCAGGCAAGATGGCATCGGTCGGTCACCCCCAACTGTACTTTCTTTGCCGGTGAGGGTGTACTTGTGAACGGAGCAGATAGGTGCATATTTGGCCAGATTTGGGGAAATTTTTTGAAAATTTCATGTTTTTACATTGCTTACTTACCTTCTTTCAACGGTGTGGGTCACAGAAAATCCACAGAATGCCTTGCATTTTACTGAGAAAATAATGAAAACCACATTTGCTCTCATCTGATGCTGCAGCAGCTTTTGGCCCAGTCTTTACGTATTTCAAGTATTTCAACTGTCAACAAGGGACTGCCATCCCATAATGTGACAATTTTACCGATCCTACACATATATGTGCAGTGGCGGATCCAGGGGGTGCGGAGGGGATGCCCCCCAAAAAACAAGGAAGATTAAATTTTTAAATTGCAACTTGGTTTCCAGGATACAAAGGCCAAAGGAGTGCTCTGTCTGCCAGGCTATCTCGTCTCAGAAGCTTCAGAGTCAAAGAGGGAAAAGTAAGTAAAGATTCCCATTATTTCTTTAAACTGAATAGCTTTGGTATATACTTGACATAAGCATCACAAAAACTCTCAATTACAATAATATTCTAACATCTTTGACTTTATAATAGGCTTTCTTTTAGTTTTGCATATATGTTTCCTGGAGACACTTTATCCATCTTGAAAACTTTTGTACTGATGATAAAAAAACAAAAGTTGTATTAATTCCCATCCCACTCTACGAAGAATTGTCTTCTTTTAACCAGTTTGTGTTGGAGGATAAAACGTACTGGCTGTTTCTGTACACAGGCACCACTGACAGATTAAAACGTCAAGATTGCCTATAAATGCATATCCCTCGTGTCTTTTGTACACACACACAAAGTCCGTGAAGTCTGTGGAGGTGGACCGTGTGTTGATCTTGAATTGGCCGTTGTGCACGGCCTATTTTATTGTTGTACAATTTACGCCATAGGGCGAGACGCAATAGATTGGATCATGTTGTGGCCATTCAAATCAACGTAACCAAAGCGAGGCAGGAAGGAAAAATAGTCTGGTTCTTTTTTGCACAAAAAAAACATCATTCAGTACCATTATTGGATACAGGGAACATGACTGAAATGGTGGCTGGATGATAAAGGTATATTGGGCCTAGTTCCTATAGTACTGTATACCTGTATCATGATGCTTTTATCCTTTTTTTTTTTTTTTTGATCAGTGCTTTCAAGGCTTCCCACAAGGGCACCAAGCCGATCTACTTCGCTGCCCATCGGCGTCAGGACATGGAGAAATGGATTCGGAAGCTAGGCCTGGCTGCCATCATGTATGCGGATGAGAAGAGGATGAGACAGTCTGTGATCTTTGAATCAGAACCGTCGTTAAACGTCAGCGCTATGATGCAAAGTAAGCTGGAGAATATGGCCCAGTTGTTATCAAGTCATCACAAGGCGTCACAAGTCAATCGCAAGACAATTACAAGTTAATCACAATTGAAATGAAAGTCAGTCACAAGGCAGTCACATCTCAATAACAAGTCAATCACTTGTCAATCACAAGGCTTCACAAGACATCACAAGGCATCACAAGCCATCAAAATCAATCGCAAGTCTATAGCAAGCAAGTCAAAGGAAAATCACAAGTCAATCACAATTCATTTATTTGCCAATCACAAGGCATCACAAGTCAATTGAAAGTCAATCACAAGTCCATGGCAAGTCAATCACAAGACAATCACAAGTCAATCACAATTCAATTACTTGTCAATCACAAGGCTTCTCAAGACATCACAAGGCATCACAAGCCATCAAAATCAATCGCAAGTCTAAAGCAAGCAATTCAAAAGAAAATCACAAGTCAATCACAATTCATTTATTTGCCAATCACAAGGCATCACAAGTCAATCGAAAGTCAATCACAAGTCCATGGCAAGTCAATCTTAAGACAATCACAATTCAATTACTTGTCAATCACAAGGCATCACAAGTCATCAAAGTCAATCACAAGTCCATAGCAAGCCAATCAAAGGAACATTACAAGTCAATCGCAATTCATTTATTTGTCAATTACAAGGCATCACAAGTCAATCGAAAGTCAATCACAAGTCCATGGCAAGTCAATCCCAGGACAATCACAAGTCAATAACTTGTCAATCACAAGAAATCACAAGGAATCACAAGTCAATCACAAGTCTACAGCAAGTCAATTAGAAATCGATCACAATCCAGTCACGAGTCTATCGCAAGTCCATAGCAATGTCTACACAATGAGCCTGATTTTGTCCATTCATTGGCATTTTGAGGGAATCCTATACGATAGAACTGCCCAGCTCTTTTCACTATTTCACAACCAGTCCAAGCCACAAGTGACAGTCAGTCAGTATTCAGTTAGTCAGAGAGATAGGTACAGAGAGAACACTAGACTCACCCTCTTCAACCAGCAAAAGAAATTTGCACGGGTGGGACTCGAACCCACAACCTTCTGCTTACTAGAGCAGTCATCGTATTGTGAATTTTTCTCCTTGTCCAGGTGTAGATGGTTACCATAGCGAAAGTGACGATGAAGACAAAAGCGACAAATCCAGTCCCGTCTCCCCAACCTCCAGCGACAAATCAGACGAAAGCTCCAGCGGTTCACCGCAACACAAACACAAGTACAGACGAACGCAGACTGCTCCCGATCTGCTCAGCGGTGGGTCAGGTAGCCCAACTCCTATACCCAAATCCTACTTGAAAAACAAGAAAGAGTCTGGCATCGCCAGTCCGAACTCGCCGAAGGGCAGCCCGAAAATCATGCAGCGCGTGCTGCAGACGATCCGTCGACACAGCCGCGGGAATCTGAATATCCAACCGTCAGAGTTGGCTGGCTTGCAAGGGAAATTCGCCACACGTCGGAATTCATCCCCATTTGGTAAGAGGTGGCTTAATATCGGACCGACACAAAACAGGGTTTGAGTTTTTAAAAGTTGAGAGCTTGATCCATTTGCGATTTCCACTTTGGTGCTGTTTTTCAGAAATTGATATTTTTGCCTTAATATTGTTTGTGGACATTTTACAGATGTACCACAACTTAATGTCAAAGTTAAATGCTTATTAAAATTCTAAAGTACAATCTCGTCAGAGTTACACTTAACCCTAGGCCCTCTGGCTAGGATGCAACCTCAATTCTGCAAAATCCTCCAATTGCCACCAAGAAAAAAATTGGATTTAGCCTCAATCCTCCAAAATCGTCCGTTATTTCTTGAATTCAGTCTGTGGTGGGTGACCACTGCCTCAATCCTCCAAAATCCTCTGCTTACTGCTATGGTTCGAGGCAATGTGAACGGCGTTTAGAAGCAGTGCAGATGAAATATGAGAAAAACACGGGGCTGATTTATGCATGGCTGATAATGACCAATGCAGGATATGGCCTACTTGCTTGACGTAATGCATCCTCCCCAAAAAAGCGATACATCTTTGCCATTCGTCCTCAATCCTCTAAAATAATCCAAAACTGGCACGAGGAATTTGGAGGATTAGGGTTAATTGGTGATAATTTTCAAATGGATCTTTCTCAACTTTAGGAAGCAAACCCTGTTTTATGTGGATATGGTAACTGGTTTTGTGTTGGCATTACGTTTATCGAAGACAACCAGAAATTGACAGGAATTGGCTAAAACTACGAAGCCAGTTGCCATATCCCATGTCCAATTCAAACATGGACCAACAGTTTTCTGCACGTACAGCACAATTACTAAGTTCTTTACTGATTTTAACAATAATATGAACGTGTCGGTATAAAGTATGATGTACATGTACTTGAAAACAACTCTTCCATTTTAAGGCCAGTTCACGAATGTGACTGCGCCGCGAATGTAAAGTCGGGAACATTCTGTGCGAAATTACAATTTGTTTGAATTCACAGCGAGAATACTTGCCATGACGTCATAAACTCGTATTTGCTTTTGCACCAAGCATGAACCGCCCTGCACATGCATGTCAACATGACTACCACATATGTTATTCTGAATTTAGTGTCGTACCGATTTCTTTTCGATTATCATCATATGTATGACCGTGTCTGTCATCCAGTCCATGCATGCAATGAGTTCATTTAGGTTTTGTGTTCGACCTGTGTCCCCCAGTTTTTCACCAGTGTATCACCGTGTCTGTCATCCCCGGTGTGTATGCATGTGAAGTGTTCCTATTATACAATATTGAGTGGCTCAGCGTGGAATGGGAGGAATATTATCGCAAGGTAAAATCTGGACTTTTCCATTTCACGAGGCGAAGCCGAGTGAACTGGAAAAGTCCAGATTTTACCGAGCGATAATATTCCTCCCATTTCACAATTTAAAGCCACTCAATATTTGTTTTATATAACTGACATATAGATCCTTGTCATTTGATATATTTGAACTTTTTTTTTCAATACAAAACTGGAGGAAAATGTATTTCTCTCTTCCAAACCACCCCTTCACGAAAATGTTTGAACCCAACGCTGTAGCGCTGGCTCTTTGGAACAATACGCGCTACGCGCAACGCTGAACGCGCTCACCAGCATGCAGTTGCACACAAATACCGCGTCATGATCCTAACTGTTGAATAGTATTTCCCATTCCCCATGAGCAGATAGTACTTTTTGAGCCGCGGCGTGAATGGGAGCAATAACGAATGTCACGTGATGTGAGTTCCACCAATTAAATGACTAGGATCTGTATGTCAGTTATATAAAGACCTTTATCATGTTGCCACCATTTCAGTCATGTCCCCTGTATCCAATAACAATACTGAATGATACTGGGTTTTTTGTGCAAAAAGGAACCAGACTTTTTTCCTTCCAGCCTCGCTTTGGTTACATTGATTTGAATGGGAAAAAAATCAAGATGGCCGCAACATGATAATGGTCTATGGCAGTGTTGTATCAGTGTCCTCCAGCTATCACCATATGTATTTACACATCTGTTAACCTGCTCACAAGTTTTTGTTATAACCCAAAGATTTAATTTTCAAACAGTTTCAAAATTTACCTCACCCAGACTGTGACCTGCTAATCTTCAGTAATATCCTTCTAAATCTAATCAATAATTAACTTGTGTTTGTTTATGCATTCAATAGGGGACATTGAACAATAGAGGACAATAGGGTCCCCAATTTCCGAAGGTCCCCAATTTGGCGATCATGTACAAAACATATGGGAGGTCTTCCTAACAAGTACAAACAAAAGAGGGACAATAGGGGGTCCCCGATTGCAGGCAAATACACACTTGTGCGAGTTAACTTGTGTTAACTCTAGTTAACTTGTGTTAAAGTTAATAGTTTTAAAGTAAAACAGGTTTTGGTCGTTTATCTTAGTTAAACCTTTATTTTTTTTAAATTATTTTTGTTTGTTTATGGCTTGCAGAATGTCGCTCGCAGGGAAATTTCTACTGCCAAAACTCTGTCTAGCCTTTTTTTGTCAGTGAACTACACTTGCCAACAGTTCATTGAAATTTTATCCAAAATTTGAAGCATTGCCTGAAAAGTTCTGAAAATGAAGTTCCATGAAAATCAAGTTCCAAGAAATTCCCCCAACATTTTCAGTCTACAACAGTGCCTGACCAATGGCAATAATGGTAGCTTCTTTTAATTCCTTGATTCTTTGGGAAATCGACCAACAGTGGCGTAGCCAGGAATTTTTCAGTTGGGGGGGGGGGGGGGGGGCGCTGGGGGGGCTGGAACATTTCATGGGGGGGCGTCATGTAGATCAATGATAATTTTTTTAGAAACTCAAAATCTCAGTGGGGGGGGCGACTGGGGGGGGGGGGGCTACGCCACTGTCGACCAATGAAAGAAGCACATTTAATTCAGGTACAATAGTTATTATGAACGTTTATTTGACCTTCAACTTAGGCTCACACCCTTCCCTTCTAGTCCCACTCCCACCCCATCCCTTCATGCACAACACTAGCATGTTCATGTTACCTGCATACAAAAAATGTGAAACACCCAACACAATGAATGTCTTAATTCGGACGATTCACAATGCAGTGCGCCACCAAGAGTTTGCCATGCAGAGTCCATTTTTCAACTGTACGGTCGACAAAACATGGCCCACTGAATGAGTGTCAGTAGATAACTTGAGCTAATTTGTTATAGATTTGGGCATAGCATTCTGCCGCCTTACAAAAAACACCATATTGATAACAAGAAAAGAAAAGGGCAAACAGATACTCGAATCATACGCTTGCGAAACTACTTACTGGAAAAAAGGAACAATTTCAAATGTCCCGCGCTGTAGTTTGTCAACCATATCCCACAATACACTGGGAAAAACGAACTCACCGTGGCAAATTCTTGGTGGCGCACTGCATTGTGAAACGCCCGTATTGTTAAATATTCATGTTTTGTTTAACTTCCCACCACAGTGCACCCGTCTTTTTGGTCCATGGAATTGTCCTCAAATGCAATGATGCGCTACACAAAGAAGACGCCAATAATTTACAAGAATTTTGATTTCTGTATGAACAAAGTTGTTACTTTACAGTGACAGACCAATTACAGACCAATTCATTTCTAAACCAAAAAGTAAAAGAGTTTACAGAAAAAAAAAATTATGTGGATTTAAAACGATAAATGGAACTTTGAGATTTAAAATGAAGATAGGAACTATGTTTGAATCAACTGAGCAAAGGACGAAATTGGAATGAAATGTGGTAAACTTGAAGGCCTAATCCTCAAGTTTTGATTCAAATTAATCTTCTGAAAAGAAAAGTCTTCACTGAAATACTTGAATTGAATTGAAAAGTCCAGAAATTTAGAGTGCTTCTTTGTGTAGACTCCATTCCCCGAAAGTCACCTCTTGCAGACAACCGGGGAAAAAAATAAATTAATATATTTTTGAACTTTTTTCCCCATAGTGCTTATTTCCCATGTAGACCAGCCATCAGGTATGTTGCCCTACCCTTAAATGAAATATTCTGGAATTATGAACACGTGTTTGAAAAATTGAAACAGCATTGGATGTGTGTCAGTAAGACAGTTGCGATAGCTAGGCTGAATTTTGATAGGTCAGAAGGGGCCACGGATTAACCAAATTGACCTTATTATGAGGAAACAAATTTTCAAATAAACACGGCAAAAAACAAAAGAAGTCAACACTCATTAGAGGGGTCATAATTTTGAATGTGATCCTCTTATGATGACGTCGTTTATATAGACCTTTGGGGAATGTTGTTAGCTACATGTTGATACCCAGTTTGCTACCAAAGACTGTAAATCGTCCAACATTGAACAGTTTATAGGAAATGATGCAGTTTGAAAAGTTGCAAATTTAAAGTTTTAATGTGCAAACACACATGCCTGTAATTGGCCCCTATCGACTGCACAGTGCCCGTACAAAACGTGGATAATTCAATTTCACATGATCCCATGCATACAAGCACTGGGCAATTGATATTCCCTGCCGTTTGTTTCGGGTAGTATAACATTGTCACACAGCAATTTCCACTTGCGTACTCTTTAAATTTGCAGCTTTTCAAACTGCATCTTTTTTCGTAAACCATTGTCAATGTTGGACAAGTTACAGTCTTTGGTAGAAACAGGGTATCAAAATGTAGCTAACAACATTCCCCAAAGGTCTATATAAATGACGTCATCATAAGACGATCAGATTTAAAATTATGACCCCCTCCAATGAGTGTTCACTTTCTTTTTTATTGCGGTGTTTAGAAACTGGATTAATAAAAATATGGTGAAGTGGAAGCCTGTCGAGTGTCGAGGCAAGACAAAAGACTCAGCTTGTTACAACTTGCCATCGAATCGAGTGTTGGAGAAGTTATGCATGCCTTCTTTTTTTTTCTTTTTTTCTTTTTTGAAAAGAATCCACTTGATATTTAACAATCAACTCGATCATTATTTTGATATTCTGTTTGTCATTCAATTATTTTTTTCCCTTATTTACATTATTTTGTTACATTTTCTGAGGTTTCATTTACTTACGAGTTGTTCCTATATTGGTTATTGATTTACATTTGTTTCAGAATGCTAAGTTTATTTATTGTACATTTGTTTCAGAAATCTTGCGTTTGTACTTTGTACCTACTCTTAACAAAATCTCCAAGACCCATTTTATGTAAAAGTGGCTCGACTCTAATTATAATAATACATGTAGTAATAACAGTTGGTATTTATAAAGCGCACGTATCCACCAGGACTGGTGCTCAAGGCGCAACAACATTATTACCCCTGCTCATTGGGCCAATGAAACATTCCAAATACCATCTCAGCTCCCTAGAGAGTATAGCTCGATGCTGCCATTTTAGTGCAAAGCAGCTAAATCAACCACAATAACCATCTCTGCCCTCAAAGGTACCCAATTTACTCCTGGGTGGAGAGAAGCAATGAGTGACAAAGTGCCTTGCCCAAGGGCACACGCACCATGACCCCAGGCTGGACTCAAACCCACAACGTGCAGACCATGAATCCAATGCCCTTAAGCACGAGGCCACAGCACTCCACTTAGAGTTAAACAATTTCCAGAAAATGCCAGTCCATTTAACTGCAACGCAGTATACCTATCCTTATGTCAACAGATGAAGCTTTCGGCCAAGTACAAACCGACGAAACCCCAACCTTTACCCACTCTTCCCCAACCTCCCCGGACGCCACCAATGGCAGACCAATAGAGGGCGCCACAGTGCACAACAACGACGACCTCCTCAACCATTACATGACCTTAGTGGAGGACACAGGTGGCGTCAGCGGCTTGGAGAGAACCATGGAAGCAAGAACTAGCAAGAGATTCAAGGCGAAAGGGCCAGGGCTGAAGCGAATCCACACAGTACTTGATAAGAACCCGGAGAAAAACAAGAAGGCGTTACAGAGACGCGCACTCCAGAGAACCTTAAAGGTACACTCTCTGTCCCATAGATTAACATCTCTTCTGGGAAAGAACGTTGCAACCTGACGCCAACTGTTTTCTTCATATATCATCTCAATGATGGTCAGTCATTGCAAAAATGATGAGACATGAATCTGGGACTGATAAACAAATCACACAGGGATGTGTGAATTTGTTTCATTTTGCTGAAAGAACGCACACGGTTTTTGTGATTCATGGACAGAACTTTAAAACGATGGTTGTGTTGAGAATTCTGTAACTTGAAAAGTACGCGAGTGATTTGAATGATTCTTGTACCAAAAGAAAAGCTTTCATATCCTAGATTTTCAAAGTGCTACATGCAGAACGTCACCACAACAATAGTCCCCACATTTGGGTTTTGTTTTTTTTACTCGCCCTGTATGATATGTGATGTTATTTCTATTCATAGGCCAAGGAAGAGGAACTTCAGCAACTAAATTCTCTGCTATCAGAGGCGTCCGTCTCCTCAACCAACCTTCAAGAGTGGAGGAAGTCCCACAAGGACCTCCTGGATCACATCCTGAAGGGGCCGAAACCAGACAGTCCCAGCGACTCGGACTCGGACATGGACGAAGACAAAAACTTGGACAAAGTCGTGAATGGAAATCTGGATGGAGAATCAGCGGGTGCCAATGATGACGTTAGTGAAGATGCAAACGGAAACAGAGACACAGTATGTGCAACGCCAGACGGAACTCAAGTTGTTGCTGGTAGAGACTCGGATGTTACAACTGAAGATTGCCGCAGTGTCGAGAACTTGGATAAGGAGAAGCCTAGCGCTTCAGCCAGCGGCCAGTTGGGAGAATCATCAGAGATGGCGCCCTCTACAGCCGAGTCAGAGGTCAGTGGGATGGCAAGGTCGTCGCATGACGAATTCAGGAAGAGCATCGGGAGCCAGGGGTCCGAAACCAGCTTATGAGAAGGTTTTGTTGGTTCGTTGATAAAAGTCGAGAGAAAAATGAATTGCCCTGGAACCTTCTGGAGGCAATTGCAGTGGGATCGTAGTCTTTTTTTATGGGTAACTTAGCGAATTTATTTGGTAAGCAAAAGACAGCTTGGAACCGGTCACAGGTTAAATGTGAAGTGCACAGCTTTTTGTCTGGTATCCTGTTTTTGCTAAGTACAGATTTTCTGTGCTTAACATCTCATAATTGACTCCAGCACGTGGTTTCATGAAACTCATCGTAACTTACGATGCATCACAGCATTGTATCCTTACGATGCATCGCAGCTGCAACACGTCCTGCGATTCATTTCACAAACAACGTCGTAACTTTGAAGCTTGGTAGGTATATTTATAGCACAACACGGTCACACACATACATGTATGTTTGTGTGTATTCTAGGCACAGTAAATAGTCATCTGATAGTCGGCAAAGAGTCTTCTCCCATCGAAAGTTTTTAAAACGTAAAACAAAATAGCGGACGTATGATGCAGTTTTTCACGGAAAACAAACTCGCAGTGGACTGTCAGCTTCTTTGAAACCTCAACTGTAATATTCAAGGTTTTATTCATATTGACTATGATGCATATATTTCATTTACAACTTCACACACACACATTGTCTCGGTATTATAGAGTAGTTTATTTGATTTTTATGGCAGAAACTGGCCAAGAAAAGACGCATCTTATTTTGCATTGACCAAAAGACACATCGTAACTTGCACTTGTTTTAAGTCGTTGTCAAGGAACTTGTGATGTGTTAAATGCGTCGTAAGTTTTGTGAAATGGATCATACGACGTGTTGCAAGTTACGATGTGTTACACATTGCAACTTGAGCTGCAGTCGCAGCGACGCATTGCCGCACTTTGTGAAATCAGGTGCAGGTCTGAGGTCTCCAGTGTTGTTCTCCTTGAATATTATCATAAACAATTCGACTTTCTACCAGATGTGCCACAAAACAAATTGCCGTGGCCCTTGTAGAAAAAAGTTCCAAGCTTGTTAAACTGAAAGTGCTACTGCCAGATGTGTATATCTATCCGAGAAAAATTCTGTTACAACCAACCAAGATTTGAAGTACGTAAGTAAATATACATTAGTTGAATTAAGGTTTATTAATTAATTGTAAAAACTAGGCCTAATGGTTCAATATTACTTACATTATGACATTGTGTGAAGTGCATATTATTTCTTTTGCTATTTTGTTTGTTTGTATGAGAGTCTACTGTGTAATTAAATTAAAAATGTATGATAGACCACAGAGTAAACTTACAAGCATTTACAGCATTCAGACGATAGCTGCCTGTATTTTTGTATTTTTTGTATTTAACTTTTAAACAACTCATTTACAGGTTTGTACATACATGTAAGTCAAATAAATTTGCCAAACAGTGGGCAAGGATCGTGTTGATGCACTTGATGAATTAGTATACGTACTGCCTGCTTTACTTGGAATTGTTTGTCATAAACGTGTTGTGTGTTTACACAGAAGTATAAAAAGAAATTAAGGGGAATGAACATTTGCTTTTGCTGCAAGTTTCAGAAATAAATGGATTTGGTGTATTAGTATGGTATAGCAAATATTGTTACACTGACTTGTTTCACGTTTTGGGTTCGTAGATGCTGGAAAAAAAAAACAAGAAAACCAATCATATTCTTGTAGTCTGGTTCCCTGACCCCACTTACGATGAAACAGAGAAATTTATAGACTTTGGGGAATTGTAAGATCAGAGAATTAGTCTAGCGGGCTTGTAGTCTTCACAGGTGTGTAAATCAATTGCAAAGAAAATGCAGACGAACTAAATTTGAAAAATTAGGAGCACTTTTTGAAAAACAGCAAGTTTTCTCTAACGCTGGTCGGCCGACCAGCGTAGGAAAAATACATTTTTTTTGAAAATGTCAGCACACCAGGAGCCACAACTTTACAGGATGCTTTAGACTTTCATTCCCTAACAATCCAGTAAGATATTTTGTGATAATTTGATCATTTCGTTGCTTGATGTTTGCAAATGTTGTATCTTCCCTTCAAGTATATGACATTTTAATCCATTGGCACTTAATTGTACTATATTGTATGTATTCCCTGAGGAAACCATTACAGGGACTAATCGCTTAAAAGTTGAGAATTGTGATTTCATGGCACTTATTTTATTTCATGTCATAAATTAAAGAGCATATACAACATTTTAGTATTTTAAAGCAAATGTTGCTACACTGACTTGTTTAAAGTTTTCTGTTCATAGATGCTGGAAAAAAACAAGAAAAACAATCATGTTCTTGAAGTCTGGTTCCCTGACCCCACTTATGATGAAACGGAGCAATTTATAGACCTCAGGGGATTGCTGGTCAGCCGACCAGCGTTGGAAATTGATTCAGAAATACCACATTCTTGAAATTGACAGCACACTTAGCGCTATGTTTTAACAGAACTTTCATTTACTAACAGTCCAGTAATAAGGTATTTCTAATATTTTGGAAGTTTTGGTTTTTGATGTTTCCAAATGTAATGTCCTTTTTCTGTTTATGCAGCATGGCTATTTTGTTTGCTCGTTTTTGTTTTGGCAGTTACAGACTTCCTTATGTTTTGTTTTATCTTTAAATTATCAACCACAAAAAAAGTTGTATAAATTACTTTTGTAATATTTTGCTGCATTATGTAAATAGATATTGAACAACATATTTTGTTTATATCACTTCATGTAGAAACTGGGATATTTCCCCCATTTGGAATAAATTTTACATATTTCTTTTGCTTTTTAAAACACATTAAAAAAAAATTAAGAATAGGAGTAAGAAGTATCTTAAAAGGTTTTTACAATTCTGTTTTAAAACGGTCCTAATTAAAAACTTATATATATATATTTAGCCAGTGTTAATTTTTGTTTTGTTTATGTAGTAATGTACAATTCTGGGCATTTGTGTTTGATTTTCTTTTATATATTTGCTGAATATTTTATATATCTGTATATATAACATGTATAAAAACACAAACAGTATAACAGAAATGGTTCTATGTATGATAGTCTCAATTTGTTTGAGAAAAAAAAATTGGAAATACATGAAGCACTGTATATACTAAGGCATAAGAGTTTTATTTGGCGGTGTTCTTCATTGGTTCAAAGATGTTAAGTCATCTGCACTTTACTACATTTGAGAACTATCTCTCGAAGCTTTGGATAAAGACGATAGTTCTTTATTGACTGTTACCATGCTATAGGTCTGTATACACTGCCAGAAACATTTCAACTGCTATTATTGAACACTCTGGCAGTTTCATCGTCAGCGTTGGGCTACAGTTTCATGATTTCAAGTCTTAATTATTTGGAGACATAGGCTCAGTATGGCCATTGTCTTCTACTGGACCACATGATATTCAGCTAAAATTTTGAGCCTTTTCATTTGGTTCAAACATCAAAGAACTACAAAACCTTCACTTCTGTTTTATTTGAAACATATATATGTGGTTTTTAAAATAAAGATTTTCATTTTTGAAAAAAAAATTAAAATAGAGCCAAGTACTCAAATACAACAATAAGATTTCATAGTCGATGTACATGTGTAGCATATTTGTTTAAATAAATCGTTTTTCTTTATTAAAAATTTGTTTTGGAAGTTACTGCAAATATATTTTCTAAATATACCTATTTTATTGCTATTGATTAACCCTAACCGAACACAACCCATCAAAGTTCAACAGCAGGTTTTGTTTAAATCTGTTGGGATAGGTACAGCACCCCTAAACAGATGGTCTTTTACATTGGGTTTGGCATACCTCCAGAAACTAATTCCAATAGTGTGTACAATTTCCCATGTGGGTGTTGGAATTTGCCTGAATGGGTGCGGTTCCTAGTAAATTATGCTGGGGAGTTAGGGTTAATGCATTGACCCTTTTAGAATTCAACTTAAGCATGTAAAAGGAAAAGTTTCTAATACCACTGTAGACTATAATTATCTACATGTACTAAAAAGTGAAAGTCTGTCACAAGCCAATATGGCCCATCAGGCCGGCATTTAACTCTAGTCACCTTGGCATGAAACGACTGAGAATACCGATAATCTACTCCCTCTGAATGGGATGCCAGTCCATCGAAGAATACTCCCCAGCTAATACCGGAACCCATTTATATTCCTGGGTGGAGAGAGGCAAGTGGGGATGAAGTGGCTTGCCCAAGGACATAACATATGACCAGCAGCTGGATTCGAACCCCTGACCCTCTGATCATGAGTCACGAACCCTTAAAATCAACATTTTTGATCTGGCTGTGCTCTGTGGTCAGACATAGGTCGAATGGCGGCAGCCTAAGGCGCCTTTACATGCCTTCGGCTCGACCATGTAGCTGCATCCTTCACAATTCAGCTTCTGCTGCGAGTAGGGACTATTAGCCTACTAAATTTATTCATTTATTTAACCACAAGGCCACACTTCCCTCTAACCACATCCAAACATGAAAGGGGGGGGGGGAGGGGGGGTCATCCGTTGACATCAAACCAGTGGTCTGCCATACACTGATGGTTCCACTCGATGCTGCATACCCAGCACCATTCAAACTTGCATTGCTGTACAGTACACACCATGTGCATACAACCACCTGTGAAAAGACCAGAAAGAAATGTATTAACCAATCCAAATTTGGCATGCCATAACCACCACCGCACAAATTCCAACCCCACCTACCCTATTTGTATTTAACCCTTGAAGTTTCAGCCAGAGTCGGTAGAAGTAGAATTAAATATGTATATCAACATGTTCATGTGGATGGAAAGACCTGTAGCAATTGATTCTTAAATTTGGACACCACATGGCTGCACAAGATGGTAGTCCCCATGTCATATCAATACATATCCAAACTTCAAAACTCATTTTACAATTTACAGTGGAACTTTCCTTGTGACCAGGTTCGAATCCCACCCAGGCTGACATGTGGATTGGGTTTACAATCCCTGCCTGACTCCGGTTTTTTTTCCCCCAGAAAATTTACCAGGGGTTCCTCAGCTCTAACACTGAACATTTCATTGCTGCTAACCAGGTTTCTTTGGGCTTGCAAGCTACAGTGTAGCATGGCTACTCTTCGAATCCCAAGAAAAAATCCCAAGATTTCCCAAGATTTCAGGATTATGTATCAGAAAAGCAGCAGCTCACAAAGTGCTGCGATCAACATTATGTGCATGTGCAATCAATACTTGCGTGTGTACTCAATATGCAAAAAATCCCAAGGTCTAAATTCCAGGCAGTGGCCATGCTGCTGAAGTGTCATGAATGCTTTCAGGAATCCTTGATTTCCTTAGCATGAGCTACTACTTTCAGGGTTCGACCTTAACTTTTTTTTCACTAGCCAGCCGGGCTACTGAAACAGACTCTTAACTAGCCTGCGGGCATTTTCACTAGCCCGCATATTTTTCTTTTATCGAGTGTCTCATAAACAACAATGTGCATACATGTAAAACGTGTATCCAATGCTCATACGTGCATGCGAATCAAGCAGATTATTCATATTAAGTGACTCAGTCAGTCAGTGACTCACTCAGTGACTCACTCGTCCTCGGGAGGGTGAGTGACGAGATGTGGATGAAAAGCTTACAAAAGCTAGGGTTCACCCCAATGCACATACGTGCATGCGAATCAAGCAGATTATTCATATTAAGTGACTCAGTCAGTCAGTGACTCACTCAGTGACTCACTCGGTGACTCACTCAGTGACTCACTTGGTGACTCCGAGAACAACAGGCTGGCCCTTAGGATCCAAAAATACTGGAAAACCTTTGCAAAATGCTCACCACTTTTTTCGACGGGTGCCTTGCATTTCGGGCATGGCTTGGTGGTTTGTCGGATGGTCTCTCGGCTTCGACTCAACTCCCACTGTGCCTGAGCTGCTCGCTCAGTACTCACGGTGTAGGCATCCCCACCCCCGTCTGTGACAGGTTGTGCCACCGTTGTGTCACAGTCCCCTGGGTGGTATGCGTTACGACACTCACGACAGAAGACCAACTTGGTGAAAGATCCAGAGAGATTTGGAGAAGTGGGCAAATTTAGTTTATGGAAACACTGTACAAATTAAAAAGTCTAGGCGACGAAAAATCAAATAGGTCCCATTCAAATGACGTAATTTCCTACAGACCAGCCACGTACCTTGGCATTTTGAGCGTGAACTTGCACAACGCGCATCGGCTGCGTCGTATTTCAAACACATTTCGAGCAACAAGCACACATGTTTGGAGCATTTTCAACACTGCGCAATCCGTGCTTGATTGCGTAAAATACGCAGTTGCAGTTCTCCTACAGAGAGGGCCGTCATTGAGCAAGCCCTATTCTCTGATTGCCATGCATTACCAATATACCATATTTATTACTATCTTGTTGGCTAATTTTGTTTTTGTACCCCACCTATAAGTACAATTGGGATCATTTTTTTCTTTGTGCATCTGTTTTTGTTTGAAGCAACAAAATTGCTCAAAATCTTTAGCAGGGTACTTAAGTGACCTGTTGACATTTTAGCTCGGTGAAAACTATACAGTTTGAGAACAAACCATTATTGAGTCTCATAACTGGAGTCCATAGCAAAAGCACTAGTTTCAATTATTAGGGTTTTTTCCGATTGAAATCATTTCTTGGGGAATAATTTCACAGTGTATTTGGAACCAGCACTATCTTCACTTTGAGCAAGGTTTTTCGCATTAAATCGGTGGGTACATTTCCAATTTACAGCCCCTGACAGGAGCCCGAGTTCTCTGCTTACCCCACACCCGTGACCAGCCTGTTGGACACACTCTACTCTCCGTGATCCAGGGTCCGGCACCAGACCAGCTCCACACCCCGGTGCGGGGCACAGCACTCCGCCACCTTGAAGCAAACACTCCTCGGCGCCGAACCGCTGATACCTGGCATACTGAATGAATCATTCGCAAAGCATTTCTTCATAAAAATAATAATAATATGGTGCTTGTATAGCATTTTAGTCTCAAAGTGATTCACAATTAGTACCCCTGTTTATCAGGCCATGCGATCAGTTTTCTGCAGCAGCTCGAGATCAGTGAAGTCTTGCCCAAGGTCATGAGGACCATTAAGGTATTAGTTTTAAAAACAAGCCAAAGTGTTACATCGATGACGAAACTGTTACATCATTATTTTCACATTGTTTGCCTTTTTTTTGGAATTGCACCAGATTTGTTCTGAACTGAAATTTGTTTTTGATGACCTAATTTTTTAATGACAATTTCAGGCACTTTGGCAATTTCAGGTACTTGTGGTGCATTATATGCTAAATAATATATGCTAAATTGGGGGGAGGTGGGGGGCAGAAGGGGGCATGGCAGGGGGGAAGCTGGGGTGGGGGCAATCTGATGAAATGTTTTTGGGGTCTGGCTGGGGCCTAAACACCCTAGAAATGCTTTGAATCGATCTTACCTGCTCATCGCCCAGTATCCGAAAATGATGAGTTTCCTTGATCAGTGACCCTGGACATCTTACTTGAAAAATAAACAAGGAGAAAAATGGTCAAACTTTTCAAGATGGAGCAAAGTAGATTGAGACGAGAGTTAGAGACGAGAGAAATACAAGGTTTGTGACTAGTGCCCCATTTCATGGCCCTGTTTATTTACCAAAAGCACATGGAAGGTTGCCTAGTGGTTAGGGTTCATGACTCATGGTCAGAGGGTCAGGGGTTCGAATCCAGCTGCTGGTCATATGTCGTGTTCTTGGGCAAGCCACTTCACCCCCACTTGCCTCGCTACACCCAGGAGTATAAATGGATACCAGCATTAGCTGGGAGTAACCTGCGATGGACTAGCATCCCATCCAGGGGGAACAGAAATATTCTCCATCGTTTTATGCTACTGAAACCAGAGTTAAACGCCGGCCTGATGGGTCACATTGGCTGTGACATACTTTATTTCCTGTACTAGCACAAAATCTCTGCCTTCCTTGGCAGAAAATTCCATTCTTACATTTAGTGTAATTCACAGATTAGCGAGGAATTTTGGCCTGCGAGCATCGGTACGTCCCATAACTATGGGTTCTGGTGCTTACATGGTTATCAAAGAACTTCTTTGCAATGGCGGTATGCACAGAGTGGTGGCCGTAAGGGCAGACAGACTTTCTGTGGTAAGCAGAGCCATGAAATTTGCTAAGCAAGTAAATATGCTATGCAATATTTTCTGGATAGCAGACTTCCAGACCCTGACCATACCTGGGCATGGCAGGGTGTAGCCAAGCTCTCCATCAGCTGTGAACCTTCTCTCATTGAGTTGCACCTGACAATATTCAGCAAAGCAATCTAAGCAGATTGTATGACGGGCTGGGCAGGGGAAGACTAGCACACGATCACTGAAGCAAATGAAATAACAACAAATGCAAATCAACAGGACATGCTCAATACATTTTGTAATAGGGTTACCACAGAAATCTTAAAATGAAATTCTCTGACTTTTCTGGCACAAAATTAGGGCTTTCCATGGCCAATTCTTATGTTGTTTTGGCATCTCAGGAGCCAATTTACAATACACTGGCCAGTCATCACACCAAGCCATTCCCTAGTACGAGCAACACAAATAAGCATCACAATGGTGCACTGAACATGCAACAAGTACAGAGCATACATGTATAAAAAGGACGTATGGGCTTCGTGCACAAATACTTCTTTAACAGCCAGATGAGAGTTGGGGGAGACCTAGACTGGTTCCCAGTGAGCCATGGGACTCTCCAAATGTTTTTTTTTTTTGTCCAATTTTTTTTTTTTGTCCAAGTTAAAATTTTTCCAAAATATTTTGCCGAAAAAATTTTGGCCGCAGAATTTTTATTTTTTTATTTTTTTTGGGGGGGGGGCCGGGGGGAGGACATTTTTGACGTTGGTGGCGCCACTTACACCCCTATTATACTACTCGAAAATAGGCCACATACATATCACCAAGGTAAAATCATGGGATTAAAAAAAAGATTACTTCCCCCCCCCCCAAAAAAAATTGACAACCTCTTGGGGGGGGGGGGGGGACTCAAGCCCCCCGATCCCCCGCCCCCTTTGGTGCGCCACTGAAAACACAAACAGCTTAATGATTGAAATTTTAAATTTTAAAATTTTACCACATATTGACATTAAAATGCATCTATTAGTGCATCACAAATCTAGCTTTTTACAGCAGTACTGATAAAAACTTAAATGTGAGGTAAACACAAGTGTGATGTTAGAGGAAGATTGAATGATCTACTCTTTCATCAAATGAAGTTGCAACAATTCCTGATTCCAACTCGTTTTGAACTTTTCCCTCACCGAACATCTTCACAAGTTAAGCAGATGACATTCCTCGTGTTACACTTGATGAGGTCCAGGGCCACGGCCCTGTAGTCGTCAGAAGTAGGGTGACGGCCGCACTTGAAGTAAAACTCCTACAAAAAAACAAACAAATTATTTAAAGTATTTAACACAAAAACAAACAGTGAAAACTCTCTGTGCTCTCTTTTTAAAAAAATGGGTTAAAATTTTGTCAGGCAAACGTACAGCAATTGTTCCCGAACATCCATCAGATTGACAGACTCCAGAGATACTGAACGGCGTCAAGACATCCTCCCAACAAGATGGATCCTAGACAAAGGAAGAATTAAGACAGGTTACTTTTATTGTGAAAAGAAACATCAACTCAAAAGAAATGAAAGAATTATCAACTCAATTTCCACAACAGAAAGTTGCTGCTTATGAAGTTGGCATTTCTTACTTGATGGACGACAAACGTTCCTCCCTTGCAAGTTCTGCAACACACTCTGAGTTTTCCTGGCTGAATCGAGTGACATTGGGACTTGCAGTATACATAGATCTGAGGCTTCATTTTCCCAGCTGAAACATACCAACGAGAGACAGAAATATGCATGGTAAGAAACCTGCAAGTACTGTTAAATTACAGCATTAACTACACATGCACACATCTCCAGTGTTGTAGTTTGGAGTCAATCACGCGTCCTAACAAGTCAATCACAAGTCCTCCCAAGTCCTCGCAAGTCAATCACAAGTCCTTACAAGTCCATCACGAGTCCACAAGTCCATCACAAGTTTCTGTTTCTGCTCGTATACTGTACACAACGCCTTGTTGGACCATCTCGGTACAGTGGTCAAATGTGGCATGTGAGCTTAGATTCTGAAGTTGGCACGGCTAATTTGATTCCTAACTATTCATAAGATGGAATTTTGCGTCGGGGTGATGTAAATCAAATTAGGTTTTGCCCTTCACCGACGTATTTGAACCAGCCAACTGATCCCGTTAGCTCGGTGGTCGAGTGGTATGTCATCTGCACTAGAAAGCAGGAGGTCGTGGGTTCGAGTCCAACCCAAATGATTTTTTCCAACTTTCACTCGGGAGGTAACACACTGAGTATACAGTGTTTATACGTCGGTGAAGGGCAAAACCTAATTAGATTCCTAAAATTGATGTCGTCCAAGGCTTACTTGAAGCCCATTACAAGTCCATCACAAGTCCGTAACAGGTCCATTAAAAGTCATTCAGTCTCAAGAAAAGTCACAAGCTATTCAGATCAACTTCGAAAAAGGCACCCCTCTGTCAGCGGTCATCCCCTTTTACATGTGACTGAACTTGTGATTTACTTGGTACCAGACTTGTGATGGCCTTGTGACCCACGAGCCTCTGAACCCTTCACAGTTTTGGTCCAGACTGGATCTGGATTGTTTTCACCTAATGCAGCTGGTTCTCATCAAGCAAGATCAAGCCGCTGTGGCGGTAGAGGGCACCATCAACCAGATGAATCAAATCCATTATTGGTCTTGGAAAGTTTGGTACTTGGACCCCGAGGAATTCTGGGCATAAACTATACTAAAGCTTATGTGCATGCATGAGGCCAGACTGGGACATTGAGTGCAGAAAAACATGCAAAACAAAATCAGGCCAACTTTACTAACTCTTTAGCCAACAGAAATCTCCAAAACATTTCATGAGGCAAAGACAAGGTCCTCAGTTTTTCACCAGCCAAGTTTAAGGTTTCAAGTCAATTTTTAAAGGAGACTTTTGTTTAACATTTTGCATCTCAGAGTGAAGCCTAGTGATTTCAATATGAAGCTTAGGACTAGACTGGTACATGTCCAACTTTTTGAGAAGATTGACCCTTCAGTAGTCTGGTGGCATGACTACGGAAATGTGTAGAAATAGAGACTGGGTACCAGATGTTTCTTTTGACACAGTTGATTGATGCAGTACTAAAGTGTTGGACTGGTTGTTTCATGTTCGTCTATTTTCTGGTTTTGCATGTTTTTACTAACTTAAAGTTTTGGGACTCTCATACACAGTATTGAGAGCCCCAAATTTACAGACTAACCTCATGTGTACTATATTCAAGCTAGCTAATTTAAGGCTGGGTAACTCCAGCTATATTCAAGCTGATGCGCATATCAAATTTTCAGACTATTCTCAGGTGTGTCATATTCAAACTAATTATGCGCACACCCATGAGGTATGCTTGGAATTTCTCGAGTGCCCATATTCCCAACACTGGATTTGATTCATCTTGTTGACGTTGCTAGCATCCTCTAGCCACCACACTGTTGTGTTCGTACGTTAATAATACCCGATTAAGGAGAGACAGAGATTAGGGATACTTTTCTGGTTGCTTCGTATTGTATTCACGTTCCATGTCATGCCATAACACACTAGAGTACACACGTACTAGAATGTACAGACGATCAACAAATGACGTCATACACTGGTTGCGCTATAAATAGATTACTGTAGTCTGCATACACTACACACACCATTTTGACCAATTGACTATGAAGAAAAAAAAACAGTCTTCAACCAAGACCATACTATGTAGTGTTGATGGTTCTTGCTCGTGACTTCCAGCTTCCTCACTCATGATTCCTTGAATAACCTGCGGCTCCAGATCTGCCATGTCAGCACCCAGGGACCTGTACCCCTCCGGTCTCCCCTCGGGTGGCCTGTCCATCCCTGGCATGCTCGACGCATCGTCATCACATCTTCTTGGAGATCGTTTTCTCGTTGCGAACACAGTGCTGGTCTCTTGCAGTTCACAATCCTGGTTAAGCAATATAGTTGGTAAAAAGTGGATTGGTTTATCAACATTTGACCAGTACAGTCATCATGAATACATCCATAGACACATCAAGGTATTCAACTTCAGCTGAGCTAATGGACACAAAGCAACGAACAGTATTAAAGAGAGCTACTGAAATTCTATCTTGTATTTCATTTTTAGTGTGAAATAACTATTGCTATGAAAAGCTGGGCTTAGACATGTAATGCACATAGATATTCTGTTCTGCAACACCGTTTTCAAACAAACATTTTCATTTCCATTCCAAAATAACATTAAGAGCCATTTCGCAACCTTTACCGAAGCCCCATTCTGTCGCAAAGTCCTGTATCTTGGCCCCAGAATTGGTTTAATGGAATACATTCACAAACATTACAATTTTCAATTGCAATACATTTCAAAATTTCTTCTTTTTTTCTCTCATGTTTTCATTAATTGTTCTCTGTTCATTTTCAAGAGCTAACATTTGTGCAAGCAGTAACAAACGTGTCTGAAAGCAACAATATACCTGCAATATCAATTCGTCAGCTAATTTTTTTCCACAGAATATAACTTCGATATCAGATGGTTTCAATCCATCATCGCTGTGGCAATGAGCAAATTCACTTTTCAGACGCCCGACGGTCCATGCAGCTTCCACCGCCACACTGCAACACTGCCCGTCAAACTTGACAAGAAGTTCAAACATTTCTCCGGGAAGCATCCCTCCGCTTCTTTAAACTCAGGATAGGAGAATATACCTCACTTAGCTGACTGACATCATGAGAAACTCACAATGCGACTGAAGATCGAAGGTCCAAAAGTCATAACAAGACCCCGTCATAACAAGACCCCGCCATACGCCATGGAGGCGGTTTCGATCCAACTCGGACCCAAACCAACTCGGACCCAAGCCAACACGGACCCATGCCAACTCGGACCCACTACCAACTCGGACCCATGCCAACTCGGACCCACTACCAACTCGGACCCATGCATGACCAACTCGGACCCATCGTTTTCAATCATTCGACATCGTTTTCAATCATTCATTTCATAAAGTTTGTCCACTTCTCATCTGTTATTACAGTGATGCTGTTTAGTATAAATGTTCATTGTAATTGTAAGGTAAATAATCTCATATCTGTATTGCAGCAGTATAACATTCGCGTTGTAAAGCGCATTGAAATGCGCTTTAAAAGTGTAATTAATTATTTATTATTTTTAATTGTTTCCATTAAAACATATTACGCTGTAAAAGTTTAACCAACTATTTACTTTCATTAAAACATATTAATTGACATCGTTCACACCATCTTGCTAAATTGAACAGCATTTATTTCGTTTTTAATCCAAACTTCAACGTATTAAACGGGTATACAAATTAAGAACAGATTTTCATAAAAAAAATAAAATTGGAAAGTATGGCATTAAAACATAAACACTTTCAAACATAACATTATTAACTCAATAAATATAAGTAAACATTATAAGTCAATAAATAAAATAAATTAGATATAAAAACGAAGTCTATTCTAATCTCTATTTTAAAAAAACCCACATAAACACCATTGCATACACTGCAAGAAAAACGAAGGTTCCATATTAAACAAAAAAGTTGAATCAAAAAAGTATAAAAAGTTAATCGGATTCGTAAAAAAAACCCCACAAAATTCAAAGCCAGCATGTGAATTAAAAAATTAATCAAGTTTAAGACCCTACAAATAGATGCAATGTCAATCATCAAAAATAACAGCGTTGCTGTTGAAACCCCTCAGCCAGAGTCAAGTTATCATCCGGAAACCATTAACCTTTAACTCACAATGGTGACCTTGACCGTTGACCTTTTGACCCCAAAACCAATCCCAACTTGCCTACTCCCAAGGGCAACCCTCTACCAAAGTTACAACCCCAAACAACATTTCTAACTCAAGTTATCATCCGGAAACTAAGCTGCCCGGACGGACGGACGGACGCACACACATCCGGACGGACGGACGCCCTAGGCGATGACAATACCCCTCGAGCCTCTCGGCTGAGGGGTAAAAAGGAGTATTGGAGCTCTGGGAAGATTATCCTTCAAGGCCTTACAGGTGGCTGCCTGTATGTTCCACCATGATGTTCCACAGGGGAAAAAAGTTAAATCAAAAAATTATTAAAAGTTAAACAGATTCATAAAAAAATCCCACAAAATTCAAAGCCAGATGTGAATTTTAAAAAATCAAACAATTACATGAAATGAAAGGCCTAAATAGTTATTTCAAATTAATAACTTCCTCACTGAAACAAAATGTGCCACTTAAAACCACTTGTTACACGACACAAAGGCCTGCAAAAACAAACAAGTAATTTAATTTTTACTGAAAATTATAATCGAGATTTTGAAAAAGCACGTATATATCAAGTTGTACAAATGACATACGATATGCCTTACCGTACTATACGCTATTAATACCTCTTGGTTTAGTTTCACAGGTCACGGTTTCAAAAAGCTAAGCACGTTTAGTTTCATGACGTTCAAAACGATAAGCGTTTAGCAACAGTATTTACTGTACGCATTATAAAATAGCGCTCCAAACAGCGGCAATACAAGAAAACAACAAAACTAAAAGCCCCATTCTGCCCAATGTAATTACAGAATATCTTCACTATAAAAGCACTAACATTAAGATCACCTATAAATATAATCTCTGAAACTAATGATTGAGTCATTGTTGGGTCCGAGTTGGTCGTGCTTGGGTCCGAGTTGGTAGTGGGTCCGAGTTGGTCGTGGGTCCGAGTTAGTAGTGGGTCCGAGTTGGTCGTGGGTCCGAGTTGGTAGTGGGTCCGAGTTGGTAGTGGGTCCGAGTTGGCGTGGGTCCGAGTTGGCATGGGTCCGACTTGGCATGGGTCCGACTTGGTTTGGGTCCGAGTTGACCTGATACCATGGAGGCTGCCATTTTCAAAGAGCGCCACCAAGTGTTTTAAAAAGCCCTAAGCTCCACATTTAACGAAATTTCCGATACGTTAAAACTAAAGGACATTTTTAAGTGAATGTAAGATTTAAGGACTTTTTAAATTAACTCCCAAAATCTGAAGAACATTTTGAAATCATTTGGCAAAATGAAAACGTAGAATATTTTCGATTGGAGGGGCATGCTCATTCAGATAAGTTTGAAATCTAGCTGCTTCCTCCTATATTCTTGGCATAGTTTAGAGAATGTGTTGTTTTGTTGTGCTTTGTTTGGAGGCCAAATGGAAGAATGTTTAACACCCCCCCCCCCCCCTCCCCCACTCCACGGCTATAAGCACCTAAGTGCAATTCAGTTGTGGTATAGAGATTTAGATGGCTGGCCATGACCACAAACCCGTTCGCCATAACCACCCTGGGGAACCTACCAAAGGAAAGGGGGAGGAATTCCTTCACCGGACGCAGACCTCGCTCTGCATCCATGCTCAGTCAGACCCTGGTCAAAAATCCTCTGATTTAATCCGTCTTCTGCGCAATCCAAGCTTCCTGGTCTTGATGGCTGTAAGCATTGCGCACGGCTTCGGTTGGGCGTCCACTACCTACCACTTGGTATCAAGAGCTGAATCAATTAACATCGAGCCAGACAACGCTGCGTTGCTTCTAACCCTGATGGGCGCCGGTAGTCTCATCGGTAGACTCTCCATAGGATGGATTGTGGACAGGAATTGGATGCGTCCAGAGCTCTACTACACCTTGTCCTTCGGTGTCTGTGCATTGGCAACCTTCATAACTCCTCTCATCACGGAATTCAAGGTGTTGGTGGCCGTGGCACTGGTACACGGCATATCTAACGGTGTAGCATCTGTCGTTATTACCATGACCCCTCGACTTGTCGTTAAGCCATCGCTTGCCAGTACTTCCATGGCGTATTTCTTCCTTGCCTGGGCATTGGTGAAATATCTGGAGGAGCTTTAGCCGGTGAGAAGCGATTAGTAGGAAGTAAGACATCATTTCACCAATTTGCGGATCGGTAATGAGCAGGTGTAAAGATAGTGAACTATAGTTTGGGATGGAGCGAGTGTCACGCAATCAAAATCTACCAATTTGATTGGTAGATTAACATACATGTGTCTGCATGGGCTGATTCTAGGCCCTCTGCGCAGGAATGAAGGTGGTACGAAACTCATACATTCAATCGTGATTGTGCAATGGCATAGGATGCATAATTTTGGCTGTTGAACTCTTGTTGACGGTACACTCTCTCAATGCGTCTCTTTGATATCAACAGATCGATCAATGTTCCGGATCATAATTGTTTTGTAACATCTTTATGGACTATAGTGATGTAAACAAAAACAATCTTCCAAACTTCAGGTTGGTTTTACGATGCGCTCAATAGCTACGACTTCTCTTTCTACACTGCGGGCTCCGTGATGACAGCTGGCTCCGCACTGATGCTCATCGTCTACTTTCTACAGCGAGCTAAACGACGACGTCAAGGGCATCACACAAAGACCTTCGAGGAACAAGCAGCACCGGTCCAGCCCGGTTCAAACAAGTTAGATCCGGAGCTATATAGCCAGATCGAAGCATGATGACTTGGGAAGGGTCAATCCGGTATTTTTCATGAGGGAAGGGTTTGAGACACGGATAGATCCGTCTGAGGGTGAGATAGTGTGCGAGAGTGTGTGAGTGAGTGAGGTAGATGTCGATCAGCTGGCAAGCCAATCTTGTCAGAGTAACGCAGCCTGCAATCGGGAGCGGAGTGAGTTGAGCCAAACAGGACAAATTGTAGGGGGAACTTTGGGAAAGGGTTGTTATGATGTTGGAGAAGTTCTAGGAATTGAAAACCCAATAAATGAGAATGACTCAGATGAGGACCATGCAAATTGTACACTGTCATCCCAAAGTGACACACATGCAGAAGTGCACGAACAAGAAATAGATGAAGATGACACACCGAGCAGTGTTACTGGTCCAAGTCCACAAATTATAAAAAAATATTAAAACGGAAGATTCCAATGATACATCCGAAAGTGATAACGAAGATGTGGTGGGTTTTGAAAACTCTTGGTATAGAGATAGGCATTATGCCACTAGGATCCCAGAGTCACGAAAGGTTGAGCACGAAGTTTCTGCACTTGTAGAAAGGAGTAATGTCACGCTTGAAAGCATCAGTGATCAGGAAGATTGTGGCATTCAAAATCAAATATATTTCGATGAGACAAGTGGGAGCAAGAGTTTCCCGTACGATCCAGAGTCTGCGAGCAGTGAGCGTTGGGATGGTGTAACAGACAGTACCGGTAAGTATACAGGGAGTGAGATGGGAGTGTCACAGGCCCACCATCGGTCCCAAATCACCCAAAACTCCGTGGACGATCAAAACCAAGGAAAGGGTAGTGGACATTCTGAGGAAGACGAACATGACAATGACCAAACTAGCGAGAATATAAAAACAAGTTAGCGGTGAACCATTTTGGAGGGTCACGGGCTGGAGGTGTGGTCCCTAACAGTGAACGTGTAGCAAGGGTTGCTAAAGATTCACGAGGCTGGAAGAAGCAGTGTATTACAACTGAAGAAATGTTTTTTGTGAGCAGTTACGAGAGATCGTAGGGAGATGAGGACATAAGAACCGTCTTTCGAGAATTAAATTGCATTTGTTTTGGGGGGTGCAATGCCAGTCCTAATTTAGCGCTATATCGAACTTCGAATTCAAATGTCAAAACAAGCTTTTTTGCTTGAAAATGTTGCCAAATAAGTATTGTGTACATAATTAAATTTGAAGGCATGTTTTAAAAGGAGTTCTTTTAACCATTTCCCTTTATCGTTTGTGTTTCTGTGATGTATAATTGTACATACATTAAGACAATGTGCATATATAGCTGGTATCCTTACTTCTAACATACTCGAGTGTAATATAATGGACACCAGTGTAGTCAGTCGCACAGTGGACACCAGTGTAGCCAGTTTCACTTGTCCGCGCATGTTCACGCAGGAGGGGGGGGGGGTGGCAGGGGCATGCTCATACAGATAATTTAGCTGCTTCTTCCTGTGTTCGCGGCATATTTAGAGAATGTATGACTGTGTGTGTTTCGTTTGGAGGCCAAACGAGGAAGGGAGGTTTAACACCCCCACCCCCAACCCACCCCACTCACCGGCTTGGCACCTTATTAGTGAAATTCAGTTGTGATTTCAGAAGATTTAGATGGCTGGCCATGATATAAAAAAAAAAATTTAATTGATGGCGTTGTTCGATTACGATGGTTGATGAGGCGGCGGCAGCTTCACTCAACGATGATAAGGTCTAGGCCTTTATATCTTTCTGGCCTAATGACATTAGCACGGTATAATATACGTCATTGCTAAAACATATATCGATACCATGTATCAAAGTACATTCAAAGTACAGTTCCCGTCACCTCACCCATGGATTAGGTTGAACGACTGCACATGCACACATTATAACACCTAAATAAACAGTGCAAATCGACCTTATCTATGAGTTTCTTCTTCTTCTTTTTTTCCAGGTAGTGTGAAATTGACCTTTTCCATATCTTATTCAGTTAATACTTATAGGTATAGCTGATCTATAGGTCCTGGCTTTTTTTTGTTGTTAATCGAGTCTAGAACTGCAGTGTTTATCACATGGCTTCCGTTCCGTAGCCTATATTCGTAGATCGAAAAGGTTACAAATTATATACAGTATATTATATTGGGCATTTCGGCAGTCTTGTTTAAACAATGCAATATGGCCCGGAAGTCGATCATAACAACATGTTGTGCAAGAACTGGAAATACCCATCAGTTAAAAAAGAAGAAGAATATTAGCTTCTGGACGTTGCAAACTGGAGCAAACCGGTTTCTTCCCCGTGTGACTCGTAATAATATCTGGGAGCAAAGTAAAGGACTGACGCAGCATAACCCTGTATAATGACATCCTATCCAAACACAAGTAGGCCTACTACAACGCCAGCGGGTTAACCACCGCTTAATTGTTGAATGGAATTAATTTAAACAGGTGAACTGGTAAACTCTGGATCTGGAACATGTCGTCATGAACAGAAACACAGCTTTGAAATAGTGACTCGCAAAAGAACTTGGCCCATAATCCTGCTTTGGGACCCATGCGAATGGCTAAATCTAAGGCTTCCATACAAAATAATACGATATAAAACAAAACGTAAACATATTTGATATTATATCTACTGTGTTGTCCAACGTTCTGAACTTGGGAGAAAATCCAGCCGAAAAATGGGTCGCAAAAGGAAAGAAAATGCGGCCATGGATTTGGAGCCAGAGCCGCCAGATTCGGGTTGGGCTTGGGTGGTTCTGTGCAGTGTTTTCGTCGGCCAGTTCCTGGTCATTGGCTTCCTTGCCTCGGTGTCCGTCTACGTGTACGTGTGGATAGCTTTCTTCAATGGAAGCGCGGCGGAAACCAGTCTGGTTATTTCGCTTTGTACCTTCATGATGGGAGTCTTGAGTAAGTACACGGAATTTTATACAAAGCATAACTCATCATATACTATTCACATTTATTCTAAATCTGGTCATGAATCCGGTGCATATTAATTGACCGATGAATGTAGCCACCAAGACAGATTGAATGCAAACTGCTCCTCTACAGGGTGAGTAAAAAAAAAAAAAAACCAAATGGCAGGACCCTTTTTTTTAACAGAGGTCTGCATGCAGCACTTTAAAAATCTAGGATATGGAGCCCCAATTGATAAGGTTTCTTTTAGTACAAGAATAATTCAAATCACACATGTACTTTTTAAGTTACGGAATTTTAAACACAACTACCATTTAAAAGTTATGTCCACGGATCACAAAAAAGGTAAGTGCATGTTCTTTCAGCAAAACGAAAACAATTCACATAGGGATGTGTGTGAATTGTTTTGAATTTGCTTAAAGAACATACACTTTTTTGTGATCCGTGGACAAATCTTTAAAACAGTGGTTGTGTTTCAAATTCCGTAACTTGAACTGAAGCACATAAGTGATGTGAATGATTCTTGCACTAAAAGAAAGCTTATTAACTGGGCTTTCATATCCTAGATTTAGTAAGTGCTACATGCAGAACTTCATTAAATAATCGGTCCTGCCATTTGGGTTTCCTTTTTTGACTCACCCTGTATTTCGGGTGTGAGAGAGAAACACAAAATCGAAGTAACTGTACACGAAGAAAAGAATGAAAATAGGAAAAACAAGTATACAATCATTAGCCATACAGTTATGTTGTGTGTATTGTGTACATTGTGTTTTTGTTTTGACTTTAATTAATATCTTTTCATCTCACGAAAATGTAATCTTTTTCCTTCGGGCCGATGAGTATGGAATGCAGGAACTTGTTGTAAAGATCGAGGTTTTCTTTTCTCAAAACCATATTCTCTTTATTTTGTATAATTATAATATAACAAAAGGAAAGTGTTATACTATTGATATTTTGCTCAGTTATTTTGGCATTTTCATTTGGCATTTATTAATGACATTATGTTTAGCCACCTCTTTATAATATATCGGCTTGTAAATGAAGGCAAATAAAAATGTACCCTTTGTTTAGGAAGATAATGTTGGAGAGTAGGCCCACAGAATACAAACACTACTCTAAGAGCGTTTCAATGTTGAAAAACGAGGAAATAACGAAAATAAAATTAACTTATGCATAACAAAATGTTGTTTTGTAAATGCAATGTTGCCAAACACCGCTGGTCGGAATATGTTGATTCAATATAGCAATGGGTGCCCAGCTCGAAAGTTTACTACCTAAAAAATCCCAAAAAATTGTTCCTTCACCCAGGTTCCACCGCCTATATGCCCACTGGTTTAATATAAGAACATCCACGAAGGAATGCATGTACTTGAAAGTTTGTTCTCTTTTTGCAGCGGGAAACTTATTGATAGAACAAGTACATAAGGAAGCCGGAATGTCACTTGAAAAGATTGCGAGCGGCCAAGATGTCGGAACCGTCGCCGCCGGGTACCAGTATTCATTGTAGTCAAAGGACACTACTCAGAGGACGTGACTCACCTAGGAATAATTGGTCGTGTCTGGAACGGGCTTCCAGAGCTACGGGCAACGACCAGTGTCAACTTGTTCCTATAGTAATATTATGAGCGAAGACCTAGTGACAACAATGCCCTAGACATCTGATTCGGATGTGGCTATTATTTTTGGTATTTCTAAGGGGGTAATAATAATAGACCACTTCATAAGGGAGGGCGCCCTTTGATAATCGGTATTAAACAAAAGAGTAAATTGTTTCACAAAATAATAAGCTGCAGAGAGTTTGTCCAAAAAAGTTGTAACCTTCTTATATTATACATTGACTATATTATATAGCTAGTCAACTAACGGTTTATTTCACATCCAGGTTTTATTTGTGTGTGTCGGTGCATGCATGGGCTGGGGTTTATAGACTATCTACTAGGACAGAGGATCTTCCTATGTAGCACCGAAGCCATAGGTTTGCAGATAGTTTACCAAATGTCCTAAATCGTTCCCAAACATTAATTGAAGTTAGCCCTTCTGTGGATAGTGTTTCTCGGTAGTTTGTCAGCACAAAATACAGTGAGTATAGAAAGGGGGGAAATCACTTCCATCATTCAGATATATAGCAGCTTCTGAAAATGAAACTTTTAATTTTGTGGTTACCCTTGTTTAGGTCCGATTGCAGGATCGATATGTAAGCGCTTTGGACCCCGTGTGACGGTTATGGCGGGAGGTACGATGACGTGCGTTGGTTTGGTATTCTCCTCCCAGGCGACTGGTATAATATTCCTTATTATCAGTCTTGGACTTTTCACAGGTGAGGATCAACTATCTTCCTTTATTTCTTTTCTTTCTTTTCTTGCTTTGGTATGAGGTGGACAGAATATTAGACTTAAATTGACATGTTGTAGAACACAAGATACCTTAACTTGACAAATATGAGGAAAGCATTTAGCCAAAACCTATGCTTTTGTTACTGTTTCGTTGGCATTTGGCATGTTAAAATCTTTATTTGCCAAGGCCGGGTGTTGGTGCATAATAACGCCACAAATGGGTCATAATGTCGGTTGCAGTTATGTAATGACATCGACTGTGACTATGACGAAGTCGGTGTGTGACTGGCTTCAGATCAGCCTTGACATTTGTTTGGTTTTACCGTTGATCAGTGGAATGTCCTTCTTTCCATAGCCTTTGGAATAAGCATGACCTTTAATGCTGGCTTTACAGTCTTGGGCATGTACTTCAAGAAACGTCTGGCTATGGCCATAGGCTTGGCAACGGCCGGAACCAGTATCGGACAACTGGCGCTCCCGCCTCTCTTCCAGTACTTGATCGACCAATATGGATGGAGGGGCTCTCTGATGATAACATCTGCACTGGCGTTTCACGTAGTTGCTGCTGGCGCCCTCATGAGGCCACTGGTACCCAAAAAGCAAAAGAGGTCATCTAAAAGATCCAAAAGGAGCGAACTAGAGGATAAAACCTCTGACGCAACACCCAACAAGAACTGCCAATCAACAGAGGTCGGCAGCACCGGACTGTCGTTTCTCAGCCCGTCCATTTTTGGAGGCGAAGATTTTGTCTGCTCCCCAGGTGCCGGCGACACAACTCTGGGAGAAGGCTCAATATTCCAAGGGAAACCCGACGTTGCCATGACAATCGATGAGACCGAGGATGAGGACAGGATCGAATATACCGACTCTGATTCTTGGAGTCTGTCTTCGACCTCGGAAGGAGACATGACCGCCATGAACAACAATGTCTGGGTACCAGTCGCCATAACCACCCTGGGGAACCTACCAAAGGAGAGGAGGAGGAGTTATTTCAGACGCAGACCTCGCTCTGCATCCATGGTCAGTCAGACCCTGGTCAAAAAATCCTCTGATTTAATCCGTCTTCTGCGCAATCCAAGTTTCCTCGTCTTGATGGCTGTAAGCATTGGGAACGGCTTCGGTCGGGCGTCCACTACCTACCACTTGGTATCAAGAGCTGAATCAATTAACATCGAGCCAGACAACGCTGCATTGCTTTTAACCCTGATGGGCGCCGGTAGTCTCATCGGTAGACTCTCCATAGGCTGGATCGTGGACAGGAATTGGATGCGTCCAGAGCTCTGCTACACCTTGACCTTCGGTGTCTGTGCATTGGCAACCTTCATAACTCCTCTCATCACGGAATTCAAGGTGTTGGTAGCCGTGGCGCTGGTACACGGCGCATCTAGCGGTGCAGCGACTGTCGTTGTTATGATGACCCCTCGACTTGTCGTCAAGCCATGGCTGGCCAGTACTTCCATGGCGTATTTCCTCCTTGCCTGGGGCGTTGGTGAAATATCTGGAGGAGCTTTAGCCGGTGAGAAGCGATTTCACAATTTCACAAATTTCCGGATCGGTAATGATCAGGTGTAAAGATGGTGAACTAAACTTTGGGATAGAACGAGTGTCACGCAATCAAAATCTACCAGGAATTTGATTGGTACCATTTAATTACATGTGTCTGGGCTGATTCAAGACCCTCTGTTCATGAATGAATTAAAGTGGTATAAAAATCATACATTTAATCGTGATTGTGCAAGGGCATCTAATTCACAACACACTTTGGCGCTTAATTTATATAGGCTGTTAAACTCCTGTTGTCAGTACACTCTCTCAATGCGTCTCTTTGATAACAGATCGCTAAATGTTCCGGTTATTGTTTTGTAACATTTTTATGTACTGTGATGTAAATTTCTGTCTTCAAATTCCAGGTTGGTTTTATGATGCGCTCAAAAGCTACGACTATTCCTTTTACGCTGCGGGCTCCGTGATGACATCTGCGTCTGCACTGATGCTCATCATCTACTTTCTCCAGCGAGCTAAACGACGACGTCAAGGGCATCACGCAAAAAGCTTCGGTGAACAAGCAGGATCGGTCCAGCCCGGTTCAAACCAGTTAGATCCGGAGCTAGCCGGATCGATGCATGATGACTTGGGAAGGGTCAATCCGGTATTTTCCACGAGGAAGGGGTTTGAGACTTGTATAGATCTGTGCGAGGGTGAGATAATGGGTGAGAGTGTGTCAGTGTGTGAGGCAGATGTCGATCTGGAGGGGAGTGAATGGAGTCTGAAGGGACAAATGGTAGGGGGATCTTTGGGAGAGGGTTGTAATGATGTTGGAGAATCTCTAGTGTGTAAGAGTGTACCAGTGAGTGAGGTAGATGCCGTTCAGCTGGCAAGCCAATCTTGTCAGAGTAACGCAGCCTGCAATCGGGAGCGGAGTGAATTGAGCCAAACAGGACAAACTGTAGGGGGATCTGTGGGAGAGGGTTGTAATGATGTTGGAGAATCTCTAGGAATTGAAAACCCAATAAATGAGAATGACTCGGATGAGGACCATGCAAATTACACACTGTCATCCCAAAGTGACACACATGCAGAAGTGCACAAAAAAGAAATAGGCCTAGATGAAAATGAGACACCGGGCAGTGTTACTGGTCCAAGTCAGAAAATCTAAGCACAAAAGATTCCGATAGTTACATCCGAAAGTGATAACGAAGGTGTGATGGGTTTTGAAAACTCTTGGTATAAAGGTAGGTCTTACGTCAGTAGGATCCCATCAGAGTCACGAAAGGTGGAGCACGAGGTTTCTGGACCTGTAGAAAGGATCAATATCATGCTTGAAAGCATAAGTGATCAGGAAGATAGTGGCATCGAATATCAACTATATTTCGCTGAGACTAGCGGGAGCGAGAGTTGCCCGTACGATCCAGAGTCTGTGAGCAGTGAGTGTTGGGATGGTGCAACAGACAGTACCGGTAAGTATACAGGGAGTGAGATAGAAGTGTCACAGGCCCACCATCGGTCTCAAATCACCCAGGACTCAGTGGACAATCAAAACCAAGTCAGGGGTAATGAACATTGTGAGGAAGACGAACATTACAATGACCAATCTAGCGAGAAGATAAAAAGGTGAGCGTGGGTTTTTCAATCCCTGTTACATCTCAGGCATTTCAGTCGATGACAGACCTGGCGATGGACCGGAGGCTGTGGAGGGTAGTTTGGATGGGCTGGAGGACATGGTCCCCAAAAGTGAACGTGTGTGAGGGTTGCTAAAGATTCACGTGGTGGGAAGAAGCAATGTATTGTTACTGAAGAAATGTTCTTGTGAGCAGTTACTTGGCCATTCCGAGAGGGAATGAGAGTGGTTGAGATCGAGTGGATGACAAGTCTTAGAGTAGATGGGGATAGAACCTTCTTCCGAGAATTATTTTGCATTTGTTTGGGGGGTTGTAATGCCAGTCCGAATTTCGTGCTATATCCACCTTTAAATTCAAATTTGCAAAAACTTCCAAAAACTACCAGTTTTTGTTCTTGATAATATTCCAAAATAAATTATTTTACATAAGTTGAAAGCATGTTTTTAAGTGGAGTTACTTTAACGAAGCATCCATTATCTTGTGCGTCTTTGTGTTGTATATACACATTAAGACAATATGATGCGCATATAGCTGCTTTCCTTACTTCTAACATGTATACTCGAGTGTAATATAATGGACAACAGTGTATTCACGTCATTTACTATATACCTCCTTTGTTAATATTAAATGTATTATATATTGTAACAATTTAAGTATTTGCGCCAGGTGGTGTCCTACAGCAGTGTTTGGCATTTTTCTAAGTTCCTTTAAGTCCCTTGTATGACCTCACCCAGAAGGGCCCCTGGTTGGGACCATGCATGGATTAACATTGTTGCATACATTAAACAGATTAAGAGTCAGTAGGCTATAGTGAACTATAGCCTCAGACCTCAATAGTGCATTGAAGCCCTCCCTCCCTACACTGGGTTGGGATCTATTCTTTATACTTGGCCATTTATTTTAGGAATTTCTTTGTTCAACACTTTCCTATAAAAACCTGGTGTGCCTTCATCCAGTGTGGATTCTGTGACTGGGCGTTGGCCATTTCAGTTCTTGCTGTTTTTAGTAGTCATGTGTATCAGTAGGCCTGCACTGCTGTGGCTGGTGAAGAACATGTCCAATGTTGTACGTTTACTTAAGTTTCTCTATGCGTAGTTTCATTTGGCTCCCTCGTTTCCTTCATTTGTCTGTTAAAATGGAAATCCGTTACAATATATATCACTTGCCGTTCTCTATTCTAAATGTGTGTGACGCATTGCCTAAGCAAAATAATGAAGTATATATTTGTGTGCTTTATCTATGCGGACTGTAATGGTTTGGCTTATGTTCAAAGATGTTGATTTTACCAACAGCTAGCGTGCAGTATTAAAAGTAATACAGGGTGATTACAAAAAGAACGAAACCAAAATGTCGGGAATCATTCAAATCACTCATGTTATTTTCAAGCTACGGAGTTTGAAACACAACCACCGTTTTAAAGCTCTGTCCACAGATCTCAAAAAGGTGTGTGTTCTTTCAGCAAAACAAAAACAATTCACACACATCCTTATGTGATTTGTTTTCGATTTGCTGAAAGAACACTGAACTTTTTTGTGATCCGTGGACAGAACCTTAACGGTGGTTGTGTTTAAAACTCCGTAACTTAAAAAGTACATGAGCCTGATGATTTAAATGATGCTTGTACTAATAGAAAGCTTATAAATTGGGCTTTTATATCCTAGATTTTGTAAGTGCTACATGCATAACTTCTCTACAACAATGGTCCCGACATTTGGTTTTTGTTGGGTTTTTTTTTTACTCAACTGTACTTGTCTGAGCAATATGGTACCGTCAACAATTTCAAGTAAACATGTATTTTATCAAGTTTCAAATAGTTTTCTTCAAATGTTTTTCTTCAAATGTTACTAGATTAGTTTGGTAGAAAAACTTTAAACGCTGCATGTTATTCATTATGGAAAGGGCCAGGAATGCGTATCTTACATTATTGTAAAAACTAAACTAATTTTTGTATACTGGACTTTTCATCTATTTGGAGCCTGTCAAAATGTAAAATATATTCCTATTTCAACACAGGTTTTTCGAGTAGGCCTATACATTTCATTTACATTCAGATCTTCAAAATAGAACGCTGTGTAAATCGTGTGTACTCTAATGAACGTCATAGCGAAGTAAAACTTCGCACTTGAAGTAAAACTCCAACAAAAACAAATTGTTTAAAGTATTTCACGAAAAAAGAAAAACCGATAAAAACTCTCTTTGGTCTCCTTGGAAAAAAATGGGTTAAAATTTTGACAGACAAACGTACAGCAATTGTTCCCCGAACATCAATCAGATTGACAAACTCCAGAGATCCTGAACGGCGTCAAGACATCCTCCCAACGAGATGGATCCTAGACAAACAAAGAATTAAGACAGGTTACTTTTATCGTGAAAAGAAACATCATCTAAAAGTAATGAAAGAAATATCAACTCAATTTCCACAACAGAAAGTTTCTGCACATGAAGTTGGCATTTCTTGCTTGATGGACAACGAACGTCCTCCCTTTGCAAGTTCTGCAACACACTCTGAGTTTTCCTGGCTGAATCGAGTGACATGGGGACTTGCAGTACTAGATCTGGGGCCTCAACTTCCCAGCTGAAACACTGGTAAGAAACGTGGAAGTGCTGTTAAATAATACAGCATGAAGCGCATTCAATCCTCTGAAGTCAAACACAAGTCCTCACAAGTCAATCACAAGTCCTCACAAGTCAATCACAAGTCCTCACAAGTCAATTACAAGTCTTCACAAGCCAATTGCAAGTCCATCACAAGTCCTAACAAGCACTCTAAAGTCCATCACAATTCCATCACGTTAAGTCCATCACAAGTTCTCACAAGTCGACCGGCCTCATACGTCCCCACAAGTCCTCACAAGTCAATCACAAGTCCTCACAAGTCAATCACAAGTCCTCACAAGTCAATTACAAGTCTTCACAAGCCAATTGCAAGTCCATCACAAGTCCTAACAAGCACTCTAAAGTCCATCACAATTCCATCACGTTAAGTCCATCACAAGTTCTCACAAGTCGACCGGCCTCATACGTCCCCACAAGTCCTCACAAGTCTTTCACAAGTCTATCACGAGTCCATCACAAGTCCACCACAAGTCAATTCTAAGTCAAAAACAAGTCCATCACAACTCTGTCACAAGTCTATCACAAGTCAATCACAATTAAGTCTGTTACAATTCAATCACAAGTCCATCACAAGTCCATCACAAGTCAATAAAAAGTCCATCACAAGTCCTCACTAGTCAAACACAAGTCCACCACAAGTCATTCAGTCTCTGAGACACGTTTTCGGGACGATATTTGTGGGAGCTGATGACTGATTGTCGTTTTTTGGCCAGATGGACGAAGATTTCTAGATAAAGGAACGTGTTTTTGAACAGAACTACGTCTAAGTATCCTAACTTTGGAAATTTCTGTCCTGGATGAGAAGATTATCTCGATCAAAATCTGTAGCAAAGTCGTTACATCACTTTTCAGCGTTTAGGGGAGCATCGCCCATCTGGCCGTACTACAGAGCTTGTGATATACAACTTGTGATAGTATGTACGGCCAGAGGCAGTCGGGCTACCCAGAATGGGGCTCACATTCCTACCCCATGGTACATTCACAGGTCTACATTTCAATTTTTTGTTTTTCATGTTTTCATCGTTCCGTCTGTTCATTGTCATAAGCTAACTTTACCATGATTACAAGTAGGCCTAGTGACCAGTGGTGACCAAAATGTCAGAAAGCAACATGCTACCTGTCTCAATTCATCATCTAATTGTTTTCCACAGAATATAACTTCGATATCAGATGGTTTCAATCCATCATCGCTATGGCAACGAGCAACGACGGTCCATGCAGCTTATAAGCTACTTCGGAGTTGCAAAAATGTACTACTGCGTGTGCGCACATCAAATTCAACGATTTAGTGTCGGAAAATAAACAAAGCAGATAAATGCACACAAGTCTATGGGGGACGTGGTAATCGAATCCACATTTTGCACTTTTGTTCTAGCATGGTGCTATAGCTCCATGGTTCTAGTAAAAAAGAAGATGGAAATTTTTGTCATTCGCACAAAAGTTGGAGCATACAAAACATCTTAAACCATGGTGCCGTTGAAAACAATCAACACTTTGCATCCTACATGTACTTCAGAACAAGAACTTTTCTTTGATTTCGTTGGTACCCTGCTATGATTTTGCACGCGCGTGGCGAACTATTCGGGCCCCGACCCTAATCGTTGTCATTCGTGAGAAACTCACATCACATGACTGAAGATCAAAGTCCCTGAAGAACACCCCGCCACGGAAGCCGCCATTTCGAAAGAGCGCCACCACGTGTTTGAAAGAGCCCTACGCTCCACTTTTAACAACATTTCCTTATTTTAAGGAAATTTTAACGCCCTAAGGAAACTTCTAAGGAAATGAAAAATTTAAGGAACTTTTTCAATGAACTCCAAAGTCTAAAGAACATTTCAAAGAAAGTTCGAAAATTAAGGAAAAAGTAAAAAAAAAATCATTAAAAAGATAATAAATTTGTGTCGAAACGAAAACTTAGGCCACTATCGGGGCCTACAAAGAGAGTCGAGCGCGAGGGTACGGTACGGACCGTGCATGTATGCATCATTGCTAAATACACAAATAAATACCATGCGTCAAAATTGCCAACGTTCAACTTTCATCGTGCCAAATCAACCTTCTTCTATCTCCCTTTTAAGTTTTTTTATTCCAAGCAGTGTGAACTTGACCTTTTTTCTCATATTTTATTCAGTTAATACTTAGATAGGTTGCTGATGTACATGTAAGTCCTAGTCTACTTCGTACGTTGTCGTTAGAGCCTAGAATTGTAGTGTTTACCACATGGCTGCCACTCTGTAGCCTATTTTGGATCGAAAGGGTTACAAAGTCTACATATTCGGCATTTCGGAAGACTTGTTCAAACAATGCAATATGCCTGGCAGTATATAACAACATGTTGTGCAAGAATTGAAAACAACTACCAGTTAAAAACAGAAGAAGAATATTAGCTCCTGGATCTGGTGCGAACTGGAGCAAACCGGTTTCTTTCACATGTGACTCGCAATATCTGGGAGCAAAGTACGGACTGACGCAGCATAACCCTGTATAATGACATCCTATCCAAACACAAGTAGTATAATTTACAAAAAAAGTTTACAACAACGCCGAGGTTAACCACCGCTTAATTGTTGAATGGAATTAATGTAAACAGGCGAACTGGTAAAATCTGGATCCGGAACATGTCGTCATCAACAGAAACACAGCTCTGAAATAGTGACTTGCAAAAGAACTTGGCCCATACTGCTTTTGTACTCCCATACGAATGGATGTAAATCTTTCTTAAATACGATATCAAACAAAACGTAAACATATTTGATATTGTAACTTCGATTTTGTCCAACGTTCTGAACTTGGGAGAAAATCCAGCCGGAAAATGGGTCGCAAAAGGAAAGAAAATGCGGCCATGGAATTGGAGCCAGAGCCGCCAGATTCGGGTTGGGCTTGGGTGGTCCTGTGCAGTGTTTTCGTCACTCAGTTCATGACCGTTGGTTTCCTTGCCTCGGTGTCCGTCTACGTGTACGTGTGGATAGCTTTCTTCAATGGAAGCGCGGCGGAAACCAGTCTGGTTATTTCGCTTTGTTCCTTCATGATGGGAGTATTGAGTAAGTACACGGCATTGTATACAATGCATAAAATCATACTATAAACGTTTATTCTAGAAATGCTCACATTAATTGACCAATGAATGCAACGAGCAAGACAGATTGAATGCAAACTGCTCCTTTTTCTGTATGAGAGGAAAAAAACCCCAAAATCTAAGTAATGTACATACAAGAAGAAAAGAATAAAAAATAGGGAAACAAGTAACAATCGTTTGCAATACAATGATGTTGTGTGTATTGTACGCATTTTGTTTTTGTTTTGAACTTTAAATAATGTCATTTCATCTCACGAATAATTTAATCTTTCTCCTTCGAGCCGACGAGTGTGGAGTGCAAGAACCTGTTGTATAGAGATTTTCTTTCACAAAACATATTCTGTTTATTTTGTATAATTCTACTCTAACGAAAAGAAAGTGTTATACTATTGATTTTTCCCCAATTCTTTTGGCATTTCATTCGGCATTTATTAACGATATCATATTTCCTATTCTATTTAGCCATGCACCTCTATATGCTGGCTTGTTTTTCTATTTGAAAATGAAATAAATGTACCATGATAGAGGATAATATAGACCCCAATGGTCAAGGGAGAGCGTTCCACTGCTTTTTGGACTTCTAAAAGCGAAAATGCATGACAAAATAAACGAAATGCAATAAACGTATTCATTACACACAAAAAACACTCCAAAACTGCAATGTTGCGAAATACCGTGCGGTAGGCATATTATTTTAAAACAATGGCGGCAGTGGTGGAATGTTTTAGAATGGTGAGGCGCAAATTGTACAGCAAAGGGCGCGCAGCTCGAAAGTTTGCAACCAAAACAAATTGCCCATAAATTCCCCTTTCCCAGGGCCCAGGTTCCACCGCCTATGCCCACTGTTTTAATATAAGTGTACCCACGGGAAAAAAAGCATGTACTTGAAAGTTTGTTCTCTTTTTGCAGCGGGAAACACATTTGATTGAACAAGTACATAAAGGAAGCCGGAATGTGAGTTGAAAAGATTGCGAGCGGCCAAGATGTCTGACCTGCCGCCGGGTACCAGTTTTCATTGTGGTCAAAAGGTCACTACTCAGAGAGGACATCAGTCACCTATCAATGATAGGTCGTGTCCGAAACGGGCTTCCAGAGCTACGGCTACGTCTATTGTCAGCTTGTTCCTATAGTAATGTAATGGGCGAAGACCTAGACAATCGCTCTAGCCCCTTTTTTTTTGCTATTTCTTTAGCTCTACTTCATATAAACGAGGGCGCCCTTTGTATTGAAAATATGAAAAGTTTGAACATATCCTCATCTGGATTATATATGTACCTTATTACATTAACTAAAATGAATCTATTTGTTAGTCAACTAACAGTTTATTTCACAGGTTTTATTTTTTGGTCGTTGCATGGATGGGCGGGGTTTTATAGACTTTAGAGGATCTTGTACCCAAGCCGTAGGTTTGCAGATAGTTTACCAAATGTCCTATATCGTGCCCAAACAAGTTAGCCCTTCTGTGGATAGTGTTTCTCGACCTAGTTTGTCAACAAAAAATCTCGTTCTCAGCAACAGTGAGTATACAATGGGGGGAAATCACTTCCATCATTCAGATATATAGCAGCTTCTGAAAATGAAAATTCTAATTTTTTGGTTACCCTTGTTTAGGTCCGATTTCAGGATCGATATGTAAGCGCTTTGGACCCCGTGTGACGGTTATGGCGGGAGGTATGATGACGTTTGTTGGTTTGGTAGTCTCCTCCCAGTCTACTGGTATAATATTCCTTATTATCAGTCTTGGATTTTTCACAGGTGAGGGTCAACAAAGATTATGTCTTTCTCTTTAACTTTCATTTGTCTAGTGCTTTGGCAAATAAGGTTGACGAAAACTTGGACCTGAATTGTAGAACACAAAATACCTTAAATTGACACATGCATTACTAAGGCCAAAAAAAAAAAGTCTCCGGTTTCTGGTATGCGCGCGCGTCGCCGTAGCCATGCGCGTCGGCAAAATGAAAAAGTTTTTTTTTCAATACAAGATGATGTTTCAAAACCGCCAAACTCACTGGTTTGACTGGAATTCTGCTGCTGCACAATTTTAACGTGTTTTTAGGAGGAGTTATGATCGAGAATAAGATTTATGTGGCCTCTCTGAACTCCCATATATTTGCACTAAGTTTAGTCGGGCACCATTTGCAGTCATCAGCCGACATTTGAAGCCATAAAAAAAAAAACAGGTAGAAAAAAAAAAGCCGCGTCGCCGCACCACTTTTGGGGCAAGCTCCATACCAGAAACCGGAGACTTTTTTTTTTTGGCCTAAAGTGGAAACTTCCATTTCTCCGTGGAGAGAGATATCCACAAGTGATGCCTTGTTATTGCTCTTGTTTGCTAGTAACCATCATTTTTGGCAATAAGTCGTAACTTTGCCAACGCCTGTGGGCAAATAAAATGGGCTATGCTTTCGGTTACAGACATTTTGTTGACATTAACTGTAAAAGTGGCTGTACTGGTCATGTCAGATTTGTGATTTGTTTCCTTTTTCCTTTCTCCCATAGCCTTTGGAATGAGCATGAACATCAATGCTGGCTTTACAGCCTTGGGCATGTACTTCAAGAAACGTCTGGCTCTGGCCATGGGCTTGGCAACGGCCGGAACCAGTCTCGGACAACTGGCGCTCCCGCCTCTCTTCCAGTACTTGATTGACCAATACGGATGGAGGGGCTCTCTGATGATAACATCTGCACTGGTGTTTAACGTAGTTGCTGCTGGCGCCCTCATGAGGCCACTGGTACCCAAAAAGCAAAAGAGGTCATCTAAAAAATCCAAAAGGAGCGAACTTGAGGATAAAACCTCTGATGCAACAACCAGCAAGAGCTGCCAATCGACAGAGGTCGGCAGCAACGGCCTGTCGTTTCTCAACCCGTCCATTTTTGGCGGCGAAGATTTCGTCTGCTCCCAAGGTGACACAACTCTGGGAGAAGGCTCAATATTCCAAGGAGAGCCCGACGTTGCCATGACAATCGATGAGGCCGAGGATGAGGACAGGATCGAATATGCCGACTCTGATTCTTGGAGTCTGTCTTCGACCTCGGAAGGAGACATGACCGCCATGAACAACAACGTCTGGGTACCAGTCGCCATAACCACACTGGGGAACTTTCCAAAGGAAAGGGGGAGGAATTCCTTCATTCCCGGACGCAGACCTCGCACTGCATCCATGCTCAGTCAGACCCTGGTCAAAAAATCCTCTGATTTAATCCGTCTTCTGCGCAATCCAAGCTTCCTGGTCTTGATGGCTGTAGGCGTTGCACACGGCTTCGGTTGGGCGTCCACTACCTACCACTTGGTATCAAGAGCTGAATCAATTAACATCGAGCCAGACAACGCTGCATTGCTTCTAACCCTGATGGGCGCCGGTAGTCTCATCGGTAGACTCTCCATAGGATGGATTGTGGACAGGAACTGGATGCGTCCAGAGCTCTACTACACCTTGACCTTCGGTGTCTGTGCATTGGCAACCTTCATAACTCCTCTCATCACGGAGTTCAAGGTGTTGGTGGCCGTGGCGCTGGTACACGGCGCATCTAGCGGTGCTGCGACTGTCGCTGTTATCATGATTCCTCGACTTGTCGTCAAGCCATGGCTGGTCAGTACTTCCATGGCGTATTTCTTCCTTGCCTGGGGCATTGGTGAAATATCTGGAGGAGCTTTAGCCGGTAAGAAACGATTAGTAGAATGTAAGACCAAGGAAGCATAGAAAGTAGAAAAAGTAGTTACATCATTTCACAAATTTGTGGATCGGTAATATGCAAGTGTAAAAATGGTGGTTTGGGATGAAGCAAGGTACACGCAATCAAAATCTAGCAATTTGATTGGTACCATTAAATTACATGTGTCTGAGAGGATTCTAGATCCTCTATGCAGGAATGAGTTTGGTCTGAAAGTCATACATTTAATCGTGATTGTACAATGGCATCTTAATAATCACAACCAACTTTGGCACTTAATTTTGGCAGTTGAACTCTGTTGACAGTACACTCTCGCAATGCGTCTCTTTGAAAACAGATCGCTAAATGTTCCGGTTAGTTTGATGTTTGCGATGCAAAGTAATTTCTTTCTTTTATTTGAAATTCCAGGTTGGTTTTACGATGCGCTCGAAAGCTACGACTATTCCTTCTACGCTGCGGGCTCCGTGATGACAGCTGGCTCCGCACTGATGCTCATCATCTACTTTATCCAGCGAGCTAAACGACGACGTCAAGGGCTTCACACAAAAAGCTTCGGGGAACAAGCAGGAGCGGTCCAGCCCAGTTCAAACCAGTTAGATCCGGAGCAAGCCGGATCGAAGCATGATGACTTGGGAAGGGTCAATCCGGTATTTTTCATGAGGCAGGGGTTTGAGACACGGATAGATCAGTGCGAGGGTGAGATAATGGGTGAGAGTGTGTCAGTGTGTGAGACAGATGTCGATCTGGAGGGGAGTGAATGGAGTCTGAAGGGACAAATGGTAGGGGGATCTTTGGGAGAGGGTTGTAATGATGTTGGAGAATCTCTAGTGAGTGAGAGTGTACCAGTGAGTGAGGTAGATGCCGTTCAGCTGGCAAGCCAATCTTGTCAGAGTAACGCAGCCTGCAATCGGGAGCGGAGTGAATTGAGCCAAACAGGACAAACTGTAGGGGGATCTGTGGGAGAGGGTTGTAATGATGTTGGAGAATCTCTAGGAATTGAAAACCCAATAAATGAGAATGACTCGGATGAGGACCATGCAAATAACACACTGTCATCCCATAGTGACACACATGCAGAAGTGCACGAACAAGAAATAGATGAAAGTGAGACACCGAGCAGTGTTACTGGTCCAAGTCCACAAATTACAGAAAATCTAAGCACAAACGATTCCGATAGTACATCCGAAAGTGATGACGAAGTTGTGTTGGGTTTTGAAAACCCTTGGAATGAAGGTAGATCTTATGTTAGTAGGATCCTAGAGTCACGAACGGTTGAACACGAGTTTTCTTGTGGTGTAGAAAAGAGCGATATTGTGTTGGAAAGCATCAGTGATCAGGAAGATAGTGGCTTTGAAAATCAACTATATTTTGCTGAGACTAGCGAGAGCAAGAGTTGCCCGTACGATCCAGAGTCTGTGAGCAGTGAGTGTTGGGATGGTGTAACAGACAGTACCGGTAAGTATACAGGGAGTGAGATAGGAGTGTCACAGACCACCCATCGGTCCCAAATCACCCAAGACTCCGCGGACAATCAAAACCAAGGGAGGGGTAGTGAAAATTATGATGAAGACGAACATTGCAATGACCAACCTAGCGAGAAGATACAAACAAGTGACCGTGGATTTTTCAATCCCTGTTACATCTCAAGCACTTCAGTCAAGGATGGACGTAGCGGTGAACCAGAGGTTGTGGAGGGTAGTTTGGATGGGCTGGAGGACATGGTCCCCAAAAGTGAACGTGTGGAAAGGGTCGCTAAAGATTCACGTGGTGGGAAGAAGCGGTATATTGTAACTGAAGAGCTGTTCTTGTGAGAAGTTATACTTGGCCATTCTGAGAGTGGATGAGAGTGGATGTGGGGACATAAGAACTTTCTTGTCGAGAATTACATTGCGTTTGTTTTGGGGGTGTAATACCAGTCCTTATTTTATGCTTTATCGAACTTCAAATTCAAATGTCAAAAAAAACAAGCTTTTTTTTCCTTTGATAAGCATTGTGTACATAAAGTTCAAATCATGTTTTTAATAGGAGTTATTTTGACCATTATCCATTATCGTGTGTGTTTGTGTGATGTATATACATTAGGACGATGCGCATATAGCTGGTATACTTACTTCTAACATACTCGAGTGTAATATAATGGACACCAGTGTAGTCAGTCACGCTATCTATATATCTCTTTTATTCACATCAAATGTATTATAAATATCACTTGCCGTGCTCTGTTCTAAATTTGTGTGTGACGCATTGCCAAGCAAATTGAGTATATAATTCAATGCAAAACTAGGGTCTTTATCTATGCGGACTTTAAAATGTAAATAGCGGTTTGGCTGATGTTCAAAGATGTTGATTTTACCAACAGACGGTGCAGTATTCAAAGTTGTATTATCAAATATACTTGAGCAGTATGGTACGGTCAAACAATTTTGAGTAACGTGTATTTTATCAGGTTTCAAAACGTTTTCCACAACCAGATACTAGATTAGTTTGGTAGATAGAGGTGCTTAAAACGCTGCATGTTATTCATTATGGAAAGGTCAAGGAGTACGTGTATGTAATACAATTGTAAAAATTAAGCTTATTTCTGTATACTGAACTTTTCATGCATTTTGGAACCTGTCAAAATGTAAAATATATTCAGTATTCTAGCATAGGTTTTTTGAGTAGGCCTATACATTATATTTCATTTAGAGCTTCAAAAGCGAACGCTGTGTAAATCGTGTGTACTCTATTTTCTGTCAACACTTAAGTTTATTTATAGTCTAGTTTATCATCGATTGTGTAATAATTAACGTCATTGCGGCAGTTCTATAATTTATTAGATCATATCATAATAATCATCTTTTTCGTACCACCGTACGTAGCTTATCTTATGTTAATAATTATTGTCGTGCTCAGCTGGTTATTCTATGCATGCTTTCTTGCAGCATTCGTGTCATATATTGCTCAAACCGCCATTTTTGAAATAAACATTCCGATTTACTGACATGAAGAATCAGTGAAAAGGATTATTTATCGAAGTTGCAAAGTCCAAAGCAGCCATTAGATACAGCATGGAGCTATTAGGCTAAGTGTTGTGATATGAAAAAAGAGCGCCCTCTAGCGTGGAATGAGGTGCAGCCCCCCCCCCCGGCCCCCCTTCGGCAACTGGCTGGCCTGTTGGCCCCCTAAAAATTTAGGTCAATTTTGTTGGGCATCTGACCTTGGTGCCCTTTCCTCCCCCCACCCCAATAAAATGCTGGTGCCCCGCCCCCAAACTGAAAAAAAATCCTGGCTAGGCTTTACGCTACTATATAAAAACAAACAAAACCCAGATGTAAATGTAAATGTAAATTATTAAAAATCTAATAAATATTTTCAACGCCAAAGTATCCTTTTTCGAATGATACCTTGATATTAGTGTGTCTGGGCCCAAGGATGACTGAGCAATCGTTGTTATTCTGTCAAGGGTCAAAACCTGTACTGGGCCAAATTTAATTAATACCTGGCTAAGATTGCTGGCTGGTTTGTTATGCAAAGGTTGAAATGGACTAGACTTCGTGCAGAGCTTTGTGTGAAAAGAGGTGGTGGTCCCATTGAAGGCATTAGGCCATGAGGTGTCTTCTGTCATTGAATTAAGCCGTTCCACGTGCACATGCTACCCTTTTGCACAAACTTGGCCCAGTGCAGGTTTTGACCCTTGACATAATTAATAGCAACGAATGCTCAGTCATCCGTGGCCACAGACACACAATCAAGGTATCATTGGAAAGAGGACACATTGGCATTTCACATGATTATTATTTTATTAGAAAATATTTATTAGATATTTTATAATTTACATTTACATTTGGGTTTCCTTTTTTTCCCTTCTTTTTAATACACCCTGTACTTCTGAGGATTGGAGAGCTAGTAACGTTTCCAGATCTTGACGCTAGGTGGCGCTAGACTGTGCATTATAGACCTTAAGGATGAACCCTTGAATTAAAATCCCCATAGACACGAGTGCTAAATGCCCATACCAAATTCTTTTTAAAATACTCAGAACTCTCACAGGTATTTAAGCTGCACAGAAAAATGATGTCAACATGTCATCTTTCATTTTCTTTTCATTTCTTGGTGGGTTGACCATTGACTTTTCGAGAAATTCTCACCCAAAGAACACGACCGCCATTTTCCCCAACGCGGGAAGGTAGCCATCTCGAAAAAACGATCCCTCCACAACATGGCAAAATAGCGCCACTTTCGAGCCCAATTGCATCCAAAATGCCCGGAAATGGAAGCCCCAAGTCCGGGCCAAAGGTTCATCGTCATATCTTTTCAATTCCCCAATTTTATGGCTCTCAGAACTCTCTAATATGAAATATTTTGAGGGTATAACTTTTGTTCATGAGCTCAGCGGATGAATTTAGGCCTATTTACATGTGTGCATTAAGGGTTCAGGCGAGCAAATAGACTTCCAGGGATTATTAAAAATACTCAAAACTCTCTGAGGTATTTTAGACACAAATCGAATATAAAATTTTGCCATCATCTTTTATTTTCCGTTCAATTTTTGGCGGTTATCTGATGATTTTTGGGAGAAAAATTCCATCCACAGATGATCATCCCTAAAAGCAGACCTGAATCCCATCGCCATTTTGAAAACGGACCCCCATGCTCCATTGCAAAATAGCACCAGTTTAGGGCATGATTTCATCAACATTTCACACTAAAGTCGAGCTCGCAGTCCTCTGCACAGCTTCCATCCTTCCTTTTTTTTTTTTTTTTTTTTACAAATACTTAAGTTCACGGCCCTCAAAATACTCCAATACCGGAGAATTTGAGGGCATGTAAAACGTGATTTGGCCGGCGTATAGGCAATTTCGGGCCTATTTTACTGGTCCCCAATAAGGAACCAGTTTCCTCCAACAATACTGTTTGACGAGGATACAAAGCCTTATTGTAAGCCAGGATATCCCAAGACATTTTAAATTTTAAAAATCCCAAACTTCAGATCCCATCGTGAGATCGCGAACTTTACCTGACTCATGCAGCCACCAACAGGGGCGTTTTTCATGTAGAAATATCGAGAAGTAAAACGCAAACTGGTAGCCACTGCTTCCAAACTAAACATATCTTACATTTCATTGTCAATTGTGAAGTTGTCTAGCTTAGAGGGCGCTCTCGAACAGTTATTAATTTTACCCTCTGTAGGTAGTCTTTATTATTTAGAAATCGACATGTTAACTTTCATATATTATGTTACTTCATTTCATCAAGAGCCTCGTTCTAAGATTTTGAAGGTTAAATAAGAAGTTACATGGATGACCCTATTGTGTGGTATTCAGCCAAAAATGAATTTATTACCGACCTTTACAAAAAATGTCAAAATAAACGTGATGCCTTTAAAAGTTGTTAATACTTTGCATAATACCAGAAATTGTAAACTTCTTAATTCCAGCTTAAGAAAAATATATGGCAAAAAGAGTTTGATACCTTAATTAGTTCTTCTTTTACTCAAATTTCAACCATTTTCAATTCGCACAACTTGTCAAACCATATACCACACACTTTTAATTTTCTCTCTTTCTGGACGTTCAGGATTAAGAATATTTCAAATTAATCAAGACACTCCGGTATGAAGCAAAGGCCCGGTCGTCAACCTTGTATGTGAAACATCCACCACATTTTAGAATTGCATGCAAGTTGTGTATGTCCCTGAATCATGTTGTTATCATTGTATTTATTCGGTGGTTGTCTGATTGACGATTCCTTGGCACGAATAACCATTATTATAGTGTCTAAAAATTTAACAGGAAGACTCGTCCTTGTTTCCCGGGCTGATTTCAGCCATTTCCTCATCTTGCTGTTCTACAGTGTGTATCTCCTGTTGAACCTCGTTGTTACTAGCACCAGAGTACATGGGATTCACAACTCCATTCTCAATGTTTTCATCAAGACGTTTTCCATGTATGTCTTCGGCAGTACTAGGCCTTTGCTGTGCTTCACCGGTGCCTGCTTCGTTGGTTTTGCTCACTAGCTTCTTGTCTCCCTTAGTCTTTCTTTTTTCTAAGAAGAACATAATGGTAGCTAGGATAGCTACAATGGCAAACACGGATCCCGCCATGAAGTACGCGTTGTTGTAGCTTGCGAGGGTGTCATAGATCCGACCTGTTTCAAACAAAATAAAAAAGAAACGAAAGGTTATTTTCCTTGATGTAACTTACCACTTCTGGGTGGACCTCTACTTTCTTAATTTGTGCAAGAAATTAACCCAGAGCTGGACAAAGTCCAACCACAGAGCAATGGTTCAACTTATAAAGGTACAGTAACAAAAAGGCACTCTCGGTGAGTTTGTGATAGGCCCCGCCGAAGAAACTGCAAAGCGATTCCGTACCTGCTAAAGTACCTCCTATTATTTCTCCAACACCCCAGCAAACAAGGACAATACTGGTTGCCCCAGCCACCTCAGACGGTTGCACCAGAGCCTGAAGAATCACGAAGATCATCGGTTCCGCCACACCGGTGGCCGCACCGAAGAGCACACAGGCCGCGACCATGGGGCCAAAAGTTACGAGAGGCGGCAGAATGAAGGAGCCTAGTAGATTGCAGAGGATGGCCAAGGTGTAGGCGATTATTGGGGAGATATACCCCTTATCGACGAACCATCCGTGACTGATTGAAGTAACAAAGGCTCCTACGCCCATGAGAGTGAGCAATGTAGCCCCCTCGCTGGCCCGCAAGCCGACAGACTCAGCACGGGCGTCGAGATGAAACACAACCGAGGCCCAACCGAAGCCGTGAGCTATCCCGATGGGTATGGTCAGGACGAAACTTGGGTTGCGGAACAAGCCCGAGAGGCCGTACTGGTGCAACATAAAGGACTGGAAGTGGGACAGGTGTCGTCTGCAACGTCCGGCTAACGATTGACTAGAATCGCACTGCGATGCGTTTGATGGTGGATTGCTCATTTCGGGAGAGTTTGTTGCTACTGAGTCCGTAAGAGAGCAGAGATCACGAGGTTTGCTGTCTCCCACGGGGGATCTGTCTCCGACGTCAGCCGGCGTTTCTGCTTTCGGCTGCATCGCTTCCTCGTCATCGTCTGTTTTCCGCCACAAGATCTCCTTGTCGTCAAAACACACTCTGACGGAATCGTCGTCGATGGGTGAGTCCGAGCAAAAGGTAGAGTCACCGCTAGTTCTCGCCTGTGCCCGATCAATAAAACCCTCCTCTCTGGATTTTTGAGCAGTCTCACTGTTCTTCATGGAATCATCGCTCGCAGGATTTGTCTTGGACTCGGACTCCTGCTTCGATTTCAACCTCGGCCTGCGCACCTTGGGTGACAGCGGACGCATGAGGGCACCAGCGGCGATCATATTCAACATGATGCCGCCTAATATGACCATAGACCCTTTCCATCCGTACTCGATTATCAGGTAGTCTAGAAGAGGGGTGAGGGCTACCTGACCCGCTGCAAAACCCGACGAGGCGATGCCGAATGCCAGAGTTAGGCGCTTCTTGAAGTAAATGCTCAGAACTACCAAACCGCTGTTGACACACATGCTGAAACCGAGAGCTGTTTCCAGATTAAAAAAAAAAAGATTAATTAAATTCTATAAGTAGATTGGCTCGTGATAGGCCTACATATGGATAGATGGCTTTTGACCAGTGTCCATGAACAAATGAAGCGATGAAAAATATACTCTGCGATTTTCATCACAAGGCAGGATATCCAAGTTTGGGACCATTAGAGTGTTCAAGAAAGCGCAGGTTCAAATCGTCCTCCAGTTAATTACCTTTTTACAAACTAACAGTAAGATTTTACTAAATTTCCTCCGAAGAAGGCCTTGTGAAGGCTCCTCCGAAGAAGGCCTTGTGAAGGCTCCTCCGAAGAAGGCCTTGTGAAGGCTCCTCCGAAGAAGGCCTTGTGAAGGCTGACGTATCAGGCCATTTTAATTTGTTTATTTAATTTTCAAGTATAGTTCGAAGAAGACGTCTCGGTTCTTATTACCTGTTACCAAACTCATGCTCAAGGTCAAGTAGAGTGTACTGGTGGCAAATGCAGATATCAGCAGTCCTGATGATGACAGCACGCCCCCAGCGATCCAAACAGACCTCACGCTGAACCGGGTGATCAAGACACCAGCAACCACGCCTAACAATGACCAAGGAGATGTAATAAACTAAAGGTGACATTCGACCGTGCCTTACATTTTTTTCCAAAAAAAAATCTCAAGAAAGCCCTGTTTGTACATCATTGGCTTTTGCTGTAATTTTCAGAAATGAACTATTTGAGAGGTTAATATAATAGATCAAATATTGTTACACTGACATTTTTGAAGTTTTGTGTTCGAAAAGGTTGGAAAAACCAAGAAAAACAAAAAATGTTCAAGTAGTCTGGTTCCCTGACTCCACAAAAGATAAAATGGATCAATTTATAGATGATGGAAAATTGTAAGGCAAGGGAACCAGTCTAGCTGGCCTGCATCCGTTCATGAACATGTAACCAATAGCAAACATAATTTGGACTGAAAAAATGGTAAATTTGAAGCAGTAGTTGAAAAATAGTTTGGTTTTTCCAACGCTGGTCGGCCGACCAGCGTTGGAAATGTTTACAAAAATATCATTTTCTTGAAAATGACTTCACACCAGGTGCCATAATTTTACAAGATGCTTGAGACGGTCATTTAACAACATCCTAGTAAGGTATTTCGTAAAAACTTGGTAGTTTTATTTTTCGATGTTTGAAAATGTTGTATATTCCCTTTAACACCTGCCGCCGCTTTGCCGCGGCACTCAGCGGCGGCAGCGGTGACAGCTATTTTCCCCTTGCCTGCGCCTTACGTATTTCCAGAAGCCAATAATGCCATGTGATGAACGGTTGTCAACGTCAAGTAGCGTCGCATCTATACTTGTGAAAAACCTTTTTAAAGGAAAGGTTTGACTGAAATGACGAATATGAGCGCCCGAATTCAGTTGAGGACCACGAAATTATTTCGCGCAATATAAACCTAAACAGCCTAAACTAAGGTGTAGCTGAATGTGTGACGTTTACAAATTATTGCAGTCTATACTTGTTAACGATCTTTCCAAATGATAATTATCAATCCGGTCGATCAAAAGTTCCTTTACGTGCACTGAAAGGTTTATATAAAGACTGCTGCTTGGAACTTTCCGCGCTCAATTCCATGTTCTGTGTTCCGCACAGTACATACACAAGGTTCGAAAATCGCAAGGGGGTACAATTTCAGAATATTGGTGGTACGTGCTGGATTGTTGGCCGATGATACGTGCGTGAACACCGTGGACTTTGACCTAGCAAACGGATTCCCGCCGTGGCGCGCGGCGGATATCCATGACTCTTTTTTCTTCTAGTGGATGGCGTGACTATTGTCAACACATAACAAAATCAAAGGCCTGAATCATGCAATAGACCGATATTTTGCAGTACAAGTGTTTATTTCATGTTTTCTCAGAATTATACTGCACTGATCACTCAGACGGAAGGGGTGTGTTTGTTATCAACCCAATTGTGAACTCTTCAAAATAATTTATGGGTATCATGACTTGTAGGCCTACAATTAAGCGCTTTTGCAGATTAAATGCAACTAACTTGGGATACGTACTCCAAAAGCCCATAAAGAATGACGAAAGTGAAACAACCAGGCTCGTATCAGTCGCTGAGCTGTCGAAGAAATCCATCCACACAGGGACATAGACGGCCGCAGCACCGTAGAAACCAAACGACAGGACTTGTGACGAGAACGTACCGGCCAACACCACCCAGGCCCACCCGCCGTCCGGCGGCTCCACGTTATGAGTTCGCCTCCGACGGGCGTCGGTGCTTGGAGACTTTTCGGCCATTTTTATCCGACCAAAATATGGATCGAAAGCTGCTTTACTGATAGTATGTGACCGGCGAAAGACAACTTCTCTGATGACGTGTTTTGTCGTTTACATCGGTAAACAAGGGACATATTTGTAAATGGCCCATGGTTAAACATAATCGGGTGTAAAACTATGTATTGTGCAATGTTTAAGCTCTGACTATAAAGTAAGTTATGTATATTGGGCTCAAAGGTCGCACCCTATGGTTCTCGACCCGGTGTCTAAATCCATTGGGTGGGTTGGGGAACCGAAACGGGGACCGGGGCGGGGACACGAAGAATTAAAGTTTGTTGGTCAACTTTCTGCTTTCGTCACGTACCATACCCGCAACAATCTTTTCATGCAGAGTAAAAGTGAAAAAGTTGCAGGCACCAGGTCGCTGGCAGACAAGAGTACCCCCTTATCTACATGTATAAATGCTGATCTAGATTCTGTCAATGGTCTTTATACAGTCTCAGCTGATTTTGTTTCCTTACAAATTGAGGTAGGGGTTTCACTGTGCAGTTAAGTGGCATAGCCAGGATTTTTTTCAGCGAATTTTCTTTTCAGAATTTTTTTTTTGGGGGGGGGGGGGGGAACCTTGGGGCACTGGCAATTTGTATGGTGAGTTTGTTTCTGCATTCAATAAGGGGCGTTGAACAATAGAGAACAATATAGTGTCCCCAATTCCCGAGAGGTCTCCAATTTAGCGAGGTGTACAAAACATAAACATATGGGATGTCAGTCCTAACAAGTTATAGTACAAACAAAAGAGGGACAATAGGGGTCCCCAATTGCAGGCAAATACACACTTGTGTGTGTGTGGTGCCCCCCCCCCCCCCCCCCCCCCCCCCACCCCAGGTCCCCCTTGGCAACGCCACTGCCACTGGGAAAATAAAAAAGTGTCCTTTGAGGAAAGAGAATTTTCAGAAACGTCCTTTTTGTCTGATGGAACGTTGGTCCGGTTATTATAGAGACCTAAATGAAATTGGATCGGAGGAGAATTTCAGGAAAATACTAGGGCCTATAAGGCTCTATTAAAGGCCTATACGCACAGCAACAGAGTTGGATTGGGCCGCGCCTCTAGCTGACTTGACGGTTTTTGGGGTTTGTTTTTATTGAAAGAAATATTAGGTCCCCCGTTATTGCATCCCCAAGTTCAAGAATAATTCCGGGTGTTTTTTTTTTTTTTTACCTTTTGAGTACTAGAATTGAGGTGCGTATCCAGATTTTTCAAGGGGGTGGGTGTTAGCTGGCGGGGGGGGGGGGGGGGGTAACAGAGACAAGTACTTTTTTCGGTATGATTTCCATTTTTTTGCGAACCAAGATGGGTGGGCTTAAAACCCCTCCCCTTTTGGTAAGCTCCATAGTCCGTTTTAACTTTAAGTCACTTTTTTCCATGTGATGACAATTGAATTTAATTTCGCGTAGACCCGTATTTCGCGATGCTGCCATAGGCCTACGTACGTACGTACGTACATTGTGTGCAGCGCCAGCTAGCTAGCAGCGCGCTGCACGCCGTGCAAACTACATAGCGCCCTCTAGAGGCGGTTGTTCAACCGGGAAAATTTGACTGAAGTCAGAAGACAATGACACTAGATAATAAGTGTCTCTTGAAATTACTTCGTTTATGAGAATTTATGGTAAGAATGAAGTGTATGAAAGACACATATTAAATACCAGTTATGTTTTGCCACAATTTTAGAAGACATTTTAATTTGTCATAAACACAGTTGAAAAGGGTTTCTTTGCTCTTCAGTGTCCACGACGCTAGCTGGAGTTACCCAGCCCTGAGTTTTATCATTGGGTTGTCTATTAGGGCTGGAGCGCATTTTTCTCAAAACTTGTAGTATTTGCAAAAAAAAATTGAAAAATGTTTAATTTTGTCCCCATTACACACTAATTGCAACTGCAACTCACCCCAAACTTGCCTGGAATAACCATTACACAGGTCCTTGAAGTAAAAAACGATCCACGATGAAGATTCAGCCTCCAATTGCAGTGAAAACAGGAGGAATAACCGCTAACTTGACAACCTTGCTGGATTGGCCAGGACCGCTATTGGTTTGTGCACACAAAAAATTGTGTACAATGAATGGCGGTCGATTACCATGCACGTACAGCTCGCTGGTACTAGGCGTTTTTGCGGTCGGTGCATGACGTGACGCGGAAGCGTAATACCCGATGACTGTTTCATGCATTAATAAGAGGTTCACTCGCATCACAGTGCGGTACTGGAACGGCAACCGTCGAGTTGGCCGGCTATCGTGCATTCATAGTGCAGTGTTACTGCCGTTCCAGTTTTGAGAAAAATGCGCTCCAGCCCTAATAGACAACCCAATGATAAAACTCAGGGCTGGGTAACTCCAGCTACCACGACGCCAATTTTGTTGTCCAGATTCTAATTGAATTTCACGGATTTTCAACCCAAAATACATAATCGTGAGTATCGCCCCATTCATGCCATTACTTCATCTTTGACATGTGGAGAAGCAGTAGGTGCTTTGAAAGTTTTTTTGTCAAGTATTTTGCGTGATTTTTGGCAACTTTTGAAAGAAGGCTTCTCTCCGTCAGACGGAGAGAAGCCTTCTAATTCTAGACATGATAATTGATATTGCTAGATTTAGAAGTAGAAAAGTGACACTCTCCGAAATGAGGATTTATGCATTGTGGGGCGCGCGCTAGTTCGACAAACCACATCCCAAATGTCAAAAAAGGAGTTCTAGCGCCCCAGTTAGTGGGTCTAGGGCGCCTGCTGTTCAAAATTACCAAAAAAAATAGTGTCAACAATTGTCATTAAATTTCATTAGAATTAGAACTTTATTAAGAGAAGTCACCTAGGTCCTAGTTGCACAAGTCATTTTAGAATGATGAAAAAAAAACCCACTGTGGACTCTAAGTCTAACTCAACCAAAACTAAAGTAAAGAGGGGCCCGTAACTACACAATTGCCAACAAGAATTGTGCAGGTATTTGAATTGTTAACTTATCCATATTCCACAGAAGATATACCTTGCTCAGTGTGAGTGCCAACTCAACGGGCAAACATTTTTAGGCAAAATCAGAAGGGTTTGAAGTACAAAAGACTAGGAGGGTTAAAGCAAATATTAATTCCATTTATATTAATTTAGTCAACAGTGAGGCAAGACACCATGGCAGACCAGGACAGTCTCACCCAGTCCCCAACCTGGAAGAAACCCTCGGACATCATGAAAGTCCGTCTGAAGAAACGACGAACCAGCAGCCTCGGGAACACTCGGTTGCTAGCAGCGAAAGCCGAGAGGCGAAACCGACTCTCAAGCGGTGAAGGGGATGTGAACCACCGTCCGGGCAAGAGGCGTAACCCCTTTGGTCAGGACGGTGCACCCCCAGCCAGACGGAGAGCCTCACAGAACAATGATGCAGAAGATGAGAGGGGAGACAGGAGATCAGACGAATACAGAGAAGACTCTCCCTCCATGGGGCAAGAAGAGGGAATGGGCGGAGTCAGAGGAGAAGTAGGCAGTGGGAGTGAAGTCAGTCTGTTTCGGGCGTTGGACTCTGGGGAAGATGAGGTAATTAATTTTGGGTTGTTTAACAAAATTGGGAATTGAAAATAACTATAACTCCGTCAGATTTTGTCCGATTCCCATATTCTATGCATCATTGGAAAGCTTTAATCTTTTCCAATGAGTCCAAAATCCCAGATTCCAAGTGATTGGTTATGCACTGGAATGTCACATGTAAGTAATCAATTGTTTTTCAAGTGGCTTTTCAGATCCAAATGAAATAATTATTCATTACATTTGATGGACTTTTGCAAAAGGCTCAAGCACCATTATCAAATAAAAAATGTATGGATTCCATGCACAAACTACAGAGCTCGCTTGCTCCAACCATGACCTCTTGCTAACTTGTATGGCGCTTCATACTTGTCAGGGTTGGCGGGCTGATTTCAATCTTATGTAGCACAGTAGCAGCCGATAAACTTGTTTCAAAAATGTGTAATAAGAATAGATGTACGCTATTTCAATCAAAGACTGTTGCAATCGTTTTTTATATAGGCTGTATTCACTGAAGGGACTGAGAGAAAAGGGGCACCAGCGACAGAGTACCAGCGAGCGCTGAGTGTCAGTAGCTCAGGGAAGACAGAAAGGCCGGACGAGGAGACGGAAACAGAGGGAGAAGCAAAACTTGAGAAATTGGTGATTTCCGTGGTTCACTTTCCATACATTATCTTTGAAATAAACAAAGACATTTATTGAGTGTGACAAATATATTGACATTCTGTTGCTCACTTGTGATTTTGCGTCCAAGTAAACTTTTCTGTGGTGCGAATGTTTAATGTAAGGCACACCGAATTTGACAAACTTGACATGTCACACTGCCACAAATGAATTTTTTCCATTATTGGTAAAAAAAAAACCCAATTCTTGGGGAAAGGAAAAGTGTGTCACTCCCTTAAAAAAACAATAGTGAGATAGATACAAAGAGGCTGGCCCTCTGGAACCAGCGAAAATTTCAAGTGAGTGGGACAAGAAACAAACACCCTAGCAATGTGCTGTTCTAGATCAGCGATATTCCAATATCGGAGTAACGATAATGCAGTCATTTTGATAAACTTTTTGGCAAGCATTTTGACATTTGTCTCAATTTTGCGCAACATTCAGCCCTATTTTTCCTCCTCTGCAGACCAGTGAATTCCTTCCCCTGGACTGGAGCATCAAATCCAGGGTGCGCTTCACCTCCCCGCATCCCTTCAGCTGGAGCCACCCTCTCAAGACTACCGAGGAGGCCAGCGGGATTTGCTCCTTTGTGAGGTGTGAAGACCTCTCGAGAGCACAGCACAAAACATCTGAGGTACTACTTCCGTGAGATAGATATTTGGTTTACTGTCATAGTTGTCCTTTTTGGAAGTCAACAAGTATTGTAATCTCCAGATAATCTGGATATGGGCAATTCCCTAGTGTTATGGAAGAAAATTTAATGTCCATTACAGATAAGAGCCCAGCCTTTTAACCTAAAAATGTATTTTTGAAATCTTATTTATCCATCATCTAGCAATGGCCAAGGAGATTACACACTAGGAGTTTGGATCATTTCTCTGAATCTTTAATTAGATATCATGGTTAATTGGCTCTGTCACGGACATTTCATTTCCTTTCATAACATTGGAATTGGCCTATGGGCTCCGTGCGCCAACAAAAGAGGGCACCCTTTTACCCAGAGACGTCCCATGAGCGGGACACATACATTTCGCTGGTTGACACGCGCCCACCGTTCCTTGTGTGTGATGCAATTACACCAGGGGATTTGTACTATGTACACGCGGGTACGCAGTGGCCGCCGCGCTATGCGGCAAAATATTGCAGTCAGGCTAGATGGCATCGTTTGGTCACCCCCAACTGTACTTTCTTTGCCGGTGAGGGGGTACTTGTAAACGGAGCGGATAGGAAGATTGCGAATTCAGTTCATATTTTGAACTTTTTGGTTGTTTAGAATGGGTGCCATTCTTGACTCGCCATTACTAAAGAGTTAATGAATAAAGCCCTTGATTCTATAGCTAATGTTGTCAACATCAAACTGCCTCTGTAACAAAGTTTATACCAATTAATGGTAATTTACTGTGGAATATCAGGTCCAAGGACATTGTGAAAACATGTTTGCAGCAAATGTTTTCAAGAAGAAAAATGCAAGACTGGAATCAAGACCAACAACTTGATATACAGCTTGATTAATTGAGGACCATTACTTTTCAAATTTGGGCTCCGTGCGCCAACAAGAGAGGGCGACTTTTTACCGCTTTTAAGAGCCCCTTGGACGGGACACACCGCCAAATTGGGGTCCTTTGGGAATTGGGGACCCAATTGTCCTCTATTGTTCAAAGTGCCCTATTGAATGCAGAAACAAACTCACCCATTTGATAACCCTCAGACACATTTGATAACCCTCATATGCCCATTTGATTACCCACACACACCCATTTGATAAGCCTCATACACCCATTTGATAACCCTCACACACCCATTTGATAACCCTCATACGCCCATTTGATAACCCACACACACCCATTTGATAACCCTCATACACCCATTTGTTAACCCTCACACACGCATTTGACAACCCTCCCACACCCATTTGTTAACCCTCACACACCCATTTGTTAACCCTCACACACCCATTTGATAACCCTCACACACCCATTTGATAACCTACACACACCCATTTGATAAGCCTCATACACCCATTTGATAACCCTCACACACCCATTTGATAAGCATCATACACCCATTTGATAACCCGTGTGCGCGTACTTGTTCGCACACGTACAGAGTGAAGTACGCATGACTTATTGTATTCTGAATGTGCACAAAGCCACAGCGTCTCCGCGTGAGCGTTGGACGCTATCTGCGATGCGTTTGAATGTCTCCCCCAACTCTCCCTTTCTTGCCAATGAGGGGGTACTTGTGCATAACGCCCATAGTTGTGTGCACTTTTAAATTCTACTTTTCAAATAATCATTCCGACAATTTTTTTTTTCGTTGAAATTTAATTATACGCAATGTTATTCATCATGTTCAATTGTTTACGCAGAATGTCTCAGCAGTGCATAGCAAATGGAAAGCTAGACTTCAACAGTCCCTCATGATGTGGAGTCACCCTCATCTTCCCTGGGTCAAGCTGTATCCCCGACTCACGCTACGATCCAAAGCAACCAGGTCGGTATAAACTGAATAGTAGACTAACTTTCCATGAACCAAAAGCAATGCACAACTGTTTCCAAACCAGTATCTTCTCAGATTCTTAAGATTTTGGGAGGATGTTGTAAGATTATAGAAGGTACAGCTACATGGGACCTGTTTAGCCTTGAATATTTTAGTGGATTTTGATGATTTAGAAAGGTTCCTTGCAAAATGGGTTCAAAGTTAGGGTAAAAACTTACTTTTTTCATCTTTATTGATTTATTTCAATACATTGTACTTAGTTTATTGTACATCTCAAGCTTCAAAACCTTGCAATATTCTGTCAAGAATACTGCTTTTCTGCACAATTGTTTTTTAACCAGAATGAAATTTGTGTTTATAATTTGAATCATTTCCTAGTCTGCGAGGTTTTGTTCTTATATCTTCATGTTTGATCGATCTGTTACACTAAGAAATTGTTGACAATTCATCAGACTGCCGTATAAAATGAAAAACTTTTCTTGTCATTTCTCAGTACCTCGTTTGCTGCGTTTGATGAATCGATACAAAAGGACCTTATGGCCAGTTGGTAAGTACTAATCCAAACTTCTCAATTTTTGTATGACACCTTTCTTGAAACCATTTTCATTTGAAAAATATATAATTTTTCTCGGTACCTGCGGAAGATCTTGCAATTAGGAAATCTGGAATAATGAAGATGTACATTTTGAACTTTTCAGTTTAAAAATTTAAGTTTTTATGAAAACTTTTCTATTTGCTGTTTTATCAAAAGTTGCTTTCCCGGTGATATTTTTGAGTTTCATCCCCAAAAATTAGATTCCTTTTCTAAATTGTTACATTCTTAGGGTACAAAAGTTACTCACTTTTGAATGAGACATCGACCGAAAATATCGGCTGAAGTTTAGTAATTGAAATATTACTTTATGAAGTTTGAATTACTTACAGTTCGACAATAATTCCATTCTCGCGGGGTAGGCTGGTTCCCGACCCACAATCAGTATCGATAATGTGTGGACCGGGAGCCAGTCTGCTCGCAAGGCGGATCTGTTTGTGCCCAAAATAAGAAACTTTTTTTTTTTCAGACGGTTGCAGACACCCAAAAACTAACAAAGAAGGTCTTTTGGTTGGAATAGAACATACAAGTTGAAAATTTACAAAGAGAGAAAGAAACAAATTTGTTGAAAAGCATATGGAAAGCAACGTTAATCTGTTCCATATGCTTTCTAACTTTTTCCTCCATTTGGGAATATGATCAGGTCTGAAAGTTTCCGCTCAGTGTTCTACCTCCTGAGGTCTGGCCACTGCCCCTACTTCTACCTGTTAGCCCACCAGTACACTGTACTCTTCAGGGCTGCAGGAGTGGGCGGGGTCAAACACATACACGCCCTGTTTAACCCAACAACAAAAGGGCTTCGCGATGCATTCAAAGAGGAAGGTATGAAGTAGAAATATGCTGTGTAAATTTGTTGTCAAATTTTTTACTCAACAAATTTCTATAAAGTGGCATTGAATTTTTGATGGATAGCTATCAAAACCTGAATGTGCAATGAAGATTTATGCACTACATTTTTTTCACAGTTTTTGCTGACGTAAAGTCCTTCTTTAGCATAAACTGCAGAGGGTCTATGCCACTACCTCAAACACTGTTATTTCCCAAATGACTCTGTACTGAACATCCCTTTCCAATTTAGCTTCCAACATGCTATGTACCACACATGCCTTTGATCAGTACAAGTATGGCTACACCTAATAATAATGGGTGCGTTCCATTAGCTCACCCGGGTCGACTCGGGTTAGCCCCGTGCCGTTCGATTAGCTCTGACGTCATTCTCGGGGTTCATTTTCGGGGGGTCAGCCACCACAGACCCTGCTCGTTGAGCGGAGTCATTGGTGCAAATACATCACATGCATGCATTGTTCATTCCAAGAAACGAACAAATATGGCAGCCGGACAGCGGAAAAGATCAATTGGACCTCAAAATCAACTTTATTTGAATTCTAAACATAATCATTTATCGAGCTCTTTGTGACTTTAGAGGCTGCTAATTCCGGCCTGACTGTTACTTTTTGCGATAGATGGAAAAGCAGTAAATCTCAAAGTAAGGCCATGGAGGAAGGAATGGTTAGACTCAGTCCGAAAAGGGCATTTCGTGAATGGTTACGGCTACTGACATCACATGTGGATCGTGATGGCCTACGGTTGAGCAGTCGATTAGCCGGGCTGTCGTGGCTAACCCGTCTACCTTTACCCGAGTCTATCTGGGTGAGCTACTCGAAACGCAGCCATTTATGGATCAAGTGATTATTGTAACATTACGTTTTACTTTTTGGCCACTCATTGACATTAGGCACATGTACATATAGAAAAAAAGGGTTTGATAGCGTAGTGATGTATACAATTCATCTTCAGTATATTCCATTTTTGCAACAGGCATTGATTTCAGCCTGCCACTGGCTAAGATGGATGATCAGCAGAACAAATCCAGATCAGACTTGGAGGAAGAATTCCGAGAGCAGTACAAGCAACCATCGGAAACGGAGGGAGAGGTATCCAAGGCAACTCTCTCATGGTTTGTCTTTTTCCTTTATTTTTGAGTTCCAATGAAAAAAACCCAATGCTTGGAAACTAACTTCTTGATATTTCTATCATAGATACTATGTTTTTGCTGGTCCAAGCAGGCATTGACTTGTTCCCTTTGTCTCTATCTCACTGACTAACTGACTGACTGATTGACTGACTGTCGTATGTGACTTAGACTAGTTGTAGACTGTTTTTCAAAATTGAACAAAGAAATTGAATGGAGTGGGGCATGAACCAGTGACCTCCGGATTGCCATTCCGATGCTCTACCAACTGAGCTGTCCTGCCCTTTGTTGGCGGTTCCCCAATTTGTCAGCGTCTTTTGTTCAAGACGAGCTAGTCAGAAGCCATAAACCCGTGTAGGGTTGATCATACTACGGCTTATAAGTGAAATTATTGAAGGGCAAAATCCATTAAACTTCAGACCTCTTTCATTCCCCCTTGTACAGTGAGGCAGATATTGACCAGATCCTTGCAGGAGATGATGAAGACAAAGATGGTGAGGAAGAGGAGTTGGCAATAAGTCAAGATGACGACGCTGCCTCCTCATGGCTGCAGAGCATGGGATTAGATAAACAACACTTCCCCTCCCTGGAACCTAGCAAAGTCAATTTGTATCCTTTGAATTGCAGCTGTAATAACCCAATTGTTGACCCTCGCATCATTTGATGACCCTCACACACCCATTTGATAACCCTCACACACCCATTTGATAACCCTCACACACCCATTTGATAAACCTCACACACCCATTTGATAACCCTCACACACCCATTTGATAACCCTCATACACCGGTACCCTCACACACCCATTTGATAACCCTCCCACACCTAATTGATAACCCTCATACACCCATTTGATAACCCTCACACACCCATTTGATAACCCTCCCACACCTAATTGATAACCCTCCCACACCTAATTGATAACCGCCTGTGTCCGAAGCAGTATGGTGTACGGCTGCGAGACATGGCCCACAAGGGTGGGGCACATCCAGCAGATGGAACGAGCAGAGATGAGAATGATCAGGTGGATGTGTGGGGTGTCTCTGGCTGACAGGCTGTCAAGCGAGGAGCTGAGGAGGAGAGTGGGAGTGGAGGGGATCGGCATCGTATTGAGGAGGCACAGGCTGAGGTGGTTTGGTCATGTGGAGAGAAAGGAGGATGTCAACTGGGTGTACCAACGTAATTGTGGGTGGGCCCACACCCGTCGGCCGACCGCGCAAGACTTGGCAGAGCTCCGTGTCAGATGACATGCGACTGCTTGGAGTCAATGCGAGGGATGCGACGGACAGGGCCAAGTGGAGGAGAGCCATAGGGAGAAAGCAGGCCAACCCAGAACAGACTGGACAACGGCCTTAAAACCGACATGATGACCCATTTGATAACCCTTACACACCCATTTGATAACCCTCACACACCCATTTAATAACCCTCACACACCCATTTGATAACCCACACACACCCATTTGATAACCCTGACATATCCATTTGATAATCCTCACACTTGATAACCCTCACACACTCATTTGATAACCCTCACACACCCATTTGATAACCCTCACACACCCATTTGATAACCCTCACACACTCATTTGATAACCCTCACACACCCATATGATAACCCTTACACACCCATATGATAACCCTCACACACCCATTTGATAACCCTCACACACCCATTTGATAATCCTCACACACCCACTTGTTAACCTCACACACCCATTTGATAACCCTCACACACCCATTTGATAATCCTCACACACCCACTTGTTAACCTCACACACCCATTTGATAACCCTCACACACCCATTTGATAATCCTCACACACCCACTTGTTAACCTCACACACCCATTTGATAACCCTCACACACCCATTTGATAATCCTCACACACCCATATGATAACCCTCACACACCCATTTGATAATCCTCACACACCCATTTGATAACCCTCACACACCCATTTGATAACCCTTACACACCCATTTGATAACCCTCAAACACCCATTTGATAACCTTCACACACCCATTTGATAACCCTCAAACACCCATTTGATAACCTTCACACACCCATTTGATAACCCTTACACACCCATTTGATAACCCTTACACACCCATTTGATAATCCTCACACACCCATTTGATAACCCTCACACACCCATTTGATAACCCTTACACACCCATTTGATAACCCTCAAACACCCATTTGATAACCTTCACACACCCATTTGATAACCCTCAAACACCCATTTGATAACCTTCACACACCCATTTGATAACCCTTACACACCCATTTGATAACCCTTACACACCCATTTGATAATCCTCACACACCCATTTGATAACCCTCAAACACCCATTTGATAACCTTCATACACCCATTTGATAACCCTTACACACCCATTTGATAACCCTCACACACCCATTTGATAACCCTCAAACACCCATTTGATAACCTTCACACACCCATTTGATAACCCTTACACACCCATTTGATAATCCTCACACACCCATATGATAACCCTCACACACCCATTTGACAACCCTCACACACCCATTTGATAACCCTCACACACCCATTTAATAACCCTCACACACCTATTTGTTAACCCTCACACACCCATTTGACAACCCTCACACACCCATTTGTTAACCCTCACATACCCAGACATAACCCTTTAATACATACCCCCATTTGTTAACCCTCACACCCTCATTTGTTGACCCTCGCACACCCATTTGTTAACCCTAACAAATCCCAACCCCACACACCCGTTTGGCTCATTGTGAAGACCAGATGCGTGAAAAGACTTCCAGTGAATAGCCATTCTGAATCAATTGAAGAGAATTGTATGCACTCTGGGACCAGCATTACTAGGCTTCCCCTGCCTCGTTCCTTAACACATTGAAATCAGGCAGCGAGATCATCTCATGAGAATCGACAACCGTCCGGAATCCATGGTTCTCGTCCAAGGATCAGACACCCAGGCCCTGTACAATTTCCTCCTCAACACCCGGACCACGGTTGCCACAACGGGCGCCACGGCGGGGATACCACCCACCCTCCTGGCTCCTGTGGCATTCCAGGGAGCTACACTGGACAGCGTCAAGGTAAACATGGGGTAGAAATATTGAGAAGCGCAGAAGACTGAATGTTCCCCTTACTGCTTCTATTGTAGTATTTGGGATTTCGTGATCAGTAAAGTTAATGGTTGGCAGTATTCTCTCTGAAGAACCAAATAGAACTTGTGCATTGCAGGTGTCTCAGAGGGTGTTCTGCTGCGACAATGTGTAAAGTTACAATGTCATGTGCGCGCATCTAGATCATCTAATTTCTTGTGTAGCCAATCAGTGCGCGGCAAAAATGGCTGCATGAATGGACGTGGCCATGGAAGATTGTTTGATTGTTATCAACACACGCACTGCCCTTCTGAAGACGTCACATCATCACGTCTATGTGGAGGAATCGTCGTCGCGTCATGGGTGCCATGAGCATGGTTGCGTTATTTTGTGTTGAGACGCTACGTGTTCCACTAGAATCACACAATTTCTCCGTTTTGTGAACGGAGCATGACTTTTGTGCTTGATGCGGACGATGCCGTCGTGACGCACGCAAATTGTGGGTCGACCTGAGGCTGCCCTGAAGTATAAATGTTTATACACTAATATGTATTGGCTTTATATGAATATTTGATCTATGAACTTTCATTGTAATTTTAGTTGATGGAATATTTGCGTTGGTTTTCGATATCTGTTCACATCCATACATTAACATAGTCTTGTGATAATCTATATGTGCTATATAGTACTTGGAAGTTTATATGTCGATGAAGGGCAAAACCCATTATTAAAATATCATATTTGGTTCCCATTTTTGTGCGTGTTTATGCTGAAAAGATTAATAGTTTTCATGTACTAAACTGAAATACTCGTGACAACTCTATGTAACACTAACACCTGTTTATTACGTTGTTGAAGGGGAAAAACTCCAATATTAAGATATATCTGATTTCAGTTTTTCTCATGTTGAACCTCAAATATTTTTAAATAATTTTCATTATTTGTAGTGGAAACCAGGCGTGATGAAGCAAGCCGTCGGCAACAAGCTCCAAGAATCCTACAGCTTGGAAATCACTGGTCCCCTGCTACCTCACAACGTCTTCCACGTCTGTCAACTCCTCGACGGAACCCAAGGGGCCGACTTCAGCGGGACGTTCAACAACCACGACCCTACCCTGCCTTTCAGTCTGGTGACGACGGAGACTGCGACCGACTCAAAGACCGAAACAGGGGAGAGTTTACAAGAAGACAGTCGGGGGAAGGACAGCTTTGCAGACTACTTGGCAGCCCAGGGAGGGGAGAGGCATGTGGGTATTTTGAAGGAGTTTGCCTACACCGATGGACTGTACCAGTGGTGGAAACAGTAAAAAAAAAAAAACATTCTTAGGCTTCGTCCCAATTACTTGGCTACGGCTTGGAAGAACACATGGGTCTATGGAAGGAGTGGAGTGCCGTGGCCTAGTGGTCTGGAGCATTGAATTTGTGGTCTGCGGGTAATTCCGCGGGTTGTGGGTTCGAGTCCAGCCTGTGGTGCTGCGTGTGCCCTTGGGCAAGGCACTTTGTCACTCATTGCTTCTCTCCACCCAGGAGTAAATGGGTACCTGTGAGGGCAGTTATGGTTATTGTGGTTGGTTTTAGCTGCTTTGCGCCCAAATGGCAGCATCAAGCTGTATACTCCCCAGGGAACTGAGTTGGTATTTGGAATGTTTCATTGGCCCAATGAGCACGGCAATAATAAGCGCCTTGTATCCCTTGGCAATTTGGCGCTCTATAAGTCCAGTTATTATTCATTATTATTAAGGGGCTGAAGCCACTCCCCCCCCCCCCCCTGAGTCACGTACGTTATTGCAAGCCATAGGCAAGTGATTGGACGTGACCGTACTTACTTATTGAGCAAGTAAGAGGCAAAAGTATTCAACTTGTTGCCTTAAGACGGTCAAGAGATACTGCCTAGATGGAAGCAGATGTATATTTGTTGGAGTTCTCGACTTTTACATTTTATTTTGGGATGTACTTTTTGTACATGTTCAGTCTGACCAACGAACGAGTTGAATCAACCAACCAAGCTCTTGCGAGTTGTTTATTCGCAGCAGAAAAAAAAGTCCTTTTTCCTATATCAATAAAAAAAAAATTATATCAAAAAAGAAAACTACATCCAAAATTCATAGGTTGTGACAATCTTGACTAAGTATTATGTAATGCTGGCTTAAAAGCTGCAAGCAATCTCAAATATGTACGTATTAAATTCTATTTATTGAACTTAAGTATTTGTATTGTCCCATTTAAACTGAAATATTTCACTTGTGAAGAAAAACAAACTTTGAGCTTGCTTTATGTCTTCATAATTAAAGAAAAGCGTATGAATAAATAACACTGGCAAACGGTATTTCAGTTTTTAACTTTCTTTTATTTTATTTTATTTACATTAACTTAAAAAACATAAAACTTGCATGGATTTGTGAAGTACATGGTTTAGTGAACATCTGATAATGGTCGTCCATTACATGAACTGAATGTGGTAGGGGAACTCCATGGCTTGATTAAGGCTCTGCATTGCCTTCAAAATAGATTAGTGCAGGAAACAGAATACATTGATTTTGTAAAACATAATCGTTTGAACAGAAGCTTTGGTTTGAAGCTTTGGACATTGACCTATTAGTCCCTGTTCTGCCCTAAACCACCCAGCCTGTTACTCCTTATACCGCCCCAAACCGCCCAGCCTGTTACTCGTTATACCGCCCCAAACTGCCTTGGCATGCTATGGTGTTCAGATTCATCAGAAAGTGAATACGGTGTAGTACAAGTGCTAATGGGTTTTAGAGAGCTGGTATGTTTGGCAAAGAGTTGGTCATGCAGTTGTGTACATGCTAGTTATCATGTGACATTGTCATGTGATATCATGTGACAGGAGTGTCACATGACCTATAAGATGCAATGGGGCTCCAACGCGTGTCAGTAAAGTGGTGTAAGTTGTTGGTTGTAGACTCGGCTGTTTGGAGTCCTTGACAAGTATTTTAAAAGTGATTAGGTGCATACATGCAAGTTATCACGTGATACAAGGCATGGATCACATGGTATTATCAGGTGATTGGTAGAGTGATCAGGTGACACGAGGCAGTTATGACATGGAAATGATTGTGTGATTTTGAGTGTTGATCAAATGGATTGATCAATTGATGCAAGGCCTCAATTTAAATCAACGATCACATGATTGTACAAGACAGGGCCTTGATCACATGCACTGATCAGGTGCCAAGGCTTTGATCACATGACTTGATCAGGTGGAATGAGTCCCATTTTCTGCAGAGCGACGGCAGCGGCCTGTGCCTTGGCCTGCTTCTTGTTGGGGCATGAGGCGGATGGCTGGTACTCTTCATTGTTGATGCGCACCTGCAGAAACAAAAGAGAAACAAAATCTCTGATTTCAACCTTTCTAAACATGAGCTTGTAATTTAAAGGCTAAAACTTGAAATTATATCCTTGAATAGATCAATCTGTTTTAGCCATGTCTACTGTGCATGCGTGAGACAATACATGTTACTCCAATGCCACACTGTAAGCTCCAGCTGCATGGGTCATACGCAATGCACGCAGATCAGACTTTTGTTGACATTCGGTTGTGCAATCACGGCTGCGATTGGCCAAGAAAATATGGGGCGGCGCTTAACCCAAACAGGGGGCGGGGCTCAACCCAAACAGTCCTGAACCTTCCCATTTTCATATCATTTTTAGTGTATTGGTCTATTGACCTATCGCTGTTTGCGAGTTAACCACGCCCCTCAGACAACCCTATGGAGTTTCTGTACACTAAGTTTTGTTCGTCTCAGATGTTTCGCATTCTGCGTCCATTTGTATATCATGTAATTGGACAATATTTCACAAGCTGCGTTGACGCGATTCTAACGCGATTCTACCACGATTCTACCGTGATAAGTCAATTGTATGAATATTGAACTAAAAACTGACTTGCTGTCCGAAGAAGGCCTAGCTACAGAATTTCTTAGGCAACAGTTAACTCGACTGCACTGTCTGCCGTATTCAGAAGCATGTCCTGTCACACATTGAGAGTCTTGTTTTACTTGCTGTGCATGGGCTTTTGTGCAAGCAAACTTAAAGAAGTAATTGTTTTAAATGTTCCTACAATCACAGTGTAAGGTGTTATGCCCCCCCCCCCCTTTAGAGACAACCTTACTCCTCCCCTTCCCGCTCTGAACCTACTTTAACATTTGGCAAATCATGTTTCACCTGCTGAGCATGGGCTTATGTGACATGAAACTCATACATGCGCTTGTTTTTTCAATGGTCTTCTGTCGATCACACTGTAAACTGATACTCCCCCTTTTAGTCAACCTAACTCCTCCCTTCCTCCCTCTGAACCCACCTTGAAGATGAAATTCTTCTTGTGTGCCGGTCCCTTGTCCTGCACCAGATCAAATGCCGGTGGGGCCCACTTCCTCTTGTTGCATATCTCCATGAGAGCCGAGACGGGGTGCTTGCCTGACAGGTCCTTGAAGACCGTCTTGGGGACCGCGGTCCTCTTGCGTCTCTGCTCATCCTCTGCTACCAGACCTGGGAGTTAAGAAACAAGTCTTCAGTGCTCTTATTTCATTTTTCATCACAGATGTACTGTCCATGCCATTTACAAGTGTCTTGAAGAAATTTATTTTCCAGCAAAAGTTATTCACTTTTGAATGAGACATCTAAAGAAAACAAATTACCCACATTGCATAATAGAATAATTATTTTACAAATTTCAAATTACTTCTGGCCCCACAATAATGCAACTGATATTTTAGGGACCGAATCTCTTTGTGCGCAAAAGCACCCCCCCTCAAAAAACTTTTTATTCAGTTGCAGAGACCCAAAATAAAAAGTTGGAAATTTGTCAGGAGAAAAAAGTCACACTTGTTGAATAGCTCGGACATCCCCCTTTTATTTCCATTTTATTTTAATGAGACCAAGAACCAAATCATATGGCTCTAAGACATTATCACACACTGCACCTAGGCTGCGGAACGCACTTCCAACCCCTCTTGAACTGTAGACACTTTGGACCGGTTCAAATCCACCCTCAAATCTTACCTATTTCACCAGGCTTATAGCCTTGTAAATTTGTAAATTTGTCACTATTTTTGTCTGCTTTTCATGTCGATTTGCAAAGCGCATCAAGATTTCTTTCTGCCTCCATCACCACTTTGCCATTGTGTTCTAACTTGTCAGTGCTAATATTGACCTCTTTCATAGAGGCCTAGTTTGCTCATACATCCATGACAATGACATAATGAACTTAATATCATTGGATACAGGACGTCCTGGGCTTTTTTCCTTAATATAGTTGTCGCTTTCTAAAATGGGCCATTCTTAGTTACATGTGACACATTGTACAGAAACGTATGGTTACATGTGTGACAATTGTTTCAGTTTACTCAGTACATTTCTGATAATATGCATTTGAAAATGGGCATACTTTATTTTGAGACGCCTTGTACATCTGCACCTGCAGTACTCCATTACTCTGATCATGGTGCTTCACTACGACCATTACTTTTGTTTGAGTACACTACACTTATATCAGATCAGTGCAATCCTGCTTGCTGTACCTTTGCGGTCAGTTTTGACGTCCAGAGCCAGCGGTTCCAGCGCCCCTTCGTTATTCTTGCCCAACCCTTCCCCCTGCCGCCAGCCCATCTTGGCCATGAGCATGGCCCCCTTGTTGCCTCCAGTGATCGGTGCCTGGTTGCGGAACATGTTCTGCAGGGTCAAGGTGTTTTTTTTGTGAAGTTCGGGAGAAAGGAAAAGGATGAAAAGAGACAAGGAGAAACAGTGTGTTAAAAGCTGCTTGAGAGTTGAAAGGTCACGTACTGAGTATTCACGTTCAGTGTGAGGTCATCTATTGCATATTCATGATCAGTGTGACCTACTGCATATTCATGAAAGGTCACGCCTGCTAACTATTACCAATGTTATGAAGTTATGCTTATGCTGCAGCTATTTGTTAGAACTGATTTATGTATACCTCGATTTAAAAATGTTAAAAGAGTTAAATAGACTTGGCCCTATTTTACTCTCTGAGCAATTCCATAAATCTAACGTACGTCCGACCACATGATGTACAAGGTCGTTAAGGGTGGTGGTAGCATAGTTTGGTCTGTAATTGTTTTCTACTCATTAGAGATTGTCGCATTGTGCTACCATAAATCTTTTTCTTATCACTCATAAGATGTCACATTATTAGTGATGTATCACATTCACTTTTCCAACAGCAGCTCATTAAAGTGTCTGACAAGTACGTCCAAATTTACGGAATTGCCCCTCTGATCTTGTTCCTAAATATATTCACTAGAATGCCGCTATAGTGTAAACGGCTATAACGAATGTACCCTTTGGCAGCCAAATTTTAGGCACAGCAATACAGGGCTGTGGTCGCCAGCTATGAGCTCCGTGTGCTACCAAAAGAGGGCGCCCTTTCACCTAACAACGACGTCCCATGGGCGGGACATTTCGCTGGTTGACGCGCACCGTTCCTTGTGTGTGACGCACGTACACCAGGGGATTTGTATTATTTACACGCAGTGGCCGCGCTTCGCGGCAAATGAATTGCAGTCGGGCAAGATGGCATCGGTCGGTCACCCCCAACTGTACTTCCTTTGCCGGTGAGGGTGCTTGTGAACAGAGCGGATAGCAAATGACCACTTTACAGGATAATCTTTTATGGACCCAACTGTATTCGTTATAATTAATTTCTACTGTAGTAAAACTAGTTATTGAGTTATTAAGTGCATCTTATTTGAAAGCATTGAAACCTATTACACAATTGATATGTACAGCTTTTTATGTATTTTTAGTTTCCAATTAAAAATTAATTTAACCTTTCAATTTTTTAAAGGTTTGAAAACGCCCTTCAAAGGGTGCTTGTTGCCCCTTCAAGCAAAACAGGAATAATCAGCCCAATTTCATGGAGGAAATTGCTTGGGAAAGTTTTCGTGCAACACAAAAATGACTTGAGAACCAGTTAAAAGCAATATACAATGCTTGACATTTTTAGCCGGTAACCCGCTTTTGTTAATCAAATTTCTATGCCAAACATTTCTAAGAAATTGGGCCTCGATTCCAAGTGCCTATAACTGTATATCTTTTGATAATGCACACAAATGAAATGCACTCAAACAAAAATACTTCAAATGTGGCTGTTCATTCCTAACTCACAGCCAGACCTGTGTATAAGAGATCTTTTAAGCACACACCAATTACTGGCCAAACTGGAATAAATGCAGTTTTCTTTCAGAAACAATGACATTTGATTCACAGTTGAGCCCCCCTCGCAGCAAGACGACGTGTGTGTGCTTAAAAGTACCTCTCACCTACCCATACTGTGCGGAACGCAAATCATTCCAATCGGGTCCGTGTGGCGTGTGGTGACTGTAGGATCATCCAGTGACTGCTGCAAAGTTCTGGGTGATGTTTTGCCTGTAACAAGTTTCCATTTTTTTGCTTTTTTTTTGTTTCAAGAGTGCTGCCCTGCACCCATGGCAGGAGTGGACTAATCCACTCCTGCCATGGGTGCATGTGTACACCGGGTGGGTCCATTACGGGTTTCAGGGATGATTTGGCTGAGGTAAATGAATTGCATATGTCAGCCGACACCATTATCAAAACCCATTTCAGTTATCGGTAACAATTTAATCTCTGATTCTGTACTGATAAATTTAATCACTAAGAAGTGTGCTATAAAACAATTTTTTTTTGATGAAAATGTCTTGAAGATGTCATCATTCCAATTTGACAACTTCAGCTACATTAAATGTATTGGCTTGCATGTCCACATGTAATTGGTTCCTCTTTGTTTTATTTTCTCAGTCTACAAAAACTATCAGCAATTACCCATTTGGAACGATAATCAAATTGTTGCATATGCCTCAATGTAACAATGTTGTAATTGAGTACGTTTCCATGAGTACAAGTACTTTGCCACTAGTACAAGTACAAGTACAAGCACAGGTAGTAAGAGTATGAGTACATTCTCAAGAGTATGAGTACAAGTACATACTCATGAGTATGAAAACAAGTACATTTCATGAGTACAAGTACGAGTTCAAAAATGTACTCGAGTACGAGTACATATGAGTAATACAACACTAGAATCCGGTTCATAAGTGAGTTCGTCACACGCGCACGCACCACTAATGACTAGCACCCATTGGCTAAACACGCCACTTTACACTACGTCCGGTCCAATGGTTCCAATGCTAATCCATGTGCAGTGGGCATGGTTTAAACTGAAGTGACCTCACACTTACAAACCAGATCAAGATCTTGACAATGCGGTGTTGTTTATTTATTTCCTTGCAGTTAAATGTTGAATTTTGGGGAAATCCTTCTTGCGTATGGAGAATTTAAGAATGAAAGTGTACATTACCTTTGACACGGATAACTTTGGACGGTAGCACTCTTGAAACAAAAAACGTTTTAAACAATTTGAGCAGGGGCAGATTATACACCATTCCGAGCATGCTGTTACTTGTACACCCACGGAGGCCCCCTTCAATGGCGAAAGCATTGTGCATGCTATTGTTCAAAACAACTGCTCCATGACGGGTTATCTGAACAATAGCTAGCCTCCATAAATGAACAATGACAGCATGCTCGGAATGGTCTATAGGCAGAAAGTCACAAAAGCGTCCAAATTTTCTGGTTCCTCCTTTAGGTTTCAATTGAAATTTAGGTTTAAATTGAAATTTTTCATGAGTTCCTATTTTAGATTACAATCAAACAATTGGGAACAAACCCCAAACTTGTCTCGCATTTTTGACTTCTCCCCTGCTCAAATTGAACTGGAAACCTGTTTAAAGGAAGGCCTAACTACTTAGAGCTTGAAAAACAACCGAAAAAAAAGATATTGAAAGCTCTGAGTAGTGAGGCTTTCTACATAATTATCACTACATTGTGACAAGATACTTATGATGTTGGTGATAGGAGGATGGGAACCCTGACCACATGCCATAAAAATACATGAAAATGAGTCCAAGCACCAGCCACAAAATTGCAGCAGGGCACTGAAAATGTGTAGGTTGTAAGGCTGTGTACGGTTTACTTGGCTACTGCTGGGATGTGGCTGCAGCCGCTTCCATCCGGTTCGTTAGTGTGACGTCACCTCCAGCACTTTCTGCACGATTGGAACCGGAAGTTAACGCAGCTTGAGCGTTTGTAGCCAATGGGCGCTAGTAATCAGTGGTACGCGTGCGTGTATGACGTTTTTACTAACGAACCGGATAGGTGTGTGTGTAATGTCCAGCCGCAGCCAAATAATGCGGACACAGCCCAAGTCATCATGAATACTTCAAGGTACCATACACGGTCAGTGCGTAATACGTTGAATTCTCACAGCATAGTAATGTAAGAAGACTGGTACAGCTGGCCGAGAATTTGTCTATGCTTTCTTTACAACTTGTACCCAATTGAGAATCACTGTTTAGCTATCTTTCAATATTTTCAAGCTTTTTGAACTTTATTAAGAACACTGCTTTCTAACATTTCCCAATCTCTTACATAAAAGGCCACTTCAAAATACAGCATGTGGACATGATTTTTTTTATGTAGAATTGAGGCCAACAAGTAATTTACAAGATTGTGTTTTTCAGAATGGTGTGAAAGCAAGGAAGAGAGAGATATGTAGACACGTTCCGTTCTGACCTTCTTTGCCCATGCTTGTGCTCTGGGGTCTGTGTTGGCTAGTTCCTGTGGGCGTAGCGTCCTCAGTCCCGTGTCGCCCGTAAACATTCCTGGCTTCTGCTTACCCATTGTCCAGTTACGGATCTGACGAAAATGTACAAAATAGAAATTAGACCTCAAAAATTGTTAATCTTGTAAATGTTTTCTTTCAACTTGTTACTGCCAAATATTTATGACAGGGATGTAAGTCCTCCTGCGATTGCAGGAATTTAGGTTTATAACTTTTAGATTACATATTAGCACTTTATTGAGTGCTAATTTTCTTGTATATCTCAAATTTCCAATGCTGATTTGCATATTTAAGGCCATATGTAAATAACTAATGAGATCATATGTAAATAATGCTTTTTTAATTCAAATAATCAAAACCTTAAGTAGATGTAAAAGGCGAAACCTATGCATGATTTCTTTTTCAACTAATAACAGTATTACTGTCCATGTAAAGATCTATATGAAACATCAAATTTCTCTTCTTCAAAATGACAGTCCATAATTATGAAATCGTTTCATTCGGTGTTTGCTGTTTGGTACTAGGCTTATCTTTTTTTAAGACCAGATAGGCAATTAAGTTGGTGACATGAAATTGTTGCTTACTTGTGTCTGTGCCTTGTGCATGACAGACAGTGCTTCCACATCGTTAGGGTTGTGTTCAAGCCGTCTCGCTGCTTTCAGCCTCGCAGACACCATGGCCGCAATGTCAACCTTCTGAAATGTACAAAGAAAAAGTGTGATCTTATAAAACCCTTTTTACAATCAGACTATCTATTCAGAAAAACTAAGTAAAACTAAGTAGGGAGTTAGGGTTAAATTAACAGAAACATTTCTTTGAGATGATAACCAATCTTTACAAATTCCGTGAGATTCAAGAGCAGAGCAAAACCACTGCAAATTCTCTGTCATCTTTCTGAGTTTCAAGGCTACATATGTTCAAAGCATCATCATAAAGTGAATAATTTTTGCCGAGTATGATTTCCTTACCTGATTAGGAATTTCTTCAAACACTTTGTCCTCCTTGGCTTGGTCTTTCTGTGCAACTGGAGGCATTGCTGCAACTCCGATGGGCGCAGGCGGCACCGTCACTGCCATTGCCTTAGACACAGCTGCTGCAGCAGCCACCGATGCATACTCGGCAGCGGCAACTGCTGCAGGGATGGCCGACGCTGCAGCGATGGCGCTGGATGTCGGCAGCGCTCCTGCTGGGGATATGATACCGGCGAAGGTGAGTGGGGCTGGGGGCGTGGGTGGGGGCATGGGTGGGGTAGGGGTAGGGATCTCTGGTGCTGGCGCTGGTGCTACGGTGGTGGGTGGGGGTGGGACAGGGGGTGGGGGCATTGCTGCTGCTGCTGCTGCAGCTGCAACAGCTGCTGCTGCTGGATCGGTTACTGTAGGTGCAGTTACTGCAGTGGTAACTCCAGGAACACCTGAAAAGAAATACACACAGTTCACATTGGATAAGAAAAAATCAAAATGACAGTCACCTTGATATGTTGGTGTGTACGTGTTCTACATAACCCCCGAGGACTGACACACAAAGGGAGAACAACAGATCCTTTCAGTCCTTGGAAGTTGGTTCTTTTGTTTGAAACAGTCCTCTGTAGTAAGTTTGTGTGCTTAGTCTATGGGAGAGTGTTATATTATAGGGACAAAGGGAAACACAAAGCATTGTCCTCGAGAGTACAGTAAAACACGACTGCGCGAGCCTTGGTGTGTACAAACAAATGTCTACATTTTTTTTTACAAATTGGAGACACAATTGTTTTTTTTCTCCACCAGCTTTTACTTCAACAGGGGGAGTCATCACAGTGTCAAAATACTGACATGATAAAAAAATCTTGGTTAACTATCTCACATTTATCCCCATTTGTTGGTAAAAACATGGCTAAAAAATAAAACGTTAAAAATAAGGACTTCAATATTTGATATATATCTTCCAAAAAAATTCTTTGAGAGAATCATTTTGCTTCCTCTGGGAAAGACTATAATACGCTCTGCTCATAGAAAAGATCCCAAACCTGAATAGCAATTTAATGTGTAACGGTCAAACAAACATCACATAAAGTTTGTCAAGTGTTCAACTTTTGGGCTTTGTTTTTATTCCAAAAATGTATTTATGAATGAGAAAAGTGTGATACAGTTATAAAGTTTGGCTTAAAACTGGTTAGGGACAGTTTGCAGTTTTAAAACAAATATTTGTAAGAGACCCATGAAACTATTTTATCTTTTTTAGTGATAACTTCTAGGCACCTGGTGTTGCTTCTGCTGGTGTTAGCGTCTCGGTGCCAGGGGTCGGCATGATCTTGGTGGTAGGTTTAGCAACTGGGTCCATCATCTTAGGTTTCTTCTCGATGGAGACCCAGTCCCCGTAAGGCTTGGGGCCCAGCTCGTCTTCCTTCTTGCGGTGCTGAGAGCCGCTGGAGACTGGGAAGGTTAGCCGAAGCATCTCCTTGTCTTGGATTGGCTTCTGAACAGCATTCTGGATGGAAGAAACAATCAATTTGACAGAGTACAAAATCTGCTTTCCAAAGGTCAATATTTTTTGCTGGTCCCAGAGGGCCAGCTATTATCATGTTGCAGCCATCATAACTTTTTCCCCATTCAAATCAGCATAACCAAAGCGAGGCTGCAAGGAAAACTAGTCTGGTTCCTTTGTGCACAAAAACATTACCATTTGGTACTGTTATTGGATACAGGGAACATGACTGAAATGGTGGCAGCATTATAAAGGTCTATGGTCCTCTTTGTACCTGACTGACTGACTGTCACTTGTGAATTAGACTTGTTTAACACTATCACTGACTGACTGTTACTTTTGACCAAGACTGGTTACCTATCTTACTGACTGACTGTCGCTTGTGACCTACACCACATGTGCATTAGTCTGGCACCACATGTTTCATGTGCTTTCACGATACATGGGTAGGCAGTAAGTCAAGTCTCCATGCGAACCACATGCGCATGCAAATGGAATGATCATGCAAAGATCATGGTGGTCAGCTTCCCAATGCGTTTGTGAAGTCTGGATTTGCTTTACAAAATTTAATTTAATAATAACACCGTGCTTATATAGCACTTTACACTAAAGGTCTCAGAGCGCTTAATGATTATTACCCCTATTCATCAGGCCACAAGACCAATTTTCTGCAGCAGCGCGCAAAAGGAGTAAATCGCAATCTGGTATCTACCTTCACAGGTACCCATTTATACTCTTGGTTGGAGACGGGCAATTGTAGTATTAAAGTGTCTTGCCCAAGAACACAGGCATCATGTTCCCCATTGGGGTTCGAACCACGTATCATGGTACTTAAGTCTAAAACTGTTACCATTTGACCACAGCATTCCACATAGAAATCAGTAAAGTGGTCAACAGCACCCTTGGATAAGGTAGTGGATAGTGTGTATTTAATAATGTGTATTTGTTTATAAAGCGCATGTATCCACTATTATTGGTCATTGGGCAAATGAAACATTCCAAAGGCAATCTCAGCTCCCTATGGAGTATACAGCTCCATTCTTCCATTTCAGCGTAAAGCAGCTAAAATCAACCACAATGGGTCCTAGCTCTATGCAATAACCATCCCTGCCCTCACAGGTACCCATCTACTCCTGGGTGGAGAGAAGCAATGAGTGACAAAGTGCCTTGTCCAAGGGCACACGTACCATAACCCCAGGCTGGACTCGAACCCACAACCTGCAGAATTACCTGCAGACCAAGTATTAAATGCTCCACACCACAAAGCAACGGCACTCCACTCACCGGCACTGGATACAAGTGAATGTACTGATAACTTACTCTGATGTTCATCACAATGCCCACATTGCCCAATGGAGCCTCCCTGACTTTGAAGGGATGCCTAATGAACGGTTCATCAGTCTCATCATCAGATCCCACAGGTTTATTGATGGGAGAGTCATCAGAGTCAGAGTCGTCCTGCTGCTTGCTTGCTATCTCCTTGCAGACGGCTGTTAGTTCCTCTACACTCCTCCTCTCTGAAAAATCGAAACACGATTTGTGGATTTGAGGATATCAATTACCAAATTTTGTTTTGTTTCATTTGGTGTACTGCTTCGTTAATCTAGCGATTGGCAGGATACTAGTCACAGAGAAGGTGGAATACAAATTAGTGACAGAGAAAGTGGACTATAAGAACTGCCATAGTAAAATCAACATGTCATTAAAGCTATAGTCCATCATTTGCAGCCATCCGAAAAGTAACTGGCGTAATTATTGTTGAAAAACAAACTTGGTTGAAAGATAGTAAGGGAACTAAACTCCCTGTGAAATTATTCTTTCTGGGAAGCTGTCATTTTGAAGTAATCAACAAAAGGAGGCATTTCCAACGGTGATTCTTAAGAAGCACCGTAGGAACATTTAAATTAGTAGTTCGTTTTGTTATTCAGCGCAGCGCGCACAAGGTTTGGAACGAGGCACACGTGCGCGCGGTTGTTATAATTCGTCGGATCAGTGCGCTACGTCACGTATAGCTGCAATTCAAAACAATTCAAAACATGATTCAGTAACTTTTGATTTGAAATTGAGATCTTAGAATGCTGTTTTTCTCGGAATATACAGCTGAAGCTTAGCTGAAACTTCATCAGGTTAGTTGCTCAGTATCCTTCATTAGATTTTGAACTCTTTTGTTGCTTCAAACGAACAAAATGCACAAATTACAAATGATGGACTATAGCTTTAAACAGCTTTGATAAAAGTAGTTTAAACCTAACCCTAACAGTTTAGAACGCACCACAACAGGCGTTAAAAGTCTGTTGGACCTTGTTGCATTGGGCCATCAGCACCAGTGCAAAAACTGCCATTTCTTTAACCGTAACCCTCCAGTGTATTTTGGCTAGAAACCCTGTCAAAGGTAGCAACACTCAACACTTGTCTAAAATGACAAGCCTGCCCAGTGTAGCAAGATCCATCAGGTCAAAAGTCTCAAGGCCAAACTGCCTCAGAGTCTGTGGTCACCGAATGCAGCAGGATATAACTGTGGCATTGTTCAAAGGGATTAGCTCTCATTGTAATTTATTTCAGAGCATGCTGTTTATGTACTGGTGTTGATAGCTAAATGCATCAAAGTGCACCAGACTTTCCACCTGATGTTCTGTGTTGCGTGAGCTTGCGTCTGGCAGGGTTAGGGGTAATTAAGGAAGTAGTTCCATTGAACAATGTCACTGTTGGATCGTGTTGCAGTTGACGACCACAAACTTCCATGCTGCCTTGCCAAGCAAATGTTTGACCTGATTGATCTTATTACACCGGGCAGGCTTCTAACTTTGAGAAGTGATGACTTTGTGTTGAATGTTGTTGCGTTGGGTAGGGTTTCTTGAAAAAATACCACCAAGGGTGAGGGATAAGTTAAATGCACACAAGTGTAAACTGGATATGGATTTTTTGGTCATAGCTTACCCTTTGGGTCCACTTTGGTTACCACACTTTTTGGTGTCAGCTTCATGTACGGTGGGAATTCCCCAGATTGCATCTTAGCGTAGGCGTTAGCCTTGGCAATCTCCAGCAGCTTAGCCTTGTCGATTTTAAACTCATCATCTGAGCGTGGCGATCTCGAGCGCGACCGTTGCACGTATCTTGAGCCAGAGCCAGCGCCATAGCGCCTGGAATAATACCTGTCAGGGGACGTGCTTCGATAGTAGGCTTCCTCTCTAGATCTCAACCTTGTTGACTGGCTGTGTTTGTGAGTCTTTGGGGAGCGCGATCGGGACTTTGAGCGCTTGCGCTTCTTGTGATGAGATGTGGATTTGGATTTGGATGGTGATTGGGAACGGGACCTTGATCCGGACCTGTGTTTCCGTTTGCTGCTGCTTTTCGTTTTCTCTTCCTTAGAGTCGCCGCCTTTCTCTTTGTGTCTGCTTTTATGTTTCTTTTCTTTGGCTTCTTTCTTCTCACTCTTCTCCTTGTGCTTGTCTTTCCCAGAGTCATTTTCCTTCTTTAATTTGTCTACTTCATCACCCTTGCTCGCTTTATCTTTGGATTTTTTCTTGTCTTTGCTTTTGTCTTTGTCTGGGTCCTTCTCCTTGCTCTTGTGCTCTTTCTTCTGTTTGTCCTTCTTCTTGTCCTTCTTGCTTTTGTCTTTGTGTTTATGTTTCTCCTTTGGGGACTCCTCCTTGGTTTCACCCTTGCTGTGTTTGTGCTTCTTGTGTTTGTGCTTTTTGTGTTTCTTGGATTTCTTGGCATCCTCATCTTTGATTTCTCCGCTCGTATCCGAGTCCATCCCATCCTCCTTTGTGACGTTTGCTTCTTCGTTTGCTTCTTCCTCCCCTTCCCCCTCCCCTTCCGCCTCCCCTTCTGCCACCCCGTCCGCTTCCTCTTCGCTTTCACTAGACGGTGACAGCTCCCCTTCTTCATAGACCTTCCTCCACGGCTTTCCATCCTTCACTTCCCCCTCGTTTTCATCATCACTACTGTCCGTACTACTGTCCACATCGTCCATCTCCTCTTCCGCCACCTCTTCCTCTGCATCCCTGTGCATCGTTGCCTCAGGTTCAATTTTCTTTGTGAGAAGCTTGATAGTAATCTTCTTATCTTTACCATCTTTGCTACTGGAAGTTTCCATTTGCATAGGCTTTGATTCCTCCTTCATGTTTTCATCAATCTCACTTTTGAGCTGCTCTGGGGAAGTTTTTGTTGTCTTCTGTATGGCGTCATTTCCCATTTCTGCTTTAACTTCTTTATTTGCAGAATTGTGTTCATCTTTACCATTGGAATTCGATGTTGCATCTGATGACTGCTGCCTTTCATTGCATTCATCCAAGGCAGGTTTTGTGTCCTCTGTATCCCTATGGAGACAAACAGTAAACAAATTTACCTGATTTTCAACTGCTATCATTACGGCATAGCATAAATTATTTTTGAAAAAACATTGCGCATCTATAACACCAACCTGAGCGCTTTGGTAGCTTGATTGGTTAAATGTCACACTACGATGCTGAAGGTCCCAGGACCAAATTGGTGCTGAGAAAATTCTTTTTCTTCTTTTTGTTCTCTAAATAGTTTTCTTTACTTTTATCTTTTAATTTAGTATCCAGATGCCACTTCAGCGGTTGTGTACAAAGTCTACGGAGAGTCCAGTGCATTTTCAAAGTTTTTTCTGACAAAAAATTGGAAATGTTTCTCAGTCCCAGTATTCCCAGATTCATGTCTTTTCAACATTTTTGCAATGACTGACCTTCATTGAGAGGATATTTGATGAAAAAAAGTGGCGTCAGGATGCAACATTCTTTCCAAATCAAATCCTACTTGTTGATCTCGTTTAACCCCGCCCCCCGGCCCCCAACCCTTACCCACGATCGATCCATCATGATCAAGTCAATCCAAACAGCCAGCACTGTGTGAACCCATATGGAGGAATAAGAACACAACGGCAAACCTTCCATTCCTCACTTCCTCTTTTAATAATTTGAATCTAGAATGCTTCCAACGGAACGTTTAAAACCAATTTAATATTTCACTTACTCATCCCGTTGTTTTTCCTTAAGTTCTTGCATTTTTTGAAGCGCAAAACTTCGCAGAACTTCGTCCAGGCCTGCCATTTTTATTTTCCCTAGGCAGTGCATGTACCTGAATTATTTGGGCCGTTCTAATATGTGAAGAGGGGTGAAAATGTTTTATTCAGGCGCCATTCAACAATCAAATACGTATTGTAACATTTTTATGCAATGAGTATCATTTAAAAATCATGACATCATATGTTATTTATAAAAAAGATATCACATTATAGGTCAGATTTTGGACTTTGAAATTGAAATAATTATCTTTAGTAATTTAATTGACTCTACTTTTCTAATGGACTGAACGAACGAATGTCTGGTATCCATTTTGTTTGGAGATTTGCATGCAGCAGGTGCGCGACAGTGGCGCCGTGCGTGACACACATACATTCGACGGTAGGCAAGCGTGGGAAGTGGACGTGCTAACGTTGTGCGGAGCTGAGAACATCACCAACTTCTTACGTGATTGTTTGTAGATTAACACGGGTAATTTACCAATAAACGATTAAGCTAATTAAGAAATTAAGCTCAAGTGTTGGTGTAATCTGGTAATAGCACACACGTGGTCCGTTTTACTTGTTGAACCACTAGTTTAGAGCAATGAACTGAATGTGCAAGTCATGCAAGTGCTGCAGCTGAATCATGAATGAAAGTTGCGCAAGGTATCCCTTTACTGCGCTCAGCAGGCCTCTCTCATCGTTTTGCGTTTGTGTTTGTTTGGAAAGTCACTTGACACCCTGTGCACAAACCTAGTATGAGGCTGGTCTGAAAAAAATTCTAAATTTTCTTTTTTCAGTGAATGCTTCAATATTTTCCCGGGAAAAATGTTGTAACCTGACGCCACTTCCGCGAGTGTGTACAAAGTCTATGGAGAGTCAAGAAAATTTTAAGTAGGGTCTATTTCCTAACAAACTTGGAAATGTTTCTCAGTCCCAGATTCATGTCTTATCATCATTTTTGTAATGACTGACCGGAAAAAATTCCGTACTCGGACGTCACTTTTTTCAATTAATTTTCTAGCGCCAAAAGTTACATCTTTTACGGTTATTCCTCCACTTTCCCTCCTCTACTCTCTCCTTTCCTTAATTTCTATTTATTAATCAGTCAGTTTCTTCATCGGGATTCGAACCTCTGACGCTTGCTTGACACACGAGACTCTTAACCGCTAGGCCGCGCACGATCGCTGTTGCAGTAATCAATCTTTGGACGTATTTGAAGTATCCATTGAAATAAACTAAATATTCATGAGAAAATAAATATTCATAATGACGTATTGCACTATCATTGGCAGGCTCATGCGACGTCATGGTTGTTGATGTCACGTGTATAACGTACCGCTGTCTTTCAGCCACTACAATCAGTTTTGACCGGCTGCTTCAAGTTAGTTCTGCACGACGTATGCATCCAAAATGTGCTCTAAAAACACATTTTGAGTAAATTTTTTTCACCTTAACACAGCTTCCTGGATTTCTCTTGGTTCAAATGACAAGGTGAGGTGACAATTAATATGTTTGGCATCAGATAAATTGACGTCCGAGTATGGACATTTTCCCGACTGACCTTCTATTCATTGAGATGATATATGAAAGGAAAGAGTGGCGTCAGGTTGCAACATTTTTTTCAATTTTCCCTGCTAAATTTGACTTTTTAGGACATGTAATCACTTTTTGATGGCTGATCATTGCAGGGAAAAATTGGTGGAAAAAATGTTGCACCCTGATGCCACTTTTTCACTGAAAGAAAGCCGGCGCCATTAAATCCATGAAATCAAAAGCTGGTCTTTTCTCAAATTTCCCCTCTCATACAGGACACAGTGTCCGTACTAAACTTGAGATCAACATGTCTGGCGTACTGTCAACGCTGCCCAAGGATTACGGGTATGTCATTCTAGTGGGCTCGGCCAGCTACGTCATGGTGTACTACCTGGCTGTGAACGTCAGTAGGGCGAGGAGAAAATACGGTGTGGAGGTATGCCAGGGCTGTAATGTAGCGAGATTTGTGACATGAGGGGTGCTGATTTTCGTACGCCATTATGTGTCCAAGAATGAGATAACATTCTGTCGCAAGATTCTTGGGTTATTTTATGGTCTTGTCAAAAATAGTACCAGATCATTAGAGACACTGATGACTGTTCACAGGAGTCTTGTTATGCCCCAACTGTGGCATCGTCCCAACTATAGTTAGGATCGTGCCAACTGTCTATATGGTTAGGAATGCCCCAACTGTTATTGTTGAGACTGTCTCAACTATAGTTGGGACATCACAATTGCCGAAGTTATGGGCCCATAAAGTTACGGACACAATGCAAGCTGAGTTGGACCTAATATCACGCCAAAATGGATGGTTGTCCCAACTCTCTCTCTATAAACGGCTTGGAGGTATTCAATCGCTTTCCTGTGTTGCAAATTTGTTGACACTTTGTTTTACACAAGGGCTTAAAATTGCTTTATATGTAGACACTTGGGCTTTTGAAAGTTGGGAATCCCTTTTGATTTCTTGATGCATTTATTGGTCTAACTTTGTGTTGTCTAAGTTTCGTTTTTATCTCAATAGTTTTAATGAAGGTAGTGGTCTGTTTTTAAATGGACATCACATGCCATTCAACAACCGTCGTTTTCTTTCATGGATAGAGCCCAATTCAACTTATTCAACTATCTGAGTACAGTACAAAATAATAATGAACCTTGTATAGTTTATCACAGAGTAGTTTTTAATTTAACTTTGTAAAAATAAATTTTTTAAATTGTAATAAGTAGGCCTATTTATAATACGATTCATTTTTTGGTTTCATTTATCAGTATCCTGCCATGTACAGCGATTCGCATCAGCTTTTCAACTGTGTTCAAAGGGCTCACCAGAACACGTAAGACTGCATCCTTTCCTTCAAAACCAATTGTTTTTATTCCCATCTAATATTTCTGATTCTTGTACACTAGTGAAATAATTGTCATTTTTGGTCTGGTACCGGAGGGCCAGCCTCTTGTCCTCTGTGTACCTATTTCACTGACTGACTTACCGACTTATATACAAATGATAAGGGAATAATATGTTTCGGAGGTATTAAAAACTCTGTTTAAGACTGGTTGGAGCCTGGATGGGTGATAATTACCAGAGGCGAAGCCGAGGGTAATTATCAGCACTCCAGACTCCAACCGGTCTTAAACAGAGTGTTTAATACTGGCGAAGCAAATATTTATTCCCATTCATAGATACCTTTTTGGTCCAAAAAATCAAAAGAAGTCAAAAACTAGGCGTTGCCAACCATTTTGTTCAACAAGTTTACTTTATGATTTATGAAACACCCCTCTGTCTGTTATATGGAATGTCCCTCTACAACTCGTTGCCTTATAAGGAGATGGCGTGCTTGTCACGCTTGCGTGATGTCGCGCAAAACGCAGCTTGGCCGGTGTGTGAATTTTGGACTATGAAATACTGATTCACTGGTAGTATTGCGCATGCCTACGTGAGGAATGTGAACGTTCAACCAATGAAACATCAAAAGGCACCGGATTTCATGGGAGTCCAAATTTCATGTGACACTGGAAAAGTGTTTAATACCAGCCAGCCATGTCTTTATCATCCGTTTAAGACCTGCCACGTGACAGGCGCTCGACCAATTTGAATGGATATAAACTGTATGAATGTTAAAGTAAGGATATCTCAGCGCTGTAGAACGTGGTGTGACTGGCACGTTATGTGCTTGTAAGTTACTTTACGACATACTTACATATTTCATTTTTCTGCTTTTATGGGCATTTGGTTTATCTACTTGCGAGTACTCGACTACTTTTGAGTAATTTCTCTGTGAGTACTCGAGTAGAAAAATCCGCTACTCGCCCAGGCCTAATAGTGAATAGCCATTCTGAATCAATATAGTTTTGTGCGCTCTGAGTTAGACTGGTCTATGTCCGGGACAAACTGTTTTAGGCTTGCTTTATCTTGTTCTCTAAAAACTGTTTATGTCTTCAATCTGTTGCTGCAGCCTGGAGTCCTATCCTCCGTTCCTGTTTTTCCTGGCGATGTCGGGACTCCGTTTTCCGGTATGTTTTCCCCTCTATTCCCTACCCCAGTATTGTAAAATTTCACTGTATACTGGTTGCAAACTGGCAGATGCATAGAGTGGGAAGGAACTTTTTTTGGGCTGAAAAAACTACCAATTGAAGCCCCTTGTCAAAGACATTGGAACATTTCGTTGCAGAGCTGACATACAAGCGAATCGACCATTTTGGCGATTGTGAGATTTTGTAATTTTTGTAGTTTTTAAAGGTTGCTCTTTCAAGTATTTATGCCAAAATTCTTAATTCTTATGTGGCAAATCAGTCATAATAACAAATCCGTAATTCGACATAGTGACGAATACAGATTTTGGCTGGTAACCAGCTAATGTAAGGTGTGCTTTCAAAGTACCAACGTGTGCAAACTGACGAATAGCATAGAAACAGTGTGAAGAACAACCGGCTATTAGAAATTTTGTAATTTGACAAACTGACGAATACGTTTACGATCAAATAAAAACATATCGCACGACTTCTCTGATTAAATAAGTAACCTCATGGATACTACATTTCCTATTTTATTTCGATTATACACCAAAAGGGTTATTATCGAAACATAAGGGTGAAATACGATGCCCAGAAAAATGTCCAACTTCAAACGCAAATTACTCAAAACAGGGTTTTCGCTTATTCGTCGGTATGTCAGCTCTGCGACGATTTTCAAGGGGCTTGTGGAGGCATTGGAATAGAGGACTTGGCAAATGCTGTGTTCTTTTTGTCTTTATGTTAGATACTGTCTTACTGAGCAAACATAAAATGAGAAAAAAAGCTTCATCTTAACAGTCCGAGAATTTTGTTATTTTTATAAACCTGGTACAGAGAGCTTCAGCTGCATGCGGTGCTGTGTGGATCTTGAGTCGTCTCAGCTTTGCACGTGGCTACTACTCAGGAGGTATGGACTGTCAGTTAAAATGGAATCCTTTCAAATTCAGTTTAAAAAGGCGATTATTTTTTGCAGTGTTACTGTTGGTGTCAAGGCACTCTAGATGGATTACCGGTTATCACAAGTCCATTGCAAGTCCATCATAAGTGCATCACAAGTCTATCATACATGCATCACAAGTCCATCATAAGTGCATAACAAGTGCATCATAAGTGCATCACAAGTCCATCACAAGTCCATTGCAAGTCCATCATAAGTGAATCACAAGTCCATCACAAGTCCATCATAAGTCCGTCAAAAGTCCGTCATAAGTCTGTCACAAGTCTGTCACAAGTCCGTCACAAGTCCTCACAAGTCCTCACAAGTCCTCACAAGTCCGTCACAAGTCCGTCACAAGTCCTCACAAGTTCTCACAAGTCCTCACAAGTCCATCACAAGTCCTCACAAGTCCGTCACAAGTCCGTCACAAGTCCTCACAAGTCCTCACAAGTCCGTCACAAGTCTGTCACAAGTCCTCACAAGTCCTCACAAGTCCATCACAAGTCCTAACAAGTCCTCACAAGTCCTCACAAGTCCTCACAAGTCCGTCACAAGTCCTCACAAGTCCTCACAAGTCCTCACAAGTCCTCACAAGTCCGTCACAAGTCCTCACAAGTCCTCACAAGTCCTCACAAGTCCTCACAAGTCCTCACAAGTCCGTCACAAGTCCGTCACAAGTCCTCACAAGTCCTCACAAGTCCTCACAAGTCCTTCAGTGCCAAGTCAACTCACAAGCTATTCAAATAAACTGTGACAAAGGCATTCCTTTGTTTGGGTCAAACTTTCCAACCAGCAAATTCTGTACACTGCATTTCCCCTCCTTGTCTCCAGATCCAAAGAAGCGTCTGCGGGGAGCGTACGGATACCCTGCCATTCTCGGTCTCTTCGGGATGACAATTTTCTGCGCTGCACGCCAGCTTGAGTGGGTATAAGAGACTAAAATGAAATAAAAGTGATCTATTTTATAACACCCATTGTGGGCAAGACCACTTTTGCAAGTTAATTTTCCAATTAACTTGCATCGAAGTATATGCTGTCTGTCAAATTCTTCTTGTTAAGACAGATGTTGCCTTTTCTCTGAACAAAAATCCACCATTTTAATGACTACCAATTTATACCTCATTTCAGCCAAATTTGATTTTGTGCAGAGGATTTAAGCTCATGTGAAATTTATGGTTATACGTGTAGATGTCTTTCATCCAAATAGTTTGAATTGTTTATTACTGCTTTTGAATGAAATAATGTGCGAAATATCAGTTATGCTTCATTTTGTGTTTGAGTTTTATCATGTTAGCAAGCTCTAGGAAAAGTTGGATTGGTTTTGAAACTCATTAGTATAGAAGTTGCTTTCAATTGTTTTTAGTACCCCATTTTGACTTTTTTAAATCTCATGCAGAAATCTTTACGCCTTAGTTTAACCCATTATAGGTGCAATTAGGTATCAAAAATCTAGGAAAAGATAGAAGAATTCATACTGTTAAAGATAGTACAACAGTTATTTCAATTTAGAAATTTTTCAGCAGTAGCTTCTAGAGAATGTTTTATTAAACTGTCGCGTTTTGTATTCCGACAATCACGTCCTTAATCCTTTGAAATTACTAAATAAGGAATACGTATTCATTATTTTGTATATCTAAAAAAGTTAGTTTCAAAAAGAATTCAGGCATAAATATTTAATGAGAGTGTGCTTTATATTTCAGGAAAAGATGTATAATTCTCGAAATATTTTTATATAATCTACGCCTTGTGTTACAATGGTAAATTAATAAAGTAACATTTACACAAACCCACATTGTGATGTGCAGAGTTTATTCAAGATTTCAAGTCCCTGTACCGCCCCAATCTGCCCTACCTGTTACTCCCTGTAATGGCGCAAACTGCCCAAGCTCGGTATGGTTTTATGGAATCTGGAAATGAATTCAAGGTAATACAATGTACAGGGTGGTTCAAAATATAGTTGAAATACTGCATACGAGTCCATTACAAGTCCTCTCAAGTCCCCACAAGTCCCCACAAGTCCATCACAAGTCCATCACAGGTCCTTTCAAGTTCATTGCAAGTTTATCGCAAGTTCATCGCAAGTCCATCGCATGTCCATCACAAGTCCATCATAAGTCCATCACAAGTCCATCATAAGTGAAGTCCATCAAAAGTCCATCAATAGTCCTCAAGTCCATCACAAGCTCATCGCAAGTCCATCAAAAGTCCATCACAAGTCCTCTCAAGTGCATCACAAGTCCATCGCAAATCCATCAAAAGTCCATCACAAGTCCATCACAAGTCCATCACAAGTCCATCACAAGTCCATCACTAGTCATCCAGTCCCAAGTCAACTTACAAGCTATTCGAGGCAATTGTGACAAACGCATTCCTTTGTTATTGTTCACCCCCTGTTACACTTGACTGCCCCATGTTAATTGATCCAACTGACAGAATCTACCCTAACTCAGGCCTTTTTGCTAGGATTCAACCTCAATCCTGCAAAATCCACTGTTTTTTCTTGAATGTGGTCCTTGAAGGGGTGACCACTGCCTCAATCCTGCAAAATCCTCCAGCAATCACTGTCAGTAAATTTAAGCAGAGCCAGTGACATCCTGGAGCAGTGCAGAGGATTTCAAGTATAATGTAGGCCTAAACTTATGCACAGCTGAGCATAAACAACAGAAGGTCCGGCCCAAGAACCTTGACACAGTAAGTGCATCCTCTAAAATCAGCAACGCATATTTGCCATATAGCCTCAATCCTGCAAAGATTCTCCATTTTGCAAAGAGGATTTGGGAAGGTTATGATTAATCTGCATATTTGTTCCTCGTCTCCAGATCCAAAGCGTGTGCGGGGAGCGTACGGATACCCTGCCATTCTCGGTCTCTTCGGGATGACAATTTTCTGCGCTGCACACCAGCTTGAGTGGGCGTTTAGTTTCCCCATTTTGAGGTTCGTTGGAGGTATCGCATCCAGACCTCTGTATGCCTTGGTTGCAGCCATTAAAATTGCAATCAGGTTTCAGGAATGGTGGAAAAGATAGAAGAATTTGTACTGCTGAAGATAGTATAATAATTATTTTAATTTGGAAATTTATTAAAGGTAGAGTCCATCATTTGCAGCCATCCGAGAAGTAACTGGCGTAATTATTGTTGAAAAACTAACTTGGTTGAAAGATAGTAAGGGGACTAAACTCCCTGTGAAATTATTCTTTCTGGGAAGCTGTCATTTTGAAGTAATCAACGAAAGAAGGCATTTCCAACGGTGATTCTTAAGAAGCACCGTAGGAAAATTTAAATTAGTAGTTCGTTTTGTTATTCAGCGAAGCGCGCACAAGTATTCGAACGACGCACACGCGCGCGCGGTTGTTATAATTCGTCGGATCAGTGCGCGACGTCGCGTATAGTTGCAATTCAAAACATGATTCAGCAACTTTTGATTTGAAATTGAGATCTTAGAATGTTGTTTTTCTCGGAATGTACAGCTGAAGCTTAGCTGAAACTTCATCAGGTTAGTTGCTCAGTATCCTTCATTAGATTTTGAACTCTTTTGTTGCTTCAAACGAACAAAATGCACAAATTACAAATGATGGACTATACCTTTAAACTGTTGAGTTTTGTATTCGGACATTCATAATAATGTCCTTAATCCCGCCTTTCAATTATTATTTCTAAATAAAGGTTTTAAGATATATGCAAATTAATGAATACACATCGGGGTGTGTATTCATTCATTTGCATATCTTAAAACGTAAGTTTCAGAAAGAATTCAGATGAAAATATTTCATGATGATGATGTGGCGCTAAGTTATAGCGCTTTACAATTATTACCCCTGTTCATCAGGCCACGAGACCATCTGCCGCAACTCGCTTTCAGTGCATATGTACCTTCTCATGTACCCAGTGGGTGGTGAGAAGAAGTGCGTGACAAAGTGCCTTGCCCAAGGGCACACGCACCATAACACCAGGCTGGACTTGAACCCACAACCTGCAGCTTTACCCGCAGACCATGAATCAGTGCCCTTAACCATGAGGCCACAGCTCTCCGTGATGAAGGTGCGTCAACAAAAGATGTATAATTCCTCAAATACATGTATTTTTATATAATCTATGCGTTGTATTAAAATGGTAAATTAATAAAGTAACATTTACACAAAGCCACATTGTGATGTGCAGTGTTTATTCAATGGTTTCAAGTCCCTGTATCGCCCCAATCTGCCCTAAACTCCCGGAGGTTTTATGGAATCAGGAAAATGAATCCAATGCTTCGATGTATGACTGTAAAAGGTCTGTAAACATGTGTCTTACTTCTATTCTCAATGTATAAACAAGCAAACAAACTGCTATTTCAAATGTTATTTCCACAGAAGTGTGTTTATTCCAACAAAACAAATATCTTTACATACACTATATACAGAAAAATTGATTATGGACGGATGATACTTTTTTTTTGTTTTTTTCGCTTTCTCAAAGGGTATAATACAACTTGGTAGATCATTTCATTAAAAATCTGTTTCAAATTCACAAATCAACATTTGTATTAACATGTTTATGATGAACCTAATCATGTACTTCCCCCAGCTTTTTTTTTTATTCAGTTGCAGTGTATTAATCTCTTGCCAATAACTTGTGAGAAAAAAAATTAAAACAATATTGTATTTGTTTCCCATCCAGGGGTTTTGCCAAGCAATGATTTGTTTTTATACTTGTGTACAATTCTATTTGCTGATCATTATCAAGTATGTTGGCTTCAAAATCGATTAAAGTCAGAATGTTGACGTTTTTCAAAATCTGTAGAGTTTTATATTAGTAGATTATTTGAGTGACTCACTAATGTTCCCTTGGTTTTATTTCTATCGCACTCACATTTTCCCCAATGTTGTTCTAATCATCAATTCAATGTGTTTAAGCATTCCTCCATCTTTTGAGAAATGGAGCTCAAAGTAATCCATTGAAGAAAAACATGCTTTAATATTGTTCAATGACAAGCATTTCTACTGGTACTTGGACAATAGCAATAGTGAGCCATAGGTTTAAACTGGTAACCATGATACGCAATAACCACTATGAGTGCTTGGCACACCATTTCTTCTCTGAATATTTCAAAAAAGTTTCCCGAACTATTGAATGGACATGTCCGTTGCCTCATCTGTTTATAGTAAAGCCTCCTTGAGGAGGTGTTTCTTCTCGGAAGTCAGTTGTTTGGGGAACTCGATGTCGAATCGGATGATCAGGCTGCCTTTCTCCTCGGGACCTCTGGATAACGGCATGCCTTCACCGGGGACCACCTTCTCATAGCCAGGTCTGTTTCAGAATAAAGAAACCAGTGTAAATATAAATAATTGGATTCTTTCTTGAAGGTTTTAAGAACTTAATCAAAATTGTGCCATATAAATGTAGATCCATTTTGTGATATGTCACATTTTCAGTGGCATTTAGCACATGCATGAGTAGTGCATTTTGCTCACTGCACTGTCACTAAAAAAGTGACGTAACAATAAATGTGACGTCATGCAAATTCTGTCTTGAGAAATTTCTTTTCTACGTTTTTGAATATTTTTGCAAATGGAGTGCTGACTGCAGTACAGTTACAATCCCGTTTGCAACAAGACTAGTTGTATGTCTCTAGAGGTACAATAATTTCTTGCATCATTGGACTGATTCTATCATAACAGAATGCAAAGTACTTGTCTTTTTAGAAAAGAGAATTTTGGTATTTTGTCAACTTACAAACATCTGCCCAAGTGCCCCCAACTCTACGTAAAAATCGACAGCTGCACAGGCATCGCAAGACAAATTTCAACAGGGAATATGCCAGAATTTTGGACAATCTTGGACATGACAATAGATGTGCATTTTTTTCTTGTGGCATTTATTTGCCAACAGACATAATTTTGCTGACAGGACAACAACTTTGCTGGAAAAAACCCAGATAGTCTCACTAGCCCCTCCAGCGATGCCTGTGGACAGCCACCAAAAAACTCTTTTCAGTAACTGAAAATACTGTGAATCTTGTCCAAGCTTACCTGATGATGTCATTGATGGGAATATTCAGCAGTCGTCCATCCAACGTCGGTACCTCCACGCTGCATCCCGTCAGTGCTTTACCCAGCAGCACCCTGGCAGTGAAGATCAGATCGTTTCCGTCCCTCTTGAAGCGAGGGTGGGGCTTGTCACGGACGATGAAGACGATGTCGGCGGGGACGTTGTTGGGCCCCTGGTCTCCCTCCTTGGGGAAGGTGATGCGGGTGCCCTCCCGCCAACCTCGTTTGACCGTGATGGTCAGGATCTTGTCTCGGATGCTGGAGGTGTGACCGTCTTCATTCATCACCTGAAGAAATAAAGGAAATCAAGTGTAGGTTTTTTTCGGTTTCTGATTTGTTGGTTTTGAAAGTGCCTAAATGATAAGATCACTGAATATTTATGTTCTTTTTGGGTAAGAATTGTAGGAGGCAGTTTTTAGAAGTGCCTTACTAGACAAATACATAAATGCACAGTAGATTGACCCCATAAGGGGGTTGGTTGAGGAGGCTAACAATGCCCCCTCCGACTGACCAATATCACTTACTTAGGCCCCTATTTAATAAAATAATTTCCCAATTTGAACAAACTTCAAACTGAATAATGTCATCACTCAATACTGCAAATCTTAAATCACTGCATCTGGCTTTGGTCTTTTATGCGTGGACTGTAATGACTCCCCCACTCTCTCTCTCTCAAAATTCTTGGCATTAAACAACCCCCCCCCCCCTCCACCTGGAAATCATGGATCCATTGCTGATGCAGTACTTTTTGCTTGAATGCTCAATGAAACTTGACCCAGGATGGACAGCAAACAGGCCTCGGACCTACCCTCCTAGAGATCTTCATCTTCTTGGTGCATCCATGGAATATCTCCTCCAGGGACAGCGTCAAGTCTCGCTCGATGGATGCGTCTTGCTTCTTGCGTCCCCTGCCTCGCAGACCACCAAAGCCCATGCTCAGGTCCCCATCGAGGTCGTCAAAGAATTCTGTAGGAAAGCAATTAGTTGGAGGGATTAGCACATTATGAGCTCTGTTTAAGAACAGTTGCACACCCTGTATAATGGAAATGTCGCAAGAAATTTAATGTCAGCATGAACTAGTTCAGTCATGTTAGAGTTACAGTAGTGCACTGTGTATGGTGACTGTTTGCCAATGGAAGATGAACAAAATCTCTACAAACATTTTATGTCTGCGATCATTTTGACTTCCGGCAAAATTACCACTCATTTGAAAGAAGCCAATGTTTTTTTTTAGTGAAACAGATGCATGATCAGTGCACCACTCATATATCACTATGGCAGTCTTTTGATAATGAGCTTTGTTGCATTCTGTCCCTGAGCAAGATATTTTATCACAATTTTTCCTCTTCTTGCATTTGTATCACAATTGCTCCTCTTCTTGTATATATTAAGCAGACAGTTAGGGCCTATTAAGGTGAGTTTCTGGGTACAAATGATCATTGCTTAACTGATCATGGATAATAAAATCTTCAAGTAGTTTACATCTGTGTCCACACAAATCCACATAAACACCATCCTTTCCCATCAAAAGATCAAATTCTTTGAATTTTTTTTTTTTTTACTTACCACTGAATGGGTTATCTCCGCCAAAGAATTCTCTGAAGACTTTGTGGGCGTCGCCATGGAAGGTGTAGCCATGCGTCCACGCCCCACTCTCCATCTTTCCTTCTGGTACTCCATTCTTCAATCCTTCCTCTCCGAACTGGTCATATACAGCCTTTTTCCTGGCTATAAAAGAGCAGAATAAGACTTGTTAGCATTTCAAATTAAGACAGATTGCCTCAATGGAAGTCCCAAACCAGTTGTGTATTTAGGTCTCTTCATCTTAGAGTACAGCATTTCAGTAATTTTTGAGTGATACAATTTTCATCTAATGAGTGGAATAATATAGAAACTTAATCTTGCTCATTCTTTTGTTTATAGGTGGTAGTGATTCTGTTATGCCCCAACTAAAGCATCATCCCAACTATAGTTGAAGCGAGTTTGAGTAACTCCAGCTCCAAAGCTTAACAGGAATTTGACATAATTATAGTGCTGAAGCTAAAACTATGTTGTAGATACTACATTCTAATTCAGAGGCCCTAAAAAATGGGACTCTCTGTGTCTGTATCACAAAATTGGTCCTTTCCCCTCTATTAATCCCAACCCAGATTCCATGGAACATAATGAATGAGGTATGTTTAAAACTGAGTTGGAAAACTAGAGGGATAGGACCGTTTTTTTAAGGGCCTCTTAGAACCTAGTTTCTACAACATAGTTTCAGCTCCAGCTCTATGTTGAATTCCTGATTAGCAGTTGGAGTTATTCAAGCTAAGTTGAAGCAATCGTCCTGACTTCAGTGAGGACTTCCCGAACAATAGTTGGGACTGTCCAAACTGTAGTTGGGGCCATAATTGCTATAGTTAGGGCGTAACATTTGCTAAGGGGAAACAGGACAACTTGTACGCAAACCAACTGTATAATTCTTCTCGTTGATCACTACTTACGATCGCATAGTACATCGTAGGCTTCCGACACCTGTTTGAATTTCTCTGGAGCACCGGTTTCTTGATTTTTATCTGGATGATACTTCAGAGACAACTTCCGATAGCTATAAAGTTAAAAAGGCAAATAAACATGATTACTTTGTTATAAAAATGGTCTTCGACAATACACTTTGAAGTCCGTTTCTTAAAATAAATATGTCTTATTCTCAGATTAATTGATTATTCAGTACAACTAAAGTGTATCATCTTGACTGCAATAAATTAATTTGAAGTCAAAATAGAAATAGAATTTTAATTATTAGCCTATGTCAACACAGTGTCATGACTGTGTGTTTTTAAAGGCGATAGAAGATGTAGGCCTAACATAAGGCCCTACTCAATTGTCTGTGTTTTCTATTTCACAATGGATTTTGCCCATCACGTTTTTGTTAAATTTATACCACTCCAACGGAAAATTTCATATTATGAAAAGGCCTATACTTTAGGCTAGTGTCTAGGCCCCTAGTTTATTGTTTAGAAAAATGAAAAACCGAGCAATGTTGAATATTTATTCAATACATGGTATTTTAACCGAGCAACGTTGAATAAATTATTCAATACATTTTAGTATTTTAATGTGCACAATTAAGCAAAAGTGTACATTTTCATTGTTCACCCTCATTTAGCCCCACTAGTGTGGCCGTCGGTATGCTGCGCTGAACCTCTGGCCACACACCGTGGTACCGCGCGCTACTGAGGACGAAGTTTTTCATAAAATTCAGGGCAGTTTCTTACATTTTCAGTTTCTTACTTTCTTATGGTTGTATTCTATGATGTCTCCTATCACTTCTGGGATGCTTAGCATGTGCTTAGGTCTAATGATGTTCCATTTTCCGAGATATTCTTCAATCTTTCTGGAGTCCATATGCACTCGTGAAACGTCTGGTGATGGCAGCCATTTTGAATGGGACAAGAGATGACCTCAAGCTGTGACGTCGCGTGTATGCAAATTGCTTGTCGAGCGCGCGAGGGCGCATGTTGCAAATGCGACGGCTGTTTCCTGTACCATGCATTTATCGTCAGGGGGCCACGTGCACCGATCTCTATTCAGGATCTACGGCACAGGAAATAGCCGTCGCATTTGCAACTCGCGCCCTCGCGCGCTCGACAAGCAATTTACATAAACGCGACGTCACAGCTTGAGGTCATCTCTTGTCACATTCAAAATGGCTGCCATCACCAGACGTTTCACGAGTGCATATGGACTCCAGAAAGATTGAAGAATATCTCGGAAAATGGAACATCATTAGACCTAAGCACATGCTAAGCATCCCAGAAGTGATAGGAGACATCATAGAATACAACCATAAGAAAGTAAGAAACTGAAAATGTAGAAACTGCCCTGAATTTTATGAAAAACTTCGTCCTCAGTAGCGCGCGGTACCACGGTGTGTGGCCTTGGGTTCAGCGCAGCATACCGACGGCCACACTAGTGGGGCTAACCCTCATTGCAAACATTAACATTTTAACCCAAAACTTTCAGCATCCCTTCCTACATTGTCCTAACCCCCCCCCCCCTCCCTGTCCTCCGCCACACTGGCGCGGCCAGCTGCAACCGCTGGCCCGCGACCTCCGCGTAGACAGACCGGCCGACAGACCACGGACTCACGCCGCCGATCGTGTGGATGTTGTGCCCATTCTTAAAAATCACGCATTCTCGAGAATGGGCATGCACATTCTCGAGAATGGGCGCGCATTCTTAAGAATGAGCGCCCATTCTTAAGAACGAGCACGCGTTCTTAAGAATGAGCGCTCATTCTTAAGATTGGGTGGGAATATCACGTGCACAATTTATGAATTTTGCCCAATCTTAACAAACATTGCACGACATAATTATGTTAAATGAATTGTATAGCGGTTAAAAGGGAAACAATTCATATAAAGAGGAAAGAAAATGTGCTATGCTTCTGTACTCGTATAACTACGATAATTTGAATCAAATTAAACCTGTTATTATTGCTTTTTTCTGTCCACTATGGGAAGTTTTGTAATAACGGAGGACTGGGAACTAGTCTGGGAAGTGCTTTGTTTAGGCTAGACAAGTTACAAGTCCCTGCATGTATCATATGCGTGCCACGAAAAAAACCCGATGTCCAGAAGCTGCCAAAATTACTCTTTTGACTAGATAGAATCCAGCTCTGCGACGTTATGGTGGGATGTGAACAATAAATTGGTGGCAATTTAAATGGGAAATAGCATTAGCACTATGGGATGTCGCAGTATTCATTCTCATTCTTCACATTCTTCATTCTTACGCCCCCCCCCCCGCTTTTATTATCCCAAAAATCAGAATTCTTTGCACTAGTATTATTATGTCTCTTATATTTTCCCGGTCCCCCGCCCCCCCCCCCATATCAATACGCCTTTACTTATCAATATCCACTCTACTTTTCAGCGCCTTGCGTTGCAACAGTATAATTATTGAGAATCAGTGAACGAGGATTCAGCTAGACTTGCCAAGCGCAGCCGGTGCTCGGCATCGACAAGACCGTTATCTTGTCGCACATTCTCAAGAATGTGCGCTCAATCTGGAAGAGTTATTTTTTGCCAAGATTGAGCAAGGATCCAGTTGCACATTCTCAAGAATGTGCATGCCCATTCTCGAGAATGCGTGATTTTCAAGAATGGGCACAACATGGACGGTGGACGACGGCGCACTGAGTGAGTGATTGTGAAATAAAGCAAAGATATATGCTACTTACGCTTTCTTTATGTCCGCATCTATCGCGGACCTAGTAAGTCCCAGAATACCGTAGTAATCCTGACCCATTTCAGTTAAGCAATTCTGTAAAAACTACTCCGATTTAGTAAAATAATTCCCAACTAACAATGTTCGCACACACAATATTTTCCCGATCCCACGGCCAGTTGTTTACATTGTTGCTAGGGTGGGTTTGACGAAGTCGGACAAGAGAGGGCGCTATACCTGCCTGGCAACAACTTTGAAAACATCATGGCCGCTTCCAGTCACTTTTGAGTTTGAGATGAGTTGCAAAACTTAGGGGAAAAAGTATTTTCTAGTTTAAATTTTTCTGAAAGGTATATTCACCATGGCGGGAGACATATCGGGGGTGAGAATCATCCCGCCGGTGATAGAATTTATGGATGCAGAGGCCAACGCGGTGCACGTCCAAACTGTCACGGTGCAGAACATCAGCAAATGCAGCAAACAGATTAAATTTCATGGACCAAATACAAATGTAAGATTTTTTTTAATTATTGTTTCTTAGCCTAATGCTTTGAAAGCGCATAATATATTCACACGTTAAATTAATCACTGTATTTGAATTTAATTTTATTTTGTAATTTTGTAGCTCCTTATTTTCAATTTTCTGATAATAATGCCAATTTGTTTTGTTTGTGCTTGATTTGACATGTTTTGTTTTTTGGGGGGGTGGGGGCTATTTGTAATTTCATACATCTTATAATTCAGCCCTATCTTAGAGAGTACAGCGCCCTCTGTTGATATGGATTGCCGCTGGCAAACCTTTAGTAAACGTTAGCTTGCCAGCATTACCTCCAGCAACCTATCCACTATCTTCATATCTCTAAAATATGGGCACTGAAGCGGTCATACTAAACAGCGTCAACACACTCCAAAGCGTCAACACAGCGTCAACACAACGTCAACACAGCGTCAACACATCCAAAATGCATTAAAATTTACAAAAGCAGTATGTAACCCATACAGTATGGACAGAAACATAATTTGTGCTTAAAATCAATAGGTTAAACGTCTGAAAATCACGATTTTTAGTTCAAGAAAATTGGCTCTCCGTGCCGCTCCGAAATCGGCTGCCGAACACCCGCCATGTTGCCTCAGTGGCAGCGCGGACCATACCATTATTCTAAAGGGTGATAGCGTTGTACAATAAACCAACAGAGAGGGACGCGGCCGGGGTCGCCAGTGTTAAAAATATCTGCAAAGACCAAAACATAAACACAACTCACAAAATAATGATCTACCACTCCTCCGATCCTTAGTCCTCACACAGATCTGGTATCCCTCTGTCTAGTCTGCAGCAAGGCGCCCTCTGTTGTTTATGACAAGATAATGTCATTACCTACACACCCCTACTTGAAATGGTGTAGTCCAAGCTTTGTGCGAAGTCAAGATGGCGGACAACGGCCGTGCAAGTTAAGGTCATTTTTTTCGCGTGAAAATACGATATTTTTAACAACGAAATGGAAACTCAATCCCATGGAAATTCTCTTTTATTGTATGTTTCACAATTATATGCCCTTTTTGTCAATTCAGAATGTGTTTTGGATGTGTTGACGGTGTGTTGACGCTTCTGTCATGTGTTGACGCTGTGTTGACGCTGTTTAGTGCGACCCCACTGAAGGGACAGTACAATTTGACTTTCTTTTATGAATTCGAGCGTTTTCTCGAAAAGTATCATAACATTACAAAAGCATTTACCCAATGTTGTAAAAGCTGTTCATGACTGTATTATCCTCAGAACCAGCAGGTAAAGCAGTTGGTGTAATGGAATCAATATCTGATGTGTTTATTTCAGAAATTCAAGTTGATTGTGAAGAACCCAGACAAGCCCATAGCCCCTGGCCTGGAGGTGACTGCAACTATTGAGTTTTTCACTGAGGAGCCTCAGGATTGTCAAGACGGTCTTATCCTACTGGTTGATGAAGATGTGGTTGAGATACCCCTCTGTGTGTAAGTTGCAACTCAAGAAAATATCACCCAGAGACCAGGCAGTGAAATATGTTTCACTGTTGTGTATTACAGTTTCCCCCCAAAAAGGTATTATGAACCCAACTAAAGCATCGTCTTAACTGTCCCGAATATAGTTGGGCCAGTCCCAACTACAGTTTGGGCCATTACTTCAATTGGGACTTAACAGATGCTCTGAGGTCAGCTGTAAAAAGGTCCATGAAAATCAGCAAAACCGACTGAATTATAACAGCTAGCAAATGTTCAAGTCCAGTATAAACTTCTTGCGCAATAAATTACATGGCAGGCAAAAAGATTGTTCATCAAACACCATTAATCATATTGTACAAATATTCCTATCTAATTTCCAATCACTTTATCGCCAGTATCGTTTGGCATATCAAAAGCAATGCACTTAAACCTAGCCCTAACAGTCCTGAATCCTCCAATTTTAATACGATTTTGCACACCCCCTAGGGAGTTAGGGTTGTACATGTACATCTTGGAGTAATTTTGAGTCTAAGATTATGAAGATCCTACGTGCCCGTGTTAGTTGTTTCATAGAGAAGAGGATACTACCCCTCATTATCTCGAAAATTGTTTTGTTGCACTAGTCTTTAACTCTTTCAGTGCCAAACTCGTACATGTACGAGGTATTTTTGTTAGTCCAAAAGCGCCAACCTCGTACATGTACGAGGTAATGTTCGTGCTTAAAAACGCCAAACCTCGTACATGTACGAGGTAGAGTAACGTGTTATCAAAAGGGGGCGCTCTCGCTCTTTCTAATGGTACCAATTATATGCATGTACGACCTGTATTTATTTTTATATTCGAGTTCTTGTGAGAGGGCGTCACACTGAGTTTCGAGTTGTTGACAAAATGGCGGCGCCCATAAACCGAGCTCGCGTGTTATCTCCAGAGAAAATCAGTGTATTTTTTCGCCGATTTGGACAGGGTAAGGGATTACTTTTCTGATTCAGAATAATCCATGGATACTTCAGAACTGGATGATGGGTCAGAAGACGAACATTGGGATACCGATACAAATGATAATGATGGTGCTAAAAGTGACAATCATGGCAATATTTATGATAATGAACAGAGTTTGTATGAGGAGGGGTATCAGACGCGACTCACGTATATTCTGCAAAAGTGTGGAATTCCCCTGTGTTCAGGAGAGTGTTTCAGGGTTTATTACTAAGTGCATGGCTAATATTGACTTTTGAAGATAACAAGAATATACCAGAGAGCAAGATACAACAAGTTTGGTGATTACAACATATTTACTTTTTTTTTTATAGAATTTTGAATAATTAACAAAAAAGCTCGAAGTTGGGCGCTTTAGGGTTAAACTTTTGAAATGTCGCGGGCACTGAAAGAGTTAAGAGTAAATTTATTGTTGCACCTTGTAACTATCTCTTTTGTGAGTTTGCCAGGTTCCGAAAAGAATCGGGGTGAATCTCAACGTTTTGGACAGTATGCTCTGCCCGTTGCCAGGAGACTCAGGTTCTTAACCTTACAAACTCACAAGAGAGGTTTGTCACATGGTGCAACCATGCACTTACTCTTATTGCTCTCCTCACAACGCAAAACTTCAAGTCAAATCTGCATTAGTCTTGTATATCTCTAGTAAAAATTAAAACTAAATGGTTATTATTGCTGTCCTTTTTTCATTTAACAGTTATAGCCCCCAGCCTCTCCTAGACTTGGAAGGTCCGGCCAATTTTGGCACAGTAGTACGCAACAGCAAGGTGCTATCCACTCAGGTATCTCTCTACAACCATGGCTCTTTACCGGGCAACTTCAAGATCAACTACACTGGCCTGCAACCCATCACCATCTTTCCTTGCTCTGGGACCCTGCAGCCAAAGACGGCCCAAGTCATCAAGGTAACGCAGGGATTAGACTGAGAGTTGGGTGATTTCAAAATTGTGAATTGAGCGTTTCAAAACTGAAGATAATGAAACTCAAAATTTCTGAAAATTGACTTTTGCATGAACAAGCACGTTAGTACGTTAGTATTATGCGTCAAGAATATAATCTGGAACCAAGTCTCTGTTTCTTGAAGTTCCATGAAATTCTCTCTGAGACTTGAATGATTGCAGTGGTATGATATGGTCAAGGAAGCAGAACTTTAATTTTAGGCATTATTCACGAGTCGGCCATATTAAATGGAAAGCGAGCCTTTTTTTTTTCATTTTAGAAATGAAAGCAATGAAATAAATTTAATTACAAATTAATACCAGTCTGCTCTGTAGAATAATTTAAAATTGTGATTAAACATACCCTGATGTTTTAAGCCACATTGAAAAAAAAATGGAAGTGAGGTTTGGAACGCATAAATAGTCTGGCACCATCACATTCAACAGTTTTAGGGAACATGATCAAAATTGGCTTTCTCATGAATAAGGTGCATAGCCTTTGGTAATATATTGTATGATGGAAACTTTACAAAAATTATTTGGTGATCTTTAAACATTGTATGGTCCCGAATGTAATAATATTTTTCTCTTGCTTTTCTTTGTGTCCAAGGTGGAATTCGTCACCAAAAATGCCGGAGTTTTAAATGAAGAAGTCCCGTAAGTATGCATATATTTCCCTACCTCTTTTTAAGTGTAGACTGGTGCACTGACTGAACAGCATAATATTGCCTGCCATTTCCACGACTGCAAAGCTTAGTCAGGTCTTGAATTAACTTTGTTTTAATTATAGCCCCAGCTATAGGTGAATTCAACAATATGAAATAGCAGGCACTTTCATTTTTTTGGAAGATTGAATTGATCAGAGCACAGCCAAAAACTGTTTAGTCCAAATTATTCCCTATATGGGGCCAAAAATGCCCAGCCTGTTACTCCATGTAACCCTTGAAACCCTCCAAGTTCTTCATGCAAATCGTGAATTAACCAGAATAAATACGGTGTAGTACAAGTGCTCATAGGTTAAGCAACCTTACAATCTTCTCAAAGTCTTTTATGGTATAGTCATGATATTTATACACTATCATTCCTTCCAGAGTGCAACTGGAAGCCCAGCAGCCAGCCATCCTCCACATCAGAGCCAACGTCGTGGAGCGATGCCTGGAGCTCTACGCCCCAGACTCCGATGAGCAGATTGACTGCATCAAGTTTGGCAGTACTTACTACGGCACGGACAAGACCCAGATGGCTATGCTGTACAATAACGGACCGGACCCTGTCAGCTTTGTCACTGTGCTGGAGGAGAACGCTGAAGGCATGGAAGCTGTAAGTCTATCGAGTTGGTTCATTATCTTAAAATATTGGTTGTAGATCAAGTTCAGGCGAGGACCATTAGATGACTATGGGCTTTGTGCGCCAACAAAAGAGGGCGTGTTTTTAACACTTTTGAGAGCGCAGTGGACGGGACACACAGTATGCGCGTACTGGTACTGGTCTTGTACTGGTTCGCTCGCAAAGTACGCTAGTACTTCCTGAATGTGCCAAAGCTATTAGCCACCGATAGCGTCTTCGCATGAGCGTCAGCATCGTTGGCGCGCCATTACGTTCGAATTTGCCTTGCGACGGTCTCCTAGACTAATCCCCGCCCCCAATAACTTTGGCTCATTCCAAATATGCAGTGGATGGACCGGGAACTAGTCTATCTCCCCCAACTCTCCCCCAACTCTCCTTTTCTGGCCGCTGAAGGGGTATTTGTGCACCGAGCCCATAGTGGTTGATTTGTGACATAACTTACGCCTGTGCACAAATAACTGTCGGACGCTGGTCAAAACATCATCACAATACTTCTGGATCCTGGTTCCCTGCTGCGTATTATGATGCACGGCTGTTGGCAACCAGTGATGGAACCATGCCCCAGGCTTCGGTTCCAAATAGACAGTATTAGTCTCGCCAGTCAACGGTCGCTTTTTCATGAACGTCTTGGTACCAAGCACTGACTAGTCTAGTCACAGACTCCCTATTTGAATTAACCCAATTGTTATCCGAGTAATCAGTTGAACGGAAGCCGAGGTCTACAATTTTAAATTTATATTAGCCATCAATTTGCAATATTTTCAATATGTTGTAAATTGCAATGCTTTCTTTTCTTTCGAAATACCCATTATTAACCTTGATTGGAAGGGCCCAGTCAGGACACAAAGTAAATGCACAAAAAAGCAGGATGCTCCAAAATCTGTTAAATTTTCTGCAAGGCTGACAATTACAACTATAATTTAGATACCTTGTTTGGACATGTATGGCATTAGTTATATTGAAGCTTTATTTTGATGATTAAGAAGACTTTTACAATTTCAATAAGTCAATAAGATGTTAATTAAAACAAATTATTTCAGGGGACTGATCTGACAAAATCAACGGTCGCAACGCTGGCCACAAAGGACATGGATAGAGTCCGTAGCAGCACCAATGAGCTGACGTCCCTAGTCACTGCAATCCCATCCCAGGGAAAGCTGGCTCCTTACCAGCGGGCACCGGTCTTCTTCCGCTTCAGCCCCCGCTACAACACGGCCCAGCAGGGCTGGAAGGGGACGGCTACCCCACCCCCTAGGCAGGACTTTGCTCTCTTCATGCAGATTGTGGTGATTGGGAGCAGTAAAGGGTTCGGGGCGGAGAATGACGCAGGGAAACAGAATGGAAATGAAGGTAGGTTTCATATTTTCCTATTAGTACTTAACCCTCTGCTCTTGCAAATTGTGGCCTTTGCCCACGTAAATGGTGGCTTTTGACAATGTAAATTGTGACTTTTCACAATGTAAATTGTGACTTTTCACAATGTAAATTGTGGCCTTTGATCATGTAAATTGTGGCCTTTGACCATGTTAATTGTGCCTTTTGAATGTGTAAATTGTGGCCCTTTGACCATGTCAATTGTGGCCTTTGACCATGTAAATTGTGGTGTATGACCATGTATATTGTGGCCTTTGACCATATAAATTGTGACCTTTAACCATGTAAATTGCGGACTTTGACCATGTAAATTGTGGCCTTTGCCTATGTAAATTGTAGCCTTCGACCATGTAAATTGTGGTCTTTGACTGTATAAATTGTGGCCTTTGACCACGTAAATTGTGGCCTTTGAACATGTAAATTGTGACCTTTAGCCATGTAAATTTGTGGCCTTTGCATTGCTAAAAAATAGCAATTTAGAAAAGGAATCTATTATTCGGGATGGAACACTGGGAATGGATCTTTAAACTCCCCCCTCCCATCCAAGAAAATTTAGTTCTCTACCTTTTAAAGTTTTAAACATGATACCATTAATTCCTTAGTTCTCATTTATTTTGTTCACTTCTACTTCCATTTAACATCTCTCCAGGTACCAAAGTAGAGGTAGCTCTCACCGGCACGGCCCTGCCTGTCCTCCTCAGCCTCTCCCCGACCAATCATTTTGACTTTGGCGAGTGCCCTGTCGGCGAGCACGTAGACACCCTCTGCACCCTCCGCAATGACGCCACCCACCTCCCAGTCTCCTTCGTCTGCCGCCAGGTGGCACAGTTCTGCGTCTACCCGTCCTTCGGGAAGCTGACCCCCGGGGAGTCCCAGGACCTGATCTTCTCCTTCAAGCCCAACCAGTACGGCTCCTTCAAGCTCAGTCAAGTCATGGACGTCCTGGGATCGGTGGCCGATGAGGGGGAGGAAGCCAATCCACTGGCCACTCATTTGGAGGCCATTTATGGCCTGCATATCTCCCTGCATGGTGTCAGTAATGCCGAGTCGAAGAAGAGAGAACCCAAATTCAACCCTGGTGAGACCAGCTTCTGTAAAGAAAAAAAAACACCGTGCAAATTCTCTTTTTATAAATTTGATTCCAGTTGTTAATGTGAAAGAAAATTGTCAGTTCTTATCAAATTCAAAAGAGCACTTAATTTACCAGTGACGAGCCTAAAATGTGTACTTAGGATCGAATATATCAATCAGAAGTTGGTCTTTGAACTAGAATTTTTTTTTCTAATTTTCAATGGAGTATTGTAATTTGGCCCTTCTTCTTAATAATTGGACTTTACATAAAAGCAGAAAATTGAGCATCACATAAGTATGAATTAAACTTGAAATTCACATTTTTGGTATGCAATATTCTTATTTGGACTGCATTCTAACTTGGATCCTACAGCCTCGTCTTTTTTGGGAAACAAGCTTTGTAAATAGTTTTACATGTATGCGATGTATGAGAGGGGCTCACTAAGCAGTATTAAGTAAAACTAACTGACACTTTACCACTGTAATGAATGATCACCGTTTCAAGAAATATAGGATCCGATTTTATGACGTCAAAGTACCACGTGACCATCTGGTTTCACTGTTATCGGCCACCATTGCATTAGGCAAGCGTTTAGTTACCACGTCATGCGTTGTAAACAAGATAGGGCTTATTTTCACTCCAAAAAGCCCCATGAATTCTTTATCAAATGGCAAAATGGTCACTACCTGTGCCGTGTACAGTTGTCATTATCGTGCCGACCAAGCACTAGGTGTAGGCTCCGCGTTTTTCTCAGTTTTTGCCATCCATCACAGCTTTGAAGGCTTGCCCACTATCAACTACTCTCAGCGCTCGACGATCACTGCCTACTACAATGGTGACGCTGACTTTCCGGTACCTAGATATAGGCCGGGGAAGGACTTTTTATTTTTTTAACTACTCCATAATCCACTTGCCACATTACATATTACATACATTACATATTTGACCACACATTTCATGTTGATTTTACCCCCCATCCAGGCATTACACCCCGTGTAGTTGGTGAGGTTGGTCAATTCGTCGATGTCACTATGGATGAAGCTAAACCCTATGAACCCCGGGCGGCCATGTTAGGAGCCCCAAAGACTAAAGGCCTTCATGCTACCAGGTCAGCCGGGCACATACCAGACGCCAGAGCCCTGGTGGCTTACCCTAATGACCGAGCACGCAGTATCAGGCCCAGCTACAGACGAGTTCAGTACAAGTAAGTCACATGGGGTTGAACGTTTAAAGGAACACTTTTGAAAGAATGCGTCCATTTGGGCTCAAAAGGGCATTACTTTGAAAAAATGATAGTTGGAAAGATGGTTAAGAGTAAGAACGTTCAGAAAACTATACCTTACTGCCCACAGAAATATTTGGGTTCAACATTGTTGCTCTAAAAATTCAAGTCGTTGGAAACTGATATCTCTAAGTGAATAATCACATGCATTTCATGCGGTGCTGGTCTTTTGCTGACATCTTGGTATGCTTAAAGGTAAAAGCGAACTACTAACGGAAATTTCCAAAAAAGCATCCTTAGACACATCTTTGGAAATGACCGTCTTTTATTGTATTCTTCAAAATGACAGCATGCCAGAAGGAATAATTTCACAGGGAGTTTAGTGCCGTTACTATCTTTAAACCAAGTATGTTTTTCAGCAATAATTTCATCAGTTACTTTTTTGATAGTTCCAAATATGTTCTCTACCTTCAAAATACGCATAGACAAGACACAAAAACTGTTTCAAACTGAGTTACAGTGCCGTTGCAGTTATTGTTAAACCCTTGTTCCATTACCGGTAAGAAATTAAACAAAAATAATACCCAAAACAGTTTGATTAATTGATTTCTCATTTTTTAAAAAATTTCAAACAGGACTATTTTTACCAAGACCGAGCGCCACACCTACGTTGATCCGGACTATGCCTACGATGACAATGAACTGGCTACCATTCAGAAACACAAGAATGTCTACAACGACTACCTGAAGAACAGCCGAGAACGCAGGATTGGAAAAACAAAAGCCAAGTAGGTTTGGTCATGGGAGTCAGTCAGTAAAAGGCCATATTTTGTAACAAACAAGGCGCGAAGTCACACATTGTGATGTATATAAACAGCTATGATCTCATCAAATCTAACCAAAACATGCTCAGGCTGTACATGTGTTTCTTTTACTAATCAATGTTTGTGATAATTCTAAGTTAGGGCTGTGCATCGCAACCTGGTACCCGAGTACCCGACTGATGATGTCGGGAACTGGTTCCAGATTGTGGAATCGGTTATCTGTAACCAACTTTACAAAGTACTTAGTAACTCCTCAGACAATGAATAAGAAAGGTTTTGAATGTCATTTGTAGGGAATTTCAAAATGAAAACCAGGGTACTTGGGAAAACAAAACATATTTCACATTTATTATGCTCGCGAAAGTTGCAATTTATACCATAAAACTCACTGTGCAGTGTACACACTTGTATTTTGCTGTATGGAAGCACCGATGTGGTAGTAATATCGTGTGGACCTTTCTAAACAATCTGAACAGCAACTTCTGAGATTTGAATTTTGGGGTTGGTTTTCTTTAACTGGTACCCATGTACCCGTGTTTTTATCAATCGGGTACCGGGTTCCCGTACTACCCGTAAATGCCCACCCCTAGGCTGCATCCGAATCAACTGTCTAGAGCTAGATCTAGGTCTGCGCCCATTGAAAATACGCGGAGACGCGCTGACAATAGACGTAGCCGTAGCTCTGGAAGCCCATTTCGGACACGGCCCTACTCTAAGTTCACCTGTTTTAAGTTTTATGGTAAGACAAGGCAAGCTTAGTAATGGTGGCCCCAGAGCCCACAACAATTCCATTCAATTGATTCAGAATGGCTATAAACTGGAACTATTTCATGCGCAAGTATATCATGCATCTGGTCTACACAGTGGCCGGATTTAGTCCATTCATTAGCATTAGTTCTTATACGATACCACTGCCCAACTCACAAGTGACAGTCAGTCAGTCTGTGAGTCGGTCGATCAATGAGAAACAAGGAGGACTATAGGCTGGACCTAGAGGACCACCAAAAATGGATTTGAATATTTTCATCCAAAATTAAGTCCAATCCGAGTGACTTGTTTGTTGTCACAGTGGGACAAGTGGAAAGTGAAATTTCAGAAATCAATTTATTTGACTGCGTCGTATTTACATTTTAACAGGTGGCAGAAAGTTCAGGAACCGCACCCTTGCAGGTTGATAGCAAAGTTTGAATTCTGCATCATAGCTCCTCATGTCAATATCACGATCATTTTGTTCTGATTTCAACTATTCATTGCCGTCACAGCTATAAAATGAGAGTATCAGAAATTTAGATGAGGGGTCTTCTTTATCAATCCCATATGACACATTTTAGAGAATTCACCATGTATTTTTATCAAGACATCTCTTTCCATTTGATAATTTTAAGCTTCTATGCATTAGTCTTGCACACATTCATTGCTTGCCTTGAAAATGAAGGTTTTTTTTTTCATATCCGTGTGTCTGCAGAATGCATTACCAGAAATATTTTCATTAGGAATTTCAATCCCCAACAACAGAAATTAAATATAATTTAATGTCCAATATCAAAGCAAAACTTGATATTCAGGTTACAAACATACAGTAACCTTACCAGTTTCCCACCATTTATGCGTTTCTGTCATAGACTAGTTCTTACTTTGTCTTGTTAATTCATTGCTCTATCAATTAAGTAAATGCGATTTCACAAAATTCATCTCACTTTCATCACTTTTTTCACATTCATCACATTTGCAATCAACAAATTCACTTCATAAAAATGTTCAAACTTTTATGCAGTATTCACTTTCAACAAAGTTCATGATTAGTCAATATGTGAAAACAGTCATCAATTATAACAACATCGATTTTGTGGGAAATATTTTGGTTAAGGTACCAAAAAAAAATTCACAATTACATGACACAGCAGGAATGATATTTGTTCATCTGTTGTTTTTTTTCCAGGGAGTTTCTGGAGCTTGACAATGACAAGGACATCGGTCTGAAGCCAGCCTCTGGGCTGAAACCGGGCAAACTGAAAGTGGACGAAATTAAACCGCCAACTAAGAGTGAGTTATTAAACATTTGAGAATAAGCCAGTTGGGTATTTCAATAACGCGGTCATTCGGGATAACATCTCTGACGTGATGTTACGCGATGTTACGAGCACACCCATTCTGCTGGTAATTTACATGCAAGCGTCGTGTGCCCGCATTAATGAGCCTTTGAAACGTTGGATTATCCCGAATGACCTGTGACCTATATCATTGTGCGCATGCGCAGTTGAAATACCAAACTGGCTTATTGTTAACAATTTTTGTTATAAAGTCAGCTTTAATTCAGTTTTGATTAAAATACATGTTTCAGCTCGTATACATGTAGTTAATTTTTCAGTAGATCTAATTTTTCATAATAGCATTTTTTGTAATAGCATCTATACTACAATTCAAGGAATCTCTGTCTGTCTGTCTGTCTGTCCGTCTGTCTGTCTGTCTGTCCGCCGATTATCTCCAGAACCGGGCACCGTATGAAGTTGAAAATCGGCGGGTGTATTGCTCGGGACAGCAGAATGTGCAGTGCTGAGTTTGAAGTGGTTTGGAAGAGTGGTCCTCGAAAAAGCTGCAAAAAAGCAGTATTTTCTGAGGCCTAGCGCGCCAGAATATAGCCTAGAACTCCGCGCACTGATGTTCTTTTTAATTGTTTACGTCATGTTAAAGCAAGAGCGCGCGTGCTTAATATGACGCAACAATGGAAAAAAGGACGGGCACATCATGGGGTTCTTTTCAATTGTTTACGTCATGTTCGAGCTAAAGCGCGCGTGCTCAGTATGACGCAAACAGTGCAAAAAGGACGGGCACATTGTAGGGCTATAGCACTGCAACCATGTCTTCGTACGTACATATACGAGAGTGGCATGCACGGGCACATGCATTTTGTGGTCAACTGAGCAACCATCACTGCACTGTATGTAGGCGGTCGACTGAGCGACTCTAATACAATATGGTATCGCCCTACAACTACGCCCTACAGTTGTTGGGCGATACCATATTGTCCAGTAGGGGTAAATATCAGTGCCAGGGGGGTGACGACATTTTGTGCGTTTAACTTGCGAGTGTGCGTTCACACCATTGAATAATGTGCGTTGTTACACGAGCTGCAGTTCTCAACTGCCCCTTCCGAACACGCACATTTTCGACTGGCCTCAGAAAAGCAGTATTTTCTGAGGCAAACGCGCCAGAATATAGCCTAGAACATAACACCACGCACAGCCGTTCTGTTCAATTGTTTACGTCATGTAAAGCTAAACCGCGCGTGCTCAATATGACGCAAACAATTCAAAAAGGACGGGCACGCGCACGTGCATTGTAGGGCGATACCATTGTCCAGTATGGGTGAATAGCACTGCGTACCATATGTTTCCGTTTACTGCACGGGCACATGCATTTTGCAGTCGATTGAACCACTATTGTAGGCGGTGGATTGAGCAACCTTACTCACGTAGGTGAGTAGCTGCACGGGCGTATGGGTGAATATCAGTGCCGGGGATGGCCTGGCGACATGTGAGTTTAACCTGTGAAAACAACACAAATTGAATCGTGTGCGTTGTTTGCATGATATGAGCATTTTGAAATTGCCCCTAACGAACAGGTGCATTTTTTTTGACGTACATGTACGTGAGTGGCATGCACGGGCACAGGCACGGGCACATGCATTTTGTAATCAACTGAACAGCCATCACTGCACTGTATGTAGGCGGTCGACTGAGCAACTCTTACTGTAGGGTGATACCATATTATCCAGTAGGGGTAAATATCAGCGCCAGGGCAAGACGACATTGTGTGCGTTTAACCTGCGAGTGTTCGTTCAACCTGTGGAAGCACCATTGAATAATGTGCGTTGTTTCCATGAGCTGAACTGCCCCTTCCGAACAGGCACGTTTTCAACTGGCCCTGCACTAGTCTTACTATAATTCAAGGAATCTCTGTCTGTCTGTCTGTCCGTCGATTATCTCCAGAACCGGGCACCGTATGAAGTTAAAAATCGGCGGGTGTATTGCTCGGGGCCACAGAATGTGCAGTGCCAAGTTTGAAGTGGTTTGGATGAGCAGTTCTCGAAAAAGCTGCAAAAAAGCAGTATTTTCGGAGGCAAACGTGGCAGCTTAGAACATAACACCACGCACTGCCGTTCTTTTCAATTATTTACGTCATGTTTAAGCTAAAGCGCGCGTGCTCAATATGACGCAAACAATGCAAAAAGGACGGGCACGCGCACATGCATTGTAGGGCGATACATTGTCCAGTATGGGTGAATAGCACTGCATACCATGTTTTCGTATGTACACGGGCACATTATTTTTGCAGTCGACTGAGCGACCATTGTAGGTGGTCGAACTTCAAACCTAGCACAAACTTTGACGTAAGTGTGCGTTCAACCTGTGAAAACAACACCATTGAATTGCGTGCATTGTTTGCACGAGCAGTTCTCCAAAACTCTGCAAGTATGCAGCCTATACCAGCGGCAAAGCAGTTTGCGTTTCCCGAACATGCACATTTTAGACGGGCACTGCACTAGTTGAATCAAATGTGACAAATCCAGCATACTATGTTTATTTATCTTCAAGCAACCTGAATCCTCGATCCTGATTGGTGGCCTTTTCTTTGCTTTTCGTAGCACCAAGTCCACGGGACAAATCTCGTCGTATGCTGAGCTCCAAGCAGCTAGCTGAGAAGGAGCTCAACTCTACCTCGCGTCCCTTCAGCCGAGGCCTCAATGCCGTGCCCATGACGCCCCAAGAGAAGGCCGATTGTAAGAAGATTCTCACTCCGCAACAGCTACATCAGGTGGTCATTGGTAAGCTAGCATTTTCTCTTAAACTCCTCGACTTTTAGTTCGTGTGACATTGGGAGCCCATATTAGTACAATACAATATGTCCAAAACAGAAAGTGTCCATCTGACTATTTTTTTTAAAAATAACCACGAAACCGTGAGGACAAATTTGAAAAGCCTTGGCCTCAATCCCTGTGAGTTTCATTGAATTTCAGTCACGCATCACTGCACAATTGTCAATTGATTATAACATTTTTGGACACTGTGACCAAATTCCTTGCCCTAATGAATTTCAGTGCTGTATTAAGTAAGCTGTGTAAGCTGTGCTTTTAACTGTTAATTGTTTTGAGCTGAAACTCCCCTTATTTAGTTTTTGATGCTGTAGATTGTTTCAAATATACATAATCTTGAAAATTAGTCAACATTTACCACAAGAGACTAATTGTTAATAATAATGCTCAGTTGTTTATTTTACCTTTTCAGAAGTTAAAATATGATACATCGAAATTCACTGAGATAAATCAAAAAAAATTCACAAACATGTTGATCTTTACTGCAGAATAACTTTATCTTTTACAGTGAAATCTTAATAAGTCAAACCTCAAGGGAACAGGTTCAAAATTTGACTTAAGCAGAGTTTTGAGTTAAGCAGGGTTGTATATCATTGTTATACTACTGAAGGCAATGGATTCTTTGTGTGACTTGACAGTTGTTTTGAGTTATCAGAGTTTGACTTATCGATATTTCACTGTATTTGAAAGAATCATTGTGTATTTGTAAGCAGAATGAATGATATCACCACAGGAACTGAATGGTCTTTTTCATCAACAGGTCCACCAACCATAGACTTTGGCCAGGTCTGTCTCAAATCAACCAGCGTACAAAAACTCAGCATCATCAATAACCTGGATCAGTTCATCCATGTTGAAGTTGATGTAAGTACAGGCAATGGGCAAGCTCACTGCATGTTGAAGTATAAAAATTCTCTATTCGTTAGCTGGTATCTTCCTGTACATTCTTTCAAACAAAATTAATTCTTGCTGTTCATACTTTTGTGACTGATATGCTAGCTTTACATTGTTTGTTGCTTTCTGTCTGTACAGCCACATGCTAGGTAGAAAAGATTAAGGATGCCCCTTGTCTGTCCTTGAAACAAAATTTCAATTTCATTCATGTCAGTTATACTTGGTATAGGCCTAAACATAACAAATAAAGATCATTTTCACACATGCAATTCGCACGTACTGAAATTTGTATCCTTGTGGAGTCATTTCTTTGTTCTCGTGTACTAAAATTTTAGAATGTGAAAATCTCGTTTCAAAATGCTCCTATTTTAACCAGAATTTATTTTCTGGGCTGAAATTTGGACTTATATCCCTTACATAAAATACTTCAATTTGCGACAGATCAACACACCTTGGAAATTCCTAGTTTTGAGTAAAATCCATCTATTTCATGATAACCTTGTGGAGAGGTTTTCACCTATAGAAATTGCCCTGTGGAGACGTATACAATCTTTTGTTCCCTATTATACACGTCTCCATAAGGTAGTGACTTACGAAACGTACATGCACAAGATTAGAAATGCATGCACAAGATTGGAGATTGAAAACAAAACAAGTAGACATAAAGATTTAAAATGTGATATCATTCTGGAATGTGGTTCATGTCTTTAGATTGATTGTCGTGAGTTACGACAGACCAGCCCCTTGTCTCAAGTTGTTCCTCCAAACTGCAAGGCAGCACTTCCACTCATCTTTGAATCCAACACCAAGGGACGATTCCAGAGGTAAATTGATATGTTTAAACCCTTGTTATTTCATCGTAGGTTTATTTACAAAAGTTAACATGATTTGGATCTTTCAATTCAGATTTCCCCCCCAGTGCTTCACCAACTGAGCTACAGGGTATTGCTTAATCCGTTCAAAGAATGTCACCATTTTAAAGCAATGACCCTGAAACCTGTTGCATCTAACAACAAAAGCAATTTATTGTGTGTTCTTACTGTTTGGAACAACAAAGAAAATGACACAGAATACTTGTTTCAACAACTGTAGTACACAATATGTTTATTATTAACAACCCTGGTTAGGTAAACAATAGGATTTATAAAATCAGGCCTTTAAAAGGACTTTGTTGAATATTTTTAACATTTCAACTGAGGTTTTATTGCTGGTGATGTTTAAAGACAATTGTGACGACAATTCTTGAAATAACGTTTTTGGACGAAAGAGGTCCAAAGATGCCCAAAGCCACAGTGCTTACAACCGAGCAATGTTGGAGATATTTGAAGAAGCACTCAAGATCACGCAAAGATTAAGTCACCATGTCAACCTAGTCAATTTTGTTTCGTAGAGTGGTGCATTTTAATATCTCAAAAATAAATTAGTTAAAAACAAAATCAGTGGACCCAATTTTCATTCTGATTCCCCGTGGAAAATTAGTAGTTCCTGAGAAATTTGGTGTGCATAAAACCTGTTAATGGTGTGGCATTTTATAATACAAATCTGGTTATAAAAGATTTTAAATGGAGCAAAATTTGTAGATATGTATTATTTTCATGCCATTTGTCCATAGGAACGTAACATACACCGTCAACAAATTGAACAAGGAGCATGTGATAGTCTATGCTGATGTGGTCGCGGTAGCGTTGGAGTTGTCAACAGAGAGATTGGAGCTCAAGCCTACCCCAGGACTGCCAGCTGAAGCAGGTAGGCACATTTTTCCCTTGTGATCTTGCCCAAATCTGCTAATTCTTTAAACAGTATTTCTTTCTTCGATCACTGATTGAAGTTTTCTTTACCTTGGGCGGTAACTGTCATGAATAAAATCCTTACCGTGTCATATTCGGCAGACTAAGTTGAGGTCTGTCAGTGGTTAAGTAGAGAAGATGTGTGCATTTGTAAGCTGTTTCGCTAGAATTTAGCTTGTGGCGTTTTCTACAAGTTCTTAGAAATTACTCATAAGATGGAAATTGCATTGGAGGGGGTGTAAATCAATGTGAGGTTTTGCTTTTATTACATTGTCATTTTGTTTTTAGAAATTACTGAGCATGCAGTGTCAGTGGGCAAAATTCACTATTGAGAGTGTACATCCTCCTGACATAAACATTCCATTGAAAGCAGGGATGTGGTCAAGTCCATCACAAGTCCCTGCAAGTCCATCACAAGTCTATCAGTCTCAAGTAAAAGTCACTAGCTATTCAGATGAACTGTTATAACAGCATTCCTTTGTTATTGTTCATATCCCTGTTACTTGTGACTGGATTTGTGAATGGACATACGATTTGTGATTTACTTGTGACTTGACTTGTGATGGACTCAACTACATCCCTGATTGAAAGTCATTGATTTAGGGCTGTCTGCTTTGTTGGATTTGCACTGGCCAGCCGACCAGAGTTACATCAATTTCAAGTTAAAGATGTCTGCACCAGTGTGTGGGTTGTGGGCTTGAGTCCCATCCAAGTAATTTTTCCTCACATGCTACCAGAAAGTTCTGAGCATAATTTGTAGCAGTGACGACAGCTAATACTAAGATGCAGTGTTGCAGTCAAGTCCACCAGTCCTCCAGTCTCAAGCTATTCAAATAAACTTTGACAAAGGCATTCTTTTGTTATTGTTGATCCCTTGCACTTGTCACTGGACTTGTGTGAAGACTTATGATTTACTTCTGACCAGACTTGTGATGGACTTGAGATGGACTTAACTACAACACTGCTAAGATGTCATCATTACATCATCATTTGTTCCCACACAGGTTTGAGAGACATCATCACCTTACGTAACTCCCGTAACTACCCGGCCGAGTTCACATGGCAACCCATCCTGGGTGAGAGGGGTACTGCCTTCTCCATCAGACCTGCATCCGGTATGTCAAAATCCTAGTAATCATATAAATGATCAACTGTCTTCTTGTTGAACAAAAAGTAAAAACATTACCTGTGTTCTGTTGTAATGCTTTCAGATATATACACTACAGTAATATACCGGTACACTACACAGACAATTGGTCTCTCATGTGGGGAGTGTGGCCTAATTTTTAGGGATGTGACTCATGATCGGAGGGTCAGGGGTACGAATCCAGCTGCTGGCCATTTGTTGTGTCCTTGGGCAAGCCACTTCACCCCCACTTGCCTCTCTCCACAATCAGAGGGTCGGGGGTTAGAGTCCAGCTGCTGGTCATATGTTGTGTCTTTGGGCAAGCCATTTCAGCCGCACTTGCCTCTCTCCACCAATAGAGAGTATAGATGGGTACCTGGGGGGTATAGAAATATTCTCAGTCATTTCATGCTACTGAAACCGGAGATAAACGCCGGCCTAATGGGCCACATTGGCTTGTGACAGACGGGCTTGTGACTTTCTTTTTACAGTTGGCCTCCACTTCCAGTTTTCTTTGAGTATATAATCCACTTAACCTTTGAAATTCCCTAGTGTGTGATCTGGAGATGAGAAACACACTCAATTTTTTTTCACTAGTTACTAGAAAATTGCGATATATCGACTCCGTGCACAAACAGTAGAGGGTGCTTTGTGACCACTTCCGAGAGCTCCAGTGGGAGTGACACACTGCTTACGTATACTGATTCATCAGCTATTACATGAAGTACACGCAATTACTTAAATTCCATATGCGCACAAACCCATAGCGTTTTCGCCTGAGCACCATCGGCAATGCATTTAAATTTCCCTCCCAGTGATCTCTCCCAACTCGCTCTTTTTGTAAGGGGAGTATGTGAATTAAACAGGCAGCAAATCATTTTTTACCCTCACCTTTTACGAGGTAATTTTACATTCTTCCCTGATTGTTGAGGGGTTATTGTACACAGAGTCCATATCATGGAGTTCTGTCGGCAGTAATTGATACTTGTCGTCATTCTTACAGGCACTGTGGACCCTCTGAAGGATTTAGAATGTGAGGTCGTCTTCCATCCGTCCTACCATGCACCAGAAGATGGAGAGTTTGCTCTGAAGGTGCACGGTGGGGACACGCTCAAACTCAAATGCTTCGCTGATGTAAGTTCAAAATGATTTTAAACTCAAATTTGGCTTCTTTTTTTTAAGTACAGCCCTGGTTCTTCTAGGGGGCAGTGAAGATGATCGCCCCATTCCATATGTGGAGTGCCGTGGCCTTGTGGTCTTGAGCATTGAATTTGTGGTCTGCGGGTAATTCTGCAGGTTGTGGGTTCGAGTCCAGCCTGTGGTTGTGGTGCGTGTGCCCTTGGGCAAGGCACCTTGTCACTCATTGCTTCTCTCCACCCAGGAGTAAATGGGTGCCTGTGAGGACAGAGATGGTTATTGTGATTGATTTTAGCTGCTTTGCGCTGAAATGACAGCATCAAGCTTAATACTCCCCAGGGAGGTGAGATTGTCTTTGGAATGTTTCATTGGCCCAAGTGAGCAGGGGTAATAATAATGTAGCGCCTTGAGCACCAGTACTGTTGAATATGTGGGCTTACTAAATTATTACGCATTATTCCAGAAAATAATCTGGGCAGATTTATGTGCTTAGCATAAAGCAGCTGCGAAACCAGTTACAAGTAGTTTATATGAATAGCATGACATGTTGACTGGTAATCTTTTTTTGCTAAACCCATTTTTTTCTGATAAGGAAGTCCCTGTGTTTGGCCATTTGTCTGTGCTCTTTGAATTGTACACAAGTTGCTCTTTCCATTTAAAACTTTAAAAAGTTAATAGGTGAATGAATTGCTTGGACATTTTTTTATCAGTGTATAGAGGGTCTTGTTTAAAAAAATGATTACCAGATTTGAAGGGCAAATAACATTCCATGCAAAAGTTGGAAGCAAATTTGTAAAACTGACTTTTGTGCATCACAGCTCGGTTCTACACAAGTGATGTTCATGGAAAGACGAGTGTTGTTTGGTCAGGTCCCTCTTCATCTGACTACCTCCAGGTCTGCTGTGCTGCAAAACACAAGCCAGAACCACGCTTACTTCCAGGTACCACACCATTTTCTTCTGGTTACTTGTTTAACAAGTTACTTATTTTACCATTTGAATTAGAAAATTGTTAAATTTGTGTAGAGGCTTTTGTTACGTCATTTTCAGAGTTGCAATCAGGTCATCATAAGTCAATCACAAGTCCATCATCAGCCATTCAGTTTCAAATCAGGTGTCAAACTATTCAAGTGAACTAAGATATCGGCATTCCTTTGACACTGTGTTACTTGTGACTAGACTTACGACTTGACTCGGGATTGACTTGTGACTGACTTGTGACTGAATTTTGATTGACTAGTAATTGACCTGTAATTGACTTGTGATTGACTTGTGATGACTTCCAATTGACTTTGACTGACTTCTGATTGACTTGAGATTGACTTGTGATTGACTTGTGATTTATTGTGTTGACTTCTGATTGACTTGTGATTGACATGTGATTGACTCATGATTGACTTGTGATATTACTTATGATATGACTTGTGATCAACCTCTAATTGACTTCTGATTGACTAATGATTTACTTATGATTGGCTTATGATAAACTTAGGATTGACTTATCATTGACTCATATTCGACTCGAGATTGACCTGTGTCCAGACTTGTACTTGACTTGTGAATGCTTCAGATTGCCCTTGTGATTACCTTGTGATTTGACTTGTGATTGATTTGTGACTGACTCAGTTCCGATTCTGGCTTTGATCCCAGGTCGTGGATCCCAGCCCGGTACCCGGCCTCACCGTCACACCAGTCCAAGGCGTGGTTCCCGTGGGCGGTACCACTGAGCTAGGCATCTACTTCACCCCTGGAGCTGTCATGAAGTTTGACACCAGGCTAGAGGTGGCTATCAGAGGCTGGAAGACTATTGAGCTGAGGATGGGGGGCACCGTGGAACCTCCCATGGTGGATATCGATGTGGTAAGACCATAGAGCTATATTAAATTACTAGAGCGCTAACTCCTCATTCTGTGCGCGGAGATGCTTTGAAGCCATCCTGGGCGCAGACATTTTGAATTCATGTGCGTGTTTGAAGAACATAAGGAATTAGATGGATTGAATTTTGAAAGTGTACTCTACATGCAACGCGCAAGTAGAACATACGCAAACAACTTAAGCGCGTCATTGACGGTTTAAAAAAACGTGAGGTGATGGCAAAAAGCATCTTCAGCAAATTCGCGCATGCGTTGCGCTGTTTGTGTAGAGCAAAATGACATGCTCAATTGCTGATCGTGCGTTTCAGTTTTGGGCGTATCGGCTTCGATGACGCACCAGTATGGAATACAAACGCAGATATGCAAATAGCCGTACAAAAGCCGTACAAAAGTTCTAGGTCTCCATAGGTTTGTGCACAAACATGGATGCGCCCAGCTGGCATTACTTTGTTCAAGAAGTTAGCGCTCTAGTAATTTAATATAGCTCTATGGGTAAGACTAACTTCTCCATTGAGTTGTACTGTCTTTAATGTTCCATAATTTGTCTCAAGTGCTTTGAATTATGATTACGTACAGTTTCAGATATTAGAAATTCTTCAATTTTCCATCTTTCCATTCAGCCCACCTTCCAACTTGGCGGTGTCTACTGTGCCTCTAATCTGACCGTCCCATTCAAACTGATCAACAAAGCCAGGACGAGAGCCAAGGTGGTCTTTGACTTGTCACGTTTCCGTGATTTCTCGCTCAAGTTTGACGCCGATGTCATGGAAGGTAAATCACGAAGCTTTCCTTCTGCTTAACTTATATCCTTACTTATTTAAAGCCTAAAGTACCATTTGCAGTACAAAATCAAAAATACTGAGAAATCAAAAATACTGAGAAATAAAAAATACTGAGAAATAAAAAATGTTGAGTAAAGATGGGATTAGAATGTAAAACCTTACAAAATTAATTTCACCTGACTTGTCATTTTGAAGAGACTTTAATTCTATTGACAATTGGGATAATGTATTAAAACTAAATTTCAATATTGTGATTTTGTCTTTCTCCAACATACTTTTTTTTGCATCAATGTAGGGAAAAAGCTAATTTTGAAATTTATATCTCATCCCAAAAGTAATCTGTCGTACAAAATATATTAAAACTGTAAATGAAATATTTGGTCAAGTTAGCATCAGATTTAGCACCAGATTTAGCACCAGATTTAGCACCAGACTCTTCTGCCAGCTTATTAATGTTAAGTCTGCTACGTTTGCAATTAACAAAATCAGAGTAACAGTCCAATATCAATTGATTTTTGTGGTGTAACGTTTAGAATCTGAAGACACAATGAACCCAGGCGTTTACAAGGTCACCGTGGGCGGCATGCAGACCATCAAATGCCAGCTCAACTTCCAACCCACCGAGGTCGCGTCCTACGACTTCATCATGCCGGTCTCCATCAACCAAACCGAGGCCCCTACCCCGGAGTCCACCCCCTTCCCACCCACCCCGGCCCCCTCCACAAAGAGCATCAACCACATCATCACCCCACGGCCTGTCTTGGTTACTGTAGCGACCCCGCGTCGTCGCATCGTTGCTACGGCGCTGCGTCAACCCCTACAGCTCTCACATTCCAATTTAGACTTCTCCTTACCGTCTGGTTACCTAGACTTTGGCGTGGCCGGCTCCCCGTCCCAGACCCAAGGAACGCTCCTGGTCAACAACAGCAGCAAGAGTTTGAAGTGGAGCCTGGATCTGAGCAGCTGTGGGAAGGCCATGGAGGAAGGCATCTTCCGCTTCCTGATGCCTAACGGGATGCCGTTCCTGTCCTTCAAGGAAGGAGGAGGAACTGTCAAGGACACCTTAGCACCAGGGGAGACCTACCCACTGGGTGTCATGTTCTGTCCAGGTAAGAAGTAATGCAATAGCTATTTTAACAGTTCGCTACGGATGACGTGTATACCCGCAAAGGTTTTGCGGTATTCGGAACGGATGACGGATAAACACGCAGGGATCTAGGCCAGAAATATCTACCAGCGACCCGCTCGCAGCAAGCAAGGCCGGAAATATGAGTGTGCTGCCCGAGGGTGATGGCTTCAACCCACCTGGCATGAGGTCGAGTGAAAAGTAATCCCGAGCCTCGTTCCGTTCTTGTCAAAATAATCCCGGCGTGAACTAGTTAAAGGCACATAAGATCATTTGCTTTTTAAAAATTTTGTTCGTTTTTCAATCATTACACCACTCCAAAATCCCAAAGAGGAATGTTAAAAGCCTAACCTGTTGAAGTTTCAGCTCAGTGGATATTATACTTTTCGAAGAACCATTTTGAAAAACCATGCAAAAACCTTTTGATTACGAAACACGATTTTGTCTATAGCACTCTTTATTTCCAAAAATCAATCTATTGACTAATTCTTGGAAATCACCTACATTTCTTGATTTCTTCTAAATGACAGCAAGTCAGACGAAAAAAAATTTCACATGGTGTTTAGCATCAGTTCCATTTTTAATCCCAGTAAGCTTTTTGATAATAATTTGGTAGGTTACTTTTGGGAGAAATGCAAATGATCCTATATGCCATTAACCAGTTCACATCAGATGACGTGTATACACGCAAAGGTTTTGCGGTATTCGGAACGGATGACGGATAAACACGAGCGAGGCCGGAAATATCTGTCAGTGACCCGCTCACAGCGAGCGAGGCTGGAAATATCAGGGTGTGCTACCCGCAGATGACGGCCTGAAACCGTCTGGCATCGAGGCTCCTGAAAAAAATCCCGTGCCTGGGTCCGGTCACTGTCAAACTAATCCCGGCGCGAACTAGGCAATGTGTGACTGCACCCCCGTTATGGATGGTGTCAAAATTCCCCCAAACCGTCATGTATAACAATAAGGGTTTGCTGTCCTAAATGTTTATCTACAGTACAAAATATCAAATAAGTTGTATTTCTTTTTTATTCTACCTAGATGAGCCGGGAGAATTTCACGCCAAAGTTCCCATCATCCTCAACCATGATGAGTCTCGACCTTACCTCCATATCCACCTCTATGGAGTCCTCAAGTCACCCCAGTTGACCTTTGACCCGCTGGCCATTGTGTTGACCCCGGTTCCCTTGGCAACTAAAGTGTCAGCTGACTTTACCATCCAGGCCGCTGGCTTTAGAAAGTAAGTTTGTTCTGAACATTTATTTAGAATTTCTTTAAAAAGGCAACACAGCAAGTATAATACAGTGGAATGCCGCTTTAATGAACATCGCAGGATCCACAGAAATTGTTTGTAACAGCGATCGTTCGGTATAGCGATTTTAAGCTGCTGGTGCTCCGGTACTCACTTTTCAATAAATATCGCCCTTCAGAACTTCACCCTGCACGCCCTGGTAGTTACTGAAAGATGACTTTGAACACGTGCCGACTATTGAATTATGTAATTACACAGTTTTTGAGCTTACTAACTACAGCAATGGATGGCTTGCCCCTTTTATTCCTTGGTGAAATAATCGCAACTCTGTGGCTTTTTCAATGAAAATGTTCAGTATGTTTTGTACACGACAATCGGGAGCCAAGGACAATGTTCAGTATAGCCGAATGTTCGGTATAGCGGTGTTCGGTATAGCCACGTTCCACTGTAGTATATTCTCAGTGAGTGGCAGATTTGTCATTCAGTCAATTACAACTCAGTCACAGCTCAATATGCAAAAGTTGATTACCTATCAATAAATAAGTCATTCACAAGTAAGTCACATATCAAAGCACAAGTCAGGTCATACATAACAGCGGACGCACATTGACAAATAAATCCTTATGTCACTGTTCATAGGAATAGCTTGTGTAAAGCCCGAGTTCTTTTGCAAATACAGGGGGAGTCAGAATGATCTGGACCCAAATTAAAGAAAATATTAAAAATATGAAGCAATTTTTAAAATAAGTGCAAATGAGATATGTTATAGGCTGGTATCTTGAACATATTTGGTGAGAGTTTCATGTATATCCATTGTACCTTTTTGAAGAAAAGCGCTAGCAAAGAACACACGTTAAAAAACACTCTGACTACGGTTCCATGGTTCAACAGATTTATTGAAATTACGTACTGATGTGAAGCAGTGTAATAACAAATAAACACCTAGTCATGGTGACTGACTCACTTGAAGTTATTGACACATGAAAAAGGCAAAACCAATTCCATGTGCAGACTGGAAAATGAGCCACTTCAATGAAAATGGCATAACTCCTCACCACAGTCACTGATTTAAAAAATTCAAAATTCCTGTGGAAGACAAGGTAATAACCATTCATATGAAACACTCAGTTTTTTCCTCAATGTACTCTATTTGCCACAAAAAGTAATGGTGAACTTGGGTCTAGATCATTCTGACTCACCCTGTATTTGTACGTTTCTTTTAATATTTGTGTCAGCTGTGTATCCAAAACACTCATGTTCTTACTCATTCGAAGTACTCAGTGAGCACAAATTTGGTGCCTTAGGCTTGATTCCTGCAGTAAAACTATATCAGTTAAGTTGAGGACCTTGAAAAAGACTAGAATGCTTGCCCACATCTCAGGCAAATGGTGACCATTCAGTTTTCTCCTGTTTGTTAAAAAGCAATGTTTGAAACCATTTTTTAATACCAGAAATTGTTTCACGTACTCAGTGAGTGCAAATTTGGTGCCTTCCTGCAGTAAAACCTTATAATAATAGTTTAATTGAGGACCTTGAAAAAAGACTAGAATGCTTGCCCACATCTCAGGCAAATGGTGACCATTTTATAATTTTCTCTAGTTTGTTAAAAAGCAATGTTTGAAATCAATTTTAATACCAGAAATTTTTGTACCTACTCAGGGAGACCGTGATTGATGTTGAGCTTCCAGACGTTGAGCTAGACGACGGCAGCAAGATGTCTGTTCTCAGCGTGACCTTCCCCGATGACCAGACTATCCAGCCTTGCTGTGGGGATGAAGGAGACGAGGAACCGTTCATCTTGAAGTGTAAAGTCACATTCTGCTCGCCTAGACCCGTGTCCTTCACACAGCCGGTCAAGTTTGTGGATACTCAGGGAAACAGGTGGGTAGGAAGTAAAATCTGTCATGAGCCAATGTGGTCAATCAGGCTGGTGTTTATCTCCATTTTCAGTGGCATGAAATGACTGAGAATATTTCTGTTTTCCTCTGGATGGGATGCCAGTCAAAAGGTTACTGCTCAGCTAATGCCAGTACCCATTTATATTCCTGAGTGGAGAGTGAAAGTTGGGATAAAGTGGCTTGCCCAAGGACACTACACATAGCCAGCAGCTGGATTCGAAACGCCTGCCCTTTTGATCATAAGTCACGATCCGTAACCGCTAGGCCATACTCTGTTGACTTAAGCCTGAAGGACTTGTAAGGACTTGTGAGGACACTGCTACAACACTGCTCAGTTGGAGAGACACACCACGTACACATACTGGTTTGCGCGAAGTACGCATGACTTATCCTGAATGTGCACAAAGTCATAGCGTCTTTGTGTGAGCATCATGCGTCGTCGGCAGTGCATACAAATGTCTCTCCTTGTGGTCTCCTCCAACTCTCCCTTTCTTACCATTGAGGGGTACGTGTGCATGGAGCTTATAACAGAGCTGCAAAGTGACAAGTAATGCCTCTGTTACAATTCGTTTGAGCTTTTCACCTGACACTGAAACTAGATGTCTTGGGACTGACTTTGGTAATGTTTTGTAAAAATTTAATTACAGCTCTGGTTTTAAAGTCTTCAAAAGGCTTGCACATCACTTGTAGTCTTACCAGATTATTTTATAACTTAATAAGTATCAATGATTTGCAAAACTTCTTTTCTTTTTCCACAGTTTCTCCATCCCAGTCACGGCCACCGCCGATAACTGCCTCCTGACAGCCTATCCCTTCGTAGCCCAGCACCGCACCGACTTCCAGATCGTCACCGAGCAGGGACAGACCCTGCGAGGGCGGCGTTCATCGGCCAACTCTAAAGAGAGTCTGGGGAACGTCGGGGAAGCGGTCATGATCCCCGTGGAGTCACCGAGTAGACCATCTACTCAGAGAAGCTCGGCTAGTACCAGCTCACGGTTTGGTGCAACCACCTCGACCTACGAGGAATCTACTGACAGCATCACAGGTTAGTTTAAGATGTCTATGGGCTCTGTGCGTGAACAAGAGTGGGCACTTTTTACCACTTTAGAGAGCCCAGTGGTTGGGACACACGCGTCTGTGTTCTGGTTTGCGCATGAATAGCACGAAGTACGCCGACTTATTATATACAGAATGTGCACAAAGCCAAAGCATTGTTGCGTGAGCGTCAGGCCCCATCGGCAATACATACAAATGTCTCTTCCAGTGGACTTTTCCCAACTCTCCCTCTTTTGCCGTTAAGGGGGTGGATACTTGTGCAGGGAGCCTTCACGATAAGATCCAGACCCAATTTCATAGCTCTGCTTAACAGTCAATTTTCTGCTAACAGAACCTCCATCTATTTCATAGAGACTGTTAAGCAGTAAGCACAGCAAAAACATGCGTAACCACAGAGGAAAAATTTGCTAAATCAGTGACGTAGCAATAGAAATCTCCATGCGCGCACAACCGTTTGCACATCCACGCCATGAAATTGTGCTTGAGCGGTAGCTTTACTTTATGCTACAGTAAGCACAACTTTCCTGCTATTAAGCAGTGTTATGAAATTGGGCACTGAAGGTTTGCATGGTAAATTCGGCATTTAGAGTATGTTTACCATTGCACTATGTGACAAGCATTCATTTTTGTGAGTTTGTGTGGTTCTGAACAGAACTGGTGGAAACTCACAACAGAGACTTCCTTCCACAGAACTTATTTTGTTGTCTAAAGAAGCTCCAAAACTGGTTTTAATGGTTGTATCTGTGAAGATTGGACTAATGTGAATTTTTGCCAAATATGTATGGAATTTGATCCTTGAGTTTGTTCAACTGTTGTGTTTGATCAAACACGCATTCAAACACTAGGCTGGTTTGATACTACATACAAAACTTATAGTGAAAGGAATTTGAAGCCAATAGAGAATGACATACTTTTTAATCTTGATAAAAATGAAATTTTCACACATATACATGTATGTATCTGGAGTTGAAAGTTATTGTTACTTAATAACTGCAAATGTATATTTCTGAAATTTTAACTTGTATCCTTTAAATAATTTTGGCCAAAAAACCCATACAAACCTTTGTGGCTGTTTCAAAACTACATATAAATGTGAAAGATGCATGCGGGGCCAAAAGGGATTTCAAACTTAAATCTTAATAAATATGAGAATGTCGTACATATATCTGGAACTGAAGTTATTGCTACTTAGTAAACTGGATCGCAATTTTATAGTCAAGTACTCAGAATAGGTATGTATCTATGGATGTTTTATTTTTTAAATTTCAATTTAAATAGACCTTTTTTTAACAGTTACATGTCATGATTGTGTGTACTTGAGATTCCAAATTACATTCTGAGTAAGCAACTGTCTTCTGTCACCTACAGAGTCTACCTACCGTAGCACTCCCCGGGACGGAGCCGTCAACCGTGCCGTTGCCGACCGTTCCATCATCGACCCAGAGAGCCGGCTTGGTCTAGCCTCCCGCTCCCTGGGCTCCGCAGCCTTCCCTAACGAGGACACAGAGGAAGGAGTGTTCCATCAGGAGGTCCTGATGGCCATACAGAGATGGATCACGCTGCATGGATGGTCTGGGGGTCCCTACCCGGTCTCCGTACCTGAAGGACTGAGAAGGTAGGGTACGGGTTGATGCAGCTAAGCAAGAGATATCGCTCAGCTTATTCATGTGCTAAGAATTAGAATGTGTAATTATTGTATCAGATTAGGTCTGTCTTTCAGATCAACAGCTTGGTGGACTTCATGAAGTAGTCTAGTATCATTGACCTGCTAATCGGAAAACCAAACAATTGGAAACTAGTTAGTTACCCTAGATAACTTCATAACAAATATCTATCTGAAATTCCTTACAATTATTATAACGCCTTTTCTAAACAGTCGCGTAGATGTCAAAATCTGGCTTTTCTGCTTTTTTTGTTAACTTAAGTCTTTTTCCTCACTCTCATTACCATTTTTAACACTAAGAACAGAAATATGTACCTGATTTGTTGTGTGTTTTTTCAAATAGTCATGCTAAGATACAGTGGGAGTCAAAATGAAAGTGACCGGGTTACGATATTTAATAGATATGTGGCTTGCTCCATTTAAAAACAAATACATAGGAACAAAGTACATGTCTTTGAATAGTAACTGTGAACATTTCACGTAACTTGCAAACTCTGTTCTTAAAAATATACTACAAAATTCAGCTGTCCACCACTGATCATTTACCAATACGCATTGTTGAATACCCTTTAAATACAATGAAGGAAAACTTGCAACTGAAAACAGACAAATCTCACCATTCTAATTTCAAGAAAAAGATTTGATTTATTCCTCACTTACAAAACACAAAATCTGACAGTAAAGAAAAAGTATCAGTCTTGACTCAATTAAATCTCAATTGCATTTGAATGCCTGTGTGTTATCTCTGGTTCTCACTTGGCTCAATAGCTTCAAAGCATTTTGCATTCCATGGACAGCTGTAAAAATGTTTCTTTTTTAGTAAAACATCCATAACTTCTGATAGCATGGGTCATTTTCAGTAATTTTTTTTCAGATGAGTGGAAGAGCATGCTCATTTAATACAAGCTTCATTGATGTAACAAACATTATTGCTTAACATTATCCCCGTTATTTTCCTTTTTACTCACACTGTAGACTATAATCCCCCAAATTGTGTGTTTTTCATTCCTGCAGTGGAGTCGCCAAGAACTCTGCTCCTGAGCAAGCCCGCGACAAGGCCTCCCAGGGAAGCCCTGCCACCAACAACTCCAAGACCAGTCGCAGCAAGACCATCTATGACCTAATGGCTCATATGAGTGGTCGTCTGGTACCTGGAATCCCCATCAACCAAGCCCTGCCTGCTGATCCTACCGAGAGGGTCCTGCAGCTGCACTGGCAACACTCTACTTTGCTGACTTTCTTGAGGTATCAGAAAGGCTTCCTTAAAAAAAATATCATCAAATTAATCCAAAATATTGAGGAAAGTCACAGATATTTGTTTGGAGTTGAATGAAAGAAAACAGAAGATTCTTTGTAAGATAATTATGTTAAAAAAAGACAAATATAGCCTTTGGGAGCACCCAAGAAATATAATTCAAAATTACGAGGAAAACAATTTGTATGTAAGAAAGAGGGTATTGTTCTAAAATGTTAAACTCACAAGGAGACAATCATCTTCCAATGTTTATCAACGAAAAATGGGGGAAAAAATAGCAAAAAATGTTTCTTCGGCATTCTTAATTGGCAACATTATTATCTAAAAACACCTTAAGCTAGATTAACGGATCCAATGCTGTGCGACTGCGTATAAACAGAAACATAGCATATTTTACAAAGACGGTCAGAGCATACTGACCGGAACGTCGAGTTTATACCTCTGGTTCTTTTCAGAACCATTCTCTTAGTTGAGAAATTATTCGCACATGGTGTTTCCGCAAACCTTTCATTATTCATTATATATTTTACAAGTGCAGTAAAATTCAGCAGAGCTCTGGTTGCAATCACTTTTACCTGTTACTTGTTTTGCATTTACCAAACATTGCTGAACTAAGTGAACTTGTGTCATTGATATATTTCTATAAAACTAAACAGAAAATATAGAAAATTTTCACCTGCTTCTTAAAGCTACAGTCCATCATTTGTAATTTGTGCATTTTGTTCGTTTGAAGCAACAAAAGAGTTCAAAATCTAATGAAGGATACTGAGCAACTAACCTGATGAAGTTTCAGGTAAGCTTCAGCTGTACATTCCAAGAAAAACAGCATTCTAAGATCTCAATTTCAAATCAAAAGTTACTGAATCATGTTTTGAATTGTTTTGAATTGCAGTTATACGCGACGTCGCGCACTGATCTGACGAATTATAACAACCGCGCGCGCGTGTGCATCGTGCCAATGCTTGCGGGCTTCGCTGAATAACAAAACGAACTACTAATTTAAATTTTCCTACGGTGCTTCTTAAGAATCACCGTTGGAAATGCCTTCTTTCGTTGATTACTTCAAAATGACAGCTTCCCAGAAAGAAAAATTTCACAGGGAGTTTAGTTCCCTTCCTATCTTTCAACCAAGTTTGTTTTTCAACAATAATTACGCCAGTTACTTTTCGGATGGCTGCAAATGATGGACTATAGCTTTAAAATTCAAATGAGCTCCGGTCTCAAAAAGTGTTGGCCTATCCTGTTCGTAGGGTACTGCAATACACGTTCACGCACTACTGATTACTAGCGCCTATTGGCTATAAACACGCAGCTTTGTACTACGTCCGATTCCAATGCTATGCAGTAGGCAGTGGGTGTGGTTTAAGTTGAAATGATATCACACTTGCGAACCGGATATCACCTTGACTGTTGCTCTAACAGATTGTTTGCACCGCACCCATCTTTTTGAGGTGTGTACTTTTGTTCCACTGGGATACGCATGAGTGGACCACTTGTACGTTTCGTGCTTCTGACCTTAAATAACAAAAAACACCTCAATAGCGGCTGGTATACATTTTCCATTTTGTACATTTCCTTTTGTTTATTTCACATAAAGAGGACAGGAAAAAGGTGACTATCATTTTTCAAATTCCAAATTCTAGGAGCCAAGGTGCCTCTGTGGCCAACGTCAAGCCAGAGTACCTGTTTGAGCCTCAGGACTACCAACGCTGGGTCAAACTCCAGGAGCAGATACGAGACAGGAAGAAGGCCCAGCAACAGGGCAAGAGCACGGTGGCCATCCGCATCCAAGAAGCACCCCTGGACGAGATCCTGTTTGAGTCCGTCTCCAAGAGAGCTTGGACTGATCTACTGCTCCAGACACTGAAGGTAAGATGGGGTGGTGGTCTAAGAGGACTTAGAAGGCTGATAGGGGAGGATATCTACATCACGGAAGCATTCATAAACGATATCCTGTGATTCCAGTCTGCTTCCAAAAGACATTGACTGATTTACCAGTCAGACACTGAAAGTAACATGGGTTTAAGCTCCAGGGAATGTATATGAATTTATTTCTATTTTTGTTCCAATTAACCCTACTGCTGTCTGAAAAGCACTGTCACTTGTCAAATTCAGTCAACAGACAAAAGCAGGCAAGAAGTACCAGTATGGGCACAGCTGGCTTATCAATCAAGTACAGTTAAAGCATAGCTTTATCACGTTACACAAACAGTCACAGCCAGTCAATCCTGCTTTATGTAGGCTGGGTGCTCTTCACTGTTCAAAACAGTCACTTGATTGATTTTGACAGAAATGACAACTGTGCACAGGATTGCATAGGAGGGTTTTTCAACTTGTATGTTTTATTCCGACCAAAAAGCTTCCTTTTTCCTTTATTTGGACATCTGCAAACTTCTGAAGAAAAGGTTTTAGTTTTGGGCACACACAGATGTGCTTTGCGAGCAGACTGGTTCCTGGTCTGTACATTATTGATACAGATTGTAGGGCAGGAACCGGTTTACCCCGTGAGAACAGGAATTATTGTCTAGCAGCCAATAATTCAAAATTGTAAAAGTAATAATTCAAAAACTTAACATGGGCCTATTTTTTCTGTTGTAAACTCATTCCAAGGTGAATAACTTTCATATTGCGAGATAAAGAGCAATTTAGAGAAAAGAATCTATCTTCGGGATGATACATGTACTCGAAAATAGCATAGGGAGTGCATCTTTAACTTCATTTACGTGTATTTGACTGTCTTTACAGGCTTTGGTGCTAGCCCGCATCACACCGCGTCAATTCAAAGCTCTCTCATCAGGATCATCCAGCTTGCCAGCCATCAACCCAGACCCACTGTGTAGTAACATCTACAGCGTAGGAGAACGTATCTTACTGGCCTGGCTGAACCATCACTATGAACAGCAGAGACACAAGATATGGAAGGACTGCGATAAAGGTACTGTCAGTTGACCCTCGTGTTATTGAGTACATCACAAGTCCAGTCAAAAGTAAATCCCATGTCCATTCACAAGTGAATCACATGTCCAGTCAACAAGTCCAATCACAGTTAACTGGGGTTAAACAATGACAAAATAATGCCTTTGTCATTGGTCATTTGAATAACTTGACTTGACTTGACTTGGCACTGGATGACTTGTGATGACTTGTGATGACTTGTGATGACTTGTGATGGCTTGTGATGACTTGTGATGACTTGTGATGACTTGTGATGACTTGTGATGACTTGTGATGACTTGTATTTGACTTGTGATGACTTGTGATGACTTGTGATGACTTGTGATGACTTGTGATGACTTGTGATGACTTTGATGACTTGTGATGACTTGTGATGACTTGTGATGACTTGTGATGACTTTGATGACTTGTGATGACTTGTGATGACTTGTGATGACTTGTGATGACTTGTGATGACTTGTGATGGACTTGTGATGGACTCGACTACAACACTGGTCTCCCGTAAGTTTCTGGGAATTGGAGAACCTTTCTGAATTCAACAAACTCCCGTAGTGCGTGGTATTAACCTCATGGCACATCTGGTTTAATTTGAAAGGCTTGGACTATATTTCAATAATATTGTAAAGTGACAATATATTTTTACACCGAACAATACCGAATGCTGTTGTCAAAATACCAAAATACCAACAACCTCGGTACAAAAGTTCGTCTACGATTTTCCCTCTTAAATGTGGCCAGATGTGTGCAAAAGCCCTTAAACAAAAAGGTGACAGAAACAACTTGGGGAAAGAGTTCCATACTGGGCCACCACTCATATTTCTTAATATAACCTGAAAGGTACCAAAAGTTGTAAATCTGATGAGGAAACACTATTTAATGAGTGCAAAGATTCTTTTATATACTTGAACTTTTTCTGTCATGGCCCATAGACTTTGTGCAGGAGGTCTGAGTGGTGGCCAAGTATGGAACTCTTTCCCAACTTGGCCAGATCTTTCCTCGCCTTCCACCGCTGTGACCCGGGTTCGATTGTTGCCTGGGCCAACATGTGGATTGGGTTTTCAGTCCCTAATTGATTCCGTAGGTTTCTCGCTGAATATTCTTCTTTGCTTTTTCCTCCCACATCTAAAACTGTAATTTCTTCACATTGTCTTCTCTTTACTGGGCCCCCATGGGAGACCAGTGGATTCCACTAAATGGGCTACCCAGTTAAAATAAGAATGAAATAAATAAATAACATGATTGTAGATGTTTGTGATCGATAATAAAAAAGTTATAATGTGAATGATGATGTTCCTTATTTTCTACTTGTCAGAGTCGGCATATTTTTTTGAAGCTCCAAGAGGTAACATGTGATACCTTTTTTCGCTAGCTATCGCTGAGCTAATGCAAAATATGCAATGCTGGTATATGGAATCACTGTACATGCTTCACGCTAAATCAAATTTCATATCATTATGGACATTATTGATTTTTCATTACAATTTTTTTTGCTGAAACTGCACCTACTGCTTTGATGCTATAACTTGCTTTTTTTGTTTGTACAGGTGTGTGAAAACTGTGATTATATTCAGCTGAAATTAAATTTGAGTTTTCAGTTTGAATATTTGGATTGTGCCTTTGATTATACAAGCTTGGCATTTGGCACACAGTCAGAGAATGTCATGAGAAAGATATTTGGCTATAGGGCCATCGCAGATTTGTCTTTTAAAAAAAAATAGGTAGAATAACAAGCAATTTTCAAAATTTTCAAAATGGCTGCCATTGCTTGTTATTCTACCTATATTTTTTCAAAGGACAAATCTGCGATGGCCCTGTAGCCAAATATAGGTAACACACTGAGTATACAGTGTTTATACATCGGTGAAGGGCAAAACCTATATTGATTTACATTAGCCCCGATGCAATTCCATCTTATGAATAATGTGTGATGTGCTTGACACTCCTACAAAACGAAAGTAAAGTCACCAATTAGCCATTGCTAGTAAATCCTTCAAAAGTTGCAGTCTTTTGTAAAACTCTGCTGTTTTTATATCAGTCAAACTTTATTTCAAAAACCCATGATCGACTGACTGACTCACATTTGTCAAACAACATTAGAAAACTTGCGTACTTGTGTCAGTGATAAAATCGTCAGAACTAGATTTTTGTAACTTTGCTCTAATTTTGCAAAAGCATGCTGCATATATTGTGTACCATAAGCTGTTTGTGCTTTTGTATTGGACTGTACAAGGAAATGGGTAAAGCTTAATGTGGCTAAGTCGTTGCCTCCAAAGCTAAAAGGTAGAATGGACCATTTTTCATTTGTGCCATTTTTTCCCTTTTGAATCACCAAAAATGCTCAAAATCTAAAGACGGGTGCTTAACAACTAACCCAATGAAGTTTGAGCTCTGTGAATGCTTTATGTGTCGAGAAAACACAATAAAATGGATCTCTATTTCAGTTCAAAAGTTGCTGAGTCGTATTTTGAATTGCCCCCTCTTGTGACACAATCCCAAAGTCAGCATTTGGGACTTGATTCTCATTCAGCTGATTTCAACTACGTGATGTCACACACTGAACCGACGAATAATAGCAGCTGAGAGCGCATTAGCGTCGTGTCAACGCTTGCACCCATTCACGGATTCACCCAATTACAAATCAACTACAAACGGCAATTTCAAAAAAATGTGTCACTACTTGACACATCTTTGGAGATAGCACTCTTTTATTTTTTTCTCTCAAAATGTCAGCATGCCAGAATGGATAATTTCACAGAGAGTTTAGTGTCATTACTATCTTTACACCAAGTAAGCTTTTTAACAATAATTTGGTCCATTCCTTTTTGCATATCTGCAAATGGTCTTTAAAGGGAAAATACAACATTTGCAAACATCAAAAAATAAAACTACCAAATCATTTTGAAATACCTTGCTGGACTGTTAGTGAATGACAGTGTAAAGCATCCTGTAAAATCATGGCACCTGGTATACTGTCATTTTCAAGAAAAGTGGTATTTTTGTATCAATTTCCAACGCTGATCGGCCGATCAGCGTTGGAAACAACTGGCTTTTTTTCAAATACTGGCCCCAATTGACCATCGCACTTGTTTGCAATCGATTACAAACCTATGAACGGGTACGAGCAAGCTAGACTGGTTCCCTGACCTTACAATTCCCCAATGTATGTAAACTGCTCTCTTTCTTCTTATATGGAGTCAGGGAGCCAGACTACAGGAAAATGATCGTTTTTCTTGGTTTTTATAGCATTTTCGAACCCAAAACCTCAAAAAAGTCAGTGTAACTATATTTGCTATATATTTCCAACCCCCCAATTCCATCCATTTCTGAAAATTACAGCAAAAGCAAATGATGTATATTCCCTTTAACAAAAATATCTTCATCATAATTGCACCAATGGAAATCATGCATGGCATTACATCTATCTGCTTTGCAAATGCAGTCATCATGCAGTTGTCAGTGCAATGGAGCTAAAGCTGCATGTACATGTCCTACATTTTGTGTTAACTGCTTTATGTAGTTTGAAGTATCGGTAGAGTGTCTTTTCATTCCATATTTTTCTTTTCTTTCCATCCAGGTGGGGTCCCACCCTCTCGATGGGTAGTCAACTTTGACTATGATCTCCTGGATGGCTTGGTGCTTGCTGCAGTGCTCGCAGCTCATGTACCATTCCTGGTGAGTTGATAAACTATTGGGCCATTACAAGCAAGACAATAGATTGATCCAGTAGGCTCAGCCCTCATATCTATGTTCCACACGGCAAGTTTCAGACACATCGAACAAGTCTACACACGTTGAAATTTTGTCCTGCTAACTACTGTGTCCGTAGCACTAGATATGTTGATTTGTATCGTCCAATGATATCCTTACAAATGACAATTTTTTGTTATTGTTTTTGCCTCAGATCAAGAGCCATCTGCAGAGCATGTACACACAGCCAGCAACTGCCGAACAATGCCTTCACAATGCCCTCCAAGTGGTCAATGCATTCAGATACATCGGGCTGGACTATGATATTCAGGTTAGTCACAAGAAATCCCTGGAATTTTATTTAAAATCCGTTGTGATGTGAGGAAGGAACAATATTATTTTAAGTGTGGATTGACATGAACATTTAAAGCTGAATCAGCCTAACTGATCTACATTTTTGTTATGAGTTCACATGTATTGAAATATTGCCCTATTAGCCAGGCAGTAGATGACTATTATCCTTCTGTAAGTTAACCATTTGCCTGTCCTCTGTTTTGCCTGGCCTTGGATATCTCTGATCTTAGCTTCATCTCCCTACTACTACTGCATATGCATCTGTTCTCACAGCCCTCTCAGCCAGTCGCTAGTTAAATATTTCCTTTCCATTATTCAACCATCTGACATTGTAGTTGACAGGCTATATAGATATGACTGATCCCAACCCCATCTCCTTGCTACTACTATATGTTCATCTATTGCCCTTACAGCCAGTCAATAGTTGCCTATTTCCCTTTTATTATTTTACCATCTGAGTTTGTATTTGACAGGCCATAGATATCAATGATCCAACCCCATCTCCCTGATACCACAATGTGTTCAACTATTGCCCTCAAAGCCAGTCAATAGTTAACTATTTTCTCCTATTATTTAACCATGTGACTCTGTATTTGAAAGGTTATGGATATCACTGATCCAACCCCATCCCCCTGTTCCTACTGTGTTCAACTATTTCCCTCAAAGCCAGTCAAAAGTTAACTATTTCCTTCTATAATAACCATTTGAATTTGTATTTGACAGGCTATAGATGTCACTGATCCCAACCCCATCTCCCTGCTACTACTGTGCGTTCATCTGTACCAACGCCTGCCCCAGTACACACCACGGACTACCGTTGAATTTGTAGGGTCGCTGCATGCCTGTGTGGCACGTCAGGTAAGTTTCCAATATTTTTTGATAAAGAATTTTTTTTACCAATAGTTTTGCCACTTTTAAAAATTCATTTCGTTTGCAATTCATGGCCTATTTCCTCACCATACTCAGTATATATACAGCTTGAAATCACTGTTCTCTTGATTTTCTTCACCACAGGTTCGCCTGACAAACCCCAGCACAAAACCCCTGATCTACCACGCAATGATTGCCGGCCGCGATGCCAGAGACTTCACCCTACCCAGGGGCAACACTGTCAGCATCGCCCCCAAGGGCAAGCACGACCTACCTGTGGAATTCACCAGTAGGTTCCTACGTCCTGCGGAGGGAGTACTGGTGCTTGTTGGAAGGAGGGCTGGTGCTGCTTGTGGTACCACCTTGGTCTTCAACCTGAGGACTTCAATTGATAACATCACGCCCTCTGTAAGTTGTAGTTGCTTCAGAATGATGATATTACTCTAAAAAGAGGACAACTTCAAGTTAGATACTTTGAATAATAGTAAAACTAAAAACTTATAGGTTGCCGCTATCTACAGAAGAAGCATGTGTTTAGATGTGATATGAAGAATGGTTGTGAAAGGTAATATACAACATTTGCAAACATCAAAAAACAAAACTTCCAAATTATTATGGAATAGTTTGACTGTAAGTGAATAATGGTCTCAAGCATCGTGTGAAATCATGGCACCTGGTGTGCTGTTATTTTCAAGATAAGTGGAATTATTGTATCAATTTCCAACAATGTTCGACTGACTTTTTTTCAAATACTGCGCCCCCCCCCCCCATTTACCAAATTTAGTCTACATTTTGTTTGCCGTTGGTTACACATCCGTGAACTGGTACAAGCCAGCTAATCTGATTCCCTGACCTGACAATTCAAAAACGTCTATAAATTGCTCCTTTTCAGCTGAAGTAGGGTCAGGAAATTAGAATACAAGAACAGCATTTGTGATGCAATCAAGCTAAAATGAGTCGTTTGTCGGGAACTTTCATTTGGAGATTCAGGCCAAAATAAGGCCACTTCATCACATCTCTTGGTGTTCCGACTTCCATAATTATTGAACTAAAAATAGTATCTGCATGCGGTTTTTACAGCAGTAATGCTGAGATTGTGCTCTTTTAAAATCCAGGGTCGACAAACGACTCATTTAGCTTGATCGCATCACATTTTTTGGGTTTTTTTGCAGCATCTATGAACACAAAACTTTAAACACGTCAGTGCAACTGTATTTTCCATAAATAGTGACCCCCAAATCCACCCATTCCTGAAAATTAAGGCAAAAGCAAATGTTGTATATTAAGCTTTTAAGTTATGTTAGTAGATTATTGGCAGATTGTTCCCAAAGTGACGGGCTGCAATAAAAAATTAACGTTGTCAAGACCCTTCAACCATGCAGAATGACAAACAAATGCAGATCATTATAAGTGTACAGTCAAATAAGACACTAACTTTATTTACTATTCATGACTTGTTTTGCTGCTACAGACAACAGTCAAATGCGAGTCCCCTTGCTACGAGCTACACAAGGTAGAGTTGGAGGTCACCAACCCATTCGACCAGGCAGGGGAGTTCCGTATCGTCCTGGTAGAAGCCAAGAGCCCCTTCCCTGGAACTGACGCTACCACTCAGAAGAATGGCCTGCTTAACCAGAAACAGGGCCCTCCTAAGAAGGTCCGATCCAAGACGGATCACGGACAGAAGAAAGAGAGGACTCCCAGCCCTCCGAAAGCTGACAATCAGAGCCCAAGGAGTGAGCTATTTGAACGTAAGTTCTTACTAGGAGTCATTCTCTTGAGATTTGCTTGTCTTAAAAAAAATTAAACAATATCTGTTTTTGGCAAGACTTTTATAAAAGCTCCAAAACTTTAGAAGAAATCATACTGTTCTGGTAGTAAATTTGTTGGAACATTCCAAAAAATTGTCGTGTCCGTGCACCAAGGTCGTATCTCCTAAAATGGCGTGTGACGACATGTACGTGAAACACGAGTTTCCAATGTCAAAAGGTTGTATCTCGCTTAAAATAACCAGATGTATACACAAAGTCAATGGACTTTGTGATACGTGAGATGTGACTTCGTTGCACGGAGCATGTTCACGCAAGATACGACTTTGTTGCAGAATCGAGTTACCACCTTGTTGCACTTACGCAATTAAATGTGACATTTTTTGTGTCCCTGTAACACCTTACCTGTTTAATTGCCAAGCAAGTATCATTAAAATTGACTTCAAACTATTGTTTATTCGTTTGGCAGGTACTTTGCCTTACATAATCACTCTTGGAGATAAAAGGCATTAAAGGATGTGTCCTAAATTTACAAAATCTTTTTTCAGAAATAACAGGGACACACACAACATTTTGCCTCAAATTGCCGAAATACATAAATGTTCACAGCTTAATCCTGTTCACAGCTTACTCCTTTTGAAATTGGCTTATATTTCTCCTGGATAAAAAGGTAGATAGAAAGAAAAACAGTCATATTAATTGAACTGAATCCTAGCCATTGTGAAGTTAGCCATACATCGCTTAAAAATATGCCGTTAAAAATCATTTGTGACATAATAGCAAGTGACGTCTTACGGCCAATCAATTTGCTGTATCCAAACCATGTGATAACAATCTGTCTCATTTCCACCAATCAGAGGACAGCAGTAACCAGCTGAGTGCCTTCCACTGCGCCCGTCAGTCCCTCCAGCTAGACAGCCACAGCTCGGCGGTCATCGCTATCGACTTCCTCCCATTCCACACCGGCAAGCGCCAGTGCTCTATTCTCTTCATCAATGAATCCATCGGGGAGTTCCTGTACTCCATCGAGGCTGTGGCTGGCCTGCCCATGCCGTCAGCACTGCCTTACATGCCTACTAAGCACAGCGTACGGATCAGCAGTGCTGCTGCAGCAGGTGGGTTGTATAAGGCCACATCCAAAGTATGGCTTGCAAATATACATGGGCCTATGGAAGCGGCTAAGTCAGCTTCCATAGACATTCGTGTTGTTGATGGCCATAGACAAGTAATTTGGACTTTTTAGGCTGATTTGCTATTGGGGCCAATTTTAGGGAGTTATGGGGGAAATAATGCTCAGCGTGTTTGTGTGCTCAATAAAAATTAGAAAAAGTACCTGTAAATAGCATTTTAAATCATGTGACAATCCTAGTACTTTGCCCCTTCAGAATGGGTACAGGTACCCAATTACAAGTACTTGGACCTTGGGGTACAACTTTGGTGATCCAAGTCGAGTACTTGGACCTCTGAGCACAAGTATGAGTGCGTGGACCTCTCTGAGTACAAGTACGAGTACTTGGACCGCCGAGTTCAAGTACAAGTACTTGGACCTCTGAGTACAAGTACGAGTACTTGGACCTCAGAGTACAAGTACTTGGACCTTTGAGTACGAGTACTTGGACCTCCAACTACAAGTACGAGTACTTGGACCTCAGAGTACAAGTACTTTATGGAGTACTCAAGTGAAAAGAATTAAAATCTCAAGTACTGAGTGGAATCTGAAACCACCAATTCAGCAACGTAGATGTTGTGGACTACAAATATTGATAATATCGAGCACGTGCATCTCCAAATGAGGAGATTTTTTTTTTCATTCAAAGCTAACTTCCTCAATTTTTCCCCGAGTCCTTATAATCGAGTGCAAGTATTTGGATGATGGAGTACAATATCGAATAGTTTAGTCAAAGTACTTTGCTTCTCAAGTATGAGTGCCAAGAATTCGAGTCTGAGTATTTTTATATTCGAGTACGAATACAAGTTTTCCTAATAAGTACTCAAGTTGTACTCGAGTATGAGTACCGAGTATGAGTACTACAATACTGTTGAGTACTTAGGGTGATTTCTCTCCCCAGGCAATGGCCGTGGTGTCTACGGCGGCGATGATCGCATCATCTACTGGCGTTGTGATAGCAACACTGTCCTCCACGAGGAGCTCACCATCCCTATCACTAACGCTGCCAGGGAGAAGGCCTTGGTGATTGCCGCTCAGCAGAGGATGACTGAGACAGAGATCAGACGTCGTCAGACTACTGGCACCCTGGCTAGCGGATCAGTGACGGCTGCTATTGCTGCGCTGGGATTGACTGATGAAACGGTTCTCACAGGTAGGTGGTCTTACATTGGGGGAGTTTCAAAACCGTAGTTTCATATGAGCTTGGCTATGGGATATATATTTTCTGCCCCAGGAACAAGTTTACAGAAACAGAAATAGGGAATGCTGATGACGTCAAAGACAAAAAGGGGTGATTTATGTGGACCTGGGAAAAAGAAATCACTTTTTGTCCTTAATCTGGTATCAGTGTTTCAGAGCCATTTGTAGAGTTTTGTTCTAATTTCAATTTCTGTGATAAATTGTTATAAGGAATATTTCCTGCGCATCTCAAGAGTTGAGCCCAGCTTTGAATTGACCAGACAAGTCCTGGTAAACATGGTGGTGGCAAGACATCTGCATTAGCAATCAGTATGTTTGGGGTTCGAGTCCCACCCAAGTAAACTTTTCAAGTAAATTTGAAAAATTCTCAATCACGGATTTTAGTAAAGCTCCAGATCCAAACATATATAAAAGTTAAACATGTTTGAAATGAATTCCAACTTTTAAATACAGTGGTGGTTACTTATACATCTCAAAATTGGCAATACAGTAGTGCATTTTTTTCGTAAACAGAGCCACATATTTTTCCTATCAATCAGGTAAAACCAGCGCCAACCCCAACTCCAAATCAGACAAACCAGACGGTTGTCGCTTCACAGTGGAGGTCAACTCGAAATACTTTGAGTCGCCATCGTCTGTCTTTGTCCCTTCACCTTTGACCCTGAAGCCCAAGTCAGCCGCAGAGATTGTCACCAACGGTCACATGGTGGACCGCTCTTCAGCCGGGCTGGTCGGAAATGCAGGTAGGAACATTTCAAACATCTTGTAAATATTAGGCATTCAGATCCAACTTTAAACATGGGTCAGTTTTTTGTCGCACGTTAAAATGCGCATATATGTGAAATCTGTTTTGGTTTCCATGTAGCTCAGTTTTCATTTTGAAAATTTCCCACGGATGGCATTTCAGAACCTTTCTTTTTTATCGGCTGAGAAGTTACTAAGTAATTTGTTAAGTTGGTGACAGGTACCCGATCCCATAATCTGGAACTGATTCCTGACATCAGCGGTCGGGTACTCAGTACCCGGTTCCGATGCACTCTTCTTAGGGAAGATATCTCAGTTTTTATGAGGGAGAGATAGCCCATTGGATAACAACCCCCCCCCCCTTCCCCTTCCCCCCCCCCAAAAAAATTAATTACTGAACAGAAAAATCCAAGCCACTCATAAAATAAAGGTGAATTTTAAGTTACCGTAAAAATCACCATTAATGCATGTGAAGTGCACCAGTGTACATTATGTACATAAGTATTCCTACACTTGCAATTTTTGAACAGGGGTAAAAATTGTGAAGCTCTCCCGACCTACCTTTAGTGGAAAGTGCTATATAAGCACCACTCAGTAATTTTATTTCATCAACAGGTGTTATTCTGGACGATGGTACGGTCCGGCTGCCGGTCAAATTCACTCCCAAGAGTGCCGGTCACTACCCATGCCGTGTGGTCCTACGATCATCCAATGACATCCGTGTCTATCTGATTGAGTGTACAGTCAATCCTGAAGGGACGGCAGCTCAGATTGAGTTCACTGCGCCGGTGCATCAGTCGGTGTCTCAGGAAATACCACTGGTACGCCCTCCTGTATATGGCATTTTTGTAGAGTTCTTTAACCCTTCCCCCCTCCCTCTTCACCCTGGCCCCGCCCACTTTATCCTTCAAAAGTATCCTTTTGGAGTTTGAAAAGAACAAGGTTATAACTATTACACTTGATCAAATATTTTTTGAATCTCTTCTGGACTTGTTTAGCACATATTGTTTTTTTGTTTTTTTTTAACTCTGGGTGCTGCTAAAAGTACTGAAATTTGATAAAGTGTTAATGTGAAAGAAAAGGTCTGCCTTGAAAAGTTGGTGTTTTCTGCATTCTTTAACTTCCTTCGGAAACTACTAACGGAAATTTCCAATGATCGTTGGAGAGGCCTTCATTCATTGATTTCTTCAAAGTGACAGCTTGCCAGAAAGGATAATTTCACAGGGAGTTTAGTCCCATTTCTATCTTTAAACCAAGTATGCTTTTCAACAATAATTACGTCAGTTACTGTTTGGATACCTGCAAATGATGGACTGTACCTTTAAGCCTCGCCCACTTTGCACATGGGCATCAACTTGTGCACATCATGCATAAAGTGCATGCACTATTGTCAGATATTTGGTTTCACAGCCATGGCTGTGATTGGTCAAAACTTCACGGGGGCGGGGCTTAAGGAGTGGTCTATTATGTAAATTACCCAATTTGCATTGGTAATTTTGTTTCAGGTGAATCAGACCAGCGTTGATTGGCCCCTGACTGCATCCATTGATGGCCAGGGATTCTACGGTCCTCCCTTCATCATGGCCAAGGCAATGCAGACTACACAGTATCCACTCATGTTCAGACCGGCCTTCGAGACCCTCGTCTCGGTAAGTCGTTCGATATAGACTGTTTGCACTGCTGCCATCTTTGAGGCGTGTGCTTTTTTTCTTCAAAGTGGATGCGCCTGAGTAGACCTCTTGTGCAGTCATTATTGATGAATTAACATAACAACACACACCTCCAAGATGACTGCTGAATGCAGTACAGTGGAACGTCACTATAACGAACATCGCGGGATCCACAGAAAATGTTCGTAATAGCGATTGTTCGGTATAGCGATTTTAAGCTGCCGGTGCTCCGGTACTCACTTTTCGATAAATGGCGCCCTTCAGAACTTCACCCTGCACGCCCTGGTAGTTACTGAAAGACGACTTTGAACACGTGCCGACTATTGAATAATGTAATTACACAGTTTTGGGCTTACTACCAACATCGATGGGTGGCTTTCCCCTTGTATGCCTTGGGGAAATAATAGCCACCTTCGCTCTTCTGTTGACGGTTTTCAACACCAATGTTCGGTTGGTTTTGTACACAAAAATCGGGAGCCAAGGACGATGTTTGGTATAGCAGAAGGTTTGGTATAGCGGTGTTCAGTATAGCGACATTCCACTGCAGATCTATTGTTTTCTTTTGCTAATGGCACCGAATCTGACCAATTGAGGGCGCTGTTTATTTAATATATTCAAATTTAGGCCTTTAATATGGTGTTATACTCTTGATTTAATCTTTAGTTTTGTACTTGATTTTGTTTTGCTGTGCTTATTTTGAGTAAATTTTCATTTTTGTTGGAAGAACTTTCGTTAAGTTCCCCCTTTCTGTATTATTCATGATGTATTGTGCATTTTCCTAAGCCTGCTCGCAAGGGTGGTACAACCCACTTCAAGCTTGATTATGCGGTAAGGTATAATTCTGCACCGAGACAAATATGTTGCAAGCTACCAAACTGCACGCAATTCCCACTTGCAATGCAAATTGTTTCAATTGCCCTGAACACGTCACCAAATTGCTTTCACTCTCATTTGTATGACCTGTTAATTTCTTGCTTTCCTTTCCAAGCTTTCTGTGAGATAAACTCATCCTGTTTTTTGAAATCTGATATAAAAAAAATGTGTTTTTGAACAATACAGTTACCTTCTTGTTCATGGTCAGAGTACCGAAGTGTGACGTCATTTTGAAACGGGAAGTGTAATGCAAACGAATGGAGTACGCGCGCATGTTGGCTCATGGGCTGAATCACGCGCTAATATCTTTAACACACATAATTATACCAAAGTTTTATATAGCGCAGGTATCTACCAACAATAAGGTACTCGAGGCGCTGGAAATTATGTCTATTATTAGAGACAGGTTAATGAAGTACATGAGAAATATGAGAACCATTATGTAGCACCTTTATAATGGTTTACAAGGTGCTGTGCCGCATATTGCAGCCACTGCCAGAAACACCGGGGCAAACCCCTTCTCTTAGCGATAAGTGTTACTGGGTTCTTTAACGTGCATTACAAAACACACAGGACCTACGGCTTTACGTCCCATCCAAAGGACGAAGCAACAATGGTAAAGTGCCTTGCTCAAGAGCACAAGCACCATGTTCCCACGGTCAGGATTTGAACCCATGTACCATGGTACACAAATCGAACACCGTAACCATTGGACCACAGCACCCCATAATTGTGTGCGTGATGTATTCACTTTGGTACTCTATAATGTTGGAAAGTTACCATTCCCCCCCCCCCCCCCCCCTCTCTAACAAAAATGATTATTGGGTTTTGCCCATCATTTTATGAACACTATATACTCAGTGTTGTCCCGAGAGCTTGTGAGAAAATATTCACAAACTACTTGGGTGGGACTCAAACCCACGACCTCCTGCTTACTAGTGCAGACGTGTTACCACCGAGCTTATCAGGTTTGGCTGACTGGTTTGAATCTGATATACAAGCAGGTACTGCAACCAAACCAAAAATACTGATCAAGTTTTTTTACAGGACACAAGTACAGTTTTGACAATTCATAACAAGAAAATTGTACTTTCAAACTGAAATTAAACAGATAGCAAATTTGTACGGTTTTGTATCAGACTTCGTTTCTTAGCATTTGCCTTTGATAGCGTATGGCTTGTCCATGGAGTAAGACTTAGACCCAGGTATTATTCTCTGTCTCACAGGGCAAGTTGGTGTTGACTAACAGCGAGGACGGCACAGAGCATCATTTCAGACTCAAGGGAGAAGGGCAGAAGCCGCTGGCTCTGGATCACGTTATCTTAGAATGCCAGGCACGTCAGTCGTAAGTACACAAATGGGAAATCAATATTTTGTCGGGTGCACCACGTTATTTGTGCCACATCTTCTGTGCACTTTGTCCACACGATAGATCACTTCATGCTGCAATTGACGATGTAAAACAGTCAGCACCCGTGGACACTTAGTCTCAATAACAATATATAGAAATTTTGAACAGACAAATTGTTCCCACTGAAACACAGAGTTGTGGAAAGTCAATCACAGGTCAAATCACAAGTAAAGTCACAAGTGATGGGATGCATAGTGTAACATTGTGACAGTTCTTTAGAGTAGCTTGCCATAATACTCATAATTGGCTTGTGAAGATTTTTAATATCTTTTGCTGTCTTAGAAAAGAACTGTGCGAGGACATTACAGGAAATGTGATCTTTGCTCTTACATGCTTGTTGCCAAAATTACATCAAATGGCTTTTTCATATCTGAATTTTTTCCATAAGTTAAAAAAATCCGGATCAAAAAGATTGATGTATTTACTGTATTCTTTTCATCCTGGCCCTTTTCCCCTCACGCAGCGTGAAGCGTGTGATTCGCGTCCCCAATGTCACCCAGCACAAGCTGACCTATCGCGCCGTGTCCGATCTCTCCATCGTCAATGGCACGGTGCCGAGTGTCACCGTCCTACCAGGCAAGGAAGCTGATTACGTCATCACCGTGTCGCCATGGAAACGGGGCACATTCCGAGGCATCCTGTCCTTCATTGCTGGAGGCACAGATAATCTCAAGTAATTTAAAACTTTCAAATTCTACGTCATCAAATCAATTTCTATTCGGCTTAAGCTAATTTTGGTAACGTAGATCTGTAAAAATGGTTTGCACAACAGATGACAACAATTTAGAAAACCTGAAATTTAGAAAACATTTCTACAAATTTCTATCCTTCTAATTTTCTTAATTATCATGGGCATGGACTAATACATGTAAAACATGAAAGAAAATAGTTTCTCTAAAGTCTGATTTCCCCCCCCCCCCCCCGCAAAAAAATCCTGTAAAACTTCCTTGTTTGTATGATTCATTTGCTGAGACAAACAAAGCATACATTTTGGAACATAGAGTTTACACAGGTTTTTTTCGAACATCACTCTGTCACATTGTGTCACCCAAACTTCACTTATTACATTATATAATTTTTTGAATATTAATACGTACAGTATTTGTTAAAGTTTCCAATCAGCTGTGCATTGGTTACATTTCTCCATATATTTCCAAACCGACAAGAAATTCACTTTCCGTCCACAGAGATGAGGCATCACCTGAAGACAGCGACGCCCCTTCCCGCCCAGACTCCGGCAAGCGACCAATCAGCGGCAAGTCCACATCAAGCTCCACCTCCGTCCACATCCACCAATCCAAACCCGGCTACCGCGTTTGGTACTCGATTGAAGTCCGCTGCAGCCCGCCACCGCCGGAACGCAACATCGAGATCGTCTGCGCGGCGCAGTCGGCCGTGGTGATGGAAGTTGAGATCTTCAACCCAACGATTAACGATCTGACGTTCTCGACGGTCATCGAGGGGGAGGGGCTTAGAGGAGAGGGGGAGGTGACGCTGACTCCAGGACAGAAGAGGATGTACCAGTTGGTGTATGCGCCGGCCATCGTTGGGAAATCAGAGGGAAGGTAAGAAACGTCAGCACTGTTAAAATCATCAAATACTGACGCAGTCCCAATGTCTATCAAAAATCTTACAACAAAAATGTCTTTGAATGAATTTACATGTCATATTAGTTTGAAGCTTTGCCAGAGCATACTTGCTGGAGCATTAAGTTACTATGTTTGGTTCTTCATAGAATCCGTTCTCTTTTTGGGGACATTCGTATCACATCGTTCATCCCTGAAACGTCTCTTCAGCGTTTTTCGTTATTTAGAAAGTAGAAGGATCTTCCTGTTTTTGTTTCATTTTTAGTCGAAGTCCATTATTATTTGGTCACTTCTTTTTGTTTTGTTTTTTTTCCTTAATTTTTATCACAAATCCTTTTGAAAGTGAATTTATGTTAAGGCTAACCTCAAATTTGTGTACTTATTTGTTTTTTTGTTTTGTTTTGGCATCCCTAGTTAATTTTGGTCAAAAGAGTTTTTAATACAGAATTTTTGTCAAAGTTTACTTCAAAGTTGCTTTAGTTTTTTTTTTTTCCATTCCCAAATAATTTTGGTCAAAAGCTTTTAATATAGAATCTTACTGAAAATTGCCGTCCTTTTTCCAGCTTGATCTTCCAGAATGAGACCGTGGGAGAGTTCTGGTACACCCTGAGTCTGACTGCTGAGCCCCCAGCCCCTACCGTGCTCCCTCACATGGAGTGTGAGTTGGGTAAATGGAGTCGTCAGTTCATCACTCTCAGTAACCCTACAGAGGAGACCCTGGAGCTAACGCCTAGCTGCTCCAATACTAACAACTTCACTTTGGAAGTGGAGGGAGAAATCAAGGTATGACAACTTTCTTTCCATTGTTTTTAAATCACCAAAACATTTTTTTTATGAGAATCTTTTATTTGTTGGAAAATTTGCTCTAGGGCCACAAAGTTCCAGAGTACGTTAAATTAACGTTAGGCCTCCAAAGTCAAAATCACTCTTTTTGTGAAATTCACATGTTTTACCAAAATCAGCACTACTGAAGTGGTAATGTTATAACTGCTTCACATTTTTGTCATGCAAGAACTGCTGAAAAAATGTACTCAAAAACATGTATATACCTAATTGTTCAGAGGAGGTGAACATTTAAAGCAGCTTTCCTTTTTTTTCAAAAGTGGCTTCTTGATAAGTTTGAGCAAAGAAACCATGGTTCTGACTCACAAAAATGCACATTTCCTTGTTTCACATATAACCAAATTTATGATTACTAGATATTTTTTAATCTCTTGCCGTGGTAAGCATGGACATCCTACAGAATTTGTATTTTGACACTTGATAAAAGTTTTTTAAAGTCATCAAATTTGTCCATTGGCCAGATCGTTGCTTAGCTATTACAAAAAGTTTCATAGGGACACATTGTTGCCCCCCCCCCCCTTCCTGCTCCTGATAGGATCTACTCTTAATGTTCCAAGTTTATTTCAGTATAAATGGCAAACTTGAGAAAAGGATCAAAGTACAACACTGTACAAGTCATCTCGGCAGTTTTTTTTTTCATCATTTCTGCATTTATTTCCCGATACCTAGATCATCCTGGCACCCCACTCTACCCAAGAGATCCCCCTCCAGTTCATGCCGTCCTCCCTGGGCCAAGGCAACCACCTGGCCAGGGTAGCCTTCTCATGCGAGCAGCTCGGTGATTGGGTCTTCATGGCGTCTGGTACCGGCTTGACCCCTACGCCTCTCGACCCGGTCAGCGTGAGCTCGATCCTGGGATCAAACACCTCGCTCATCATACCATTCAGGAACCCGCTGAACGAGGCAGTGCTGATTGACGTGGTGTTGTCTGGTAAGTAGGGGCAGATTATTGACAGCTGTTGTGTATTAGTTACTCTTGAACAACAGGCCATTACTGAAAAGTACTTAGTTTGTGCTAGCCATTAGCCATTAGGCCAAATTTAATGCCACTGTTAACAGCAATTCAAAAAATACCTGTGACAGTTTATCTGTTCCTATTGGTCGAGAGCCTGTCAAGTGGGGCTTTTAAACTGTTGATAAAACACGGGCTGGTTTTAAACACAATTCCTGCGCTCTGGGTTACATCGCGCAGTACATGCCACGCAAGTGCCAATTTTAATATAAGGAGATTTTTTAGCACTACGCGCACGAGGCACATACCGTAGACGTGGTTCCAGGAAACATGAAGTAAAACTGTTGAACAAAATTGTTGAAATTTGTGAATTTTGGACTTGTTTTGACTATTTAACCAAAAGTATTTATCGATGGGAATAAATATGTGCTTGGCCGGTATTAAACAAGTATGTTTAAAACCGGCTAGGGGGCTGGCCGCTGATAATGGCCCAAGCCGAATCTGTGATCAGGCCCCTAGTTTTAAACTGGCTCAAGCACATATTTATTCCTTTAGCAAAGGATCTCTTCTAACTAAAGAACAAAATTCCATGCTAATTTCTCATACACAACTTTACTCACCTGATAAACTCAGAAGTTCTTTTTTCCATCGAAATAAGGCAATTTATTCTGCACTCAGAGAGTTGAAACTTGAGCAAATTGCAAAAAAATTACATACGTCACCAACAAAATGCACACATAGCACTTCTCTATTTTGGCACAATTTGCTACTGAAGAAATGCATACTTGTAACACACCGTGGCACGTAACTTCACTTACTTTCAATGTGAAATGAGCACTTTTAGGGCTCCTTTGTGTGAAGAACTAAACAATGTTATCAACACTTTGTGCGCATCTCTAGATAACACAGATTTGCTGGACAGGGCTCGCAACAAGCTAGAACGCAACAGGATCCAGACAGACTCGGCCTTCTGCCTTCTACTCAAGCACACCATGGGGATACCCATAGGTCCTAAGAGCACCCTGGATATACCCCTGACCTTTGCCCCCGACAACATGAGACTGCATGAGGCGCTGTGCGTGGTGTCCGTCAAGAGAGAGGACGGGTCTAGCTGGGAGTATGAACCGTGTAGGGATCCGGATCATCCGTATGCATGCAGGTGAGATGGGGTACTAGACCCAAGACCTTTCACCTGATTTCTCGAAGCAATGTGACGCGTCGCAACTCAAGTTGCGACAGGTAACAAGTCGCAGCTTGCAATGCGTCGTATAATCCATTTCACAAAACTTTCGATGCGTTGAACGCGTCGTAAGTTCCTTGACAATGGCTTAAAACATGTCACAAGTTACGATGAGTTTAGTGGTCATGGCAAAATAGGAAGCGTCCTTTTCGTAGCCCGTTTTTTTTGTGCCATGAAAATTAAGTAAACGAGACTATAATACCGAGGCAATGTGTGTGCGGTTGTAAATGGAAAATGCATTGAAGTAAATATGCATTAGCCTGGAATATTGCAGTTGAAATTTCAAAGTAGCTATTAAACAGTCCACTTTCAACCATGACAAGCATCATCTGGCCAGTACGCCTTGAACAATGACAAAACTGCCAACATTAGACTGCCTAGCACATTATAGGTTCCAGTCGTTTTTCAATCAATAATAGTTCTCTCTTAAAAACAGAAGATACAACTCGATATCAGACTTCGATTCAAAAATGAAAAATATCATTGTCAAGTTCTTCTTAACTTCGCTCCACATTACTTTGTGTCATTTAAAATTGCCAAAGTACTGCTTTCTAACAGGAAACATTTCTGATTTGAGTTTTGAAAATCAAGGAACTTAATTGATGTGATTCCTTTTTGAGAACATTATAAGTAACCATTGTTATGTAACTTTTTGAATTTTCTCCTTGATTCTAGGGATTATGATCGGCGAGACACACAAGGTGGCCTGCGAGACATCCGCTGGCTGTACCCCATCCACGGCATCCCTGAATCACAGCCCATCATCGACCGTGGGGCCGTGGTCAGCTGCCAAGCACGTAGCCGTATCGAGGAGAGATTGGAGGTCTCACTGACCGGGGCTGTGCCGAGCTCGGCTAGCGGCTACCACCGTAGTGTGATGACTAGGGCTGTGACTCCTAAAGGATTGGAGAAGGCTCATAGTACAGATGGTGTGGTGGTTGGAGAAGGTAGGGAGATATATTTCCTAGTGATAATATACATATATTGACCAGCAGTGAGGGCACTAGTAGTCATCTATTATCCCTGATGAATTGGCTCGATCACAGTTTGTAATTCCTAAAGGATTGGAGAAGGCTCATAGTACAGATGGTGTGGTGGTTGGAGAAGGTAGGGAGATATATTTCGTAGTGATAATATCCGTATATTGACCAGCAGTGAGGGCACTAGTAGTCATCTATTATCCCTGATGAATTGGCTCGCTCACAGTTTGTGATTCCTAAAGGATTGGAGAAGGCTCATAGTACAGATGGTGTGGTGGTTGGAGAAGGTAGGGAGATATATTTCGTAGTGATAATATGCGTATATTGACCAGCAGTGAGGGCACTAGTAGTCATCTATTATCCCTGATGAATTGGCTCGCTCACAGTTCGTGATTCCTTAAGGATCAGAGAAGGCTCATAGTACAGATGGGGTGGTGGTTGGAGAAGGTAGAGAGATATATTTCGTAGTGATAATATACATATATTGACCAGCAGTGAGGGCACTAGTGCTTGTCTATGAACCCATTATAAATGACAACCAAAAAAAGAGACAGACATCGACAACTGCTAGTGTTTTAATGGTTGGGGAAGGTATGGAGAGATTTTAGTCATAATATATGTATATTGACCTGCTGTGAGGGCACTAGTATTGACTATGAACCCCAGGTATTTGTATATGAAAACAATAAGTACTTGTTATAAGATGGAATTTTTGTGTCGGGGTGATATAAATCAAATTAGGTTTTGCCCTTCACCGACTTTTGGTAAGACATCTGCACTAGAAAGCAGGAGGTCGTGGGTTCGAGTCCCACCCGAGTGACTTTTTTTCCAACTTTCACTCGGGAGGTAACACACTGAGTATACAGTGTTTAAAAAACGTCGGTGAAGGGCAAAACCTAATTTGATGAATTAATAAGTACTTTGGTCACTCACAGACAGTTAGGGTAGAAATATATGTTGATGTTCAAATATGTTTGGAAAGGGATTGAATCATTCAGTGTTTCAAAGTGTTAGTCATAACCTATTGACCAATTTGGAGGGCACTAGTACTTGACTATGCACTCTTAGTGACTATAAGCGACCACAAAGTGTTACTACTTATGCTCTCTCACCCACCTTACCAATCATAAGCAATTTCTTGCCAATGTTCTACCTCAAACCTTCTCGTAGTTGAACTTCTTCACAATGCAAAAGTATCTCACTCCGTTCATAAGCAATTTCTTGCCAATGTTCTACCTCAAACCTTCTCGTAGTTGAACGTCTTCCGAATGCAAAAGTATCTCACTCCTTTCTCCCAAACTGGCAATAAACATAACTTTTCAGAATTGGGAACTACGAACCGATTTTATGACCTATGTATTTGTATATGTATATTCTTTCCACCAGGGAACACAGTAGCCAGTGAGTTTTCCTTTGAGCTCTTCTACAGTACTGAGGAGGCTCAGGCACATCTGGAGCACGCCGTATCGCTCAACCTAGTCCGTAAACAGAGAGATAAACTGTCTGGTATCGTCACGCTGGTCTTCAATGTGGTCTTTGCTCCATTCAAAGTCATGAAGTGAGTCAAACACTTGAGAATTCCTTTTGTGAAAGGCATACAGGACCATTTGTCGTTTCAGCTCAGTTGATATTACACTTTTTGAGGAAACTGGGAAAGTGCATCGTCATTTTTCTCAAGGCAAAGCATAGGTTTCTATTGATAGCATGATGGTTCTATTGATAGCATGATAGCATGAAATGATAAGTTATTCCTCATTTTGTGTGTGAAAATGACAGCGTGCTAGACGAAATGATTTCACAGGATGCATGATTCTATTATTTACTTACAATCAAGTAGGATATTTCATGACATTTTGGCAGTTTTGTATTTGACTTTTTGTAAATGATCCCATATGTGATGCGATCAAGCTAAATGAGTCGTTTGTTGAGAACTTTCATTTGGAGATGCAGGCCAAAATAGGGCCACTTCATCGCATCACTTCATCACATCTCTTGGTGTTTCGACTTCCATAATTTTTGAACTAAAGATGGTACCAGCATGCGGTTTTCACAGCAGTAATGCTGAGATTGTGCTCTTTTCAAATCTGTAAAAAAAAAATTTGACCAGGGTCGACAAACGACTCATTTAGCGTGATCGCATCACATATGCCTTTAATTTTCCAAAGACGTTAATAATTATTCTGTTAATTGTTCAGGGAGCATCAATTACATTTTTTTAACTGAAAAATAAGCCCAATCAAGTGAAGACCTTATCCAAATTCCTTTATCAATATTTTGGGAAACAGTTGTTACCCTGTTTCCCACAATTTTGATCTAGGAATTTGTTCATTCATTCTTCTTTTGTTAATCTTACAATTTACCATCAGTATGTCTTGACAGGAGCCAGGTCTAGCACGTCGGGCTTGTTTATTTTAATTCCTTTTGATAATTTTTGTACAATGTTGACATCTTTATGTTACGATTCAAGTATTGCTTTATTAGTTATCACCTATTTTTTTTAACGTAGTATTTATGTGTTATTATTGCCAATAGACAAAATATAGCCCTGGCCACTGTGCACATGGGCAACAACACATGTTCCTCGCCAATGCCATACTTCACGTTCCAGCTGTGTACGTCACATGCATGCACAGCTGTGATTGGTCAGAACACCATGGGTGGGGCTTAAAGGATCAATCTATTGAAAGCACAGATAAAAATATTTCATTGAATTGAATTGAGACAATGAACAAAAATCCTCAAATCTTCTGAAACTTACTGTGCTATTCTTTTTGCCTTTGCGTAGCCATGATGTACAGCTGTGTGTTACTGCAGCCACTGGCGGTGTATGGCGCTACCCAGTCCGCTTCACGTCTACCGAGCCAACGGTCGATGATGTCATCACTATCGAATCAGTGGGTCTTAGCAAGGAAGCGTCTGTGGGATTCAGACTTACTAGCCAAGCAAGGTAAGATACCAAGCGACAGAAACAACTTTTCTCATTGGTTAAAAAAATATTATCTCCAAGCAAACTTGAGTCCTCGGTCCTGATTGGTCAATCCATGGCAACGACAGTGTGATAGTATCCCATATACCATGGTCCCTGTCACACTGAGTTTATTGCACTATTCTAAGGTGCACGCTCTTTTCGAGCTGTACACACGTGTAGTAGGATCGCTGCTAAAAAGGTCTTACAGCATGCACATTCCATATGCGTCAAGTTTGCTTGACGATGAATTTGTTATCCCACTTGCACTTGTGGAACGCGGAAAGTGTAACACGTCTGTGTCCCATATGTCACTCGGCCTTCGGCCTCATGGCATATGGGACACAGACACACTACATTATTCTGTGTTCTGAGCTTGTTGGATAACTTCATACAAAAGGGAGCTTGGTCGTTCATAGACTGCATACTTAAAAAAGTAGAAAAGTAAATAATGACATTTTTTTCACATTTTCTTTCAACCTATGGCCTAGTTAATTGCATTCATAACTGTGTTCACTTGTAAGCAAGTGTAGAAGTGAGGAACTTTTTTTATTGACATCAGAGGTTTTGGTATGTTGTTTAGTGATGTCATTTCTTTTTTAGTTTTGCAGTGCAATCATACTTCTTTCTAGAGTTAACAGATTTTTTTTTTCTTTCAATTCAATCAACATTTATTTCCATAATGCCACAACTTTTATAAAATAATGTATCAAAGTGAAGCAATAAATAAAAGGACTGTGTTGAAAAAAGAAAAAAAAAGATGGATAAGATAGAACAATAATTCGAAAGGCAATTATGGAATCATCTTTCGAAGCCGGGGGCTTATATGTGATGCGATCAAGCTAAATGAGTTGTTTGTCGGGAATTTTCATTTGGAGATTCAAGCCAAAATAGGGCCACTTCATCACATCACTTCATCACATCTCTTGGTGTTCCAACTTCCATAATGTTTTAACTAAAGATGGTACCAGCATGCGGTTTTCACAGCAGTAATGCTGAGATTGTGCTCTTTTCAAATCTGTAAAAAAAAAAATGACAAGGGTCGACAAACGACTCATTTAGCTTGATCGCATCACATATGGAGATGCTGTTAGAAAAACAAGCAAACAAACAAAACGATGTACATCAACAAATACAGAGAAAGACTAACAATCGGACAAACACAAAAATGGGATGAATATAAATATTGAGGGGTAGATTAACAAAATAGATACTGCCATAGATGAATAATTATGCAACTAGTCAAAGAAACAAAAAACAGTGCATAAATGAATTGACATTCTACACACTGTATAATCCATTTCATATAAAACATGTGTGTCATTCCCAAATTCCCTGAAAAGACTTTGTTGTAAATGTGGGTCATTTCTATAAATTTGGGGTCCATTTTCTTTCCTGCCCCCGTTACATCTGACATCTATGAGTTCATATTTCTGATGCACTCCTTGATGCAGTCGTCCTCCAAGAGTGATTATGAATAGCAAACCCCCTACCCAACAATAAAGAATTTCTGGAGGTCATTCTTAATGATACTTGAATGGCAAATTACAAAGTACCAAGGTACCAGGGACATGGAAAATGTCACACTGGACCCTAAATTTGCAGAATGACCCATGTGTATTACAGTCCTGAACTGCTTGTACTAGTTATTCCACTTTGTTAAGCTAAAGGTCTTAGTGACAGCCTCCGTCAATCAACGGCCTGATTAACAACACATGCCCATCCAATAACACAGCCGCTGAACGGGATCAAACACGAGACATCAAAAACACCATCTGGATTACGGTTTTCCCTGAATCGCAACCGATCTCCCCGTGTCTCGCTGGAGCCTAGGTGTATTATGACAACCCAACGCGTTATCTGGTTGTGTTCAGTAATTATTGACAGTTGCGCGTTCCCGAGCCCTGGCTCGAAGCAATTTCCCCTGCATATGTACGAGTTCCTTCCTTTGCCCGCGTCGTCTGGGGACTGCCAACATTCACCGCCCATGTTTTTCAGCTTACCTGGTATTCGGGTCAGGTGTTTGGTTTGTGGAGTTTTGCTAGGAAGTCAGGTCTTTTTGTAAAATAAGACTCTCAGACATTGCTCTTGTTAAAAGTTGGATGATTGTGAAGAAAAGGCCCCCGTTCCCATAAGAAAACAAAATCCACCTATATGTTTCTGGACTCACCAAAATATGTTGATGTTGAAAAGCAATAATGTTGTGGAAAGAGGATATTGTTTGATTTTCAAAGGAAATTTTGGGGTAAAACAACAACAAAATGCAACGACGTGGTTCATTGCACGATGCACTCTGAATAAAAAACAACCACATTGATTTACGTGGCATCAACTTTTCTAGCCAAAATCAAATTTTCTACCCAAAAAAGCTCTAAATAAGAAAAAGTACAGTTATTTGAATTCAAAGAAGATTGCCTAAGGACACAATATTGCACACAACTGGACACAATATTGCATCCAAAATTTTCTCCATGCTTATCATTTTATCCCAGAAAATAATGATCATTCTCATAGTGCATTCTAAATACCCATAAGCTAACAGTAGAGGGCGGTAAATACCAGGCCAATAGAGACACCAAGCTTTCAGAAAAGCCCCTTTTTGATACCCTCCAGTGCCACACTTTTCACTTCTATGCTTCCTTTGATAACATTAATAAGATCTCTGGAGCTTCCTGGGCTGGATTAATATCACCTGGCATGGAATACGCAGTCTGTCAACTCCAATTTGCCCGCGGCGAGTCGCATGACGTCTTTGTGGTTTCCAACAGCTGGGCCTAAGTTCCGTTTCAAAACATTGGTCGGAGACTCTCAACTCTGTCATGTTGTTAGGCTAATACTTGGCAAAGTCTTCAATCCACTCGTCTGTCAATGAAGGGAAATCTTAAGACTTAATCCGATTAGCGTTTTTGGGGTTTTTTTTTTACCAGTTGTAGTCGGATTTCAGAGTCAGAAGTTGTGGCCTGAATATGTCAAGCGATCACATTTTTCTGTACTTGAAACACTTGCTATAGACCAGATTGCGGATGCCGCCTTTTAAGAAATGACAAATTTGATTGGATGCAAGTTGGATAAAGTACTGGGTGGTTTCCTGGGCTGGCTCGATACATGTGTGCTGGAAAGTTGCCAGCTTGTCCTGGTATCAGATGTGGTTTGAATGTAGAAGGGTAAAGACCAAAATTATGTAATACTTTGCTTGATTTGAAGTGGTCAGCTCACAAAATTATAAACAATGTTAATTTTTCTTCCACCTTTGGAGGTGCTGGTCACTGATTGAATCATCAACTAAATTTTGCGCAACAACTACTGAAGTAAAATGAAATGTTCAATATTCTGCTTCTCTTTTTGTGTTAAAGAAAATATTAAATCTTATTATTATCGGTTGTGTTTTCTGTGCAATTAACAGCTGCTAGGGTTGTCAAGGTATAATAAAAAATTTATTGTTTGTAGAGCAGAGCTTTGTATCTGATTTTGCTTGTCTGAAAATGAAACGAGGGACAATTCTCTTTTATAACACCTCACCCACAGATTCTGTGTCTTGATTGGCCGAGAGCGAGTCACATGTTACTTTCTAATTTTGCTATCTTTCTGTGCACGGCCAAAAAAACTATGCGCATAGCAACCAAAGTACTATACCATTAGCAAGTACTATTTCCACGGCGCGGTATTTGTGTGCAAATGCATGCTGGTGTGCGCGTTGCACGTTGTGCATAGCGCGTATTATTCCAAAGAGAGCGCGCCGCAGATTTGGGTTCAAACATTTCGTGAAGGGTTAGATTTTAAGAGAGAAATACATTTTCCACCAATTTTGTATTGAAATTGAAGTTTATTTCAACTGTGTTCAGATTTAAATAATGTAAAATATTAAAATCAAGCAGAATCTGTGGGTGAAGTGTTATAAAACAAATATTGAATGCTTTATCTCGTGGTGAAGTAAGACTAGCCTCCCTCGGTGATCCATGGAGCATTCTATTTTCCCTCGGCTTCGCCTCGGGAAAATAGAATGTCCATAAATCACCTTGGGAGGCTAGTTTTACTACACCACTCGAAGCATTCAATATTTGTATAACACCTCATATTCTTGCGGTATTAACTTTCTGAGCACCTAACTTTTGAAATTTGGTAAATGTTTGTAATCTTTGTCTAAACTACAGCAATAGTGGTGTAAATCTGTGTTGACAACTGTCTTAGGATAAAAAAAATGAAAAGGGGGGGGGGGACTTAGTACCATTTGACACTAGGCTGTGCTATTCATAATATCATTTTGCATGAATACTTCTATACAATGGTCATATGCATGCTTTACCATCCATTATTGGCAGATCGTATTGAATTTTTAGTTTGATTTTTGAGTGTCTTGGATGCTCTCTTGCCTTTTCAAGATTCATATTTTGTTTCCCCCACAACTACAGAATTTTCTTTTATTCAGCAAAAGATTTGAGGGGATGATCCAGTGTTCCATTCCCCTGTGGTCAAGAAGTGTGGGCGTGGATATAAACCCTCCCCCTCCCCCACTCCCCAACCATCTACGTCCATGTATGGCAAATTGTCAAGAGGCAACAAGGAGAAATACAGAACAGTAGATTCAGATCGGACATTTTTTGAACCCAACATTTTCTTTCAAACTTGCTGTATGGGGTTGAATACAGTGAATGCATCTCAATGAAATTCTCTGTTTATTTTCTTTTATTCCCACAGACATCCCGTTGCATTCAATGCCTACTTCGTTGCCGGCAGTGATCAAGAATTCACTGTCAGCCCACAGTCCGGTGAACTGAAACCAATCGGCACCAACGGTACGCTGATAACCGTTGGCTTTAGGCCTAAAATCTACGGCAAGAGCTACCAAGCCAAGCTAGTTGTACAGGTAAAAATAAGTTGCTAATAATAGGTTTACTATACCACTCCCAAAACGATCAGCCCAGCGGTATATTGAGTAATAGGCTAGGTAGTATAGTGATTTATGGTAATACTTAACCAGTTCACATCGGATGGCGTGTATACAAGCAAAGGTTTTGCGGTATTCGGAATGGATGACGAATAAACAGGCAACGAGCGAGGCCGGAAATATCTGTCAGTGACCCGCTCGCAGCGAGCGAGGCCAGAAATATCAGGGTGTGCTACCCGCAGATGACAGCCTGAACCCGTCTGGCATCGAGGTTCGTGAAAACGATCCCGGCGCGAACTGGTTAAGGACCCCTCCCCCTTTTAAGATGATTGCCCCACCCCTCCTCTGACAGCAGTTTCCTTAGTTTCATGATACATTCTTGTTTCAGCTCAAATAGGTTTTACTTTACGATTTTTGGTGTTTTTTTGTATTTCTGAAGTGCTAACTTTAACAAAATCCGAATGACAAGTTTGTGAGGGAAGCCTTGAGGAAACCTTTAATCATTATATTGAAGGAGAATTGTCCTCAAACACGTTTTGGAAATCCGAGGGAAATTACTTTCAATATCTGAAATTTGATAATGTGCTAGCTAGGTATATGTGTGCTTGCATTTCCACTCTGACGCCCAAATGTGCTTCTCAACGCTTTGATAGTTCCTGTTCCATATGGAAAATTCTGATCTGGAACATGTTCAGTTCCCAGCTGGATCATGCTTATCTTGAGTAAAGTGTACAAGTGCATAGACAAGTGTTTCCATGTGGGAACACCTGGTTTTCCCGGGCTTTCGCCATTTGAAAAATGAAGTATGTTTCTGAGTTGAAAATGAAGTATGTTTCTGAGTTGAAAGTGAAGTATGTTTTTGAATTGAAATGTTCAAACCTTTTATAATTTTGTAACTATCACAAAGCTTACAAGATTTTTTTTTTTTTTTGGGTGTGTGTGTGAAGATTTGGATGGAGAGTCCTGTTTTAATGCTTATCTTTAAGACAAGAAACGCCTAGCATGCCTAGTAAAGCTGGACCCGGAATGCTCAAATTCTATTCATTTGATTCAGAATGTCTATTCACTGGAAGTCTTTTCATGCATCTGGTCTACACAATGGGCAGGATTTAACCCATTCATTATTAAATTGTAAAATACAAATTGTAATGCTCATATAGCGCTTTCCATTGTAACAGCAGTCTCAGAGTCATTTACAATTATGCCCCCGTTCATCAGGCCACGAGACCACGCAGCAGCCGATATCAGCATATGTCTACCCTCACAGGTACCATTCATACTCCTGGGTGGAGAGAGGCAATTGTAGTTAAGTGTCTTGCCCAAGGACACAAATACCATGTTCCTGTCAGGTTCGAACCCACGCACCATCGTACATGAGTCAAACAGCGTAACCACTGGACCATGGCATTCTACACATTCATTGGCATTACAGGGTGATCCTGTATGACAGCACTGCCAGACTCACAAGTGATAGTCATTCAGTGAGTCAGTCAATGCGTCAGTCAGTGACTCTAGGCTAGCCCTCTTGGACGAGCAAAGACAAAAAGTATCTCTTTGCTATTAGTTCCTTTATCACTTTTCATTGAATGTTTCTGCACACTGAGGACTTAACATACAATACAGTCGTTCAGTCACAGCTGATGACATCATGGAATAATTTGGCAACCTCCCCTCCCCTCCCCCCCCCCCCCCCCTTTTCTGCACCCCTGGGTTTTCAACGGTCCCCGTGTTGGAACAAGTCCAACCCCTCCTTGATTGAAAACCTTTGGCACAACATTTATGCCCTCTGCAGCGGAAGTGGTTTCATTTTTTTCCCCCTTTTTTTCATGGAGTGTATTTTGCCAATAATGTTAAAAAGCAGAGCCGGATATGTTTGATTAGTCCTGGCACTAGTTTGTTTGGAAAATTTGAAGTATGACTACTCCGAAATCAAAATTTTGCCAAAATTTGATATTTCTCTAATTTACATTGGGATAAAACAAGGGTTTGACCTTGAAATTAAATCAAATGTAAGGGTTTTTCCAAACTTATAAAACAAAATCCAGAAATGAAGGCGACTTTTGGGAAACCTCTTTTGTCAAAATAAGACTTCCTCCGAAACATTCTTGAAAACCATTTGCAATTTAACATTGACATTGTTTGCATTGTCTTTTCTTCAGACCGCTGACATGCAGTGGACCTACTCTCTGATTGGTGTAACCCCGGACTACGTCCCTCCGACCGGCCAATCACAGCGGCCCATAGCCGGACCTCACACCAGCGGAATGCGGCACAACAAACCACGAAACTACGTCCTGGAAAATCTGAAACTGACCACGACTGCCGTGTCGTCACCGATCAAAGGCGCTCCAATTACGAAGTAGGGCGAACACTTTGGTAAAATAATAAGCAATGTTAACCTCCAGACTGTTGCAGTCTGATGTACATAGCAAAGTCCTCCATTTTCAAGCAGTTACATGTATAAGATTTTTTGTGTAAATATGTGTTTGTACTTTTCACGGACTGTATGTTAAGAATTAAATTGTAATGACAATGTAAAGGCGTGTTGATCTGAAGAACCTGTATCAAACCTAATGGTTATGCTATTAATATTGTGATAATATTGTGAATTTAAGCATTTCACAGAAAATCAATTGGCTTCTTGGGAACACAAAGACCAATCCAGAGAACATGTTGAAGTTCACATGGCACATATTTTTTAAATTTATGCGCCGATAAATTGGTACTGTTTTTGTTTTTGTGATTTTGTACTTTTCCTTTCCATCCCAAATGCTATAGGCTGCTTGGAGTCGTCTTCCAACCAAACCAAATTTGACCATATTATAGTGTTTAAATTTCATTCATTTTTGACCTTGACTTTTGACACTTAAATTCAATAGGCTTAATATTTAGGATACCAAGACCAATCCTAAAACCAGATTTGTTTGTGAATGGTGTTTACATTTTTTCGTTTTCTTTTTGTAAGGAAAATTAAGCTTTTTGTGTCTCCTAAAAGTAGTTTGGGGACACTTTACCAGTCCTACATTCCGTATGACCGTATCGTCTTGTATATAACACATATCCCCGTATTTATGTTATTTTTTTTTCTTTTTTCCCAAGCATTCGCCTGAATTCCATGAAAAGTTGAACACAGAAGAAATTCATCAAAAGTTAAAAGTTTTCAATGTAATGTATTCACCCACTCCTATCATAAAAAATATAATCCTATTCAGTTTTAATAAAAACATATCTTAGATTGTACGTGTAAAGTTCTTGTGTATTGTTTAATAAAAGAAGGAAAATCTAGGGGAAAAAAAATACATCACAGTGTTGAACTAAACCCAGAAATTTGCATATTGGTATTTTTTTTACATGTAATTTGCATCTAATGAATATTCATTTATGAGTGCTTCTGGGTATTTTTTTTTTTATTTTTGAAATGTGTTAGCCTAAGGTTTATATATAAGGTCCGAACACAATTTTCAACAAGAGCCAGTAGCTCAGTAGGACGCGCTCAGGATCTGAAACCGGGATGTCCCCGGTTCAGGTCCTGGGTCCGTCCTGAGGAGCTTTTAGACTTTTTTCAAAATATATACTAAGTTTTCTGACAAAATTGTGCATGGGTGGGAGTTGAACCGGGAACCTTTGGGTATGTAGCCTTACACTCTTACCACTACACCACCGGGTTTTTCTTAAAAAAGTAAGGATTCTAATAATTAAAACCCTTAGGTTGTTCTGACTTAGTCTCCAGAGAGAGTTGGAAGCTGAGGGTAGAGGCCTTGGGTCTGGGGTAGGAATTTGGACTTGGGTCTTGGCTGGTCAGCTTGCTGGTTTAATTTACTAGCTGGATGGTTGATACTTATACTTAGAAATCTTTCTACTCTATCTTGTTCCAAGGGAAGTATTAAGCCTGGATACTTAATTTTGCTGGGAATTGAGAGTTTATTTTTTTCAAGGCATTTTTAAAAGTGCTACTAAGACTGTATATCTGCCTGTTCATAATATTACAATTTAGGAAGAGAAGATTTGAAAACAAACACATAGGATTGAAGCGTGTAACAATGCTAACATGTTTTACTTGTCATGCCATGGTTTGGAATTTATTTCTGCATTTTGCCATTTAAAAAAAACCAGCAGTACATATACATGTATACACCAATATGGGTTCAGTTAATTTACATGCTTACAATGAGACATAATTCCGTAAAGGTAAATTAAAGTGACAGTCAATTTCATAAGAAATTTAAGACAATTTTACTAGTTACATTTGCAGGGGTATTTAACTTATTTTAACACAATTTATGTAATATGCTCCAGTTTACAACTGTAACAGCAAATTATTCGATTTGTATTTTCACGAAAGACCTTTGAAGCAAGTAAAGATTATATGTATATAGGAAATTGGGTACAAAAATAAGCTTGTGGAATGTTGTGTATGTATATAAACACCTGATCACTCACACCTGATTCAGACTGGCATTCAAGGTTCGCATCAAACCAAATATTTCCTAAGATATGAATTAGGCTAAACATTTGAAACAATCACGAGTAACTACATGCAAAAGATTAACATTTGCAGTCATTTAAAATAAGTTCAGGATTTAGTCAACGAAAAATTAGTTACAGTTCACCTGTCTGAGACTAAAATCTTATTGAAATGACTTGAGGTGCTGCTAATACTATTTGGTTTGACGCGACCTTAGCTACCTGTCTGAAAGAGTTTTGTAAAATAGAATTTATGATTGTTTTGATCAACATATGGTATTACTTCATTCTTAACTAACAAGACATGGAGTTAAAATGTTAAAAAATCCGTCCATTTTGTGAATATTTGATATTAAAGACCTGTTTTTTGTTTGAACATGAAATTACTTTTTAAATTTTTTTCAGTCTGTAGTGTGATGAAGGACATTTCTGCTAATCCAGTTTTCATGATTTTTTTTCAAACCTTTCTTCACCTGGGGGTTAGTTTTTGCACATTAATTACATTTTGACCAAAACTCAATTTCACTCAATATCACTGAGAAATCCTGTAAAGCTTTTCACCAACTTTTCATTAAATTGCAAGGTAAACCCCTTGCCAATAAAAAAAAAATGAAGTATTCTTTTTAATGGAAAATGCACTCTAGATGCATTAGCAATGTTCAAAAGGTATATTGTTTCATTCTAACATATTTTGAATTTTCAAATGCATCTAGAAGACAATTTTAATGAACCATCAGATTTAAAAGAACATTTTAAGGTAAACCTTGCAAATTATCTCATTTGCCAAATGTAGCTTTACTTAAACACCTTTCTGAATGAAACAAACATGTAGGGCAAATTAAAAAAAATATTTGTAAGGGGTTAACCTTGCAATTTCATTGCAAAAAAAAAAAAAAATTGTCAGGGGTTACCGTTATATTCCTCTATTTTGTGTAAGAATTAACCCTGGGAACAAGATTATATCACTTACAACCTCGCCCCCAAGGTACTAACCTTGTCCCCAAATTATAACAACCCTAATCCCAAAGCCTTTATTTCCAACTTGACAATGATATAAATAAAAATGTTCTCTAAGGCCAAAAAAAAGTCTTCGGTTTCTGGTATGGAGCTTGCCCCAAAATTTGTGTGGCGACGCAGCTTTTTTTCCCCCCCCCCCCCCTTTTTTTTCCTTCAAATGTCGGCTGATAACTGCAAATGGTGCCCGACTAAATTTAGTGCAAAATATATGAGAGCCAAGAGAGGCCACATAAAGCTTATGTAACCCCATCTAAAACCATGTTAAAATTGTGCAGCAGCAGAAAACCAGTGAGTTTGGCCGTTTTGAGACATCATCTTACATTGAAAAAAAAACTGTTTAATTTTGCCGACGCGCATGGCTACGGCGACGCACGCTGATACCAGAAACCGTAGACTTGGTTTTTTTTGCCTAATGCAATCTATTCACTTTTTTAAAAATGAAAATTAGGTTTCACAAGTTGACCAAAAAAAAAGCTATTTGTTTGCTAAATTTCAACCAAATTTCGGCACTGTCCTCACTTGTCCAGAAAACTTGTAGGTAACGAGGTTGAGGATCCTGGAGGCCCAGAAAGTTTGAAAAAAAAAAAAACAATTTCCAACACAATTTTGAATGAAAGCAAACACGTTTTGAATGTTTCTTAATGCATTTCCGGGCAACAAATGCTTAAATGCTTGGGTGTGATTTTCCTGACCAAAAGCAACCACAAGAGGGCGACAAATATGTACAATCTATCTGGTTACTACCACAACATGATAAAATAAAAACCGTAAAAAAAGTAACAAGACTCTCTGTACAAAAATATAAACAGTATAAATATAACAAAAAATTGACCATTACTGCGATAATATCTTCAACTCCGAGTGTTGGACCGTGGGCCTCTACTCTTGTCAAAGAGCTATTGTCTAGATATTCAACCACAACTACTCCGTGGCAACATGCTGCCTATGTATTGTGTGCACGAGCCATAGAGGGCGCTCTACGACCATCAACTGCCCCAGTGGGAGGGACACGTTGTGTGCTCGTACTGATTCCCAGGCGTAAGTCTTGAAGTATGCAAGATTATCTTTATTTCAATCTGCACCAACTCGTAGTGTCTTCGCGTGAGCATCAGGCATCATTGGCAAGTGCTCAAGAGTCTCATGCAGTGGTCTTCCCCAACATTTTCTTCGTAAGCGTGAATGGGGACCTTGCAAACCGAGTCCATCCTCTTGTCATAAACTACCGTCTAGAGTTTTGACCATAACTTTAATTTGGCAACACACTTGCAATAGACCTGTAGCTCTGAGTGCCAGGATTTTTATGGTCTTAAGCTCCGATGTCGAGTTCGTTCACCTTCACTCCAAGATAGCTGCCACAGTGCCAAGGTAATCGTTGTCTGTCATGACGCTGTCAGCAGACTAGATACTTCATCTTGTCAGGACGACTGGTGTATTTCTGCAAAGAGAAAAGGAAACTTTGAATCTAAATGAGCTCAACCCATGGCGGTTGCTGCATCAAAATACAGTATTGAGCACGACAAAAGAAACAACATGGCAAGTCAGGTAAAGCTGGCCTAAGAGCAAAGCAAATTCTACCCAATCGATTCAGAATGGCTATTCAATTGAAAAGTGCTGGATTTAGACCAGTCATTGGCGTAACCGGGGATGGCACTGCCCAGCTCGTAAGTGACTGGCTGGCTGGCCAGCCAGCCAGCCACACAGAGGACTCTAGGCCAGCTCTCTGACAGTTTTGTAGGAAACTGGACGATGTCCGGGGTAATGTTATGTGGCAGGGACACAAGCAAACTGCTCTATTCAACATAATCCACATAACATTTGTTTTGTTAAAACGTTGATGTTATATACAGAACATTTCGGCTTCTTTGGAAAATCACAAGGCATGCATATTGGTGGCTGTTCTGCTCACCTAAAATCACAGGTCACGTCACATACAGCAACAATAAAATATTTATATCAACCTCTGAACACAGACACACAAGAACAGAGTTAAAACTGTAGTTGAAGCTGACAAATAGACAGACCAACAAATAAACACACTTACACTTACACAAAATGGTGCCATGGATGATGAGTTCTCCTGCAGTCGTCTGTATGCCTCTCGGATATGCACGGGTTTAATGGAACGATACTGCACCAACGCTAACAACGATGAACCGCTGGGCTGTGAACGGAGAGAAGCAAGTTTCCCGTTAGTCTAAAGCTCATCCATTTATAGCATCAGCGAGGAAGTCAAGTGAAGCTGGGTATTTTTAAACTCGTAAAACACCCAACGGGGGAAAGCCTGTAATACTTAGCTCTGTCGTCCGGTTCATTTAACGATGAAAACATTGGCACAACTAAGGGGATTGCACAGCTAAAGATAGTGGATACGATTCTAAGAATTGATCATCCATTTCCAGCCATGTCAAGCGCCTAATGTAAGATGAAAATATAGTTGACAATTCCTAAACCTTAAAAAACAAGCTTAAGGGAAGCCTAATAAATCTGGTTCTAGAGTGCACAACATTCTATTCAATTGATTCATAATGGCTATTCACTGGGAGTCTTTTTCTGCGTCTGGTCTACACAATGGGCCAGATTGGGCCCATTCATTGTCATTACATGGTTATCCTATACAAGAGCACTGCCCGGCTCACAAGTGACAGTCAGTCCCTCAGTCAGTCAGTCAAAGAGGACATTACGCTGGCCTCCAAGACCAGCAGAAAGGTGTAATTTTAGCATTTTAAGGTTTGGAATTAAAGATACCGTCCCCGTGCTATTTTCAAGTTGCACCTCCAAAAATAGATTTGTTTTTTTCAACTGCCATTTTCCTAATAATATAAAAGATATTCACTTTTGAATAAGACATAAAACGAAAAAAATCCACCGACATTTAGTTATTGAATATTTTTTATTCACAAAAATTGAATTATTAGCTGCCAGACATTAATTCGGCTCTTGCAGGGCGGGGTTTAGTTTTGCGCAAAATTAAATTCCCTTTTCAGAGGGTTACAGACGCCAAAAATCGGAATAAAGTAGTTTTTTTTGAACAAAATATACAAATTGAAATTTTGTTAGGAGAAGATCACTGGGTATGCATCTTTAAAGAAACTTAAAAGTTATTTTCAAATTCAATGTTCTCACCTTCTTTTTCCTCTTGGATTTGGACTTTGACAAGCTCCCTCCGTGCCCGCCCGTCTTCGAATCCCCCTGCGCGTGAAATGAACCGTCCGAGGAATTGCTGTTCATCGACACATTCAGCCCAGCGCCGGTGGAGGACAGAAAGGGAGATACCATTTTGCCATTAGGGGAGGTTGGGGAGGAGGTGGGGGAGGGGAGGGGCGTAGAAACAGGGGAGGGTTTGGATTTATTGAGGAAGGGGCCGGGGGAGGGGAGGTTGTTGGAGCATAAGGGGGCGGCAGTTTTAGTGAGGGGGTCCCACGGGACCGCTGAAATGTCCCTGCGGACGATGAAGGATAACTCCACAAGCTGTTGAGCAAGAACAAGAGATCGACAGTGGAAGCCAGGAACATTACTTATTCAACGAGTGCGAGTGGAAGGCTGTAGCGCGTCTGCGTCCCATATGCCATGAGGCAGAAAGCCGAGTCGGATATGGAACACAGACGTACTACATTTACTGTTTTCCACGAGCGCTAAGTGGGATGACGAATTTATCTTTGAGCAAACGTGATGCAAAATGCGTATGCTCTTGTCACTTTATAGGGGGTCACTGTACATGTACCAGTAGTTGTTCAGGTTTTCCTGGTGCACTTGAATATAGTATATTACAAGTATGCGTGAACAGCGTAATGTGTCTGTCCCCCTCCCCCTCCCCACCCGATGTCCACCCCTCTCCCCCCCCCTAGAAATATTAAATTAAGAAAAATTTAATGCACCCTCAGGTACCCCCCCCCCCAAGAAGTCTGACCCTAGTTACGCCGCTGATCAGGGATTCAATGCTGCTTGAAGATAAAATAAGTTTCATTCTTGGCTTCAAATCAGATTTTAGGAAACGACTCTTTTCAAGGGTATCCCCATCAACAGTGACACGGAGAATGACTTCACAGAAACCTGAACGCTGTTCCCAGCGCAGTGCATTAGATTTATTGTGTTTATAGCGCCTTGAGCCCCTTAATAGGTGGATATGTGCGCTTTATAAATCTTCATTATTATTATTATTATTATTATTATTATGCCCAAGCAAAAACGTGACGATTTCTGTAAATTCAGATGAAGTTAGCCATGCGTATTCTATAGTGTGTCCCACGAACTGAGCTAGAGTGAGTAGTCATACAGCACTATGTACTATCCCTGAATTAGTCCCATATCATACATACTTTGTAAATGAATTTTCTATAAACACAGCCAATTACTTACACAGTTTCATTTACGTTTCGACTAGTTTCACTAGTCATCCTCAGAACGAAGCACCACCAGTCGGTTGGTGGCGCTGTTCTGAGGATGACTAGTGAATCTAGTCGAAACGTAAACGAAACTACGTAAGTCATTGGCTGTGTTTATAGAAAATTCATTTACAAAGTTGAAACTTTACCAGCCTGATGAACTTTTTTCACGATATCATACATAGTTTGAATCTTCAAGGAATCATGTTACCAACAAGCTTAATGTGTACTGTATGACACCAACCTGTGCTACAGTTTCATAGGCAAGATACTGCATGATCTCCACAGCAAATGGGTTGGGTTTGGGCTCCAGGGAGGAGTAGTCCAGCCACTCCTTGAACTTTGACCCCTTCTTGGCTGTGGAGAAAAAACCGCCAAAACAAGAAATAGCAAGGTGTTGCAGCTATCCAAAAAGTAACCGACCAAATTATTGTGAAAAAGCTTACTTGGTTTAAAGATAGTAATGGCACTAAACTCCATGTGAAATTATTCTTTCTGGCATGCTGTCATTTTGAAGGAAACAGTAAAAGCCATTCATTTCCAAAGATGAGCCAAGTGACACATTTTTGGAAATTTCTGTTAGTAGTTTGTTTGTTATTAAGCAAATCCATGTATGGGTGCCCGCAAGCGTTGACACGATGCACATGCACATGTGGTTGTTATTATTCGTCGGTTCAGTGCGTGTTATCGCGTAGCTGCAATCGGCTGAATGAGAACGTGTCCCGGATGCTGATTTCGGGCACAATTCAGCTCACTTGGTAGAGCACCAAAACGGTAATCTGGAGGTCGCAGGTTCAAACCCCGCTCCAGACAATTTCTTTGTTCAACTTTCAACTGAAAAATTATAATAATGCACTTAAGTCAGTTTCCCTTTGTGGTTCGTTTGAAGACTTTCATGTTATTAGAAACATAAACCCGAGTCCAGCTAGCTTCCAGGCTAAGCAACAAAAAAACAGACACATTTGTAAATATTCTTGCGTGGCACTCACAGAAATTGACTTGTCTTGCCTCCGCATACTCCTTGTACGTGTTGCTGTCCATGTATCGTGTCTTCAGCTCGGCCCGTTCCAATCTCTCCGTCTTGACTGGATCCACTTCGTCGCTATCCAGCAGGGCAATCAACTCGCCTGATTGGTCGATGGTGCTCAGGAAATCGTAGGAGATCTTCCGCCGTCTACAGAACGCTTTCTGATCTAGAAAGTGAACAAAGACCAGTAGATATATTCAGAATTCGCTGAATTCAAACATGGTGGCAACGTCGTGGTACCTTTTAACCCTCGGAGTGGGAAGTTAATATTCAGAGCAATATGCAAAACCCTTTAAAACCCTGCAGGTTAGCTTCAGTGGAGTGCCATGGCCTAAAGGTTAAGAGCACCGGACTCATGCTCTGGTGTTTCAGAGCGATCTGATCCCAGCTTTACTAGTCTTTCCTAATCTTGTTTACCTAGCTCCCCGGTCGTAAGGTCTTCATCTTCCCCTGATGTGCCCATCACCTTGGCTAGTTTCTGCCGCTGGTCCTTGTGATGTAGGAACTGCAGCAGGCGTCGTAGCTTGCTGCGATCTTTGCGCATCAGGAAGATGAAGTCTTCGATGCCAATGAAGCGAGCGTTGCGCATGTTGCATACATCGGCGGCACGCTGCAACTGTGGACGGAAGAGGTATTTCAATCGTAAACCGGGCTAGGAATGCAGTTTGATGTCTTTCAAATATTTGTAGCAACAAATACAATTTATTGGAAGATTTAAAGAGTACACATTAACTGTTGGAGTCACAAAGTGGAAAAAACAACAACTTTGAATATGACGCTGCTGTTTTGACAATTTTAGGATGAGTCATGGTTACCCTTTTATTAAACTCATAATTCATAAATATCTGAGACAGTTTACCTATTCCTATTGGTTGAGAGCCCGTCACGTGGGTGGTTTTAAACAACCGGTAAAACACCAGTCAGTGTTTAAACAGCGATATTTAAAACCAGTATTGAGGACCTGCGCTCTGCGCCACATACGTGCAGTACGCGCCGCATGCGTGCAGTACGCGCCGCATGCGTGCAGTACGCGCCACATGCGTGCAGTACGCGCCACATACGTGCAGTACGCGCCACACGCGTGCAGTACGCGCCACATGCGTGCAGTACGCGCCACATGCGTGCAGTACGCGCCACATGTGTACAGTACGCGCCACATGCGTGCAGTACGCGCCACATGCGTGCAGTACGCGCCACATGCGTGCAGTACGCGCCGCGTGATCCGCTGGCTTAGAGCCCATATGACATATAAGGGGAGGTGCCTGCATGCGCCCCGCACCATAGAAAAGTCCCGGACACGGAGTCAAATGGTAGAACAAAACTTGTCGGAGTTTGTCAACTTTTCAATTTTTGTGTTTTTTAGCCAAAAAAGTTTGTATGAATGGGGAAAGTAGTGTGACGGAGCAGCTTATAAATGTGATGTTTAAAACTAGTTAGAGGCCTGGTTGCCAATAATAGCCCTTGCCTGCGGCCAGACCCCTTCCCAGATTTAAACCAGACATTAATAGCTGCTCCATCACACTGTTATCCCCTGATTTTACAACCTGTAAAGAATTGTCTCAAATGAAGGAAATCTATAAACTGTACTATGTTCTGTCTCTCCAAATGTGTTGAGAAATTATTGTATCTTTCATTAAATTCAATATCTTTCATTAAAGTTTTCATCAATTCTTTTGTATGCTTTCTGACTTGTTGTGCACTCTGAACAAACTCTAAGAGCCTGCCAAAACAGCGCTGGATAGCTCAGCTCGAAGAGTGGCGGTTCAGCATTTGTAGGTTACAGGTTCGAACCTCATTCCATTCACTTTTCTTCAGTCAACCAACAAATTGATCAGCATGTTCGTGGTCCATAACACCCCCCCCGCCCCCCATTTGAAATTTTAAAACTATAATTCATAACTGCTAATATTTTGTGTCCAAAATTTGCTTACCATCATATCCGTTTCCCCAAAAATGTTTGAACTGAAGCCAAAAAAAATCTTGTTTACCAGGAAGGGAAACAAACAACTTCAACCTGTTGCAATCATTAAGTGGTCTCACCACGGAGGTCAACGTAAAAATAGCCCCCTGGTCCACGACGACGTGCAGGAAATGAAACGGACAATTCAAAACTGACTTCCAGAATCAACCACAGAAACTGTCATCATGGTCACAAGATCGGAGTAAAATTTACTGCAAAACAGCCGAGTCGATCGCTGAGGGATTTTCGTGGTTTTTTTCCTGTGCCATTTGAAAAATTTTAAACGACTCAAAGGGAAATTACTGGCACTGTGGATCCATAAATATCTTTGACATTGAAAAGACATTAAATTAGGGTTGTGTTAATACTTTTTTATTGCCAATTATTAACAATCAAGGTTAAAAATACCTTAACACCCCCCCCCCCCCCAAAAAAAAAAGAAGGAGGAGTGGCTTAAATTGTTCGTTGTTACTTGAAAATACTTTTTTTGAAACCATGATTTTTAATGTAAATTCTAGATTGTTCTCTAATTATTATTTTATATTCATGGAGTTCTTTAGAAAAAAACTTCATAAAAAAAGAAGAAAAAAAATTCCAGGTGTGGGGCGCGGTGGGGTTGGGTTGGGGGGGGGGGCCTAGCTTGGTATTTTTTTGGAAGACTACAGCCCCTTTTGAACTACTTCAAAAGGGGCCAATCCCGGCAAGCTCAGTGGTCGAGTGGTAAGAGGTCTGCACTAGAAACTCGAAACCATGACCTCCTGGGTCATGGGTTCGAGTCCCACCTGAGTGATTTTTTTTCTCACTTTCACTCAGGGGTAACACACTGAGTATACAGTGTTTATATGTCAGTGAAGGGCAAAACCTAAAATTTAATCTACATCACACCGATGCAAATTCCATCTTATGAATAATTCGTTTACACTGCACATTGAAACATTCACTAGGAATTTAGAAACACACAGCTTTGGGGAACAAATTGATGAATAAGTGCCACATCTTTTGGGAGTTTACCACTTTCCAGCCAAAGGATGAACACAATTTGGATACATGGCGCAAGATTGGTGAAAACCTTTCCCTTCTACGTCACCATCAAACTCCCTGAGTTTCCCTTTTTCTTGACGTTTTTCCTAAATTCCCTGACTTTTTTCTGAATGGAAAATCGAAACTAATTTTGAAGGTTTTCCCTGATTTCCAGACTGGCTGGGAATCATGTGGAGTGAAAACACTGGTCATGTCATACAGCTGATATGGAGACTTTCCTTTACCTATTTACCATTTAACAGTTAGTGTAGTAGCAGTCTCCAGGTGAAAATGTCATGTTAAGAGGTACTTGAACAATGTTGACATCCGAATCGTAATGCAAGAACCAGATATCACCAATGTCACTAAACAAGCAGATCCGCTGGTAATACAAGCCTGTCGCTAATCCCCTGACCAGCTGTCCTTACTGACAGCCAAGTCACTGACAGCCCAACTCAACCCACTAATCCCATCAAGGTGCTGGGGTTGAGGGGGGAGAGGGGAGAAGGCCTTATAGATGACATCACAACCTACGTCATTCTGATCGGAGATAACCCGACCGCCACCGGCCCGACCGGACAAGGGGGACAGATGCCCAGGAAACGCTTAACAAGATCCAGCAAAACGACCCATTTCCTGTTTGTCCCGAGCCAGGCGAGATCGCTCCACAAACATCGCATGAACGGCCGTCCCGATACAGACCCTGATTAATCAATCAATTAAACCGCGCCGACGAGATGACAGGTGCATTGACGTCTTTCAGAGGTATATATTTGGTCCCCTCACCGCCCTCCAGGGAGGGGGGAGGGGGGAACTGATTGGGATCATATACTGGTAATGATTCCCATGTTTCGGTGTCATTTTATAACACAGATTAACAATCCCGTCGGTGCGGGCCCGCTATGTTATTCGTTTCCTGGGCAGACTTTAAGTCTGATCCTTCCAATCTATTAACGCCATCCACCTGGGATTTGGGGTGGGACCCAGCGGCTCGCGTGGCACGTCAAAATGCTCCTTGGGCGACTGGAGGTGTCTGGGATACATTAAGAAATCCAGCGAGCATGATGACATGTTGAAAATGTGCAGGAATAAATGGCAGATGACGGTGCACAATTGGAGTTTTTTGGTCTCGCCGTGTATCTCCACACAGCAGGTGCAACAGACAGATATTTATCTTTGTGGGTTTTGCAAAGATCACGGGGGTCTGAAAACGATTAATTCTCTACCAAGAGGCACGAACGGGATAAACAAAACATATGACAGTGCAAAAAGCCAGCTAATTGCCAATTAATACTGATACCTTTTTTGACATTTTGCCATGAATTCGGAATTCAAACTCCCGCCACAAAACATCTCTTTTCTGTTCCACTTTTTTTTTTATTCCAGGTTTATTGGCTACGAGCATAAACGATTGAGGGCGCTGTAGAGATTACTTACAAGAACCAAGTGTCTTGGTAATCACATGAACCAGGCCAAATTTGCTTAGAAAAAAAGGTTGCCGACTAAAAATTATATTATTTAAAAAAAATAACGAAGTATTGCTTTGGACTGGTAGTCAACAAATTTTTGTTTTGCCCGTAACTTTACCAAGCAATCCTTTTCTGCTTAATAACGACTTTCTGCTTAATAATGCCAAGAAAATGGGCGCACACCACAACTTTAAATTGTACAGGCACAAAACTGAAGCATACAGTGTGGTCATCTGCAAATATCTTGTAAAAAGTTTCAGGCTGCACTCCAAAAAAAAAAGCATCAACAAATAACTGTCAACGTAGTGCAAATTTTGTTATTGAGTTAGGCACCTTTACAATAATAAGTAATATTAACACTGTGTGCTCAGTGCTGTTCCAGTAAGCAGGAGGTTGTGGGTTCGAGTCCCACCAGAGCAAGCTTGTGAATTTGTTCCTCATAAGCTCCAGGGCATGACTGAGCATAGATTGCTTGTTTAAATAATTTCTAAATAATTCTAAAAATTAACTTTCAAATGTGGCCAACAGCGGGCCAAGATGTACGCAGACCCTGAACGGGCGAGACCACTGGGAGCGGCATTCCAATGCACTGCGAACGGCATGTGATGCTCTCGCGAAGACACACCGTGGATTTGTGCAGATTCAGGATAAATTTATATAAGATTTGAGGCTTTGCAAGACAAGTTCTTTTCAGAACTAAATATCTTCTAAGCAGTAGTTATTACCACATGGTCTTACCGCAAACCAAAACGATAAGGATAAATTTAGTCGTTCATACTTTGCATCATACAAGTGCGTATCATAACAGGACAAAATCAGACATACCTTCATAAGACAAGAAACAAAGGTCAAAGATATCATAGAGAAGATCAAGGAAATGAAATGGAGATGGGCGGGGCACTTAGCAAGAAGACAAGACAACAGATGGACCAAGAGACTCACAGAATGGCAACCAAGGACAGGCAGAAGAAGAAGAGGTAGACAAAGGAGATGGAGAGATGAAATCACCACATACATAAACACGGCAACATGGAGTAGAATGACAAACAGAAGAGAATGGAAACTGCTTGAGGAGGGCTTCATCCAACAATAGATGACCACAGCCTGATGATGATGATGAAGTGCGTATGTCGCGCAATATGCGCCTGACCCAGTATGCGCGCAGTGTGCCCCTCCAACTGGGGCCCTCGAAAGTGGTCTCAGAGCGGCATCGATTATCACGCACAAAATCCATAGCTAATAAACCCTGTCTTATTTGTCCTAAATATAAATACCTCCCACACAATATGACTTGCTATCAGCAGGCTAGACAGTGGGATGACAAACTCAATTGGGCGGGGATTACACAAAAGGCTCTAAAGTTAGACAAAATGACGGTGGAGGAAAATAGAACCCAAACGTCTCGCAAAACACTGATAAGAAATCCTAACAGGTGTTACAAATAAGCCGACATCCCCAGTGTGTGAATCTGACAAACGATTTATCGAAGCGCGACACCACTAGAATCCTGAAACCTCGACTCAAAGAAATCTTGACTCCAGATAAGTGTCCTTTTTATGGTGAGATGAGGGAAAAATCGGGGCGCTATTTTTTGAACGCTCCACTCTAGAAGGTCTCAGGATTTTTTGGCATCTCCTCTGGTGGAGATTAGAGGAGCCAAAATAAGAATGTGAAAAATAGCCTTTCTTATTATAGGCAGTGTCTGATTCATCTTCCGATGGTGGGATCAATAACAGACCCCAAAAAACGGCGGTATTTTGGGGGACGGAAAATTGTCGAATCACTCCTAGAAATCAAAATAACTTTTGAGTTCCTTTCACATTGCATGTCATCACATAGGAGGCCCAATTTACTTTCTTTACAAAAATAAGTATGTTTGGACACGGAAGGATGTGCGAATTCTATCAAATATCATAACCTAGTATCATAGAGGAAGAAAACATTTCCTGACTTTAAAAATGTTAACAAGCTGAACAACATCATAAAGATTTTCAAACCCTGCCAACTGGCCACAGGCAACCACTAGAGGGCACTATTTCCTAACACCATCTGTTTTGCTTTGAGGACACAGAAAACTGTAGATTGTTTTGGAATGGAATGTTGACTACAATAGGACTTAATTTCTGTACACAGCTGTCAATAGAGGTCAATATAGGGCAAGTTCGCGCAAGAACTATTGTTGACCATTGGTTAACCATAGTTCGACTAAAGTTAGCCTGAACTCTGTCTAGTCGACGATGGTTGACTACCATACGCTAGTCGACTATTTGGAACCAAACTACTGGGGCTGGTTGCATCGCTGGTAACCAATAGCCGCGCGCATTCACAATGACAGCAGGGAGCCAGGATCCAGAAGTTTCGCGATGACTTTTTGACCAGAGATGTTCGCACGTTGCTATTAGTGCACAGGCGTAACGTACGTCACAAATCAACCACTAGTCGATTAATGGTCCTTGCCCGAACTTGAAAATAGGTGACCCATACGTCACGTGATCACAACGTTAGTTTTATATACATGTAGTATGGGACTTTTCAGTATTAATGTAATCACTGATCGCCAATGATTCAGATCGCTGATGATCCGCATCGTCGCTTATTATCAGCTTGACTCTTTTGATATTGTTGATTCTGATGATCATTGTCAATACACATGTTGTTATGATGTTGTACTAATATTGGATCTTGTTTGACTGTCACATCGACTTAAAAGTTCATTTTATAATTTAGTCTGGGGAGTGTGGCTTAGTGGTTAGGGTGCATGACTCATGATCAGAGGGTCAGGGGTTCGAATCCAGCTGCTGGTCATGGGCAAGTGTCCTTGGGCAAGCCATTTTACCCCCACTAGCCTCTCTCCACCCAGGAATATAAATGGATACCGGCACTAGCTGGGGAGTAACCTGCGATGGACTAGCATCCCATCCAGGGGGAGTAGAAATAGTCTCAGTGATTTCATGCTACTGAAACTGGAGATAAACGCTGGCCTAACGGGCCACATTGGCTCGTGACAGACTTTACTTGTTTACTTTATAATTTTGTCTGCCGTGAACTGGTAATATCTTTCAGGAAAGACCTGTGACACATGTAACAGCAAAGTTAAACATAAACAGAAATAGAAATAACCTGTTTTTGTTTTAAAGCAATCAATTATACAGCGTGTGTCAATAAAAACGCAGGATTAGAAACAAAAATATTAAGAATATAAACCACCCCTATTCATCATAATGTTAACCCTCTTTTCAAAGTACCTTTCCTTCTCTTCACTATGCTTTTTATCCCATCTCATTTGGACAATCCTGTCCAGAGATAGAGTACATTGAAGAAGGGTTATAAATTCCAAGCTGGTCTGATTTGTGAAATCACACATACCTAATGAAAGGTTTGAATTCAGTACAGGTGAAAGTATTTGTGGATCACAAAGAAGGACATGTGTGGCAGGATTAGGCTTACATAATCCTTTAGTCCATAATCAATGTTATTAGTCAATAATTCATGATGCTTTGAAACAATGATAGTCCAGTTATTAAATTTAAAAGTGATACTTATCATCAGTTGTTTCAAAGAAAGTTTTGTTCTGGTTTAATTGTCTTCAATGCATACCTGCATTGTACATAACTGGTCGTTGTGTTAAGGTCATTGAATCAGACCAACCCGCTTCAGAAGGGCTTCACAAAACTTGTCATAACTTTTGAACCAAAAGTCCAAATTCCATCAAATCCTTATCAAATTAGGCACACCAGTAGCATAATTTTCTCAGAAAAAAAATTGCTTTGAATCCTGCGTTTTTATTGACACACGATGTACTATGCTTATGACATATGCTGAAAAGAAACCTACCAAGCTTGTCATCTGTCGGTGCAGGATATCCTCTATGACTTCGGCGGATTCCAGCAAAGGGCGTCGGCAATCTCCCAAAGCGTACCTGCAAAGAACCGGAGAGGAAGGGGAAACACCACCAGGGGGTTATAGAAAGATCAAAAGATTAAGACAAAGAGATTCGGATATTGGGAATGTCGGGAGGGGGGAAGGGAGTTGCACAAACTACACGGGAGGGGGGGGGGTTTATGTGAAATGATCTGACGTAGAGAGGATACTGAATGAATTTAAGATTATGTATTGGATGATGGATACGGGAAGATGATGGATATGGGCAGGGTGGAGGGGGAAGTTGGTATTGGGTGTGGAATGGATCCAGCATGGGGGGAAGGGGCACAATTGGGCACAAGTGGGTCATGAAATTGAAGGGAGCAGATCTAAGTGGGTACAGGGCAAACCAGCAAACGTTGAGGAAAGTCTTGATTACCGCATGTAGTTCTTTGACATTTTACTGCACATTTTTAAAAGGTCATTTTTTGGAGCATTTTTTGCTCATGAATGTGCTAAAAAAAAAAAGGACTACCGTACTTGAGCACAATGCTACATGTACCTCCTCCCGTTCTATAGTGGAATCCAGTGACCAGAATCAGAAGTTTTTACTGCGGTGATGTCACGCTCACGCGCACGCATTCTTAAAGACGAGGTGTGCGCGCATTTTGGTATTTCTATTGGTTGAAGGAGCCCGGAGTGCGTGTGAACTACCTGAGCGTGACTCGCGTGAGTCTGGTGCCACCACAGAAAATGGCTGCTTTCCTCCTGTTTGGAGATGCAGATAGACAACCCAATAACCAACAGACAGACAGCCCGACAGGCTGACAAACAGACAGTGCATAGGTTTGCAACCACTGCCATAAACCAATACTGACATCATGACTTTTGGATTCCCGCCACATGGCACAGTCGGGATCTGTGTTGCATCTGACTACCGCTCCTTGAACAAAAACACTGACAAACTGGGTGATTGCTGCCATAACTGGTAGCTCAGGTTTGGCATTCCAGCGGTCACAAGTTCAATTCCCAGGCTACTGCTGGGGGAGGGGGGGGGGCAGAAGGGCTCTTTAAGTGAAAAATGGCCTTATATGAGAACATTTTGGCTGGGGGAAGGGGGAGGGGGCAGGCATCCCCTCCATACCCCCTGGATCCGCCACTGATTGTGTATACCCACTTCTTTTTCCCTTATCGTTAATTTTGGTGATTTAATTTTTACCATTTAGAGACACACCATTTCATTCTCAAAGCATGAAAAAAATCAAACAAAATATGTGTCGATATTAACAAAAGATGAAGCAAAGAAAAACACAATCTTAATCTCTTTGATTATTCTAACATGGGGAAGTATAGTACATGTTCCCCAGTTTTTAATTGAATGTACAAAATGCTTTGTTGGAAGTGATTTCAATTTGTGTACGCAGATAACTTTATGTTGTGATTGAGGAGACTTTGTTGGATCTCACAAGCACCTGATCTGGCTATTCTGATTTTAGGGAGTTGTTGGCAGAAGACCGTTCCAAACAGGATGGGATTTGGGGCAAGGAAATGCCAGTTAAGTCCCTCCAGAGTTTCGACCACACAAGCGCAGCCCCCAATCAAACCACTTGTCACCTGCATTTGTTTGGATGTATCTCAGGGGGGATTGTCCACACACACAAAACGGAAAGGGGGAGATGGAATGATTGATAAACAGCAGAACATCTGTGAGTCTATTTATTCATTGTCAGTTTGCCCTTTTGATTGAAAACTTTTGCACCCTTTTAGCCAACAAGGCCCCCTGGGGGGGGGGGGGGGGGCTTGGATGGTGGTTGGGGTGTCTACCCCTCCCCCTTCCCCTTTGACCGATGTTAATTGTTCACATATTATTGGAAACAAATCAAAATTTCCTTAATTAAATATCCTGAACAAATTTCATACAATATTGCAGATGTTGATTCATTGCTTCAATCAATAACCTGTCAGCTCTCTAACATAGTCTCCAACACTTGCTCTTTCTATCGCGTCAACAATCTCAAAGCGCTTATTACCCCCGTTCACCAGGCCATGAGACCATGCAGCAGCCGATATCAGCGCACATTCAATCCTCTACCCTCACAGGTACCCATTCATACTCCTGGGTTGAGAGAGGCAATTGTAGTTAAGTGTCTTGCCCAAGGGCACAAACACCATGTTCCTGGCAGGTTCGAACCCATGCACCATCGTACACGAGTCAAGTAGCGTAACCACTGTACCATGGCATTCTACTAACAAGAGTGGATGGGGGAGGGGCCATCTTCCTCAGTCCCCCCTTCCCCCACCAAACCTCCTCCTCGCCCTCCTTCCGTCTTAGCTGAACTACAATGTGCCCCCCCCCCCTCCTTCCTGCTTTAGCTGAACTACAATGTAGCCCCCCCCCCCCCCCCCCCCCCCCCCCCCCGACCATCAATGTCAACTAGCAATATATGGTGTCATGTCTTGTCTGCACCGAACACCTTTTCGAAATTTGCAGTTGTCTGTGACTGGTAAACTTTTCAGGCATCTGGCTAAATTTCTAGCCTCCTTTCTGCTGAAAGCACCCCCCCCCCCCCTGTGTTGCTGAAAGTTTTTTACAAAAAATTGCAAAAAGACTGATGTTGCTGCTTCTATTTCTCAATATTGGAGTAAGTACTCTATTTCCCAGGAAAACGTCAAGTTGAAAGACCTTTTTTTGTAAATGACTTAACTTTTACCAGTCCTCTTCTCGACTGATGTCGTTTGTTTCGGGCACTGTAACATTGTCACGCGGCAATTTCCACTCGCGTACCCTTTAAATTTGCAACTTTTCAAACTGCATCCTTTTTCATAAACCATTGTCAATGTTGGATGATTTACAGTCTTTGGTAGCAAACAACATTCCTACAGGTCTATATAAATGACGTTTTCATATGGCGATCACATTCAAAATTATGACCCTTCCAATGAGTGTGGACTTCTTTTTTTGTTTATTACAACATCATAATTCACAAATTGTTTGTCTTTACAGCACTATTACTGAGTATTAGGGGTATGCATTGCTGACTGATCTTGTTCTCAATTGCAACAACATCCTGTATACCACCTGTTATCAAGTCACAAAATATTACATGCCACTCTCGTCTGCACACCCACTCATACTATTAATATTAACCTATTTCCCCCCCCCCAATAAAAAAAGATGTCGTGATGGTCTGCATGTAATTCCTCACTACAAATAATGCCTGTGTGCCTATCTTTAAAGACACATGGGATCATTGGTAATCACCCAGAAACAAACCTACCAATTAACATGTAAAGAAGGAAAAAACTTGCTCAAAATGAAGACAGCACTACCAAAATTCCTCCTAATATGGGATTGTTTGGAAGAAAACAATCATTACAAAGTGTTGTTCTTTTTAAATGTGCCTGCAAGCACACTTTAAATAAAGATAAAATTAGATGATATTGGAATACTGCGAATATTTCCCATCCACTTTTACCTCCACATCACGTACGCATACCAGCTGAATGAGAATCATATCCAGAGTGCTGATTTAGGGATTAAAAAATATTCTCAGGGGTGACATTGGGTGAAAATGAAAAATCCATATGTGTGTTTGTTTGTACTTGTCCTAAGGCACTCTTTAAAACACACATTTCTTTTGTTCTTTATCAACTTTTAATGGTAAAACACCTTTAAAGGTAAAATCCTGACAAAAAAGTCCCGAAACTGGGAATAAACCTGACAAAATTCCTGAAATCGAGAAAAATCCTCAAAAAAAATTAGTAAAACACCTTTAAGGTAAAATCCTGACCAAAAATCCTGAAACTGGGAACAATCCTGATAAAACTCCTGAAATCGGGAAAAATCCTCACAAAAAATCCTGAAATCGGGACAAATCCTGACAGAAAAGAATCCGTAAAACAGGAAAAATCCTGACAGAAAATTCTGCAATCAGGAAAAATCCTGACAAAAAATCCAGAAATCGGGAAAAATCAGTGACAAGAAATCCTGATCTCAGGAAAAAAGCCCGACAAAAAATCCTGAAATTGGAAAAATCCTGACAATTTTCACCCCTGATTTCTGAGAGGGCACAATTGAAAACGTGAAACTGCAACTTCTCAATTGCATAGAAGTGCTGAACAGAATATATTGACGAGACAAAAAAAGTGTGTATGTTTTGTTGTTTTCTCATAATGTAAACTATCCACTGATCTGAAACTTCAGAGTTTTGTTGCTTCAAGCGAAATTTACAAAACTCACACAGTCAACAATAAACATTTCTACACCAAATATTTGATAAACATTTCTACACCAAATATTTGAATAACAATCAGGGCCGTGAAGAGAACAATATGCTTCATTTTTTCTGATCTGTCTGCCAAAAGTAGAGCCAAGTTCAAGGACGGAACTACAAGTTCATTGCACTTAATCCACGCTCACACCTTCAGTCCAGATCATCGTTCTGGAAATGAAATTTGACAAATTAGCCCAATTTCCTGGAAAATAACCTTGAGTTTTGATTATTATTGCCTGTAAGGTTATCACTGAGGTTGCCGAAACGTGACTTCTCTTTGCTTCATCTTGTCACTGTGGCCTTCGTACAAGCATGGTGGTATAGACAAGACACCGAGGATATCCATTTACCATTAACAGGTAACGCCAGAAAACGTTTTTAGGAAGCATAAAGGCCTTCAACCTTTGAAACGCAATGAATTTGATACTAATTTTGTGGTTGTAAACACAAGGTCATTTTGTAATCTATGAACCTGGTAGGTTGGGGAAGCAATTTGTTTTATTTTGGAATGACGTTATATGTACAGTTTCCCTGAATTGATGAATTAAGATTGACTAAGTGTGGAACTTCTCTTGCAGATGATTGGTGGATCCACGGTAGCAGTAAGGAGGAGGGGGAAGCAGTAAGGAGGAGGGGGAACAAATGATCAATAGGGAGGGGACAAATGATCAATGGAGAGGTGTGCAGGTGAGTGGAGTCCTGACCATAGTTAATGGGAAGATTGGGGATTGGCCAAAATGTTTTCCCTTTAGGGCAACTAGTAGAGGGGGAGGGGTCACACGGGA